TCCTACTACTTGCGGTAGCACGTACTAACACAACCCTCACAAGAAAACAGATTCTCGCCTTCTTGCCGCTGCATTTCACGACTCTGAAAGACAGTCGACATACTGTCAGAAATAGTATACAGCGTCTAGTCATTCATCTCATCGAGCCTTCTACTATGAACCTCACGAAGTCCATATCCGGGAGTTCTTCTCGCGCACGACCTAGCCAGCCGCAGGCCAAGCATGGTGACTGCTGCTGCTTGGGAATATTCAGGTGCTGGTTGCGCATCCATCAATCATGAGCTTTCCAGGGTACGATGCCTTAGCTTCGAAGAAGACAACAAGAGAATGAGAGGGTTCGGGCAAGGGTGAAAGCTCATCTGGCTGAGACGGTCCATGGCCCCGTACTTCCTCGGTTCCTACTTGGAGGAGGCAACGACAGATGCGATCGTGGGTCAGTCTGGCAACGCATGGTCCCGTCGAGAGGTTACCCGGACGCTCTCGCGGCTGTTTGCATTCTGTTATAACTACGGCACAGTGGCTGCACACAGGCTGCTCCGGTTGCGAAATACTGAACAGAGACAAGACCGGAAGGCTCTTTTCGGCAAACCGAGCAGGAGACCAGCCGTCGGGAAGCGCCCGCTGCAAGACATCTTGCTCTCCCAGTCCTCAATCTAACGGCCGAAGCAAGATGGAAGGGAGGGAGAGGATTAACTACTATGGTACTACGTATGTACTATGGAAGAGAAATCGACAGGCATGTCGTTAGAAGGGTCCAATCAATAAGCCAGCATGCCACGCCGTATGCAGGTAATTGCCGTGTGTGCTGGCCGGCGGCATGCAGCCCAGCTGCCGGCGCCGGGTCCCTGGATCGAGGCTTGACCGTCGCAGACTAGCCAGAACTAACCAGATCATGATCCAGATCTGAACCCAGGAAATGCAGCTCAAGCTCCTGTTTTCGTCCTGTCGCGAAAGGGGGGATTTTGTCCTCTGGTTTCGGATGCCGCCCAGTGGCCATGCAGGAGTGACCACAGATGTGCTCGGGCCCGATATTCCGTCCGAGCAGGTCAGGTCACAGGCGGCGTCCTCTCCCATGCGACATTGCATCATGATGATTGCCTGGCGGAGACACAGGGGGATGGGCTGCCATCATTTTCTCAAATCTGTCTATCATTGTCCGCCAATGAGTCCGAACGCCACTCCACACCAGCTCAAGAGGTGGTTTGACTATCACCATGTCATTGACAACTTCTGGAACATTCGTATTTTTGTCAGTTCGGTTTTCAACCTTGGCGAAGACCTGGTCACCCTTGCGCATCGCTCATCCGGTTGGTGCCCGTTGGGCTGCGATAGGTTACCACCGTCCACAGTAACAGTATCCACATGTCACCCAGCCCTTCTGCCAAAGCTAACCCCTGTCGCTATACTAAGACCCCTGGCACGGCCGCCGCTCGTCCTCAAAGTACCCGGGCAGCCGAGTGATCTCGCCAGTCGTTCGTTCTTACAGGTCACAAATTGGCCGACGTCGCAGTGTCAAGGAACCTCGATTCTTCACAGCTCTCCAGCATGACTGAAGATCTAGCAGACAATATTCGTCTATTGTGTATCATCAATTCGAGCTGAGCTGGAAATTGGCCCAGGTGACACACAAGTCGGCTCGGGTTCGGTCTGACGATCAGACTTTTCTTGGTCATGCCAAAAGGTCAACGCGGCCCAACAAATTCTCGTTTCACTGTGTCATACAAACATGATCACACATGGTTGGCTGCAATCAAGTCAGCAAGGTCTGTTGACGTCGACCACCTTATCAACAGATCTTCGACTAGGACCAGACCACCCTAGATCTCTTCAGCACATATAATGTTGTGGTCATGACCAGCTGAGTTATGACTGCTGACATGCCTCGAATCAAGGGGCTTGGCTGGAGTTTCCCATGTATAGAAAAGTCCCGCGACACCTTCCAGGGTGGCGTGAACCCCAGCCGGGGGAGCGCTTGGGCCTAGAAGAGGCCTCAGCTTTGAATATCGACCGTGAGTTGCAATACTCAGATCAAGGGTCCACCATCCAGAAGCTCGGTCATCTGTACATGCAATACTATGGATGGTACATAAGGAAGTGCACAGGCTGCCTGAATACTCAAAACTCTGCCCAGAATCGAAAGTCATCATGAGAGATATGGCGTGATGCGAGTCATACTGCAGAGCGACTGACAAACCCTTTCGTCGAGCGAAAAGCATTGTTGGAAAGCCACGACAGTTGGACAGAACAAGAAAAAGATTTTCCCCCTTGCGTCTACTAAGGGACTTGGAAATGCCACAGCTGGTTTCTTCCCCCATGTCATTTGCCAATTTGGTGCCTGAAGTCTCCACCCTCCATTGCAAAAGCACCTCCACAAACCCGCATGATCATCTCGGAGCCTCGGTATGACCCCCTTCCCTCAGCGGTATTCAATCTTTCAGTTGATATCATACGCACAAATATGTCCAAGATCTGCGAAGAGAATTGTGGCATTTCAGTGAACTTCACAAGGATGTTCATATTCCGATCCCCGCCAGGAAGAGATATCTACAGCCTCTGCTATTATCTCTGTAGGCCTCCATATGTCCATATAACAAATACACTATGTTTCTAAGCTACAACGTACTTCTACCACAGTAGACTAGCAGACCAGGACTTGACTGGGGGGACCCTGCATGTGCTCTGCACGCTGGGATCCTCGATAAGATCGACCGAGTATCCATGGCTTCCCCCAAAGCAGTGACCAGTTCCATTCTAATATTGACGACCGCCAAAGGTAGGCCTACACAGGCTGAGAAGGACATACTCTAACTATCTTTCACTACAGCAGTGTCATGCATTGATATGTACCCAGCAACGTAATGGCGGTCTGATACTTTGCAGTCCTGTCAGCACCAGTAGCAGATCGGGCAAACGGAATCCAATCACAACTAGATTTAGCCCAAAATGCAACCCCCTGGTCCGAGATCTCAGCTAAGTGTGACTTTGATCTCCGTCCGGGCTGCATCTCTTCGAGGCTACCATCGTCGACTTGGATCATGATGCTCCTGTTAGACCTGGACCAGCGCCGTAGGTATTGTCATGCAAAAATGAACAAGCTGCCCAAACTGATCTGTTCGAACAACACACTCCATGTGTCGTCCTCACACTTCAGCAGCACGCTACGTAGTGTTCAAATTTGTCACGCCCCTTGTTTTGCACAGCTCGGTGACGGCGACATTCAGCGTCCCATTGAGAAGGGCTTAGAATTTTGCCGTTGCCTGTGCAGCAAATGTGGCCAGTGAGCAGGCTAAATCTTACAAAAGGCCCTCGACCATCTGCACCTAGTCCATGCAAGCCTTTGCTTGGCTAGCTCGCCTAGGAATGCCTTAAGCCCGTCGTATCGATATGGCCGGACCTACTTCAACGTTGTGAGTGAAGTCATAGCGCCAGGCTTTTTGAACGAGTAAATGATCGACAGCTCTCCGAGCTGATTCTTGCTCGAGCAACCCCCTCATGATGCTCAGAATCAGCGATATGCGGCATGTCAGCTTGAAAAGTAAATTGAATGCTATGAGAGCCGGTGCAGAAAGTATATGTATGCCCAGTGATGCTATGTTAAAGCTTGGAAAACTCACGGTTCAATTGGTTGTTATACCATCGGTGAGCGTATGAAATCATGTCTGAGGACGATGAGTGTTGTAGGAGGGGGATTCATGCTTCTGAAGCATTCCCGGCGGTTGTCTGACCCAATCTCGCCACACGAAGGCATATCTTTCTACAGTTTGCTGCTCTCCCAGGCTGAACGCTCTATACAGCCGCCATGCTGGTTCGATCATGTCAGATCATCTATCCAAGTGACAACTGGCTGACGAGTGCGTCAACCGCCCATCAAGGTGCTTGAGTTATTCGCCAGTACGTAATCGAACTTCCTTTTCTTTTTCAGGCTAATGGACGTATGGCCTGGATAATGCTGACATCTCAAGAGTCTGGACAGTGGGACACACGAAAACCAGGGTCGTCGGTGGGTGGGAGAAATTGCTGACCTGCTCCAAAACCCCGACAAGCACGACTACTCGGCGGTTCTGTTGGGATTTTCTCAAACAGTGGCATGTAGAGCAAGAGTGCTATGCATGTAGGTTGCAGGCGTTGGTGACGGTTGGAAGTTATGGTATAACTCGTAGCAATCACTCTCGAGGCCAAGAGCAGACTAGTTTCGGTCCACACGAGACCTTTAACTTTCCTTGCGGCTCTCTGATGTAGAGTGTCATTGGCTCCTGGTATGTAATGGATGTGGAAAGATATCGAGGGCGAGAGTGGTCAGATCACGCGAGGTGTTCGGGAGCATAAGCATGACAAAGAAGTCCACAAAATAACATTTCGGTCTCAGGCTACAGCTGCCCTTAGTGAGCCCAAGTTCTGATTGAAGTCTGTCTGATTCCTTTTTTGGCGTTTCTCACTGCGGGCAATGTGACTGCCACATGACCCAGCTTCCAGTCCATAGTTGCCTCGATGATCGAATGATAATTTAGGTTCTGTGGTATCTGCTCCTCGGAGATTCCATTACAGAGTAAGACATTGAGGTAGGAAGTGATGAAGAAGGAAAAAGGAAACAAGATGGGAAAAATACAGAGAAGAGAAATGATTTGCTCGAGTCCCTTTCTATCAGAGCGTTGTGGTAGTAAAGGAATGGGCAGATTATTGGCCCACTCCCACTGCCTACCACTAGAAGGGCACTGTAACCTGTCAGCCTCAAAATCAAGGACATTGCGCCGACATGGCCTGAAATGAGCTAAAATCCGCAGCACTTACATTTCATGGAGACCTTCGCGCTGACCGCATGCATTTGACTTTATATAACCCAATGGTGATGAGGCTTTTGGGTTAAGTCATCGTAAATGGTGGCTGGAATGATGTACTGATCAAGGTGCACAGCCACACAAGGCCAGACTGCAGATGATTTCAACCCTATAGGCCCTCAGCAGACTTCTACTTCGAGTAACTACACTGGTAGAACAGTGCCTTCAGTCATCGACGACTTCAGGTATAGTGAGCCTGACGCGCTTCTCTGAACGCTCCGTGCCCCAAGTCTCAGGGGCCCTGACTTTACGAGATTTAAACAGTGAATCCTCTGGCAGGTTGCTTAGGATGCTGACATCATATTCACCGCTGAGAGTGTACAGAGAGAGGTCAATGTTGATGCTTGGGAACCTCTCAGAGATGAGGGTCCGAGAAAACGGCGTCTCCAGTCGAGGTGACTCCTCCGGCGACCATGGTTCGCATCCGACGAATAGCCAGCGTTTTTTCTGGAGGGTCTCGTGTGTCTCGCTCTCATAGTAATAATGCTTGTTGAGCTCGTCTAGGCTGCTGCTCAAAGCCAGGACTCTGTCGATCAGCGCTGGGCTTGGGTGATTGAGGGCTGTCATGGCTTGCTGGTCGACAGAGGCATCTTCTCCCTTCTCGAGAACCTCTTCGTGCTCTCTCTTGTCTTGTATGTATGTTGGAGCGGGATTGGTGGCAATTTTGGGAGTCATGGACTTGCAATTGATTCTGGGCTTTGATCGATCAGGCAGAACTGTTTTCTTCGCACTATTGTGATTGACAAGTGGGTTCAGAGCCGAGAAGAGGTTGGAGGAGAGGTCCTGTTGAACTTGAACTTGAGTTGAATGCTTCAAGTGAGCGTAGTAATCTATTGCGCGTTGAAGATTGAGCTTGTGGTTGGGTAAGGAGTCGGGTAACTGATGGCCTCGGCTGGTGGTCTTTGGATCCAAAGTCATGTTGCTGTGGGATGAAGCCAGTTAGCTCAGCTGGTTTACACGACAACCGTGATGAGGGTGGTCAGAATGAGAAGTATGTGACGAGGATCACCAGCTGAGTGAGTACCTTGCGGTCTGCGAGCGAGAGGCCCCGCGAAATGCATGGCCTGAACGTGTGAGGCCACTCATATTGTAAGGTTTGATCCGCTGCAGCGTTTACGTGAATTTGTTGGGAGGGTATGCAATAGCGGTCGGTAACGGTGGAAAGAATTAAAAGCGGCGGAGGAGATATGTTAAGAAAGGAAAGTTGAGAAAGGGAGGAAGATTGCAGAACGGATTCAACTTCTGGTGCTGCTCGTTTGAAGTGGCACCAACAATAGGAGCAAAGAACAATAGGTGAAATAGGACAGAGCTGGAACGGTCTAGTTGTACGCAGAAGGGCCATTTCTACGTCTGTATCGACGCAGTTGGGCACTGGTGGGTCATGTACGATAACTGACAAAGGTAGTTGATTTGGAGTCTGAAATACCTCACGCTGCCATACTTCAGATAACAATTCTATGGACGCCAATGCTAACCTCAAGAGTGTATCGCTTCGCAGCTGTCAAGCAGAGCAGTAGCATTCGGATGGGGGGAACATCATCAGCCTTTCAAGAAAACAGTATTTCCCCAGCTCTGAGGTGCATCTTAACAGCTCATCGGTCCTATCTCAGATACATCTCAGTTTCTTCATCTACAAATCACAATGAAGTACACGAGTCCTGGACATACCGTTACCTTCAGTTTGCCAGACTCGCTATGCAAATAAGTGATATTGATTACCACATATTGGCTACGATACATTATGGAATTGCCGACTGCCAAATTCGTCCGCAAATTGCAAAAAAGCGCTCTGTTGGACTAGCCATTGAACCTGCCAATCATGCGCATAGAGCCATCGTCTGGCTAAAGCAATTGTGTTTCACAGCACTGAGCGCAGGAATTATGGCGGACAAGATGAAAAAGAATATCTGGGTATCTTTGAGACGGTAAGGAAGAAAAAGGGGAGGGCCGAGGACCAAAGGTCAGCGACCTTCTGAACGCCAAGCCATGCTGAGGGATGAAGTCATGAGAGTCGTGCCGAGGAGTGGAAGCTGAAGGCCGTTGTTTAGAAGTTTGGCCGCCGTTTCCGTCCAGTATATTTGGAGGTGGCTTTGACGATCTTGCCCTTCCGTTCCATCTGCTCCTTTTTCTTAATAATCCAAGCCTTGCTGCCCTTCTTGATGTCACCCTTGCCCGCCTTGCCGTTCCGTCTCGCGTCCAAGACATCCACGCCGTCCATGCCATTCACCACACCTGTGATGTCTCCTCCGGTACCACCAACAGTCAGCACCAGATACACCTTGACGTTCTTGGTCTCGGGATCATCCTCCAGCAGACCAGCGCCGAACCCCGCCTTGACGGCAGCCTGGGTGATCATGTTGCGCTGCTTGTCATTCTTCGGGTAGAACTGACACACAGCCCTGCCACCTCTCTTGAGACTCGAGTACAGTCCGTTGAAAAACCTCGACAACCTCCCTTCGGGGCTCGTCTCGCTGCTCTCGGCATTGCAAAGCCATTGTATCGCGCTGATGCTGATTGCGGCGTCGAACGTGCCCGCGCGGAACGGCACGCCTTGTCCGATATCTGCGAGCAGGAGGTCACCCTCGACGTCGCGCTGTAGGGCCACATCAAGCATGGATGCAGAGACGTCCATGCCAACCCAGACGTGTGGCCCACCTTCGTCTTCTGGTACGGACGAGAGGATCTCGCCTGACAGACCGCTGCCGCAGCCGATGTCGAGGATCATGGAGGGAGAGTCTAGGTCGAGCAGCTCGAGAGCTCGCCGTGTCATCGTGGCCTGGATGTTCTGGATCCGGCTGCTGGTCGTGTATTTGCGTGCCTCGGTGTCATCGTAATGGACGTCGGCCGCACTGCGAGAAGAGAGGTTAGCAACTTCAATTCAAGCACACAAGAGGGGGATGCGCAGGACTCACAGCGTATCTTCTGGGCGAGACATCTTGCCGGTAGTTCCCAGCTATGGTGTTCCAAACTGTCGATCAGGTGAAAAAGAAATTGCACCTGTCAATTGTGCAGAAATGTACTTGTCACCTAAAGTTGCTTCGGGCTTGCTCTGTCGTTGAGAAAAATCCAGGCCCGGGGCCCAGTATAGTTCTTATCGCCTTATCAGTGCCTGCCACAGCATCCCCTGTCAGCGGGAGAAGCTTAAGCCAAGGGGGATCTCCCAGCTTTGGCAGGGGGGTTGCAGGGGAGGAGGAAACAGGAGGCAAGGGCAACGTCAGGGGTGACGCGATTTGTTGGCAGAGTGAACACGGTTGAGGATAGACAGCAAGAAGTGGGTGGTTTTCCCTTCACATAACCACCACCGTACTATGTACGATCAATAATTTCCAACGCTCGTTATCCAACATGTGGATTCTACCATTAGTTGGGATCATCGGGTCCATCCTGGGCTTCTGCTTTCTGACGTTGGCCATAGGTAAGTTGTTTACCTCCCAAACCTTGCTTCGGATCTCTCTTTGCTGGTGACTTTGATGCTAACTACCAGAGAACAGCTTCTGGGCTTTACTACCTTTCCGAACTTGTCGAGGAGCATACCGTCATCTCGAAGCGCTTGTTGACACGCCTCATCTACTTCATCATTGTCCTTCAGCTTCTACTATGCCTCGTGGATAGATTTCCCTTTTGGCTTACGATGCTGGGCATCGCCTCTCACATTGTCTACCTGGGCAACATGCGGAGATTCCCTTTCGTCACCCTGACAGACCCTCTCTTCATCACATCATGTGGTAGGTATCCCGTGTGCCAGCATGTTTCTACTTTTCCTTTCTCCAAACATCCTCGGCTGACTCGTTGTGCGTATAGTGCTTGTCCTCTTCAACCACGTCGTCTGGTACCGACATTTCTCCGCCCGCCAGAAGAACGCATACTCCAACGCATCCTCTTTCTACGAGACACCTGAAGATATGCCGAGTTTCACCGAGGTGGCCTCCTATTTCGGAATATGCGTGTGGCTGGTGCCATTCGCCCTCTTCGTTAGCTTGAGTGCAAGCGACAACGTGCTGCCGACGGAGAACCCAGCTGCCGCAGCAGCGGCAAGCGGAGACGGGAGCAAGAGGAAGGCCCAAGGTATGGCCAAGATGCTGGTTGATGGTGCCCGAAACGCGATCGGCGAGGTTGGGGTCATGGCGGGTTGGAAGAAGAGAGACGATGGGTTCTGATGTTGCAGGTACCAAACCCGGTCTCTGCTGGGATTTACAACAAGATGTAGGGCATATGAGCGAGCCCGCCATGAGAATGGCCAGAACAGAGCTAGGACATCTTCTTCAAGAATATGGGTATCGTCTCACTCGCCTTCAGGGTCCTGCCTGAGCTCGCTATGATGCATTCCTCCCGCATGCTTCAAAAAGATACCCCGGCCAATCTTCAAGTGCCTTGCTTGCGGACTCAACAAACCATCCTGCATCGGCCAGAGATTCACCGGAGGGGAAAACGGCCCTTCGGTCACCTCACTCACTTCTTTCTCTGTGTTGCTGGATTTAGCAGACCTTGCACAGTTGAAAGCTGTCTGCAAACAACACGCAAGGCGAAGCATCGGAAGTCGGCAGCATTATCACAGGTGTGACCTTTGCAAGAAAGAAGAGGTTGGACAATGTCATACACATATATGAGATTGTGGATCGGATGAATTGAGACTGCTCTCTGCGATATGCGGCCCTCGTGCAATCCTGAACGGCGTCAGCCCAGATTTCGTACAGCGCGGCACAAGCGCAGGGCAGCTCAGCGTTCATTGGGCTTCATTGTACAGTTTGGGTTATTTCCCACGCACGCGGTGCAATGGTTTGGGCTCGTCCGGGATGTCTGCCATCAACATGATGACAGTGATGCATTCGCCTAGTCCAGCCCCCATTGTGGCCCATGATATTAGGGCGGATGGACGACGGCACTTGTAGGGCACCACTGACAGACTCGATTGGCTCAGCCGTCCGGTCTCAAGCAAACATTAATACACCATTCCTTTTCTATACCACCTCGATCGACCGGCTCTAATGATGCCTGGTTTGACGGGTAAGGTCACACTCTGGACACGATATCACAGACAAGAGCAAGTACCCCTTCTTCGAACAGTAATCAAGCACTCCGAAAAGACGCCATGTTCAGCTACCATCTTGCGCACGATATCACAATCGCTGGCGGCACTTCTCACGGAACTGCTTCTGACAATGGGCACCTAGTAGCGGGTTTCAATCGAAATAGCCATTTACCAACTATGGGGTATTTCGAGCAGCAAAGAATCTAAACGAACAGACAGGCCCAACGGCTTTTGAGACGAATTTAGTTGAGAACATGGAACACAACATCGAATACCAACAATCAAATCAATCCCAAAAGAAAGAAAGAAAAAAAAAACAACAAAAAAAACAATATCTCCATTCTCAAACTCCCCCAGCCCGTTATCACCGGGAATCCTTGGCTCCTCTTGATATCGCTCTCCTCGAGCTTCCAGAACCTAGTGACCGTCCACTATGATGAGGGGAAATTCTTGGGAAGTCTGCCGATTGTGACTGTTGAGTAATGTTGGACTCCCTGTCGAAACGCGAACTGACCGCCGCCGTCGACCTACTTTCAACCAGCAACATAGCAGTCTCGCGACAGGCGTCCTTATGATACTCATTGGTATCTGCGATAGTAACATCCGTGTCACTCACAGGCGCTGCGTCCTTTCTTTGTGCTGGATGCTCAATTGTAGGGACTCGGAAGGACTCGACGCCATCCCAGCAAGCCTCGCTAGGGGTCTCCGAAAGCCAGCGCTCCATTGGAGTGGGCTCAGTGTTTTGTATTGACGCTCCGCTATGGTCTTGGACAAGGAACAATGTACTCGAGAATCTGTCGATGTGAACCCAGGACGTGTAATATGTCGTGTCGTCTTCAGTGATGCGGGCCTTGTCGACCGGACGATCCGTCATCTTGAATATAGGTTGTGCCTGGCTACCCTGAATGGGGATGATTGCAGGAGGTTAAATGTCGCAGAGCATAACAGCAATGAGCGAGTGCTGTGAAAGGAAGAAATGGTCTCTTGGCGCCAGAACGTCTCATGATCGATGCAGAAAACAGCCTCGTACTTTTATACTCGTTATCGAATCTCTCTTGGCCCCTCGACGGCTATTTTACGCGCCCTTTGGAAGCGCGGGCTTGTCTTTCACATTCCTAGCTCTTCTCCTTGAAAGGGAGACTATAGGGAGGCACCACCAGCGGCAAGCCAATGAAGAGATGCGTCTGGAACAGGAGTCGTCCAACTCTGCGCAACCGTCATCAAACAGAACAAGCGTGCTGTCACGATACCTTTGCTGCTCGAGATGCTTGCCTTCTTTCCGACGGACGGTACAGAGCAGACAGAGATGCCTTGGCGAACTGGGGCTCGATGGTTCGCATTGATGGGGAAAGGTCAGACGAGCAGGCCCTTTCAGCCACCTCAATTACGGATCTCTGCTGCTGGTGCTGCTGGTGCTGCTGGAGCTGTCCTGCAGTGAAACGACTTGACGTGGTAGGAAGGGTGTCTGGCCGTTACTTGGCCAGAGCTCCTTTGCACGAAGGAGGTGCTTATGAAGCTCCCTCTGGAAGAAGGCTTTCGTGAAGATGGCCCTCTTCCTGGTCATGACTGGAAACGGCCCTGCACATTTTGCAACAACGAATCACCTGGTCACAAGTTTACATGCTGGAGGGTATAGACACTTTTGCTGGGATTGTATCAACTAAAGTCATCAAAGATATGTACACAGAAGAAGGTGTCATGACATCCCAAGACCGTACGCTATGGGTCTTCCAACCAACCAAACAAACGAACAATAAACAACCTCTGGACACATGTTACTGAACACGGAAAAACACACTCACATCCCTTACTCATAACCCTCGGCACCAGTGTTTTACAGCTGAGCCAGCTGAGGAGCCGCACGCCTCTTCTTGCACTTCTTGGCGGCCGCAGAGCTGGTGGAGGAGGTGCTGGCGGCAGTGGTAGTGGCAGCCGAGGACGAGGACGAGCTGGCGCTCGAGGCGGTGGTGGTGGTGGTGGTGGTGGTGCTGCTGCTGCTGCTGCTGGTGGTGGTGGTGGAAGCCTCACCGAGGAGGACCTTGGCGGCGTGCTCGGCAACAACCATGACGATAGCCTGGGTGTTACCAGTGGGCAGGTCAGGGTGGACGGAGGCGTCGACGACGTAGATGTTGTCGGTGCCCCAGACCTTGAGGTTGGTGTCGACGACCGAGGTGCCGTCGTTGGCGGTGCCCATGCGGGCAGAGCCGACGTAGTGGTCACCCTCGCTGATGTTGTCGGTGGCGATGAGCTCGGCGGCGGTGGAGGTGACGGCCTCAAAGGGCGAGCCGTCGGCGGCGACCATGCTGATGAGCTTGTTCATGAAGTTTGTGATGGCGGAGATGTCGGCGGTGGTCTGCAGGTAGGGAGTGGTGGTGATGGCGGTGGCGCCGTCCGAGGTCATCTCCAGCACGCCGTGCGAGGTGATGCCGTGGGTCAGGTACGTCTTGATCTTGATGGTGTTGTTGGACGGGGCAAAGATGGTGCCCTGGACGTAGTAGGTGCTGCTGTCGTTGGCGGTGGTGGTCGTCCAGAAGTTGATGCGCTGGCCAGACTGGGCCAGCAGGCCCGTGGACTCGTCGTTGAACTGGGCCGCCACGGTGGCGTTGGGGCTGGTGAAGGCGGTCGAGGGCAGCGCCGCCAGGGCGTCCTTGGTGGTGAGCTGGACCGTGAAGATGGGGTGGTCCTGCAGGTACTGGCCGACGGGCAGCTCGATCCACTCGGACTCGTCGGGCAGGGTGACGTCCACGGTGCCGCTCTGCACGGTCTGGATCTGGGCCTTGGGGCCGATGCCCGAGTTGATGAGCATGCGAGGCGTGGACAGCGCACCGCCGGCGAGGACGACGCTGCCGCCGGCCTTGAGGTTGATGATCTGGCGGTCGCCGCTGGCCAGCTCGACCTCGACACCCGTGGCGGTGGTGTTGTCACGGATGACGCGCACCAGCTGGGTGTTCAGGGACAGCTTGAAGTTGGACTTGGCCTGGGCCAGAGGGAGGTAGTCGCGGAGGGGCCCACCGCGCAGGCCGTCACGGATCAGCCAGGGCGGGTGCGAGTAGACGGCCTGCTTCTCGTTGGGGTAGGCCAGGGCGTCGGTCTGCGAGAAGCCGTTGTCGTCCAGGAAGCTGGACATGATGGTGAAGGCCTCCTGGTCCACACCGGTGCCGTTGGCGAGGATGAAGCCGGGGGAGCGGTCGTAGAAGGACTCGGCAGACGAGGAGACGTCGGACCACTTCCAGCCCGTGGGCCACTTGTCGTCAAAGTCGTGCTCTGCGGGCTTGACGAACATCATGGCGTTGACGGCCGTGGAGCCGCCCAGCAGACAGCCAGCCATGCCGCCCGTGTCTGTGCAGTACTCGGAGGTGTCAGAGGCGGTCGTGAGGTAGTAGTCCATGCCAGGCACGTCGTACTGGGTGACTGTGTCGTTGTAGGACATGGTGTCTTCGCCTCCAGACGCGTAGGTGGAAGCACCGCCGCGTTCGAGGAGGAGGACAGACGCGCCCGACTCAACGAGGCGCTCGGCGACAATGATACCAGCGCCACCACCGCCTGCGACAATGTAGTCGTAGGTGGAGTTGCTGGTGGTGGTAGTCACGGTCGTGGTGCTGTTGCTGCTGCTGGTCGTCGAGTTGGAGGCGGTGGAGGACGCAACAGTGTCGGCCAGGTTGGTGGTCGTGGCCAGGGCAGCCCAGGTGGCATAGTCGGACGACATGGAGTCGGTGATGCTGTGGGCATACTCGCCATAGGCGTTGGAGTGGAAGTTCAGCGTGGCATCGGAACTGCTGGTGTCGGTGAGGGCCGTGACGGACTGGGCATAGCCAAAGACCTTCTCGGTGTCGCTGGCGCCAAAGGAGATGGAGGTGCCCGTGGCACAACCCTTGCACACAAAAGTAAAGGCCCAGCCCGTCGAGTTGATGGAGGTGCCCGTCGAGATCTCATAGATGCCCATGGACGAGTTGCTGATCTCAGGCGGGTTGCTGTACCCTGTGGCCTCACGCAGCGAGGCCACAATCTTGTCGCCGTCGACCCATGCACAGATGAGCAGGGCGTTGGCCATGGCGCCCGTCATGGACATGGCTGCGTAGCCGTCGATGGACGACGATGCCAGGTAGCCGATGAAGTCACCGGTGTAGGTCTCGGGCGACGCCAGACCGAAGGCGATATCTCCCTGGTTGTAGTAGGAGAACTCGATACCCGAGTTGGAGTCAGTCCAGTTGACGGAGGACTGGCCCATGACACCGGCAGCCAAGGTGGCCGCGGTGAGGAAGGACTTGAAAGCCATGTTTTCTTCTTCTTTGGTCCTATTCAACAGATCGTTCACGCCTAACAAGCCTTGCTTGTGTGGGGGAGATAAGAGAGAAGGAGAAGAGGTTAGGAAAGAATGATAAGGAGGGAATGAAAATGGCTCTGCCACAGAAAAAAGAACGTGTTTCAAACGAAGAGAAAGAATGACTTCGTTGAAAGAAAGAAAGGTAAAAGAAAGAAAGTGAATGGTTTGGTTCAACCAAGCAAATACCGACTTGCGATGAAGGATAGAGAGGAAGAGAAGAAGGAAGAAGAACGTTTCCCTGGACGAGATCGATCAGAGACCATCCTTCTTTTTATTTTCTATCATCATGCATCGTGCCCCCCTCCCCTCACTCCCCTATTGCGGCTCTTGAGCAAACAACCCCCCCACTCCTAGGTCTACGGAGCATGAGGCTCAATTCGGTACAAGGTCTGCACCGAGGCTATGGGTCGTCATGGTCCACTACGCCGGCCCTTCATCACCGAACTGACACGAAGCCTCACCAGGCCAGCCCTGACATTGGAGTTCATGGTCTAGACCCACACTACTATATACACTGAAGGAGAGGGGGAGGGGGCAAGGAGAAGGGGGCCTTCGAGAAGGAAGAAGGTGTGGGCTGTCGAAGCGAAGAGTCTACTGGAGAGAGAGAGAGAGGGAAGAAGGGGGGAGGGGGTGCAAAGAGAGGGCATTGACTGAAGTGCTTAGCCAATAGCGTGTTGTATAAAGAGGACAGGCAACCCAAATCGGGAAGGGCTAAGCAATGTATGAAAAATCCACCACTGATGCACGAAGGAGACGCTCATCGTCGACCCATATTTAGAGTCACAGTACTACTATGTCCATAGAGGAAACACTACTTGCTGGCAGGATGTTACCGAAGGGCCTAGCGAGTCTGGGCCCTGTGGTCCAAGTTTCGAAACAAGTTCAAGCAAACGAGGTCCGGGGGGTGGGCAAAAACCTGGATGGGCCCTTGTATAAATGTTCACCCGAAAGGGGGGGGGGGGCCAGCAGAAAAAGCCTTGGCGGAAAACAGCTAACACGAGATGGGTCTGGTTGAAACAAAGTGGGCGGCCATTGTAATAAACAAGCGACGGCGCGATTGTTCCATGGGGAGCCACAATAAATATATTACCTCTGAGAGGGGGAGATGCTTGTGCCCAATGACGACTCTGCGATTACTTTATGTGCATCTGTCTCGTCGGCCTTGCGGATCTTGGCCGCAATTTCAGTTCCAGGGTGGGGGTCCCGGCGGGGGCAAACGCGAGACGCATGAACTCCAGTGAAGGAAAAGAACAAGAAACAAACCAAACATATTGGAGGGGGAATAGCTTGTCAATCCTTTGGGGTGGGCGCTTGATGACGATGGATTTGTTTCGTGTTGATGGGGAGAGAAAACCCTTGCTTGACCAAGGCCAGATGGATTTTTTCACAGGGCGCATTTCGATCACAGATTGAGTTTGCCAGGAGTGTCCCAGCAGCCAGAAACAAAGTGAAAAGTAAAAGAAAATCTCTTTTGATCCTGGTTTTTTTTTTTTTTGTTTTGTTTCTTTCTTGCGCTTACAACTTCGAATGCCATCGCAAGGTTCGAAAAATGACCTAACTACTTGGACAAGATTAGACTTTAGTCTCGTGCATAATTCGGAAACCGACCGACCTTAAATGTGATTTGACGATCTACACAAAGGAGGGGTGGGATCCCCACCTCGTTACCATTCTTTGCGTATCGAAGCACGAGTGTGTCGTCTGGCTTACCTTGATACTCTATATAAATTAGACTTAGGACGCCTTTCGGCCAAGTATGCATGTCAGAAATAAGCTAGAATCCTTCTGTGAAGGAGTTTGCTGGATAAATGGCTGCCCATTCTATGGGATTTATCATTTGGGAACAAGGCAGGCTCGGAAAAGCATGCGCCGGCGCAAGCTCGCAAGCCGCCGTATCGCCGGTCTCTGGATTCTCTTTTTTTCTATCGAATAGTATGAAGGTCAGGTGCGACGATCTTGGGCACGTTCTCGTCCATTACCTACGTGGTACCATGGTTTCGTTGAAGATCTTTTTTGTTCTATTGAATAAGTGTTGTCTCTCGCGCGTGCCTAAGCGTTGACGACACCTCGGGTGTCTCGGCTCAGCGTCGTATTTGCGTCGCCAGTGTGTGTTTTGATGTAAGCCTCAAAGGGTAAGCCGGGATGATCTCAGTCTCCATGAGACAACTCTTTACCGTGATGAATATGAGCATATAAATAGGAAAAGGGAGAGAGAGAAAAAGCATGTCTACTAATGGTCTCGACCATGATCAATGGTAGATTAATTCTTACTGTACATTACACACTATCCTCGTCAAAACCCCATGGAACCATTCAAGCTCACGCTATCCAACGGCGCAACCTTGACGGGCCTGCATCATCGCCCAGCCCCATCAAGTGCAGCCTACGCCGCCATCGCAGATGAAAAAAGGCCTCTCTTCGTCGCGATCCACGGCGGTGGCTATAGCTCGTCATACTTCGACGCCGACCCAAGACATACCGCCTCCCTCTGTAGCACCGGCCTCGGCGTGCCCGTCGTTGCCATCGATAGGCCTCTGTATGAAGGCTCGACGTCCTTCTACCCCTTGCCGGAGGGGAAGTCCTACCACCAGGTGTTGGCGCACTGGCTGCATCACTACATCTTGCCGGCGGTATGGAACCACTTCGGCCAAGGGTGCCGCGGCGGCATGGTCCTCCACTGCCACAGCCTGGCCACGCCGAGCGCTGTGATGGCCGCGGGTCTAGTCGCGCAACAGCAAGCCCGGGGCGAGACGCCCGAGTATACGCTAGTCGGCATGACGATCTCGGGATTTGGAACGCAGAATACGCCTACGACTACGGCGCACTCTTTCCAGCCTCCTATGGATCCTGCGCCTTTCTTCTCACCACCGCTGCCTGCCAAGGCGAAAGATGACAAGATGATTCCTGCGGGCACTGTGGATCCTTCGATGTATGCACTGACGGAGATGCTGGACAAGCCAAGGCCCTTTGCCGAGGTCGCCGAGTACAGTGTTGTTTGGGTGCTTGCCGAGGGGTGGCGGCAGCTGTGTGGGATGGTTGAGGTGCCGATCCTGATTGGATTGGCGGAGCACGACCCGCTGTGGATGGGCACGGAGGAGCACGTCAGAGAGTTTGCCAGCGGGTTTACTGGGAGTGACAGGGTAGAGGGAAGCGTGGTCAAGGGAGCACCGCACTGTATTGAGTTGAGTTATCTGGCTCAGGGTTGGTATGCTAGATGCTTTGGATGGGCTCTGGAGTGTGCGGCTGCTGCTGCTCTGAAGAAAGAAGGGGGAAAATGAACCCTCGAGCTATGATATAGTCTGGTCACCCAATGAAAACAAAACACCGCTACCTACATAAACCTATTCTCGATTGATACAGGCTGGCAAGACTCTAGGCAACGGTGACAGGCGTCGCAGGCTTCTCAGGCTTGTCTCTGTACTGAAGCTTGGCCCTCATCTTACGATACTCGTCCTGCCTTATTGGGGGGTATCTGGCAGGGTTCGTCTGACTTGCGCATGCCGGAATGCACTCGATGATTGATGCTGGATCAGGAGCGACAAAATATGGGATAGAATATCGAGCTTTGGTCATGGCCTCCCCTGCTGCTGCAGGCCTGTCGGCAGCAACAGGTGGCACAGTGACGCGATGCAGTGTTGACTTGAGATAGTCTGGAAGTCCGAGTTAGCTCTCGAATATTTGCAACGAGTCATTATAATAGATGGATGGCTACTACTACACACCGTTGCTCCACCGCATCAGCAGGTCGCCAACGTTCATCACCAGAGCCCCTTTCACAGGCGTGGCATCCACAAACTCACCGGGCTGCTCAACGTTCTCGACTTGCAGCCCACCGCAATCATCCTGGAACAGCATCGTGATGGACCCCCAGTCTGAGTGCGCCGGCATCCTCGCCAGAGCATTACTCGACAGCTTGGCAGTCTCGACGGGAGGGTAGTGCAGCAGCCGCAGCTGGTTGTTCTGCCCGCTGTGGTATCGCAGGAAGAAGCTCTCGTCATCGAGCCCAATGCCGATGGCCATCGCCTTGAGCAGCTCCTTGGCCGTGTCGAACAGGCACCAGTAGAAGCCTGTCGTGAACTCCCGAAAGCCGGGCAGAACCTCTTCTGGCAGCCACTGGTTGGGCTGGGATGCCAGTGTCTCGCTCCCGATCTCGTATGACTCCTTGCAGTCTTGCACCTGGCGCAGCTGTGCGTCCTCGTCGTCCGAGTCGGCCCCGTCCTCGTGGACGTACTGGGTGACCTTCTCGAGGCCCGGCCAGGAGTAGCCTCGGTGAACCTCTGGGCCTGGTGGATGAGGTGCTCGCATCTTGTCTTCCGAAGGAAGATCAAAGAGCTTCTTGGACCATGAGAAGGCCTCCTGGAGAAGGTCTTCGGACACGCCGTGGTTGATGATGTAGACGAAGCCCACGCGTCGGCATGCTCCGGCGAGATCATGTGCTACTCGCTTCTTGTCCTCGACGGATCCGTTGAGCCAGTGGCTGAAGTCGATGATGGGTAGCGATGCCATGGAAATGAGAGCCCAAAATAGACAGACAGGTGGCTTTGTGGTGGGTTGGTTGGATTTGAATTTGAATGTTTCAGTAGAGAAGGCGTAATGCTTGACAAAGATAGGGCGCGGGGTCCTTGTGTTTGCCACAGGTTACTTTGGAGATAAGACGCGTGTGACTATCTCTGCCTCCGACCCACGACTTACTAAGGTTGGTATGAGCGCCAGCCAACGAAACTGTTGGGCCTGATCATGCACCTTGGGGAGGAGAAACAAATAATAAAGCCATTTGCACCACCTAATTCACGGTGCAATTAAACCATGATCAGAATCAAATCTTGCTTACTGGCACAGACTGGCGGACTCATTGTAACGGAAGTCGATTCCTGGAGACGAGGATACTTTATGGGGAGACAAGTTCTCGAAACCCTGCTGGGACGAATTGACTGCTGAATGTATAAAGCGAACGTCTAATTGCTTGATGAAGCCACAACAAAAAGGAACGTGGCGTTTCATACGGTATGGGCACCATCCTCGACTGGGGCGACTGGTAAATGTCTGATGCGTATCTAAGTACTTATTCGACAGGTAACTAAGTACAAGAAAGACAGACTTTCTCCCCATCATACGTCCCTTAAATCGGGATCACAGACTTGACTGCCGACTGCTTTTTATTTACTCGGGTAGGTACTTACTGAGGACTGTAGACAAGATGTTCGCTGCTTCCTCGTAGAAGCATTTGTATCTGGGCTAGTCTACAAATCGCAAATGGCAGGCCCAACTGCAGGAAGGTGCCACACTCACCTTCCTGGGCTGGGGCTCTTTCCTATACTCCATTTCAAGCCTTAGGAGCTCTCCTTCCTCTAGCATTTCCAGCCTAACAGCATCACGTAACTTCTTTGTCAGAGGAGTCGACGGTGAGTCAGTGCCGTGGGATTTCTGCGGCTTTCTGCTCCATGCGTTCGCAACCCTTCATTTCAACCTGCGTCACATTTTGCACTTGATCAGCATCAAGACTTCCATCTCGTCGTATCTCGTTCGTTCCTCGTCGTATTCATCATGCCCAAGTACACGCCCATCGACCCAAACGACAGTGCGCTCCTTGAGCACGTCTTCAAGGAAGCGGAGAAGCAGACTGGTCGCCCCTTGACTTTCCACGAGCGTGCTGCGATCATGCGTCATGCCGTCATTGAGACGCCCTCCGAGAAGTGGATTCTAGCGCGTGACGAGATGCGTATCAGCCCCAAGGACTGGTTTCGCCACCAGCCTCTCGATGCCAGAGATCGCGCCCTCATTAATGCCTGCAATCGATTCCTTAATAACCACTGGCTTTGGTATCAGACCTTCTGGACCGTCGAGAATGATCAGGAATGCCGTAGTATGATTCGTCAGGCTGGGAGTGACTTCATCGGCTTCGAGAATGGTCCTCCCACCACCCCTAAGCAGAATTGGCACTCCATGAAGCGTATGTATCGATGTGTAACCCAAGGTCTTACGCTTTGCTAACTCACGCGCCTCAATCAAGCGGACATCGCAGTTGAGGGAGATATGGGGGAGGGTCTGAGCTGGGGTCTGCTGTGTGGCCAGCCCTCCAAAACCCGCGTCTTCGCAGGGCCAAAGTCTTTCTGCTACGCCCACCCCTAGGACGCCATGATTCTCCGCGACTGCTATGCCGGCACCGACACGATGTTCAGCAACCCAACATACGGATCCCGTGTGTTTGATGTCCTTCTCATGAAAATGTGCGAGGACTATGATCGTGTGTTGATTATCAGAAACATCTCTCAAGAGTATCACATTGCTAACATTTGCGTGTTAGATCCCTGGGTTGTAGTGGCTGTCAAGGACTCGGGCCCCTATGTCCCAGCGAATGGATGCTATTCACTCTGATCGTAATGCGGGCCGGTCAACAGGGAAATATTCACAAGCTGGCCTTGGTGGTCGTATTCTAGGCTTGTGCTGGCTGTATTGTCTTGGCTCTTTGTTTGATTTGCCGACCGTGGCCCGACCCGGATCAATCATTTGCTAACCATTTTGGAGCTCTATCATTCCAGAGGTTATTTACCAATCACTCGGTTTAGAAACGCAATATACTGATTCCGGTGCTTTCAAAAGTCTGATCCGGAGGGTTTTTAATAGCAGGGCCATTGACGTGTCTTTCTTTGAGCAAGGCCATCACTGCCCGAGGCTTGCAATACTCTGTAGAATGGGGGTGGTGACTACCGCGAGCAAGCTGTGTCTGTTCTCGCAGGTCAATACACCTTGTGGAAAACAGGGAGGCTTCCTTTCGGGCCTTTGGTGAATGGACTTCAGGTTGGTCACAGGCCAGTGGGCTGTCCTAGGATCCCAGCGTTGACGAAGAAAGCAGAGCGTGCAGGTGAACTGACTTGAGGACTCCCATTCCACGCGCGCGGATAGATGAATTGAAGTCGCCCGTTCATTTAAACATGATGAAGGGGACCTCGGTCGGCCTGAACCTTGTTCTTTAACAATCATTGAATATTGAAAATGTACCATGCCGTTCGTCATTAGGTAGCACGTCTGCAGCATGTGAAGGATTTTCGATGATTAGGCCTTCATTAGATACTTAATCCATCAGAGATTTCCTATATATAGATGGAGACCTTTTCTTCCACCAGTCAACCTTCCAGCAGGCACTGATAGTTATTGGAAATAAACCCACCAAAGACACCCACAAAAGTTGCAGTGTTAATTGTGATCGGTTGAACCAGCTAAGTTTCAGAATCCCCAAACGAAGCAGAGGCCATGGCAGCCAACCCTTCGTATACAACACTCTGATCCGTAGAAGTTTCCCAGCTTGCTACGATGCTACGAGTTGCCGCCTCAACGTGCAGTGTACAGGCGTCGCTGCGCGAACAACGAACCAAGCCTGGCTTTCGTTGACAACCGTCGCGTTGGCTGGGTAAGGGGATTCCTATCCCTTTCGGATCACTGTCGCTGATGAGCCATGATGTTGTTGGAAATGATTGAACATGGTGCTGCTGAGCTTCTTTTTTTCTTCTGAGGACATGAATAGCACACGAGCGACGTCGGCGGTAGGGAAAGAGCAGGCTCGTCAGTCGTGGCTCGAACTCCCGAGGCGTTCATGACAGAAACCAATCGCACGAATACTTCCCTTTCCAACAATACTTCAGCTTAAGACGCAATGCCACGGCGTCTATGGCTCATAATCTGAGAAATCATCGGTCGGTATTGTTCTGTTAGAGGGTATCGAGACGACGATGGACTAATACACATAGGCGTTTCAAGATTATCGCGGTGAGGCTGAGTAAGGGTTGTGTGGGCCGATATGGCGGGATACGGGCAAGGTTGGAAAGCAGACAGGAAGGTCCAGATACGAAAGGATGCCAATAGAAACTCGGGCTATGCGCCCCTACACGTGCATGAGGGCATTTATGAACAGCGCTCCATATGGAAATCCTGTGATGCTCCAAAAGGGGGATAGGATCACCCAAATACTGACTTGAAGTCAGAGAATATGAGGCCAGAGTACACAGCCCACAATCTTGGCGGATGACTGACAAAAAGTCTAATTGATGGGCTCCCAAGAAAAAAGGCGGGGGAGCGAAATGACCACAATGCGGCTCTGCAGAAAATGGGCGGCATTCGCAGCGATCCTTCGACGACATGAATCGTGCGCGAGTGCCCTGAATGCATCTTGTGCCCTCCACCACACGCCTTCAATTTGCCTGCTGGCAGCACCCTTGGGTGCGAGAGCCGTTGTGAAACAAACCCACCACCTGCAGCACAGCCTCCGTTGCGACACGGATCCTGACTCAAACGGCGCGCGCACGCCAGACTTGACGATGGTTTGACGTGAGAATAAACTCATCACAGCGTTGAGTTTATTCTAATATGCTTTTTTATGTCTAGGGGGCTTAGATGAACAGTCTATCGTGATATCATGTTGCTGTCGATCCGGAGAAGGTCACCTCGACCATAAATACTCGATGATGATCCAATTCATGGATCTACTATCATGTTTTGTGATCACCATCCTTCGCTATATCTTCAGCTAGACGTTCAAGAGATCTCCTCATCCTTTCGTCACTCACTACATTTGCTGCCCTTGCAGTCACGGTCTTTTCCAGCCAACAACAGCCACTCACTTTGAGGTGTTACTACGACAGCTTTGTAATACCACCACTTTACAGTCACTACCAAGACACACTCCCAACTCCCCCATACTATCGATACAATGTCTTTCAAGACCTTCGCTCTTTTCGCGCTCCTCGGCGCCAGCCAGGCCACGCCGACCCCTATGGTCCTCCAGCATGACGACATCCTCCTCCTGCGCGATGACGGCCCGGCCGTCGTGATGAAGGAGTGGGAGTACCAGATCCAGGAGGACATCAAGGAGGTGAAGCGCAAGGCCAACGCTCCTCGGGAGTCTTTCACCGTATCCAACCTCGACCGAAGGTGCGATGAGAGCACCGAGGTCCAGGTCCTCACCGACACCACGTTCAATGACTGGGATGTCACCATGTCCCCAGTGCTTCAGAACTCCGGGGCTGGTGCTCTGATTGCTGTCACCCAGGGATATTCTCTGGCAAACTCTGTCTCGGTACGTTTAGCTAGACATTCTTTACATGTTTTAAAAGCCGTCTTCTATTCTCTACAGAAGAGATGGGGACCACCTGGGTTTTTTTTATTACTCTGCTAACACCTCGCAGGTATCCGCATCTGTCGGAACTTCCCTGGAGGGTATTTTGTCCACGACCATGACCATCGACACCACCGAGACCTGGACGACCACGGACTCGCAGACATGGACATTCAACGTGCCGGCTGGCCAGTACGGTCTCGTCGTCAGCAACCCGCTGGTCCGCCGTATCACTGGCAATGTGATCTCGGGCTGCACTGACACCCCAACCACGGATGCCTTCACTTCGGATTCATACTCGAGCCAGCAGTCGGGAGACCTGGCGTGGGTGACTGGCCCCATCAGGCTGTGCAACAGCACCGCCTATCCTATCCCGTACTGCATCGGTACAGGAACACACTCGTAGAAGAAGAATGGCCGGCAGAAGAAACACCTAGGAAGATTTTCATGTTGATATCTGAAACACAAGAAAATTGGTTGGTCATATTCCAGCATATCATCGCAGGAATTGGGATTGTACATAGTTCTCTTTTTCTTGCCTTTCCCTTTTTAGACACCGAATAGAAGTATAAAGACGGGAAGATGCCGTAATGTTATCACGTTTTCATCTCATCATTACAAAGTACCCGAAATGTGCTGAGCTAAAGGATATAGAGGGCTATGCTGAGAAGAACATCTGTCTGTCGGATCCAATGGCGCTGATAGTAAAGTCAGTGTGTCTCCTGGCCGTCTTGCTTTTGATCTCCGTCCTCGTCCTCGTGGCCTATTGAGATGGCCAGAGGCGGGTTCACACTAGTATCCTTAGAATTCCTCTGGCTTGGCGTAATCGGCTCATCCTGCAGGCTATCCGAAGAGTTGCCCGACCCTCCCTGTTGCCGCCTCTCCTTGAGTACATCGCGGTACTTTTTCTCGCACGCAGCTCGACTGCGACCTTGCATAACCTATCATCAAGAAAGAGACAAACCGTCAGTATGAAACGATCCCACCTCTGTTTCTGTCGATTGACCTTGATAGAAAGGAGAAAGTGTCGGGAGGAGGGCGAGAACAAGGCTTGACTCACACCATGGACTTGATCCCATGTTCTTCCGCTTCCACGTGCACTCATGAGTATATCGACCTCGTCTGCCGACCAGGACTTGTGTGAATGACCAGACGTCGGGGTAGGAGCAGTGTCAGCGTTGTGGACACTGCGTCGGCGCTCTGCCTCCAGCGACGGCGACACGCTGTCGGTTTGAAGACGCTTAGCTCGGTGCTGTGAAGAGTCTCCTCCACCACTGGTGCTCTCCTCGAAACTCTTGGCGGCAATACTGCGCTTGCGAGAGGTGGTGGCTGGCGTGACTGGTGGTGTCTTGTGATACCGAGTTGAGGTGAGGATAGCAGACTCGGGTTTCGGGTGAGGTTTGTTGATGGGTGTCCATCTGGTGGAGGCTTCGTGGGGGATAGGGAGAGGGTCGTCCTGTGTCTCTGGGCTCCCATGCTCGGTCGCGGTACGCGAAGAACCGCGTCCGTTACTGGACTCGTCGGCCTGAAAGTTATAGTATGTTAGATGCTTGCTGCGTGCTGGGAGCTGGGAATTGTGTCTGGGAGCTTACCTCGTAACCTTGAGTGGTATCACGCATATTTGGACGTCCCACCGGGTCCAGATACTCATGGAAGGGGAGGTCGTCTAGCATCTGGGGATCTTCTGCATGCTGGGCAATGTTGGTGACTGTGCCGCTGACGAGGTTGGAGACGCAGTGGCGAAACCAGTTGGTCTCGAGGTGATTTCTGCAACACGGTCAGTATTAAGAAGACCAGCTACCAGAGGATAATGCCATTATCCTCTCGTTGCCTGAATGGACTGACCGAACATCAGCACTCTTGTTCCACTTCTTGGCTGCATGACTAGCAGCTTTGCTGGCAAGATTGACAACATCGTTTAAAGGCATGTCTTGATTGTCTCCATACTTGTTGTTGCAGGAGTTGCGAATGTAGGTCGTGACGACACCTTTGAAAGCGTTGACTGCAAAGAAGGGCCTAGTATTGTTTGTCAGTAAGTGTGCTGGTGGTTTCCCGTGACTTTGCTCCTGGTTCTCACCTTGGCTTGAACGTGATGATCTGAAACTGCAAAACAGCTTCAACTGCCTGAACAGCCAGGTCTGTTACCTCACTGGCTGGTGTTAGCCTCTCTGCATAAGTCGTTCCATGAAGGCTTTCAATTTGGAATCGAAGGCTCTCTAGAATACCAGTTGTACATACCTGATCTCCATAGTTGTTGATATTGCGGGATGTTTGCAAATGCAGCTGGATAAACCAAAGATCAAAGTGGGATGAGGAAGTCAGATTCGACGCGTTCTTGATCAATGGTTGGAAATTCAATCTGGCTAACATCAACGCGCATAGTTTTTTGCACATGGCAACTGACGCGATTATCAGGTATCAGTGAAACCCCAGCAATGGAAGGGTGCCATGCCAGCAGTTCACATCTGGCTCTGAGGTCATTTGCCAGTCTTCCAAGAGGCTGGCCAATTCACTATAGTGATCAGCCTCGTCACAATCCCTGCCCAACACTGCTGACACAGATTGCATCAAGCCATTGAACTGTTGGCCTGCTACCTTTGGTCTACAAGCTCTTCTTGCCATTCTATCCTTTACCTCTTTCACTTACTTTGTATGCCTGTTACAGGCCTTCCTTGTCCACTGGAGTTGTCCTCTTCATTGGCCTCCCAGCCTCAATCTGATCAACAACCAGCCTTCTGACCCACGACCCCGATCTTAAATCCATTGCCCTAACTCACTCAACCTCCCAGCCCGAAGATTGCTCAACCTGCAGTTTTCCATCTGACGCGTCGCGATCGCTATCACCTGACGCGTCCTCTAGGCCACCTCAGCGCCAGTCAAGATGTGTCTCATAGTCCGCTACATCTGCCAGGTCTGCGGCCAGCCCACAGGCCAACGCGACTACATCACTCACACGCGCGGTCTACGCTGCGCCATCCCTAATCCCAACACCGAACTCGTCACATTCTGTCCCGGTGAGATGGAATGCGACTATGTGATGAGAAGCCCCGTTGTCAAGTCCTGGCAGTTTGCTTGCAAGAACTCCAACTGCCTCGCCCAGAACATGGGATTTTATCCTTATTCCGTCGCCGACGAGCATCTCGGGACATCCTTCCTGGACCCACAGTATCTCGAGGGAGAGAAACACATCACTCGCCTACTGGAAGTCACTGCTGAGCAGGCCAGATGGAGAGGCGGAGAGGCTGCCTACAACGACGTCCGGGGCGCTGCCAAAGAATACGGAGAGGATATCTGGGCTCACATGGAGGAGCGTCGAGACCTGTGGCGCGGCGTGGTCACTCGCCAGCGGCTGGAGCGCATGCAGAACCCTGGGCACGCGTGGCAGGTAAGATTGCCCCCCCCCCCCCCTCCTCTTGACTTAACCTAAGAGATGGGCCGCTTGATATGATTTCAATTACAATAATGATCAGTCCTAACTTGAGAACTTGTGAAGTGGAGTACTTTGGAAGAACAGCTTCTCCGTCAGAAGATTCGAGACAACAGCCTCAGCTGGAACCAGATCCTCAATGTAAGAATGCCAACCCCCACCGCCCTATCTCCCGCCGATCTCTCGTTTCTTTTATTTTCGTGTTCCACAAGAGAGAAGGAGAGAGAACTTGAAAAGGAAACAACATGATGTTTATTGACACCAATTTACTCCCAGGACATGAAGTTTGCAACCGGTGCACATGGACTGACTGTGAATGCTCTGAAAAGCAAGGCTTTCAGCATGATGTGTTACTTCGGCGACACAGTATCTCGCCCGAACAACTGATCAAGAATTGAGCCACGGATTCGGTCAAGGATGGGAGTCAAGCTTCGCACCTACAGAGGACAAGAGGAAATTGTGGCAAAGGAAAGGAGACGCAACACGGCTGAGTGTATGGTGATAAATTGGGCACTTGTGTCAATGAATGCGAGCACTGAGGAACGGAACTTTGGACTGCGTGTGTCATCAAACAAAGAGGCCTTTACGGACCGTGTGGAGGTGATTGTTCGCATTCCCTTATTGTTCACTCTAGCCCTAAGAGCTTGTAATTGAATTGTTTCTGCCATCAACCATGACCACACTCGACATCATCTACCGAGTCAACAGGAGATTCACATGCGTGCATGATGGATCAGCTTTCAAGGTAGTGCAGACCAGGATGGCTCCCACGGAGAAGCGCATGCGGAGTCAACTGCCGTCCACTGCCAATACTGCTTTCTACAATTATCAAATTCCTGAGGGGTAAATGATCAACACCGGAGGATAATTAAGCCAACAGGAACCACCTGAATATTGGGGTCTTCCGTGAACGAACAACGTGTAAATGCCCGAACAACATCGTGATCGCATTTCGAGTTTGCCTACAACATCCGTATCAAATCAGCAACAGGACACCATGGAACACAAGACCATTGGCTACATTGGATTGGGAAGTGCAGGCTACCCCATGGCGGCCTGTCTAGCGAAGAAGGGCTACAACTTGATTGTCCACGACACGAATCCTGCCTTAGGTCAGAAATTCGTTGAACAATATCAGCAATGCAAGCTGGCTGCAACCACCAGCTCACCCATGAGCCCTGATGCATTCAAGGCCTGCAGTGTGGTTATCACAATGCTACCCAATGGCAAAGTTGTGAGGGATGTCTTGCTAGGAGAGAATGGAATTGCTCGTGCATTGGGGCCTGGTGACTGACCCTAAGCCTCCTACTACCTCCTTGTTGACTCATATCGTTGACCATTTTCATACTTAGATGCTGTTGTGATTGACACGAGCTCGTCATCCCCCTTTGACACCCAAAGTCTGGGCGAAGACTTGACCAAACAATCCATTGCCCTTGTCGACTCACCTATCACACAGAGAGAATTGCATGCCATCGACAGTGGAGGTGCCACCTCGATGGTCGGGTCTGACTCACCGGCTGCCCTTGAGAAGGTAATGCCTGTCCTCAAGGATATGAGCCAGCACGTGTTTGTGATGGGCAAGCTTGGCGCAGGACATACGATGAAGACCCTGAACAACTATGTGTCGGTGGGTAGTATCATTGCACTCTGCGATGCCCTGGTACGTGTGAACAACCCCTCTGGCCCTGCTGATGTCAAACTTTTTATTACATGCTCATCAGATACAGGTCACTGGGCGAAAGCTTGGTCTGGACCCACAGACAATGATAGATGTCATGAATGTTGGCACTGGGGTCAACTTCTCAACAGCCTACTCCATGAAGACCCTGAAATCTTTTGATACGGGGTATCAACTGGAGCTTCTGGTAAAGGATGTCAAGATTGCCAAGGAGGTGATTGAAAGGTCCGGGTTTGAGACGGAGCTGCCTGGGCTGGCGCTGTCTTATCTGGAGGAGAGTCTAGACTGTGTTGACAAAGGAGCTTGTCATTCAGAGTGTATCAAGAGCTGGGAGAAGAGAGCCGATGTGGAAATTGAAAAGACAGAGCTCCAGTAATGGTCAAGGGATTTGAGCGTGTAGATTATCAGGATTGCAGAGTGTTATCAGATGGCAATTTTTTCATTGGAAAGACCTGTTATCCAGACTCTGATTACAGTCTGTTCATATTCTGAAGCATAAACAATCATTATGAAGGCCCCAGCAAGATAGACTTTCCAACTAGTGTGCCAATCACTGCAGGGCCCCTAATAACAGTTATGAAACAGCTTGGCAGCATAATGCCCAACTGTTCCATGGTGCTGGCTTAAGTGGAATTATATCATTCCGTGGATCCACCCAGACGATTCTGTGGTATCTATGGAGTATCACGAGAGTTACCAAAGATGAGCAAAGCATACTAATACGTGCTCGTAATGTCTGCAGATTTGCTTGGTGCAAGCAAATCAAGGATAGCCACCAGCAAGTTTTATCCAATAGCTACTCAGCCCAGTTCCATATATTATAGTGCTTGGCTCTGCAACTTCTGAGCTGTGGTTACCTGTGGTGAGGACGAACAACCAAGGGTCTGCTCGTGAATGTGAGGAAGAGCCACACCGGGCGCTTGGCGTTTCTGTGGCAAGGAAGGTTTGATTTCAGTGAGGAGCTAGACTCTTGAATCCAAACGGATACAGGCACAATGTGATAAAGATCGCTACTGGGAAAATAAAGGGTTACATCGCGACCATCATTGCCAGACAAGGAAGGTTGTCAGTCTGGTGATTTTCCCGAGAAGCGGTTAGTGCCGCCCAAGGAAAGATCTGAGCAAAATCTATGATGTCGAGAATAGATGGCCTTGTTCCTGTAATGATAAGCTACAAGGGGGTGTCTCCTGGTTTCACGATGGGGCGGGAATCAACGTGACAGGCCAGGAAGATTTCGCCTATAGCTTGGTGCCCACTGTTTTGACTACCGGGGCCCCTGAAAGATCATGTTTATGCTGCCTCCGCAGTCCTGATCTGGCCTAGGGTTTTCCCTGCGGAAGAAGAGCCTCGCAGGCTTTTACGGGCCGCCATCTCAGAAGTATCACGGGGCGTGGGTATATTCATCCATCCGGAGGGCAAGCCCGGTGAATGCAGCTCCGCGATGGCAAGCTTTATGGGCTTCATAAATACCAGAGGTATTACTCGCCTGGTGATGGACCCAATATCTCTAGTGTCAGTCTTTCTTTCATCATCTCTCTTTTCCCCAGAATCCCCTGTTTTCTTCTCGTCCAGTCATTGTACAATGCAAGCCACCTGCAGAGCCGCCGTGACAGTGGGCCTACTGGGGCTCGTGAGGGCGCAGCTGCCAGGCACTGTAACCCCAGAAGTCCACCCTCAACTCACAACATCCAAATGTACCACAGCTGGGGGCTGCGTGACCCAGAACACCTCAGTTGTTCTAGACTTTGGTTACCGCTGGCTGCACACTGCTGATTACGCATCATGCACAACATCCAGCGGCATCAACACGACCCTGTGCCCGGATGAGGCGACATGCGCACAGAACTGTGTTGTCGAAGGGGCCAACTACACAGCTGCTGGTGTGGCGACGACAGGCTCGTCCATGACCATGAACCAGTACGTGAACTCGTCAACTGGCGTCTCCAGCGCCTCGCCACGAGTGTACCTGCTCGACAACGACAGCCAGGACTATGTCATGTTCCAGCTGCTGGGCCAGGAGCTCACCTTTGATCTTGACGTGTCCGCCCTCCCCTGCGGCGAGAACGGGGCCCTGTACCTCTCCGAGATGGACGCCACAGGCGGCCGCAACCAGTACCAGACGGGCGGAGCAACATATGGCTCGGGCTACTGCGACGCGCAGTGTCCCGTGCAGACGTTCAAGAACGGCACTCTCAACACCAACGACGCGGGCTACTGCTGCAACGAGATGGACATTCTCGAGTCCAACAGCCTCGCTGCGGCCTTCACTCCTCACCCTTGCTTGGACGACGGCAGCGACTGCGACAAGAGCGGGTGCGGGTTCAACCCGTACAGCCAAGGCTACCAGGACTACTGGGCACCGGGCGGCACGCTCGACACGACCAAGCCCTTCACCGTGACCACGCAGTTCATTACAGATGACGGCACCACGACCGGAACTCTCACCGAGATCAAGCGCATCTACCACCAGAACAACGTGTCTGTGCCGAGCGCCATCTCAGGCGGCAATGGTGACTCGATCAATGCGACGTGGTGCTCTTCTGTCGACAGCGCGGCCACTACATATGGCAACCTCGAGACCATGGGCGAGGCCCTTGGCCGTGGCATGGTGTTGGCCTTTAGCATCTGGAATGATGCCTCTCGTAAGTCTCCATTATTGGGCATTTGAATGCCTTCCGCCCGCCCATGCATTGTCCTATCTGTCTGTTGAGCATTCTCGCTGACTTCCCCATCCTAGAATACATGGACTGGCTTGACGAGGGAAGCAGTGGCCCATGCAGTAGCACCGCTGGCAATCCGGCCTTGATTCAGGCGAACAACGCAACTACTCACGTTGTGTTCTCAAACATCAAATGGGGTGACATCAACTCTACAGTGGCAGCGGCACCAAGCCTGCGCAGCAGGGGAGTGCGTCACTTCTAATAGCTGATGGCGAATCGAGAGGTTTCTGTGAAGCACATGTCACATGAGACAACCTTGGGAGTGTTGTATATAGATCCAGGGTGCCTTTCCCTTCTCAATGTCCAAATTCTTTAGACTTGTTTACATCATCTCCGGCATGTTTGTTACCATACATAAGAAAAGTTCCACAATATTACGTATGAAAGTCAGACGATCTTTTGCTTCAATCAGTATGTGTAGGCTTTGCGAGTACTGTGAGAAGCGCATTATAAGTATCTGGCGCCTGATGCTGGCGATCGTGGTAACCGTTGGTTTGTTTATTTGTTGTTTCAAACCAATGGCGTCATGCGATTGATGTAAGGTTTTGGTGTTGAGGGCTGAATCTCTTGGCGAAATACAGTAGAGTTGAGATCATAGTATCTCTGCCACGGCATTAACTTCAAACAAGTATAGAGTGCTAACGACTTCACCGTCATGCACTGGATACTTGTCATCATCACCTCACAGGAATACAATGCAAGTATATTCTTATCCCTGATTCAAGGTATACACAATTGAATTGATATATACATCGAGATGTTTCAAAAGCATCTCCATATATGTACAAGAAGAAAGAAAAAGTGAAACTGAAATCCAACATTTTGTCCACACATTGACCACTCACGATGAACACTCTCAACCGCTCGCACCGTCAGTGCAAGTCACACCAAGATCACTGGGCGTGTTGGCGCACAGGTACTCAGTTGTTCCGCTGGGCGCCTCTACCGTCATGTCAGACATGGTGATGCCACAAGTCCCATCAGCGGGGCAGTCGATGTTGGCAATGACGGGCGAGTAGGCAGTGCTCGTCGTGCCGGAGAAGCCCTTGACTACCAGGTCGGTGATCTGAGCGGTACTCGGGTACTCGGCGCAGTAGTCCGCATCGCCATCGTAGCAGCTCTGCACCTGGAAGGCGTAGTCGGAGCTGTCGATCACAAAGTCCTCGAAAGTCACGTTCGAGACCACGGCAGAGCCGTAGTCGTCTCCACCAGGGTACAGCTTCAGGCCCGCTGCCTTGGTCGACGAGATCATGGTCGCTCCGCTGACGTAGATGTTCTCGACGGTGTCTGTGGTGCCGGCCGAAGACCCCAGGCTGCCGACGCTGATGCCGTGGCTCCCGTTGCAGGTGATGTCGTAGACCTCGACGTAGCTCGCACCAGGCTTGAAGGCGACGCAGTCATCGTCGTTCAGAACAGACGCGCCGTTGATGGTCACGTAGGTCGACTGACCAATGTCCCAGCCGTCGGTATTCTTGGGCTCATTGTCGCTAGTACTAATGGCCGAGAGCGTGATGTCGGTGTACACCACGTTGCTGGAGCCGCCGGTTGAGGAGTGGAAGACGTTGGGCGCGTTCTTGAACAGCAGGTTCGAGATGGCGACGTTGGTGCTGCCATCGACGTAGAAGAGCGTCGGGCGGGCGTACGAGCTGTCCTCGGCAAAGAGGTCCCACGAGGCCTGGCCGTTGCCGTCAAAGACGCCGTCGCCGCTCGTGGACGTGACGGTCAGCCCGTCGATGTCCTGCGCCAGAAACACGGCTGTCTTGCCGTTCCAGTAGTCCGTGTCGTCCGAGACCAACAGGGTTCCTTCGACCTCGAAGGTGCAGCCCGCGCAGCCGTCGAAGGAGAGCTCCGAGTTGACGTAGTAGGTTGTGCTGGCTGGGATCACGATCGTTCCGGAGGGGCAGTCGGCGATGGCTGACTCGATGGCCGCCACATCGTCCGTGGAGCTGCTGCCTCCGGCCGTGGGGGTGCAGGAAGACGCCGCTGCAGCCTCCACGCGGTGCGGGCTGTGTGTTGACGGCGCAGCGTGCACATAGGCTGCACTAGCAGCAAGGACTGCAGCTGGGAAGAGCATGTTTGTTGTTTGAGATTGAGGACGGCACCAAAAGAAGAAGAAAAAGAATATCAATGTACAGTATCAAACCCTTTGTTCGACCGTCCTGCGGAGCACTGCTTGAAAAAATGAAGAGAAAGATAGTTAGAAACAAATCATCCAGGACAAATGCATGTCGTGCAAGAAACAATCCGGCGTCTTATGTATATGAAGGCCATGTTTGTTGCGGCTCTCCCCATCGAAAACCCCTTGTATTTCCGCCGCGACAATTCAGGGGTCTTCCTGTTCTTTGAGCACGTGGCGGCGTAGTAGTCAGTGGAGACATACTCGCCGACGCACCTTGTCATTTGTGGATTTAAACACGAAGCGGAGAAACATCCGTTCCCGTTCAGGATGTTCGAAACATTTTGGCCGCGTACTCGTGCTTGAACAAGTTAAAAAATATGATCATGCGCACTCTATTGAGCATGAAATGTCACTATTTCGTTGATTGAGTATAATTTTCGTCGCGAGGCTAGTGTGTTTGCATTTGAAAATCTTACAGACTTAGAATATAGGATGAATCTCAGTGCTTTGTACTCCTATTTTGAGAACGACTCCTGGACAGTAGCCGGTCACAAACGATAGCACATAGGACGAGGACAGACAAGGACAAATTACATGACATATGAGGCTCATCTTGAAATAATGCAAGTGTGCCCGTGCAGATGCATCGTTGATCCGTCAAAGAGAGGATACGAATGGTGAGCGCTCATTTGATTTATTCTCTACTCGTAACGAGGGAGAGTGGGTCCTGAATAGGGTCGTGATGGGGGCCAATAGCCCCTGTAGCATAAAAACACAGAATACAATGCATTAGTGCAAATCTAAGATGAAGACATTGACATGGCAGCTCCCTCGGTTGTAGCCCGAATGATCATCCAGGGTACGTAGCGTTTGCGTGAAATCGACTTTTGATTCATATGAACAAGCAACTGTCTTCATATGGCCGCCCACTCACAATTGCATAATTGATGACACCAAGCGAGACCAGGGTTCACTAGACATGGCCTGAAAGGAGAAGTACAAGTGACACAATTTGAGATATGCAGTGAGTATGTTGCAATTCGGTGACCAATGCTTCGTTTTGTGCAGACCATATAGTTGATTAAACATATAGACAAATATGAACTTGTATACAGGGCCGCTATACACCTGTTCCTGTAATATCGAAGGAATGGGCTCTTTCGAAAACCCGACGAATCAGGGATTAATTGTATCATAGGACATTACAAACTGTCAAGATAAAGTTTTCTGGTGATAAGGAGGCCCGCTTGCGTAGACGTGCTCTCAATATGGAACAGCTAAAAGGAGTGACCACTCCCAGCTGACTGGAAATGATGGTGGTCTATATAGACAACAACTAGACAGGACTCGCACACTCAAACCCTTACCATTTACATGAATTATCTTGGTCGTATTGTCCATGTTGAAATCAAGCCGTCCAAAATGTTACGAGTTATCAAGAGAACATAACCATTTGGAAACATCAATATACACTTAAGAATATAGAGAAAAGAAAAGGACATACAACATCATGATGTATTCGAAAAATGTTGTACGAAGCAAAGTATGTACATATTCAGCTGATAAGAACCCCCGAGCCCATTCGACTCTTTGTACAACTCTCTCTCATGACTTCTCCCCCATGCCACGTACAGTCTTAAAACCTCTCATGCATTGACCATTGCGAAGTAATCAACAGTGGCCTGGGTAGACTGTGTAGAGTCGGCGCTTGAGCTCGCAGAACTGGGCTGAACCACACTCTCCTGCCAGGCCGCGTTCAAGATCGTCGCGGTCTCGTTCGTAATGTCCAGCGTAAGAGTGTCATTCGGCCTCAGTATTGCCGTCATGTCCTGCGCCCACTCCCACGGCGCCGCCGTACCGCCCGGGAGGCTGTCGAAGTACTCCCAGCCCATGATCCCCCCGATCGTTCCGTACATCTCCACAAGCTCGATGACAGTCTGGTTCAGTGTCCCGATATCGGTGTACCCACCGCCGTTCAGAGGGTTGGTCAGTTGGCCTGCAACGATCTCCGTCGGCGCCCAGCCGTTCGCGACAATATACTCGAAATTCGTAGGATATGCCATTGTTCCGAACCCGCTGTAGAACTGGGTATTCATAAAGTGGATCATCTCAACGCCGGCCGTGGTCACAGCCGCGCCGGCGAGCTCGGTGTAGTTGAAGCCGGACAGGTTGGCAAGGCCTTCCAGCGCGGTGGCAACGGGCGCCAGGGTGATGATGAAGCCGTCGCCAAAGTCTGCGTTGAGCCGGCTGACTAGGCGTGTGATTCCGTCCTGCGACATGGCCTGCTCCACGTCCAGATCCATGCCTTGGAGGCCGTAGTATTGGATTACGTCGTACAGCTGGCTGTAGTAATACTCAAAGGTGGCATCGTCGGTGCTGTCGAGGGTGTCAGAATCGAATGCGCCGGCCGAGGCACCGCCAATCATGCCCGTCACTTTGACACCGGCTTGCTGCATGATGACTGTCTCGTTCCACAGGGTATAAAAGTGTGGGTCGTAGGGCGAGTAGTCATTCAGGGTTATGTTTTCGCCAGCGTTGATATGGAACGAGCAGACGATCAGGTGGGTCAGGGCGATTCCCTGCTCCGTGATGAGGGGCAACATGGAGATGGGGTTCCCATCGCTGTCGTGGGTGGTCTGGAAGTAAATCACGAGACGTGGCAGCTCGCTGATTTCCCTCTTGGAGACATCGTGAATGGGAACGGCCCAAGAGGCGCTGCTTAGCAGCGCGGCTGCAATCGCACCCAGTGCCAGGGGTCTCATGGTGAATCTAATTTACACTATCTCCTCGACTACGGCCTCCAAGAAAGATTCCTCAGCCTAGGGTACTGGTGGGTAATTCATTCTGCTTTATATACTGGTTCATACTGCCCCGTTGCAAGCCTCCCCCCCCCCTTCCCCCCCGGGAGGATCCACCCCCAAAAGCTGACCTCCAGAGGGGCCCCGAGGTCGACTGTGATAAGTCTTCTGGCTCCTTTGCATCTCTTGCTTGTGACACGTCGGGTCTGCATGCAAGTGGATGACTGAAGCCGAGGAGCAAAGACCCATCGTCAAACTCGTTCGCCTCGGAGAGAAAAATGTGCACGTGCATATGTGTATAAGAAGTTTGGAGAGAGGTGCGCATCACTAGGTTGTATCCTGATTCAATATATTGGCGGATCTTTGGTATCTCTTACCAATAGCGCGATGCCCCTTGGCTATAGATACCTCGGCGGTAACCAGTCTTTATGTTTACTTCAACCAGACATAAAAGGCCAAGCCGGGAAAGGTCTGTCTCTTTCAAAGGTACTGATTTAGGCAAGTTGTGACCTTGAAAGTGGCCGAGCTTCCTAACTCGGTCCAACATGACAAGACTAAGACGGGCCCTCGCGATAGGACTGCCACACTATAGACCATATTTTGCCCAGGCGGCTCGTCAAAGGCCGGTTCGCAATAGGCTCAGTCGTCGTGATTGTCGAGTGAACGAGCATTTCTCATTAATGATTGTGACATCGTCCTAGGATACTATACGCCAGACTACGCCGAAAACAGCTTTTTCTTTCACGGGATCAAAGCTTGAACAATTACTTTCCCCCCCTCCTTTTTGACCACTCTAGAATCTACGATAATGTTGCATTTGCCCCGTGGCCGGATTGATATGCGGATGGCGTCTAGGCCCTCTGTGCTTAGCGACATGGATCTTCAGGGTCCACACCCGATTTTGGTTGAAGGGGGGGGGGAGGGGGAGGAAGAGTCAGCGCGCTGCAGGGCAAATTGGCCCATCTGATCGCCCATGTCAGCGGCACGAGGACAAAGATTCCAGTGCCAAGAATACCACCTCGCGTGCTTTCATGGTCTCTACTACAAATATCCTTGACGGGGCGGGGGGTTAGGCTCGGGATATTGACTGGCAACGTTGCCTATACTACAGATATGACCTACGCGGGTAACAAAGTTTTACAGAGATCAAGGCCTGTATTCGTTACTCTCGACCAATGCACCATGCGTCAAAACAAAGTGCTCTGGGTTTTGGTCGTCGTCGTCCTTGAGTATCATTCAAGACACCCAAAAGCTCATCAATTAACAAATCAGCTATTGGCCAATATCTGAACAAAATAATTACACGCTACTCGGCTTTTTGTGATATTGCTCTGGCCCATGATACTATGGTCACATCGCAGGCGACCTTGGCGGGTATGAATCCGACCGCCTTTTGATGGATGATCCGAGTGAATTATTTGTTGAAATATGCAGATGCAATCTGAAATGATAGATGTGTCGGCTTCCGCGGCAGACCAATCTTGGTAAGTCCAAGACCGGTGACCAAGTCATTGCAAAACAGAGAGAACCAAGATATGGTGCATCTTCAACGTTCCATCCGTACCCGAGATGTGTCCACAACCGCCGCCATTCTATTTGTGTCCGCCCTCCCTCCCTCCCTTGTATTTTTCTGTGGTCTGCTGGTCACTTGGCTGTCATCTCGTGACTGTGAAGTTCACTGCTGCATCCATAATTGTCACTAATTTTGGATCGCGTGGAAGTACCGAAGTGCGCAAGCTGATTGATTTTTCAATTTTCTCGCCTTCTTCACCGCATTTCTGTACAATCTCGAGACTGGAGCTCATTTGTTCTGCACCAGACAGCGGTAAATGACCACATTGGACTTATGTGCTTCAAGCTTGTTCCCCTTCAGTTTCTTTCTTGTCAGGCGCAGGCTTCTCAACCTCTGAGCTCTGTGATTTCTTCTCAGCGACAGGTTGGTCATCATCATCATCATTATCATCACCCGACTCTTCATCTTCGTCCTCATACCACCCAGGTATCAGCTCATTATCCGCCTCCCCATCTTCCACATCTTCCATCCCCCGCAGCACCCTCCGCGCCGCGTCCCTTCCCACCACAGGCAGTTCCTCCACCCCCCACTTGGTCTTCGCCTTGTCCGGCACCAGCTTCGGGTCGAGCAGCCCCGTCTGGACCAGCACGCTCGCCTGGTCCCAGTACACGTGCTCGCTGTAGAGCTTCCCGCCGCGCACGGTCACGATGCTGACGACGAGAACCTCGACGCGCTTTCCCGTCGGGGGCACGCCCGGCAGGATCCACGGCATCTCCTGCGTGTGCTTGAAGCTCATGTGGACCTCGTCCACCAGGCGGTCGGCGCCGATGGTCCGCGAGATCAGGCGAAGCCTCGTGGAGGGCGGGTTGGCGCTGAGAAAGTAGTCGCTGTAGAAGCGCTCGAGCTCGGCCGCGCCGACGCCGCCTGTGAGGGTGGGCAGGTAGGTGACGTGGGGTGTCTTGTGCGTGGTGTAGCTAGACATGACGTTCTGTGTGTTGCGGGTGAAGAACTTGCCTAGAGATCCAAGGCGTGGTGGTCAGTAATGAAGTATTATTGTATGGAAAAGTAGTTATGAGAAAAGCCAAAGACCAGGGTCGTGGGATGATCAGTACTTTGGATGTTCTCATCGAGTGTCAACTCCATGTTGATATACCGATGGAAAGCCTTCCTCGCCGCCGTAAGGCTTCTGCTCCAGGCCAGCTCTGCGCTGATCCTCTCGTACTCGTCGAGATCATGCTCCGCAAACCCAGCCTCTGCGGAGTAGGTATAGCTCGGATAAGCCAGCTTGTTGATTCTGCCCGCACCGATGCCCGGATCGACGTTCCGCTTGACCACGCGCCTCTTGCCCTGGATGCCGACCATCTGGCTGTGCTTGACCACGCCGACCTCGTTGCCAACGAGGTGGACGAGAACCTGGATGCTGGATGGAAATTTGCCTTGAGGCTCTGGGATCCTGGTTGGATAATATGCTATCAGGAGTCCAAGCTTCATGCCCTCGTTGTTGTCCAGGATGTGATAGTGCTCGAGGCAGAACGAGGCCGCATCGCCATACGCTGACGAGACGAGTCAGTTTCTTGTGGTATCTCGAGCCCTGTACGAAGTGGGAACAAATTGGTACACAAAGGAATCATCAACCAACTCACCAACAATTCCAAATGTCTCGCAGGGTCCGAGGTTCTTCTTGGCCAGCCTCTCCAGCTTCCTCACGTAGTCATCCCCGCCGTCGCCCATCGGCACATACTCGACCTGAAACCCTTCATCTCGCCACTCTGCAAGGGTGAGATTGTCAAAGTCATCGCTCTCGGCCGTCACATACAGCTTCGGTGGGTTCCGTGGGAAGTCGTCCGAGAGGAAGCCTGGGTCGTTGTGGTTGGTCGTGTGCTGCGAGACAACCGCGACATTCTTGCCCTTTGTTCGCTCTGGCAATACTGCGTTCACGTTAAACCCTGGTACGTTGACCTCCATGTTTTGGAAGAATAGGCCCGAATGTTTTCGAGAACGTCGATGTCGTCTTCGCCACACTAGGTTCGCTCATAGATCTGTGCTTAATGTGAGAGAGCATGTATTCTATCGTCTCACTATGATCGCGCACTCACCTCGCGGTGGGAAAACAGGTTATGCACATTCATGTGGATGACGTCACGCGGGGATCGTCTACAGATCCCGAGTTCTTCATATGTAATAAATACTATGCATTTTATCAATTCTTTAGAAGCATCCTTGAAATGGACATGAGCCATTCGAATACAGCTGGTGTTATGAGTGTGATGGAATATCCATTCGAATCCATCACGAAGCACACTATAATAGAGATAATGCAGAAATCCCAGTACAAAGGTATGAACCAATAATAATTGCTATCGGTAAACCTGCATTCCAATCCCTGACCGCTCAGCCCGTTTCCCGTACCCAGCAGTATCCACCCCGATCGGCTGAGCCAAACCCTTAAAACGTCCTATTTGAACCAGTCAAGTAGCCAAGAACATGGCGTACTCTTGCCTGTCTTCTGGAAAAGACCAGCACTCTCCGAGTCCATGGGATGGCTACCCATCGTTACCGCGCCGATGAACCTTATTCTCTCCAGCCAGCACATTTTTCGCATCCTTTTGAGAAACTCTTTAATGCCTTTAACCCTCGTGTTCGTCACATGTACCGTTTCAGGGACGCGGCATGTATGGCGCACCCACGTAGTAGGAAATTTCGACGGTGATCATAATTCTCGACAATACGGAAATGCCATCAAACATTCTCATATACTAACGTGCTATGAGACTAATGTGCAATTCTTAGAGAAGGTCTGCTTGGTTGTACGCGAGAGTTCAAGACACTGCCTTGTCCTTCTCAGCTGCTTGTATGGACAAGGCTGAGACTTGCCAAATTTGGAGCCTGACAGAACGGGCCACCTATGTAAGGGGGATCCTGGCACATGACACACCCACTGGACTCCCGAAAAGGCAGAGAATGCTGACTGTAACTTGTCTAAAGCTGCCACATCGAGGCTTGTTCCGAGCCTCTTGCGCCTGTTCCGAATGCTCAAATGAATGGGTGGGAGGCTCGTAGTCGCTCGCCATCAAAACTGTCACGCCACTTAATATACAGTACGTGATAGACGAATTTCTGCGGGTGCAGGAGGAGAAGTAGCAAGCACTTGTTCCAATATGCCTGGCCCACTTGGGACAGTCGCGTGCTGATCATTGCGCAATAATAAGTTCTTGTTAAACTACTCATCTACTTGGCTGTTTCTAACCTCCACGATCTCGTGGCATAGCTTCAAGAAACGCTCTCTGTACTCTTCTGGCGTAGTGGTGATGCTCATCGGTCCATGGTGATGGATCAGTTTGTTGTATGCATTAATCAAAAATGTCATCAGACGCGGCTGCATTTTGTGTTTGGCCCAGAAGAAGTCAAGGATGGCTGCGCGGTAGAGGAATTTGCCGTCAGCGCTCGGTATTCCGGTTCTCCATGACGCCGGTCCTGGCGGTACAGCAGGAGGCTCGTCAGGAACCACATCCTCCTCATCTGCTGGCAGGGGTGACGTTGACGAGGACGGGTTAATGGCCTCTTGCGCCGGCGCTTTCGGCTGGATCCGGACCAGAAAGAGTGAGTAATCAACCGCATTGTAGTGTGCCAGCATGCGCGTGTCTTCCTCCAAGCATCGCCAGAACTCATCGGCCTTCTCCTTGCTTAAAATGATCTTGTCGTGGAACTCGTCTGCCAGCTGGCTCTTGGTGGCCTCGCTTGTAAGCCTCCCTTCCGCAATGTCCCGCTCTGGGTAGAAATAGCTTGTCGGCTTGAGATCCCACTGTTCCCAGTCCGGCTTGCCCGCCTTCTCGGCGTCCTCTTTTCCATACAAGATGTTGTCCATGACGATATGGTGGCTTGGGGCCGTACCCAGCTGGTGCCCAAGAGACAGGCCAGAGCTGGCAAGGAAGTCACAAATGCGAACAATGAGGGACTTGGGATGGCCAGCGATATGTGCTACATAGGTGTCAAGCAAGTCGTTGCGAAAGAAGGTGTGCTCGTGATGGCGTGGTACGGATTTTACGAGAAATTTCTGATCAGTTGTGGAGAAAAAAGTCTAACAGAAAGCGTTTAGTCGTGCATGGAAGCAGTAATAGATGGCGATGTAACTCACTGATCCAGAGAATCCCATGTCTCCCATCGGCATTAAGACGTCTTCGGGTTTACCGTCTTCCACTGGCCTGAATGACGTGATGTATTCATCTTCCTCGAGTTTCCAATGTTTCTCACGAAGATCTTGGAAGACCTGGGGCCGGTGCTTGTGAAGCGGCAGTTGGTAGATTGAGAAGATGGTGGAGATGAGCGTGAGGATGAAGGCAATGGGCGAGCGTGACCTCTTCTTTGCGCCGTTGATGAGGGTCAGCACGATGGAACGTGCAATCGCGTCGAGTCGACCCATCCTGTTAGGTGTTTTTTTCTCCACGCTCAGTGTGAATCAGTATGTCTCATAACATAAGACGACGTCAACCGCCGACAACGTTGGTGATCAGCCCTCTACCGACACCAAGGACCATCGATGGAACCTCACGGGCTGAAGGCTATGTGAAGACTGTCGCTGGATGGCCAGGTCTTAAAAACAATGGTCGTTCTCGGATCGTTGTCACGACAACCACAGAGGTGTTCAGTCGATCAAATATCGTGGATAACAAATAGCTAATATCGCAAAGCGTTTCGCTGCGTTATTCGTCTCGGACTTGCCAATGTTTTTGGTGGTATATTATGGTTCTTCGAGCTTGGTTGGTGGGGCCTGCGTTTTTCTCAGTGTAAACAAAGAAGAAACTAGACCGTAGCTGCCATAAGATCCCGGAAGGGCGGACCAGTGCAGCCGCGGTTTCTCAGCACCTAACAAGCCAACAAATATCGAACCAATCTACTCGGAAAGAGTAAATGTGTGAGTGCGTGTGTTAAGATGAGAAGAGAAGAGAAGGAGGAGTTTCAGTGCTTGAGGTCGTAGCTTTAGATTAATGTAACTGGGGAGTTCCATGTCTGCTCAAGAATTCAGTTCACGCAGGAAGGGAAAAGAAAATGACGTCATGCAACACCGGAGGCTTTTCTCCGGCAGTGGCCAACCCTGCAGACGTGCCGAGAGTATGCCTGGCTGTTCTGATTGTCGCGAGGCTGTCAATCTCACAAGAGACGTGCGTACCGAAGAACCCTTTAAATCCAGGGAAAGAACTCCAATTGTCTTCATTTGTGTACAGAAATAGCACAGGTGAACCTAAACTCACAAGTCTCATTTTCTATCGCACAGGACTTTTGCTGACTTGGCATTTCCACGATTTGTACTAAAACAGTTGGCAGTCTGTCGCACAGCCTTGCGACTTTGAGGAGGCAAGTCAAGAACAGTCCAGGCAAACAGCCTGTGATACTTCATTGCTTCCTATCGCCTTCTTAAACCAGCGCCAACTTCTCAGTAATGAGCTCAGTGGTCAATGTTCTGCCGTCACTATTCCTTGTCCCCTTTTCAGTGCCCAAGTGTCTCTCCTGATTGCGGGCTTCAACACTTGAGAAATGAGTATCAAAACCAATCTAGTGACATGTGCAATAAAAGAGGCTTCACAAGAGGGAGATTGATGTTCTAGAATCCGAGTACGAAATTTATTATGATTGTACAGTAGTGACTTCCGTGAGCCTTGCATTCTACACCTTCATGAACAGGACTTTGTAAGGCGGATGATGCACTGAGCCGATGTTTGTTACACAGCAACAGTGTGAGGTTGAGACTTTGGCCCCTCGAAGCTGAACTTTCCACGGCAGAGTCTCGACAGTTGACGCACAAATTTGACGACCGCAGCGGCGCTCGCCAAAGGTGGCGCTGGTATCAACAACCTCGAGCTTCTTCCTCACTATTGTGAGCCGCCCTCAACCTCATCGCAACCGCTGTTTCTGGAGGTTTCTCCAAGGCTTTAATACAGAGCTGCGGAGCATCCTGTAGTGCTACAGGAATGCAACCGCGGTTATGAAATCGAACGGACTTGCCTGTCCTCGATGTCTGCATTCCGCAGAGGCCAATCTGTGCCCGAGTTTTTGCTGCTGTGAGTTCGCACAACCTCAACGTTGGAGTTGCGATGAATATGCACGACCTTGACCTCTGCGGCGGTGTAGACCTGGCCATTGTATGCTTCAGCGTTGTAGGAGGATGATAGGCTGAAGGAAAACTGAGAGGCATTGCTTATGGGACGTTGGGAAGCTTCGTGTTCGTCATGGGCTCGACGACTGACCACGGACAGATGATTCTCATCCTCGACGATGGCGTCGTTCATGTGCTCTTCCTGATCATTCATGCTGTATGCTGCATAGATCTCGGTATCTTCAAACCACCCATTCATCTCTGGAAGGGCCCCGTAGGTATCCATGATTTCCTCCATATTTCGGTATGGCATAGTCGTTGTAGAGGTTCCGCCATCAATGTTCTGCTCGTCCTGAATGGGTTTTCCACATCTGGCGCAGTCCCTGTAGCCTCTCTGCCGTTCCAAAAATGGCTTTCTGCACCCCGCGCATTCCATCAAGAACGTCTGCTGGTCGTCCAGGAAAAGCTTTCCGCACTCCATGCAATCCGTGTAGTGCGGTTTCGCTCTCTCGGGGCTGGTGGAGGGCCGCATGTGTGAGGCTTCCTTAGGGCGAAAGGAATCTTTGGTGAATGGGAATTGGAGAGAGCTCATGCCGTCTGAATAAGTGCCATCAGACCATCCATTATCATCTTCACCGTCGAGTAACAGCTTCTTTTCTGAAGGGGACGAGTATGCAATGCCTCGCTTAGGGTTGTGTTCGAAAAGAAGTTGACGAAGGTTTGCAACTGCAGGGCGTCGCTTGAGCATCTGTCCGAAACTCTTGGTATGAGTTTCGATGTGACTATAGCCCTCATTTGCTCGAGACACCTGTTTGCCGAGACGCTTCGGTGGTTTCATATTGTGGATGAGCCCTTCTTGGTCATTGCCCTGGAAAGGCTTGAACATTTGGAGGACTTTGCGGTAGCCCTGCAACATGCCTGAGTGGGTCATATGGATCTCGAGGCAGAATGCTATGATGTAATATCAAAGCTGAGCTGCACTGGGTTGAATTAGTTGGTGTTGAGATGAGAATGTGAAGAGTAGTAGAGACTCACGCAAGTCTGGATGTGTTGTGTGCGTATCGAGAGGCAAGGTGAGATTAAGTTTGTTGAGAAAGCATCAGCATGCAAATGTTTGCGTAGCATGCAGGTCAGAGGGCCCTTTATAATGTTGCAGAATGTTCAACCTGGCTATTGCATATTATTTCAGGATTCAAAAATAGATGGAACAACGCTATTGCAGCTGTGTTGTTACAGTACAATAGACTCTTAGTGAAGAAGTCTGTCAAAGTGACTGCAGGTGTCATGGGAAATTATCCAACTAATCTCACACCAAGCTATCCAGTCTCGGTTGGTTTTAATGTGAACTAGCTGTAAAAGTCATACAGGTGACCGCGTAAATCATTTACCAATATAGTTTACACATGGGATAAGAAGTATTATCTTTGTGAAAGCCTCGGTTCACGTAGTACTGGCCCATCCAGAAAACAGGAGACAATTGAACAATTGAGCAGATCAAGAAACTACTGAAATGCCTTAGGCTCGATCTACGCCTTCAATAGAACCACTGAAACAGTATGGTTGTATTTGCTTGTATGTATTGTTGGACTCTTTAGTTTCCTGGCTGAAGCCATGATTGTTTCCATGTGGGGTTGCTCACAATCAGTTCAAGGAATGAAACCAGCACAACATCAACATCTCGACTTACCTTCACGAACAATCATCAAGCAAGTGATCCGAGATCGTATTGGAATTTTTTAGGGCAAAACGAATAGAATTTGTTATACTGTTAATGAACAAAGTCTCCTTCGTGCATAGCTGTTTATTCGCAATTGTGACAAGCTCTCATTGATACTTTATGTAGTGTTACCTCACCTATGCATGGTCTTCTACATGTACTTTGGAAAGTTTCATTGTTCCCTTGTTGCAGAGTTGGCTTGGTAGACTTTTCGCGTCTCATGAAGATGGATTGATATGCTCTATCTGATGTAACTTCAACTCTCAGGGAAGAGTGAACATCCTCTGAGGTACTTGCGTGCACTGGACCAGATAGATGCCCCATAATTTGTCTGTGAACCAGGAGAGTTACAATTCGAGTAGCGGCAGGCGGACAAAGGTCTTGGTCATGGTGATCGGTACAGCCCAGCCTTGACACAAAAAATTGAGCTTGACCATGAAGTAAATTTAGAAACAATCTGTCCACTTTCTGATCCAGAGTAAAAACATGTCGATAGGGTTTGCTACCGCCAATCTCACAGGTTTGTTTTATGGGTCTCTGAAGACCGCCAGTGCTTTGTCGCCATTCTGTCATGTGTACTGTTACACCACAGCCTTTGTTGCCTGTAATCTTGTATGGCATTGTGGCACGAAAAAAGAGAGAAAAGGTCGTTGAGTGACACTCCATGCACAATCGTCACATCGCCGATCACCAATCATCGCTGATGATAACAGTATGCGCCTCCACGTGAACACTGATTGTATGTTCCCAAAACAGAGAATAAAATCTCTTCATTAGTAGACCTCACGACCTCGACACCACGCTAATAAATGATCTCCAACTTGGAAGAGAGGAAACAAAAAGTCATCGAGGCACCTTCACCCCTAGGTGCAGCTCATCACACCGCCCTCGCCGGGCTGGCTCTCGACGCATCCCAATGAAACTCCGGCCGACCCGCCCCCAATCGAGGATCCTGCTTAATCTGATATCGAATCGGCCCCAGGTACAAATGATCATGCATCTGCGTTTTCTTCTCCCCCTCGGGCGCCTCCACACCGTGCAGCAGCTCAAGGTCGTAGTTATTCGGCGTGGGTGGCGGGGTGGCACGGCGCCATGACCAGACTCCGCGCGGAAGCAGCACGGTGGTGCCCTGTTTGCCCTCGATGCGCGTCGGCTCCGAGGGAAGGCTGAAGATGCGGCGGACCATGGGCCAGAGCACGGGCACGCAGGCGCAGATGAAGATACTGCCCGGCTCGGCGACCGTCCAGATGAGGTTGTTCACCTGCCAGGTCTGGTCCGAGTTGGACGTGAGCATAAACATGTAGTAGGCGCGGATGATAGAAGCGATGCAGCCACTGCGTAATCAATTTCAGTCAGCAAGCTGAGTCAGAATATATAAAGAGTGAAAATGACATAGGAAATACATAATTATACGCTTAAAAGAACCATCAGTCGCTTTCGGGGAGGACTTACAAGGAACCGATCAAGAATACCACCGTTAGCGCAATCTTCTGTGCCCGCGAAACCTTCTGTAACGCCCAGATCATCGGTGTCGGCAACGCCAGCAACACGACGTCGTGAAGCACATTCGGGAGCGGTATAAACCGATATGTCGCCAGCTGATCAATGCACACGCCGTTCAGCGTCTTATCCCACTGGTACGCGACGGGCGTGCATTGTACGATGGCCACGATCGTCTCGCTGAGAGCCCATAGCCACACGTACACAATCAAGCCCCACGTGAAATGACGGAACCAGCGCTCTACACCAAAGATGCGGCGGTACAGGAGCAGGATCGAGGTCTTCATGATGGCGATGGCCATACTGTAGAGGATCTCCATGGCGAAGAGTGTCTGGGCAAACCTGACGAACGCGGTGGGTTCGTTTAGGAGGATCCAGGCCTCGTGTCGCCCGGCGTCGCCATGTGAGGCACCTTGAAAACTGCATGTGAGCGGAGCAGAGGAGGAGGGAAAGAGAAGGAGAGAGATAGAGAGGGGAGTGAGACTAGGGTTCTCTCGAACTCACATAACAATAGATCGATACATAGCCCCATCATGAGTATATATGATGGTATCATCAACCAGTCCTCCAAGAAGACCGGACTATCCGCGACGCGATGTGCCACATACCGCAGGAAGAAAACCACCGTGCCGAAGACCATGAAAAGGACTGAAATGGCTATGATACCGCCGCCCCTGTTGGCGTCCAGCCCGCCTTCCAAGGCCATCGCTGCATTGCTGAAACTCATGGACGCCTCTGTGAGGCTCAGAAGAATGGAGAATGATATTCAATCCCGCGCGGAGAAGCGGGAGAGGTACTAAAAAGGTGAAAGAGAAAGTAACAATGGGCTGGGTGCGGAGGAAGTACGAATGTATAACATCTATAACGGATCAAGTCTGGTATGTACATCGCACGCTATGTGTACAGGGCACTCTGATCAAACTTAACCCCTTCAGGACTCGGCGAGGACAACAGCATAAACGTTGAGATGAAAGGGATGCATGGAGGGGTAATGGCACTTTTGACATGGAGGGGCCGCTGGGTTGTGTCGACCTTGCTTTACTCGCTTTCGCGCCGGATCCTAGATCCAGCCGCATCACAATGTTCACAAACTTAATTGTATGGATAAATCCGGGGAGCGCCCTACATCGTGTCTCACTACCCAAGTAGAAACCTAGCCGCCGTCCTACAGGAAATTGAGCTGCAGTACGCTGCGGCTTACCTGCATCTCGCTTGGGGTCCTCGACCTAGGGCCTACAGACAGGGCTTGTCATCAAAAGGGTTAAGCGGAGGATTACTGTGCCCTGCTGTCCCAACAAAATAATGTGCCATTCTTGGATATGCAGGAGAATCCTCGTATTTGCTGGTCTTGAGAGCAATGCGACTCATCCTCGAGCTATGTAATTACATTCAAGAAGATGCGACCACATTTCCGAGTAGGAAGGGTAGGAAGCCATAAAATTGAGACTCTTACGGTGGCATTGTTTCCTCACTTGCTGAGAAGAGTATGGGGCAATCAGTGATTGTCTGAATGGTAAGGGCAGCCTTATCTCGCCCTGTTTGTCTTTTCCCCCCCAAACAATGATGGGTAATAGCACGGGAGTGAAACCCGCAGGATCCATGGTCCAACCACACGTGGCGTGGGTGGTGTGGTATGATCCATCTTGAGCTGAAAACTTCCCCTGCAGCCAAAAGGCGCTTCCACGTTGGTCGAGGCTCTTTTGAGGCAAGGGCTGGGACAGTAAGCCTCTCTCCATGACAATCGAGAGATGGAACCAACGGGGTGGGGTCCCGCGTAATCAGCAATGCCGTTGCCTTTAACAAGCTGTCCGGGGGCCACTTCTTCTCCACAGGTCTGACAGCGTAGTGCAGACCGACTTGTAACGGCCTGCAAACTCTGTCCGACCTTGAGAATTCGAGGTAGGAGTTCGACTTTGGGCGATCGAGACAGTTCTCGTCTGTCTAGGTCAAGTAGTCAGGTCGCGTCCCGAGGCCAGAGCTGCTTCAAATGCATGACTTCATCGGCCAGGCTCCGATGAAAGAATCCTCCTTGTTTCGTAAGCTCAGTCGAGAAGCAGCGTTGACATGGGTACTGGTTCCGATTTGAACGACTTGATGGCGGGAATAGGAGAAGTTGGGAATCTACAGGGTACTCACTTATATTATCAGCTATCCACACTTCTTATCAAGTACAGACAAATACATTGGAAGCGTCAGGACTCTCTTCGTCCATGGTTTGTCAATCTGCTAGCTCAGGTTGTATTGATGGGAGGTCCTGAATTCCGGAGTCTATCAATGATATGGTCTGCTTCTTCATTACAATCTGTGCTGTTCAGAGTGGGATATAATAAGTACAACAGCACCAACCAGGACCTCAAAATAGTACTGTCAGGTTGTGCATGCGGAAGCACACAACAGCCAACCTGGCATGTCGTCATGAACAGCCGAAATGAATGCCAATATGATCGTCAGGCAGCCGCACCCGTCCCAAGAGCCGAGATAAAATATGTCAAACTCCAATTGGGAGCAGATGTCTGTCCGGTCCCCTGTTCCCACAGTATTCAATATGTAGTGTACATTGGCGGTGTAAAGCTGGTCCAGTGGTACTCGTCTTTTCGATTCCTACTCGTCAATCTGGATCGGCCCCTCGGTCTTTGTGGAAGTTGCAGTAGTGAGGCGCATTCTTGGACTGACTCGACGAGGCTCATCCTCCTCATCAATCGCCCTTGCGCTCGCAGGGGTGAAGTTGCGACCCCGCTTTGTGCCTTTCTCACTGCCGCTTCCAGATGCATTTGCAGGTGTAGCGAATCCGGCATAAGCCTGATTGGGCGTGGCCTGGTTCGTGAGATTGACACCGAACTCACCGGCAGAGGTGCGACGGCTGAAAGTTGGACATGATCCAGAGGCGTTGCGGTCGTGGCCGATAAAGTCAAAGGCATTGCCTGTCTGAGAGAATTTGCGAATTTGCGCCTCAATCGACGGCGACAAGTTGGACGGCGAGTTCACAGAGCTGGTACTGTTCAGATGCCGATTCTCTTTACGGGATCGAACATTCGATGCTGGTAAAGGAATCTGATGCGGTTGTACGGTGCCGTCGAGTGGGTGCGGCTGGTTTAGCAGAGAATAAGTGAGAGAGGTTGCCAGGTCGCTAGAGACGGCTATGTTGCGAACATCGTGATCAAGCTGGCCTAAAGACATCACATCGTCAGCACTGGACCGGAGGTAGCTTGGCTACCTGCGAGACTGACCTGCGTCTGAGGAATCCATACCCACGAAGGCGGTGGGGGTGTTTGTAGGCACCTGTAGAGCCTCTGTATGACTATCATCGTCCAGGTTTGACCCGGACAGGGCTATGAAATCCGTCCCAACTCCCTGGGACATGGTAGAAGACAAATAGTCCGATATGTATGGCATATTAGCATGCTGTTCGCTATGCTTGGTGCTGCTCCGAGCCGTGGCGCCAGGCCAGATCGCCTTTGGCTCAACAGTCTGTTGCTGATTGGGTAGTCCCAGAGAGCCCACCAATTCCTGGTAGGCAGCCTCGCTGAAGGGCTCCATGAAGAAGCCAGAACTCGAAGACCCAGAGCTCTTTTGGCCGGTTGGTAAGAGGGCCTGCGAAAAGGCAGCAGGGTTGAAGGCAGTTGCAGTCTCTGCTGTTAAAGAACCCTCATAACCAGTTGCTGCTGGACCTGAGCCTGCTGTATTTCGGCCAATATAGGACCGACGTCGTGGAGAGTGCAAGTGGGAGTCGGCACCGTCGTCGGGATGGTAGGTCGGCACGGGAATCCCCGGATTGTTCTGAGGACGGCGCCACATCTGAGGGTTGGGCCAGGCAATACCGTTATTCTCGAGGATGTCTGAGAAGCGGTCAGTATTATCCTTTGTGAACGCGAGTCGGATGGGCAGGATGAACCGACCCAAGGGGGCATGCTGGAAAGCGAAGACCACAACATTCTTGATTCGTTCTATGGGATTAGAAGGCGAGTCCCTGGGGAAGCCTTCGCTTATAATGATCTTGACACGTCCAATATCGTCTGCAGGATTCCAGTGGTTCTGGTAGAGCAATTCACGACGGAACGAGGGAAACTTGAGTGGTTCGAGCTCGCCTTTCTTGGACATTTCTGTCAATGACAGGGTATGAGCAAAGCCCAGGCGGCAGTGAAAGATTTGGGCGTCTTGTTAGAGGCACGTACCGCATGTGGTCGTGATCAAGTGTGGCCATTGTCCAAGAGGCTCGAAGGATGTCGATCTGTGCGTTTTCAGTTGATTAGCCACGACGAAGGTTGAGAGAGATGCTGCTGTTGGGGACAAGGCTCACGCCACCATGCGGCCGTCAATCAAAATACGAGCCTCAAATTTGACCAGCTCGGGGTGTTTGCTGTAGTTTAGAGCATACTGGCTGATCTGAGGCGTCCCCCAGCAGTGAATAGAGATGTGGAAGTGGGATCCCGACTCAAGAGAGGGTGCGAAGCAGGTCATGACAGGCAGACCATAGGCACCCCGATTGTGGGAGAACTCTTTATCAGGAGTGACATGGCAGTTAACTTTGAACTCCTTCAGTGGGACTCGACCATCGCGGCCAGAGGGGAAGAGGAGCACATCCCAATCGTCGTAACGCATTGTTCAGGTAGGAGAGAGGTTTTATGTGTGCGTGTCCAGGGAAAGGGGGGATTACTTGGACAGAGGAGAATTAGAAAACCAGAAAGGGAACCGTAGTTAACAAGTAAACGTGTGACAAGAGACTTCTCGTGAACGAGGAAGAATTCAGAGGTAGGGTTGATAGCTAGGAGAGGGAAACGAGGGAGTACGCCTTGTTTTGATTTGTTGTCTCCCAGCTTGAGAGGTCCAACGACGTGCCTTCCTCAAGAGACAGGAGTTCCTGCAGCGAAAAAGAAACTGCACATTTGACCCTTCCTACTTTGGGATTAAGCAAACGCTGACTTCAGGAACGAACGCACTCGAGATTCATCACGGTCTGAGGCATTTGAATTAGGGGAGCTGTCCTGCCGGCTCAAGCCAAATGCACCTTCTTCGTTGACGATGCTGATGGGACATTCTTGGTCGGCCATAATTCCATAGAGATCTAGATCTTTGCTTTTGGAAACCACCTGCTCTTCCTCATTTATGCCTCGGCCCTGACGATAGAAGGCAAGGGAGGTCCTGCCTTAGAAAAGACGGCAGAAAGGCGAGGCTGTTGCGTGTTTCTTCTCGAGGGCGGCTAGCCAATCGCAGACTGGCAGTACTTGATTCTGGTTGCCTTGGTTTAGCTGTTCTATTATTTTTCTTTTCTGTTCACCCTTTCTTTTCATTGCGGTCGATCTTTCTACTGTACAATCCTAGCCTAGTCCACATCCACCTCGTCTTGGAACGGCTCCGGATCCTCTGGTGCCCTTGCCTGTTAGTAACACCTTGTCAGTCGCGTCAAGTCCAATCAGAAATTGTGAGAGAGCCATAGCTTAGTTCAGTCCTCACCTTGACCGCGCCTGCCCCTCCGAGCTCACGCTCCAGGCCACCGTCAAAATCTCTTGGGAACGATACCCGGTCGGGGTATGTGAGCTTGATCGCGTAGCATAGGCTTAGGAATGCTGCGATAAAGACGCCGACCTGAAAAAACCCCTTGCCTGGGGCGACCCATGTGTACTCATAGGGTGTGAACATGCCCAGCTGGTCGTAGTCCTCATGGACAGGCTCCCCAAAGTTCCTCCTCTCCTGCTTGTCCCACCAGTCGCCGTGGGGATCCCTGAACTGTCTCTTGATCGGAGGGGGTTGGACGTAGCCACCATTCTATAGCAAGACGATTTCTGTTAGCTTTGATAGCCTCGTCGCGCTGCGTGTATGCCCGCATTGCCACGTGCACCACCCCCCAACAGCCTGAGACGCACCATATTCGGGTCCTCGGCCTCCGTCAGGCTCGGGTAGTCGGGATATTTCTCGTCGACCTTGTCATTGTAGGGAGGAAGGAATGTCCGCTGCTGGACGATTGGGAGTCGTCTGGCTGCAACAGCAGAAGTGGCTGACCGCAGGGTCGAGACCCGCGCAACCCCACGGGAGAGCATCTGTCGTCGAGTCCTATTGTTAGACCTGGTACTGGACCCGGGAGAAAGAGAGAGACGGGGGGTGTACTTTGGAAATTGCTTAGAAAGGCTAAAATGTAGTTGAGATGTGATTGCAATTGGCGTTGGGCAAATTGGCTGAGTCTAATCAGCGTTGCGATTGAGCGAAGCTCTAACTAAACCCGCGGAGACGATGAGGTCAAAAAGTCGCTGCCTCAGGCACAAAATGGGCAGAGTATGGTGGTCTGTGCGTCAGCTAGTAACACGCTGCTCAGATTGGGTGAGGCGCGGTCGGCGGGCTGGGGTAGCATTGGTAGCGCTGTCGGGTCCTTGTTTGCTCATGGGTTTTCTGCCATCTCAAAGTTTTCGCTGACAACGACCATCGACGCCTTATTTTCCGCCCTGCAGCCTCGTACAGGCCCTCAGACATGCGCAAACTTTGTCTGAAGACGGAATCAACCCCTCTACACCGGTAGACGCTGTTTTGGACCCATCAGATGCCGAACCTGTGGAGAACGCGACCCTTTCGTCCCTTCCCGTCGCCTTTCCTCCCCGCGTCGCTATGACGGAGACGGGGTCAACCGCGTCTGCTGCCTCTGCTCCCGCCGCCTCACCCAGCTTCGACCTCGACGCGGCAGCGCAGACCCGGGCTGCCATCGACCACGACGCAAAGGACGACTCTGGACGGCTCACACCTCCTCCACTGAAGCCCCCATCACTCGTCACGACAGATCTTCCACCTTCACGCGATGCCGGCGACCGCGCAGCCTCTGCTGCAAGCTCTCCCTTGTCCGACATATCCGGCCTGTCTGCCTTGTCAACAACACCTGAGTTGCAATCCGATGATGACACATTTCTGGCTCTCAGGGGTAGTACCCAGCCCAAGAAGAATGCCATCAAGGAGGAACAGGACGACGCCACAAATGGCCATGTGCAGGCCGAGCAAACACCCGAAGATGAACGACCTGCCAAGCGACGCCGAACACGGAACTCGACGCCTCCGCCACCCGGATCCAAGGCGCGCAAGATCTACGAGTCACCGCCCTGGAAGAAGTTCGAAGCTGAAGGTCCCACAACCATCATAGAAGGTGGCAAGCGGAAGTCAGGACGTCTCAACACCGTCCCTCTAGATCAGCTGAACAGCGACAAGAGGATCACCAGGAAATCGTACTCGCAGACCAGCCCCCAGTCCAAGAATAAATATGCCTCCACCAATGGGCAGACGACTTCCAATCCGGCCACAAAGAGAGTTTCCTCGGCCAGCAAAGCCCTTGCGTCCAAGACTACCGCACCTCACAAAAACCCTGCACGGAAGTTCGCAGGAACCGAAGCTAAGTCCACACCTAGCAAGGCCCGCAGACCGTCGCCGCCGCCGCCGCCGACCCAACCCAGCCGATCATCCGCCAGGACTCGACGACCCTCACGAAGTGCCCGCGACGGCGTAGACGACGATGCACATGCTACTCAGTCTACAAGAACCACGTCACGGCTCAAGTTACGAGCTAGCCGACCGGAGCTCCCTCCCCTGACTGAGCTGCCGCTCCTCCATCCCCAACGAGTCCAACCGAAAAAGCTTGCTTCAACTCTGGAGGAATACTTCAAGATTGCGGATACCCTACCAGTGACAGATGGTGGTCAGATGCTACCCGAGGACGAGCCTCTTCTCAGCGATGAGGCGGCTCTTGCTGAGGCCAGGATCATCCTGCGCATTGAGGACGAAGCACGACCCGATGGTTTGCTCGGTGAGAACTGCTCTGTGTACCTGCCTGAGCGTGCTGAAGAGATTCGCCAGTATGCGCACATGGACTACGTGGTCAAAGCTGCACAGAATCTCCGAAAATGGATGGTTAGGGAACAAAAGGATCACAGGGAGAAAGCAAAGAAACTGGCCGAGGCATGTCAGGCGGTTTGGAAGGCTCGACAGCCAAAGACCACCGAGGAGCTCGAGCGGGAGGCACGTGAGCTATGGATCACGCGATATCGTATCGTCATGAAGGCTCTGCTCGGCACATGGGAGAATGTCAGATTGGAAGTGAACCGTCGACGCTTGGAAAATTGGGAGGCCGAGGAGCAGAGGCGTGTGAAGGCTGCCCTGCAGGAAGCCGTGTCTCGGTCTGAGCAACAGCTGTTGGCGCGCCAGGCGCAATTCGACTCTGACATCACCGATAGCGAGCATACGGATATAGAGGATGACGACGACCTTGACTCGGATATGGACCAGAGTCATGTTTCGGACGTCGGCCATCGCTCAGACAATGAGGACAGTGCCGATGATGAGGACAATATGTCTTCCTCTGACGAGGACGAGGATCGTAAGTCGGTCGCGTCAGATGAGGACTTGACACAAGACCAGCTCCGGGCGAAATACGCAGACTTGCCAAATCTCGACGACCAAGAAGGAGCAATCGGCAACGAGGTCACTATGGCTGAGGTGAACGGCACAATGGACGATGATACAAGTGACGAGTCGGTTGATATGGACGACGACATGGGCTCCACAGACGACGAGAGTGTCGACAGTGGTTCCGGCGAAGATGAAGGGAGCGACGAGGAGGATGCTGACCAGCCGTCCGGTCTCCTGGGCCTTTTCTTTGGCAAGAAAGAGCTCAAGAAGCTACAGGAAGAGAAAGCGGAGGACCAAGCAGACAAGATCTTGAATGGCGATGAGGAGATGGTGGACGTGAATGCGGACGCAGAGGAACAGCCAGCCGCGGAAGCGCCCTTGCCAGTCCAGAATGGAGTTCAAGAGACGACCTTGGCCGAGGGCGACACTGCGAAAGCAAACACTTGTTCCGGAGGACCACAAGTGAACGGCGTCTCGAAGGATTCTCATCTCCTTGGGACACATGAGGAGAACATGAAATCTGGATCAACAGAACTTGCTACCAAGGTTTCTTCTTCAGAAGTTGTGCGAATAAGTCCTGAAGCTGAAGCCACAACCAACCCGGCAAGCCCCGAGCGCAGCCAGTCACCCCGCACAACAGATACAAAGCCATCGGAAGTCGATACGGCCACGTCTGTCGAGCCATCCAGTGCAATTCAAGACCTCAGTAGGTCTGTGTCTGAGCAGCCATCAACACCACGCACTGAAGTGCCCTTTCTCCTCCGCGGCACGCTGCGTGAATACCAGCACTACGGCCTCGACTGGCTCGCTGGCCTCTACGCGAACAATACAAATGGAATTCTGGCGGACGAAATGGGTCTGGGCAAAACGATCCAGACCATTGCGTTGTTGGCTCATCTGGCCTGCGTCCACGAAGTGTGGGGACCCCATCTCGTTATAGTACCGACCAGTGTGATGCTCAACTGGGAGATGGAGTTCAAGAAGTGGTGCCCAGGCTTCAAGATCCTCACCTACTACGGCACACAGGAGGAACGCAAGAGAAAGCGCCAAGGCTGGACCAATGACGACGTTTGGAACGTTTGCATCACCTCGTATCAAATCGTCTTGCAGGACAACCAGGTTTTTAGGCGACGGAGGTGGCATTACATGATTCTGGACGAGGCTCACAACATCAAAAACTTCAGGTCGCAGAGATGGCAAACGCTACTCGGATTCAATACCCACTCTCGTCTCCTTCTCACAGGAACCCCCCTACAGAACAACCTCACCGAGCTGTGGTCCCTTCTTTTCTTCCTTATGCCGTCTGAAAATGGCGTTGGTGGCTTTGCGGATCTTAAGGAGTTCCATGATTGGTTCGCCCGACCCGAGTCGCAGATTCTTGAGCACGGCCGGGAGCAGATGGATGATGAGGCTCGAGCCATTATCTCAAAGCTTCACAAAGTGCTCCGCCCCTATCTGTTGAGAAGGTTGAAGGCCGATGTCGAAAAGCAAATGCCCGCCAAGATCGAGCACGTGACGTTCTGCCGCCTTTCCAAACGGCAGAGAGAGCTCTATGATGGATTCCTTGCCCGGTCTGAGACGCGAGAGACGCTGTCCTCTGGCAATTATCTGTCTATCATCAACTGTCTCATGCAGCTGCGGAAGGTTTGCAATCATCCCGACCTCTTTGTGGACCGCCCGATCATGACTTCTTTCCGGATGGACAAGTCCGTCACGGCTGGGTACGACACGACCGAGCGGTTGGTTCGGAGCAAGCTGCTGGCCGAGGACCTGATGGCGAAAGTGAATCTCGGCGTTCTCAACCTGCTGCCCGCTTGGAATGAGCACATGTCGAAAGTGAATGCAGAGCGCATACACCAGCTCAGCGCCCATAGTGTGCTGTTCAATATGCGCGATGCCCAGCGAGTGAGAGCACAGTCAGCGTACCAGGCACTCGACCCCACGACTATCAACTCCAACATGGCATTCCTCGACACTCGGTCACGGTGGCACCGTTTCGAAGAGCTGCAGCACTACCGATATCTCAACGCCCTGGGCAGAGAGCAGAGGCCCGTGTATGGCAAGCAATTGCGAGAGTTCCTGACCATTGGGGTTGACAAGAGGCCATACAAGCCCAAACCACGCGTTCCCAAGCTGGTCATGAGTTGGTTTGAGGAGGATTCCTTTCTGTTACGCACAATGATCCCAACCTTGGATCAGAGAGCTGCGTCCATGGACGGGATCATATCAAAGTTTGCATGTGTAACACCAGCAGTTGTCACCAGGGATATGGACACACTCTTTCTTGGCACAAGGGGCGTCGAGGCCTTCACTGATGCTGACCTCCAACTCTCTGCCCCTGTCCGACGGCTGCCTTTCATACCACCTGAGCGGCCGATCGATCCTTGGCATGAATCTCGCATGCGGTTATCCATCCAGTTTCCTGACAAGCGCCTCCTTCAATATGACTGTGGCAAGCTCCAGGCACTCGACAAGCTCCTCCGCAAGCTCCAGGCTGGTGGTCATCGTGCTCTCATCTTCACACAGATGACAAAGGTCTTGGATATCCTCGAGCAATTCCTCAACATCCATGGCCACAAATATCTCCGCCTTGACGGCTCGACCAAGGTCGAGCAGCGACAGATTCTCACTGACCGGTTTAATGTCGACAATCGCATCCTGTGTTTCATCCTCTCCACCCGCTCCGGCGGTCTGGGACTCAACCTTACCGGAGCTGACACGGTCATTTTTTACGACCAGGACTGGAACCCCGCCATGGACAAGCAGTGTCAGGACAGATGTCACCGTATCGGACAGACGCGCGATGTGCACATCTATCGCCTTGTGAGCGAGCATACGATTGAGGCCAACATCTTGCGCAAGGCCAGCCAGAAGCAGATGCTCGACGATGTGGTCATCCAGGAAGGCGAGTTCACCACGGACTATTTCAAGAACAGCCGGCAGGTGACCGTACAGGACGTGGCAGGTCGACTGATGGGCGAGAATGACGAAGCTGCTAATGCAGCGATGGATCTCGTGCTTGGCGGTGTCGAGACAAGCGACACACGGACTGCGACCAAGGTGCTCGAGCAGGCTGAAGACACGGAAGATGTGGTCGCCGCCCGGGCCGCGGAGAAGGAGATCCAGCAGGACGATGCGGATTTCTCCGAAGTCAAGCCCGGCTCTGGTGCAGCGAGTACGTTACAGGGTACGCCTCGCGAGGGCTCCGCTGTGCCTGGGCGAAGCGGTCTCGGCCTCTTTTCCGAGACCGTGGACCCGGATGCTGCCGTCGAGGAGGCAGAGCCCGAGTACAACGCCTGGGGTGATCGGGTGCATAACATTGATGAGTTCATGCTGGATACCATGTCGAAGATGCTCGAAGGGACACCGTTGGATCTACCAAAGGACAAAAAGAAGGGGAAGAAGAAGGGACGGGACACAAGGAAGCGATAGACGGAAATAGGCCCTACCAAAGGGGGGTTTTCGTGATTGTACAGCATAATCTCACTCTGCTTTTATTGTTCGGACAAGGTGCGTCTTGGCGTTATCGATATGGGAGACAAAGGCGTGTATAGGCTTGGGACTGCTAGAATCACGGGCACGGTTTTGCATTGGGTTGGGTCGAGCGATCAGGAGGCAGAACGGCGGGGAAAAGAAAATCCCCATACGGGTCAAAAGACATAATGCATCCAAAGATTGTATGATACAAAATGGCATGGATGCTCATGGAAATCAAGGACCAATCACAAACGCCTGGCTGGCTCACTCATGCGGTCGTGCATAGCACCATGCTTAGACCAAAGAGCGGACAAGAAAATACACTACTACACCAGTATCATATCTCTACTATGCTGCTTGTTGATTATGATCTCTGCATGCCTCATGTGCCTTGGCATCACAATACCTGGCTGGCTGGGGCCTTGGAGCACTCAGGAGATACAGATGAGCTCATGGTGAGAAGACTCTTTCTGGTATGAACTTAGGGACACGTTAATCCAGAGGGTGTAATATTTGAGGCACCATCGAACAATCAATGGCTCTTCACCAACCCCCAAGTCTCTCTTACCAAACAAAGACAGGCGTATAGAAGAAGCACACACAGTCTTAGTTGGATCAGTGAGCGCTGACACAAAAACAAAACAAGCAAGCTTTTGAGTCACTAGTTATTAATCGAAATATGCCAATTATTAAAATAGTTTCTTGTTAGATATATCTGCGCAGGAAAAAAAGTTGATAGGGAAGGATTTTGGTGTATTTTTCAATCAAAATACACAGTTTTCAAGTCAAAACGTTTTAATAAAAAGAGCATATTTTCCCCAGAGGATAAGTAGAGAGAGCTAAATGAGGCATATTTTTTAGTGGGGTTGGGGGGGGGGAGAGCTGAGCCGAGCGAGGCGAGAGGGGGGCTGCGAAGCAGGGGCTCCCCTTAGAAAAGAAAAGAAAAAATATGAAAGGAAGGAAGGGGGAAGGGGGAAGAGGGAAGGGAAGGGAAGAGAGGAGGAAAGAGTGGAGGAAAGAGAGGGGAAAAGAGAAGAGGAAAGAGGAGAGGAAAGAGGAGGAGGGAGGGGAGGAATGAATGAAGCTATTCAGAGTCTCTGATAGTAACAAATGGCTCCCGCGACCGAAGTAAGCTTGCTTACGGAGGGCTCCACAGTATTTACAATGTAACTAGAACACAGTCTCCATGTTTCCCTTGGCGAGCTTTCCCAGCCGCTGCTCCGTAACATCAAAACATTCCGGCAGCCCAGTCGCCTCCCACGCCTCACCCTGGATAATCTTGACCACACCAGGTGCACAGTTGAATATTCTCGCCATCCCATGTCCATTAAAGCCCGCACACACATACTGCCCCGGCAGACTCTCAATCTTGCCCACAAACGGCACCGAGTCGGTCGTCATGCCGATGATGCCCGTCCACGAGTGCTGCAGGCCCTCGCCATGGCGCAGGCGCGTCTTGTCGCAGACAGGAAAGCACTTTTCAAAATTGCCCACGGCGTCCGCGACGACCTCCTCGACAAAGTTGGTGTCGTTGGTCGTGAAGACGCTCTCGCGCGCCTCCTTGCTGATGTTGGGGCTTTTCCTGGGTGCGCCCAGCACGATGAGGCCGTCTGCCTTGCGCTGCATGACCGAGTAGAAGTGGTGGAGGCTGTGGCGCAGCGACATGGTGCTCTGCAGGGCCAGATGGCCGGCTAGCGAGGGCGGGGGCACGAAGAGGTGTGCCTGGGCGCGGTTGGGCGTGACAAAAGGGGCCAGCTGGGGCAGCAGGTGGCCTGCGAAGGCGTTGGTGCAGTGGACGACGACTTCAGCCGTGATGGTGCCCCTCGGCGTCTCGACATCCCAGGCTGTGCTTGTCCCACCACTTGAGTTCGTCGATCTCGTCACCTTGGTTGCAGGGCAGTGGGTGAACAGCCTCGCCCCTGCATCAATGCTCTTGCCCAGAAGCCACTGCGCCAACTTTGCAGGATGGCTCGACCCTGCCGGCCACTCATACGCGCTGACAGCCGCCTCAATTCCAGAGCGCCGCGCCGCCTCGGCTCCCTCGTACACAGTCACATGGCTCACGTCTCCGCCAGCCTCACGATACTCGCTCAGACTGCGTGCGTTGAACTCTGCAAACTCGGGCGTGAGACACACGTCGAGGGTGGTGGCGGCGTTGAAGTCGCAGCGGACAGAGTGGCGCTCCACGAAAGCACTCAGGCGGGAGAACACGTCGCGCTCGTTGGCGATGATCTTGAGGGCCTGGTCGGTGCCGTGGACGCGACGGTAGACCTGGAAGCCGCGGAAGGCGTCGGGGCGGACGTGGCCTGCGTTGCGGGAGGAGGCGCCCGACGCGGCCTCGCGGGCCTCAAGAAGGAGGATGTCGGCTGCCGGAACGCCGGCTGAGTGGATCAGCTCGAAGGCCGTGAGGGCGCCGGCTATTCCGGTGCCGATGATGAGGTATTTGGTGGCTGATGGGGTGGGCGTGGTGCAGTTGGCGTTGAGGTGGGGGAATGAGCGGGTGGTTTGTTGCCACCAGGAGAGGCACGGATTGTTGATGGGGAGGCTATGCTGTGGGAGGAAAGGTGGTTGTTGGATGCATTCCTCTTCAGCGGTCATGATGATGGTTCGATCTGGCGTGTTGGTCTTGAATGGCTGAAGTATGAGAATGATTACCTTCTAATTTACCAACTATTGCAGCACTTGCACGCACAGTAGGCAGATAGGGATTTGTTGTTTCAACGAACATTATACAATCATCAAACAGTGAGTGATGCACTCAATCTTTCACAGAGGACATTCAAGAAGCATAATGTGGTACCCATCCGGCCCGGCATGTTGCCCATATCGCCGGCTCCAGTACGGAGGAGGCGCTCACAAGCCGAAGCGGGGAAGACTAAGGCAGGGCCTTTAAACGCAGTACGACCACAAATTACTATGTAATGAAGCTTATCTACTAGGGGCTGGTTCACATTAGGGCACATGTGATTTCTGATTCGTTCAAACAAAGTGCCGGGCCGGGGCGGGCCCAACAATGCTCCATAAACGCAAGCACCAAACTCACCTGCATATTCTGCAATACGAAAGAGTTGCCGCAAGACGATAACGTGATCGACGTTCCCGATTCTTCTCTCACTGTCTGTCGGAAACTTGACTCGCAGCATAAATTATTCACAGAGACAAAGCGATAGCATAGGCGGCGAAGAAGAGAGAAGAGAGGCGGGGACGTTGCATTTCCTGGTCTGCCCAGCCGCCGAGATCGTTTGCGGGTTCCACTGCATATTGATAAAGTATTTGCTGACAGCACTAATCGCCATCATGCCATGCGATGATGTCGTATAATAATATCCAAGACGGAGAACAAAATGACTCTGTTGAGGTTCCCGAGACGCAGAGCCTCCTCTTTCACCACCGCCACCAGCACCATCGCCCTCACGACGACGACGACGACGACGACGACGACGACGAAGAAGAGGACTCATTTCTTTCTCCACCAGGACGCCAGGCATTCATACTATCCTCTATCACAAAGCTCACCAAGATGGGCATGAGTTCCTTCAGGGAGAGGGTCTCCTTCTTCCGCCACCACGCCGAGCGCTCCCCCGTCGAGCGCGACCTCGTGCGCCGTCTCGACATCTTTCTCATGACTTTCGGCTGCGTGTCGCAGGTGATCAAGTACCTCGACCAGACCAACATCTCCAACGCTTATGTGTCGGGCATGAAGGAGGACCTGGGCCTGTACGGCAACCAACTAAACTACATGACCACCTGGTTCTCTGTCAGCTACTGCATCATGTTGATCCCCAGCCAGGTCATTATGACCTGGGTGAGGCCGTCCTGGTGGCTGCCAGGGCTGGAGATCGGCTGGGGTATCATGACGGGGCTGATCGCCCTGTGCCAGAACGCCCAACAGGTCTACGTGCTGCGTGTGTTCCTGGGCCTGTTTGAGAGCAGTGCGTGGCCAGGAATGATGACCCTGCTGAGTACGAGATTCCTTTTCCTATTTTTGAATGCATTTCTTGGAGAGAAAGGTTTTTTTCACGATAAAACATTTTGAGAAGAAAAAACTTTGCGGGAGAAAAAGCTTTTGAGGAGAAGAAACTTTGAGAAGAAGGAACTTTAAGAAGAAACTTCAAGAAGAAGAAGAAAAACTTTTGGAAAGCAAAGAAAAGAGAAAGATGGAAACTTTTGTTCTTCCTGCTAACAACAATACACAACACAGTGTACTGGTATACCCCAATGGAGCTGGCCAAGCGTATGGGCTTCTATCACAGCTGCCAATCGATTGGAAGCATGCTCTCTGGCGCCCTTCAGACCGCTATCCTCGAAACCGTTGATGGGGCTCGGGGCATCGCAGGCTGGCGCTGGCTGTTCGTCATCAACGCCTGCATGACCGTTGTCGTCGGGCTGGCTGGGTTTTTTATGCTTCCCGACTATCCTTCGCAACCCAACCCGCGCGCCTCCTTCTGGCTCACTCCGGAGCACACTCGCGTTGCCCAGGACAGGCTTGAGAGGCATGGTCGAGCCGAGGTCAAGAAGATCACCTGGGCGGCGGCCAGACGGACGGCGGGCATGTGGGTGGCGTACTTTGTGCCGCTGCTGTATATCGCGACTGTTTTGGCGCAGTATGGGTACAACTACTTCAACCTGTTTCTGAAATCCGTCACCAACTCGGATGGTTCGCCGCGCTGGTCTACAGCCCAAGTCAACTCGATCCCCATCGCTGGTGGCGCCATCAACGTCGCCTTTGTCTGGATCTGGGCTATCCTGTCGGATGTTCTGCAGACGCGATGGCTGCTCCTCGTCACCCAGGCTGTGCTGGGTTTGATCCCGGCCATCATCATGAGTATATGGACACGCCATCCTAACAGCACACCCATCGGAGCCGCTTATGCGAGCTACTTCATGTCGTACATGTGTCTGGGCACGGCACCGCTCATCATGTCATGGCTTTCTGATTTGCTCCCGCAGGACCCGGAGGCGCGGACTTTAATCCTGGGCTATGCTATTGCTGGCGTATATGCCATTATTGCCTGGTCACAGGTTCTGGTCTGGCCTGCCTCTGAGGCGCCGTATTATCGCTATGCCTGGCAGGTTTCGATCGCGCTGTGGATTTTGGTGATGATTATGGTTGTCTTCCTTCGCATTGTGGATAACAAGTATCTGTTGTAAGTTGACCACAGATTGATTTCATCTTCTCTACTTGTTGAAAATACCAGGGGGATTGCTGACTCGACGGGGTTTTCCCCTCTTATTACAGACCAAAGAGACTTGCTGCTCGTCAGACTGTGGTGGCAACGACAAAGCCCGATGACGAGGACGTTGGACCTGTGGATGCGGCTGGACAGCCAGTGAATCCCAAGAGGACCGAGATCGAGGCCACCACAGTGGCATAGAAGGAACTACGCCTTTCAAAATATGACATCTGGAGGAACTTTTTGTCACTTGACAGTTTGCATGTAGATCAAGTGCCCCACACCAAGAGAGGCACTTCTCCAGTTTTACACTTTACCATGCACAACCTTAAGTCCAATCCAGAATTTGTAAGAGACAGATAAACATGTGCCATCATCGTGATCATGATGTAATAATGTAGGTATGTTCTCCAATACAGCAATACGCGAATTACTATGCACATGAGGTTCGGCCCAAAAAGGCGTGCCGACCCTCCGGAGTAGCCCCTGAGCATTACCCATCTTTTGAGCCATCCACCCATCCAGTCCACCCCCTTTTTTTACTGCCCCTCTATGCTCGCAGGCGGTGAATACGGTGCACACTACCATGACCAAAGCCAGTGTACTATATGTCTGTGTTAGTGTCAGACTGAATACCCCACCTTGTTCCTGACAGAATGCTTCCATGGTCCACAGAAGCCCAGTATACCCGCATACTTCCACAAATCATGTGCAGGGGCAGACCGCTTCCGCCCCGTTTCGTCGCCCGGAGCCGAGATGAGATAAATGCGGGACCTTTCAGGAACAAGGGGGGGGGGGGGATCCGTCATTTTGTCCCGCGGGAGCATGATTTGTGTTTCGAAGAGAGTGAGAATGACGGAGGGAGAAAGAGTTACGGACAGACAGCTGGGTGGCGATGCAGAAGGATTAAAAACAAAGAGAACGAGTTGAGTGAGCTGCTCTTAGACGCTGCATCCGATCCTCTTGTCGTCTTCGGCCCTGGCCCTCGCTCGCCCACTCTGCTCTTCTGTCGTACACGATTGACCTGATCGATTCTCTCTCTCTCTCTCTTTCCGGATCGTCCGCCCCTCGTCCTGCTCGCTCGACCAATTCAAATCACACACTTCTTCTCTCTCTGTTTTGAGAGTGCGTTGTTCCCTGAGTGACGACGTCACCCCGTCGTGTCTTTTCTCGGCCCTCCCTCTTTGCTCCTCCCAAGGACCACAAGAAAGATGCCTCTCAAGTCACCACGCCGGTCAAGGGACCTCGAGAAGGCCGTGCAGAGCGTGCGCTTCGTCGACGAGCCCAGGTCCTCCACAGACTCCGAGATCGCAGCCAGGCCGCGTCTCGTCCAACCTAGACGATCGTGGCGGTCGCGCATAATATCGCCTGAGGTCATCCCCTGGGTTCTGACATGCGTGTTTGCGACGACCACGATCCTGTTGCTCCTGCAGAGGCCCGAATCGAGGAGATTTGGTTCCTATGAGATGAGGTTTCGAACAGATTTGAGTGAGTGGAATGAAACTCTCCCACTCTCCCACAGCCCCGGCCCCTCGGAAAAGTACACTTCCTTGAGATGAGGGGGCATACTCTATAATATGGTATGAAACTTGAGAGAGAATACGCTAACAAGGACTCCCTTTTCCTCTTCAGAATCCCTCGAAGCGGTCCCCTTGGAGGTCAAGCGGTTCTACGGCAGCCCAAATTTTGACGAGAATGGCACGATGCACACACCCGATGTGGACAAGCACGCCCACTGGCCCGAGAATAAATTGTTTGTCGGCGAACCCTCGCACGAGATCGACGACAACTGGCTCGACCTGATTGGGGATCGATACTTCTCCATCTCAGAGGAGGAGGCCATCGAGGCTTGGGGTGAGAGGCGGCATGAGTATGTGGATGAGGACCATGGCGGATACACTGCTGGTCTGGATGTGTTCCACACCCTGCACTGTCTTGTACGTTGGACCCACCGTCACCATCTATAAAGAGAGTATACCTAACCTAACAACACATCTCTTCCAGAACCAAATCCGCATGGCTCTCTCCCCAGATCACTACAACCATCACGGCATGCCCGTCGAGACAAGCGCCGCCCACACCGCCCACTGTCTCGATGCTATCCGCCAGCACGTCCAGTGCTATGGCAGCACTACTTTGATCCCGACCAAGTGGCGCGACGGCGCACAACGCCAGTACATCGACTCGAACCAGGAGCACGTCTGCAGAGACTTCTCATACCTGCGGAAGTTTGTAAAGCGGCGGAACTTGGGCGGGGATTTGTATGTGTCGCGGGATAAGTCGCTTAGGCACAGCGAGGAGGACAAGGAAGAGGAGGTGGTAGTAGTTGTTGGGGTTGAAGAGGTGGCAGATGGCGTAGAGGTGGCGGAGTAAATAAATAAAATCAGTACATTAAATCACCCAAAGAGGCGAGGTAAATTTAAAGATAATCAACTCACAATGTGTCTGCGCTTGTGAGGCCATATGCAGCGACAATCAAGTCTCCAGATTGTAATACACTTGCATATTAACAAAACGGTAGACAACTTGAACGATTGTTGTCAATTACTGTCAGAACCACCAGGGAAAAGAGATCATACATGCATCACTACTTCAGTGGTGTGAAATGAAACAAGGCGAAATCATTCAACAAGATTTGGCGTGATTACATAGGTCAACGTTTCATTCGACTTACTTAAGCTTCAGGCTTGGAATATCACCTTTTCAGTATCTCGGTCAATAACATGCAGTCATGATCACAATGACACTTCTTCGTTTTCCACATGTTGCTGCCTTTGGAAGGCTATATGTTCAACATTCGCGTAGTTGTCAGCCCACCATCATCAGAGTTTGGGCGCCCGAGTACAACAGACAAAGAGCATACAACGTTCACAAGTCTTTGCAAGCAGGAGAGCGAGGCGTCATCCTAAGCCAAGACGTCTCTAACGAAATGTGCCAACCAGGATAGAGAACAGCCAATCAATTGATGGACATCAAAAATGAACCGGATTTGATATACTGAAAGGAACCAGCACCAGCGACAAAATCTAATCGGCGGCATACCTACCTCCAAATGATTATCACCAAGAGTACAAGCTGATGATTAGTGCAATGTTAAAAGCATATAGTGTCATCACGATGAATTCATTCGGCTTTTATGAAAATATCAGCTGCGACAGCTGAAGTTGAGGGGAGGGAAAAAAGATGTATTTTGCTGCGAGACCTCAGTCTACGACCAAACAGCCACGCCCTCCTAACCTGTGCTGGATTTGACCATTCTTTCAACACTTTTGGTCACTGTACATGTTTATCGATCTGTGCCTTGCTGATTTGTTCCTCGACTTTCTGCTTATAGCCTAGTCGAGCAATACCCGCCCCTTGAGCTACTTATTTAATACTGCTTACAAGACGTCCAAGTAGCCCGAACCCATGTTGGACAAACCATCTCCGCCGTGCACTCAGTGTCTTCGTGCAGCCAGTCATTCAGAAGAACCATCTCGCAGTGATTTGTGTGTTTCCAATCCATCAAGTAGCTGTCGATCGGTTGGTTCTTCTCGAGAAGTGCCTTGTGCATCTTCTTCCACATGTACTGTTGCGGACGATGGTAAGTAGGGTGATCTGGACAGCGGCGTGACACATGGAGACAGATGGACGCAGTCATGATTCACTTACGGTACAATGAACGTAGTGGTACTTCTTCTGCGTAAACAGCTTGGGATAGTCTCCCCGGAAGACAACATCAAGCGGGACCTCCGACTCGGGGGTCAACTTTGGGTCGAAATGCCACGAGTAGTCGGTTCTGTTCATGAAATCCTTGACCATCTCCTTGTCGTAACACTCTGGGCGAACCCAGATCCAACCCATCGGGTCGAAGATACAGCCCTTTGCACGGGCCTCTTCAACGGACCCGTCCGCACCACAGTCGCCGTGGTCGACGGGGCCCGCCTGGGCAATATCATGCACCTCTTTGGCTGTGTAAATGATGGCGCAGGCGCAGACAAGTGCGGTCAGGGCGAGGAGAGCCTTGAGGACCAGGCCTGACCGTGAACGGCGGTTCTGGCTGGCGACTTTCAGCCGCTCGCCCAGAAGAGTCATGCCAGAGCCGTCATCTGAAAGTGAGGCAGCCTCGAAGGAGGTCTTGTGGTCTTCTTTGTGAGAGTCCATGACTGCGAACGTAGAAATATGAAGGGAATATGTCCCAATAAGTGAAGGTGTATAGTGACGGACGCAGACAGGAAAAGAGGTAGAGAGTCTTGCAAGCACGCGCGGTATATTTGAGGCTTCTCGAGTCAGAGAGCGTGTTGCAAACTTGTAGGGGAGAAAAGAAGTCGAAAGGGAGACGGGCGTGCTCAAAACCCGGGTTCCTGTAGAGGCGGCTTTTCACACTCTTCAAGACATCAGAACGAGGCCATGCCGTCGGACGAACTCCACCGCCGGAGGATCACAGCCTGCCTATCGTAAACGAGGTCGTTGTTGCATCTTTAGCTCCATTATCTATGACAGGATACACCAATCGTAAGACGTGCTGGGCGTCGCCACTGACTCACCGTATGTCCTTTTGTCGGATACAGTCTTCAAGATGTCACGATACATTCAAAGATTGTCTAACTTGAGACAACTAGACATGGGAGTGGGTGGCTAGACCTTTCACCGGGTCCAGCGGATTGCAAGGTGTGTAAGCGATTTCGAGCCGTTTCAAGCTCTATTGAACCGTACATCCAATCTCGGTATAATGCTGCTTCACTAGCTCTGGCACAGCACATGACCGTTGCAAGCCTCTCTATCTGGCGCCATCGTGGCAGGCCGTAAAAGGCAAAAACCTTGGGGGCGGGGGCCCACAAACGGTAGCAGGGCAGCCTCAGTAAGGGCGGCATTCAGATAATGGAGCGGAGATCGCTCCTATAGTGGGCTAGTGTGGATCCTACGGGATGCTTGCAAGTGACTAAAAGATTACATCGTTGCTGACTACGTGGCGAGGCCAGCCGAAGCAGAGCTGTGCCTCAGCCTTGCGTGCCGAGGATAGAGAGGGTCCGGGTACCGTTTCAACGTTGGACAAAAAAAAAACCCCCAAGAACCTTCAACCGAGATCGGAAAGATAGCTAGGGGAATTGGAATAGTCTTTGGTCGCCCTTCTTCGGTCACAAACACTCGAGCTCTCCCTTTCCCGCGAAATTCTGACGCCGCAGAGTGCTGGCGACCTTGAACTTGGCCGAGGAACGCTTCTTCACGCCTCTCTTTTGGTCTTCTCGTGTGCCTATTCTGCAGTCATGTCATCAACCAGACCCTCACGAGCTCTCCTAAACTCAGGACACATGAAGTACTCGCCAGTCTCAACAGAGGATGACCTCTCCATCGAGGAGGGCTCATCATTACAACCCTTTCGTTTCCGCCATGGAGATACGTGGCTCCGTCTCTGCCAACTCTTACCTTGGGCACTCACTATTGTCTTTGCCTGTATTTCCATGATTCTATCTATGAAAATCAGCTACAATAGAGATGAACAGTGTCGCGAGCATGAACAAATTGCCTCTTTTGCAACAGGATACGCTACAGATTTTGGTATACACCCTTACCCACACTCGCACATTGCATCCAAGAGAAACTTTCTAATTCCTCATGCCTTTCATCAGTAACGGCTCGGCAGCATATTCATGTAGAACAAGTCCGTTTTACGGGATCTCCGTCCTTTCATGAGGATGGAACGATGTGGATTCCCAATCCAGAGCCTATGCTCTACGTCGGCGATCCAAGTGTCCATCCCGAGATCGACCAAAATTGGGACAACCTTACATGGGGTGAGCTATTCTTCATTCACAAATTGCGAGGTTCATATCTGACAAAATTTCAAGGCCGCTACATTCTCATCACGAGGGAAGAAGCCATAGAATCTTGGGGTGAACAGGATATCGATTTATACTTCGACCATCAACGTGGGGGTTATGTTGCTGGGTATGTACCCTCGACGGAGTTCTTTCACAGAGAATGGTTAACTGATAAATGAACTCAGGCTGGATATGTTTCATACGCTTCATTGCTTGGTAGGCTGTCCTCATTTTCCTTATACATAGTCTGAGTAATGACCACGGCTAATCCTTGCTCTGCTGCAGAACCAACTTCGGCAAGCCCTTATGCCGGAGCATTATGAGGCCCATGGGCACAAAGCCAGAGCAGACAATGCTGCGCTGCACCAAAATCACTGCATCGAACAGATGCGGCAGTATATCATGTGTTCGGGGGACATGACACCTATACCTACAAAATACTACTCTGGCCTCGGAAGGAATTATGTGGACTCTGATGTACCACATACTTGCCGCAACTTTGCAGCTTTGCATGATTGGGTCGTTGCTCGATACGATGGTGCGGAAGCAATACAGCCCATTTTCGAGGCTTAGAAGTGTAAAGTTCACTACATAGAAACTTGAGATATCTTGCATACAGGGGCAAATCAATCCAATACAGAATACAGAATAAGCTTGGGCATCAGCCAACAGCACATGCGATTGTTTTGTTTCACTATCAGTTCGAAATTCTGATCCTCTTGCATCGGTCAAATTGGTCTCACCAGAATCTCTGCTTGCACATGCTCTGTGAATTATCATTTCTCTGCCTCTTTTCTTATTCTCCTTCATCCCTCTCTTTATGCTACTCAATTTGAGACCTGGTGAGTTTTAAGAGTGGCACGGACAGGTGAAAGAAATGGTTGATAGTCCCTTTCAACTCTTTAGGTGAATATACAGTTTTGGAGCCCAGAGCGGACCCACGTCTTTGTCATGATTTCAAAGGATTGTCTCACACGGCCTAAACACCAGGCATCTTGGAAGCTTTGCTTCAAACTCAGGAATATCAGCAATTGAACGGAATTGTTTCTGTCTACAGATGTACAACTTGGACCGTTCTCTTGAGAATAATCTGGCAAGCGGATGTCTCGTTTTGACCCAGACCCCATAGTCATTCAACTAGTGTGGTCAGAAGAAATAAATTTGGTGAAAGTCAAGCAGATGATCATTGAACAGTAAACCACAAACGCCTACAGCTTATATACAGGCCAAAGACGTTGATCCCCAAGGGTGTTTAGCCAAACTTGGTGCTTCCTTCGCAGACTTCAGTATAATCATGATCTCTGAGACATGAGCTCATTCATTGTGATGATGAGAGGCTGCATGAAACGCTTCCAAGCGAATCTGATACTCCTCCTGTGGAAAATGGCGATCAGGATGCAACATCCACTCAGTTAACTTCTCAAAATCACGGCAGACATGAGTAGTGTGGGCGTCTGGAAATTCTGACTGCACCCGGTCCATCCATTTCCATGGAATGGTGCTGATATCCGAGTAGCATGTGATTGTCTGACGGAGATTATCCACACAGTGATCTAGGGTTACAACATTGTGTTAGTATTTCCTCACTCAGCTGTGGTTCGTTGGTGTGGCTTGTAATTACCGATATGGATCCAGTACTCCTTTTTCTCCTGCTCATTCATGCTTTTATCTCCACCGTAGTAGTCTGGGTACAAGGCTCGGCGGATGAAATCTAGACAGTGTAGTTGATGGTAGACTTCAAGCCCGACAATATAACCATCCTCTTCTCCTGGGATAGGCAGAGTGTGGTTCGGCAACTGCTCTGCCTGTGCCTTTGGAATCTTGATCACGCCGACGCCTGAGGGGGCTGGACTCAGCTTCGAATACTGGTAGATAGAGTGTAGAGAAATGGTTTGAATTATTACCTCGATAGATGGCATCCCAAGCTTTGTCCACCTCATCAGTTGGGGGGCCCTGCCAAGGCGTCCGATCTTCGTGGAAGTTATTGTGAAACACGACAGGCTTGTATTCCACAGCTTCGAAAGCTGGGGAGTAGAGTTCAGGGGTGCTTCTCGGGACGTAGTCGATCTTGTCGCCCTCGGTTGCTGATTCATATCAATATCTATGTAAGTTCTCATGACTACGAGAGAAACCTGGAGTGGGACTGTTAGGACTCACAGTAAAGCTCGGCGATATTGATGAAAGTGTCCTTTGACCAGAATTCTCTTCTGGCCCAGAAAATGCAGACAAACGTCAAAAGACTCGCTAGGACAGTGACTGTGAGTTTCAGGACTCGTAACTCTCGGACTAAGTTGAGATTGACTGCGAGATCCCCGTCCGACGCAGGGAGCGAGATGTTGTCAAGGGCCTCATCTTTCTGATCCGGCGATGGAAGAGTCTGATAATCTCTCTTCGCAAGCCGAGAGGAGACTGCTTCGTTGAATTGCCTTTTCAGTTGTGAAAGCATTGTGAAGAATGGGCGGTGACAGCAATAGAACTGAGATTCGATTGAGTTCTTGTGCGAGAACAATTGATAACCCAAGACATGCGTGTCGGTGCGAGCAATTCGTGCTCTCATTCGAATTGAACCTGGGGGACGCCAGACTATCCTTTCAAGATGAAGAGACCTCAGTAATGCACGTCCGAGCTCGGATAACACTGGGACAGAAGAGAAGGGCCGTAAGGATTTCCCGGAATCCGAAGACTTGCTTCTCCTAGTTTGCCTTATCATCTAGTGGACGAGGCTGTTCGCACAGCGTAGCCGCTAACCTAAGCCGTGACTTGGTCCGCGGTGACGAGCTGATTCGACGCCGCAGGGCTGCATACCAACAAAGGTACCACGACAGGGTAAGAATTCGGCCCCACCATCATTTTCAAGTCAGCCGTAGTGCATCAGTAAGCCAAAGGAAGAACTAGTTGTGCATTGCATGCCAGCTAGCGCAGGCGTTCCATTTTGTGAAGACTTCGCATAACTGAATAAATGCAAAATTCTCGATAGACCAATACTTTTGAAACAGCATTTCACTTCTGAGGGCCGTCACTGGATCGAACGAACCCGCCAAGTGGCTTTGCACAGCGTGTGCAACTTGAGCCGTCTTTTGAAGCAAACAGAACATCAAGATTGCTCGTGAGATCAACGCGTTTCCTCCAGAGTAGGTTGAGCCTTTACTGTGGTGCGGATATAATTCCAAGCTGACTTTTGTAAAGATACGTTCTTCATCAAACCACCTCAACACTCGAAACAAACATACAGTCTGAAGCTCCTCAAACACCATGTCCCCAAGATATGTGGACCACAGCCCTCAGGCCGGGACACTGGGAGACTCAGGACACCTTGATGGCAATATGGACACGGAAGACAAGGAGGACAACGTCTCAGATCTGCGGCAGTCACCATATCGCCGTCAACCCTTTTATGCTATTGTCCTATTTGCGGTGTCATTGGTGATCATTGGTGGAATCCTGCTTGTTGGATTTTATTCTACGGCAAACAAAGGCACCGAAACATTGGAGCTGAGGATTGATGAGGAGTGCGGTGAGTCTGCTGCCCAGGCAAGACAAGCTGGATGTGTATTTGATGCTATACTCATGGGTTGGGTGCCTTGGAGGTGCCATGATACGGAACTGGCAGTGGAATTTATGGAAAGGAACGACTGGGCGTTCTACCACGATATGAACAAGACCGGTGCTCCTGTACCCGAGGATGAAATTCTTCAAGGGGAATGGAGTGAGTTCTATGTGGACTATCATTATCAAGTCATTCACTGTATGTATGCTTGGAGGAAAACACAGCGTGCTGCGGTGGGTGGGTCGGTACTGGATGGATATCTGGCAGATCCTCATCACACAAGCCATTGTGAGATGATGCTTTCGCATGAAGACCTGGCTGATAAGACTGTCTATATGAAGTATGCTGGCTGTCCACATATTCATGTAAACCGGGGTCGTTTTGGTTGGTATAGGATGCTTGGTGGCAAGAAAACTTATAGGCAACCATAATGTCGCAATGTAATGAATGTTTCTGCAATCTTGGGACACATTGAGACGGCAAGTCTGCGACCAAATTGTTGAAGCTAACATTTGTCCTTGTTTAATATGCCATGGCAGCGTAATCATGGGCGCTGCAGCCAGAAAATTTATCATGAGCGCAGATAACTTCAGTACATGTACATATATGCATCCACACAGGTAGGACTCCAACTTCATATACGGATACAAAAGGCTTTCTTGATTATTGGAAACAATGATGGTTAGGATATGCTATTCATCGAGCGCATATCCATCAGTCCCTTCATCCGTCCTTTCGATAGTAATAGAACCCAAATCAAGACCCTCTACAGTCCTTACATTGAGTGGCTTCAGATTCAAGTTCTTATGGTAGACGGCCAGGGCTAGCTCCTTTCGCTCAGCAGGGAGTTTGTCGAAGATGCTAATGGGTGGTCCATAGATATTCGAGAAAACCATGACGCCACAGGTCTTGCAGTGAGAGATGCCACTGTACCCGGGTGCCTTCTTGTACTCAAAGGTATCTTCCATGCCGCGGAGTTTGACTTGATCCTTGGTAGGATAAACTCCTATATATGCATTCTGGCAAGGTCATTGAGTAAGAAGTCTCAACATAAAAAGTTCGTCATGCTGATTGTTGGATTCGAGCTTACTCTGACACATGAGCTACAGTTGTCTTCTTTCACCTCTTGCTCCTGTAGAGGGGTGAAAAGCTCCGCCTGGACGGCCGCACAGTGGCATGAGAACAAATGCTGTGCTTGCGGTTCGGAACGACTGGGGTTTCGCGTCTGCTGTTTATCTTCCTCTGCGTGGCTGGTGGTCACCCTGCAGGCTAAGTTCAGAAAACGGAAGACAGTGGAATGGGAAAAGGTTATCGTACTGAATTTTGAAAGGATTCACCCCTTGGATCGCCCGCACATTCACAGCAAGCTGGCCACTCAGTGGTCCAGTCAGATGTTCACCAACCACTCCTGTGCCGCAGTAGTTGCAAAACTGGTGGGTTTGCTAGTCAACAAGGGAAACGCAAGGGGCCAGGGATCAGTTGAATACACACCTGGTCATGGAGAGATTTGCAATAGTAGTGGCTTAGGTTCTCATCATCCTTGGTCACCTGGAAACTGCCCTTTGGGGGCACAAGCCAGAGATAGCCTTTCTTTTCGCAAAGACCACAGGAACAACGTATTGCACTTTGAATTTCGGGCACTGTCAAAGTGAAACGAAAGCGCCCACAGTGACAATTGCCACGGTATGTTTGTAAGTCAGCCATAACAGCAATGACACACAGCACTGGAACTCCTGATTTTGTTTGGTGAACGCTTCATGAGCTGCTCATCTGCTGGAGGACAGAAACGGCCTCTCATCCAAGGAAGCAAGTTTCAAGATAAGAATATTGTTATATCATGGCATACTACTTAAAAGTCCATTTGCGCATTACTGCATATATTGTGCAAAGGATTTCGAACCAACCCCAAAAGTACGGGAGCACGCAGTTTCATGCCCAAAGTGTCGACATCGGCTCTCCACAGTCTGTAAGCGAATGCCGCCACGACGTTGGCAACGGGAAGCGGCCTTGGCTCCGAAGCGCTTGCAATCCTGCGGCAGATACTATAGTAGTCGCAAATCCTACAGCTGACGACCACGATTTGATAGGTGATAAGGATTCCGGAGGTTCTGAATCTCACCTCGGCCCCTTTGCAGCATGTTTCCGCCCGCATCCCCGTTCTCCACAAGGACTGAAACGTTGCCCGTATCTCTAAACTGATCCTACAAGCCTAGTCGTGATCACATGACTGAGACAGTAAGCTTTATCATCGGCGGTGTCGTGAGTGCACTTGTATCTTGCTTTGGGGGCCTTTGGCAATGCCAAAAACGCCGCTTCAAGTCAAGAACCAAATCCTAAGTACCTCTACAAGTCAAGGATCTTATCCGATTGTCGTGGAGAGAAGGTGGGAGAAGGAGCCGTACAAGCTAGCTATCTTGCTAGGCTCTACGTGATCCCTTGTACAGGGGGCTGGTTGTTGAGCTGAGGGCATTCAGACTAATGCGCAACAGTGCGAATGGTCCCGGACGAAATGGTCCCCGAAGAGATGGGTGCGGAGGAAATTTGTGGAAGAATCACAAGGACGGGCCAAGACATGTCGTCTTCGATTGAGTAATTGTGCCGCCTCTGAGAGCGAGCCTACCATATAAAGGGATAGCAGCCCGACAAAGGGAATATGACTTGGACGTTGATACAAGCTTCGTCGATCCTATTATCCAAGTACAGCCTCTCCTTGTTTGTTCCTAAAGAAACTGGTCACATCCCTTCTCTTATTACAGACTTTATCCACCGTCGCAATGAAGTTCTCCATCCTCCTCTTCGTTGCCACCGCTCTCGGTGCGCCTGTCGTCACGCAGCGCGATACTGACACCACTGAGGGCGTCGTCACTTGGGCTGATGTGGCTGCACGCGACACCGATACCACTGAGGGTGTCGTTACTTGGGCCGACGTTGCTGCTCGTGACTCTGACACTACCGAGGGTGTCGTCACTTGGGCCGACGTTGCTGCGCGTGACTCTGACACTACCGAGGGTGTCGTCACTTGGGCCGACGTTGCTGCGCGTGACTCTGACACTACCGAGGGTGTTGTTACTTGGGCGGATGTCGCCGCGCGTGACTCTGACACTACTGAGGGTGTTGTTACTTGGGCCGACGTCGCTGCGCGTGGCACTGATACCACTGAGGGTGTTGTCACTTGGGCCGACGTTGCTGCGCGTGACACTGACACCACTGAGGGTGTCGTTACTTGGGCCGACGTTGCTGCATAGACTGTCCCGACCTGAGATATGTAAGTTTGATTGACCAACAAAGAATCTCTGTTTGACCCCTGCTAAACGTTTCTAGCCAGGCGAATACCCGACGAGGTCTACTTCACCATTTTGACCAGGATGGCCTAAGATGTTGAGATGGCTAGCGAAACAGAAGAGGCTGTTGGGAAGGGGAGAGTCGGGATAGGGGCCGCACTCACGATACTGTGATGGAGGGTAGAGTACTCGCAGCTTCAGCCTTTAGAGTACTTAACCAAGCAGTGTCCACCGTCACACTCCAATCGGCATATGACTGGAATGAGTTACAATTGATCAGTGCAACCTATTACCACATGATATTCGCAGAGTCTCGTAGTGATTTATAGCACGTTGGCAATGCTAGCAAATGTAACCGATCATTCATTTTACTGATTAAGGATCAAACAAGGATTGACTCGAGGCATTGGAATCTCTTCAGGGCTCCAAGGCAGAGCTACAAGTGAGACGAAAGACGTCCACATAGCCACAGTCGCTTGGGTGTCTGAGTCGGCAACAACGATCTTGGAACGAAATGATTGGGGGCTACCTCTGCTAAGATTACAACTTCAGACCTTCCTGAATAGATTCTCATGCCTGCTTCTGTCAGCTCTCGGGTGGATTACCGACATCTTCATCCCAGGGGCGAAGCCTTTCCACAAAAGCCTTGCTTGCACAGAACGGTAGACGCGGTCCTCCATGTTGATTCCCTCCAACACTTTAGCCATTGTTGCGATGTCTTGTGCAGAATTATTACAACCCGTTTTTCTGCAGCATCTCAACACTTTTGCATCTCTTTCGCCATGTGAACGCTTTGGACGTCACCGCCACTGCTGTAATCACAGGCGTAGCAGGATATGTACCTGTGGCAGGCCGAAAACTTTGCCTTCTTAGCCGGGACTAGTATGTAACGAGTTTCTCGAATACGATCATGAAGTTGTCTGGCTTGTGGACTGGCTGGGGCTTTGAAGCCGACCTTTCAGTTCCGTAATGGCCTTTGCATGAGTGTATTCCGATCGTGAGGCTCAAGTCTCTCGCTCAATCCTTCCAGTCACAACCAGTTAGATTACAAATTGTCAAGTTGGTCTTTGCACAACGATGAGCTTCTGGCCCCAGGGGCAGACCACGCACCGCTTGTGGTCTAATTTTTTTTTTCTTGGGAGGGGCGGGAGGCAACTTAGAGTAATTTGTACCGAAAAGGGCCTATCTAGCGCTGCGATTTAACACATATGGACGTTTGGACTTGAGAATTTTGCTTCAGACGGCTCTCCAGAAAACCTCAACACATGTCTTCAGAAAGATTATATAGACCCAAGATATTTTTTGTTTTTGGCTTTTTTTACGCTGAAGTACGCATAATAAACAAGCTAATTAGCGCACATACGACTCTCTCACAAGGTCCCTTGGTCCGACAAAGATGCCCAAGAGACGTCGGGAAAGCTAACGCCACGGGCGGCCTGCGATAATGAAAGCGGATGTTCATAATTTGAAGCTTATCAGCTCAAGGCTCACAACAAACATTGAATCATAACAACTGTCCGTGGCCAGATAACACTGTCCGGAGCGGACTGACGACACGATTACGATGATGTATAACCTCACTACTCAGATATGCATATGGCCAACCCTTAAAAAAAGGCCGTTCTGTGCCCTTGTATTTCTTATGTCTTTAGTGCGGCATAGCACTCATGCCGATTCGCTTTGTCCTTTGCAATTGTTATAGCGTAATGCGCCTTTAACCTTGATTGCGTTTAGCTTTAGATTTGCATGTGATTGCTTTGCTAGGCTGGGGTGTACTTGCAAGAGTAGACTTCAACGGCAAACTCTTTTAATTCTCGGCATGAAAGCCTCAGATCCACAACTTCCGCGATGGTGGCTTGGGCGTCTTAGCACAGCGGATGCTCGACCTGCAGACATGTCACCCTCTGCGCCGAGGCTTTTAGCGACAAAGTCAACAACCCTCCAATACTACAGGTGAGAAGTTAATTCTTTCTTGGAGCGCCAGCAAAACGTGACGATTCTATGGGAGCTGATTGGGCAACGCATACATGACACCAGCCGCGCCTGTGGGTTCATCCAGAGTCTTCCAACTGTTGAAGCAAGCAGGCACGGTACCATCTAAATGACCAATCCTTTCAGAGAGCAATACCGATAGCCCGGTGAGGTATGTAGTAGCTCTAGATAGATACGGCTCTGTACATGAACCATATTAATGTTTGGTGTACGCTAGGCCAGTATAAACCCGGCATTTGAGTGGCTCTTCTGACACCTGTGATTGAGAATTCCCATGAATCAGTGATTGTCGAGACGGGTGAGGTGCCATGATTACTACCATTTATCGAAATCGGCGTCTCTGGGCCTGTGCCTAGACCTTGATAGGTTGCCATATATTTTTTGCTTGAAGAAAGTGCATCACAGGTGCTGACGGCATTTCCATGTTCAGTTCACATTCTGTTTACGGAAGTGAGCCAATGGTGTACCCAGGAGAAGAGTCGATGAGGATTTGTTGAGCCAGCTATGGACTTGACTACTCGTGATACTTGGGTAATGTCCAACTGCAGATCGGCACCCTACCAATGCTAGCTTTGAGTTGTCCATAGCAACTCCTGTCACCTTTGGGTCCGTGACTCCCCACTGACCAAGCCGACTGGCGCCCGTCCTGCTCGGGCGGCTCTGGTCGTAAACCTTTTGACACTTTAATGTTGCACCCCCTATTTATTTTGAGGTATAAAGCCAAATAAGACGTATAAGGGGACTAGGGTTCTTCCGCAAAATGCCTAGTGGCCTTCGTCAGGTTGCCGGCTTTTCCACAGCAAAAGGAGTGGTTGTATTTCACTTTGGCCGAAATTCGGAATCAGATGGTGTGGCCAGTGAGCCGATTACGCACCACTTTTGTCTCCATAGGTTCGCTCCGAACTCTTAAGGGATGCCTAGGTGGATGCTCGAGTGGGCGATTACTATAACAATTTGTGGGCGTGAATATAAGAGATCGGTCTGAGCATGGGTGATCCTAGAAAGTTTTGACCCTGCATGTTCAGGGACAGAAGTCATGATGATGAACCTGCGACTCTCTAGAGTGCTGGCTGCGTGCGTATAGAGGAACGTCGAAATTGAAGTCACAAGACGATGGTGAATAGACCAGTCCCTTTGAGGATGGAAAGGATGTTTACAAGAAGGTTGTCACCCGGAATGCTGTTTTGACTACTTCATATGATGGGATTGAATTGTTAAAACAGCTACGTCCATTCATATTAATAGGGTAATAGGAGGGTGCTGGGGGCGTGCAGGCAACCCCTCTAGGACGTGGCAGTAAGATGAGCAATTGCATCCGATTTCACAGTATGCAAATGCCGACCAACACCCACAGTTGCATATGCCCTGCAAGAATTCATGGGCAAGGGAATTGGAGACCGGTCGAGTGACGTCCACGGATTAGTCAAATGTCGTTCTGAAGGGTCGCATTCCGGCACAACAATATGTTCCTGTGTGGCCTTTGAAGTGCCTCATCCGCGATGGCAAGTTAGACTGTCACGAACTCTAGATAGAGCCAGACGTCACACCGACGGAGAGAATATTGGCTAGTCTTGGAACGTTATATTATTAGACGTACTATAGTGTAGTGTGCTCTTCTCAACGTCATACTCGCCCATGGGGAATCAATCATCCTTTGAGAATCGGCTCATAAATCGGTATAATGATGTCCTATGTTTCCACTTTTGCTTCTTCTCTCGTCGTGTAAAAGTACATCGGCATTTTGTCTATCCGGCCTTGAGCTAATCATTTCCGTTGCTGCTTCCTGGAACCAGCAATATCCTGCTGGTATAGAAATAGAATGACTTTGGTCTTGCCAGTACAGTAAGTTTATGGCCCGGCATGCATGATTCTAGCATTAAAATTAGGCCTAAATCATATTTGAAAACAGCCATGTTTCACAATCAAATGACGGCCCACTGTCTATCTTGTAGGTGTATTCATTCCTCAGCTTTGCAGCAAGGCGGCCAGAGAAAAGGGGGATGAGGGTGGAAAAGATGCATGTGATGCACCTCGGATTACATTGTTCTCTTAAGCAAGCCCCTCCATGGCTCAGGCATGTACTGTATAATGAATGTACGTACAGTAATGCATAACAATAGAGATCAAGAATTGTAAAGGCAAGCTAAGTTATCTGATTGCCTTTGTTCACTAATTGCCGGAAATGAGCAGTTCTATTCGATAGATAAGGCTGCCGGGTGGACCTGACAAGACGGGACTTAGCGTGAAGCTATTGAGCCGTCAAGGTCCAGCCCAATGTTTCTATTCATGCCAGACGTGCCGCTTCCAAGGCGGGCTGCGTATCAACCTTTCATTTCCTGTGCCATGCCGCCCTTTTCATGAGGCAATCCAACCCTCTGCGTCCCTCCCTGGCTTGGCGAGTCAAGCCAAAGGCTGACCACGTCTCGGACTGCCAACTCGTGAGCCACGCCTCCTCATTTACCTACAATCAAAGGAGCACTGGCAGCCAAGGGTCCATCCTTCGGCAGCTGAGAACGTACCCTCGGCTTCGAGATGGAGAGATGTCGTCACGTCTCCACGACAGCAGTGGGGGGTCCAGCGGAGGATGGTATCTTACATAGATCCTAGACCTGGTTCAATGTTCAACTCCATAGCATTGCAACCTCAGAAATGCTTGGTAGCCCCGACCCTGAAAAACCTGGGGTACGAACATCACCCGTTTTCAGCCCCCACCTCGACTGTTACTCGATCATATGCCTCAAGGTGTTGCCTCCAGCTTGTCACCCACTCACTGTAGCTGCCTTTTATCTCAGCAGTCGGTGTCGCATGAGAAACGAGTGAACCACGAACACACTCATCGAGTTTGGAAGCCAAGCATTGATCCAGCCGGCTGAAGGAAGGAAAAGAGAGAGAGAGAGAGAGAGAGAGAGAGCCAAAAAAAAAAAAAAAAAAAAAAAAGGAGAGAGTGTCGAGTATAGAGTTTCGCTCTCGGTCGATTGCATTGTCGTAGCACTACACCGTCCTGGGAGGTCCAGCCGACGTTGTCCCTGGCTAGAAGAACCCTTGCTATCTTCCTCCCATGTTCTAGTCGATCAGGCTGCCAACACGTATGTTGCATTGTTTCTCATTATAGAAGGTTTAACCTGGCCACGTGCTGGCAATGTTTACTGCTGCTACTAGTCATCGGCGCGGATACCGATATCAAGAGCGTCCAGCGAGGCCAACCTTATCTATTAGGATCCACAAAATACTTACAAGCCCCCGGTTCGTCGTATCTATCCTTCCCGCCTGTCAAGGCTCTCGCCGATGTCGTCTATCCACCTTATACTCCTCGACTGCTCCGTCCTGGACCGATATCACCGGCAGTTCCGTACCAAAATGACAAACCTTCTGTGGTACCACAGCTACGATGAAGTGCACTACCACCCCCCCCCCCCCCAGCTGGTTGACAGCCTCGCGACTTAATCACCGAGCTTAGCGCAGACCTATACCTGCATAGGGAGTGCTAGCCGGACAACCCCGCTGGAGAGTTCACTGGACCGCGCCATGATAAGGTCAGAAGGCTTTCATCCTGCTGTCGATCTTCAAGGTAATGAGAATATCCGAGTGTGGAGTTGACTAGTCCTATTTGTTTGTCCAAGAGGGGAGATGACAACCTCGGCCAGGTAGACTACTCCATGACCCTGATAGGAGGAAGCTGTCTACGTGGGGAAGGGGGGCCCTGGCTCGAATCTTTGATGTCGTCCAGAGGTGGTTTTGATAAATAGCCATGATGGTTCCCGCGATGGATGATCAGGTTGCTTCTTGTTGGCTCTTCACCTCTCTCGACAATCTCCTACTAGGCAAAGTGGTTTTTTCCCGCTCTGCTTGGCAACGAGAAGTGATCGCAAAGCAATCATGAGACTCTCGGATTCTATCTCGACCGGCTCGGCCGTCACACTCTCTCTGGCAACCCTCGGGCTGCTGGCAGAGAATGTGCTCGCCCGCCCTTCTCCCGAGCCCAAGGCGTCCTGGGTTCGTAAGGGCCACGGGCGCAAGGCCATGTCCAACGTGCTGAAGGGCAAGCGCGATGTCAACCTGCACAGGTTGACGGCCCGCAACGAGACTGCTTCCTGCTCTGGCGCGGGTGCCGTGGAGATCACGGCCCCCAAGCAGAATGTGTGGGACCAGCTCGACGATTCTGATGCTGCCAGTGTTGTTGCTTGGCTGTTTGCGCAGGAGCAGTTCAACTTGACGGTTTCGGAGGATGCCGGCCCATGGGATAACACAATGTGAGTTCTTATATATATATATATACATATATAAGATATGCCCAACACAGCTGACAATGAATTTTAAAATAGTATCCTTGTGGAGGCCATTCAGCCCAACAAGACTGATGCCTTGGCATATATCGACAGCGAGTGCACGGCGGCACCCACCAAGTGGGCCAAGGTTGTGCTCGATGTGCGAGCCACCGATGAGCCTTACTATCAAGATCTGATGGTTGGCCCAGTCCCTATCGACAACGCTACCGTCACCTATCAGCCTCTTACCTACCCTCTGACCAAGAAGACGGAGGGCAAGGTGCGCAACCTTGCTGCGGATGACGACGATGCCCTGTATACAGACTGGCTGTACCCCATCAGCGCGTCGATATCCGACATCACCCTGGACCTGTGGAACGGCACTGGTCTGGGCCTGGACAACGACACTCTGGATATCTGGGGCATTGATCCTCTGTGGCAAGAGGATGGACGTATCGTCCGCTGGGATACCTTCTGGAACTACCCCACCGACGAGTACGACGCCGAGACCCTTCTTCCTCTTGGACTCTTCTTCAAGTCGGATGTTACCGGCCGTGACCCAAGCCAGTGGAAGCTCGAGGGCTGGCTGTACAACGACATCTTCTATGAGACCACCGAGGAGTTCCGTGCCGCCTACTGGAGCGAGGGCTTCGTCAAGAACGGCGCCAACGTCGAAGGTGCTTGGGCCGGAACCGACCAGCAAGGTGAGATCCTGCCCATGGACGTCCTCTACCCGCCTGTCTCTGTCGCGCCCGCTGGCAACCGCTTCTCCGTCGACGCCGAGCAAAAGTACGTCGAGTGGATGGACTTCAGCTTTTACATTGGCTTCTCTCGTGATTCTGGCATCTCGCTGCACGACATCCGGTACAAGGGCGAGCGGCTCATCTACGAGCTTGCCCTGAACGAGGCGCTGGCCCACTACGCCGGCAACGACCCCGTCCAGTCTGGCACCGCGTACCTGGACAGCTACTACGGCTTTGGCCCCTACGCCTTCGAGCTGGTTTCTGGCTATGACTGCCCCAGCTACAGCACGTACCTCAACTCGACCTTCTACGTGTCCGAGACTGTGCACACGCACATCAACAGCATCTGCCTGTTCGAGTACGATGCCGACTTCCCCATCCAGCGGCACTCCAACAGCGAGTACGTTGCCGTGACCAAGAACACGTACTTCTCTGTGCGCTCCGTGTCGACTGTGGGCAACTACGACTACATGTTCACCTACACCTTCTTCCTGGACGGCTCCATTGCCGTCGAGGTGCGTGCCTCGGGCTACATCCAGTCTGCCTACTTCGCCGCGAACCAGGACTACGGCTATCAGATCCACGACTTCCTCTCTGGCTCCATGCACGACCACGTGCTCAACTTCAAGGCCGACTTCGACATCCTCGGCACTGCCAACACGGTCCAGCTCATGACCAACACGCCCGTGACGACCACCTACCCCTGGTCCGGCAACAAGACCCGCAACACCATGAAGCTCGAGCGCAAGTTCATCGAGAGCGAGGACGAGGGCCGTATCAACTGGGACACCAACTCCGTCACCCAGGTCCTTGTCGTCAACCAGGACGAGCTGAACGACTACGGCGAGATGCGCGGCTACCGCGTGCTGCCCTACACGGGCACTGCCCACCTGACGGTCCAGAACAGCAGCAACCTGGTCAACGCCGCACACTGGGCCGAGTACGATGTGCAGTTCACCCGTCAGAAGGATACCGAGCCCAAGTCGGCTCACGCCTACAACAGCCAGGACGTCAATGATCCTCCTGTTAACTTTGCCGAGTTCTTTGACGGCGAGAGCCTCGACCAGGAGGATCTGGTCGTCTGGTTCAACCTGGGCATGCACCATGGTAAGTGATCGCACATCCTCCCAAGCTATATTAGCAACATTCCTACCACCCTGGCAAAATGGAATGCCCCCCAGCTAACTTTGATGCCTTAACAGTTCCCCACACTGGTGATCTGCCCAACACCGTCTTCACCACCGCTCACTCGGGCGTCCAGTTCATGCCCTCCAACTACTTCAACCTGGACCAAAGTCGCAGCACTGTCAACATGGTCAAGATCCAGTACGAGAACGGCACCACTGTCGCTGTCGACACTTTCGGGCAGAAGCAGACCTCGGGCACGTGCGAGATCGACTACTCGGCTCAGGAGGCGGACTTCTGGGACTACACCGGTGACGTGGTCGTGCGCAAGTTCCCGTATGATCCTAATGACTGGTACTATGAGACGGACTCGATTGTCTAGAGGAACTGTTTCTTTCTTGTACATCAAGGAATCGTGTACTTGACCCTATTGCAACGCGCTGGGGATGTACATGATGTAGTTAAAAGAATTTAATTAATCATTGCCACGTTACTTGTATCTATTTCATGACGGTGTGGAGTAGTGGATAGTTGTTTGTGCCGTTGGTGGCTGTTGCTACTTCATGCAGTGCCTATGGGCTCAGTACTTAATATCGTCTCCTTAGATTGTGATTGTTGTCACAGGTGGTATATGAGAGTGAACGATAAAGATCTATGTGCTTATATATTCAGTAAGATCACACAAGACCAACTCCCACGAAAATGCAGGCAAACTCCCTTTTTCAAAGAACAAGCATCTGCTTCATTTCCGGCCCCCTTTCTGCCGGTAATTGCCAGCCTACTCAGTCACGCTTCTTACTAAACTTGGGCAGCGCCAACCAGAGCATAAGCTGTACGGCCAACAAGGCCAAAACAATAGGCTGCAGGACAGCCACACCTTTGGACTGGGCAATGGCACCCACCGCAAAGGGCAGCACGGCACCGCCTCCACCCCCAAAGGCAGCAGCGAAGCCGATGGCGCTGACATGGAGGTGCTTGGGCAGAGACTTGGAGACGGCGATGATGACAGCCGGGAAGAGGGGGCCCAGGAAGAATCCCACAAGGGCGATGGCTACGGCGGAGACGATGAACTGGGGGACGAGCCAGAAGAGGAGCTCGAGGCCCATGGCGGCGGGGAGGTAGATCTTTTCGTTCAAAGGAGGGAAGAGCAGAGTCAGCCTAGAGTTGTCTTTGCAGGTTGAAAGGATAGATTATGGAATGATGTTGGAGGCAAAAAGGTGGAGGGGGGTGAAGGAAAACGTTGCCGGAGAAGGAGAAGAATGTAAATGAAGAAACGCATCAGTCACATACCATCAAAGCCAGCCGCTCGCCCAGCTTAGGCGTCAGAAACCCAAAAAAGACTCGTCCTACAGTCAACCCCAGCCAGAACCCTGTGGCCGTCATACCACTCGCAAACGCAGCACCCTGCCTCACCTTGATCATGAACGTAACAATCCACCCGCCCAGAGCAACCTCAACACCCACATAGCACAGCAGAAAGGCAGCACACAGCCACGACACCCTAGCAGCAGGCATCTGCCACAGCGCCTCGTGCATGCTCGACGTGCCCTTTCCAGTGCCCGTGCCCGTCGTCGTCGGGTGCGCCTCCCGGAACACGCGCCCCGTCACAGGCCAGAACGACGAGACTAGCAAGGCCAACTCGACGGCAGACACGGCAATCATGACGTAGTAGTACGCGTACCAGCCCAGGCCGAGCTTGGTGATCATGGAGGTGGCGATCAGGGGGCCCAGCACGCCGCCGACGCCGTAGAAGGCGTGCATGAGGCCGAGCAGCTCGTTGGCGTTGGCCATGGCGCCGACAAAGGCGTTCCAGGCGGCGTCGCCGATGCCGTTGCCGAACCCGGCGAGCATGTAGACGATGACCAGGACCGGGTACGGAGGATGCTGGGAGACGACGATGAAGGCGACCAGGTGGCAGCCTCCGCACAGGAGGGCGGCGCCGCGCTGGCCGAAGTGGGTGTGGATCCAGTTGTTGGAAAAGGCGGACAGGGTGTAGCCCACGAACGGGGTGAGGAAGACGAGCGAGATGAGGGTGTAGGAGAGGTCGTAGTAGGGCCTCATGTAGGGGATGATGGCGCCGTAGCCGGAATCTCCGAGGCCGAGCACCATGAGCGACCAGAAGGCGGCCAACACGCGGCCTCGGTTACTGCGAGGGTAGTTCCAGCGCTCTAAAGGCTGAGAGGCAATGCTGGGTGCGGGAAGGGATGAGATGCCATTCCCGAGTTTGTCGTTGTCATCGTTTAAGGAGGTGGTGGTGGCGGCGGCTGCAATGCCAGTATCAATAGATGGGCTGCTGTTGATGCCCTTTTCAGTATCGTGTGCAGTGCTTCTTCTCTTGCCTGATGTCACTGCTTCTGGAAATGGAGGTTCTGGTTCATTGCCTGACGTCTTGGCTGCAAGAGGTGATGATGGTTCATCGTCGTTGAGGGGATGATGCTCGTGGACGGGAGCCTCTCTGAGTTCGATCGAGGTAGCGGAGCTGCCCAGCATGATGCCCGCCGTGTGTGCGTCACCAGAGTAAAATTGCTAGGGGAAAGATCAATGTGCCGGGTTATTCAAGAAAGACCTATGTTGAGGATAAGGAGGAGAGAGAGGGCGTGGTGTGAGATTGTGGCCATGTGAGGACTCGGATGGATAGTTTTACAGTAGTTATATGAAAATGCTAGTAGGCCAACTTTGGATGTGTCTTCCTAAACTCACTCATTCACGGTGCCGGGAACGGATAAGGGTCAGCAGTGTCCGTTGCGCTAAAGACAGTGCTTTACTCGAAGTAGGTTCAGCAGTGGAACATTTCTCGCGGGAATAGCAAAGAGAGAGAAGGGCACACAGAGTCCTTGGCATTTCTCCTCCTTCTCCTCACTCGACAGGTCGGTGAGGTCAATCATTGAGAGGGGGAGCAACGCCAGAAGGATCGTCGTGTGCAAGCTGCGGTTGTCACTGCACGTTACGGCAGCAGAGAAGCAGGAGTCCATGCAAGCGCAGAAGCTCGTGCATAAGTCCACACAAGTAGAGTAGCACGGGACTGAATGCAAGTGCTTAGTACGCCGACTTAAGCATTCATATTATCAACTACGCCGAATGACTCTTCTTGATCCAGCTCAGCGTTGGGCGATGCTGGCAAGCAGTCTTTCAGTGATTAATGAGCGTCCTGTAGCTTGCGGTAAATCCTCGGTACTCAAAGAGTAGTTCAGCATGCAGCATTGACGGGGCCAAGCATCTGACTCTCGTCCAAATGTACTGTTCTGCCCTGTGAACGACTCTGGAACCCCATCGCCGTAGAGCTCTCGACTCGATGAGAGGGGACCGGTTCCAGCCAGATCCCGGCCCGGCTTTCCCTCCCACATCTGCAGTGAATTGTGGATATCGATTGCATGGGTCCCAATCCTCACCGTGAATGGTGGTCGTCCTGTCAAAGAAAGAAGCAAAAGGTGAACAATAAAAGACAAAGAGGCCACGTAAACTTGAAATCATCCTTCTCCTTTCCGCCTCATCACCCACAATACCGTCGTCATCATCACCAGCGTCAATGAACCAGATGAGGCGATGCCTCTCGAAGAAACTCTTCTGGCATCACCAACGCCCTATGATTGCACTGGCAGCAGGGTATGAGCGTCCCAGTACCCACTTCCCCTCCTCTTCCTTTCCCTTCCCCGCAGCAGGCTTCTTTATGGTGCTTTTACCCCACCAGACAGACACTGATCCACAAAGTCCTCTTGACGCGCTCTCTGTTGTGCTTGGCCTCTGGCCATCTTGGGAAATGAACTGCAATGATCTCCGTCAGGGCAGGCGGTCGATCCTCGTGCATGCGCAAGAGATCATGGAGACTGCGCTTCCGCGGGGAAATGAGCTGTCGTATCGCCGTGATACATAAACAGACGGATCTGAACCACATCTCTTGGAAGGCCGGAACGCCTTCGGCGATCTCGTCCTTGAGCGGCGTCTTCTCTTTTGCATGGCCTCTCCGCCTCAGCCAGGTTGCTGAGGCCCTACTTCTCTCTGGCCATATGTGTTACGGTGCTTGATGAATCCATGAGGTTCCAGTATATTGACCAGAGAATGTCAACAAATTCAGAAATGGTGGGCTGAAAAGAGTCTTAGTCATTGTGACGGTAAGAGTACCTGTAGGCGACGCTACCTCTCGTAATATATCCTATGAGATCTCTGGGGAAATTACGTCATTGGAATATAGGGAGATTCTTTCTACCATGGGCAGATATGATGTTCTATGTAGCTTGGATGTATACAGATTAAATGGTCTTCTGCCTTGTTGTCACTCTGCTCATTGTCTTACTCTTCCTCCCTCGCACATACTCATCAATTGATGTCCACCTCCCCTCAAACTGCTGAAACATAGGGGGATGATGTCGCGCTCATTCAATGCATACAGAGAGCAAGCGGAAAATAAATGCTCCATTATCCCCCAAATGATTGTTCAATTACTACTCTAATGGATGACCTCATAATTAAACCTTTCATCAGTCTTTGCTCGTCTTTCCCAATGATAGACTCCTCAGACGGGAAGGCCATGTTGACGCCGCTGATAGCTTCCCCTTCTTGCGCCAACTTGTCCGTTTTACTTCCGAACGTTCTTCTTGATCTTGTGCCATCTCGATGCCAGCATTCAAATCAAAGAAATCATCTGCCAACACGATGGCTCTTGGGCTTGCAACTGGAAGCTGGTTGAGCCGGGCGAATCGTGACTTGGGCGTGAAATTGTTAGAGTAGTTGCTCAGCGTCCTGGGCGGGAGATCGAAGTGGTCCTCGTGGTATTCTACCGCCGTGACGGGCTGCAGATCGAACAGATCCTCATCTTCCTCATCCTCATCCTCGACTGTGATTGGCATCGGATGGACCGCCGTTTCATGATGGTCGACGTCGTCTGAGTAAAGGCTGGACGAGTATGTTGGACATCTCCTCGGGGGCGGGAGTGATGCCATCGAAGAAGGGGTGAAGCCCTCGACGTGAGAGCTGGACGTCCGAGACTCGCTACTGCTGCTGATGCTCCCGTACCCGCTGTCTGAGGCCGACGAGCTGTTCCATGAGATTCGATCGCCGTCTCGAGAAGAGATGCTGCCACCAAAGGTGCTGCGAATCGGTGTTCGCTGTCCACAAGCATGACAGTATGGTTCTTCTACCGCAAGTGTGTCGCTGGTTCCTCTCTTCTTTTCCGTCACCTTCACACTCTTTCTGAATTTCTTCAACATTTTTGGACAATGTGGTATTTATTCAGGATGTTCGGGGCTTTGAAGTGCCACTGGGTAATCTTTGAGATTTGTTTGTGAAAAGGGTATTCAAGCGAATGTTTCCAGCCAAGTACAGCTTAAGAATGAAGTGAGGTTGGAGTATCAAGAACAGAAAAGTCTGAGGAACAACACTGAGACGAACATGACCAGAGTACCATTTAAACTCTATATATCCGTTGCATGTCGTTGAGACGGTAGACCCTTGCCCATGCATTGATCCACGACCTGCGGCATGCAGACATTGGGCACCCCAGCAAAAGAGATGCCCCCCAAACCGATCCGAAACACCTTCACGACTGACTCGACACTTGTCACACACCTCCTTGAAAATCCATTTTCGAGAGAAAAACCATTGGCTATCCTTCTTCCTGGCGACGGGTTTATCCTAAACGAAGCTCTGTCCGCCAGATCTTCAGACCTTTGCCAAGACATGTCACGGTGAGTTTTGAAGACAGATACGTTTCCGGTCGGACTTGTGGCGTTTTCTCATATTGCACACACGACACCAACATTCTCGAAGTTTCTATTTATAGCCCTTCCGCATGATTAGGAGCGCTGGTGATTTCCACCTCAAAACGGGCAGTTCCCACACCCTTGGCCTAAAGAATGGTAGTACCGTGGTACAACTTATTCTAGAGTGTTGTGGAGAGCTTCTGTAGCATGACATCTATTATCCTCCCTGAAAGTTTTGTCGTACTGGCACCCTCACAGACCATGTCTAGATTTATTCGCATCAATGTTGGAGAGAAATAACAACAATGTGTCACAAAGCGACAAGTCATTCTTTGCACTGAAAGAGAGAGTGCAAACGGTAGCATTCAGTATTTTCTGACCTTTTCCCACTCAAAGACTTGAAGACTTTTGGCCCACCTAGATCGTTCATAGGTACAGTGATAAATCAAGAAGCACAGCGCATATCCCTCAGACCATCACGAGCTCTGAGCCCAGCAACTGAACCCTGATGCCTGCGGCTTTCCTTTTCATGGCCTGCGGATCATCAATGCCACCTAAAGCAGACCGAGAGCTCTCATCCAGCGCCGCCAAGGCTGCGAGAGAGGAACTGTTCAGGACCCTACCAGCGAGCCTGGCTGTGTGGATGATGGTGCCAATGACAAAGATGATGGACAAGACCAGCTCCGAAGCAAGGAACGCCAGCCAGCCCCAATGGATCTCAACAAAGGTCTCAGGGCTAGTCGCCGTCCCATTGACCGTGAATGAATTCATTCCATCTCCTGAGGACGGAAACATTCTGATACTGTGACGTGCGAGAGTCCACTTCAGCAGATGGCCTTTCCCTAGTGACGTGCATGAAGAGAGGACTGAAGGAGAGCCGTGGGGAGAGAATAATTGAATCCATGGGCTGCAGGCAGCAAAGACTTACACATTTGTCATGCTGGTCGCGACATTTTGCATCAACGCGTCCATGATGATGGCGCGCTGGGTGGCGTCCTCAGTAGAGTTGCCAAACAGATTATACCAGATCGTCGGCACTTCTCCCATGCCAACGTAGGCGAGTCCGTCGGCCGTGTACGTTGCGAAGCCGCTCAGCGCGTTAAACAGGTCAACCGCTGTCGCAGCTAGTGTGCCGTAAGTCATACCACTATTGAAGGCGATACGTCAGTAAATCACACCAAAGGGAAGTTTTTGGGACGGTGATTTCTTGGGAGGAGGATGGATGTTTTCACGAACAAGGTCGTTGTATTCGAATTTGGACTCGCAGGGTCTTTCAAGTACATCATAGGTGCCGGCACAGTCACATCCCACGGGACAGATGAGTAGGTATCCATGTCACAGATACCAGAGTTCTGTTCTGTAAAATAGCAGGAAAAATTCACGTAGCGGTCCGAGCTCGGGTCGGCGACCTCGTAGGATGACGACACGACGGTAGTGGTCGGGTTGCCTGACTCCACCAGCACCTCATACTCATTGATGCACGGGTAAAAGATCAGCTCCGCTGCCTCGTATTGCACGCTCGATAGGCTCGTGATGTTCGAGGCGAAGCCGCTTTCTGGAGGTGCACGAGGTACTGTGTAGAGGACAGCCAATGAGATGAGGCGGCTATGCATGAGGTTGCTGTCTTGTTGGAAGAGCAGGGACGTGTTTGGGTATAGGGCGCACGCCAAGTAGTTGTACGAGACCTGGGTGACGAGCGAGCAATTGTATGCATCAGGTATGGTCAAATTGATAGCAGGAACACCGTCATTAAAGGCGTAGAAGTCGGCCCACTCTGCAAGGCCCCAGGTGATATCGGACTCAGTCGGCTCTGCCAAGAACCCGGCATCCACGTAGGATGTGATGTTACCGCTCTTGGAACAGATACCCAGGGATTCAAATTTTGGGTAGGTGCAGTTTCCTGTGGAGCAGCTTGGTACTTCGGACTCGAACGGTGTCGACCAGTTTGTGCCGATACCTTGAGCTATGGCACTCGCAAACTGAGGGCTGTCGTAATCAAGGCCTTGAGGCGGGGGGTAGAAAATCTGGGTTGCTTGTACCATCGCTGTCCCAGATATTGATGGTGTCCGGCGAGACTGGTAGGCGATCATCTGCTGGGTCAAAGGAGATGTTATGATAGAAGCCAGCGATATGAGGACACCGAGAGTTGCAAGGGACCTGCACCAAACGTCTATTAGCTATCACGTCTTCCAATGAGGTCTAAATCACTTGAAGGGAATCACAATAGTACCTAACATTGCACTGCCTTACTAGTCTGACGCTGCCAAAGGTTCTGGTCATACTATCATCGAACACCTGGAACTCGCTCAGAGGCTGCGGCTTTTGGAACCAATTCCATTTCGACTGGCTGATGCACTCCGCGACTGGGACCATGAAAGCAACTTTGGCGAGAGACGATAAGAAGGAGAGGAACGTGTTTAGAGTAATGTTCATGGGCAGAGAGGGCAGGGCCCGTCCATCATAGGCATTTAGAACTACCACGATCACTATCCCTTATTGCGTGAGAAGAAGTTCAAACACGTATTCATCCGAGAGAGATGACAGACCGATGATACAGGCTATACTCAACGCCAACCAGCCGAGTTCCTTTACCCAGGGTGTATACCAATGTAGAGCACTCGTATGTTCGTCTTGGAGACTTTCTTTGGGTGTTTCCTTGGTCGGTAAGCTGTTTGTCGTCGAACTTTGCGAGTTTTGAAGTGTCACTGGACTGATCGTTTCCTCCTGCTTGTCTGTATTACCTGCAGGCTGGGTTATGAGAGCTTGGACGGGACTTTCTGGCTTGGGGTCGCCCTCGATCGCTTCTCTGACTGATTCATGACGGCTAGGGGAAGACATCTGAATGATCTTGTATCAAGGATCTGAGCCAGTAAATAGATACGGAGAATTTTATATGCTTTAGATGCTAAAATACTCTCCTCTTCAATAATTGTTCTTTCGAAGTAATTATAGAACTGGACTTTGGTCGGCAGTTAGGTTGGAAACTTCTGAGCAATAGGTTCCCAGCACATGTTTGAGCACTGAAACATTTGGGTCTCTTATACTTGTGATACCCAAGGATATTTTTGACCATCAACACTGACATATTACTAGCCTTTTCTTGATAGTTGGGAAGCATTGGGGGCCGCAGACTGTAACCCTCTCAGGCTTCAGTTTGCGCACAGAATTAAAAGAAACGACGAGCGATAGAACCGACGGAGAATTGGTCGCCAAGAGTCCTCTCCTTGCCAAGAGTCATCTGATTGCTGCCTTAAGTACTTAGTAGCTACAGCGACATCATAGACTACATCTAGCACCAATGGGGTTGAACTGTGGTGGACAATTTGGCCCCCACCTGCTTCCTACACATCCATCTCTACCCACCACCTGTTACCCTACATAAGGTAGTACTGATGGTAGATGCATGCATTTTAGCTAGAATATGGTCTAGAAGGATTCTTGATGTGACCAGGATCACAGAGCGCAACATCGAACCGCCCTTGTGTTGTATCTGTAGTCGTAGTGATGTATTGATGATGCTCACTAAGGGTATGATTACCCCAACTGGTAATTTCCGCGATGCTCTGCGACGCTGCTAAGGAATCGGTAAGGCAGACTCAAGAACATCGTGGGCTATCCGTGGGCTATCTACACCCAGAGGACCAAGCAGAATCAGCCTTCGCTTGCGTTTGCGTCTATGAGACATCCTGGGAGATAATAGAGGGACAAATTCTCATCTCGATTGATAGGGCTCTAGCAAGATAGTTTACTACTATGATTTCGGCACAAGGCGTTATAATAAAGTATGAAGAATAAGATATGTGTTATTCAGGCATGATCCATCGTAGATGGTATCCATCAGTTCTGATCTAATATGACGTCGGCCAGCCTTTCAGCCATGGCATAGACAACACTCTGCGGATGGCCAGGAGTCAAGAAGGGCATGGCGCTCGTATCCACCACCCGCAGGTTCTCGAACCCAAAGACGAGACCGTCGCTGTCCACCACAGCAGACGCATCCGTGGCCACGCCCATCTTACAGGTGCCGCTGGCGTGGTACACCGTGGTCATGCTCTCCCCAATCCACGCCTTAATTTCGTCATCGGTTTGCACAGACGAACCAGGATAAGCCTCCTCGGTGTCGGCAACGCCCATCTCCGCCAGAGAGTCCCAGATGGCACGCTGGCGCCTAAAGGCCTGCACTGACAGGTCTAGATCCGCAGGGCTGGAGAGCCAACCCGGGTTGACCTCGGGCAGGGTCAGCATGTCGGGTCCAGCCAGCTTCACGGTGCCGCGGGACAGAGGCGCGACCAGGCAGGCGTTGATGGTGGCATAGTTGTGCCCGTCCTTAGGATCGGCAGTCTGCTTGTTCTCGTTGTCGCCGTTGTAGGCTGCGACGGGGAGCCACTCGATCTCGGGCCAGTCGGACGGGAAGGCTGCGTCGAGGGCCGCGCGGGTGCTGTTGGTGAGGTTGCTGCGGTACGGCTCGGGTAGTTTCTCCCATCCGTAGTAGCCTGGACCAAAGATGCTGAGCGGTCCGCCGGCTGTGCTGAGGTACTCGGCCACGAGTGTAGCTGCGAGGCTCGGGTTGTTGACTGAGGCAGACCCCGTCTGGACATTGACTCGACGAGCAGAGCCAAAGATGGGATGGTCCCAGAGATTGTTGCCCACGCCTGGCAGGTTGCGACGGCACTCGATGCCAAACTCGCCCAGCTCGGTACAGTTGCCAATGCCCGAGACCATCAGAAGCTGGGGAGACTGGAATGCGCCAGCAGACAGGATCACCTCGTTCCTGGCAGTGAGGGTGAATTCGACAGAGCCCGTGCCGAAGGTTCCTGCTGTGAGGGCAGAGATGCCGGTGGCAAGGGTGGTGCTGTTGCTTGCAAATTGGATTTGAGTCGCGAACGTGTTCTTATACACGGTCAGGCCAGGCAATTTGGCGTCGATGGCTGCGTGCAAGAACGAAGACTCGGACGAGGACCGCTGTCCGTTGGTGGGATCGACCGTCAGGGCAGCGTAGGCAGACCCAATCAGCTTTCCGCTGCTGAGACCGGTAATCTGAGGCATGCCAGCCTTGATAAAAGCAAGTCGTGCCCAGGTTCCAAAGGGATCCACCGCGTTGCTGAAGGAGACCTGGACGGGCCCTCCGCTTGGAGAGAAGGCTGCCGGGTCCTGCAGGTTGGACGAGTTGGTGTAGGAGCTGTTGGAAAAGGCCGTGTAGTTGACGGACTTTTTGAAGTAGGGAAGCATGTTGTCCCAGGTAAAGCTGTCGTCGTCCACCTCGTCCGCCCACTTCTGCATGCTGTCGATAGTTGGTCTCTGGTACAGGAAGTAATTGCGCGCGCTGGAGCCGCCCAGTGTCTTTCCGCGGGCATAATGAAGCCTTCGTGATATCGGCGCAGCTTGTTCCGTTGTGGCAATGCCCCAGTCGATCAATGGCTGGAAGTTATTCAGCTCGCTGCCCGTGAAGTAGGTTGCATAGCCAGGCACAACGCTGAGGTTGCCGTTGTCCGTCTCGTAGAAGCCGCCGGCCTCGACGACAGCAACGCTGGCATTGGCCTCTGCAAGCCGTGTCGCGAGCGTCAGCCCGGCCGTTCCGCCGCCCACAATGACATAGTCGTATGTGGCGTTTGTCCCTGGCACACCAAAGAACGACTCAGAGAGGCGCTGTGCGCTGACAGGATAAAAAACCCTCAAGAGACATAATACAAAGAGCGATGCCCAAGAGCATCTCACCGGGAACGACACCATATTTTGATGAAATGCCGATGATCGGTGATGGCTCAAAGAGTTAGGTTTACTTGGCCAGGCGACTCTCGAGTTGAGAGCGAGAGAGAAACGGGCGAATCAGGTCTTACCCAGGCGCGATTTTACACAGAACTTATACAAACCCTTTGGATCATCATGAGTTGAACTGCGAGTGGCGGAAATATCGCCAGAGGCGGTGGAGCGGGATGGGTCCTCATCTCAAGGAGGGGGTCCTTTTTGCCTGCACATATGGTCTGTTTTTCTCCTCTGCGATAGCCGCAGTGTCGGAGTAACCAAGTTCCCCACGGCTCTAATCACCGACGCTACCATACAAAGGGTCATGGGAACTGGAATTTCGTGGAAAGTCTGGCTGCTGCTTCTCGCGATCTCTGGACGGCTGTGCTTCCTTTTATATTCTTTACAAATTAGAGAGATGCGAGTTGTGCTTTTGAAACATGAGCAGAGCCCTTGCGAAACCAAAACGAGATCCACAAACCTCCAAATGCATGCATGGCACGCATTGGGTCGACGAAGGCAGGGGAAAAGGAAACGACAAAGTATATCTCTCGAATACTACTAAGATACTTCCATACTATTGTATCATGTGGTAGTAGTAAACCCTATTGCCATGAGTCGGGGATTTGGATCACGAATATGCTCCTTCTTCTCCGCCTTCGGAGAAGACACCAAAAACGGGACCCAAGTTACATGCATCTTGACCAGGAGGTTGCGGGGATGAAGACATGAACGGGCGTGCTCCCATGATGAGCTGTTTTCTTTCTGGATAGGATCGACCGGACCCGGTTGGTATAAATTTTGCTAGTTCGTTCCTCTGGTCCACAAAAGGCGACGAGTTCCACATGGTGAATATCGGCATAAACCTTGTCAGGTACCATAGATTCAAGCAAATGTAGTGGGCGTGGACTGAGCACTTTCTGGGGGGGGGGGGGGGTTTCTTTTTGTTCATGCACGCAAGTCCCTGAAGATTGAGAGACTTTTGGAGCCTGACCTGACCCGCATGTTGCTTCACCTAACAACGCCAGAAGCTGCCTTAGATTCATGTTGTTTTCTACGTTCCAGACACCTGATTAATGTCTCAGATTCACGATTTCATGCTTTGCTCACTCCCAGGCCCAAGCTTTGTGCAGCGGTGAACAGGACCCTTATCTGCTCCTGTCATAAAAAATTAAGATTGCATTTTTCTGTTCCTAGCAGCTCAGCTCTCGGTTGTGTGTCCAAAGTGCGTCTTCGATTTAACAGAGACCCCCACACTGAAGATGACATAGTTTTGCTGTCTGCCGGCATTAGTCGCGATCGATCATGCACTTAGATGGGACGGAAGCTTTTTGCGGCCCGATGATGGCACACGGCCGTTTACGTATTGGGCTGTCAAGCCAATTCCCACACCCCCCCAGAAATAAAGCAGCAGCCCCCCTGGTAATGGGACGTCGTAACCTCGAGGCTATGTGTAAATTGCCATGGATGGTCGCCTTTCGTATGCTGTATACTTTCTGCCAGGATAGATAATATCATCATTTCCCTCCCTCGCCCCAGCCCGTTTTCATGGGCTACCTGGAATGTTCCACAGGCCTCTCTCCCTCTCTTTCTCGTTCTTTTCATACATAGATCACGGCCGGTCCACCACTCACTTTAATAATACACAGCAAATCTCGAGGTCACGGGTTTTGCGAGCCAGAAGGTCATTGGGGCCTATCACACGCACGTCTCGTCCCCAGCCAGGCAGCCCAGCACCTTGCGAACCCGCCATGGCCGAAGATATTGCCTGGCACATATGGGTCGGCGTGATCGTCACCATCGTGCCAGCAACCTTTTTGGTTGCGGCACGGTTCCTCGCGCAGACCCATGGCCCATCCGCACCGGGCCTGGGCATGGATGACTGGTTGGTGTTGGCATCTCTGGTGAGTCGGCACAGAAAGAAAAACAACTACTTCAGCGGCACGCAATCGATTGGGAACTAACCATGAATGAAGTGTGTCAACTGGGCAATGGCTGCCATACGGTTCTACCAGGTGTGCAACCTGAGCTACGGTCAACACGCCGCCGGCCTCCCAGCCGAGACCGTCTCCAAGTTTCAGATGTCCTTCCTCGCCGTCCAGGAGGTCTACTTCCTCAATGCAGTGCTCACCAAGTGCGCCCTGCTGTGTCTGTACTACCGCATCTTTGGCATCTCCCGGAGGTTCACCATCGCCATCTACGTCGTCGGCGTCCTTGTCGTTAGCTACTTCATCGTATGCGTCGTCCTCTCCATCGCCGGGTGCCAGCCGGTGTCATATTTCTGGAACAAGGCCCAGGCCGGACGCTGCTTTAACGAAGTCAACTTCTTCCGCGCCAATGGTATCACCAACATGCTGCTGGATATCACGGTGCTCATTCTTCCGCTCCCTATGGTCTGGAGACTGGATCTGGAACTGCGGCAGAAGTTGGCCGTGACGGGCATGTTTCTCCTGGGCTCGTTGTGAGTATTTTTTTCTTCTTCTTCTTTCTTCTTTCGCACCTCTTCGGCCAAAGCGTTCTGACCAAGGTGATGCTAACAACCCACAAGCGTCTGCGTCACTTCCATCCTTCGAATTCTCGCCTTCAGGACTTCCAAACAGTCCGACCCAACCTACACGACCATCGACACGGCCACGTGGTCTTCTGTCGAGCAGTCGCTAGGCATCGTGTGTGCATGCCTGCCCACCCTGCGGCCGCTGTTCCGGATGGCTCTGCACGGCGACCGGCAGAGCAACTCTGCTCGGAGGTCACTTGCCGTGCGAGACTCGATGATCAAGAATGTCAAGCGAGGGCCTGGGTCGGTCGGGACGGCGCCGAGCGAGCAGTACATGCTCGCGTCTGTGCTGGAGAACCCGAGCTCGAGAGATTCGCTCAAGGAAGGTGACTCGCCCAGGCCTGACTCCTTTACCGACACTGGGAAGTTTTCCCATCCAGGAAACATTCGGCACTCGACTCGTATCTGGAGTGGTGATGATAAGAGAGGAGAATAAGGAAAGAAGAAATCGAGGGGGACAAGAAAGAAAGAAGAAGAAAAGAAAAGAAAAGAAAAAAGAAATCAAGGAGGACGGGAAAGAGGAGTCTTGGAGTTTTCATTTGGTTCTTTCTTCTCAAGGAGAGCGGGGATGGCTTCCCTCATCACATCACCAAGGATTCCAAAGATGCATACGGCAAAGTCGTCCACCGATGCAAGATGGGAAAAATGGGCCCCGATGGTCATTTACCAGCGCCTCCAAACACGTTTCTTTCTCACCAAAGGGCGAAGTGTCAATACCTGGACTGCTTGTTCGTCGACCATCGACCAGCCGCCTCTCAATAGCGCTCACGATCGCAGCGGCGTAGGTGGTGCAGAGACCACTTGGTCACGCCCAGGGCAAGATGGTGAACAGGAGAATATGTCACTGACTGAACAAGCGAGGAGTTCAACCTTGGTGGGAGCCCGAGAGTATTTAATGCCGCGGGCAGGTCCTACAGCTACATGAGTAAGGAGTAATGAAGCAATGAAATGCATTCTTGACCTGTCAATCCTGATGCTTGTTCTTGCGGTGAAGATTCAGCATAACTTTGTTCATAACAAAGTACTATCGTCGTCTCCGTCTTGAACTGGGGATCGAGTCATCATGGTACGAGTGACAGGCGTGTTGGCCCCTACATATGTCTTTGCCTTGGAACCAATCAGCACAATAGACGGCATACGTTATACCTCTCCCACAAGGTTGTGTCGAGGCTGTGGCAAACAAGGGGGGGGGGGGCAACATTGCAATGAAAAGCGGCAGCGCTCTCGAACCCCCGGTCTGTCAGTGCCAAGGAAGGTCATCCTCCCGTGCTGTGTTTGCCAGATTCAAGTAGACGAGGAAGAAAAACTCTAATGTTGTTCAGCTTGGTACTTGCAGTGGGTCGATCCGGTGGTTCCTTTTTTTGTGGAAAGACTTGACGTTGTGGGATTGCCAAAAGCAAGGACGAAAGATGGTTGATTTTTGTCTTGTTGATCTTGATTTTGGCGGGTGGGTCAGCGCTGTACTTGATCAACCTGGCACTCTACTTTAGAAGGTGGATGTTGCTGTTAGGAGGCAGTGGAGTATGTCTCTGTATTGTCGCCAATTATATCTCCACGTGGACGTGGGCTATCCCAGTGGCCTAGCCGCTCTTAGCACTAGTCACCCCCCCTCCCCCTTCCCGTGCAGCCGGTGTCACTTTCACTGCCCTCTTGACATTTGTTAGGATCGCCTACTGTGGTACACGATTTAAGGGGTGGGTTAGGGGATGGAGAGGTGCGCTCAGGGTGTTGTTGGGCGGATTAGAGGCTCATCTTCAGGCCCTGAAAGGCCCAAACCAAGCGGGAAGCGGGATTGTTAGTGGGGTTCAATCTTGTCAAGCCCCTTGTCGTGTTTTGATTGCTAGTAATTTTAGCACTATCTCAAACCCCGTCTCTTCAGGTGCTTCAGGCTTGCAGAGGCCCATAGGCCACACACGGCAAGACCAACATCCGCTTTTTGCCCTTTTTTTTTTTTTTTTTTGTGTCCGTGTCGCTGATGTTGGTTGATGACGTGCGTCTGGGTTAGATTCCTCTATCTGTGTACAAGCTGAGCCTGCCACCTCAACTCTACTGTCTCCTATTTCCAGCTGGGATCTCTACCTCGCCATTCAACTTCTCCGTCTTCTCGAGCAGTCCCTCGACGTGTCATTCGGCCGAGTCGCCTGCCATCCCCACAAACCTTAAAACATCATTGTTTGTCTTTCCTCAAACCTCGATTGTCCACTGGAATTCTCGACTATCCCGATACGTGCAACCGCCAACCGCGCCCACTAAACCCTCCCCCTCGAAGACCACGAACTACGAGCGGACCCGCGACGGCGGCAGCAGCAGCAGCAGCACAAGCAAGCAGCCACGATGTCTGCAACGAAAGAGAACCAGCGCGACTCTGGTGAGGAGGACAGGAAGCTCGAGGGCGGTGTCCTCAGACAGGACTCTGCCCCTCCAGCACCAGCTTCCAACGGCCTCCATCCAGCCGTCTACATTGGGTGCGTTCCCCTCTGACCATCCACCATTCGAGGGCTAGACTACACGAGGGCTCTTCAGTTACGTATGGAATACTAACCTTCACGACGCAGAGTCTGGATTGCCTGTTCCTCTGGTGTCATTATCTTCAATAAATGGGTCCTTGCGACCGCAAAGTTCAGTAAGGAAGCTCCTACAGCTCTATCGAGACACCTGTCTCTGCCTATGTCCCTTCTCTGCTCCGTCCCACATAAGTATATACAGTTGCTGACATGCGATACCTTTAAAAACAGACTTCCGTAAGACCTCATTTCCCCGATAGTTGGCTCGCCAGCCCGACCCATTGTTCCTCGACTGACCGTCAGACGCACAGCCCTCTTCCTCACAACATGGCACATGTTTTTCGCCACGGCCATGACCCAGTTCATGGCTAGGTTCACCTCCACGCTCGACTCAAGACACAAGGTGCCCATGACCACCCAGACTTACATGTGAGTGGTGGCAAAGTCCAGCTTGTCAAAGGACGGTAGCAGGCAGGTGGACCATACTGACGAGCATATCGCAAAACAGGCGCGCCATTGTTCCTATCGGTATCATGTTCAGCTTGAGTCTGATCTGCGGAAACGTGGCATACCTCTATCTCTCGGTCTCGTTCATTCAGATGCTCAAGGCAGGTCAAATCCTTATCGCATTCGTAGTTGTGGAGATCGACATTGTCTGACAAGCTGGACACAGGCCACCAATGCGGTTGTTACCCTCTTCGCGACCTGGGCCTTCGGAATCGCCCCGCCTAACCTGAAGGTTCTCGGCAATGTTGGCATCATCGTGCTCGGAGTGGTCATCGCCTCTTTCGGGGAGATCAAGTTCGACCTCGTTGGCTTCATTTGTAGGTGTTGGACTGCCGGAACGGATTTGCTTGCTTGTGAGCTTGCGAGGACTGAGCTGACGTGGCGAAAACAGACCAGTGCAGCGGTATCGTCTTTGAAGCCCTCCGGCTCGTCATGATCCAGCGCATGCTGAGCTCTGCCGAGTTCAAGATGGACCCTCTCGTCTCCCTGTACTACTACGCTCCCGCCTGTGCCCTCATCAATGGTGTTGTGACCATGTTTGTTGAGGCGCCACGCATGTCCATGGCCGATATCTACGGTGTTGGTCTGTTCACGCTCATCACAAATGCCTTCGTTGCGTTCCTGCTGAACGTATCCGTCGTCTTCCTGGTGCGTTGCAAGACCCGTACTTGGTGTCGCACTAGAATTGTCTCGCTAAATGTCTACTCTACAGATTGGCAAGACTTCTGCCGTCGTCCTCACAATGTCCGGCATCCTCAAGGATATCCTCCTCGTCTGCGCCTCCCTCATCATCTTCCACGACCCCGTCACCCTCCAGCAGTACTTTGGATACTCGATCGCCCTTGCGGGCCTCTGCTACTACAAGCTTGGCGCCGAGAAGATGCAATCCGCATTCACAGATGCCCGCCTCCAGCTCGGCACCATGCGCCAGAACCACCCTGCGCGAGCAAAGGGCGCAGTCGGTTTCTTGGTCTTTGGTGGTATTCTGTTTGGGGCGTACCTGTTCTGGCCCAGCCTGCACATGCCGCCTGTCATCACCACGCCATCGGGCTAGACCTGTAGCCCGACTTCTGGGGCGACGAATCCAAAATTATTGGTCGTTTCATACAGGTTCGGCGTTTTGATAGGACCCAATGGGAGCAAAATGAGAAATGAATCTGGCACGGCAAATTGGGTTGGAGCGGAACTTCGAGCATATGCAGCAAAGGAAATAAGGCTGCTCACGGATCTGTGTTATAGAAACTTGCCTTCTGTGAGGAGGTGTACATAGATTGGTTGGAGAGCCTTAAAGGTCTCCTTTTGGGAAAGGTGTGTACGATCATGCAAAAAAGGTCGAGCGATTTCTGGTGCTCTCGGGATATTCGATACAAATGGTTCTAGATTGCCGTATCTGAAACGCGCAGCACAAGGTACTTCCAACCTGTCAGGAAGTATAGGGTCAGGTCGGCTGTAAATTATGACTTGTATAGCAATAATGTTGCCCCGATTAGGAAGGAAAACTGGTTTCATCTGGAAATAAACAGCACTTGAGCTCCGTCTTATCATTTTCTACATCAGAATCCTTGTTGAGGACACTTGGTTGTGATCATGAGGGGTGTTCAGAGCAGCTGGGCTTTGACTTTCCATATAATCAAGGTTTTGATGTCCCTCAGTTATATGAATCAGCTTCTCCCATGAGATTTTTAAGCTCTGTGAGCACTTGGCAGCTGTCGACAGTCTTCGACGCGCAGAAAATCCACATCATTTTTGGCCATGAGCCTCTTCCCTCCCCCAAACAACACCTTCCAATACAGATCCTCCTACTCAGCAACCCTCACAACTACCTTCCCGAAGTGCGACCCATCATACAGGAACTTGAGGGCCTCCACAGCCTGGTCAAACACAAAGACGCGATCGACAACAGGCCTGATCTGGTGCCGGGCGTAAAACCCACACATCTCCTCAAACCGGTCCCGCGGCCCGTTGATGATGCCCCTCAGCGTCACGGTCCTCCTGAGGGCGAGCACGTTGAGATTGGTGAGATCGCCGGCCGGGTCGTCCTGTTTCCCGCTCACGTAGCCGATGCTGTTGATGACGCCGCCAAAGGTGACGCAGTCGAAGGACTTGCGCAGGGTGCGGGCGCCTCCGACCTCGAAGATGATGTCTGCGCCTCGGCCGGCTGTGAGGCGCATGACTTGTTCGTCCCAGTCTGGGCTGGCTTGGTAGTTGATGAGGTGGTCTGCGCCCAGGTCTTTGGCTCGCGCGAGCTTTTCGTCTGAGGACGAGGTGACGATGGCTTTTTCGTATTCATCATTTAGTCGTTGAAAATTCTAGCAGAGGGTGTTGAGAGGAGGGAAACGGGTGAGTGTGTGTGTGTGTGTGTGTGAGAGAGAGAGAGAGAGAGAGAGAGAGAGAGAGAGAGAGAGAGAGAGAGAGAGAGAAACTGAGGTCACATACTCGTGGCTCCGCTGGCCTTGGCAATTTGCATGCCACTGATACTGACACCGCCAGTGCCCTGAACCAACACGACTTCACCCTCCCCGCCAGCCTGGCCCAGAGGTCGCATGCCATTGATTGCCATCCAAGCCGTCACGCCAGCCACAGGAAGACAGGCAGCCTCCTCATCAGTGAGATAATCGGGCGTCCCAATCAGGCCTGTCTCGGGGAAGACACGGTAGTCCTGGAGCACGCCGTCCTGTGGCAGGCCCAGGCCGGAGGCCATATGGTGTTCTCTGATCTGGCCTGTCAGGTGTGCCTGGCAAAAGGTACCCATGACGCGGTCTCCGGTCTTCCAGGACGAAATGCCGGGCCCGGTGGCCGTGACTTCACCGCACATATCGGAGCACAGCACAAGAGAATTGTTGGAGCCGCCGTCGAGAGTCTTGTGGTGATTGTAAAGACCCATGGCCACTTTGAGGAATGTCAGGAGGATGGATTGTGAAAGAGAGGGAGTGTGGGAGTGTTTGTTGGCTAACCTTCTGTGTCGCGATAGTTTAGTGAGACGGCCTTGATGCGGACGAGCACCTCGCCATCGCCTGGTACGGGCACTGAACAAGATGTCTGGAAGATCTTTTCGAGGCCATCCTGGCGCGTCCGCCACTGGCGATTGACCTCAGCCATGTCTGGATTTTGAATGCTTGCACTGCCTGTGATGATTGATAAGGCGCAGGAGATTATAATACGAAGTTGCTGCGTACACAGAATTTGCCGGGCGACTAAGTTCTCTTTACCTATCAATGCTACGCTGATAACATGGCACCGTTAGCCCTCGAGATCTCTAGAGATTCACATCCAATGAAGAATAATAAAAAAACAAAGCTCCTCCCTCGTCGCCGGAGGGTGGATACTTGTTATGCCATTAGTTTTGGTAGAGAGCCCTGACATATTGGTGACCTCATATGTCTAAGGCGGTGGATCCTTATTATGATGGTGGATCCTGGATGGTCTCCTCTGGGCTTGAGTGCAGAGCGGGAAGATGACTGCGGGACTTAGATCGACGAGGATGAGCTTCGTGCTGGGTGATGCTCACGGCTCATGAGTATTACTGAATTATATTACTGGGTTAGTGTTTATACTGTGCTCCAATCCATTTGCTGGTCACACGGGCTGTAAAATGAAACACATAACTCACCATTTATACAAAAGCCTGAAGATAGTAGCCTTCGATTAAAGGCTCAACATTTCACTTCGCCTGCGGATAGAAATTTGGTAGTGATATTCCCTCGGCTAAGTGGTTGAAGATTTTGAGACGATGATGGCCATGACACCTGGCGAACAAAGAGCCACTACAATAAGCTCCGTGTACGACAAGAAGACAGAAATTTGACCTATATCACCATCATTGTCATCAAATCCCGATCACACAATGCACAAGCCACCATCGACGATTTCCTGCAACCTGGCTCCGAGGAGAAGGGCAAGGAACAGGCCCATGGAGGGGAACCACTAACCTCCACCGACTTGCCACACTGACCCTCCCGTGAGAGGAAGATAGATGCCCAAAGACTGTTTCAAAATAGGATGCCTCGATTGTGTTATTCGTGATGATTGTCGTAGGACAGATTGTACCCTTCGCCATCCTCAGCCCGCTTGCTGTCAATTCTGAGTAGCAATAAACCCTTCTGGTGGCCTCTGAGTTTATACATAGCTGATACAGGGCCGCTTGGGAGATGGAATGGTGACTCCAGAGTACCGGGGCACTTCCGTTCTTCGGACTGACTCTCCAAGTGCTCAAGTGTTACGTTCTTCAGGCTCAAGACATCCACCCGATCCCATCCAGAAAAGATGGCACCCCAGGTTAACGCCAATCTCTATGTCGTCCATGGTGGTGAATGGATGTGCTTCACGAAGTAGGCACATAGCTTCGTTAATGTCGTCGATATTTTCCTTGTCTTCTGCTCGTCGACCAAGCGGATTCGCAAGAGCACACAGTATCGACGCCTTCTGAGACTCATGAACCAGAGCTTGTCGGGACATGGTGATACATCGGTCTAGACCGCGGCGAGAAAGACGCTCTCCTCCTGCTCGTAGCATCTATGTAGGCTAGCAGCGAGGTTGCTTAGCCACTGCGCTCGGCTGTCTTTCCAGCCCTCATGTGGTACAGCCTGAAGCAGCTTTTTCAAGATATCGATGGAACGGTCCACGTCGCCGAGGGATCCAGTCAATTGAAAGCGCTCGTCAGACCTGACCACCAGGATGTTGAAAGTATGGAAATCTTGGCCAGTACTTTGCAGGACAGTGCCTCTGGGCTCGTCGATAATGGATACAGCTTGTGGCGAGGCAGCCACTGCGTCTTCGCTGAGCGAGGTCGACCTGTAGAGGTCTTCGGGAAGTTCATTTCGCCAGTAGTCATATTCTAGGGCTGTTGCATAGTTGTATGCACGATTCCTTCGTCAACTGACATCTTCGGCAGAGTGAGGGATTTCGTAAAGCTCTTTAGCGACTCTGGTAATGCTACTAAAAGCACCTTCAAAGCCGGCCAGTCCAGATTCCTGCTCCACGAGATATGCGACCAACCGGCTCTCGGGCCGTTCCATGTCAGTCAGCTCACATAAACTGATGGCTCGCTCTATATCCTCAACAGACCCTTCCCCGAGAAACCTCTCGATACTGATCCCGACGTCACGCTGAAACTTAGTTCCTTGTTGCATTTTCCTACATAAGGCTATACCTAAAGAGTACAACTCGTGCCATAAGGCTCTGACCCTTGTCACCTCCTAATAACATTTTGCTCGATCACACGCTATTATGTTGTCCCAAGTTGAAAGTGAGGCTATCAGTGTAACCCCTCGCTTAGTATGCAGGTAGGGCGAAGTCGAAGTCGATAGGCTATTTGGGGGGGGGGGGGGGCAATATCACATTTCATGCATGCGTTTATGCGGAGGTCGAGCCAAGCTTGTCAGTACTGCTGGCCAGACCACAGGCGGCATCGTTAAGGCTGAAGAATAGAAGATTGAAAACATTTCAAGGAGTGCAAAAGTACAAGCATGGACCAATACAAAGTAGCCACGAATACCGCCGCTGCAAGAAGCTTCTGTGTAGCAAGATGGAAATCTGACCCCCCGTTTCATTGGCCAAAATACAAACGCTAAGCTTGAAATTGTGCACGTTGGTCCTCAGTCAGCCCCAGCTACTGATGGTCACAGACGAAGAGGTGGTGTAGAGGCCAGGAGTTTCCCAATACTACGAGTCGGGTCTACGTTCAAACTTCTACGCCTACAAATGGTGGGGAATTATGCACTGGCCTGGTCTGGTCATATGTTGGCAGCCTTTGAAGACTACCTGCATCAGACATGTGCACCGCATCGGCATACGTAACTTCTTGCCGAGGCGATTTATCATCGGAGCTGGTCTTTACTTTATGTGCGGTCTTTTGGCTTCGCCCTCCTCAATTCCTTAGCCTCGAATGCCCGTCCATCCTCAACCACATTGCCCTGCTCATCATGTAGTCTGAATTTCTTTTGATCCAGCAGTACATCACGAATCCTGTAGGGCCCATCCGAAGAAGAGTATCCGGGTGCTAGGATATGCACAAACTGCCCGCGCTTGAACTCTGGTATCTTGAATTCTGTTCGTCAGCACATCACATCGTGTTCAACCTCAATTACGAAACAAAACACACATATGCAGGTTTCCGAACTTGGCCACGTTGAGGCTCATCCGATTCGGAGTCACTATGCGTGACAATCGGCTGCTGGCGGCTGGGAAGAAAACCTGGAGTGTTAGCATTAGACACCGTGCAAGAGGGCAGTAAGATGGACTTGCCGTTCCGAGTCCGACATTTTGTGTCTTGGTTGGAAAGGCAAGATTCTGTTCTTTGGTGATGAAGGCACGAGGCACTTGTAAAGTTGATGAATGTTGAGAAAGACGCAATCAGCCCCTGACTGCAGCGTCCAACAGCATCCCTTTTAAGGCTACCCCCTCTTGGCCGGCGATGCGGTGCATGCAATGAGTGCCATGCATGTAAGTAAGCCCTCATACTTATAGATCTTCCGACGAACAAGCGATTCATACTATTCAAGTATCCAGGCCCCCAATATTACAAATTACTTAGACTTTGAGCTAAGACGCAAGCATAGGCGACCTTCGCCTAGCCTTTCTCGAAATAAATTTGTCTCGCACAGTTTCCCTTGCATAGTAAGCGGGCGACAACTGACGACACCTGATTAGGGAGCCTTTCAATGCTTCCTGGCGGATGGCTAGGCTAAGCCTTATCCACGCTGTTGAAAAAAAAAAAAATTCGATTGCTGGCTAATACTTCATTTGTGCTTGTTCGAACCGGAACTCTCGCTGTTCGACATAATACAGACAACTTTTGACTCGAGCAAAATGGATGGAGCCAGGCTGATTGCTATCTTGCTCAGATGGAGGGGCAAGATTTCACGGCGAGGACTTTATACCCCCTCGGACAGCGAGCTTCCCACCGTTCAAGGTATCTCCAGTAACCCCACTAGCAAACAGTCCCAGAGTATGCCCAGCTTATCTACGACTACATGCTGGCACACTGGCTAACATACCATAGTTGAGAACTTCCCTACAGGGTATCCTCAGTACGCTGCTCTCATCTCATCGTATGATCCTTTCTTTGTCTTCCGGTCTTTCCGTCGGCTCCGGGCGAGACTCGAAGCAGGACGAACTTGATGTTCTCGAGGCGCAGCTTGATCGACTGGACCGCAAGGAGGTCTCTCCATATGTCCTGGTGACGCATCGAAATGACAGCAACATCGCTCGTACCACCCTTCTTGCTCAGATTCACATGCGCCTGGCCGAATACGGTATGTAAGCCAGCTACTCTCAGCAGTCTCTCCAACGTGATATCATACTGATTTATCCACAGATGAATTTCTCAACAGATGCCAAAAAACGCTGAGCTACAGCCATGCAAACCCGCGTGACGTCGCGAGCCTTCAAAATTGGTTAGACGGAACGGGGTGCATCAATGAAGACGAGACCTCGTACCTCGACACAAGGAGCGACTTGGTCAGCCTGACGTCCTCCAGCGATCTAGCCATGAAGCAGCTGGAAGATTGGGTGGAAGATCAACTTATACAATACTATAGAGGGTTCCGAGAGGTACCAGACCCTTACTAAACTGACCCCCTGGAACAAGCTAACGCAGTTGAAAGGGTCCCGGTTTCGAGGTCTCGTCCAACTCGGATGTCTACGTCTATTCCGGTACTATGATCAAGAATATTGCGACAGGCCTAATGTTGTTCCTCATAACATTCTTGCTTCTTACACCTGTCGTGGTCTGCATCCTTGTGGATAGCATACCGGCACGAATTGTCATCATCATTATATCTACGGGGTGCTTTCTCGTGGCTTCATCACGGCTAACAAAGTCAAAAATGATAGAGCTTATATTAGCCGGCGGAACGTGAGTCTTCTCAAGATATGAATGGAAAATCTGAAACACAGACTCAGGAATTATTCAGTATATGACTGACTTACAAAATGGACGTCCAGATTCGCAACAATTTCAACCGTCTTCGTCTCGAATTCCAAGAGCAGCTAAACCCTTACCATGATCAGCAGCACCAGCCCAGAGAGACATTGGGGTGACGATTTCGATGTAGTGAGAAGCCATGATTCGACTGGCTTCTAAGGAAGATGGATGACTGCGAACACGGTAGCAGTAGGTATATTTGAAATTGGACACAGAAGATGGCTGGCCGACAATATGTACTTAGAAGGAACGCACACAAGCTTGTTTCGATTCTAATCCAAGAAGTTCATTTTTAAAACTATAGTATTGACATAAAGGAGCTTCAGTATCGATCAATTAGCTTGAAATGGCTTGAGTACTATAGTAAACTCTGTCAGAGTGGCTTGATAGTTGTCTTTGGGGAGTGGCGGAAAAGTTCCGGAGAAACATCTCAACTGCTCTTCATCGTCAATATAATGCATATTATTTAACGACATGTTTCATGGATTGATATAGCGAGTTGACCCGAAGACCGTCTACTATGGGGTTTGGAAGATAAGATCTGGCGAAAGTATCAGAAATGGCTTTTGATAGATGAGGGAAGCGTGTCTGGTTCTTTTATTTCTCGCTTGGGGAAAGGGGCAGGAGAAAGAGATACTCTTACGATGAATGATTGTAAAAGCCAAGACGTCACAATAAACCATGAAGGAGAAGAGAATTCTCATACTTGGTAAAGGAAAAATTGAGATGCCCCCCTCCCCCGCTGTAATGAATGCACTGCAATATCCGAAGATCTGAAGTACACAAAGGGTTTATGCTAACAAGAGCGGTGTCGAAGTAGAATCCACTGAATACGGAAATATAACTGTGGTCTGTGCAAGTGCTGATCATTCGCCTTTGGGGCTATTCAAGTGTGTGACAAATGAATACTTAGATTGACGACTGAAGAGCTATGTCCTGGTGGTCTATCTAATGGTAATGAACGTGTTCTTATATATCCCGCTCTTCAGTGTGGCTCACTATTGCTCGGTGATGCTCACTGAGGCCCGATGAGCACTGGTGAGCTCCTCTGATTGGTTGGCCTGTACTAACCCTAACCCTAGGTTACCTAATCTTGGTTGGGCGTGTTTATCCTTCAAACTGTAACTGCCGGTTCTTTGTTGGCGGGGCCTGTCCTGTGACCTGCATGTCGGATGGGTCATAACACCCGCACCCGTTTCTTTAATAGCTGTTTTTGCAAGCCAGGAATGGGTCTAACTGCCAATAAAAGCTAGAAGAAGACAAAAGAGAAAAGAAATCAGGTGGTTGAACTTGCCTACTTGTCACAAGTCACAAATTGTCGGATGGCTGTCCGTCCAGCTCCTTCAGAAGCGGCCGTCACTGCGCCATCACCTGGCTTTCACATGCTTATTCCTTACTCATTAACCGGGATTCTCTCAAAGTCTTGCGAGACATTAGCAAAAGTCCATTATATAAGGAGCCTGCTAACTATGAAAACTGTTATTGGTCAGGTGGTGATGTGGGTGGGGGATTGTCAATGAAATGTAACTGAATGAAGGCAGCAATGAAGCTGATGTACACCGAGTGACCCGTGCCATTCATCACAGAGACTCTCTATATTTCAGTAGCTTTAGTACCTCTAGTAGGGGTGATCTGCCTAGAACGTACCTGGCCATCATGCTCTGCCCTAGAATGCTGTTTTTCCAAATTAGGTGGAATCGGGCAAGGAATGGCAATGCTTATTCAATAAGATTCACCATTGGCTCGCAGCACAGCATTTTTCCTTTGTCTACTTCATTTCCCTCTTATTTTTCATGCCATTATTATGCGTATCTTCTGGCCAAGACCGGGTCGTTCAAGACCATCGTCGAGGCAACATTGACCTGTTGGAACCTCTTCGAAGGGCCGCACCTTCTTTCGGTACATATATTCTCAACGAACTCACCAAGTTCAGTTTATCCTGAGTCACACAAGTTTTGTTCGACTAGGGTGACTGTCCCCTTCTCTCCTTCTATCTCACCTACGGCAACGGCATCTCGATTTGCTTATTTCCCAGAAAACCCCGACCCTCCCCTCTCTCAAACCCAGAACCACGGCATACTCATATCCTGCTCAACACCATGACACCTCCACGAAAACTAGTAACCCTGCACAAAGTCACTCACATCCACCCCACGCGAGGCACCAGGTACAAGAGCCACTATGAAGTAGCAACCGTCGGCGGTGGGTGGACCGTCGTTGTCTACCGTGGCGACTTCAAGGTCGGCCAGCTGGTCCTGTACTTTGAGATCGACAGCTTCATTCCCGCGACAAACGGGCGCTTCAGCTGGGAGGTGTCTGACACTCTGACCGAATTTCGAGGCGAAAAGGGCTACCACGTTCGGTCGCAGATGCTCGGCAAGCAGCTCTCGCAAGGTCTCGTGCAGCAGGTCGGGGCGATGCCTGAGGTCAACGCCGTGCTGGAGGGGCTGCAGAAGAAGCATGGGGTGTGCAAAGGCACAGAGATGGCGATGGAGATGGCATTTGAGGACAGAATCGGCGTCAAGAAATGGGAGGTCCCGTTCGAGGTGCAGGGCCAGATCCTCGGTCCAGCGCCATCATTCTTCCCTCGGCCGGCGAGCGAGCGAGTCCAGAACATACCCGACCTCTTCACACACAGATACCTCAACGAGGTGTTCCAGGTCACCGAGAAGCTGGATGGTGTCTCCATGACTGTCTATAGCGTTGTGCGCGGCTCGAAATGGTACAAGGCTTTGCCTGCGGTGCCCGTTGGCCCAGGGCAGGAGACACAGGACGTGCGATTTGGCGTGGCCAGTGCGAACAAGGGCCTTGACGAGCGAGGCAACGATCTCTACTGGAATGCGGCCAAGCGGCTCGGCCTTCCCACCAGGCTCCATGGGATTGGTGGTGTCCAGAATGTCGCTATCCAGGGCGAGCTTGTTGGCCCCGCCATCAAGCGCAATAGCATGCGTTTTCCGGACAGCGCCGAGCACAATTTTTTTGTGTTTCAGATCTTCGATATCGACAAGCAGGAGTACCTACCGCCTGTAGAGGTAGTGGACATCTGTGAGAGAATGGCACTCCCACACGTACCTGTTCTTGGTTACTTCAAGCTGCGAGATTTCGCCGCGAGCCTGAACGAGATATTGGCCAAGGCTGAGGGGGTCGGCACATGGGGACAGACTAGAGAGGGTTATGTGTTCAAGAGCGTCAGCTCGCGGAAGGACTTTACTTTCAAAGTGATTTCCAACAAATGGCTGCTCGAGCAGGGCGAGTAGCTGAGAAGTACATCATACTCGCACTCGGAGAATTGTGATCTGAAGGCCACAAAGAATACTTTTGGCTGCTGAGATACGCACCATGCTGCTGTTGTCACTCCAGGAGAGTAAAACATGCACTGAACCTGGACGAAATTCAAGTCGACATTTCATGACGGGTCGTCCAGAGGTTTTCAGTGCCTGAATCTCAACGCTCCATGAGGTCAGGAGTAAAGCTCAGGATTTCTTGCCGTGCTGTGGAAGAGGTGTAGGCGTGCAATCTGCAGATGACTTGCAAATTATAAATGCATGGATAGGCCACTACAAATACTGCATTCGTCTAGATCTTTTATTCAAGTCACTCTATTGCAGTTGCTGGCCATCTTTTCATTGGCTCGATGACAGCCAGATCTTTAAGACCACCCACTTCTTTGCTATTGACCCTAAAGTAATTCCATGAGGTTATCATCAAGATATACAGCCACCCTCCGCAGTGATTACGCTATGTTACCTAGCTTCATGTCTGCCTTCTTCCACCTCCCCACTGATCATTTCAATTTGAGTCGACTTCCCGTCTCTCAGAGAGACAAAGCTCTGCGCCCAAGTCCTCACAATTCACTACTCCACCCAACCTCGGACACCGTCGGCGGGCCAAAACCCACTTCCCCATGCCCGGGCGGACGCCGATGAACCTTTCGCTCCTCCGTGTCCGACACGGCCGAATCCACGGACACAAGCATCGGCAGTCCAAGTCTCCCGACGATGACGACGACGACGAAAAAAAAACCAAACCGAAACCGAGACCGATGGTTCCAGACCTCCTCCAAGTGCTGAGACACACACGCGCGCAGCAAGTCATCTCAAGCGAGAAAAGCCCCTATCGGCCCTCTCGCCCCTCACCTCCACTGCGTGCCGGCGGATTCTAACGCCAAGAAGAAGGAGAGGGAGAGAGAAATGATCTGCAGGCGGAGCCTCGAGGGAATGGGGTTCAGGTTCCAGGTCCAGGCCATGGGCTTTTGTCCCCCCCCCCCCCCCCCCACGCTGCCTGCCTTGTGCCGTCCTCTGCTTCTCAGTCTATCTTGCATCTATGTTGTTTCTTGCTTCCTTCCTTCTCCTTGTATCTTTTCTCCCCCCCTTCCCCAAGTTGAATGGATGCATGCCACCCACCCTCCATGACCGGGACCACCCGCCGATGGAGCCGTCGTGGTGGGTTGTGATGGTCCACGCAGTAGTATTCCAAGTACTAGGCTGGCCCCCTTATTACTACAGCAAAGCATGGTGTGTGTGTGTAGTAGTAGTATTGTACATAGGGCTCAGAATGAGGCACCCTCTTTCCTCCCCCCTAATCATGTGCGTCAGCCACACATCCCGAACGGCGCCGTCGCTGCAGGGCGGGTGGTAAGTGTGAGTGCGAGTATGCAGAGAGACGGAGGGAGGAGAGACACAACTCATGTCCCCTACGAAACGCAGACGAGATTGAGGGCGGACGGAGGTGTGTCTTGGTTGCGGTAGGTGCCAACTTCCTTTCTTCTGCTTGTTGATGCTGTTATGTCGACAACGTGGCCAAGAGTCTAATGGTGTGCAATATACCTGCTACCTTATAATGAAACACACACAACGCTCTCTCTCCTCTCCCTATGCCCCCCACGGATGTATGGATGCCCATCTCATGCCGTCAGCAGATAGATCGTCCAAGGTTGCATATCCGGGTCAATCAATATACATAGCAGGTCCAAAATGGGCTGTTGTTCGACGGGAAGGGTCTAGACCTAGGCAGTCTCCTTTCAATATTCCCCCGCTGCTGCTGATGCTGTTCCCACCTTCCAAACCCTTCCCGCCCTGCACTGATCGACCTCGCAGATGGCTCAGATCTTGGAAGATGCCCATGCGTGGGTGATTCATCATTAATTTCCATCATCAACATCAATTGACTTCGAAATTCTACAGGCAGCCATCAAGATCCTTCTTTCGCAGCACATGCCTTTTCTCCATCCATGCCCCCTTCGCTGCCTTCGCCCTCTCCAACTTGGAAGAGGTGCCAAACTAGGGAAGACGACGAGTCCACCATCATGATACGGGCCTAAAACCCCACGGGAAAGCCTTGGGAAATTTCTCCGTGGCGCATCTACGCTTCGGTCGGCATAATTAACTAATTTACCTTTGATATTCAGCGACGGGGTGTGTATCGAAGCTCTGAAACGACCAGCCTTTGTGAAATGAAATTACTGTACGCAGGGTCTTGAGCGTAAATGAGAGATTGACAAAACGACACATCATTCTGTCCTATTTACTGTGGTATAGTGTAAAGCTTTGCAAAGCTTGTTGCGTGCTAGGCGGACAAATGCAGGCCTCCCCTGGGTTGGTTTGCTGGGGGGTACAATTGGACGCCCATGAAGCGCGACTAACTGCCAGGGCGCCCTGTTTGAATACTTGGTAGACCAAGTCAGCAGAGATCAGCCCACTCGTGCAACGGCGGCCCGCCCAGCTGGGTTGGGTTGGGCTGGTGGTTACCTCCAAGTCATCCAATACACCGGCGGCGACCGACTAGGAAAACGCCCTCATGTCTCTTGGGTCGGGTCTAACTCATCGGTTGGGTGCGTGACGTCAAAAGAATGGGCGCCTCTTCTTACTTTCTTGTTCGCAAGGGTGCATCACATCCACTCATCCATTACCCCGATGGTGATCATGGCGTGTTGATAGTCCAGCAATGAAAGAGAAAAAAAGATACTACAGTAAAAAGAAACCAGGAAACATGTTGTTCTGGCCTAGCCCCCCTCCCTGGGCCCTCCCCTCTTCTCCTCTCTGCCTGGTTGATGCCCTAGCCCTTCCTTTCCCGGAACCGAACCCCCAGCATACCACGGTTCGGATGGATGAGTGGGCACGTGGGTGGGGTCCAGACCCACCATGCAAGTAACCCTGGGGAGGGGGTGGTGCTGTAGTGTGTGGAGCAAGAAAAGCTCCTTCGGATGCCGAAGTTTGGATTTAAAGTTATCAGTTGTGAAGGCTTCGGAGCCGGGCGGGCGAGGCAAATTCGATGCCATAGTACCTCCTCCGTCCTCGTTGTTGCCATTTGTGCCTTCACACCGCTCACGTCCAGGGGTGTGTGAAGCCTGTTCTGGAAGCTTAGGTGCCGAAGCCCACCTGTCCCTCCAAGGGTTTGAGGCTGGGGGGAGGGAGGGGGAGGTGCCCTGATTGAGAGACCGAGCGCCAGGGTTGGTGTGCGTGGCGTTGCAGGCAAAGCGGTGCCTCATCGAACAACGCTGTCTGTGCTGCTTGAGTGGCTGGTCCCATCATCGTGGGTGGTCGGTCTTTGCAGCTTGTGAGACAGGAGTAAGCTGCGAGATGGTTGGTTTGGTTGGCTGAGTTCTGGACACAAGCAGCAGTGAGGGTGTCCTCGTTGCTCAACTCATGACTCCTGCGTACAATCGTGTGACGAACCAAGGTCGCGTCCTATGTGGTGGCTATGCTACAAATGAATGCGTTACCTGTTGCTTGAACGTTGCAATGTTGACAGTACCGTATTTGCTGTTGGGACAAATCTTCTTGTATTACGAGAGTGCAGTGAGAGTGCAGTGATCATGTATAAACCGTCCTCCTAAGCGTCCAACTTCTTCGCCGACCCAATCATGGCCGCCGGAGCTAGATTACCTCCTCTTCCGAGAGTCGCACCACCACCGCCACCACCACCACTAGTAGCACCCATGTTCGGGGCTGGCGGCGGCGCTGCCAGAGTCCTCCGGTAGAAACCCTGCACAATCTTGACGGCAGGCTCGTCAATCCATTTCATGACCATCTCAGCGCACCAGAAAGTGACAGGCAATAGAATCAGCTGCGGCAGGAGGAACGAGAGCTCGAGCCCCAGGATGCCCCTCTTGGGCAGCGGGAAGCGGTTCACCCACCAGGGCACATTGGCCAGGTGAACCTGAACGTCTGGGCCATCCCATCCGACGGCGGTGTAGATCCTGTCGCCGAGGGTCCAGAGTATAGGGCCGTGGACGAGGTAGAGCGCATACGAGACACGCCCGAGATACTGGCAAGAGCGTGTCTCAAAGAAGCGGCGGAGCCAGGGGAGGCGGGGGCAAGCTGCCACGATGAAGGTCGCCGCGAAGAAGAGGTAGAACCACTTGTAGTCGAACACAGCCTGGGGCTTGAGGAAGGACAGGTAGTACCAGCCACGGTTTTGGCGGAGGAGCGCGGCGTCTGTCGTCAGCGAGGGGATGCCGCCGAGATAGATTGCGATGACGAGGAGGTGGTAGTAGATGAAGTTCTTGTATGGTGTCAGGGAAGTAAAGATGCGCGGGAGCTGGTTCTTGGCGGAGAGGTGGTCGAGGTCCGCGAGGAACATGCCGACCATGAAGAGAGCGCAGTACCACCCGTCGCAGATGTACATAAAGTAGTATATCAGCCCGACAGTGCACCACAGCCTGGCCCGCGTGGTCAGGTTCGAGAAGGCCAACAGCGCCGTGTAGACGACGATGGACCCTTTCATCTCAACAGGTATGCTCCACAGGTGAAAGTTGTACGTGAACCAGGGCTCGCCGCCCGAGTTGAAGACGAAGCTGAAGTTCTTGAACTCTGCGTACCATGCCCACAGCTCGTCGCGCATGTTGCTCTGCTTCCTGGCGCCATGGATCCAGAGACCACCAAACGAGTGCCAGGTGAGCATATAGAGAAACGTCGTGGCGGCGAGCGGAATGTAAAGGCGCAGCCACCGCCGAAACAGCTGCGAACCAAGGTTGTCGGCGAGCTTGGCCTGCTCGCCCGCCTGGATGAGGCTCAGGGGTTTGGTCGACAGGACGTAGCCTGAGATGACAAAGAAGATGGCGACCGCAAAGTGGCCCCCGTTGAAAAGGAGCCTGATGCCGTGAAAGTTGGTGAAACGGAACTGGCCCTCAAAGCCCCACGCATTCTCGATGATGCGGCCCTCCTGAATGTTATGTGCCCAAAGCTCGTGGTGTTGTATGTACACAAGAAACGCGGCAAAGCCTCGCAGTCCGTCCAGGTAGGCCGTCGGCCGTAGCGATTTCTGCGGTGTGCTGGGCTTTGATTTTGGCCAGACTGTCGACCGCAGCCGCCTGTAGGCCCAACCGGCTTTGGGTGACTTCAGGAGCCCCGGCGAGGCCAGCTTTAGGTCCATCAATTTTGGAGTTTTCCACGTCTGTCTCTCGTCCCAGTCCAGAGTCGAGACATTGTCCCACTCCTTGCCGTCTAGTATACCCAGGCCGTGGTGTTTTGTGGTTGTCGCCATCTTCTCGTCCAGGCTGTCCCTGGTCGATGATGGGAGACTTGAAGCGGGTGATTGGGCCAACTGACCAAAACCTAGATCTGAGGTCTGGATCGAAATCGGGAGAGGCGGTGGGTCTCTCCCAGTCCGTCTTGTTGATAGATTCTCAAGAAACGATTTCATGGACGCCACGTTATGTCGAGCATCAGAACGAGACTCGCTTCAGTCTTGGACCGGGTTGCTCTAGTGGGAGGAAGTATTTGCCTGGCGGCCAACAATTACTATGGCTTCGGTTATTTCTCTTTACTTCCTTCTTCGTTCTCGCAAACCAGACCAGGTTATCAGCTTCGTTTGTCTTTCCGCCTTGGAGCTGTGAACTTCTTTGTCGGTAAATTCGTGCCGTCCGTGGTGTGAGTGTGTGAGTGTGTGTACTTGGACGCTTAGTGTGTTCCTTCGATCGTCTGTTGGCTCCAGGCTATTGAGTCGTCACGCGCGCAGCTGAACAGAGAAATGTTGGATCGCAAGGCAAGAGTCAAAGTTCGGCCTCATCCACTTTCACAAGCCAGAATTCCCACCTTGGGATCACCACTGTATTAAGCAGATCTCACCTCAGCGCCGAGGCTGCACATGGAGATGGATCAAGGCATGCGGGGAGTTCTGCGGGGGAGGGCACCACATCGAGCACACCGTCAACTCCCAGTCTGAGGCGGGGAACCCTGTTTGATGCAGGGAAAAGAAGAGGAGGAGGACGACGACGATGAAAAGTGAGAATTCAATTGGGAATGCAAATAGCGCAATTAAAAGTCCCCTTTCGTGCCCTGATCAGCGTTGGTGCGGGGAGCAAGTGTCACGAACAAGGCCCGGTGAGGCTAGACTTGCGCGACGTGAGAAAAGTACTCGTGTAGGAGGGAAGAAGTAGGGAACAAGGTCTTGAGGACAACACCGCCTGCCCACAACTACCCTCTTGGATTCCTACGGGTACAGCGGTTCAAGGGGGGATGCCAGTATCTTCTCGCAGGGGTTGAAAGGGTATGACGTTAAGGGACGGTTCTGTGCTCCATGCGAATGAATGTGCGTGTGAGAAGTCGGAAATCAACTGGTCGGCCCGTCTGCAGGAGATTGTGGCAACGTGCACATGCAAGATAAAAGAGCAACGCACCTGCATAATAATACAGCCGTATTATGGCATGCTTGTGCGACACACTACCAGTGGGTTATGGGTTTCGCCCACATGCGTCTTCATTACCGTAAGAGAAAAACAGTGGGTAGAGGGCAGATAGGGAAGTCGGCCTTGGGCCTGCATAAGGTGACGACGGACGTGTCATACCAGTTCGGGCTTCGGGATCAGGATTTCTCTTTTCTTTCTTTTTTCGATCACTGCAGAAAAAGGAAGGTCAGGAACTAGATTGCAACGCAATGCCGCCCAGAGGCCACCAGCCACCAAGATCCCGTTGCACAATCTGATCGACAACAAGAGAAGAGGCTCTTGAAGCTGGCACGAGCACCACAACTCATTCTTCTCCATAGTGGTTTGTCAAACTTGACGAGATTCATACTCACATGCACGAATTATTAGCAATACCGCGGCTCTGGATGGCGCCCTGCAGGGTTGTTGCTGAACAAGAACACGCGATTGGGCCGCTTTCCCCAGATTTCCCCAGACACTGCTTAGCTCGCAAGAGCTTCTCTTTGCCACGGCCCTTGACTTTCCAACGTTCTTGCTAGCGCTCCGAGATTAGCTCTCTCAGACCACCGCAGCACCGTCGCTGGACCTGACTATCCACGACCAGGGCGGGTACAGTAGGTAGGACAGACCCGGCGGGGCGGCCATGGGTCAGCTTGGTCAAGCCAATCAGTGGGCGCGATGCCTCCCAATTGAGGGTGATCGCTCATGGCACACCCTGTTTGTGGATACGTGCCCGGCACTAGACGACGCCGTGCCGACTGGGGCCCGTTGCGCCCCCCCCCCCTTCCCCTGGCCCAAAAGACGAGGTACTACTGGTATAGTCATTGCCAACCTGCCCTGTCCTGCTTGATGATGGAATGCTCCCACCTGCAGCTGTATTTGCTACTGCAGCTGCATTAGTCCCCGTTCCGCGGACATCGCCAGGCCCAAGCTGTGAGCAAAACGAAGAAAAAATGTACCATCGTGTGGCGGGGTAGCCAATTCGTGATCGGCGGACTTACCCGTCCGGGTCTGCATGTGCTCGGAAAGCGACCACACACAGGACGCGCAAGACTGTGAGGAGAGGGAGGGGAAAGGAAGGCAAAGCACATGTCGCGAAATACTGACTCTACGCAAAGAGTCAATTTGGAACCATGACAGCACAGGTTTCTGCCTGTGCGCGCCACAATACCACCCCCCCCCCCCCCGGCCCCCAGCACAGAACCTGGCCGGTCACGATATCGAGGTACCAAGTCATCTCCGATCCTCCCCTCACGGTAAGGCGGAGCAAGGGAACCTGAGCATCAGGATGCAACGAGTTTCTCGTGCCATAAGATCGCCCAATGTCGACCAGACACCCCAGGCTTCCCCGCCCGGTCATAAGCATGTGCCGTGCGCCATGTTTACCGCCCTGGCAAATCAAGGACCAAGGGATATGCTTTCTCGGTATGTGAGATGTCTCAAAGTTGAAAGTAAAATCGTATCTTCTCAGCCCCTCTAGGAGTTGCTGCTGCAAGCAAGAGGCACGGCTCTACTCGCCAATCTCGTAGTGGTCGGCTCGACAAGCTGATAGTAATACGTCAGGGCCATTCTGGAGGGGGCTTTCGTGCAGCTGGGGTTGTACTGCGTTGCGTAGTATTTGTCCCATGTGGCTACCTATCTCTACCTGACCGGAGTCAGGAACGAGACGCCGCAGCTTGCGTACTCATCAGCTGCGAAGAGCCTTGCCTATTGAGGAAGGCTACCGGCGTGATATGGTGAACCTGGGGTAGCACACAGTCCGAAATGAAGTGGTCCTCCCGAAATGTTGGTAGGGTATCTATGATGTTAGGTTGATCAACGCCTCCCCCACCTCGGATCCCTGGTCCAATTTCTTCCATCGCGTTGTATTTGTTGTAGTTGGAATATCCCATGCCCTCTCGTCCTGTCTCATTGTTTTGTCCCACCACCTCAATTCTTGGTTCTTATTGAATCTGTTCTCGATTAGCACATTCCTGCTCTATAGCAATCCCTTCTCCCCTTCTCCCTATCCGAATCGAAAACACAGTGACACCATATCAAGTACAACATGGACGAAGAAAAGGGCCAGTTCAGCGCACAGTCATCCCCTATTCGTGAGCCGTCGTTTCGGCATACCTTCACGATGCACTCACCTGTGTCCTCGTCCTCGCCGCGGTCCTCGGTGGGGACGTGGTCACCAGCCACCCCAAACTTCTCTCACAAGTTCAGGAACCGTGTACCAACACAGATGCGAAGGTGCATACCCATATACCTGGCCTGTGTCTCCCTGATCCTCCTCATCCTCAACGCCGACCTCCTCACCGTGGCAGTTCCCAAAAGTGGCGGCCCGGTCTTCAAGCGAGGAGGCACTCGGACCAATGGCGGCCACGCATCTGTGCCTATGGCACAAGGGTTCCCAAAGAAGGTGTGGCAGACGTGGAAGATCGATCCCCTGCAATTTGAGGAACGAGACAGCACCACTGCGAGGACATGGCTCCAGAAGAATCCAGACTATCGTTACGAGGTCCTCACCGATACCAACGACATGGGATACGTGGAACTTCACTTTGGCCCAGGTGGCATCAACCGCCCCGATATTGTCGAGATGTACAGGAGCATCACCGCCACGATCATCAAGGCCGATCTTCTGCGATACATGGTCATGTACGCCGAGGGTGGTGTGTACGCAGACATTGATGTCGAGGCGCTGAAGCCCATCTCTCGTTTCATCCCAGATCACCGGTACGACGAAAACGACATCGATATGGTGATTGGTGTGGAGATTGATCAGCCTGGATTCCGAGACCACCCCATCTTGGGCAAGAAGTCCCAGTCGTTCTGCCAGTGGACATTCATGGCGCGCCCGAGGCTACCAGTAATGTTGCAACTGATTGAGAACATCATGAGCTGGCTCGACGGTCTCGCAAAAGAGCAGAATGTCCCCGTCTCGCAGGTGGAGTTGGACTTCGACCAGGTCATCTCGGGCACCGGACCCTCCGCATTTACTGAGGCGATCATCAAACAGATGAACCTGGACCGCCCCAAGGGCACTCCCGAGATTTCATGGGATCTGTTCCACGAACTCGATGAGTCGAAAGTCGTGTCGCGTGTCCTAGTCCTCGACGTCGAAGCCTTCGCGGCAGGGCAGGGCCACAGTGACAGCGGTAACCACAACGCCCGAGGCGCCTTGGTCAAACACCACTACCACGCCAGCAACTGGCCGAGTCGCCACCCACGGTTCAACCACCCAGCATATGGCTCAGTCGAGCAGTGTAACTGGGATGCAAACTGCGTAGCGAAGTGGGACGCAGACACGGCCGCTTTCGCACTTCTCAATGAAGAAGAACAGAGGAACCTGATTGCTTTCATTCAGAGAGAACAGCAGGAATTGCTGGAGAGACAAGAGGCCTTCCTCAAGGCATTGGCACAGCAACAAGTACAACAACCCCTCTTCGAGCAGCCGGCGTTGGCCCAAGAACCACAGGCGCCCATCGCGGTCGAGAACCACCATGAGCCTGAGAGGCTCCCTGAAGAGGTTGAGCAGAACCCCGATGCGGAGAGAGATTCTGATGTCGAGAGGCCTCAAGTCGAGATAGCCGAAGTTGAGAGGACTGAGGTCGGGAGGACCGAGGCCGACAGGCCTGAAGTGGCTGCGGAGGGCCGGCCGGAGGAACATGAATGATGAGCACGCCATTCTCCTTTGTCGCTAATTGCATGAAACATGTCGGAGTCATACTGGATAGGGGTGTTTTGGCGTTTTCAAGACGAGTAATCCTAAGACTTCCAGAGAATTCATCGTCCGGGACGATGACAAGCAAAAGAGCTATGTTGATGACAAGAGATGGACATTCTCTCGACGATGGGATGTCGTTGATTCAAGCTTCCGAGGGGCTGCAATCCTCCGTCGCTCGTTTGCTCGGATCCCAGACCCAACAGCATGAGTCACCCGGTTCCACAGCGTTTATTGTGATCCTATTCCGAAACGATCTGAGGCTGCGAGTGCTGGGGTGGCACGGTTGGCACTGTACGTTGGCGAAATGATGTGCGTCGACAAGGGCTGAACAGATGAGAGGATTGCGGCACAGCAGCAAACATGTGTCTGATCCTTAGGAACATTCTTCGACCGTGATCAAACGTTCTCGACTTTCGGTCAACGTGTGTCGAAGTCCCATCAGCTGCGAAGCTGTCAGTTCAAGGGGACGGCAGGATTGCGTCGGGGGTCGAGACGCGTCGAGTGTCACGGTGTCATGGCTGTCTGCGTGTAGGTGTTGGCGGTTGAATTGGGCGACGATGACGCCACATATATACAGCGCACATACATCACATACCCTTCGCGAATACAGAATTTTAACAAATATCAATCGTGGTTTTTGACATTTTTGGCTTGCGAGGTACAATCAGGAGAGAAAAGGAGAAGTCGTCAATGTTGGTAGACTAAAGACGAGGAAGGTGGGTGGTTGAGCGGAGGGGCCTCAGTACTGACGTAAGGACACAAAGGATGTGTGCAGCTCGGGGTTAGGGTCTCACGACGACACGACATCACCCTAGCGCCTACCAAATTTAAACCTCAGAAAAGAGTTTCTATTGAGGAGGTGCGCCAGAGAAGAAAGAAAGGGGGAAGGAAGAACCAGAAGCTATCTAGCTCAGCAAAGGCAGGGCAGGCACGTACGAGGCACTCTTGAGCCAGTGAGTCACTGACCTTTGCCTAACACTACCTTAACGCCCAGGAGATTGATCATTTGCAGCTTCTCATCTGAGGGCAGTGACCCAGTGATAACCTCTCGAAAGATCAATGCAGAGTCTTGAGCTTAGCATCTTGGCCCACTGCGTCCGTTTCCACACCGGGTCTCACTCCTCACGGTCCTGGAACAGAGCAGGCTCGAAATTGCCTCCCTTGGCCAGGTGTAGCGACATAGCTCGAGACCAGTACATAGAGGGAGGAGTCACAGGAGGATCGTTGGAAGGAGACCTCCCAACCTGACTGCCCCCACTATTGTTGTCTCGGGACCCTACTTGAACTCGAGATTTGCCCTTCACACCATCATCAGCCTCGATGAAAGTTTTCTCATCAACAGCATGGTCATTGAGCATCTGCACCGCGGGATCCCAGTACTCTTTTGCCCATACCTTGTGCTCCTCAACTTCCGTATCCGTCGCGGTAGCCGCTCGCTCGCCATATAAACTCGTGCAGCTTCCAATCCCACAGCTGACAGTATTTGCCACAGTACCGAGCATGCAAACAGCGCGAGCAGAGTAAATATTTCCTGGGTTCCTGTCGCAGTTCGCACACTTTGTGATGTCCTTGAGATGCGGAAGATGGTCGTGCAGTTTTTGCGCTATCATGCCAGAGAGGTCAGTTCCGCCAGACGAAGTCCGAGGCTCGGGTGTGCATGCGTGCGTGGACCAATGCTCCGGCGCCGTCTCGGTCCCAGACTTGTCGCATGAGTTCTTCTTGAAGTCCACACAGGTTGTGTCCGCGGTGTTCTATGCATCGACAGATATGCTGCCGATACAGCGTGGCCGTGGACGGCTTGGTTGTGCTGCATGGCATGGGGAAGACTAATCCCTGGCACTTTTTTGCACCTGGAACTTCGAAACGGGCTTGGTTGAGATGATATTGGTGGCAAACGTAGACTCGATGGTTAAAAAGTTGTTACTATTTGGGATGTTTGTTGCGTCAAGTCTGGACGTGCTGTTGAGTAGAGCTCCTTTAGTCAAGGCGTTTGTTGTGCCCAGAGAATCGCTGGACGTAGCTGTGTTTACTGGGGCTGGAATTGAGTGCAGACCTCCATCTTCATTTTCATCATTCTTCGCTTTGCGGGTAGACTTGTCTGTGTGGATAAATGTGTCAGCAGCATTTCCCACGCTCGGGGAGCTTGTGATCTCATTAGATGATTGTCCTCTTCCAGTACTTCTTTGGTAGTTCTTCAGCCTGACTGCCAGCCCAAGGTATCATGACTTGACTATATCTATTAATTCGACACATCGCTGACATGTTTTTCTCACGTACTTGTATCATGGAGGAACCCATTGTTTTTCGTAATGACCACATCCGGTGGCTGATTAGCTATCCTTCGGCTGCGTCTGGCGCTTCGTGTAGTTAGACGTGTACCCATTGTAATGCTGTTACTCGAATTCAGAGCGCTTCATAAAAGCATTAAAGGCAATTAATTGCGAGATAGAAATAGACAAAAACAAATGCAAGTCTGGATCTGTCGTTAGAGATTAGGTAACTTGGGGAGGTGTAAAGCCCTGGGCTGTTGGCTGCGTCGAGAAACTAATTACTTCACAGGCCAGGTAAATGTCAGGAGAAAGCCTAGGCCTTGTCATTGTCAAAGGCTGTGAACTAATCATAAGGCAGAATAACATTGTGCAGTCCATCATAACATGACCTTGACCATCCCTTACTCACTTATGATATCACTCATTCCTAAGAAGCAGTTTTCAAAATGATGGAAGCAGCCTTTTGAGCCACAGAATACAAGCACGCCATGGTGTGTGACGTAAGTTCAATTGGAAATATCCCAGCATCAACCACTCGAAGGTTATGTGTTCCATACACCCTTCCAGCATTATGGAAATGTCAGTCTATGATGGCAAGGTAAAGTCCCACACTCCCCAATATGCAGATGGCCAAGAGCAACTCACCGCAACTCGGGATCAACGACACCACCCAGTTCCCTGGGTAGCATTGCAGTGCTTCCAACCCAATGGCTCGCCCCATAGCTGGTGGACTCATACCAGGCCAGATACTCTGCATCCGTGCTGTTAGGCCCCAATGCAGGGGCATAGTAGGCGTCCGCGACGATTGCAGCCCACGGTTTGGAGGAGAAGAGGGTACCAGCGCGTCTGCTGATGGCCACTGCAACCTGCTGGTCGAATTCGTCCGTGAGGAATCTCGGGACGATGATCTGGTTTTGAAAGGGGTCTGAGGAGTTGATGTGGACGTGGCCGCGGGATAGGGGCATGAGCGGCCAGAAGATGGCCTCGAGAACTGTGGGGTAGGATTCACCGATGAACTCGGCCACGGGAACTTTAAAAGCGGTCAATAGTGTGCATTATCGTATTGCGATTACCAGTACTATGGAAACACCTACATTGATGGTTGACGATGAGATCGATGGTGGCATTGAGGATTGTCATGGCTCCGCGAGTGTTTGCGGCGGCTCCAGCAGACACCAGAGCCTCAGCACGTGATTCGAGTGTTCCTAGTGCTGTAAGCTGAGCATAGTATGAGTCGGAATCTGTCATTGTACTACTACGTCAATAGATGATTTCCTGCGGGCTTGTCATGTCTGTCAGACACAAACAAGGGCTCACCATTCTGCCAAATCTGCTCGACATTGACCAGGCTTATGATAGGCGCGAAGATGTTAATATCATCAATCAGGGCTGTGTCGTTTTGGTAGTCTTCCACGACAAGCGCTGCTGCTCCCGTGCCTGGCTGGTCCACTAGATTGCAGCCAACTCCTGGAAGATCAACGAGCGGCTCAACGCCTACTGCCTGCAGGATACTCGCGTTGCCAACGCCTGACCTCTCCAATATGGAGGCACTGGCGAGAGAACCTGCGGATAGGATTATCTCCCTGGCTGCATGTACTGTGTGGAGACCTGGCTGACTTCCTGGTACACTGTTTCCTGGCTTGATACCGAACACAACGGCTGTGGCTGTCACGTTGGTAGTAAACAAGATCTTGTCAACTTTGTGGTTTGCCAAGACGGTGAGCTTCTCTCGTTGCTGATCTGGTGCCCAGAGAAGAGCATTTGCTGCAGATGACCGCAGATTCTCATTGGTCTTGTTGTCGTACCAGATTGTCCAGGACGTGGATGCTGAGACGGTGTGATCAGCAGACCGGTTCGATAAGTCATTGCTGACCACGAGGCTTGGGAATGCTGAAGGGAGGGAGTCTTTATATATTGCGACGGCTTCTGGAATCCTCATAGGAATCTTCCAAAGATCAGAGGTTTTGTCAGTTACTTCGCCTCGACGGTGAAGGTTTCTTGTGTGCGCGTACATACTGGGAACGAGACGTTCACCGCGCCCTGGAAACCATGCACATATGGGTCCAAACCTGCGCCTTGCTCTCTCTGGATTTCATCTGGAGGAATGTTTCTTTCGATTGCAGTCATGTACTGTTATAAGATGTGGTCAGTCCGCCCCCGAGAAACCATCAGGTTGGAGATAAGACAGCATACCGGCTCAAGAGTTTCCCAGTTCCACCCCGGATTGCCCAATGCTTCTAACTTGTCAACCTCCACAGCAGTTGGTCGATTCCAAACCATACCGTTGACTAGGACATTTTTAATTCAGCATCACGGATCTCATCCCCGCTCATTGTGAGCAACCTCTGTCATCGACATACTCGATGTGCTCCCACCAATACAAGCTCCAACATCCACAGCCACAGACAGCATAGTGCCATTCTCATAATACGCCGGGTAAAGCCAGTCGCAATAAGGGTCGTGCAGGACTCGATCTTTGGCGACGGTCACTTCAGGATTCCACCGCGGATCCGGCCCAGCCTCAATGACAAGCGTCGTGTAGCCGCTTCCACTCAGCTTGTTTGCAACGGTGATGCCTCCCAGCCCGGCACCGATAATCACATAGTCAAAGGTCTGGTTTGCAGCCACTGTCGTGTCGTTTGTGACGAGGGTGGCACACACGAGACTTGTGTAAGCAATATTGATGAGCCAGAGATGGCAGTGCATCTTGAGTTCACTTAAGGTTGAGGGAGCCCTTGACGACGATTTCCTTGACGACGATTCCCTTGATGGGTCCTTCGACTCAAGGTTTCTGTGAGGGGGTTCTCGGGAGGCAGAGCCAGGTGCTGGGGAATGACGATGGTGAGGTAATCCTACTGCATGAATAGCTCATCGCTTACCTGCAGGTAGCCCGCCTCTTTTGTATACGATGTAAACCCCGCTTCTCCATCCATTGGCGTCAGCCGGAGGAGGCATTCACTTAGCTGCCTCTACTAGACCATATTTGTGATATGAAGCCAGACTCGCAAAGCGTATACATTCATGGAACTCGTGTTGCTTGTCCATGCGATGGCCGCTCCTTCGGAACTTTGTCATTTCGTGCGGCGTATATAAATACATCTCTTGCGCTGATTTTTCTTGGCGAGCCGTGATGGCTTCATGCTCTCGACGTGGTATTCGGTCTCTGTTCCACATGGGAAGCCCTGGCACGGCACAGCCCGCTCGGTGTCGCACAGCTGACACCATCTAATGCATACCATCAAAAGTATTTGTTGAGTAAGGACCCATGCGACTGTAGCATCAAGGAATCTTGGTCCATTCCACGTTTGCAGAACCGAAGTGTAATTTTCAGGTATTTCTCCTTTGAAGATTGTTTTGTATTGTATCCAAATTCTTAATTCAGTATATTACACCACTCATTTACTGGTGGTATCTTCTTGCTTCCCATTCATTTTCTCCTGCGGCCTCTCCTCATCCACCGACTGACCGCTCACGATATCCTCCATCCCATCCTTCAACACGGGCGGCCCAGAAAAGTTCTTCCTGCCCCACGCAAAGTACCACCCCAGACTGATGAGCGCAAAGCCGGCAAAGACCACACTGGCATAATTCATGGTCGAGCTGTCGAGCCCCGTCAGGTTGGTGGGCATGCAGAACAGGAAGATGGACAAGACAATCCAGAGCAGCGTGGTGATGTTGATGGCCATGCCGAACTTGCCGAGAGAGAAGGAGGCGTGCTTGAGCTGCTTGCGGCCCTGGACCACGGACACGAGGATGGGTAGACCGTAGGAGGTGGCCAGGCAGATGGTGGCCACACTCGTAAAGCTGCTGAAGGCGGCCGAGGAGCCGAAGTAGATGAGGCCGAGCAGGCAGTCGACGACGGTTGACAAGGTCAGCGCCCAGAAGGGAATCTCGAACCGGTCGCTAACCTTGGCCCAGACTTTCGAGGCAGGGATGGCGCCGTCGCGGGCAAAAGCGTAGGTGCACCTGCTGGATGCAGTCAGGGCGCCCACGCCAGCAAAGAGCCAAATTCCGAGGACAAGGAAAAGCAGGCCAAAGCCACCGCCTGCACTCCCTGTTGCTGTCTTGAACACAAGACCGATGGGCTGTCCGTTGGCAACATCCAGCAGCGTCTGCACGTCGGGGAGCACAAACAGGACAGGAATGAGATACACCAGCCCTGTGATGCCTGCCGCCACGACGGAGAGCACGATGGCCTTGGGCACCTCGCGCTCTGGGTTCTGGACCTCCTCGCACATGGAAGCCACCATGCCGTAGCCCGTCAGGACATATGCCGGCTGCAGCAGGCCGACAAAGAAACTCCACCCCCACGGCCAGCCAGATGCAGACGCGTCGTAGTGCGCAAAGACGAACTCGCCACTCCTCTTGGTGGGAGACATGACCAGCAGGACGATGAGGAAGATGACGATGGAGGCGCCTGTCCAGTAGATGCACATGGTGTTGATCTGGTCGAGGTATTTAGAGCAAAAGACGTTGATGAGGTAGCACACCAGCATGCAGGCCCAGAACATCAGGATGGTCTGCCACTCGTTGGCGACAAAGTCCTCGTCCCAGAGCGAGATGGCGCTGAGGATCAGCTGGGCCCCGCCAAAGTTGATGGACAGCGTCACGGTCCAGTTGCCCACCAGCGTCAGCCACCCAGTGATCCAGCTGGCGATGGGCGCCCATTCAGGGTTCGACAGCAGCGCGCTCCAGTAGTACACGCCACCAGCGGTCGGGTAGACGGAGCAGATCTCGGCCAGCGAGGCGGCGATGGCGACAGAGAGGAGGGACAGGAGAACCCACCCCCAGAGGATGGTCACGCTCTGGCCGTTGGAGAGGGTGATGTAGAAGGTGGTGCTAAGGCCGTACGGGACCGCCATAATGGCAAATGAGAGACCCAGCACCGACAGCATGCTCAAGCTGCGCGGAAGCTCGGACTTGTAACCCATCTTGGCGAGCGCATTGTCTGCTGCTGCTGCTGCGGCGCCTGCGCCTGCGGGTGTGCCTCGACCGACACTGGCGATGGAATCTGCGCTCCCCATATTGTATAGGGGCCTCCTCGGATGATCACGGAATGATGACGAGGTTTCTTGAAGGGGGAATGAGGGTGACACTGGCTGGGCTCCACAAGGGGGCAAGAAAAAAAACCGAGGAGCACCCGCAGAAAGGAGGTATGTAGTAGTAGAGAGAACGGGATGGAAGGGAAAGTAAGAGCGGCGGATGCAGAATACTCATACAACAGCGCTGCCTGTCAGTCTTATGATGAGAAGGTTCGCTTTCAATCTGGATTCACTCGCAGACTGAACAAAGATAGGAATTGCCAAGAATGGGTAACAGATTCAGGTAATTAAGACTTGACTTTGCGCCGAGGTGACGGCGATCGATCGGATGCGAATTTCTCATAGCGAATTCAATTACTCAATCCCCCAGGTTGGCCAAGATCCACCATGGGGAGAAAACCCCACCAACATGAAAAAAGACATGGCGAGTCAGCACATTATGGACTTTCCTGGTGCGTCCGAGCGAAGAAAGGGCCTTGGAGCTCTCCTCGAACCACATTAAATAGCAATATCTCTCGCCCACTGACGATCCGGCATGCTCAAGCTGTGCTCGTGTCGTCGTTGATGATTGACCCGCTATAACTTCTGATAGGACCGACAAAATAATTACCCTTTGATATAGCCTTTGTGTATAAGAGGCATTTGCAAAAACGACGTCAGAGGGGGAAAACACTGTAGTAAGCAAAATACTTGCTCTCCACACATCAAGTTAGACTTTACTCCCTCCTGAGCCGCTTCCTGAGCCGCATTCTGCTTGGTCAGAAAGGAGACAGTCTAGACCGCATACAACATAGTACCATAGTCATTGTCATCGTTAATAGCCCTTAATAACGTGGTGTAAAATTGGAGCCTGATTCTAAGTTTTGACATCCGAATCAGCGTAGTGTGATTAGATAAATGTATAGGGTGGCGAAACACCAAGACACTAGGACCTGCTCTGGGGGCACAACGCGAATGCATTGAAAGCGATTCTTCTGGCGTCCGAGATGGCATTATACCGGACATCCACTTCGACAAGGTGAGTGATCTCCAATCAACCCCATTATCGAGACCTTCCGTTGCATTGTAAACCGTGCTTCACCTGCACAATGGTATCAAAAAGAAAATTGAAAAAGTATTCTGTTCTGTGTTACTGCTCCCAAAACCGCTTCTCAGTAAGAAATCATGTGCACGAATTAGAGTCCAAGGAAAGTCACAGCCAGAGAGAAAAGTGGCCGATCCTGTAGGCTTGAAGATAAACCCTTGCTAAACTTCTCATTTGAGTTTGCTGTTGTTGTGAGGAGACCTGCGTTTGTTACGTGCAGTGCCGGCATTGAGGTCTCCTTCGCCGATCACAGACCCCACTTGGGACATATATTAATACGAGACAAAGATATTGCAGCTCATATAAGCGCACTTTGGAAGTTCATGATCTTTTTCTCTTTCCAAGTTTTTTCACGAAAAAAAAACGAAGAGTAACGATAGCAGATAGGTGGGGTCTGTTGAAGGTCGTCGTACATTTGCATCACTTGGAACAGGGTAGAAGTGTTTTTTTGGGTGCCAGACTTCGATAAAAACATACTCTCCATAAGACATGCAAATCATTCACGCGCCCAAGACGGCGCTTTAGGCCAAGGAAAATGAGTTCATTAGCTGCCAATGACCGGGACAGGCGGTGCTGGCCTTTCCAATGATGGTGGCCCCAATATTGATAAGCAGACCAGAATTATGGTTTGGTATGTGGAGAATAGACGCGAGGAATACAGGCCCATCAAGGATGGCCAAGATCCGATCAAGTTTTCTCTATCGTGGTTCGTTCTCTACCAGGTGTGAGAGAAAGAAAGAAAAAGAGGCTATAAATTTGGCACGTGGTTTATAAAATGACTTGGCTTTGAACATTCCTCTGCCGATCGAGATACACGACTTTCGAGGAAATCTTTTTCTCCCAGGAAATACTTGCTACGTATCGTGGGTGACGGTTTCATATGGTGAGATAAGCGAGGCATTGTTCGAGGGTCAGCACAAACTACAACAGCTTCGAGAGGACTAGGGTTACAGAACTTGATTTTCAGGCTGCGGATCCTGCAGCGTCGCAGCAGACAACAGTGAAAGAAAGGGCGACTAATTAGTCACGTTTGGGTTTGAAATGATCCTCTGACTATGCTTCAATTATTTCACTTTTTGCTGCCTGTCATAGAAGACATGTTGTTCACTGCAAACCAGACGAAATGAAGGAGTTGGCCTTGAATAGGCGGGATCCCATACACAGTCCTCATAATTTGACGAAAGCCCGAGATTTGGCACAACTCAACTGACCGGAGTATCTGATCCAAGGACTCAATTGACAGGCAGGCGCGCACTAGGAGATGAAGTGTCAGGCTAGGGCTGCCGTCCTAGGTGCATCTTTACTATCTTGGAAAAGGATTTAGCTCAAGCAGAGAGAGAATCAGAGTTGTAGTGAATGGATTGAGGCAACCGAATGAGATCTGCCTGAGCGTCGATGAAAAGGCTGTGTATGTCACGGGCATGCATTGACCCCATCACGAGGATGGGATGACCGATCTGATACGGGTCCAGTCAATGTGAGTTGCTTATCTCATCAGAGGCTGATTCGTAACACGCGGCTGATCAACCTGTCAGATATGCCTTTGACATCACATACTACTCTAGTGGGCCCTTCCTAGCCAACAGATGGCTATTCGCGTTCGGTGTCGTGAGTCGTCCCGGTGGTATTGAGTAAGATGTCAGGGCAACGTGAACAGTGCATGCGGTGATGTAACAAATCTACGGTCGCCTGGAGGTGGTCATCTGAGAAGTCTCATCAAGGGGTTTGCTACCAAATCTTTTGTTTCTAGGAAATGCATCCTCAACAAACATAGGCTTCTGAAGGCTCATTTGGTCGCTGTGGCAAAGGGCACGGTGTTCGTGCCCAGTACATAGTCTTTCGGAAACTCGGATGGCATCTTTTACATTGATATTTTCAACTCTCTTTTACATATATTTTTCCCTTGAAAGCCTGCTCAAACCTATCGATTCGCACAGCAAGGGTGAGTCCGTTGATCTTCGTTTTGGGGATCCGTTGGTCGGAGTGATGTGATCTTGAAGTTGGCCCTGAATGGACTCCATACGATAATCTCATCAGATCGATACTTGGGAGGCGTGGGAGAATAGACCCACGGACTCATTTTTTGCCTTTGTTTTTTGAGCCTAACTTGGTTCCTTTCTTCCTTCTGCCATTATTGCTTCCTCGTTGGCTGGAGAGGAAGGAGGTACCTCACATGGAAGGCACGTCCCAGAATTGATACTTCTACGCCCCGAACACGCACTAGGAGAGATAGGGAAGGGGCGAGACACTTGACCATATTACTTCCCTTCATACTTTATTGGCCACAACGGAAGTATCCTGCTTCGCTGGTCTTCTCTGTCCACCCTTAATATTACAAGCTTCTGTGGGCTCTCCTTTGGTCGAAGTGACGCCATTGGCCCTCCAGGAAATCGTGTCCACATATCCACGACTCCTCTTGTTTCTTATATCTATCATCATTATCACGCGCCAAACCAATATCAAACCCTCCCTTTCCGTGTAGTTGCCTGAGGATCGACCGTGTCATCTTGATTTCCGAGGCCAGCTTAAACCGCACGCACCTTGACCATGGGCCTCGAAGTCAACGAAGACGGCGACTTCATTCGCAAGCCCTCAACCTCGCCTGCTAAAAAGACCAACGCCACTCCAGTCTCGGCCCATTTTGGTTCCCCTGATCTTGCCGTGGATCCTTGGACCAGCGTTCAGCCCCAGCCTGTTGGTGACTCCAGTGCTATCAAGCAGAATCACACGCGACGTCGCCACGCCCACCAAAAAGCAAAGCCAACTTTCTTCGACTCAGAGGATGCTCGAAAGTTGAACGGCGACAAGGCCGTTGCACACCCCCCCACGACACTCAAACGAAAGCCATCCACCATCCGTTCACGACTTAGGAAGAAGCCTAAAGTTTCCTACTTCCCCTCGGATGACACCAATGCTCTAAATGACGACGAGGAGGCTATCTCGCCAAGTCCGCGTCACGAACAGCCCACGAACTCAGATACCCACCATGGCCAGTATCGTGATGCAGTGCTGGACTCGAGTCCCGTGAAGAGTCGTCACCAAGAAAGACGTGAGCAGTCTCCACCCTCCTCAAGCTGCAAGCTGCGCGACATCGCTCGTTCTCCGATTCTCCAAGATGGCCAGGGCCTCGCGAACGACGATGACCAAGACTCGCCAACGCCGAAAGCCAAGACTACAATCTCCACTCGTCTTACAAAACGAAAATTCGGAAATTCTTCTCATATCCCCGAGCATCCCATGAAGAATAGCATCTTGCAGATGTCATCTACGAGTGCTTTCTTCAGACAGCTGGGGGAGCCAGCGGGCGCGGACGCGCGCCTCGAAGCTGAGGAGGAAGGTCCTGGCGAGCTTGTACAACTCTCGCAGCACATCAAGCCGCGGTCTGTCGCCAAGTCATCTTTTAGGAGAGAAAACAGCAATAATATCGCGAATGAGGGCAACAACAAGAAGAAGCGCACATTGAGTTTTCTCTCTGTGGCCGCTTCCGTTGATATGGAGCCGGATCGATCTCCACGACAAGAGAAAATCTATCGCTCCATGAGAGGTTACTCCTTGCTAGGTGAGGAAAAGAAGGACCAAAGGCAGACTAGTGCTCGACGAGACAAGTTGGCTGCAAGACACAAGAAGAAAGTTAAGATCTCTGCTCTCGAGCTTCAAGAAGATGGGATCGACAAAGGCAGCACCAATGATCCATTTGACATCGCCAATGTGGCTTCGTCAAGTGGTGCATCTCCCACAGCGCCTGAGTCTAAGGCAAAGACTGCTTTGAGGAAGCAACTCTTGGAAAAGCAGCCCTCCGTCGAACACCCTGTTCAAGCTCCCCGGCGCATAAAGGTTGCAACAAAGACCCACAAGCGAGCCAAACCAACACTTGTGCCTCTCCTAGATTCCCAACCCACTCCTGACAGCAAAGAGAGCCATGCGAAGAGCCCGTTTGAGTCCGACGACCCGAGTACGCGGACAGCGGCTGACAAGTCTACTGACACTGCACCAGTCCAGCCAATTCAAGAACCCATGATTACGATGGCAGACCAAAACGCGATTGAGATCTCTTCAGGTTCAAGCCAGTATGGGTCAGAGGTTTTTGATATGTCGTACAATGATGCCGAGGATGAAGACTACGTTGAGGAGCGACTGCATCCCCAAACAACCAAGGCTGCCACAAAGCCACGTCAGGTCAAGAGCGCCGAGGCCAAGACTGAGAATCATGAGAACGAGGGAACGACGACTTCTAACAAGAACAGCCACATGGACGCACCCGCAACGAAGGCCACCGAGGCCATCTTCAGTCATCCCTTCCTCATCTCCGACCAAGAACACGAGTACCAAGTCAAGACTAAGGAATGCGTTCCTACTTCTCAATACGATCGAACCGAGCACGTGGAAAGGGGCCATCGGCACAGCGTGGCTAGAGAGCTAAGAGCCACGCCACCAAAGGACAAATATGCTATCAGTACTGTCGATGCAACACCGACCAAGATCAAGCAGGTGAAGCCTGTTGGTGAACATCCTGGCAGTGTCCAAGATGAGGTTGTTAACAGCACGAAGCACAATTTGAAAGTGCCAGTCGGGATGGGAACAAGAAGACAAGCTGGGACTGCGATGTCCGCCAAAATTCACACCGTTCTTGACGATGTTCAGGATCCTCATCAAGTAATTGAGTTCAAAGCTGTGGAGAAGGAAGGACACAGCCCTACTCTATTTGCCATTGGGGGGTCGAAGGCCGACGCAGGCCCACGGTGTGATGTGCCACTTAATCATCAGCCCGCAAAGGTTTTGTCATTCGCCACGAGCCCAGATCTGCATGATTTACCGTTGAAGTCCCCCCAGACGGATATCATGCAACCAGCGCCAATGTCATCTGAGGCCAAAGGGCATGGGCACCATCCTGTCGTTGACGATCCTGACGCATCTTCAATTCCTGACAGTCTTGAACAGGCTGACGACGCGGAAAACATGGCCCTTCATGATCAGCCCTTGGAATCTACCCCAATCGCTGCTGTCTTGAAGCAGGCATCAGGAATTGGCCGTGCTGGTATAAAAAGACCATCATTAGGAGGAAGGAATGAGCCACAGGACCCCGATACGCAACATACATACGACCGCGTAAGCGGTGACAAGGAAGAATCGAAGCGGCCTCGAATTGATGGGGCACCAACGAGGGGCCTGCTATCTCTGGCAATGCCCCACGCCAGAAATTCACGCTCCTTACCTACAGACGTCCATGTTATTGATGATGTTCCCGCTTCTCCCGACGTGCATGAGCATCCGAGTATCGACTATACCGTGGTGAAGCGCCTAAGAGGCCTGAAAGCAGGTCAACATGCCGCTATGAGGGATGATCTCACGTTTATGAGCCATGCTGCAGAGTCAGCAATCGAGCCAGTCAAATTGCAGCAGGCGCATCCACACCCCGTTGGCGCTTCGAGGGGATATCTCGGACAGACTTCCGCGAAGCGAATCCAGACGGTGCATCCTAGCTATTCAGGCAAACGCCACAATGCGAACGAGCACCAGTCTGCCAACTTTGGTAGGTGGAACGAGAACCTTGCCGACCGCCGGCAACAAATGAAGTTCAACCAGGGAGAGAAGTATTCGGGCCAGTTAAGCGATCGTTCTGAGACCCTTGAGGATGTCATGCATCGTATCGTCAAGGTAAGCATGGCCACTTGTAATATGCACCTCATCTCAGATGGTAGCTCACAATTGACCAGGGTGTTCTGCGAGAGCTGAGGGCGAGAGAGGATCCGATACAGGATGTGGTTGAAAACTACCGGGTAGATGGCAGCAAGGTTGTGCGGAGCATTTCCAAAACGCATGAAGACGAGAGACGACGGCTCTTTCAACAGTTTGAAAAGAGTAGGCTGGACTATATCGACGCGTGCGAAAAGGTGCGGAACCATGTCGTATCCCTTGCGACTCACCTGCAAGCTGTCGATCCTGGCAAGACCATGGCGCATCGTTTTTGATATCAGGACGGCTTTCGTGTCCCATGAAACTAGCAGGTGTTTCCGTCGCGAGATGTCCTAATTTACCCAAAATCTGGGCACTGGTGAAGCAGGGGGGCACCTCGGTCAAGCGCCGCCTTCTATCGATGACAGCTGTGGTATCAACAAGGACTTTGCAGACGCAGCCTCGATTTTGAACCCAAATTTTTGAACCGCTTGAGGTGCGATTGTGATGATGGTATCATGTATACATTCTAATGGGCAATTTCTCGTTGCAAGTCATAGCTTTCTTCATTCACGATTACAGACAAAATGGATGGCTGTGATCGACCCACGCCCTTGAGGCCCAATTTGCGGGCTGTCCTTGATCGCTTTCCGTGACTCCTATGATCAGGCTTGATGTATGTCAGCTGCCTGAATCACGAGGGATTCCGCAACACTAGCTTTCACCAGGCTGCCCGCAACGGTGAGCTGGGTCCATTATTGGTGACCGCATTAATGGTCGCGAGGAGTCATAGCTGGGTGGACAGTAGGAAGTGCCTATGTAGACGCTGACGCCATCTCCACGGTGGCCATCCTGTCACCAATCGAGACTAGAACTGTGCAGTCATTGAGGTTTAAGCCTCAAACAGGGATATTAGAGGCCAGATGGGACGTGGCGGTGCATGGCTTATCTTTTTATTTTATTTTTATTCTAACAAGATTCTCAGGTAACGGTCAACTGGGGGCGGGCTCGAGCGTTGGGCGCCCCGCAGTGCTGCTATTGTTCTGCCAAGCTGACTGGGCTCTTGGGCTCTGGAGCCAAAACAGGCCCTACTAACTCTACTCTAGTACTTATAGCTTGATGGTGGTTCGTCATCCTTTCTTTGGCCTTGGAGGGGTTCTAGGTACCATAGTACAGTAAGTGCTCCCCCAGGCGCTACGTCACTGAAGCCAGCGGTCAGTCTACTACAGTGCTCCTGAGCGAAGAAGAGGTTTGGGGAGGGGATCTGGGAGAATGGGGAGGGAGGAGACAAGGGGGTTCTGTAACAGACGCGGAAGAAGTTATTGATGAGAAAAACCACAATAAGAGCCATAGTGAATGTATTATACTGCCCAAAAAGTAGGGTGTTGTACTACTGATTCTACTGTGTTGTATTGTTTTTTCTTCTGTGCTATTCTCCACTCCCTCTATTGTTCTCTATTGAAGCCCATTTTCGGAGTGTTGTTGTTTTCCAGATTGCGCATCCCTGTCAGTGGTCCGGTACGTACTCACACAGCCAGTTTACGACGGGTACCAGTGCACTTGGGCCGTGATCTTCTCCCATTTCCATGAGCACCCCGCATTTTCGGTACAGTCCCAAGTATCTCTCAGCGCTGCTTTCGCTGCGGACAGACCAAAACTTTCCAGTCGCAGCACCAAGACAGTCTTGACTACGATATCACCTCTTCCTGCTATTGAACGTTTGAGGGGTTCTCCCTTTTTTGTTTTTTCCCTTCCAAAAACCGCTTTCTATCCCTTTCCAACACGGCAGGGCAGCATTCCTGCTGGTAGCCTGATTTGCGCGGGACGGGATCATTGCATCTGCACCTGGGTTCCATTGCCGTTCATACTTTTCTACCGCGTCGCATCTTAATCGGACAGACCTGTCGATCTACCCTGAATCAAAATACCCTAAGAGGAGAGGGGGAGAAAAAAAAGGAAAGGGAAAAGCAGAGAGGAAAGAAAGAAAAGAAACGGCGGCTCGGCTCGGTCATTACAGGCATAGTCACAAAGGCTGGTTAGCCTTGCTTTGGCGTACAGATCCAGTAGTACACACCCACTACTTTTGCTCGCGATCGCCTCTCCACCAGTGGGCCCCACCCGCTGCGGAACACCATCGTCGTCTTCACGCAAAGCCCCCTTGCGGAAAGCCGGCACGCCCAGCCTTCACAGCAACAGCTCTTGACATTGTCACCTCCACCTTAACAGCACGGCCAGTCAACCTGGTCCCTGTTCCTGATCACGACCTCGATATTCTGTCTCGTGTCATTCGCGAGCCTCAGACGAGAGGCGGTTCTTGACTCCCTTTGGGCCAGACCACACCCCTCCCCCCATTTGACGACTTGGTCTCGTAACCAGGAAGAAACCGACGACACGGCCGCACCCCTCCCACGTCACCTCCTCGAGTCGACTGCGTTCACGTCCTACCACTACCCTCAAGCATACCCACGTTTACAATTACACACACGCACAACAAACAAACACAAACAAACAAACCTAACCGCCATCGCCGAACCGAGACACAGGAAAAAGAAAAAGAGGAAGAAAAAAAAAAAAAAAAGGTCAAGATGCCGTTCAGAGATAGAGTTGCTCGTCGGTTTGGCGAAACTGTAAGCGCTTCAAAGTTCGGTTCTGCTTCAGGTTTCGATTTCGCTCCGGAGCAGGTCTCTGGAGCATGCGCTCTGTATTCTGCTCAAGTTCTATCTCCTTACGTCTGCAATTCTGGGACCGACTGCTTTGTCGCCGTCGGCAACGCCTGTAACCCAGAGGCTTCTTGTACCAGCCGGGTCGTCAAGGCGGAGAAGTTCGGGCGCAAGGCTCTTGGACCTCAGTACCGAGGAACCAGCAAGATCAACAAGAACAAGAAGCCCACCAAGAAACCCCGTCAGCAGAGGCCCAAGGGCACCAGCAGCCGCCGGACCTCAAGTTCTACCGGCTCCTCCTTCTCTTCTCCTACCACCCGCTCCACCTGTTCTTCCACGCGTTCCACGCGATCCACTCCACGCTCCAGCGTCTCTTCCCCATCTAGCGATGATGCTTTCATCGATGACGACGATGTCTTCAGTCGCCCTCGCCGTTTCGGCACAAGGACCACCAGATCCACCTCAAGAATGGCATATACTAATAATGTCAACGGCATACAGCTCTCGCCCACCTCGCCCTACCTCTCATGTGAGCATTCGCCACCCTATGTCCCGTGCCACCACACTCTGCTGACCTGCGTCCTACAGATCACGACGTCTGCCGTATGCGATTTCTTCCAAACAACACTCCTCCGTGCTCCCCGACCGCCGCTGACATGTGACAGTTACCTTCGAGGACATCAAGGCGCTGAGGAATGACTGGCTGACGGACAATGTGCGTTCACAACACAAACAAAACATCAAGATACTCATGGACACCTTCGTCCAGTATGGTGACATGCTGACAATTCTTCAACGTAGAACATAGCATTCTGGGAGGAGTTCGTTATTTTCATCCGAACCCTATTAAAATAGGTCTTGACCCTTCTCGGCTGACGAACCTCTCTTTCCTACTCACAGGTGGCTCGAGCGGGAGATCCTTCCCAAGTATCCCCAGGCCCGCATCTGCCTCCTCCGCCCGTCCATGACCTACCTCCTGATGCGCGAGCAAGACCCTCGGCAGCTCCGCCCCGTCCTCCCCGACATGTCTAAGGTGACACATATCTTCCTGCCCATCAATGATGCCGCATCTCGCACGCAACCTGACGGCTCGCACTGGTCGTTGCTCCTGGTTAGCAAGATCGATGGCGTCGCGTTCCACTACGACTCCCTAGGCGGGGCCAACAACATAGAGGGCGAGCGCGGCACGCAGCAGTTGTCCAAGCTCCTGGGCATGCCGCTGCGATACCAGTCCATCAGCGACTGTCCCCAGCAGGAGAATGGCAACGACTGTGGTGTCTTCGTCTGCATCCTCATGCGCCACCTGCTTGTCAAGCGGCTCCTCAACGCTAACGCCCGCGAGAAGGTCAGCATGAGCATGAGCAACAAGATGATCGATGCCAACGGCGCACGTAAGGAGATGACCAAGATCATCGAGAGTCTGCGCAAGGAGGGCGAGAGACGACGGAGCGCCAGCCCCTTCGCTAAAAACGAGGGCGCCCCGCGGATCGACTAGTAAGCGATATCGTAGGGGCTGGCAACCTGATCGCGCTCTTGTTTACGACAAGCTGTCTTACCTACCGTGCACGGCTCACCACAGCCTAGGCGGGGGATCGTCACCAGTCGGCTCGAATAGCCCAGCTACGGAGATCACCTCATCGAATCCTCAGACAGAGGAAAGAAAAGGAAGGGAAAAATACTCAAAAGAAGAAAAAAAAATTGAATTCCGATGATACTGGCCTTTCTGGTCTGCATATGTCCGGGTTAGCACAGAGGGGCGGACCAACATTACACGGCGGCAGGCGTTTATGAGAGGGAGGGGAGATTTTATGGGAACGGAACTACGGCAAGCGAGGAGAGGCGTTTTGCGAATTGGTTTCTCTTATTCTCCCGAAGGGTCGGCAACGTTTATGGATGAGGTCACGCACGCATGATCGTCTAAGATATACATCTTTGGGGCGTAGTTAAGCATTTTCTGGAGCTTGAAAGAATGCAGCGCGATGGACAGACGAGCCTAAATGCCAAAGGGAGTTCATATCGAGGCCCATCTGACAGGTTGGGAAAGCCCTCAATATTGGCCAATGGCGCTTGGCCGACCGTTGTTGCTGCTCAGTTCTGCAGGAGGGAGCCTGCAAGCAAGGCTTTTGCAACATGAGTGTGTGGGTTAACTTTGATGACGACGAGATGAACCTGGATACCCGCGAGTTCAGGATAGGGTGTTGCAAGGTAGAATACGATCAATTTCATGGCAGGGTCTGATTGCCCTTTCTGATTACAGTCAAGATTGTTCTCACGCCCTGGTACCATCTTGTGACAGTCATCGATCTGTATTGAGTTTGTCTGTGCTGAACTGTTCTTGCTCCTCTGTTGGTGTCGCTCGATAAGCATGCCTAAGGATTATCGAGGCAACGCAAACGTTGTGCATACAATCGATCCAAGGGCAGTGCTTGATATGTGTAGATGAGGATAACCTTTTCCCTCGAACCTATCTGGAGTCGTGTTGGGACCTGGGCGGGCCTGGTGAATGCGTGAAGACCTCCATACAACTTGTATAAGATCTGCGCCTCCGACCGAATTATTGCCTGCATCATGTATGCCGTCACCCGAAGATCACTGCGAGTGCAGTGTGATAATGAATATCTTTCTGCGCGCTGTGCGAAGGATTCCTCAGACCGCATTTGCCCCCGTGGCTCTGTTCGCAAAGGCAGGATTCTGCTCCATAGTGGCCGATATGAACCCCCTCAACGCTGCAAATCTGTTGGCAGAGGTACTCGCCGCCGCCGCCGGTACCCCCTCTGCCCCCGCCATCGCCGTGTCCCCGGTCCCAGCACCAGCACCCGCGCCCGTGGCAGAAGCGGCGGCACTCCTCGCCCCCTCCTCCTTGACGCTCGACAGCTGCGCCAGGCTGAGGCCAAACCTCTCCATCTCCCCCCTAACCACGCGCTCCTTCCTCCTGAGCGCCCCCGGCCGGCTGCCCAAGCTCCTGTGCCTGACTTTGCCCCCACGCGCCGCCTCGCCCGCCCCAACCTCCTCTGCTGTGAGCTCGGGTAAGGCGTCCGCCAGTCCACCCATGGCGACGGCTGCTTCGGCCTGTGCCTCGCGCCTGCGCCGGGACTCGTGGCGCTTTGCGTTTTTGCGGCTGGACCGCGAGGACGCTGTGGAGGAGGGCTTGGTGATGCGGGAGATGAAGGTGGCGCGACGGATGCGGGCGCGGTCGGCCTTGGTGTCGAGGAAGGAGTCGGTCACGGCGGAGTCTGGGCGGTGGACTTTGCGCGGGGCGAGGGGGTTGGCTAGGCGCTCGGTTGCTTTGAGGCGGAGGGATTTGCGCTTGGTGGAGGGGGCGGTTGGGGCCTGGGGAGGATGTGAGTGTTAGAGATTGAAGGTATTCAGGAAGGAATGGGGAGGGGGAAGGAAGGGGAGGGGTATCTTACCATGATTGTGTATTTATGTATATGGTGAACGTGTAATAATGCCAGGCGAGTGGATAGAATCGATGGTTTTCTGTTGATACTGTAGCATGTGAAGATGGAGGAGCGTTCAGAAAATAGTCTACTGTAGAAAGGTTTGGCCCGCCAAAATTTTGAGATACTGTAAAAGTACTATGCAGGTATCGATTACCCCAGTAAGGATCCCTGCGTAGGACCCTGCAGAACAGGGGGTGGGGGCCAGCATCCCACCAGGGCAGGGATTCATAGGCGATTTATGCCCTGTCGCTCAGTGCACACCCACTGCCGAGACATCTCTTAGGCCCTCTGCAAACTACTACTGATGACCCTGTAAGTGGACTACCCCCGTCGTTCAGCTTCAGCCCTAGCCGTCCTCGCTCATGATCTACTACCACCCCAACCTATCTTCGATTCACATCTATATCTGTTGTCCCCCGGTTGTCATACTTGAGAGAGGAGCCGAAGGTGAAAGAACGACATATGGAGCCAGCTAGGAAAGGCGCGGACCAGCTGCGCGAGCAAATATTGAGAGCCGAAATTGAGCTGAAGGCTCTGAAGGACCAGCTTGCTGAGGTCGAGGCCGGGAACAAAGACGGAGCAGGACAAGGTGGAGCACGAGAAGAAGGAGAGACGGCCGGAACATCACGTTCTTCCAGAGTTGAAGATGGATGTTCAGGATGGAAGTGGTCTTTGGGTGCAGACGAGTATGAGCGTTACGGCAGACAACTCATTCTGCCACAAGTTGGTATTCATGGTCAGTTTTTGGTCCCGTCTTTTTTGGCAGCACAACAAACCTGGAGGAATATTCAGCTGACACACCCTTCTAGGTCAACGCAGATTGAAGACATCTAAAGTCCTGATTATAGGCGCCGGCGGTCTCGGTTGCCCAGCAGCAGCATACCTCGCCGGCGCCGGAGTGGGCACGCTGGGGTTCGTGGATGGGGATGTGGTCGAGCCTTCAAACCTCCACCGACAAATTGCGCATGGCACGTCGAGGGTAGGGATGTTAAAGGTGGATAGTCTTGTGCAATACTGTAGAGAGTATGTTTGTTGCTTCACTCCCTTCCCCAGTGGCCCCTTTGCTTCTTCAAACATAAATCACCCTCATATTCTGATGATATACCGTTCAGACTCAACCCTCTGCCTAAGTACATCCCTCACCGAGAGCATCTCTCGCCAGAAAACGCAGAGGACATTGTCAGAGGCTACGATCTCGTGCTTGACTGCACCGACCACCCCACGAGCCGCTACCTCATCTCCGACATCTGCATCCTTTTGCAGAAGCCTCTCGTCTCCGCCTCGGCGCTGCGCACCGACGGCCAACTCATCTTGCTCAACGCCCCTCCCACGCCTCAGGGCATCGTTAACCCCCCTGACCAGCCAACTCTCCCTCCTCCCTCTCCCTGCTACAGATGTGTCTTCCCCAAGCCGCCACCCCCAGGAGCCGTGGTGAGCTGTGGCGAAGGCGGCGTTCTCGGCCCTGTCGTGGGCGTCATGGGGGTTCTCCAGGCCCTGGAAGCAATCAAGGTCATTGCGGCCGGCCTCCACATCCCACGCAATCCCTCATCATCCACCTCCCCCCCAGAGCTGCCCTCACCCTCTCCTCCGCTACCGCAGCCTACTCTTCTCCTATTCTCCGGCGCAACGGTAGGTGCTCCATCCTTCAGGTCTATGCGTATGCGGGCCAGAAGGCGGGACTGTTTTGCCTGCGGCGAGGGCAGTCCTGCGAGGCTCACCTTCGAAACGCTCCGCTCCGGAAGCCTGGACTATGTAGCCTTCTGTGGCGGGATCTTGGCCCCAGTCGCCGTGCTCGAGGACGAGCAGAGGGTGAGCGCGGCGAAGTACCACGACATGCTCAAGAGTTCGAGCAAGGGTGAGGACCATGCACATGTCCTGCTTGATGTGAGGGAGCGCGAGCTGTTTGACATTGCGAGTATCGAGGGTGCTATTAATGTGCCGTACTCGACGATACAGAGAATCTCTGGGAAGAGGAAGGGGAAGTCAAGGTCCGATGGGACCGGTGCTGCTGATAACACTGGCAGCGTGGGTGATGACGTCCATCTCGACTGGATGCCGAAGGGTCTTGCAACGGGGGATCAGTCTATCTACGTTGTTTGCAGGGTGGGAAACGACTCGCAGGTGGTGGCGAAGCAGCTGATCGATCTCGGGCTAGGGCGGAATGGACGGTGGATTGGAGATATCAAGGGTGGAATGCGGGCTTGGAGGGACGAAGTGGACCGCACACTGCCATTTCTGTAGAATCACAGCGAATTATACTGGCCTGACAAGCCCGCCAAGGTGACCATGCCTGTCGAGTTCTGTGGTAAAAGCGATTCACTTCAGACCGGTGTCAAATCTACGCCAACCAAAAATTTGCATATGATTACTAGCTTGCACTTGGAGCCTTCTCGAAAAAGAGATGCGAATGTTAGATTTCGAACGACGCAATAATCTCGTGCTCGTATCGGTACAATCATGGACAGACGCTGGACACCCGCACGCGAGAATGTAGAGTCCATCGCCGTATCTGTACACACTTCCTACCCTTGTAGTACTTCTTGTCATTCCTCCGCTGTCAGCTGAGTCTCCCTCCAGGACATCTTTCCTGAATTAAGATTGCAATGGCTGGGGGATCTTCATTGTCGAAGCACTCCTCAAACGTGGACTGATGATGCCCAAGGCTAGCTGTCCTGTCAAGTGTCTACCCGATCATGATATGTATGTAGTGCGCTTCTTGTTGTACGCCCGTTGGTCCTTCAGCCACTGCCTGTATCCAGCGACGCTGGAGATCTTTTCACCGTAGAAGTCGGGAACTGCGGCAAATTGATCAATATTTGAAACTGCTCGGGCTAGAAAGGGAGGAAGTTGATGAAGAAAGACAAGACATACCTGGGTTGCCGGTCGAGGAGTTGGACGGATCCACACGGTTCCTCTTGATCCGCGCAAAGAACTGGCTCTCCTTCTGAAAAATTGACACCTCGTCAGCACAACTCTCCCTCATCTCTCTCCATCTCTCCATCCCTTTCTCAATTTTCGTTACAAAAGGGAGGACTTACCACAGTCATGGGCGTCTTGTACTTCCTCTTAAGCAGGTAAAACACAGTACTACCCAGGCTAGGCCCGGCCAGCCACCCCAGCGCCACGAACCCGATGGTCATCAGGCCCAGCGTCAAGATAGGGTCCAGAGGGATCTGGCTCGTCAGGCTGTCCGCGGCTCCCGTCGACAGCAGGATGGCGCCGCCGGTTCCGCTCGCCAGCGACATGACTACGCTAAAGGCGACCTGCCATCTCCGCCGCGTCTTGCGCAGCTGGAAGAAGGTGTTCCAATCCAGCGGCGGGGTGTCTGGGTCCGCCACAGCCTGTCTGGAGGTCGCGCGCTCGGCAGCCCGCGCAGCCGCAGCCGCGTCGACATCGTGATCGCGGGAGGAAGACGAGGAGGTGGAGGCGTGCCGGTGGGCGGCAGCGGAAGTGGGTTGTGCTGCTACTGCTGCTGCGCGGAGGACGAGGATCTGTGATGGCCTGGTAGTGGTTTTGGTGGTGGTGGTGGTGGTTATGAAGGGTGCGATGGGAAGCTTGGAGCGGACCGAGAAGGTCGAATATGGGCACGTCGTCGCGGTGCTGCGCAGCATGATGGGCTGCAGGCCGCAGCTGCGTACGACGCCTGATCGCAGCATCGTTGTCGCGGTAGTGGTGCCAGCGATCATTGTGTCGACTCTTCTTTTCCTTCTTTTTCCCCTCTCTTGTTGCTCTGCAGTTTTCTCACGATGAGAAACGTTCACAGCACAGCCAGTGACGCATCAATTGCAAGGTATCGCAGCGGATATCAGTCCTCGGGCAGGAAGTTTAAATCCCGGCCAGAAATTTTGGTGGAGCAGTGACGTTGCTATGGTAAACCTCGATCGTGGTCGGTGCCTGAGGTGGTTTTTGCTCGGCTCCGCTACGGCATGGGACGGCGTCGGAAGCTTGGGGCGTCATGATGGCCCAAGCTCCCTCTCCTCAGGTGGTTATGACGTGCCTGCCGTTGCGAACTGCTGAACCCTTGCCTGCCTGCCGCACGTCGGGTCCCTTGCCTCCTGCCTAGCTGCAAGTGATTCGAAAGGGCGCTGAAATAGCATAATTGAGGAAATACTAAGTGGAATTAATGTAAAATAAAAATCATAACTGAAGACGTCTTCTTTCAAGTAACATGAGATCATGAACTACAAACACCGAGAGTTGATGTTTCTTCTTCTTCTCTATTTTGTGTTCAGCATTCTTCGCATTTTTCCTGGTAAGAAACATAATTTTTTCAGTATCAATAATTCTTTTTGGACCCTTTCTGATGTATATACTGCTCGCCGCGCTAAAACCCATTTAGCCGGAACCAACCACATCTGATCCCGTCACCGTGCTAGGACCCTAGCAACACCTTTTGATCTTTGACGACAACAACATCCCCAGTCAGGGATTTATCCCTTTGGGAGGCGTGGGGTATTCATTACCTTCAGGGCCTTCTACTTCACTAGTTTGCCGGCCTTTGACGCCATTGTCTCGTGGGCATACAGCCGAGCGATGCGCACCGTTTGACGAGCACAATCCGCGACCGAAGGCGCGCTGGGAGCCTTCTCCCTAGCCATGGAGGACGAGGGAGTGGTTGAGGAGGGAGGAGCGGCTGCCGAAGTGAATTGGGAACGTTTTAGAGGAGACCTCAAGGTTTCGAAGATGGCCATCACGCGTTCGCGCCCCTCTGTACCCTTTGAGATTCCAATCCTGCCCCGGCCGCGGCCATACAGACCAGGCGACGGACCGCCCCCCCCGAATATCGACATACAACTTGTCCACGACTCAGAAGCTTTCATCGTCGACAAAATCGTCTTGCCTATCGAGCCTTTTACCGCCCGTCAAAGGAGGGCGTATTACATCATCGGGTGGCCCGACCTGCCCGCCGCGAGACCTGTCATCGACTGCGCTCGGGCGCTCGACTATGTCTCTCCCAGGACACTGGAGGATTGGGAATATCAAGACTTCTTGCGCAGGGAGGCGGAAAGAGTACAAGCTGAGGAGGAAGCTAGGAAAGCTGCTGTGGCTGCTACAGTTGCCCAGGCTAAGGGCAGTACTCAAACAGATTTGCTGCCTGATAAGAAGAATAAGCCGAGGAGGAAACCGAAACATGCAAAGGGACTACACAAGAGACCACCCACGCCACAGTTGGACAGAGAACAGGAGGAGATGCTTGCTAAGCGCAAACATGGCCCCTCGCTATCTACACCTTCGAAGAACAGGATCGCACAACTGGACGTGGAGATAGACCTGTTAGAGGGCCTGGAGGAAGAGAGTTCGGATGGAAATGCGGAGCAGGGACTCCAAACACAACTAGACAACGAGATGCTGGGTATGAATTCCACGGCCAAGGCCCTCGACATGGATGCCTCAGGTGGTTTGAACCCGCTCGAGGCGAGTGTCGCCACGTCTCGTTCAGAGAGCCCGGCGAGGGCGAGTAGCACAAGGAGATCTGTGCCTCGGATAGAAGCGATTGATAGGATGGCTGATTCCATCACGAACCGATCTGCGACCCCAGCAGGGAATTCGACCTTTCGACATTCTGTCAGTCAGGCAAAGCTGCCCACCCAACCGGCCTCTAGTCAGCTCTCGCAGTCCCATATCCAAAAGCCAGTCTCAACAACCCCCATACCGGTCCCAATCCTACCAACATTTACCTCAAGATCAAATCCCATATCATCATCTATCCATTCATCGACACATATCCGTCCATCGGTAGAAGTAAAGCCGACTCCGTCACCGTCGAGGCCGGAGGGCTTAGGAGAGCCAACACAGCCTCCTTCATTGCCTTTGAGGCCGCCGGCGCCGCCATACTCCAATGGGCACGGTGGCTTCACAACCGCCACCAACATGTTTACGCCCACAAGCAGCGATCTCCCGCAGCACCACAAACGACAAGCAGAAAACACTGCTGCTGCAGGTACCGCAGCAGACACGCTCAGCGTTGAAGCCAAGAAGAAACGACAGAAAACATCACACAAGGTCTCACGGTCACCACCTGAACCGACCAGGGGCGAGATAGAAGTAGTACCAGCCCAACAAGAATGGGTGGTTAGGCGCCTTGAAGGTGATGAAGTCATCGATGGAGTACACTACTTTAAAGTACGCTGGGAAGGCAATTGGCCACCCGAGGAAAACCCAACATGGGAGCCTCAGGAGAATATCTCGGCGGAGCTTGTGACGAAGTATCTGCGGAGCAAGGCCGCTCAAGCTTTTGCAAAGGCGAAAAAGCGGAGGTCCTTAAAGAGCAGTGACGGCTCTGGCAAGCCAAAAGACAAGAAACAGAGAACTCTGGCACAATGGGCTACAAGATACAACAGCGTGTCTGAAGCCTTCGAGGGCAGGTCGGAGCTGGATGAGAACGCCAACCGCCAGGGCAACGGCGATGCCCCAGAGGAGCCAAAGGGAACGGGGCAAGGAGATGATGACGAGGCCGATGAAGTCTTTGTTGTAGATGAGAAGCAATTCAAGGGACAAGAGCACGCTACCACTGCGAGGAGCAAGTACTTAGGTGCTCAAATTGCCGCCCAATTCGGGCGGAGATCAGAGTTTTAGAGGGGAAATTGAAGGCCATGCTTGCCTTGAGAGCATTCAGGCCTCAGCAACATAGATTATTTTGCGAACTAATTAACTACAGCGTTACGAGCCAGGATGTGACGTCCGCTCCACAGCGATTCAAAGGCGCTTTAAACTACAGGAATTATGCTCCCCTGAATTTTCTTGTTCGCTGTGTCATGTTTTTGTGTAGCTGGCAAATTTGGGACGAAGTAATTGTTGCGAATCGCGACCTTCCAGATGGCAATCTTCTGAAGATGCGAGGAAAAGTCACACCACCCGCCTTCACTCCGGCGGGCTACAAGAAGTGGTCGTGCACTTTAGCCTTGTCGCAGCAGTCACTCAAGTCATCTTTTCTAGGCATGATACCATGTCAGAAGATCACTAGTAAAACCCAGTTTCATTGGTTGTTCAGAGGAAAAGAAAAGAAGAAAAAAACCAATCTCCACTTCGTTGAACGGCTATCATCATGCCTAATGTGTACTTTCCTATGCAAAGCAAACGCCAGAAATTACGTCTAAGTTTCACCATCCATGCTGGGCTGATGGGGATCATGCTGCTGGTAGATGAACCAGCAAAATACGTCCAGCGTGGAAACGAATTCCCAGAACTGAGTCATTATCGACGCTGCAGTGAGCAAATGCGATTTTGGCGGGATTATGGAATAGAGCAAGGCATGTCCAATCTGCTTCGAGAGGAGAGGAGGATGAAAACTCGAGTGGACTGACATGAACTCGGAGATGACCTTCTGCTGATCGTTCCGTGTCCTTCTCAGAGGGGGGCTGCCTCATCATCAAGAGGGGGGTTTGGAGGGGTGCTCCTTTCAATCAGAGGAGATCCTAGTCTGGGAGAGGCGTCAGTGATGATTATTGGAATATATGAAGCCAGACAAGTGGTTTTGATCTCGATCATACTCACCATTTTTAATTCAGCGCACCAATCATCTTCCAATCCGCATAGCTACGTCATTTATCAGGCAACGACAGCCGTGAGTTTGGCGCAGAACCCCAAACGCAAAAGTAATGCCAAAAGAAAATGGATGAAAAGAAATGAAAGGGGGGGCGGGGGTGCAGGAAGGATTCGAAAGCAAAACACCGCACCCAAAACCCCAGAGAAACAGAGAGTCGAGAGATATGAGGGCGGAGAAAAGGCTTATCTACTCATCGAGGAAGCTGCGCTTGCCGCCGGAATCGTGTCGCTTGGAGGTGTTGAAGCCCTTGGGAGCTATGTAAAAGATAGTACCAAAGGCCTTCCACTGCTCGTCTGACATGGCGCAGAACTCGTCCATGCTGACGCTCCAAGAGGCAGAGTGTCTGATGCCTGCTTCCCAATTTTCGCGGGAGTAGTCAGGGTACGTCTTCTGGGTTGTAACAAGGTCCTTCAAGTCTTGATCGGGCAGTGCGACGTTGTCTTCCTTGTCGGCAGCATCGTCAGTCTCGTTGCTGGTGGCGGAAGAAGCTGTGAGGAGGTTTTCGAGAGGCAGCGCCGGCGAGACCAAGGGACCACGACAGTAGGGTGAAGTTTTAGCAACGAGGAGCGAGAAATCAGACAGGGCAGCAAGATAAGAAGTTGCTGAAGGCGTCTGGCAGTCTGGAGAGCCAACATAGCCATACCTGTGGCCGCTATACTGATTGTTGTGTGCAGCACGCCGACCGAGATGACGGCTGAAATTGGAATTGCCATTGACGGGGCCAGCAAAATATTTCTCCGAGATTCTCTGCTGGCCTTCTCGAAGTAGCTGCATAAGGCGTGCTTCCAACTTGGTCAACTTGGGGCCGGTGTTGGTAATGTCTTTCGATTCATCAGCCATGGCAGACGGAGTCTTTGCGGCGATCGGATGGAGAACAGACTGCCAGGCCATGAACAGCTTGTCGAGCTGGCCCAGATCGTTTAGGCTCAACAGACTTGTCTGTGGGTAGCTGTGCCAGGCGAAGACCGAGCTGGGGCCATCATGAGACATCAACGTAGACTCATCTGCCTCGCAAGGGTCCGTCTCGAACCTGAGAAAATTGAACCACTCATGGGAGTCATTGTTGCGCGAGTGCTTGCAATAGGCCGTGAATTGAGCACCTAGGGCTATACTAATGCTAGTAAACCAGATGTGCAGGTTGACGAAAGTAACTCGGCCAGTTGCGTCTTCTTCGGGGCTGTCCATCCAGACGTCTTCGATTTGGTCGCGGTAATGAGGGGTTCGGAGGAGCTTGGGAAAGTCGAAAGCCTTCCAGACAAGTTCAATCTGGACGAAGGGGCAACGCTCGATGACGAGACAACGGCTTACCCCGTCTGGGAGAGCCAGCTTGGGCTCCAGGGCGCTTATAGAGGGGTCATTGTCGAGCTCACCGTTCAGCTTGGTACAGTACACAACCTCGGCGAATTGTGTCTTTCGAGGGGCAGGAGCGCTGTCGTTGGGTTTGAAGGCCCAAATCGAATGGCCAAGCTTGTGACATGCTGCATTGTACAGCGCCGCCGAGGAGGCCTCTTTGAAAGTGATCGTCGCCATCTTCAGGGTGCCCATTTGACTAAGTGTAATGTTTGCGACACCGCCGCCACGGACTCGGGGCAGGATGTCTCGAATTGTGATATCTTGAGGAAGATAGTTGATCACAACCACGCAGCCCTTCTCAATGGTACGTGGGGGAGTAGCAGCGTCCATAGCTAGGCTGGTTTCAGTGGTGGTTGAAAGTTGTGGGTTCGAGGCTGAGGTGGAGCGAGCCGACCGTTGTATTTGTAGCTCAGCTTGGAGACGGCGGTCTGGTTGGCACGGTTGAGAGCACCACGCCACAGAGAATTGAAAGCAAGTGGTGGGAAGGTTCTTTGAGAGAGCTGTAGTGAATCAGGTCCCGTTCTGGAAGCCTCCAGCTTGCAAAAAGCCATACGACATCGACATCGCTGGCAAGCTCCTTGTTCTGTTGAGTGATGGCATAAATGAGATTTGATGGGCTAACAGTAGGCTTGTTGGGGCCGAACCGAATCAAGATTCAACACGATTGAAACATTGGATGAGGCCTATCATCTTGCCTCAAAAAGCGCTAGGTACGGAAGGGATGATGGAGGTGCTTGACAACGACAGGCGGTGGTAGAAATTTCTGGATGCTTGACAGAAGCCAAGTTGGGTTGCAAATGATCATGTCAAGAGGGCAGGTAGTTGTCAAGTCTCACAAGATGGAGGTGCAAAGTAGGAGGAAGAAGAGGTTTCCTAGCAGAGTTTGTTGAGAGGATTTGATCAAAAGAACTAAGAAGAGAAGCAGAAGTCTTTCCGAGATATTCAAGTGACACTAAGGAAGATAAGGCTTGACAATGAATCAGAAACTGAGGGGGGACACTGATTCCAAGGTGATTCTCGAGCAGTTCTCATAGAGTGCTGTTCATATACTGACATGATAAGAATGCTCCTGAAGGCACTGTCTGGTAGCATCTCAGTGCACTAAACAAGATAGAGATAGAAAGACATTTCGAAAAGTGATGATTTCCCTTGAAGGTTCAGAATGATCCCTTCAAGATGAAGAATTTGGTATCTCAATTGGCCGGACGGAATGCTTCAGAGGTGAGATCAGCAATCAAGAATGTTTCGAGAGTTCATCAAAATTTATATCAACTAGTTCCCCCTTTCCCCCACCCCTCCCTTCAGAAGCATGGTCAATACCGTGAAAAGCACTTGAGAAAGGATTCAAGCATTGTGTTAGAAATCCAAGTGTTTGAACACAACTACTGGGAATATACTTTGACTAGTGATAACTAGCAAATAGTCGTCCATATGCTTATATTACCTTTATATTGCGTTCTCTTTCTCAATACATGTAATTGATCCGATCTTTCTCCGTTTATTTTGCACCTATGAGCTTTCTCATGCGTGTTGTATATATAACGATTCCTTTTGCGAAGAGCACTTGTACAACCCACATAAGCCTGTGAACTTGCAGCTCTACATCTGCTTTGACTCCCTTTGAGAGAATATTTGTCGTTCTACACAATGATGATAGGGTTTTCTTAAGGAGGTAGAATCTCTGCGCTCCATGAGGATAATTGAAAGATCTGGGAAATTCCCTGAAAAACTCGGCTAGCAAGGCAAAAGGAGCAGTTTACTTGGACCTGATACTTTCATATGCCAAGCTCGAGGATTTTGTTTATTGTTTAGAAAACCGTTCATATCGGGTCACAATACACCAGATGTTTGGGCGTCGCAACTTGAGTAATGCATTGAAAAGGGACTCTTACATAAAACAGGTTTCGAACCCTCAACCTCTGATGTATATAGTGCCCTGCTCGTGACACAGTCATGCCCCTCTCTCATGCCTTCTGCAGTGTCCAAATTGATTGTATTTCTCTTCTAGAAGGATCATAGTAGACTGAGGTAATGCACATATGCAGCATGAATGCTGTAGCCCCAGCGCTGCCACAAGACACTGCAAGGCTATGCTTGACATCAACGATCCTACAAAAAGGGGCTATCTTGGTCTATTGGGTTGTGATTGTCACTCGACAATGGGCAACCGGGCACCAACTGATTACCTGTCTCAGGAACGACGATCAACTGAATACCTTGCGAGGCTGGGGTCAACAGAATCGAATCCCTCTCACGTACCTATAGCTTGCCTTCAAGCACCTGTGGCAAAAGCATTTGCCTTGGCTGATCCTCAATTTGTCTTTTTTGAAACTGTCACAGCCAGGCAAGATACATTCCTGGCACCCTTCCGGCACCAATTGGTCCATAAGAGAACGGGTATGATGATCTCAGACAACCCACACATGGCTGGCTCGGGAAAGCATAGCTGGTGATCAGCCTCCGAGTCATGGTTCTGCCTCGTCGAGTATGCTGTGCACATTTTACATGTCATTTTTGGTCTGTTCATGGCGGTCAAGGAATTGTTGGAATTTTCCACCTCAAGCGATAAGCTCTGGAAAGATGGGGGAGGGGGGGAGGGTGGGTAAAAAAAAAAAGGTTCGCATTGGAGTCTAGTTTCAAGTCTGTCCATGTGAGGTATCGTGTCAGCGTAGATCGACACATTGTGGTTTTATCAGCGTAGATCGTACCATTCTGTGCGTGGTCAGAGTGAATTCTTGTTAGGACCGGCGAAATGATTATACAGTCCAGCGGAATATGGCTGTCATGATCAAGGCCGTTCCTTTTGAGGCAGGGGCTCTGAGGACTCATGCCGGAGGACAATATCCTCACTAGAAGGCTGAAGACAGCATGGCTTGTGTTGAACGAGAGGCAGCCCAGTCAGAAGGTGGGGAAGGAAATGGGAATAGATAAGGACGAGGTCAAAGCTGACAAGGCGCAGATGTCGAAGTCACCCTGTTCAGACACACAGCCGAGGGGTAACCTGAAGCTGCGGTTCGTGTCATGATCTGATGTGGTGTTTCAGATTTGGCCTGAACAACTGCTGGGTTCAGGTCGCTGCGCCTGGGATCGCCGCATTTTGATAACTGGCACCTAGTGGATACCGAGGTTATAGAGGGCGCCCGGCTTCTCCATATGCTAGGGCGGAGCAGGTAAAGAAAACCTCATGAAGATGCCAAAATAACGTTAGCAGTTATGCACAGTATGTTATATATTTAGTGTACTGACGTTGCTGATGATGCTTTGTTCCCAAGTTGCATCTTTACATACTCATTGCCCATACCGTCCCGACTCGGATATAGTTTCATTTTGGCTGTATAAATCTCGGTGCCCAGGTATGGTTCGAGCAGTAGACGAGTAGACACTGACAATTAGTCCCAAGACGAACGGAAATAGATCTGTGCGCTCACCCAGAGGGTTCCCAAGCCATGATGAGCCGTGCACAGTTGGGCGCTCGTAGCGTGTGTCCAATCCTGTCCGCAACATCGGATCTGCATCTACACTGCACGTGGGCAGGGATTCTGGGTGACTATCAAACACCACTATGCATGATCACACCAGTTGTGATGAACCTTGGCAGTGCTTGAGAGCCGCTGTCGACCCAGTCTTTAGCGCTGCTTCAGGAACAGTCCCCATCCGCAAAAGCTCGTTTGGGACATTGACGTCTGTCAACCAGGATGCCTCACGGAAAGGATCAGCAATTGTGAAGGGCCCAGTTGAGCGTTCCGGGAAGGTCATGTCTTTTTAAAAAGACCTCAGCCGCCGTCCGGGTCCATGCCTCCTCTCAGTCACTGAGTACAGTAATTGGTAGACCATATTGATGTGCTTTTCGCCGCATTTCTCTCGACTATTTCTTACTTTCTAATCATTTCCACTTCGCTCGAGGCAATGCCTTGTCTGCAGCTGGCCTGTCTTTGATTTAAAATCTTCTCCTTTGAAATAACCCTCTTACAAAAAAAAAATTCTAGAATGGCGTTTCTCTTGAAGGCTGGTATGCCCAACCCGCGAGGGCTGGGCTCCCTCTTGGGGGTCGGTCAGGGTGATCCCACGGCGGCACCTGCGCCGGCGGGTCCTGCGCCGGCGGCTAATAATGCGAATGCGGATTCTGGAGGCGGCCTTTTGGGTGGACTTCTTGGAGGCAGCCCAGCACCACCGACGACAGCACCGGGTGATGCTGCTGCATCGGCCACGCCCTCTTCAACTGAGGCTGCTACGACCAGCAGTTCGCCGTCCACGTCGGCAACATCGTCGACGACTTCTGAGAGCACCAGCACGACAAGCGCGGCTGCTGCTGAAGGCCCTGCCAAAACGTCAGCAGCGACTTCTTCATCAGCCCTCAGCCCATCGACGACGAGCACCCCGACAAGTTCAAAAGATGTCACATCAACGGCAATTTCTGTATCATCGTCGTCCTTGTTGGAGTCAGTATCGTCCCTCATCTCCTCTACCGGCACAGCATCATTGCCACCGGCGGACCCTGCGACGTCTTCTGGGTCAGTGAGCGCAGCCTCGACAGCGCCGCCAACAACCCTCGTGACGGCAACTACATCATCTACCGTGCCAGCCCCCATGTCGACGGAAGCGACAGCGAGCCTCCAGAACGACGCAAGCGCCAACTCGCAGGACAAGAGCTCATCGAACCATACGCGGACTCTTGCCATAGCCATAGGCGCGCCTGTGGGCGGTGTCGCTATCCTTGCAACGGCCGGCATCTTTTTCTACAAGAAGAAGAGGGGCTGCTTCCGCAGGTCAAGGACCCGCAGGAGCTCACTGCTGGACGACTTCGAGCCCATGGTGCAGTCGACAACATCACAGTCGATTGCTTCGTACAACGACAAGTTTGATCCCTCGCGGAATTATTAGATGGTGGCCTTCACAGTCTTGGGGAACCGGGAGGGGGGGAGGGGGCTGGTGTTTTGGTCTGCACCGCGGCACAGAACAAATTCATTCATTATTAGAGCGGAACACTGTATTTCCATAGACATACCAACACACTCACTGGTAATCAAAATTTGATACCGCCACAGGGGACGGCCCAGCCAAGTGCAACAACCGTACGATAGTTGTACAACCAAATGATAATGTATCAAATATCATAAACTGTTCACTTGCCTCATCAGCATTTACCTACTGCCCCTGAGATCATGAACAAGACCAATGTGCAGTACCACAGACTCATCGAAAACTAACTCCAATGCGCGAGAGAAGAAGTGGATAATTCCAATGACGTCAGATTTCTTCTGCACGGCCTGAAATTGCGAGGCATCAACCCCTTTCAATCCCAGGGCTAATGCAACAGTCCGCAGACTCGCATCATCTCATGAGGTTCTTGGATCAAAGTTTCTCGGTGACTTTACTACAAATGTGCAAAGCTGCTTTAGGCTGTGTGTATTATCAGAAGTGACTTGTTCACAAGCATTTGAAAGGAGTTGGCAATGCTTATATCGTGAGCTCGAGCCCTATAACAGTCCTAGATAATATGAGAGGCGCTACAACAGCACGGAGATTGCCATGAGATGTTTAAATATCACCATATGCGGGAGACCCAGCCCAGACGGAGTATATGTGAGGTATCCCAGAGTGTAATTGGTAAGAAATAGGGGGGATAGACAGAATAAGTCTTTTTAGAAGACACCAAGATGACACATAAAGTTTTCAAGGTCTATCTAAGCATAACAGAGACATTAAAGTACTTTCCCTTGACAATATATAGCTGGATTATTGTTTGCAAATATTCCAGATAATTACTTCTGGTGCTACTCTTTTATTGCAGGCTAAACTAGTTGAAGGATACAAGCTTTGGCCATTGTTCATGGTGAGATTTGACAAACATTAGATATCAGATTAATTATAATTATTTGCAAGTATATCAAACATGTGTAAAAGAACACCAGTATTTTAATCTATGGCATGAACTGGCTTCTTGCAATTTAATTTGCGAGTAGTGCATGTGAACATGGGATGATTTCCAACATTCCCCTACCGGATCATTGTTCCTCAACACAGGTGTTTGTCGACTTGAAATTTCAGCTTTGCAAAGCTTTTGGCAATTCCTCTCCATTCTACAGCGCTCTTCCCGCAAGCTTGTGAAATCAGTCTGAACCAAGCTAGAGAGAACTAGTTTTGGAATGCGATGTAAGTTGACTTAATTAAGTTTTCTCAATAGTCACTCTATCTAGACCTCGGGCTTTTGCTAATCTGTATCAATTTTCTCATCCGGCCCAAACTAGGCGTACTGGTCTATTCTGGAACTCAACTCGCTTTGCTGAGGAGTCTGCATATGATCATTATTCCTGTTTGAGATGACTGCAATGAGGCTGAAATTCAAGCGATGACGCTGTCAGTCTTGGAGGCTTGCCTTCCGACACTTCACTTCTCTAGTCTTGAGAGTTGCTTTTTCGACAATTTATTTCCCCCACCACATCCTTGACTGCTTTTTCTCACACATGGAAATTAATCGACAAAATCCACTCCTTGATCCAGTACACTGTCGACCTCCTTCCTTTCAATCTCTTGAAGTCATAGTTTTTCCTGCCTTCAAGTCACGCTTTGTCATATCTCGGCTTTGCAAACCCCTTCTCTTTCCATCCACCCTGTTCCCTCCCACTTACATTTCTTTGTTACGCATTGATCTCTTTGCAAGGTCGGCGAGATGGAGGATCTCGAGATGATGGATGACGAGCCTGCCGTCGCATCTACCTCATCTCAGGCCACGACGCAGGCCACCAACCCCTTCAGCCCTCTAAAGACACCCTATCCTACCCCTAGTGGCGCCAACGCTGCACAGCTAAGCAACGACAACAACGTTCCTCACCTCATTCTGACTACGGAGCACGGCGAGCAAGCCCACCAGCATCGCAACACCAAAGCAAACAAGAAAAACAAGGCAAACAAGGTCCACAAGATACCCCGTGTTCGGAAGCCCAAGAAAGTCCAAACTGCATCGCTAAGGCTGCCACCTTTCTCCAGCCACCTACCCTTCGGTCACGACTTTGGCGTCTCTTCTGCACCTCACCATGTCCAGCCCTACCTACACCTGACAATCACCGCCGAAGACATCTCCTCGGCCCTGACGGGTCCGATCCCCGGCTTCAGCCAGCTAGACAATGTGTCTACCAGCTTCACACCGCTGGTCTGCGCTAGTCTAGCCCGCTTTGTCAACCAGGCCGTCTTGTACGCCACCAAGGGAACGCGCCAGGACGAAAGCCACGGTACCGTCGACGTTAGCTCCGCACTCAAGGGTTGCCTGAGGGCCACTTTGCGCTCGCTCATGCGTGCCCGGCCCAACTGCCCACGCCCAGCCCCAGCCCCAGCGCCCGGCGAGGAGGACATAGAGTACTGGAACAGCGCGTCTGTACAGCTGAAGCGATCGGTGACCCGCATGTGGCTCCTTGCGCACACTTTAGCTCAGCTCAAGGAGATAGTGCTCTCACAGCTGCGTGTCATGGGAGTGCAGCTCGACCCTCAGGAGGACAAGATTCTGGGAAAGACGGTGATTGAGGCTGTCTCGCAGCCTACAAAGCACGTCCACGTGGCTAGAGTAAGTTCTTACTTATACGTCGTCTTCACACAGCACTCTTTCCCTCTTCTCCCTCGCCAGAGACTCGTCTCAAGCTCACTTATCCCTTCTTTTGCTTCCCAGTACCTCGATCGATACCTGCAATACCGAGGCCCTTACTGCCCCGACGGCAAGGCTCTGATGCTGCTGGTCAACCACTTCGTCCAGGCTCGCACCAACTATCTCCAAGGGCTCAACCAGACTGCGTCCAGCTCTGCCTGCAACCCAAGCGGTTTCATCGGCCCTAATGGCTCCTCTGCTTGCGCCAAGCCTAAACCTCACCCCTCTTCCTTCAACTTCATGGAGCTGGACGACTCTTCGGCGGATGACGACTTCAAGATGGACGAGAGTGATAGCAGTGTGAACGACTCGGTTGCCGAAGTCGAGGACAACGTCCAGGTGGATGGTGGTAGGGCCGAGGGAGCAGACCTTCTCTTGGTCGCGGCCGTCGATCGCTGGATCAAGTACATCAGCCTTGACAAAGACAGCATTAGTGGAAATATGCTGTCTTCTCTGAATCTTTCCGACCCCTCGAGCAATGGAGAGGGTAAGGAGAAGGGCAAAGAGAAGGGCAAGTGGATGGCCAAGGCCGGTTGAAAAATCACCTTCTCTCCTCACGGTAATGGCTGATCGAGAGCGGCGGTGATTTGAATGTGGCGTGACACTCAAAGAAAATTACTGCGTGTTGTCTTTGCCAGCAACATGAGAGGCATAGCTATGGCATCAGTGCGAAGCTGCTTCTGGCTTGAGGTACTCAGCAGGGACTTTTTTTCTTTCTGAAGATGGTCATGGGATCCAAGCCCATCCAGATTCACTGACATCAACTTTGGGATCGCTAGAAAAATGAATTGATGATCAACGAAGATGCATACAGTAGTCTTTCCACACACTTGTTGAGGAGAATACCCTGGATTGTGAACATCAGGTGTGGTGATCGGAGGGAAGTACATCATATCCTCCCAGGCAATGAGATCATAGTGTCATAAAAAGTGGCAATAAATAGAAAGGATCGCGATCTTACGGCCCGTGGTTTTGTTAGGGAAAAATGACGTTTGCCAGGTCTCGCAGAACTGGCTATACCTTAATTTCCCCCACAGTTCTGTGGACGCATTGTGTGCAGTGGGTCGGGAAGACCGGTATAATTACAGTACCGCCGAGGTTTCTCAGGCGAGAGGATGCCCTACCATCTTCGATATGAGCTTCCAGCCTGTTCAGTCAGAGCATCAGACGAACTTGGGCCCCGAGCATGAATCATGGCGGTGACCAGACCTACTTGTGCACAGCTCTCAACCAAGTTTTGATTGCTGCATACGCCTTGTCCATCGGCCGACCTCATTTCGTTCTCATACCGTGAACTCCTCGCTCAGCCCTGTAGCGCAATCATATCAATCAGCCCCTCAGAAGCCACCGAGCAACTAAGCTTCAAAAGTGTCCTCCTGTGGCCCTTGCACTTGCCGTCAAATCAGCTTATAACCCCCTCCCCCTCCCCCCCGTCGAGACAAAGTTCTTGCGTCATATAACACAGCACATGGAACACATCTTCGAATAGCCTTTGAGATGATGACTTACTTCCAGAGGCAGTTTAAACTTGATGACGAAAGAGATCAGAAGCGAGAAAAGAAAAGCAAATAGGAATAAGAGAGAGACAGAGACAAACACACACACACACACACACACACACACACACGGAGAGAGAAGGAGAGAGTGAGAGAGACTTCTAGAAATACAGTAAATAGTTTGCCTTCCATTCCCGCTTCTGTGAGATGTGGCAAAGGAAGGTCAAGATGTGGCGAGGCAGGCTCCCTCCCTCACATGCTGCGGTCCAACCGACTGCATTCGCCTATGTATGTATGCATGCAAGCGAGCTGTGGTCTGTTCATGTCCTTTCCAAACCTTTTGCCAAGAAATGAGAGTGGGCTCGCCTCTTTCGTTAACGTGGGTGTCGGGAAGACGGGAGGGATGAGGGCGGAGGGGCTGCTGTGCCTCGTTACTACAGCTCTTTGGCATGTTTCTCTACTCTCATGAGGTTCAATAACTGCTTCCTTGTCCGCCCCCCCCTTTCCTTTGCTCCTACAAGTCGTCGGCTCCGAACGCGACCTTTCCATCCTTCTTCCCCCTCATTTCTGTTGTATAAACTCTTGACCCAGAGTTCACGTGTTCCTTTGTATTCGTTGTGTGGTTCTATCACCTTATCACCTTGTATACAAGTTCAAATTGGGCAAGTATTGCGGATACAACGCTGACCTCGTCGTTACCAGCCCAGCCTCCACCGGCAGTACTGTACCATAAGACGGAGTTCCAGAAAATGAATGTGTTCTTCATGTGTGTGCTGTTGGACACCACATTGTCTTCCTGCCTTCAGTATGCTGTTGATCGACCCTCAATCTCCGCTGCCCAAACCGGAACCCCTTCTTTAGCTTATTCTTTCTTTCTTCTTTTGGGTTCTCCCCTCTTCCTGTTCCAGTTACCACGTACAAAGAAGCCGAATACCGTCGCCAGTGTTACCTTGGAGTTTCATGCGGAGGCGAGAGCGAGTACGTCGGAAGGACCGGAACGCGCACCCATTGCCCCTTCACTGGATCTCCTTGATCAGTCTCGAGATAAACAGCCAGGATACAACAAAAAAAAAATAACCTTTCATGCCGCATGTCCCGCGAGATTGCACCCCTTTGGCAGGGGTTGGATATCATCCGATGTGTCGTGGGTGTCTAGTCTTCGTGCGCGCGCATGTGTGTGTATGTGTGTACCGTTGGCTACCGCGGAGAAGATCCTCCTGGATCCGGTGCTGTCGGTTATGTTATTTCTGACATGTCTTTTTTTGCTGCTGTCACTTTCAGACAAGGGCGCCCCCGGGGGGTAAGTAAGGGCATGAGCGAACGCCCGGTCGAATGGCCAGCAAGCCCCCTGTAGTGAATGGAGAGCCTGGGAGCCGCGTGTGCACGGCCTCTGTTGCTGATACCTTCACCGGTGCTGGCTAGCTCTCCTTGGTATAGCACCGATATGTTTTGTGCTGTCCTTGACGCCCTGGCTATGGCTATCACTCACAAGGCCTGTCATTGCAAATAGGCAAAGGCTTGAACACCTGATTTGCCAAGTTTGGCAATTTGCGGCGGCGAGGTCCTTACAGCCAAGATGGGTCCGGCGCGCGGGGCCCGCTGTTCGGGGTTCGCTTACCATGGGTAGTACTACTAAAGTAAGTACTTATCTGATATTCGCTAGTACAGGGTAACAATACGGAAACAAGCAAGGTCAGGGCAAAGGGATCCAAAGCCTTACTGATCACCAACATAACTTCCAAAAGTGCCCAAGAGAGTCATGAGCTCGCCTGCTATCCGATATGCCTCGGAAAATGGTGATGCAATTGGATGTTGTTTGGCAGCATAGACATGTGAATCTAAGTCCTGCCTCCTTGGCGAGGACTCTTTCCGTGCAACGTGTCTGTGTGAGTGTACACTGCATATCTCCACCTTGCCAGGTAAGCCATGTATGCACATGACAGAGGCTTCAAAGAGAGATGAGCGGATGGCGGAGTGTGGAGAGAGGGAGGGCCGTCCAGAGCAAGTGTTTCGTGGACCCATGTGCTGCAGCTTCAGGGAACTTGCAAAACTTGGTATTGTTGTGCCATGAGTAATTTTGTCGTGTCTGCTCCCATCCAAAGCGTGTCTGCTCCCATCCAAAGCGATCTGTAGAGCCCCAAAGAAGAACTTGGTGTTCAACCGTGGCGCATCTAGCATTAATTAATTAGTACATCTTGGTAGGGACATTTTCTCCCTGTGCATGAAGCCCCAGACATTCGGCACGAGCGGTATCACGCCGTAGAATCATTGCCCCACTGAGGTCTCCGCCTGCCGAGAACTGGCAGCGGCGCGCCACCTCATCGCAGTGTCCCTCTTTTGAAACAGGTTTTCCAGCACCTCTGCGGGTCTATACCTGATATCCTGATGCCAGCCTGGGTCGATGACGAGTGTGAGTCCGCCCACCATGGCTGCCGTCCTGGCGGAGACACCGACGTCCAGGTGCATGTCTCTCTCAAAGCTAATGGCATAGACGGGCACGCCGAGCGGGTTGGCCATCAGCTTCTCGAAGTCGTACGGGCACTCCCAGTCGTACTCGGCCAGGAGCTCAGCAGCTTCCTTGAGCTCGATCAGCTCCTCGTGCGTATCGTAGTGGAAGCGGCAGTAGGTGTTTGCCGTGAAGTAGATGGGATGTTCAGTGGCCGTCAGAGACGGGTCAGGGTACGTGCCGTCCTCGCTGGCCTGGAGGTACTCAAACCCACGGATTTTGCGCGCCACCCGCTCGGCAGCCCAGCGGGTCGGCCCGCCACTACACCAAGTCTGTTCCAGGAGAAGCGGGTACAAGGGCCTCTCGTCGATATGGAGGATGCTCTCGAACTCGTGGATTGTGTCGGGCTGAAGCCGCCCCACGGTCTCCAAGTCCTTTTTGATTGTACATAGCAAGTTGTAGACTTCAGGGAAGCCGACCTTGGAGCCAAACTGCCTTCCGAGCGTGAGGAGCTTCTGTCCGGTCATGTAGCCACGCCCTGTCATGGGTATGTTCTTGGGACCAATGTTGGTGATCAGTGTCAGAATCCTCCTGACCAGGATGTCGGCATCCTGAAAGTGGCTGTAGAACCTCTGATTCTGCTCCACAATGTTTTCGTACTCGATCTGGAAGTAATCCTCGATCTTCATGCCGCAAGGGGGCAGGCCACCGGTGATGAACACCTCGCTCAGGCCCTCAGGGTGCATTGATAAGTAGCTGAGGCTAATGTAGCCACCGTAGGACTGACCAAGGGTTGTCCACTTGATCACCTCTCCAAGAGGCTCGAGCTGGGAGAGACAGAGCCTGATGGCCTCGAGGTCCCGGACAATGTTGTCCTGACAAAACTGGGCAATGTAATGTGCCATCTTGTGCTGGTCGAGATCTGCTCTCTGGCTAAGGATTTGAGACGGAAGGGGACTGCTGTCGCCACAACCGCGATAGTCCACGTAGAGGATCGAGTAGCCCTTCATCAGGAGCCAGCGATTCATCTCGCGCACCCGACAAGGAGGATTGTCAGCGCCAGGACCTCCACAGAGGTAGAGGAGGATCGGCCTCTTCCGTAGTGCCCGGTCATGTTGGATGCGTTGTGTCCAGGTTTCTGAGGTGCATGACTTCCCCGAAACTACCTCTTCCCACACCATGTGTGCTGAAATCTTCAGCATGTCATCCTGCGGGATGTTGTTGTCATATTGGAGGGAGACTTGGAAGCGTAGCTTGGTGACGGCGAAGTCGGAGCTTTGGTGCCAGGGCTCTGAACTGAGCAGCACGGCGGGTTGAATGGGGCTCTTGTCGAAAGGCATCACTGTAGCAATTGTCCAGACGGTAAGAGTATGGCGATGATTATTGATCGATGGATGGGAGCACCGGAGGGAGGACGCTTGTGATCCTATCAGACGGTTGTCAGCATAAGATTAACTAACGGCCACATTCTCCAGAGACAGAAGCCTTGCAAGTAGAAAAGTGGCACGATCTTGTGTCGTAGGCTCCCCACTTATTTCATACAAGATACATACTCTAATTGATGCATTCTTTTACCCGTGCTTTTTGTCCTCGGGGTACCGTACCAGCCATATCTAGCGGGAAGGTCGGAGCTGTGGCGAGACATGGCGTTTCTTTTGCATGGGTTGTGTGCAGCTTGATGCAGCTTGGCGATGTTCACACACACATATATAGATGGATGTATATTTGTTCTCGTTTGCGACCAACCAAGGGGCCATGTAGGAAGTAGGCAGGTAGCCTTCTCAACGCACATAATGCTGCAATGCCAACCAACACTGCCACACGGGTACTGGATGCCGGGCTGGGTCTGGGATTCTGGGTGGATCGGGTTTTATTGCGTGTCGGCCGACTGGTGACGCGATGGTCAGGTGGAATGTCCTTGTGTAACTTGAAGAAGAAAAGAAGAAGTAAAAAATCGCAGAGCCAGAGTCCTTCAATCTCCGCCTACTCCAAAAGCAAGATCAAAACGTTGTGGCAGAGCCTCGTCGATCCCTACTTCTTCATCCTCCAGCGAGGCTACTAACGGGGGGATCCGGCTGCAGGGATGACCCCCAGTTTTCTAAGCTGCCACATTCGGAGGGTGCGTTCGAGATGACAGGGCAAGAGCAAAGGGGTGGGCCCCAGGGTGGGGGGGGGAGGACCTGGCTGCAGGTACCTCAAGGAACCCCTGTCCCTGCCAACCACCCCTGTCTGCCGCTCCCGCTGCGGGGTCTGTTTGTCCACTGTCGACCCCTCGTACGAAAATACATCTTGTTCAGCAGCCCAGTAATTTCATCAGGACATCCACGGCATCGTACAGCAGAAGTAACTCGGTGAATTATGGCCCGTCTCACTTTGAATAGTACCCAGTCAACCTTTTTCAGATCAGACATATTCGGCATCATCGTCATCATCATCAAGGACGTAGGACTGCAGCTCCTAGTGATACTTTCCCCCCTTCCCTTACCCGTTCCATTGTCGGACTCCGTGTGGCCCCCACCAGTACTGACTGCTAGCTAGTGCTGGTGAGTCTTAGAATCCGCCAATTGCGTTCCCGACCGTGATCAAAGGCCATGTACACTTCACAGCGAGGAGAGAGTGGATGGAAAAAAGGCGATATTGCCCAGTTACGGCTGGGTAGGAGGGAGGGGGGTATTCTCGCCCATCAGAAGCGAGGTCGTAATATACCTAGATGGGACATGCATGTCAAATTCCATAGCATAGTCATTATTCGTTATCCGGGGTCTAGCTGGGCGCTATGACAGCTGCAATCCTACCCTCGGTACCATAGATTTCTATGTACTATTGCCACAATCTGTCGACTGACGCTTCTCATGGCTGCTGTCTGGTGCTTCGGACTAATGAGCCCATGCAAGATCGCCGTGTACCATGTTAGTCTGAAGAACTCGAAGCGATATATGCCTCACTGGCCCCTGCCTGCATACCGAGGCGCTGGTAGATCTCGTCGCCGCAGCTCCGTCACATTGAGGGCAAATCTACTGACCGGTCAGATGCTAGGAGGTAAATAAACCTATGAGACAGCGAGAAGGCACGGTTACCAGAGTCTCTCTTGCTCCGAACCGCACGAACACCGGTTCTAGATTCACGAATACGGATATAATGGTGGGAGGGTACCCACTTTAAAAACGAAAAGAAGATGATCCACAGCATGGCTCTGTTGCAATGGCTCTGCACGGTTGACTTCCAATGTGTAAGGTGCTACTGTACTACTTTTATATATTATCGGGACACAACCTGACTGAGATCGCAAAGTCCATCACTATTGTGACAGCCATACACTGAACGAGTGGCGCTTGATCGATGAAGGGGCTAATGTGGGTCGCTTCTGGCTGTTGGCCTTGTAGATATCAGATCATAGTCGACGGTGTGTGCAGAACTCTGCTACCGAGGGGTGGTCTAGCCCACATGTCATTCGGTCTTCTCTCCCCCGTTGCATCGGATGCGACTCCTTGGCATGCAGGAACGTAGCGCCACGCCGGGTTGTAGCTATCACCTAAGGTCAGGTTTCACTGAGACACGAACTCCGAGTGGTGGGGCCTTGAGGCTCATGGGGACATATTTCGCTGTGTCGTCGCCTACGTAGGGTAGGTCCAAATCTGGAAAGCTGCAGGTTACGATAACTCAAGCAGTAGAATAATGCAGGGCTAGATACCTGTACGCAGCACAGTAGACAGACTTGATGATCCGCAGCCATCTCTCGCTGAAGATGTGTATTATATGCATTGGTCATCTCAGTGGCTCCCTCCTAGCTGGTCTCTTCCCCGTCTTGACAGAGTGATCGAGCTCAATCTCTTTAAATGTTCTTGATATCCACAGGATTCTAACAAATCGTAATCGTATTGATGAAGTGGCAATACCAGCTGAAGATTGTAAATCCAACAAGACGCAACCAGAATGCCGATCACATTCAACCACCATGCCTACAATGCAAGAGCGTCCTTCTTTTTCATAAGCCAACCGATCGTAACTCTGCGGTGGCGGTGGCGGCTGAGGCAATGCTAACAGGAAACCAAAAGCAATCCGCTGCTGGTTGTGCCACAACGAAAGGTCATGGGACCTAAATGACTGGTTCGCATTTTTGTAAGGATGGATTGCCTCCTGCTCCTAATTCGATGGCTGCCCCAGACATATCTGAGGTCTATTCTCGACAAAGTTTCTCAGAGCGTCCTTCCTCAAAGTAGCGAGCCCATCGATCTTTCTCTTCACACATGACTCTAAAGCTGTACAACCCTCAGGGTATGATTTCCACACTTCGCCACCTGGGCCCATACGTAACTATGGAGTAAGATATTATTTCTCCTACCAGATTTACCCACTGCTTTTTTGTCTTAATAATCATAGCAGGAAAGCCTCGGTCGATCTTCAGTAGTTATCTACTCACTCAACCAGCATTTTCAAGTGAAGTAAGTCTGATTTGAGCCTGGATTCTGTATGGTACGTCACGCACTTTCCAAGTGGCAAAGTGTGAAAATTATACCCTGAGGGGTGTATGCATGTAAAGAGGGTACTTTGGAGGCTGAATTATTCGGTGGATACGTGCCATCTGGTAACGGTACGAGATTTCTCAGCCTGCCACGTTCTATATGGGACGCACCTTTAGGTAAGCGTTGTGGGCGGTCATTCTTTGAGTGTTCGAGTAGAAGCACTTTTACTCAAAGGTATGCTTAGCGATCTTTCTAGTGGTGTGCTTTAGAGACACACTAGAACATAGAAAATTTGTTACATAGCTCATCTCACTGTATGTGCTTCTCCATAGGTTGATCCCCTTGCGTGTTAGGCATGTCTGGAAACATGGCCACACAATCCAGTCTAGGGGATTAGCGCCACATTCAGGTCAAATCTTTAGTGTCTCGTATGATTGTAGACGATTAGCCGGGCGAGACGACCGCCATGATTAATCAAGCTTGGGATCTTAGATGAGAATGGGGATGTTCTCAAGTGATGAGGTCTGTGCATTGTCCACCACGTCTCTGTTGATGTTCAGACATCTGTCAAGGTTAGTCACAGCTAAATAGATCTTTACATTATCCAAGTATGGTGGATCGTGCTTCAAGCTCATAATTAGTCCTCCTTCTTAACGGAACGAAGGATAATAGGCATCATCACTTTTCAAAGTGTCTGTCATAGTGACATGCCTAGGGACATTCCAGCCCAAAGCTAGGACTTGTTTTTTTGTGAGTCAATACAAGCTATGCTGTACACTAGCTGTAGAGAAGAATTAGTAACATTCATAGGCTTGCCATCGGTCACACGCTTCATTCAAGTCTTGCAATTAACCACCTCATTTCTATTAGATAGCGGGCTTCACATCATTATTATCAATTTCATTGTTCTGTCACAATATGTAACATCGTGTGCCCAGATCCCAACAAATCAGTGAAATGTCTCTCTCTAGAATTGTGTTAAGTGAAGACTTATTAAATCTAACAACAGATTCACTGAAAATTACAACATTCACATTGGAGCTCAGCCTGCTATCCACAACTTGAAACTTGACTTCATAAACCAGTTTTGCTCTGAATTACTTCAAACCCGACACCATTGCACAACTTTGCCTTTTCTTCTCTGTCTACACATACCAGATCATCACCACTGCCCTTTCTGAATTTTATCCTATCAACAATGTCATGCAACAAGCAGACCTTTGTGCAGCCCAAGGCCTATGGCTTCAAAGGCACCACGGCAACCCCGACCACGAGCAAGGCCATCGACAAGATCCGTGAGGCCGACAGGCGTGTACCTTCAGCTCGTTCTCAGCGAAAGGGCTCACCTGTGATACTTCGCCAGCCCATTAGAGAGCGTGGTCGGCATGAGGTCACCTCTTTCACGGCCACCGAACCGAACGATAAGGAAGAGACAACAACAACAGCCACCTTGAATAATCATCGGGCGGACAAACCCAATCACCCACCCTCAACTCGTACTAAGCGCAAAGCCGCACCTGTTATCCTCCTCGAACCCACTACGAAGCGAGAACGGCTTGTAGCTACATCTTTGGCTGTCGCGCCACAGCATAGCAAGCAAAAGCCCACCACGATGGCCACGTCCAAGAAGCGTTGTGCCGAACAGCCTTGGTGGTCTGCCGAATTGAAGCGCGCGTTCCCATCACACAACGTAGTCAAGGCTCCGAAGCGTCGTGTTCAGAAGAAAACTGTGCTGTATGTGCTTACACGTCTAGAACAAGCAAGGGAGTGTGTCTGTACTAATCAACTGATTGATTGGGCATATAGAACGGAAGGGCTGGTGGATGCTCGCAACAGCCAGGCTCTGGACATGTACTCGAAGCCTGTGATGGGTGACCCGAAGGCTCTGAAACAGCTTGCCGACTTCCAGTGTAGCTGTCGACAGCCTGGTGCTCCAAGATGCTACTGCGCTTGGTGCGCGGGTGATTTCGCCGGTCCACCCAAGCAGGGCACAGGAAGCCCTTGGGTTGACGTCAAGAGTCTGATCCCGTCCCATCTCAAACCCAAAGAGCTCTCGGACCTCAAGATGAGCTCCAGAAAGATCGCCCATGTGTCTGGTGAAGCCGACAAGTCCAGACCTCTTGGTGCGCGCCTCGTTCCGGATGGCTTCTTCTGTGATCGCTGCCAGACCATCCATCGACCCACCGCCTTCATCCCGTCGTGCTACAATGACCAAAACTTCAGCTCCCTCTCAGGAGTGCCCACTTTCAACCTCGGGCGCCTTCTGGCAAAGACCATTGCTCTGGGTCAGTGCGACAGCGACGAAGCCAAGCTGGTTCTCAATTCCATGAGCACTCGATCCTTCAGGGCGACCAAATTGCCCGAGGCGGGCCTGAAAATCTTGGCCGAGACTTCTCACGAGGCGAAACTTGTCAACGGCCAGCTCATGGTCAAGACACAGGTCGTGGTGTGGCCCGACCCGATCAGCAATGATGTCTTTGCAAGGTTTACGGCCTCGACTCCATGTTGGAAGTTTCCCCTCGATCCTTTGACCCGCTCCATTCACTCTACCATCTCTGAGGAGATGGCTCTGGCAACAGGACAAATGGACAAGGAGGGTCACCTGAAGTTAGCCGAGCCTGGCCTCATGGATGCGGTCCAGTACCTCCAAACCAACCAGGGCATGGTCTACTGCTGCGAGGATGCCCACACGGACTATAGCTTCGGTGTGGTCAACACCGATCTCATGGATAAGTGTATCGTCCTCACTGCCTGGAAAGATTACGGCGGCTTTGGCCAAGAGCAGCCTCGCAAGTGGTTAACACACGTTTCGGCCAAATCCCTGCGGAAACACGAGCTCAGGGTGAGTGTTCCTCCCAGACGCCAGCCGCTGGGCCATGCGGGCATCGCGAGTAAGTTTGAGGGACAAGCGCTGGGCATGAAGTGCAACATGAAGTACGGGCCTGTGCTCGAAGACGATGACATGCTGCGACTGCTGCAGGTCAAATGGGCAATGGAGGGCCTGGGGGGTGATGAGAACGCTCGGGGCGCTGAGGATGGTCACGATGACGATAAGGACGACGACCTGTGGGGCTCGGGTGAAGACTGAGTTCTTTTCTACAGAGGGGATAATTGTGGAACCTGTCGTGAGCATGGGAGTTACTGATCGTATGTTAAAAGGGGTCATATTTGTATGAGCAATGCATTTGCATGCATAGCGAGATATTAATTATAGCTTAGTACTCAATTACTGAGAGTTCTTTTCAAAAGAGTCTTTTGCTCCTGCAGGCATATGATCAAGTTCTTTCTGCGTAATCAAATAGCCAAATACTACATTTCGAAATGATTCTCAAAGTCAAATCCCAATTAGGAGATCCAAATGGCTAGTACATATTCGCTGCGGAGGCCCAGGTTCCAGACGGGTGATCCCTCCGCAATCTTCCACCAGTGCTAACCGAGAACAGACGCCAGTTTGCCTTGTTGAGAAAATTATAAGACTCAGAACCGGATCATGCTGGGAACCACGGGCCGCCTAAAACTTCAATTCGCTGGCGATGCTGGGCAAGTACCAATCGCTGACAAGCTTCATCAGCCTCGGGAAATGTGGAGGAGTTGCTGCGGATACTTTGGTTCCCTTCGGGTCATGCCCCAGCGTCGGTCATCCCATATCAGGTGTTGTTAATTGCTGGGTCGGAGACTTGCCCGTCAGATGAAAGAGGAAAAGGAATTTCACAGGGACAATACTCCAGCTTTGATTAAAGTTCATAGCCAAGTGACCAAATATATATGCTCTTGTGTGTGTTCACTTACAATCGTTCCGAAGACTGCCACTATTAATTATCCTCTTCGGCGGTCACCTCAGCCAATGGATCAAGAATGCCAAGCTTGAGATTCAATTAATCAAAGAACCCGACGCGTGGCTTGAAACCATGGGCTTCTCACCCAGACTCTTCTTTGTTTTGCAAGGCCTCGCAAGCCTCGTTCAGGTATCTTTGCAACAAGATGATTGCGCAGCATCCTAGTAAGATCCCAACCCTAGATCGGCCCCGACATATCTTGGTTACACACTTACTCACAAGTTGTGAATGACCAAGTGCGCAATGCGGCGGCGAAGGCTGGACAGGAGCAACATGTTGTGAGACTGGCTACACATGCTTCGTCACCAATGCGTACTACTCGCAGTGCATTCCGTCCAGTGATGCTTCTGTGAGTTGTAACCTGATAGAGTTGAATGATAATAGCCTCTTCAGAGCCCACGCTCAAGGCAACTTGGATCGCGGATATTGACTGACATATTCCAGACAATGACCAGCAGTGTGACGGCGGCGACCACAGCCACCAGCGTTAGCAGCTACACTGGCCCAGAAGACTACACCACGACCGATGCCACGGCGACGATAGCGTCTCACGCGCAGTCTGCTTACCCGTCGGCCAACTCAAGCTCCTGTGGCGACTGGACCCTGGTCGACAACGTGTGCTGCCCTCTCTACTGCTCCAACCAGAATGAATCAAGCTCGTGCGACGATACCTGCACGGGAGAGTGCATCACGCCGCCTTCTGCAGACTGCATGTCTGGAACCATGTGGGGGGAGACTTTCCACGTGAACGACACGGAGGAGTGGCACTACAGCGTGAGATTTGTTTTCCTCTTCTTTTTGTCTCTTCACTTGTTCATAACCACACCGATAGAATTGCATGCACTACACCAATTCCATCTTTGCTGACATTCAAGTCTCATTGTCTAGAGATCAACGCACTTTGGCGAGACAGAGGGAGGGGCTTGTGGGTTTGGCCTCTACGGTCTCTGCACCAACACCAACACATCTGAGGCATGGGTTGCCGAGACGCTGGGAGATACCTGCGACGCCTTTTGTCTGGCCTACCCGAGCCTCTGTCAAGACCCGACAACGAGCAACCTGACGATGAGAGGCAACTTTGCTGCGCCCAATGGCGATTACTACACCCAGGTACGCGGGTGTCCTCTACTGCCCATTTGATTCACGTACATTTACGTAGGGTAGCACACGCAAAACAACGCTTCTTTTGAATGTTTATTGACCATCTGTTTCTCTCTAATAGTTCTGGCCCAACCTGCCTGGAGACCTCGATAACTACCTGTCATGTGGAGAGTGTTTTGAGCTGATCCGCACCAAGGACGACGGCACAGACTATGCAGTTGGTGAGGATGGGTATACTGATCCTATTATCCTTGAGATTGTCGACAGCTGTCCCTGTGATGCGAATCCCAAATGGTGCTGTGAGTACTTTTGTCCCCTACAGAGTTTGATTCATCATAACGAGTGTTTGCGCAATGATGACTTACAAGCTCTTATTCAGGTGGCTCTGGTGCGGATCACTGCGGAGAGGTGTCAGACTTTACCTATGGATGTCCAATTCCCGAGGGCAGTCATCACAGTAAGTAATTACCTCTCCACTACCTTGATTGAAAATAATTATCTTCCCTTTTTTTCTTGTTTCTTTTAAACAACAAAGACTGATACTTTCTTCCCCTCCCAGTGGATCTGTCAGATGTTGCCATGGGCCGTCTACAAGGCAACGGCAGCCTGACTGAAGGGGTAATCCCGATTCGTTACCAACGCATCCCATGCCCCAAGCCAGGCAACGTCTACGTCTGGCTCCAGGTGGGCGCCGGCCCCTACTATTTCGCCATGTCGGCCGTCAACGCCAACGGCCCCGGCAGCATCATCTCCTTCGAGGTGCTGGGCTCGGGCGACACCGAGTGGCTGGCTCTCGAGCATAACCCAGACTACACGAGCAGCAGACCGCAGGAGCGCTACGGGTCTTGGGTCATGCCGCAGGGGGCTGGTCCTGTGAATGTGCCCATCGCTATTCGTCTGACAAGTCCTACTGGGGAACAGATTGTGAACATGGAGGCCGTCACGTCCTTTACGGCGCCGGCTGATGCTGATGCTAATTACTACTATATTGATATGGGTGTTCAGTTCTCAGTCGACTGAATCAATGGAGTAATTCCTTGAGTACTTATGGTGCTAGTCATATCACCACAAATTCACACCACGTTCCCTGAACTTCTCAAAGAATTATCGACCATCTTGTGCTCGTATATGCCAACGGACCCAGTCGCATCTCCAACGATAAACTGGTCACCGTCTGAAGAGAAAGAGATAAAAGTAATCCTCGAGAGGTCCATAAGCTGATCACAGCCCCTCATGAGCCCACTGGCTCCCTGCGGTGTAGGTGTCCTCCAGAGCTCGTGTCCTCCGTTCATGGCGTCCAGAATCACCATGCAGACGTCTCTCCCCTCCTTCGTGTCTGGGCCGGGACCTTGCCGGTACGCCACATAGCGACAATCGGGACTGATACAAGCTATTGTGTTCTCGTTCGGGATGGCAAACAAATCGGTCCTGTCCGTCTCAAAATCCCAGACCAGCACATAGCGCTCAAGCTGTGTGACCGGCTCCACCTGCCATGCGCCAGGCCGCCCTATCACCCGAACATGGTGCGGGATCCAGATGGAGACGACGGTGCTGCCGTGGGTCGCGAGACCACAGGGCAGCGATCCTTGCAGCTCTGCGTACCTGGTGGGCATGCAGGACCGGCGGGTCAGTGAGGACTGGACCGCGGGGTCTGCGGCGAGATCCCACACCATCAACATGGCTGCGTGTTCTGGAGGGGGGTGGCCTGGCCTGGGCGGTCGTGGTCCTGCAGCGGCCACGAGGAGTGGTCCTGTCGCCGAGTACACCATTTCTGGAAACGTGGGAATATGAGGGAGTCCGGCCTTGGCGAGGTGGATGGTTGTGGGTGAGCCGAAGACATTCATCTTCGAATTGGCGGCATGGTGTGAAAAGTTGTTGCTGTTGCCCTGGGCGACTGGAAACAGGTAGATTGCGTTTTCCCCCTCTCGGTAACAAGCCAGTGGCGGATAGTTCGTCTCAAACATGTCCTTTCTGGCAGCCGTCCAACGGAACACAGAGTCGATCACTTGCAATTTCTTCTTGGATTCCCAGTTCCAGATCTCCAGGCTATCTCCGAATCCTGCAGCGACGGCCATCAGGCTCCTGGTCTCTGAGATGATGGCGTGGCTGGTCACGAAGAAATCCCGTGACCGCTCCTGCATCTGGATGTAGAAGCTAATCTTGAGAGATGCCTGGACGTTGCACTGGGGGAGTCCGTGGACCTTGATAGTCTTGTCTCCGTACTTGCTGGCGATTATGTATGCAGACGGTGACAGATCAGCGTAGAAGACGGCAGACCCATGCACTGGAGCTTTATGGTCCTTGCCAGGGTTGGATAGCAATCTTGTGCGTACCAGTTCTGTGCGAGTGTTTCTGGAGTAGTCTGGTCTCCATATCGCAGGAATATCAAACGGGTCTATGACGATCTTGTCTGGTGGGCTGGTCGCGAAGGATGGTAGCTGACTACCACCAGCCAACGTACGTCCTGCGGTATGTTGAGGGGACGAAGGCATTAGAATATTAGATTGAGAGTTATGATCCACGATATCATTAACAACTGGAGACGGGGTGTTGGTAGCTGTTGGTGTTGCGTGTGACGGCGAGGCCACCACGTCTTCTTCGTCCATCGAAGTCAATGTTCGCCGCTGCTGCTGAGTATGTTTCGGGGCCGACATGGGAATAAAAGTGTTCGAGAGCTCTCTTGAACCTGAGCTTGAGGGATACGACGATGTAGAACCACGTGATGTGTAAGAAACCACCGAGGATTGCCCGCACGTATCCAGAGCGCTGCTGGCCACCGAAGTAGAATCGTCCGCCAGAGTTTTCTCCATGGTTCTCTCTGACGAGGGACGAGAGGGAGAGCTCTGCAGCGACGGGACCGAGAGGCTGTTGAGTTTTTTGGGTGCACCCATTGACAATCTTGCAAGAGCTTTCACGAGTTTGTTTGTACCCTTGCGGTTTTCAGTGGCAACGGCAGCTGGTGGCGAGTCTGCTGGTCCTGGTTCGGGGGTCATTCTTGAGGCCATGCTAAGTAAATCGCATTTCAGTTAATCACATAGACAGGGAACAAATATTCTTGTCAGTAGGTATGATTGACATACCTTAACTCATCACGCTCGCTCATTTGACTTCCTCCGCAGGATGCTGCCTCGAGGGCTTGAATGAGGCTGGGCTTTTTGTCTTCCTGATTTCGACACTTGCTTTGTATGTACAGCCGCACCTCATCGAGAGAAGACCAAAGTGCCTGCTTCAGGGGGTCTTCACGATCACCCTCTTGAACTTGTTGCAGCATTCGACGAATCAGAGCTAGAAGCCTTCTTGTGTCGTGATCGAGGTATGTGCCGAAGAAATTGGCGTCAATAGCATCGTCTTCCGGTCCTGCCCTAAAATATCAACACCGTCCAGCGGTCAGTACCCTTCATATTCTAATATGAGTGGTAGCAGATTGGAAACAGATTTTATTTCTTTTACGTACAGGTTCACTGCCTCGAGCGCCAGTTGTAAGGCTCTTCGACAGGTACACAGATTGCTATGCAGTTGCTGAAGGTTATCGGTGGACGGAATTGCGTCCTGATGTGCGTCGCGGGGGGTTTTTTCAACCCACTCGTCGATGTGGGAAAGCACATCTCCACAGCTGCGCACGATCTTTAATATCGGAGGCTGCAGCTGACGAGGTATGACGAGGTCGGGATCTCCTAGGCGCTCGAGCGGAACTTTGAGGTCGAGCAGCTCGTATGTGAGAGAGTCAAATAATGCAGTTGCGGTGTACGCACTCTGCAGAATGTCATCCACGGCGGTACAGGTACGGGAAGCCGCAGAGAGGGCATACAGAACCGCAGCCTTGAGGAGATAAGAGTCCATGGTGAGAAGATGATCGAGTCTTCTCTTTTGCGAAACTGGTGCGCAACGTGTTCGAGTTCCCTTTCAGCAACCAGAACAGAATCGGCAAACATCTTCTTGGGCTGGCTACATTAGAACGGTGAACAACTACTGTTAAATCAGGGCATGTTGTCGACGACCCGAACATGTAATCTGACACATGACACTCAGCCACATGTAGTCAGTCTTCCCATATTCCCAGCGTGGTAGAGATTTGTGATGATCATGGCGCCAAGGAGACACCAGATAGGACATAACTGGACCCCGTCAGCCCTTCTGTAAGCAACTGGCTGCGATGTTCCGCCATTCTGCGGCGTCACTGTACACACAATTAGAGTGTGGGACCTCGCAAAGGAACGAATCGATCTGAGAAATGTGTCTCGTCCCGGCGGTGATGCCTAGGGCCGTAGACTGGATCGGGAAAGACTGTCTCACACACTGCAGTTAGGTCTTACAACCGTATGTGTCCCTACTAAGTTACACGGCAATCAAAGGCTTGGGTCTTAGAGAGATGTGTAAGCAGAATTCCGTGGTTCAGCATGTACCGACTGCCGGTTTGCGAGGACGTCAGGAGCAGTGCTGAAGAAGAATGCCATGAGAGAGAAAAGAAAGGAAATCAACAGAGTATAAACAAGAGCATTCCAAGAACAATGAATAACCAGCGTTCATACCATCCCAGCCTACCTCAATTTTGCCATTGCACGTGGCTTCAAACAGTGCAGGGAATACTAGGGATCATTAAGCACCGGTTTCTAGGCTCAACTTAGAAATTATGTCAAGTAATCACTTATCCGAACAGGACCTCAACATTATGATCATGTCCCATAGTTGAGTCGACAATCAACAGTCAGTCTCGCACAGTTAGGGAGCACAACAGGGAAAGAACACAAACAAAACGCCACATTGATTAACCATGCATGACATCAGTGGCCATTTAAAATCATGCCTCGGATATGGAAATCGCGCGGTTACATGTTTACTATGAAGGATTCCTAGGAGGGGGGAGAAGAGAAAAGAGAAGAGAAAAGAAAAGAGCAGACGTCAAGATAAGCGCGATAGAAACGTTTTGAAACATGGGTCTGCATGCAGGGTTGAAACGGTTTATATGAAAGGATCCATAGGGCAGGGATGTCAATCATCGAAATTCAGCCTCAGTTTGAAGGGGTGGCCCCACGAGAGGTGCTCCTAGGACCAATTTCCACCACTGAGAGCAAGAGAGGATCTCGTTTCGATGATCGTGAAACAAAATGTAAATGACATCAGGTGCAGAGAAAATCCACCATGGCGGCTCAGCAGCCAAGCGAGGCAAGTCGTCCTTCAGGGGTGATGTCGGTTGATTCCGAGGAAGCAAAGCATTTTAGACCATGTAACCGTCTTATATATTCGAGCTGGGACTCCGTGGTGGTGCTCAGTCTGTTGTTGATATCAGCCAACCTCGACTGTCACAGCTTGTTTGTACGGTGTTCCAACCGAGCCACTCTTTCTATTCGTCATTCTTTTCGTGAACTTCACTGTGTGAAGCTGGACATTCCTTTTTTTTTTCTTTTTGCCAACATTGAAACTATCTTCCACCAAAGTCCCTCCTTTACCCCTTCTCAAGACTTATAAACAACAATCATCACAATGGTGTCCAAGTTTCAATCTACGGCCATCCTCCTGGGTGCTCTGGCCGGCACTGCTCTGGGTCACGGTCACGTCACGGGTATTGTGGCCGACGGCGTTTACTATGGCGGCTTCTCGCTTGACTACTACTACGAGAAGGAGAACACAGGCACCTTTACCGAGTCTGTCGGTTGGTGGGCTGAGGATCTCGACAATGGATACATTGCCCCCAGCGCCTACAACACTTCCGACATCATCTGCCACCTGGACGGCCAGCCTGCCAACCTGACTGCCACCGTCAAGGCTGGTGGTACTGTCGAGTTCCAGTGGACGGCTTGGCCTCATCCTGGTCCCGTCCTCACCTACGTGGCCCTGTGCCCTGGTGACTGCACCGACCCTACAATGGACAAGACTGCTCTCGAGTGGGTCAAGATCGACGAGGGTGGCTTCGATGTGCCCTCGCAGACCTGGGCGTCCTACGATCTTATCGCCAACAACAACTCGTGGACCTCGACCGTGCCCTCGGACCTGGCTGCGGGCAACTACGTCTTCAGACATGAGATTATTGCTGTCCACGGTTCAGAGAGTCTGAATGGTGCTCAGAACTACCCTCAGTGTGTCAACATTCAGGTCACCGGCAGCGGCACCACAAGCCCATCGGGCACTCTGGGTACGGAGCTCTACCACGAGACCGACCCTGGCATCTACTTCAACCCGTTCGTCGACCCCTCGCCCCCTCTCCCTTTATATGTATACTTTCACCTTTATACAACTTACTAACAAGTTATGGACCAATTCTTCTAGTTACACCACGCTGTTGAACTACACAATCCCGGGTCCCGCTCTGATGGAGGGTGGAACCAACCAGACCGTGACTGCGACCACAGGTGCCGCCGCCGCCACATCCGCCGCGTCCAGTGCTGCGTCGACCAGCGCTGCTGCCGCCGTGACCACCTCGGCGGCTGCGACTTCGTCTTCTGCTGCTGCTGCCGCTGCCACAACGAGCTCAGCAGCCGCCGTGGCCGCCACCACGTCTTCGACCGCTCCTGAGACTACAGCAGCGGCCGCCACCTCGAGCTCTGCTGCTGCTGCCGAGACAACGGTTGCCGTAGCTGCTGCTTCTACATCTGTCAGCTCTGCTGCGTCTGCTGCCACCACTACCGCCAAGTCCTCGTGCTCCAAGAAGCGCAGACACGCTCGTGATGTGTCTCTGTAAGGTGTTGTGAACTGACAGATGACGGTGTCAGAGAAGAAGAAGGGAAGACAAGGAAATTTTTTGGCTTGATGGAATTTCATGTCAACTTGGTGGGGGGTTGGTTTTATTTTTCAGCGTGTATTTAGTTATGACATATCTCGTCAAGTTCAAGTGTCCATAAGTATGAATAAGAACTTGCCTATTAAAAGGAATCTTTTTGTGTCTTAATTAACACGCTCCCATGTTTCCCACCCCGCGCAATGGGCACTGCTCTATATCTACTTTTATGCACACTAAATGCCACATCCCGAGATCTCGGCCAGTTCGGCACCAAGTAGTTCAGAAAAATAAAGAAAGAAGAAGTCCGAGCCCTCCTCTACTTCATCAGCCTCGTCTGTTCGCCCGGAGTGTTTACAAATTACAGGAATAGCGTTCTCCCTGTGCTCCGTCTCACCCACCGAGCGTCTTCTTTAGCTTCTCCACTGCCTGAACACAACGCCCCCTCGAGCCGACTTAGCTCTCGACCTAAATGCCGATGGCTTCGTTCTAGCATCCACGCCACGCTTCAGCAGGCTGTCTAGTCACGATCGTAGCGTTCGGGATTCTCGTAGTGCTTCATCGGATGCCTGGTCTCCAAAATACTTTTTTCCCGTACCGTGAGACTTTGGTCCGCGCCTTTTCTCTCGCTCTGTCCTCCTCTGTCTCTATTAAAATAAATGCAATGTCCTCTCCTCGCGAAGGCACATGTGCGGTGGTAGCTGTGCCTCAGTGTGGCAGAGCAAATTCAGCCGTCTCTCAAGAGAAAAGAGATCAACACGATGTCTCCAAGGCTAATATTTGTGCTGCTTCTCGTCACATTGTTCCACCAGATATGTTCGGCGCAGACAAACGAGACTGCTTTCCTTGACGCCTTCAGTCATATATCAGCATGTGCTGTACGTCTTCGCCCTTCATTGTTGTTGGGCAGGATTTCCAAGGTCGTGATATTTTATGGCAACTGACAATAATTCGGTATGATTTAGCAAACCTGCGTGATCTCGGCCATCCCCCAGTCCGCGTGTGCATCATTCACCAACACCAGCTGCATCTGCACCAACACACAACTCGCTCAGGCGACAAAGGCATGTTTGCTCGAGGACTGCACCGTGGCCGACTCCCTCGACGTCGCCAAGGCACAAGCTGATGCATGTGACTATCCGGTCCGCTCCATGAGGGGGACCCTGCTTGCTCCTCTGGCTATCGAGCTGTTGGCCTTCCCGGCGGTCCTCTTACGCCTCTACGGCAGATGGAGGTATGCACCACGCTACGAGGTGGACGACTGGATCATGGTGGTCTGTTTTCCTATTTGGATTGTCTTTGAAATCCTTGGTCACTACAGTAGGTGATAAGACTTCCCTTCTTTTTTTCTTTTTCCATATGATATATCAAGATACAAAATAAAAGAAATGACTCTGCTAACACTCCACAGTTGGTCAACTCGGCTTTGGCCTCGACATCTGGGAGGTGGACCAGGCCGACTTCACCTTTGCCCTCAAGCTCTTCTACGCAGACGAGTCCCTCTACCTCGCCGTCCTCGTCCTCACCAAGCTAGCCATGCTCTTCTGCTTCCTCCGCATCTTCCCCCAGAAAACCTTCCGCCGCGTCTGCTACGGCCTGATCGCCTGGGTCGCCCTGAGCGGCACCATCTTCGTCTTCCTGCAGATCTTCCAGTGCGTACCCATCTCGTTTGTCTGGGAGGGATGGCTCCTCAAGGAGACCTCCTCTAACCCGCACCGCTGCCTCAACGTGCACGCCCTCGCCTACGCCGCCGGCGCCACAAGCATCGCCCAGGACGCCGCCATCCTCGTCGCCCCCATGCCGCTGCTGCGCAACCTGCACACCACCGCCCGCCTCAAGCTCGAGGTGTGTCTCATGTTCAGCCTGGGCTTCTTCATCCTGCTGACGAGCTGCATCCGGCTCGGGTTCATCGTGCGCTTCGCGCAGTCGTCGAACCCCTCGTGGGACAACACTGGCCCTCTGATCTGGTCTGGTCTGGAGTGCGCGGTGTCCATGATCGTGACGAGCTTGCCGGCGATTCGGCACCTGTCGAACAGCTCTAGGAGCCGGCGGTTGAGGGCGACTGGAGGGGGGAAGGCTGCAGCGACCTATGCTACGGGCGGGTCATCTTCGCGAGGAGGATACAATTCTCGGGGATATGTGAGGAAAGGGGACGGGGGTAGTGCCGTCGTTGGCTTGACAGGACCGACGCTGCATCTTAGCGAGAGTCAGATCGAACTAGACCACCGGAAAGGAGTGTCGTCAAGTGAGCTTGAGGTTGAGTAGATTGTTGACTCCACCTTTCATGAATATATGTCTGAAGTATCCCTCCATTTTTCCACGCTGGTTCTCGCTCTTACTCTATACTTGTGTGTATGCTACAATATCATGTCGAAGTGCCCGAGACAAGCAGTCTTCTCTACAGCTGTTTGTAATATCAATGACGTTGACTCGACATGAGACCAACATAAATTGCCGTGTTATTGCCGGTAGACTCTCTCTTCGAAGTTTCTCTCTATCCTCTTCTCTAAACCTCTGTCTGGTTATTTCTATGCTCATCATCTTATACAGTCGACATCCATGCCGGCTCCGTGCTCAGTCTGGCCGTATACAGATCGTTCGCCGTCACAGCCCCGCTGTAAGCTCCACGGCGGTAGATGTCCCAATCCCTAATCATACAGCATTGTTAATATCCTGTCGATCCAAAAGGGCGAGTAAGGATCCCATGTTGAATAGAATCAGAAAAGAAATTCCAACTCACAACACAAAGTTGTCCAGCTCGTCCCGCCGAGGAGCATGGCGATGCACCCAGACAGCGACGCTTCTCGGCGCACAACCAAAGACCCCCCAGCCCTCGTCATCGATCCTAACCTCGCCCCAGCATCCGCCAAGGATGTCAGTCCAGATCTCGCCTGCGTGCTGCTTCCCGACACACATGGCCTTGCTACCAAACTCGCGCGCGTTCGTCATGATGACCGCCAGGCCGGCCCTCTTCCAGGTACAGGATCCCCCGTCGGCGGGGTGCGGGGCCTGGCCCTGCCTGGTGAAGCCTATACAGTGCGGCTGGTCAAGATAATCGATCTGTGGGCCGTAGGCATAGAGCTTGCGGGCCAGGAGAAGCCGCGGGAGGGTCTTCTCGCCAAAGGGGGGTTGGGCGAATCCGCTGCCGTCTGGCTTGGAATAACCGTATAGATCGCCGTAGAAAACACATGGGAGACCGCAGTTTGCACGCAGGAGGATGAGTGCGTAGGCGAGGGGGACGAAGAATTCTGCTACTGGCGTCTTCGAAGGAGGTCAGTGTTATTTGAGTATTCTCAAGTCTCGTATAGACCGTGTGTTCGTCGTAGGAGGGGGTGTTACTGCAATACTACTGACTTCTAAAGATTGACCTTCCATCTAGATACAAAGGCAATAATACATATTAGTATGCGTGTTATGAATGAATGAACGAGTATTATGAAGGAGGAAGATTTATGCCGTAAGCATAGCTTACGTACCGTATCATGATTTGCAACAAAAGTCTAAAAACACAAGTTAGAAAGGTTATGTATGTGCCGCTGTGAATCAAGATACCCTGGAACATACCACAGCATTATTCGGTTTCAGCGAGACTAACGTCCCGTCAAAGACACTTCGAAGATCTGTATTCTGATGTCTTGACAGCCGGGAAAAGTTGGACACGAGCCTCACATCGAACAGAGACAGGCAATGATCCATGTACTCAATGTACTTGGCCAGCACGTTCAGGTTCTCCCGCCAGTATTCGCCAACAATGAACCAGTTCTTTCCGACAGTGGCACGCACATGTCTGAGGAAGTCTCTCAGGAAGGAAGCAGAATAGTGTTTGATGGCGTCCAGGCGCAGCCCTCCCAGTGGGATTTGTTGTGCAAGCCACTGGACCCAGTAGAACAGGTCCTGGCGAACTTCTGGGTTCCTATGGTCGACATTTGCAAACATGCTGGATAAAGCATGAATGATTAATAAGAATAGTACGCAAAAGGGAATAACACAAATGATAAGAATATGCTGGGGGCGGATCGGAGGGCCATCTTACAGGTAATCGTAATTGCCGAGCTCCTCATCGACATCTTGGGCCCATTCCTTGCCTTCAAATTTCCATACGCCGTGGGTCTTGAGGTGATGGCAGTAGTCTATGCCATTGAAGTGAGTTTGGTTCCATCTCAGCGGGCTGTATCCAGAGCCCCGACCGGGAAAGTCATAGCCACACCACGCTTCGATCTCTCCTGGCTTTCCCACAGACACCAACCGATCTAGCAACGAGACAACTTGCGTCAGATTTTCTTTCTGCCAACAGGTTTTTTTTGGGGGGGGGGGCGGGGGGGGATAACACAATATCAGACTCACTTTTGGGGTCAACTTTTGTCGCCAGCACCGTCTCAGCACGGTCAGCAGAGGCTTTGTGGTTAAGCACAGCATCAAATAAAATGCTGATGCCACGGCCCCTGGCTCTCTCTGCCAGAGCGATGAGCTCCTCCTTGGTGCCCCACTTGGTAGCCCTGCCACCCTTCTGGTCGAACTCGCCCAAGTCAAAGAGGTCGTAGAGGTCATAACCGTTGCTCGTGTGCCAGCCAGCCTTGCAGGCGGGGGGAATCCATATGCTTGTGATGCCCAAAGCCTCGAGGCTCGGGAGGGCGTTGTCGAGTCGCTGCCAGTGCTTCTGGTCGGATGGGACATACCACTCGAATCCTTGAAACATGGTCTGATTGGTGTTGGCTGTGGTGGTAGGAGGCGAGGAGGAGGAGTCTTTTGCGTGGCCTGCGCGCCCACCACGGCGTAGAGGGAGAGGCGGGAAGTTGACCATTATGGCTGGATATACACCAATGAAATGCGGCGTCTTCTTTTCTTTCCCCCTTCTTTCTCTTTTCCTTGCTCTTGCTTTCTATACTAACCTCAAATCTCAAAGTGAGTGTGAAAGTTTATTAAAAAAAAAAAAGAAAGAAGAACTACGATGACGATTTCAATACACCACAATACTATTATTGACAGGGTGAAAAGAGTCCCAGGGCCACATATAATAATGCCTCAAGGGGGATTGTTCGCGATAACGTAATCCAAGTTTCCACTGTTAGCCTCCAGTAACATTTGTAGCAGGCTCAATACTCTTGTTACCTGCTATAGTAATGAGTAGCGGCTTCTGTCCAGCACAAAACACGGTGAGTGATTGACTCAAGTAGCTTGGCACAGACTAAGCCCAAGGACTCACTCATCGTCCCTAGTTGTGCTGATTAAGTAATCCATACCTGTTTTACCTGAGGAACTGAGCTGAACCACACTCTTTTTGGGAACTCAACTGATCATATCATTGGTCGCCTGCAGACAATGATATGTGAACAGTTTCCACATGATGCCGAACAGCATGCCTCCTCACGTAATATGAATGGCAGATGTTATTTGTGTACAGGCGTGGACAAGGGAAGGGCATTGGTAATTTACCCTTGACAAACTGGGCAAAGGTGGTAGCACAGGAGGATGCCAAAGCTCTCCTCCAACTCGGCCTGGGCGTGCCGAGTCAGCAGAGCGTATTGCAGACTGAAAAAGGGTGACTTGGGTGTAAGACCAATGTGACGGTGCTACCAGGAGCGTAGGAGGTGGCAAGGAAAGAAGTAGAGTGAGAACAGAGGAGAGACAGAAAAGGGGAGGAAAAAAAGAAGAAGAAAAAGAACCAGAAGAAAGCCAGAGAAAAGAGAAAAATCCAAGCAGGCAATAGAGACACGACACAACCAAGGAGTTCGACGCGTTGAAATTTCAGCTTGATGAGAGCATTCCAAGCAGACGCGGTCTGCGACAAGACTGTGCCTGCTGCCTGGCATGCGCGGAAGGATCATGAGCGAGGGATGAAAAGTTACCCAGATGGATCAAGATTTGCGTGTTGCTATGTATATAGAGACCACAGCATCCTTGTGTGCCTGTAAGCGCTGTGATCAATGAATACGGAGTTCTAGGATCCGTAAATTGTAACCGCTGTTGTGTTGGGCTCATCCACGTGGGGGAGCGAGGGGAAAAAAAAGTAGAAGAAAAGAGAGTTAATTTGTAACCTTTTTGCATGCTGCAAATTCTGTACACTCACCTCCAAACTTTAGGTAAAACACTACCAACCGCCTGGCACACAGCACCTCGGAACAGACAGACAGAACAGGGCTCAGCAACTCACGCACAGCAGGCAGACGCTAGAATACGGTAGCGACTGTGCTATAGTACCTGTAGTGCCCTGTACATAGTAATGCCAAGTCGCTACTTGATGCATGCGTACTACCTTCTTCTAGCACCTGCCCAGCCCCTACAGGGTCCAATCACGATCGACCCGTGCCGTCCGATCCTTGCAAGTAGGGGCAGAAAGATTGCGTCAGCAGGCCAGCCCTTCATTCCCGCCCCCTCCTCTCTCCCTCTTTCCACCACCCCAAACCAGTACCGGCGCGAGCGGAGTACAGGACCATCCAGGGTCACCCAGGGCCCCCCCCCCCATCCACCGTCAGGTGCCCAGGTGCCCATGCTCCACTATAGGCCATGCCTCGCCTAGAGCATGATGGGGGGCCAGGGGGGGGTCACTCAGTCATCACCTGGTGCAGCTCTGGATGCCAATGCCCCATCAGTGACAATTTCCCGGGCCTGCCTGCAAGGTTTCTCCAGGCATGAGAGCGAGAAAGAGCAGCCATCGACTCTCTTTTCCTCTTCCTCCCTTCCTCTGCCCTACCAATAGATGATCACCTGTCACTGTTACCCTCCCTCCTCTCTCCACTCGTCACGATCGCCGTCTCTTCCTCGACACGATCCATTCTCATCCACACCTCCACCACCAAGTACGGCTGCAAAATAATAAGAAACGGCTGCACATAGAGGTACCGTCACGCTCGTTTAGGTGTGTGAAAAGATTGTCAAGACGGTCACGACAGGGACAAAGACGAGGACGAAGACGACAAGCAGCGACTGATTGATCGACCGACCGACCGTCTTTTTCGCGACGAGATCGACAAAGCACACACGCAAGCCTGTCTCGTGCCCCCCTCCTACTACCCGTACATTTGCATTGCGTACACACACAGTACATGCATTTCCCGGTCTTCGGTTCCCATCTCCACTCTATAGACTAGACTCTCTTCTTTACTCCCCCATCTGATCGATCCATTTCCGCCAAACTCGGCAACCTACATACACGCACGCACACACACGATACCCTCACCACCCTCCCACAACACAGGTCTCTCCTTGGCTCCATCCTCCTCCCCAGACGACCTACCACAACAAACCCGGCAGCCGGCAGCGGGAGCATCTTTGTATTACGACTCAAATCACAGCCGAAGTTCACTGGCCTCATCCTCCCTGGAGTCACTTATCACCCCTCGTCCGGAACGATCGATCGAAGCTAGCCGCAATTTCACAGCCCGAGTCCGACATCAAAATTATCGCGCAAAGACTCGTCCCTCTCACCACACTCCTTACATTCGCGCGACTCCTGTAAACGATACGTACATCGTCTGCGACCTGCCTCGAGGCTCACCTTGCCGTTCTGCTCCGAGCACTCGAGCACAGGCCTCTGCTCCCCTCCCCGCCTTGTTCGCCGCAATTGCCAAAGGCGTCAAGGCGATCCAAGTTGAGACGATTTGCAGTTTGAAAATAATTAGAATATCTACACAGTAGACGTCGCTGTCCGCATACAAGATGGGTACGCTTTACCTTTTTCCCCCGGTGTTTCTTTAACCCCCCCCCCCCTTCCCTTGGCGCCTCTCTCCCTACTGACATTCTTTTTCCGCCACAGCGTCGACAACTATCGTGCCATTTGCCAGTCTCCCCGCCTGTGCATCATCCTGCGGTCCTCTCTATGATGTCAATGGAGCCTGCGTGCCCCCTGTGGTTGCCTCCACCACCTCCGTTGTCTACGAGGAGTGTTTCTGCTCCGACGCCAGATTGACCGCCTTCTCTTCCACCACTGCTGGACCTTGCGACGATGCGTGTACGGCCGACCCAAGCGGCTTTGACAGCATCACCAGCTGGTATCAGAGCATGTGCAAGAGCGTGCAGGCTCTAGAGGCTGACACTACCACGTCCTCGGCTGGGGCAACATCCACATCTTCTGCGAGCTCATCTAGTAGTTCCGGTGGCGGTGGCTGGTGAGTTGGCGCACCCTATCCTCTCTTGTTTCCTGTACCCTGCATTGAAGATTGAACTGACCCCCCGTCTTCGAATGATATCAGGCTATCCTCCCATTGGCAATGGGTGATTTTCATTGTCGTCATGGTCGTCGGCATTGCCGGTATCTGGACCGGCGCCGCTTTTTGGCGGCGCCACTACCTGCGCAAGAAGGATCGCCAGTATGCCCTGGGCAAGAACCTCGCTGCGCGCACAGGCTCAGGCCAGAATCCGTATGGCGCTGGCACCCCCAACCGCTCGGGCTCGGTGCTTGCGTCTCGCCAAGGCGCTTTCATGCCGGACAACGAGAAGCCGCCCAAGAGGAAGTGGAATCTCTCAGGCAGGTCATAATAACCAAGCATGCTCAGAGAGAACCACGAGGAAAGAAGAACACAACAAAAAGAACAAAACCCACGGAGAAAAAAAACATAATATTCTTAATGAACACGGAGCGAATCGGGCCTATGGCACATGGCTGGAGTATGAGGAATCCTTCATTTTTCTGTTGGATGAACCAGAAGGCGAAGCCAGCATCAAACAGATATTTACGAAGACGACGGGATTTCAAAGGCGGCTAAAAGAAAAATTCGAGCAGGCTGTGGCGTTGTGAAGTACTACTATCTCGGCTTCTCTGTGTGGCGTCTGCTGGTTTTTTTGCTGTTTTTATTGCTTCGTTTCTTTTTGGGTATGGATTGGGAGGGAATGGGAGGGGAATTGAAACTCTGCGAGAGAATCAGGGCGGTTCCAGAGAGCAGAAAGAGGTCCAAGGCCGTGGCGGCTCTTTTTTGGCATATACAGATCGGCATGTGCTCCTCTGGGTCAGAAGAGCTTTCTCCGATCTGTATTCTTTCAAATTTCCTCACGTCTTTTTCTTCTTGATCCGTTTTCCTAAGCTACTACTACTATTTAGCATTCCGTTGCATGGGCCGGGGCCGGGCTGACTTGTTGTTCTGCTCTTGTTGGAACCAAAATAAGAAAACGAAAATAAATATCCTTGTTCTGTATCAACGATCACATCAAAAGACGACAAGACTGCATGACGAATCACTTTTGACTTGATTCGTGATCCAGATATTCTCATTCATCACTGATTTGTAGGCACAATGTTTGTATGCAACTTCTAGGTTTCGCCGAATCTACGCATCCGATTTTTGTGTGTATGTGTGCTCCCCCCCCCCCCCTTTTCCCTATTTTTCTTTCTTCGAATCTCTCCCCAATACTCGTCACCCAGTCCTCCGAGGAAAGAGAGTAAGAAGAATAATCGTATTATATGCATGTCTTTTTTTTCTTCTTTCTTTAATGCCCGTTTGCAGCAAAGAACGCCCCACGAGATGCAGTGCAAAACATCACAACAGCCCTGTTTCTTCATGCTGCCTCTTAAGCCTGGTATTCTGCAGCGTCCATGTAGAGATCGATCAGACAACTAGCTGACCATGCTTGTGTAGGGCACTGTAGAAGAGAGCGAATAGCGTTAGTAATTAATGAACCTGTGGATGGAAAGAAGAGTCACTGCCAGGGACTTTGGATTCTCAACCTACCGAATCACCGCAGAAAGCACCGTCTTTTTGCGTCAGCTCTGCCAGTCCCGCCCAGGGAGATTCCCTGATCATGTTCTTGCACGCCATCAGCCTCTTGGTGACTTGCTGGAAAGCCTCCGTGCGGCCCTCCCTGTCGCTGGGGTCGCGTCTCGCCAGGTCGAACTTGAGCAGCGCACGCAGGAAGAAGCCCGTGGGCCAAAGCCACTCCGGTCCCTGGTGGTAGTTCCTGCCCTTGGAGGTGGCGAAGTCTTCGCTGTCCTCCGAGTTGATGTAGTACGGCCTATAGTTGAGATCGGCCGGGTCGAGCGTTGCCATGCCTGTCGGGCCGCGAAGGACCTTATCAGTCAGGATGAGGGCGTCGATGGCATGCTGCATATCGAACAGGCTCGGAGCCACAGTCATGCTGATAGGGAAGTTGGCCCGGAGCTGGTAGTCCTCGTATTCCTTGCCGGACCTATACAGGTCCTTGTAGATGCCGCGCCTGTTGACGATGCTGGAGTTGACGTCGTAATCCTTGTCGGCTTCTGCAGATAGGGGAACGTAGTAACAGCGCTCAAAGTTGGCCTTGATCAGGTCCGCCCACTCCTTAAAGCTGATGGTGGACTTATCCGCTTTGGTCACGCTGCTGTACTTGAATTTGCCATAGCTGGAGAGCTCCTGCACCCAGTTGAGCGTGCTGTATAGAAGGCCGGTGATCTCCACGGCAGCTCCGTCACGGGGCGTGCCTGGGATGCCCTTGGACCCTGCGCGCTCGCTCTCGCCCATCTTGTCCATCCAGGTCCCGCAGTTGAACTGGTTGCCACCAAACACGAAGCCGTTGGTCCAGTCCACATGGATCTCGATGTTGAAGCCCTCGTCTCTCATCTGTGAGTCAATCTGCGGGCCAGCGTTGGCCTCACGGAACGACATGCCCTCCGCATGACGCTGTAGGGCCTCTTGGATCACATCCTCGATTGTGCTCTCCGTCGAGTAGGCCCGCGGGTCCTCAGTGTCAAACCAGGTGTCGTCATAAGGCAGGAAACGCCTCTTGGTCTTCTCCTGCAGAATGTCCAGCCCATCGGGTGCCAGCTTGGTGTAATCCTGTATGCACTGCAGGAAGAACCAGATGGAGTCGCGGGCGTTGTAGCGAGGCGTGTTGCCAGAAGCGAGGAGGTTGGGGATCATGCCGTGCTTCAGGACGCTCGCGAACGCCTTGATGTGTTCCTTGGCCTCTTCGAACCGCCCGGTCCCGAGAAGAAGACCGCGCAGGGAGATGAAGACGTCACGACCCCAGCAGCGAGCCCATTCCACGGCAAAGTGAGGCAGACCGGCAGCCAGAGAGGGGACAAGGGTCTTGGGATACAGTGAGCCCGACTTGACCACGCCCTGCTCCTGCACGCTGACCATGGCAAGGCTCTGCAAGAACCACTGGCCCTTCTGCACGTTCTCGTTCATCAACGAGATGCCGCGCTCCCAGGCCGCCATGTACGCGGCACGCATGACCAGGCCGAAGTAGCGAGGCAGAAGGAAGCTGGGAATCTTTCGAACAGCGTCAAAGCGCTTTTTCAACCACAGGGTCGGTTTTGCGATGCGGAAGTAGAGTTCGCCCTCCGAGGCTCGCTCAAGACGGCCAATAATGTAATCCAGAGCCCATTGGCCATCACGAAGGTTCTGGCAGAGAGGATGAGCGAGGTTGTTGTCTCTTATCACATCTTTCAAGATACTCCACCAGCCCTGCAGGCCGGCGTAGACAAGCTTTCCGTAGCCGGGAATGTCGTAGACGCCGTCGCGCCCGGCACTGCTGTCGCGCTCTTCGGCCTCACAGCGGTAGAGAAGGAAGTTCAGGTCGATAAGGTCCAGCTCTGCGAATGCTTCCTTTGCCCCTGAGGTGACAAAGGTATCAAGACCGGACGAGTGCTCGGCAGCAGGGATCCAGGTCTCGAAAAGGGCGATACTGCCCGGCGGGAACTTATCACGGACAGTGATGGTGGTATCTGCCCCCTTGACATCGATCCGGACGCCGGGCAGATCGATGACGCGGCTCGGCAGTCCTCGCAGCGCGCTCTTGTCCTCCAACACCTCCTTCTTGGTCTCCTCACGGGTGTCTACCTCGAGCATCCAGCTTCCCAGGTGTCGGACCTTGGTGCCGGTGAGGTGGACAGGGTTGAAGGCACCGTTGCCGTTGCCGTATCCTGGGAAGGCGGTGTGGGCGATGAGGAAGTATCCCTTACGGGACTCGGGATGCACCCTGTGAACCGTGATGTACTGGTCCTCGTGGTGGATGTGAGTCTCGTCGTAGCCGTCTTTGCCCATCAGCGTGTGGATTTGGTTCAGGAGTTTCTTGACGCCGCCGATGCCGTTCTTCCCACCACCTGTCTCGACCTTCTTGCCGTTGGAGGACTCGGACGTGTACAGCCTGGTCTCGCCTACCAGATCAATAAGCTTCGGGTATATCTCGTCGTAACCCATGACACTGCCAGTGGCGCTGGCACACATGTTGACCAGTGCTGCATTTGGGAGCGTGTCGCGAGCGTCCCGCTTTTGTGCAGGTGTCTCATTGTCGTGTGTGCAGTCCATGAACAGGGCCTGGACGGGCACGGGCTTGATCCGGCGGACAACCTCCCTCTTCATAGACTCGTCACCATTTTGGGCTGATGAGCCATTCTGGCCTGTTGGCGACATTGGTGGCGACGTGGGACTTCTGGCGCTGTTCCTGGAGACTTCGTCCACCTCGAAGCTCCCGATGGGACGGCCGCCGTGGCGGTGCACCAGACGGCTGAGCTCGCCCGTGCTCCAGGCCTGCATGGCCTCACGAATGAGAGAGCTCAAGCCCAGCCTCTTCACAAAGACGTAGTCCATCTCTTCCGATCCGGAGAAGAGCTCTGCCACAACATACAGGTCCGGTCGGATCCGCCGAGCCTCATCGAGAATGTGCTCTGCAACATGGATCGGGGTTGAGTGGCAATTGTCGATGCGGAAACCCGCAAAGTATTTCGCCAGCATGCGAGCGTACTTGGTCATATGTTCCCAGAGGAATGGGCTGTCTTCAGGTGCCTTGCCGTACCTCAGCTTAACGCAGTCGCCCCAGACAATCACCTCGCGGCGCAGGTAGACCCTGGATTCAGGGCCAGCATTGTCGACGAGGGCATTGCCGCCCCAGACCCAGCCATTGTTCACAAGAGCCAGGTCTTCCTTCTTGTGATGTGCCGTCTTCTCGTTGGCTGGCAGGCGGGTGAAATATGACTCGATAAGAGGGCTGTCTGTGCCGATAGGACCCATCTTCGGGCCGTGTTCGTCCAGGCGGCAGTACTTGATGCGGTTGAACAGCTGGTCGAGGATGACGGCCGACTCGGCGTCATATTCCTTGTAATACTCGACATTGACGACGTCCAGCCCGGATGCCAGCTTCGCACGGGCATCCTTCTTTTGTTCGTCCGTGGCCGTCTCAAACTTGCCAAGGACGGCTGTGAGGTAAGAGGCCGCCACCTCTGGTCTGACCTTGCGCCGGAACCGCTCGCCCAGGCGGTCTATGCCGACGAGCCCTGATCTCAGGAGGGCAGCCTGCTCCTCGACGGATCCATGTGGCAGGGCAAGAGCAGCTTCATCGGCGCGCCCAGCAGTCCAGGCCTCAACACCAGCGTCTGCGTCCCGGTCGACATCGAGAGTATAGTACTCCCACAGGCGGATTTCGCTGATGACGTTCCTCACGGCGCCCATGATCTTAACGAGATCCTCCTCTGACTGGATGTCCGTGGGCAGACCGAGCTTGCCGAGCTTGGAGCCGAGCTCGAGCAGCCTGGTGTCGAGCAGGTAGGCGGACTCGAGCCAGGGAGCGGTGGTCAGGTTGTAGCCCGCATCAGGGTGGTCCAGCAGCCACCCGGCGTTGTTGGCCGTGTGGTTGAGGACAATATCGGTAAGACTTAGAAGTGAGTGGTTCTGCTCCAGGCTGTCCACCATCTTCTTGACGTCCTGCTCCCCGGCAGGGAAACAGGTCGGGTCCCAGCCGAGCTGGTCATAGAGACTGTAGGGCGAATTGGAGTCTCCACGAACCTGCAACGGGGTAAAATGGACCATGTTGTATCCCCTGTCGCTGATACCGGCCAGATGCCTCTCCCAGTCCTGAGGGTATCTGCCCATGAACTTGCTGATGATGGAGAAGACGGACAGGGCAGGCAGAGGCAGAGATGAGCCGTCGAGGCTCAGCCGCGGAGCGACATCAATGTAGAAGAAGGGGGACTGCTTCTTCTCCTCGCTGGCAGTACCGTTCTCCCTAAGGCCCTCGGACAGCTCTGGCAGAGCTGCGTAGGTAACATAGTAGGTATAAGGCCCAGGCTGGTAGATGGGGATAGAGATTTCTATGTCACGAGTAAAGTTGGGCACCAAGGGAAACTCTCTGAACGAGTGCCTCTGGAATTCCTGGCCTTGGTCCGGAATGTTGACCCAAAGGCTCCCGTGGCGACATATGCTCGAGGTGCCCTCGATGGTAAAGCGGATGGTGACGGGGTCATGCGTCTTGGGGGCGATGTAGACATATTGGCCGGCGACATCAGGCGAGCCGTCGTCGTTGAGGGGCAACAGGTAAACCTCGTTGGACACCATGGTTCTTGGTATCATGTTGATAAGAGGGAAGAAGAAGAGCTGTGTCCCGCGCCGGACCTGAGCTGGGGGGGACTGAGAGCTTGAGCTTGAGCTTGGCCGCCTGGACTGGTGCGTATGCACGTGTGTTTCAAGGAGGGGCAACCAGCTGGCAAGGCAGGGTCTGGACTCGTTTGTGGAGGCTGGAGGGTTGGAAGATCGGCGATTGGCAGGCGAAGAAGTGAGACGTTGTCAAAGGTCGAGCTGAACTCCCCCGAAAAAGAAGATAGAAAATGATGTCCAAATCACACGTGTCAAGGTAACAGTAAAAGATAGAGACGTGATAATCAGGGCGGGAACGATATGATGATGCTATCGACAGAGGAGCTTTGTGTGTGAGCCTCCAGCCTTAGTCATACATCAAGCACGTAAGTACCTAGTCGGAACCACAGACGGGCACGACCTTTAGGTATTAATACAAGCAACTCTCAAAGAATGAGTGAGAAGGTGAGGAAGCGAGGAGAGAATGCGTGGTCTGGTCCAAGGTTGTCGACGGTAGAGCTTAAGAGTTGAGAATAGGAAGGAGAAAAAGAAGATAAGAAGAAGAAAAAGTGAAAGAGTTCCTGATGATGAGAGACTTCTGAAAACAAGGTCCAGGATACCGGGGACGGGAGGATGAGCTTCCAAGCCTTGGACCTGGAAATCTTGGGCGCTAGGAAAGGGAGTAGGTAGTATTTAGTAAGTGCTATGTAGTCTGTGTACTATGCAGCTGCATAAAGGTTGAGGAAGGCGTGCTGTGGTAATCGTGGCAGGAGCCGGAGAGGTCTTTCCCTAATTACATGGTACATGGTACAAAGTACAAGATAGGTCAGAATGGGGGCCGATGGGTAGACGTGGGATAGGAAAGGAAAAGTACTACGACGACGACGACGACAACGACGATGTAGTATGGGATGATGAATTTTCATAGATTTTTAGGGGTGGGATTTTAAGAGAAAGACAAAAGGAGCAAGAGGCAGCTGTCGTGGGCCGTGGTCAAGGCCTGCGGGATGGGCCAAAGAAAACGGCCGCCTCACCTGCTCACGAGCTATAATTATGTGCGATGTTCTGATCCCAATTGCAGGCATACATGATGGCTCTCGCAAAAAGGTGCGTATCTTGAAGATGGGATTGTTCCCGCACAAGAGAAGTGCCCCGCCCAACAAGGAACCGGACCTATGTACGGAAGCAGAGTAAGCCAAAGCAAAGCAGAGACACGCATCAGGCTGACAGCTGTGGCTGCATGATGACGATGGTGACCAGGATCAAGCCACGGCTGCTTCCATGTATGTTGTGCTAAGGGGATGGGGAGGAAAAAAGAATTATGGGGAATACAAGGTTAGAAATAGCTCAATTCGAGAGCAGGAACCAAGGCCAAGGCATGGAAATTTTGAGTCTCGAGCCTTTTTTTTTCTCTTTCCTTTTTCTTCAGTGACGGGCTGTTTTTGGGTTATCGGGTTTCTCGAGCTACTTGCCAGCTTAGCGCAGGTACAGAAAGCCAACGCAACGCTGGGCTCACTCCTCATTTCCCATCCTTGGTTCTAAACTTGGAGGAGACTACTGCACGCTTCAAACGGGATCTGGCGGCAGCTGAGGTGAGGTGAGGTGGGTGAGATAGGCTCTCTCTCACAGGGCTCGACAGGAACAGGAAAGGCTCCTTCTGCTCCTCTTGTCTTCCTTTTTGTTTTTCTCTTCTCCTCCTCTTTCTCCTTCTTCGTTCACTTGATCCGGCGACCTACGGTTGCGACCACGGACAACACCACCAGCGACATGGCAGTGGTATTTTATGCATGGTCATGTTTTATGATAGCCGCAGGGGCCCACAGCAGAACGAATGGTGACCAGCACGCCGACTGCCACGGAGCTCGAGCTCCTATTCCCCACTATGGCCTACAACCCCCCGTACCATAGTACAATGCAGTGGATGCAGATGCATACAAGGTGCAAGCCAGTCAAGCGAAAGCGTTGATAGGCTCACCATGACAGCAAAGCACTGACTGACAAGTTGACAACTCAACATGCATTTTCTCTGCCCTCTCCCTCCCTCTCCCTCTCTCACCATTGACACAAAGCACAACCAACGGGTTGGGATGCTTGGGGTTGATGGGTTCCACCAGCTCACCGTCTAGAACCAGGTCTACGGGGTAAACGGAAACACACAATCCAACTTTTGTGTGGAGGTGGGGCAGCCTGGTTGTCTGGGAATCGAGGCGCTGGTTGAACATCGACCTGACGACTGATTCGGCACACATAACCATGGAGGGGGGCCACAAATGATACGAACTGCCTTTTTCTTCTTTCTTTCTTTTTTTCCCTTTCCTTTCCTTCTCTTCCTTTTAGTTGTCAAGTGAGTTGTGATGTGCACTCCTCGTTATCTGAAATCTGAAAGGTTGAAAAATTGAAAAGGAGAAGAGGACAAGCCCTGCGCTTGGAGAAAGAAGACCAGGGATAAGACCAAGACTACGCGAAAAGCAACCCTCGAGTCTAGTTCGGTCGTACATGCCCATCGGAGTGAAATATCACATCTCGCCCTTTTTCTGTCGTTTATGGAGATAAGGTGGAGAAAGAGGGAAAGAAGAGAAAGGCAATGCTCTCTCCACCCAATCTACCTCCCTCATCACCTTCCTTACCATTATCAGGACCTATTTCTGAATAATACCCATTCTTTCTCCCCCTCCGGCCCCCGGGACCGAGCGATCCGAGATCTCCAACTTTGATCTCCAGCATTCCCGCAGTCCTGAACTACCTCCTATCACCCTCCCTCTTTCTTGTTCTCGTCTTCACCCTCTCCCTCCTTCCTGCAACTATTTCTTTTGTAACAATCAGATCATCAAGCAAGACATTGCTCACCCTGAGGATAATCTGTCCAAGTACCATGCACGTCATCATTGTAGGGCGTGCCTTGGCCCGCCAGACAAACAAGTAGGGCCCTCTCCGTCCGAGAAATGGTCGCATGTGCTGCTTTATATATCCTGTCCACCTTCTTCCTCCCTTCCGCGCCACTCGCCAGTGTTGCTCACGTATACATGGCAGTTTCTTGCCTATGTGCAGCTGCACCCCTCTCTCGCCTGGTGAGCTCCAGATGAGTCCCAGCTTGGGCGATTCTACGTTGGTGCCATTCTCGTCCAATCTCTGGAGCGGACCACCGGAGAGCAAATTTGGGGAACATGGCACAACCGATACGAGCTTCTACAGCCCAAAAGACGACAATAGTGGTATCATATCGCAAATTCTCTATTCGTCTCGATTGCTTGTCTCTCCTTCTCCTTTTGTCTATGCGTTTCTGCTCTTCTCTTGGTTTTTTCTTTCTTTCCTTGCTCCCCATCGTTTATCCTCTAGTTCACCACAAGCGCCGTTCCCGTTTCTATTCCTCTAGCTGGTTGCTTTGCTCATGACCCTGCGCGCCATGCATTCCCCAGCCGCTTGTCGAGAGGGTAGACAAGATTGTCTACCCATGTTTTTGTTGGCCAGTCCCTATTCTCGAGCAACCAGTGTTCACCTGACGATAATACGCACCCAAATACACAGTATTCTCCGCAACACACAAATGACGCAAGGGCCATGACCACCATGGATCGAGAAGAAGGGAGATGACTCAGAGAAAGAAAAGAAAAAAGACATAAAGACATCAGAGACTTCCACATCACTTCAACAAAGCTTCGTCCAGGCTGCCGAACTGCTCCTAGTCCGCGCCGATGATCATGCCAGCCTTGGCCTGGCCCTCGCTCGGGCTCATCTTGGCGGGCTTGGTGCCCAGGCCGTTGCGGTTCCTGTAGAACAGAACGTTCTTACCAGGACCCTCGGCCTCAGCGCTGGGCTCAACCCACTGGCACATACGCGCGCTCTTGTACATGGCCTTGATGAAGCCGACAGGGCCGTCGGCGACATCAGCCCTGTAGTGGCGGCCCATGACGGGCTTGATGGCCTCGGTGGCCTCGTCGGCATGGTAAAAGGGAATCGTGCTGACGTAGTGGTGCAGGACGTGGGTCTCGATGATGCCGTGGAGAAGGTGGCGGCCGATGAAACCAAACTCACGGTCGATCGTGGCGGCGGCACCCTTGACGAAGGTCCACTCCTCACCGGTGTAGTGGGGCAGGGTAGGGTCGGTGTGCTGGAGGAAAGTGATGGCGACTGTGAATTACACATAGTCAGTAAAAAAGCCATTTTCTTCAGGACGAGACATGAGAAAGGGTCGAGGCGTGTGACGACTCACCAAGCCAGTGGTTGACCCAGAGGTACGGGATAAAGTACCACACCAGCATGTTGGACCAGCCAAAGGTGTTGCCGAGGTAGATCAGGGCAGTAGCGGCCAGGCCGATACCAATGTCGCTGAGCACCACGAGGTGGGCATCCTTGTTCTCGTACAGGGGCGTGCGGGGGTCAAAGTGGTTGACACCGCCACGGAAACCATTGTGCTTGCCCTTGCCACGGCCCTCACGCTGCCTCTCGTGGTAGTTGTGGCCAGTGACGTTGGTGAGGAGGTAGTTGGGCCAGCCGATGAGCTGCTGGCCAATGAGCATGGTCAGGGTGTAGATGGGGGTCTCCTCGGTCAGCTCAGACAGCTCATGGACCAGCTTGCCCAGGCGAGCGGCCTGCTGCTCACGGGTGCGGGGGACAAAGACCATGTCGCGCTCCATGTGGCCGGTGGCCTTGTGGTGCTTGCTGTGGGACATCTGCCAGCTGAAGTAGGGGACGAGGAGGGCGGAGTGGAGGACCCAGCCAACAATGTTGTTGTAGAGCTTGGAGGGGGAGAAGGCGCCGTGGCCGCACTCGTGTGCGAGGACCCACAGGCCGGTGCCAAAAAGGCCCTGCATGAAGGTGTACAGACCCCAGAGGGCGGCGCGCACGGGGGTGGAGGGAATGGTGTCGGGGGTGACAAAGTTGTGGAAGAGGTAGAAGGTGGCGGCTATGCAGGCCATGTCGCGCAGGACATAGCCAAGCCCTCGTACGCCGTCACGCTCGAAGCAGTGCTTGGGAATGGCGTCCCGGATATCCTTGATGGTGTAGTCGGGGACCTCGAAGGTGTTGCCGTGCGTGTCAATCAGCTTTCCATACGAGATCTTGTTGGCGCTGGCAGCGTCAAGGGAGGACATGGAGGAGAGAGAGGTCGACGAGGCCGAAGGGCGGGGCGAGTCGAAAGGGGAGGCGGTGGCTGTAGGAGGAGACGACTCAGAGTCGACCGTGGTAGAGGTAATGGTCCTCTTCATGGCGGGGTGGCCTCTGGCCGAGACAGCTGTCGATGACATCTTGTCGAGCAAGCTGTGGAATGATTGGTACTGAAAAGGAAGGAAGGCGAGAAAGAAGATGGCGAGTGTGAGATTGTATTTGTCTGACGCCGCAGAAGGAGGGATAGAAGCTGCTGAAGTGTCGAGCGTTTAATCCAGAAACGTGTTCTCTTGTTAATTTTGTGAATGGACGGAGGACCGAGTATATGAGTTGTCTCTCTGCTTTAGGTGTGGGCCAGAGGGGAGGAGGTAACACGGTATACTGAGGATGAGAGGGTTGGCAGTCAAAGCCGATATTTTGGTGTCGTGTCGTCTCAACCTATTGTTGGGCCTAGAGAAGAAGGGAGGCAAGGAAGGAGACCTTGGGAAAAGGAAGCTCGAGAGGAAGCGCTCTTTCTCCTGAAACCACTCAAGTCCTGAGGCGAGAGGATCTTGCTCGGCTTTTTTTAATTCCAAGGGCTTCAACTGGACGAGAAAGCTCGGGCGAAGTGGAAGGGGAAGGAGAGAAGGGCAGGGCGTAAGGGTAGGGAAGGTATTTTATGAATTCCCTTGGGTCAATGATTTGCACCCTGTTCGCTTTAGCAGCGATGGCAAAACAGCCTAGGCAGAGCTAGACCTTTTTTCTTTTTCCCTACTTCTTTTCCCCCCCTTTCTTTTTCTTCCTTCGCCTCTGGACTCAGGGACAGAAACCACTGCACGTATTCTGCTCTGCTAAATAGATGATCGTCGTAGATATGGAAGTCTGGCCTGGTCAACATCTGGGGGAACAAACAAAAGAATAATAACCACTGAGCCAGTCATTGAATCTGTCCCTGATCTTTGCATCTCTGTCTTTTTTTTTTTTTAAGGGGCCCTATTATCTGAACAGCAGCCCCCCCCCCCCCCTTCTTCTCGAACATTGTGCAACGTGGGGAACTCTTTTTTTCTGTTGGGGAAGAAGACCCCCCGGTTAATGGACACGACGAAGTCCCAGAAATGTGTGGGAAAGGTGGGGCTCGGGCAGCTAATTCGCGGGCCCAAGTGGTTCCTGCGCCGGGCCAGGCCGGGCCTGTCCGTCCCTGGGATCAGCACTCAACAGTGAACAAGGCCCGCTGTGCGTTGGCCCTCGGGGCATTGATGTGGAAGCTGCTCTAGGGGCTTCTGAAGGGTCAGCACACAATATACAACACGCAGCACACACTCAACTCCCTTGTTCAATACAAAGTTTGAGCTGGCTTGCTGCACTCTTCCTTGAGTACTACACTGATTCATATGTACATGCAATTCATCCTCGGCGCCGAGGCCTTTTTACCCTTGGGTTACCACATCATCTCCGTGGACTCACTCTTATCTGGCAATTCCCTCCTCCGGTCCGTCAGCACTGTACCATCTTACTTCCTTTTCCTTCGCAATGCATACTTTCTTGGATTCTTGGGATGATCGCCTCAAAACACATCTGAACCCTGCCGCCGCCTTGGGGACCGGTGGCGGAGACTTCGCTACGGCTGCTGCGCGAAGGGCGCTGCCCCTCCTCTCTCGCCACTGTGGTGGGTATTATCCCTAATGATCTCCTTGCCAAGTCTTCAAGGTGAGCTAGGCTTTGCCAGGCGTTCTTTCTTCTCTTTCGTATTTCTCTTCTTCTTATTGCCTTCGTCCAGACGATATACTTTTTTCCCTAGCGTGGCCTCTGAGAGATAGCCGGCAAGAGACGATCCATTGAGGGGGAGGGGAGGTGGCGGTTAGATTCCCGAGTCAAAACACGGTGCAGAAAGAGGTCACACATACTATGGTTGATAGCTCTTACACACCGACCAACTCTCACACCGCCCCATAAGTTTCTACAATGTAGGGGGAGGTGGTGTGGGGAAAGGAAGAGAGAGAAAGACATGCAGATGATGATCACATGCAGGAGTCCAGTACTATGGTGTTACCTCAGCCAGCCCGAGACGATAACTAAGGCTTCCTAAGGCTTGAGGCGTGTATGAGGCTTGTCGAATCGCTCCGAGAAGCAATTGAGCACCATTCCAGAGCAATTGGTGAGTTCTCACCGGCAAGGGCTACCAAGATGAACCTAAATAAGCTGCAGTGTAACTTGTACTGCAATATCTAGACGCTGTGTATTGGGGGGAGAAGACAAAAAAACAAGGTCAAGACCCATCGTCGAGGACAAGCCAAGTGAGGGCTCAAAAGAGGGGGGCCTGGACCCTGACTCTCACATGCAAATTCGGCCGTCCTGGCTCTTATCTTATCTATCAATACTAATTGGCGCACCTTTTATCCACCGGGGGAGAGGCAAAAACATTACAAGAGCACGAGAAGTCGGCTAGTTGCATGGGTAACCCAGGTAAAGCCTTGCTTGGCTTTGTTGGCTGCGTCCCCTCCCAAAGCCAGCCCATTATTTCTTGCCTGTCTTGGAGGAGTCAAATCCAGAAGGAATTGATGGAATCGACCACGATATACTTTTGTTTTGCTCAGGTTGGGCAAACGACGAATTTGACAGTACGATCATGGTGTGAGTATTTGATGCGTATCATCTGATCTGGCGCACCAGAGTCAAGTGTCCCCTCTTTTTCTTCTTCCTCTCTTTTTCCCCTGCTTCTCTTTTACTTAGTACTATATTCTATCATACTATTATTAGTGTCCTTGAAAAGCAGCTCGTCCGAAGGGCCCAGCGTATCAGATCGTTTTGTTGGGGAAGCCAAATTGTTGAGCCTCCTCGCCTCACTTGAGAGACACGGCCAACCCCCCTTTCTCCTTTTCATGCCTACCCCTCTCTTCCCTTGGACCTTGGGGAGATTCCAGTTCCACACACAACGCATCATCACTTTGCCCTGCATCTGATTTGTCCAATTGCATTTGTCCGAATGCTGCAAGGCTCTGGGGGAGGCGGAACAAAGAAAAGAAAGAAAAAAAAAAAGGGAAAGAAAGAAAGCAACCTCCTCTAATCCATGTCCCCCTCCCCCCGCCACTAAGGTTGACAGACAAGCCGTTTTCGTGCCCACCCTTTCTCCGCCTGTTTTCGTTTCGCTTGTCCCCCCCCCCCTTTTCCCGAATCTGAGTATTGTGATCCTGTTGCTGGCCTGTCCCGCACACAACGGCTCGGTTCACCACGTGGCCAATCCGAAGCAACTACCCGTTCCACGATCCGTGAGCCGTTCTACCATGGCTTTTCTTCAACCCCGCCCCCTTTTAAAAAAAGAAAGAAAAAAGAGTTTAGTTGGTTTCCTTCATAAAAGAATTATAGTAGTGTTCTCCGGTGGCCTTAGTCATGGCCATATGATTACAGGTAAGCCGATGATTACAGTCATGACAAAGGGCCCTCAGGGGCCTCGTAACCTAATAAGCTGGCCACCAATCATTCCTTCATTGGTGTGATGAGTGCTACTACTACTACCTCAGAACTTCCCACCCCATCTTTTTCTTGATAATGCACTCTCGCAGACCAACCCCTCCTCTCCCTCCTCCCCCCCCCCCCCCCAACACACATGTAAGTCTCTCCAAGATCTGCCAGCCAGCAAAAGCCACATTGCGACCAGACACGTCAGCAGTGTCCTCCTTCCTTATCATACTCCATCCACCCAATCTTTTCTCAACGCAAACAGTCTGCAGGTGCTTTTCTTGGCATCACATGCCAGCCACTTCCCCCCTTCATCCGGCTTTCTCTCCAGAGAGGCACGCTACTCTGTGGATGGAGTCATGTAAAAGACGTGGCGACGGCGTGTGTGGATCGAGCATTCCCTCCACACGCAACAAATCCCACGAACAACGTATCCACCGAGCGCCAACCTCGCAGGAGAGAATAATGAAATTGCCTTGTAATGGGACAGAGGGCACAAAAGAAAACGGTCAATGTCCTTGATGCCAAAACCCCACAACAGACATCACCACCAAGGTAAGAAGGGGAAAGGAGAACGCATGATCTCGAGAGGCCTCATGGCCAATATAACATTGGTTCTGTATCCAAAAGTACATCTGCGGATCCATAGCTCGTCCGCCCCCATTTTCCCACCCTATGATCTATGTGCCGCACCCTTAGAAGAAAAAAAAATCCCATCCTTTGTATCGACGTGTAAATCATCAACCGAGCCTGCCCTATCTATGCAAACCCCAGAGGGCCTCGGTTGTAAAATTCATAGCTGTCACGCCGCGGGGTGCGAGCTCAGGTCAGGAAATGACCATCCCTTTTGCACCGTCGTCTCTCTCCATCTCTCCTATTGCATAGCGCGCTTCACACCAAAAGGTACATGAGCCCTGGTTGCCATGCAAAACCGGCGTGTAGAGGCCAGTATAGAATTCCAGGATGGACGTGCCATGACTCCGTTGCTCCCATTCGCAAATGAAAGAGAGAAAAATAAACAAAAAGAAAATGAAACCCTTTCGTCTCCGAAATTATCTCCAAGCCAAGTCCAGGTGCTTTTCCATCCCCAGCACATTCACGAGAATTAAGGTGTACACAATATTGTGGAAGAAGTACGAATGAGATGACCAAATGAAGGCCACAAAAAATGCCAGTTTGTCTCGGTTGATCGACAGCATCCGGGTAGAATGGGTGCGACAACTTGAGGTCGGGAGACCCCGAGGGCTTGGCCAGAGAGCATGCTGTGCACAAAGCCTTTATAAGGTGGGGATGGTGGGTTTGGTGTTTGAAAGGCTCGGAGGGTGTTGTGATCGTCAGGAATTATTCTTTCCGGCCTCTCGGACCGCCTTCATCCATCGATCCTCGTCACCAGGCTTGCCCACGAGCCGGTGCTTCTTGCTGCGGATCACCTTCTGGACCTCGCCAACGCTCTTGGTGCCAAGGAGGGCCATCTCGTGATCCAGCAGCACCGCAACGCCGGCCCTGATCAACACCGCATCACCCTCAAAGATGTAGACATCCCACAGGCGAGATGCTTCATCGAGGGCGAGCTGGCTGGTGAAGAGAGACGAGAAGATTTCTCCCATGTACAGATCCAGGTCATGCTCGGGCAGCTTGGTCAGGTGGTCGTGGAGATCGCGTGACTTAGCTGCCAGGGTCTGCAAAAGAAGGTTGTATGCTGATGACTTGGCCCCGGCGTCATCGGAGTGGAAGCTCAACGGCAAGGCACGGTTGAGGATATTGGCAAGTGCGACGAATGCAGCTGCGGGCGTGGGAGTGTTTAGGAGAAGAAGTGCGGCGATAGTCTGTCATACAAGGTCAGTTTCAGGTTGCCTCATGTAAAAGACAAGAGTATAGGAGGAGGAAATAAACTCACGTTGGAACCAGTGACGTAGCCGATGTCACTGCGATACATCGCATATGCCGACAAGACGTCCAGAAGGGACTGGTGAAGCGGGCCACCAGCCTGGAAGATGCGCAGGTCCTGCCAGGTGTGCTCCTCGACATCCTTGCGGATGGCACGCATCCAGCCGGTATACTTGTGGTCCTCAGGGCTACCGTGGCCTGCCTTCTCACGAGCATCGGCGGAATGCGCCCGTCCAAGAGCCGCCTGGAAGGACTTATCCGTCAGACCCAGATCGTTGCCGATCGCTTTGGTCCAAACAGCACCACGGCTCCTAGGGGCGACACCCATCCACCAAAGCTCACGTGTGCGGCGCTCACGGATGGCGTCGTTCCACCTGGGAACAATGTCCTTCTCCCAGATCTGCATGAGGCTGTCGGCCGCCTGATCCTTGTTGCTGGACATGGCCTTCTTCTTCTCCTCCCTGCGGCGTTCGTTCTCCTGGCTTCGAGCCATCATCTTCTGGTACTCCTTCAGGTGACGGCGCTCTTCGGCCGGATCCTTTGGCGGGAGCCACGAGGGGCGCGTGCGCGACAAAACAGCCTCCTTCTCCTTAGAAATGGGCAGGGGGTCGATCATGATGTTGGTACGGCGCAGAGGCGGCAGTTCGGCCAAGGCAGACTTGTGCTTGGATTTCGATTCATCGCTGTGCCGGCGCGCCTTGGGGATCGATCCGGTGCTCGACCGCTGCGACTTGGTCGCCAGCTCCTCGGCATGCTCTTCCAGCTTCTCGGTCAGCTCCTGGGCGTCCTTGTTCAACTCTGCCAGCGTCGCATTCCAACTGTTGGCCCGCTTGATGGGGCTCGTAGCGGTGCTTCCGTCGGGCGATCTCAGAGACGCAAATGTGGCATCGGATCTCGCGCCGGGGGACCGCAGCTCTCCGATAGAGCCATGCGCAGCAGCGACAGCAGGCGTTCCATTACCAACACTGCGTATCCGTGTGCCCTTGGCGGGTCGTTCCGGTGAAGCTGTCTTTGAAGAAGGCTGGCTCTTTGTGCGCTCAGAGACAGGACGAGGCGATAGCGGGACATTGTCCAAGACGAAGCCTTCGGGGATATCATCACCGTCATCCTCGTCACATTCCTTCTCCAGCTCCGCCTCGCTCTTTCGTTCTCGGTTTGACTGCCAGCTGCTCCGGCGCAGCTGCAATGACAGGGCGGGGCCCCTTGTGGCCAAGGAGAGACTCGGAGCGAGGTTTGGGCTCGGAGTTCGGTGACGACGGCTGAAGGAGGGGACCGAGGGCCGACTGTTTGGCGTACGGTTGCTCTGGGTTCGGAGAGGAAGCGGGTTCAGAGATTCGGAGACGAGCTGATTGGTGCTAGCATTGCGCACGTGGGGGTCACGGCGCTCAGTTTGCAGGTTGGGCGAGTTAGACCGCCGCCGCATGGGATTGTATATCTCTCTCTGGGTCACCTGCAGAGTCCGCGACTTGGACAATGGCCTTATGGGCGGCTGCTGCTGCTGCTGTTGCGGCTGCGGCTGGGCCTTCAGGTTGGTCAAAGACTTTGCGGCACGCAGGTCAGAGGCGTAGGAGCGAGCGAACGGGCTCGGGTCACGTTTGGGCTGGTGCACATCGTGGTCTTGGCTCGGAGCGTCATCCTGAAGGCCAATATCTTCAAAATTGCTCACATCGGTGATGACGCTCTCCCTGTCCGAACCAAAGGACCTGGAGGAGGGGAAGGATGAGGACTTGGAGGACTTGGAGGTGGATAATCCCGGGGGCGATCCGGCGTCGGAAAGGACAATGGTTTGTTCAACGGGTCGCTCGTACAGCATCATCTTGGCATGGTCCTACGCCAGAAGCGGAGAGATCAATTGAACTGTTGTAGGTTGCCTCGAGCAATGCGGTGCGTGGGTAACGCCACTTGCAACCCAACAAACAATGTCGTCGTCGTCGTCGTCGTCACCGCCAAAAGGGTATAATGTCGTTGCCCTCGGTGTTAATGACGTTGCAGGAGGATATAAGCTTAATCTGTAACGACGGAGATCACCGCGATGGGGCTGTACTTCGTCCGGTCGTGCAAGTTGGGAAAGACGGCGGCGGATCTTTGGTCGACTTGAACCTGCAGCAGCGCAGCCGGCAGTGTGGGTCAGGAGTTAAGGCGGGGTGTGACGTTTGTAGTCTGAGGGCGCATAAAACAAGTCGATCTTGGGATGGTTGACGTTCGTGAAGCGCCGACAGTGTGTCCGAAGACCTTTCTTGCCAATTCAAGGTTGTTGGCTCTTTCGTGTCCTACTTTCCGTTGTTGAAGAGTAGCCTCGACAACCGATGGTGGCTGACAGGGCAGAATAGAGCAGAAGAAAGAGCAGGAGCAATGGCTCTCTTGAAGACACGATGAGACGAAAGAGGCGCAGAGTCCTTGTGTGTGCGTGATCCCACAGCACAGACTTCCACTCTCTCACACGCCACAGAATATGACGACGGTGGTGCGTAAGAATCGGTCACGATTGGGAGGGCCCAAATCCAGGCGGGGCGGAGAATAGGTGTGCTGGTTGGTGTTACTGGTCCTGATGCAGGGTCTGCAGGGTCCGAGAGGTCTGGTCTGGTATGTGTCTCACGATCTCAGACGGGTCAAGGTCGAGGCCGGGGTCGGTCCTGGTGGTTAGGCCGCGTGCAGGAATGCGACTTTGCTGATGGCTGGGCCAAAAATAGGGTTGCCCTGGGCCGGCTTGACAGGTCAAATAAACAATGGAAAAAAGGTTGAATGAGTGGTCTGCCTGATTGGGAACAGATAGTAAGGATTAAAGCATAAAAAAAGAAGAAATAAAAGAAACGTGCTCCAAGGAGAGTCGAGCAACGGAGTTTGAAGAAACAAGCTGGTGTAGCAAAAATGCTTGTTCCGGAGTAAGGTTGGTAAGTTAGAGGAAGATCTGAATGCGTCGTTATAGATCCAAGCTCCTCGCTAGAGACTCAATGGAGCCGAAAAAGAAAGAAAAAACGAGTGACCGAGTTAAAAAAAAGAAAATCTCTGGGAGAGAAGTTGGAGGATGTGCTAGATACCCTAATGAGAAGAGGAGGAGAGCGAGTGGTGAGGTGAGGTGAGGTGAGGAGAAGGAGAGAAAAAGAGGAGATTAGGCGGGAGCAATGAATGAGCGGATGAGGTCAAAGATCTTGAGCGGGTAGATGGGATGAACATTCAAGGTCGCTCTTGCTCCATATCTAGTGGAGGTCCAGTGCCAGGCTAGGACCCCCAGGCTAGTATCTCCACAGGGCCAGCCAGGCCTCTCAAGAACCTGCCCCTCTGTGTGTGTGTGTGTAAACCAGCCCTGTAAAGTGATGGATCTGGCGCCGGGAACAGTGGTACTATGGTAGTGTTGGTGCTGGTATTGGTGTGATGGGAACTAGCTACAGGGGGGCGGCAGGGCCGTTGTGAAAAGTTGCTGCCGCTAGAGACAGCACCGAGGAATCCACTAAATCGCTTGCCTAATTTCCAACGGCTCCGGCTGCTGGAGGGGGGGGGTGGGGACAGGGATAGCACCCTAACATCTCTCAGTATAATTCTACTGTTGATTCTGCTAGTGCCCACGTCCCCTTTCATCTCGATTGACCTTCACTCGCCATTGCTTCTCTGGTTTGATTATGGTCGGCGAGCGCTGGGGGGGGGGGGGGGAGGATCGGGATGCTACCACATAAGCACCAGCAAGCCATGCATGTGCAAGCCAGGCAAGCTTGCTTTTCCCCGTTTTCCTAGCCCACACCATGCCTTCTCAGGACAAAGTGCCGCCGGCCAACAGGTTTTCTCTTATCTCTACTCTCAGAGGTCTGGAAATATGCTCTTTTTTCTCTCTTTTTTTTCTTCTCCCGTCCACCCTTGCTATAAGTCAGGAGATACACTTTCGGTGAACATGGTAGTGAATGCAACAGTGACTTGGCAACGAGAGAATGAAAGCAAAATAAAAAGTCATGTCATAAGAAGCTGACCAACCGAGAACAAGCCCGCAGCATCCTTCGAACAACACCGCTATTTCGGATCTCGAAAATGGGGTTCTCCTTCTCGGGAGGCCGGAAGGCCAGGAGGCGCAAGGAGGAGGGGTCAGCTAAAGGGTCAATCAAGTGTTATTTTCTCCCCCCGCTCCTCTCTTTCGGCTCACCCAAAAGATGGCAGAAAGTGGGCTCCAACAAGGGCCCCGCGTCCTTCTATTTTGATCGTGTGCCCTTGTTAGTAATCTACCATCTCCAGTTTGTTTCTTTGTCTCCATGAAGTCAAAGCAACTGGTCACCTTCAAATAGTGCTCGTATGTGTGTGTGTGTGTGTGTGTGTATGCGTTCGAATGTGTTCGTGGCCTGTGGATAAAGATACTCTCGCTTGAGAGGATGCGAAACTTTTTTTGGTTCAGCGGTACGCGGGAACCCACCCTCCAGGTGGCTTTCCTTATTTCTTAGTTTCGTACCCAGCAACGCCGTGGCGTATTCTCAAACCATTCCCTGACGTTCTTTTTCACCCAGCGCCCGTTGATTTTGGCTTCTCTAGAGAGACTTGTACACAGACAGCACACTAGAAGCATCAGTGAAAGGAGATGAGGAGACCGGGGGAAAAGAGGAATGCCAATAAGACACACACACACACACATACACCCACAGAAAATTTACCTCATTAAAAGATTACATCAAACGTGACATCGGCTTTACAACACGCAGCTTTGATTTCATCCCCTGGGTCCAATCACAGCTCAACCCCTCCAGGCGCCGCCGAAATTGCATACCGTTTTCAGAAAGGGGAGGGGAGGGGGTGTAGGATGGAGGGCCTGGCCAGATTCCCACTCGCTCAGCCTTGCGCGGTGCTGTGGAAACAATCCCAGCGGGGTGGGCTCCACCGCGTATCTTATGTAAAGGTCGGTCCCCCGTCATCTTGCCCTGGGCTCGCCTCGCCTTGTGGGTGGGTTCTTTTTGCTTGTATAGGCAACAAGCTTGTACTGTGGTATGTAATTCAATCCCTCGCTCAATCAGTCAAGGTCAAAGATCAACTCGTATTGTGTGCGTGCGTACGTATGCGCAGTGCAGTTATGTCAGCTAGTGTTCACACCATCCATACTATGGCAGCGCTATACATAATACACTCGAGGCTATGACCCGCCAGTTCGTCGTATTTTGCTTTGCTTGCATTGATCATTCCAACCAGTATAGACCAGACACTGTCGAGTAGGATACATGAGCAGCAAGTCAAGCTGCTCGGGAGGATCGACTGGCTCACCCACGGACCATAGATCGAGGAGTAACTGCGGCAGCAGTGCAGCATTGGTGATGGATACGGTTTGATCGCCTGTGAAGATCCTGGGCACCACCACCCAAACCCAATCTACACATCAATGGGGAAAACGACCACATTGTCGCACAGCAAACCTTTGTCTCCACCCCAGGAGCTCCAGATCGAACTTCATTTTCTATGACCAGCCCAACCCCTGAAGCTTTTTTGTTTTATGTGCAGAAAACGAATCCCAGTGGACATTGCAGGATATCTTATCCCCTGACAAACCCAGGTACAGAGAGAGGCTATCCTCAACCTGTGAAGGTCTAGGTGCTGACAACCTCCTCGCTCTCCTCGATTACCTCTTCCACAATCTCCTCGATCACCTGTTCCTCCTCGCCCGGCGCCAGCTCCTCCATCTTGGCCCTGCGCAGCTCCTCCGCCGGGTCCGCGGGCAGGCCCAGCGCCTCGCGCTCCTCCGCCGCCTCCGCCTCCACCGACTCGCGGAACTCGAGCCACTCCCGCAGCTTCTCCCGTCTCCGCTCGATCACCTCCTGGTTTGCGCCGGTGATGCGCTGAGCATCCTCCTCCTCAAACACACGGGAGTATTCGCGCAGGTTCTTGCGGATCTGCTTTTGCTCCTCCTTGGTGAGAAGTGTTGCCGGTCGGGGCCGCCATGACCATTGCTTAAACTTCTCCAGGTGGTCCTCACGCAGCAACTCGCCCCTGAAATCATAGATGTGGTATCCATTCTCCATCTGCACGCGCGCACAACATTAATCCCTGGTCTTTTTAAGTTTATTTTGGAGAGGGGGGGGGGGGTTGGCAAAGGGGTGAGGCCCAGCTTGACTTACAGAGTGTTTCCATGCAGACGCCCAAGACGCGACATACCGCCCCGAAGGATCCCATTCCACATCTGTGACACCGTAGTGATCCGCAATGTTCATGAGCTGCAGGTTGGCCGTCAGGTCCTTCTCAGCCTCAGGCTTCTCGCCCTCAAAGTCCAGGTCGTAGAACTCGAGCTCGGAGCTCTGCTGGTTGTGCACAGTTGCCACGACCACGAATCGTCCTCGTGGCGACCAGTAGATAGCATTGCTGTTCTTCTTCTCCAGGGTCCGCAGATGCCTGAAATTGCCGATGGCGTTGCCCTTGGCCTTCTCTGGGCAGAAGAAGGCGACGTTGGTCTTGGGAGCAACGGCCGTGGCCCCTGGTGGCTCAGGGGCCGTGATGATAACAAACCGGTCTCCCTTGGGCTCCCAGGCAAAGTTGATCACGGTATCCTTGATGGTGTCAACAACCTCGACAGGCACGCCCTTCTCCTTGACGCGGAAGATCTCCAGGGTGGTAGCCTGGGACTTCTTAGACTTAGAGTGCCTATCAACCTTGACGCAGATATAGGCACCATCGGACTGCCAGTGAAGCTTGGCGTCAGAGACGCTGAACAGATTAAGGGACCGAATGACCTCTTTCGAAGGGATGCTCATCAGGCCAACCTTGGCAGGGTTGCTGCCAATCTCGGGGGTCCAGTAGCAGAACAGCTGCTCGTAGTTCTTGACACCGTCGCGCTTTGGGGTGGTGGGGGCCCAGTCAAAGTCCATCACACCCTCGATCTTGATGGTGGTCTTGTCCAACAGTCCCATACTCGGCAGGGTGTAGACGGAGATTGACTGACCCTGAGTCATACGGGCAACGTACTTGTCATCCGCTGACCATTTGAACGCGGGCCAGGGCTGTCTGGGAGGCTTGACAGGGCCACCCTCGGGGCCAGCAGGTGCGTCGAGATTAGCAAAGGACCGCAGAGGCTTGCCAGTGGCGATATCCCAGACGACGTAGTTCTTGCCGTCATCGTCGCGGGTCAGCTGCGGGTGCGCGTCATCGCCAATGGCGATGGGACGGTTGGACCAGGTGACCAGGTAGTTCTCGTTGGGCGAAAAGGCAACCAGGTTGACAAACGGGTGACCAAATCTGCGGTGCCTGGACCAACTAGCACCAGCCCACAGCTGGACTCCCTGTGCGTGAACGCTGATGAGATAGGTGCCGAGCGGGGACCACTGCACAAAGGTCTCAGTCCAGAACTGACGGTCAACGATGTTCTCAGGGACGTCCTTGTCGTTGTTCCAGAAAACGCCAACGGTATCGCCCCGGTGCATGACGAACTGATCGCGGCCGCGGTCGGCGGGATCAGCCAAGAAGGAGCGCAGATGCTCCTTCTCCTCGAAAGGCTCGATGTTGGGAGGCTGGTATTCCTCGTCAATCCTGCCCTCACGGCCGTATCGCTCGACATCGGTCAGTTTGTTGACGCGCAGGGTGTGCTTCTTGTCGAGGGGAACCATGTCCAGCTGGCGCACAGCAGCGCCAGCCTCAGCAGCTGAAGAATACTCGACGAAAGCGAACCTTTGGGGCGCGAGAAAGCGTTAGTACCACCACGTCATCCCAAACGATATGGCAGGCCGGGTAGGCAGGCACAGGATGAAGACAAGGAAGACAAACCTCAGAGACTTTCCATCATCACCGATAGGCATGTAGATCTGGTCCTCGCGTGTCTTGCCGACCGAGTTCAGCTTCTTTTGAAGGAACTTGACGAGCTTCGGCTTCTGCTCCTCAGTGACCTCAGGCAGGCCGTCGACGACAACGAAGTGATCATAGCCCTGGTCAAGGGCAACCTCGTACTTCTCGCGCAGGTCGGAGACGTCTACCTCCTCGTCATCAAATTCATCGTCGTCAAGGTCGGCCTCGCGAAGGTGGTCGAAGGTCGCTGTAGGCGGAGCCATACTGGGCAACGTGTCGACCGAACGGTACAGATCCACGTAGTTGTAGGACGAGAGAGGTGCTTATCCTCGGGGAAGCTGGTCTTGATGTATATGTTTCTTGTTCTTCTTGTTGGTATTGTTGTGATTGTTTGTGCTCTGCCCCACTAATGAACAGAAACAGTCGGGTAGCCACAAAGAAATTGTTCCTTCTGGAGTGGCTTCGTCGTTTTCGAAGTGGCAAGGCGAGGGGACACCTGCTGGGGATGAATGACGGCGGGATTCTGCGTGCAGCTTACTGCTGTCGATGCAGGGCGCTGTGGTCGTCGCAAAAGAAAGGGATGTATGTGGGCAGCGTCAATTTTTGCTGAGATGGGGGGAATTTTGCTACAAGCGACAACTGGGACGGCTTGGAGGAAAGTGGCCCATGCTCGACCTGACTTGCTCGTCTTTTTGGTGGGGCCCAGGCGCCAGTGGGCCTGACCTGCTGAATGAGTGGCATCCAAGCATCCGGCCTGGAACAACCTTTCAGCGGGTTTCCGGAGAGGCAGCTTGGTGATACGGTGGTGGTAGTCCTGGTCGTACCCCGCTACAGGAGCCTAGGAGCCTCACTAGCGCTTCTAGTGCGATAGTACCTTTCTACCGTATGTGCAAAACACAACAAGTTCAGGCAAAAACAATACATGTATGCTATTTGAGATGAGAAAAAAAGAAGAGAAAGGAAACCATAGAGAAAAAAATGGGACGAAGAAGATTAAAAGTAAAAACAGTTGCTATGATCATACATGTCTAACTGAACATGAAATGTAAGGTATTCAGGAACTGAAGAATCGTTGTCAGATTTCGAATGGGGCTCCGTCCGTCCAGGTACAAATACATGGGTGCTGCAGTCCACGCTGTAGGGGGAGGTATAGGGGGGTAGCCCCTGCCAGCCGCAGCAACCCCGCGACCGAAGGTGGAAGACGCGCTGGCGGCAGACTGGAAAACTCAGCTGGGTCGCGGCCGGCAAAATAAAAGTGATGGGAGAGCTCTGCTACTGCAGCCATTTTTGGATCTCGATATTTGACTGACTGACACCTTGCCCAACACGCCTCCTCCACATCGACCACCAAGGAGTTCAGAACTCGTCTCCTCTCTCTCTCTATCTCCCCAGGCAGGCTGCACGACACGTCTCTTTCTCCGCCCTTTCAAAGTGCAAGATGGTATGGCCCCTCTCTATCTCGTAACGTTACTAGAAGCTCTCCTCCGCTCGCACCGCGAGATACTAACCAAGCCCTGGTGCAGTCTTCCTTCAGCCCGACCCAGATCTTCGAGGAGGGCACCACGGAAGAGAAGGGTGAGAATGCCCGTCTCACTGCCTTCGTCGGTGCCATCGCCGTTGGTGACCTGGTCAAGAGCACCCTGGGTCCCAAAGGCATGGATAAGATCATGCAGTCCGCGTATGTTCTTTTCCTAGACCCCGCGTCCCGTCTTCGCCTCGCGCATTCTAGTTCTACACAAATTACTGACCCTTCTTGCCCCTGCCACGAAAAGTTCCACCGGCGACATCCTGGTCACGAACGACGGCGCGACCATCTTGAAATCCATCGCCCTCGATAATGCCGCCGCCAAGGTCCTCGTCAACATCTCCAAGGTACAAGACGATGAGGTCGGCGACGGCACCACCTCTGTCTCCGTCCTAGCTGCCGAGTTGCTCCGCGAAGCCGAGAAGCTGGTCGACAAGAAGATCCACCCACAGACCATCATTGAAGGCTACCGGATAGCCAGCAGCGCGGCATTGAAAGCCCTCGAGGGCTCGGCTGTCGACCATAGCCAGAACCAGGAAGCTTTCAGGAAGGATCTGGTCGCCATCGCAAAGACTACTCTCAGCTCAAAAGTTCTGGCGCAGGATAGGGACCACTTCGCCGAGCTGGCATGTGATGCTGTCCTGCGTCTCAAGGGCTCCTCGGACCTGAGCAACATACAGATCATCAAGAAAGCCGGTGGCAAGCTCAGCGAGTCCTACCTGGACGAAGGGTTCATCCTGGACAAGAAGATTGGTGTCAACCAGCCCAAGCGCCTGGAGAAGGCCAAGATCCTCGTCGCCAACACCTCCATGGACACGGACAAGGTCAAGATCTTTGGTGCCAGAGTCAAAGTGCAGTCTACTAGCAAGCTGGCTGAGCTGGAAAAGGCGGAGCGGGAGAAGATGAAGGCCAAGGTCGAGAAGATCAAGTCACACGGCATCAACTGCTTCATCAACCGTCAGCTCATCTACAACTGGCCGGAACAGCTCTTCACCGACGCTGGCATCATGTCCATCGAGCACGCTGACTTTGACGGCATCGAGCGGCTGGCCTTGGTCACCGGAGGAGAAATTACGTCAACCTTCGACCACCCCGAGCAGGTCAAGTTGGGACATTGCGACCTGATTGAGGAGATCATCATTGGCGAGGATACCTTGATCAAGTTCTCGGGCGTTGCTGCCGGCCAGGCCTGCACCATCGTGCTCCGTGGTGCGACGGGTCAGCTTCTCGACGAGGCTGAGCGGAGTCTGCACGACGCCCTGGCCGTTTTGTCCCAGACGGTCAACGAGCCCAGGACAACCCTTGGCGGTGGATGCGCAGAGATGTTGATGGCCAAGGCCGTTGAGGGTGCGGCCACCCGCGTCGAGGGCAAGAAGCAGATGGCAGTGGCGTCGTTCGCCATCGCCCTGCGGCAATTACCTACCATTCTGGCCGACAACGCCGGTTTAGACTCGGGTGAGCTAGTCGCCCGGCTCCGCAAGGCCATCTACGATGGCATGACGACTTACGGTTTGGATCTGATGACGCCTGGTGGTGGCATTGCCGACATGCGCGATCTGGGCGTTATTGAGAGCTACAAGTTGAAGAAGGCGGTGGTGTCATCAGCCAGTGAGGCTGCCGAGGTAACTATCACCCCTGCAACGAACAAATTATCACGGAATGAACAAGATTTGCTAACTCCTCTTGCTTTTCCAGCTGCTACTTAGGGTCGACAACATCATCAGAGCAGCACCGAGAAGACGCGAGAGGCACTGAGGTTGACAGTGTATGAACTAGGGAAAGGGAACCAAGACATTCACTGCATATGCTCACGAGGCTTCACGACTGGGGCTGTACTATACCCAATAGAGATTCCGCAGTCCGCCATGTAATGAAAACCGCTAGATGAATTGAATTGTGACTTGTCGTCCCTACCCACTTGTCTTCTATCAAACAGTTGCGTAATCCTGTAGACCCACACCCTTCTCGTGCTGGACGGTTGAATAAGTAAGCTCGTGATCCAAACTCTCAGAGGGCCGTGCCGCCTTCTGATGACAACCTTCATACAGCGACAGTTGATCTAGATTCTTATTTCCCTTAGTTATCAGCTGGTGAAGGGCCACAATGATTCAGTGACCATGCTCATCTTCATCTCAGCAAGTTTGAGATTTGCCCAAGGTGTTGATCACCATCACTTAAATAACCCGCTCTCAAGTTAAACAAGCGAGAAAAGAAAGAACGCAAAGCATCTTGGCAGGCGAACCCATCGCATTGATGCCTCCCAGTCATAATCACATAATCAACGTCTTCAAATTCGTCAGCACCCCCGTCCACTCCTGCCCGTGTTCCTGACGCTCCCAAATCTCAGGCAGCGCATTCAGCCCTTTCAAGACATTGCCATACCCCGTAGACTCCCAGATCTGCCGCAGCGCCGCAGAGAAGAACTCCCTGTCGTCCTCACGGCGAGACTCGGCAGCGGCTACGAACGCAGGCCAGACGAGAGCATGGGCGCCGGGCGCAGACGAGTCGACTTGCTCGAAGAGACGGCGCATGTGGACAACCCGTTGGGAGATGATGTCGTCTGCCTCTGTGCGCTGGGTACTGGTGGTTCCTGTCGTGTGGAGAATGGTAGAGTGCTCTAGGCCCGCGGGATATGCTGCTGAGCAGTGTTCGGAAGTTCTTGCGCGCGCGAGGTAGATCTCGGCTGCTTCGCGGATGGTGTGCATGTAGAGTTCAGTCCTCGCGTCGACGGTGTCAAGACTGGACGAGCCGGGTGTCTCGCTCGTTGGGTCCACGTGACCAACGGACTGCTTTGTATGCGGGGCGGGTCGGACCAGGCACGCAAAGGGGTCCTGAGAGATGTGCGAGAAGCCGTCGAGAGCATTTGGTTCGCCGAGGACGGGGGAGGCGAAGAAGGATAGCCTGAGTTCATCAGTGGTCTTTCTTAGCATGTGATTTGCAGACAAGGCGAAAGCAGAACATACAGCTTCGATTGGAAATAGAGAAAATTTTGTAATTCGGATCCTCCTTGCGCATCAAGTTGTGGCGCCGCCTGTCTTCTCGCATCCAGGAAGGATCGGAGCATTTTGTACAGCGTGAGGACATGCTCATGACCAGTGACGAGATCGGCAACGATAAGGAGGAGGATGGTTGCCCAAGTCGTCTCACTGAGATCAAGTGTTTTTTCAGTCAGTTTGTTTATGATGGCAGCCCGGCCGCTCTCGGCGGGCAGTCTGAGCTCGGGCTTGCGCAGTGACAGGTGAAAGGCGGCTGCGACACACACGGCGCGCTCGATGACAGGATTCGACAGCGCGAGCGGCAAGATTTGGTGCCTGTAGCCGTTTGTTTCATCGTCATACAGAAGCATCACAGGAGAGACATAAGTACAGACTTTTACAACACAAAATGATTAGTTACTCAAGTCGGGATCCCCATGGCAGGAAGGAGGTAAGCAGGACTTACAGTGATCGAAGAGGAGACGTATTTTCGGGTCAGGATTGGAAAGCAGAGGCGGTAGGTTGAACAGTGGGTCGGCAAATGTCGGCATGGCTGCGTGAATTCGACAATTACTTCTGGCGATTTCGAGGACCTGATCGTCTGCTCCTGGCGCACTGGATGATCTAAGTGGACTACATCCTGCGGTAGGCATCGAAATTTCATTGCCTGTACGGTGGGATAGGGCCGCACGAGAAGATCCATGGGCCTTTCCACCATCGTGCAGAAGAAAGGTTGGTTCGTCCTGAAGACCAGTCAAGACTTCCAAGTGCCTGCTCGCATCTGGACTGGCGTAGCCTTGGTGCTCCGGTGCATCGTTGATAAGGCCCTTATGACCGGATGGTTCTCCTGCATGGGAGGCACTTTGAGAACTTCTCACGGCTCCCCTTTTCCTGGTTTGTCTAGGCTCACTCGAGACGTCCACCCACTTCAGTTTGCGCCCTCTTCGTTGAGACGACAACAGCGGTTGTGGTGTAATGATGTCCCCAACCTCCGTCGAGGGCCCATCGTTAGTAGTGGTTGAGGTTGATTTGCCTCCTGCAAAACGATACCTGATGCCATATCCAGGACAATCAAGGCCCTTCTTTTCACACTTTTTGCACTTGGGTAGTGTCAAGTCACATATAATCCTCCTTTTCATGCAGTGAAAACAAGCTGTGGATGTCATGTCGACAGTTAGCCTGCATCTTGGTTGGAGTGCCTAGTAATCGTCGATATGGTTGAATGCCTACCCTTTCTCCGTTTAATCTCGGAGCCCATTGATCATGACGACTCAAGCATAAGTCTGCTACTTTTCACAAGAGTAGAGGCAGGTTACATGGTGGTGGCAAAGTATGTATAGAAATAGTGAAGAAGTCTGAATCATGGGTTTTCGGATCAAAGTTGGACGCGGTGCTAGATATTAGTTTAGTGCAGAACAAGGTTAAGATTGTAACTGGTCGTTGAACAGTTGCAACAGGAGAGGTCGCCAGGGTTAGGGTTGACTAGGCTACTACGACGAGTGAGGGCGTCCGTCCTCTTGTTTCGTTCAGAGACATTGGAAACCACGATAGAAACACTTTTTACAGCTATTTCCCCAAGGTCTTTACCATACTAAATGCAACTTCTTTGGCATGACTCATTAAAATTTTCTACGAAAATCCCTGTTTGTTATGAAAGGCGAAGAAGACAACCAACTTAGAACAAGAACCTATATTGGGTGAGAGATCCCTCAATAAGTGCGTTCTATAAACAAGTGTTTACTTAAGTACATACTTTGCAGTAATTAGGTGAGAAGTATTGGATATCTGACCGTCCGTATAGTTTGCATGTGAAACCATACTGAATGTTGATTATTTTTGAAAGGTTAATTGTATGGCACTCTATGCTGAATTACCATGTGTTCCAAACTGTCATAACGTTCATACTCTCTAACGATTTGCAATGCACACACGATAAAGCTACATCTTCTTTCAACGAACCTTGAGGCTCAACGTCTATAAATATGCATTGTCCAGCCTGGGACCGTTGTAGTGTTTATTGGCATATCCGAACCAGTTCACGAGCGCAAAAATGCCCATGACACCAATGACAGCAGATGCATAATCTGTTTCATCCCATGTTAGCCTCGTTCAACAAAAGAAAAGAAAGGGAAACCGGGACAACAAAGCTTAAAGACATCTATGAAGATGACAAGTTCGTGGCTGTTCATTAGGTAATACTTACTCATAGTATCAGCCGCCACAGGCAAAGCCGTAGGAAAATCATAAAACACCAAACTCAACAAGGCCAGAACAATCGTCAAGCAATTCACCACAGGCCCCGTCCCAAACCGTAACCGCAACCTCTCCTTTGTCACAGGCATGACCTCCGCCAGCGACCCCACAGCCCGGCGGTACAGCATCAGCGCGGCGGGGAACGCAAAGCTCAGCTGCTGCAGGATCAGGCCCGTGCTGACGAGCGAGTTGAAGGCGGCCGAGGAGCCCAGGTAGATGAAACCCAGGACTGCGACGCAGGCGCCGTTGAGCAGGAGCGCCCAGACAGGGACGTCCCAGCGGGGGTGGATGCAGGAGAGGTAAGGGGAGAGGACGATGGCCTCGTCGCGGGCGAAGCACCAGGTTAGGCGGGAGGCGGTCTGCTGGGCGCCTGTGATGGCGAAGAGGGAGATGATGGAGAGGACTAGGGTGAAGAGGGTTGCTACGGCGGTGGAGCTGGTTGCCTGGTAGAAGATTTCGAGGGCGGGAAACCTGTTGTTGAGGGTTAAAAAAGGGTTGTGTGTTTATGAGACGAGGAGTGATTACTTACGGTGAAGCGAGAACAGCATCGAAGTCGTGGTAGCTATAACACATGGCCACGGCAAACGCAAGAGACGTCACAAAGCCGATAACGACAGTCGATAGGAGAGCTCGTGGCACAGCTGTCGCTGCGTTGCTGCACTCTTCTGCGAGGTGGATGGCTCCGTCGAGGCCCGAGTAGATGAAGTTTGGATTGATGAGGCCCGTAAGGAAAACGACGGCATCGGACGACCATCCTGAAGTGTTCTCGAACTGCGTCCAGACGGACTCGCTGCTTTGTTTCGGACTCGACTTGGCAACACAGGTGATTGTGATGACGAAGAAGGCGACGATGGACATGAAGACTGCAGTGGCACCACAAACGCTGTCAGCGCTGTCCGTTTAGTCGAACAACTCTAGAAAGAACTTACAGCCGACGTCCATAACCCAGGTACTCTTTCGCAGCCCAAAGATGTTGTAGGCTGTGAGCAGTATATTAAGTGCCTGGTAGATCAAAAAGACGTGCCAGGCCTCGACGACATAACCAGGGTTCCAAAAGGACGCCACGGCAAGAATAATGACCGGAAAGGGAACGATGAACCCAGCAACACTCGCGATCCAGCCGAACGTGTTGATCATTCCGCACCAATAACTCTAAAGGAAGGGCACCTCTGTGTCAGCCGCACAATGTAAAAGAGGGTATGTTTTCTTTATGAACGCATAATTCAGACAGATCTGGGACAAGTCGAAACTTACCAGTCCTCTACTAGCCGATGAAGGGCTGAGGATACTCGTCCAGTGATACTGACCCCCGGCCGTAGGAAACACAGAGGCAATCTCAGCCATGCTGAGCGCACAGGACCCTGCCAAGACGAAGATGATCATGATGCCGTACAGCGTGGTCATGGGCCCGCCCGATGCGATGGAGATGGCCATGGTCGCGGCCACGGCCGCCCAGCTGTTGCAGATGTTCCATCCTGTCGCGATGATGCCCAGCAGGCTCAGGTCCTTGCGGGTGTCCGAGTGTAGACCGATGCGCTGGAAGGGGTCGTCTTGGACGGTGCCGAGGGAATTGGAAGCGGCTGGATGGGTCAGCAAACCTAATTCTATGCTCGGTAGCATGATGGTTTAACAAAGAGAGCGGGGAAGAGGGCGAGGGGTGGGTGTGAATGGGCTGACTGAGTGCCGGGGTAGATTTCTTTTACGTACTCTTCTCCATGACGGCCAGATCTAAGCCATGTTCTCCGGACTTCCTTTTGTCTGACATGGCTTCGGTGTCCGTCACTGGCTCCGTTGTCGTAAAAATATAGCAAGAAATAGTAGTGGGCAGGCAAGGGAGTGGGTTTTGAGTGCTCTGAGAAGGGACAATTAGACCAGATGCTTCAGGTAAGCTTGACGAGGCTGAAGATATTTGAACTTCAAGCTCTGTCTCATTTTTGTATTTCGAGATCTTTCGTTTGGTTTTATAATATGGTGGCCTTTCGAAACCAATGGCTCGGGAGCTGCAACTATAGCAAGTAGATAAGAACTACTTTCTATCTTTCAAGTGCATGCATACCATGTCTTTCAACAGAAGAATGATAACACTTCATCGATCAAGATACTACTCAGCAAGGCATATCAGTAATTACAGTAAGCACAGTCGATTCCATATCCATGTCGAGAAATAGTTGAGTAATTCGAGGGTCCAAAAGGCACCGGTGCCATGCATCCACTGAAATGGGTGCGACCAAGAGGCGTTTATCTGACTGACGGTTTGATAGGCGGACCGTTGCACGCTTTTACCTAAAACGGCAAGAAAAGTGAGAGAAATCAAGGGGCGTACTTGACTCCTTTTTTGCTCGCTCTATTTTTCCCCCATGTTTTGATTGAGCAGCCAAGGACCCGCCGTATCACGATTTGACAGAATTTAAATCATTTGATAACAATGATAAGATTCTGACTCGATGTCTGTATTCCGAATCTCATCTTGACCAGGTGGATGAGGACAGCGTGAACAAGTATCCGAATCAGGATATGAAAGTGAGAACTCTCCAAGGCCCCGGCGGTGGATCTTATGTGCAGACAATGCAGTATATCCTTACTCTATAGATGATTCTATTGCCTCACTTGCGCCACTGGACGTTGTTCTTCCTTATGAGAAAGTAATTACCCTGAATGGAATGAAAAATGAGATCTACACCAAACCTGAAGTCAAATGTATCGACTGAACTGCAGTGATCCTCAAAATACTTAAAGCGTGTGCAAGCACCACAGTCCAACATCAAGCGAGTTGCTCGCTGTTGTAAGCTTCATAACTTCAGAGCACTGGTCGAGGTGGCCCCTGACTATTGTGTACACGCTTGTCCTCCTCTTCTCCCGTAAAACAACGCAGCGACAATGCCCAACTCCCTAGGCCACACCAGCCGCGATGGCTATCAGTGGACACCAGAATCTGGTCTCCAAGCCGGCATACCTTGTCTGGGCACGATCCAGCCTCCAACAAAGCTCGCCGCAGACAAGAGCACCACCGTCTACGACGTCGCTGTCATCGGCGCAGGCTACGCCGGCCTCACAGCCATCCGCGACCTCACCACGACCGGCCACAAGACCATACTGATCGAGGCCCGCGACCGGATTGGCGGACGATCGTGGTCGTCCAATATCGGCGGGTACCCGTTCGAGATGGGCGGCACTTGGGTGCATTGGACGCAGCCGTTTATCTGGCGGGAACTGTTTCGGTATAACCTCCTAGGGGACAACCTCGAGGTCTCCATGTCTAGCGAGGGCGGCATCAACAAGTGTGCCGTCAGCATGTTCAAGGACCAACCCCAGATCTTCCTCACCAAGGAGCGCGAAGACGAGATCTCGGCGAGTGCCCTCAGGAAACTCGTCAATGTCGACGGCCAGCTCGGCCGCACTGTCATCCCCCTCCCACACCAGGCCCTGCACAACAAGGAAGCCGTCGCCATCTACGATAAGATGTCTCTGGCAGACAGGTTCGCCCAGGTCGAGCAAGACTTGACCTCATTGGAGAAGAACCTGCTCGAGGGGTTTCTGAGCATCACCTGCGGTGGCCAGTGGGAAGACGCCTCGTTCTTCGAGCTGCTGCGGTGGTGGGCGCTGTCTAACTGGAATTACAGTGGTTTCATGGAGATGGGCTTGACTTATAAGCTCCGGTGCGGACAAAGCGGTCTCCAGAGGTGTCTCTTCGACGAGGCAAGCGCGAGCGGCAACCTCGCATACAGCTTTTCTACGCCTGTGGCGAGCGTGCGCGACGAGGGAGGCCTGGTGGAGATCCAGGGTCGGAACGGAGAGATATTTCAGGCCAAGAGGGTCATTTGCGCGATCCCGTTGAATGTGCTGCACACAGTCCAGTTTACGCCCGCGTTGCTGCCACTGAAGAAGCAGGCCAGTCTCGAGGGACACGCCAACCACGTCGTCAAGTGCCACGTGGAGGTCGCCAAGCCCGAGCTGCGGTCGCTCGGCTCGTTCAACTATCCGCATGGCAAGCTCACGTACGCCTTTGGCGACGGGACGACGCCTGCTGGCAACACGCACTTGGTCTCCTTCGGAAGCTCGCTGCCAGGTGTTCACCTGCAGCCCGAGGAAGATATCGAGGTGACGCTGCAGGCCTGGAAGGAATTGCTTCCCGATACGGAGGAGAAGGATCTCAAGAGGATCGTCTTCCACAATTGGCACAAGGATGAGTTTGCGCGAGGAGCTTGGGAGTGGTTCAAGTCAAACCAGGTCTCCAAGTACCTGGACGCCCTGCGGACGAGGCAAGGTAACATCTTTTTTGGTAGCGCAGACTGGGCGATGGGATGGCGTGGATTCTTGGACGGAGGTATTGAAGATGGACAGCGCGTTGCCAAGGAGGTAGCGGATGACCTTAAGACGAAGGTGGTCACGGCGAACCTGTGAAGGAAGATGAAAGAACCCATGGCTATACACACACCGACTGGGCGAATTATCCTTGAAAATTTGTATTCACAACGACAGCACTGCTGAAACGTGACCATCGCTCATGAGGGGAAGTGGCTGGGAGCTTGGAGATGAGGGCATGTGCACTGCTCCGAGGGTGAAATTGTCAAAAGAAGAAACATGGTCATAGCCATGTAAGAAGGTTCTCGCGAGCGGTATCTAATGATTGTAGTGAGCTTCACGCTTCTCTTCATGCCGTCGTCCTAGTTCATAAATAATTTGCTAGGTCGATATGGCCCCCACCGCCCGTCTCGAGGAGCGGGAAGAGGTTTAGTCCACCAAAGCTCGACTCGTCGCCATCGAAGACGGTGTTCATCAGCGACAGGTCTGGACTACGGGACAGGTTGTTCGACATGGTCAGAAATGTAGGGTCGAGGTCGCTGAAAAACGGGGAGCCCGCGCCAAAGCTGCTGCCGCTTGCCGGATAGTGGTTGTGGTAGGCGTGGTGGTGGTGGCTGTCAGACATGGCCTCGCCTTGGCTGATGTCTCGTTCCTTGTTACTTATTCCCCGAGGGCTGGCCATCTTGCGCGTAAACTCGGGAGACCTGCGGCCAATGGTAGCGCTGTCCGCGTCACGGGGACCGTGGGGCAGCAGCCCAAACAGCTGAGCGGAGCTCTCTGTCCGTTGCAGCCGCTCCTGGACTTCCTTCTTCTCCAGGTACTCCAGAGCTGTCGTGAGTAGGGACTTGGAGATCATGGCATATTGAGCTGCGTGGGTGTCGATCTTGGCGAAGTGATCCAAGGCGGCCATGGACATGCGTGCGTATTTCTCTAGGACGCGACCAAAGTTGCCAAGGAGGCCAGCGCCTAGGACGAGAGAGCCAGCAAAGAGCCATGAGCTATGTATATAGAGAGAAGGATTAGTAGTGCCTCTTTTTTTTTTTCTTTCTTTCCTCTTTTTCTCTTCCTTAGAGGGAAGATAAGACGTGGGTCAAGTGCGGTAGAAGGCCATGTGGGGAACCTACACAAGGATGGGCCGCCTCCCAGTTACTAATCCCTTCTCGACAAGGTCCAATACCTGATCCACCATCAAACTGGCAGCATCGATACATGCATCTGCCAGTTTCGACTTGCCGGAGACGAGCCCAGCCCTCCCGTAGATGGTGGTCGGCTCGGGCGATAGCCGCCTGTATAGCTCATACATGAGGAAGGGCCTCGAGACGAGCATGACAGCATAATAGTACGTGGCCAGTACCTGACAGGCGCCACTGACTTCGGCAGAGTCCTCGCCCTCGACGGGAGAGGAGACGACCCTCTTCAGCTGGTGAAGCCACCTGACGGAGAAGTCCCTCAGCTGCCGCGAGACGCCCTCAGTCAGCTGAAAGGTGATCTTGCGGCGCGAGTAGACCTCAAGCACGATGCCCTCAAGAATCAGGAAGATCTGTACCGAGGCATTGAGGATATCGTAAAGCTCGTGGCCCTGGGCGTCGACCTGGCGGTAGGGCACTGTGCAGTCAACATCGCTCACGCAGGGCGGACGGCCCATGGACGTGCTGAGGAACAGGTCGACGATGCGCAGGCTCTTCCAGATCCTGTCCCTGTGGCGGTGGACCTCGTGGCCGAAGCGGCTATTGACCTCGGTCCTGTGCACGCCGATGGAATAGGCGGCGCGGACGGCGAGGCCAAAGAATAAAAAGGCCCCGTTGATCTGGCAGGCGCAGAGCATGTAGAGGGTGACGAGAATGAAAGCCTGGACGGTCTCAATGCTGAGGCTGCCGTTCAGGGTGGCCAGGGCATGGTCGCGCGCGTGCTCGAAATAGAGCTGGGCGCGGTCCTCGTCGGCCCGCTGTGTACCGAGGGCGAGCACGAGGTAGTTCACCGTCGAGGCAACGTCGTCGGCACGATGTCCACTAGCGAGGCTATTGGATGCCCACAGGGCGATGTCTTCAGCTAGGCGAGCCTCGCTGACGAACAGGTCGACCATGCCAGATGTCACAGACAGATACGCTGCCACTGCGCTAGGGATGTCTTCAATGTCCACTGGAGGAGGGGCGGCGGCGGCGGCGGCAATACCAGACGTGAGGGACGACCGCGAGGTGGCATTTTCGAGCACAGAGTAGCGGCTCGTCTGAGGTGCGAAGGCGCTTGGGTCGACACGCGAGGTGACGAGCTGGCGCACAGTCTGGAAGAAGGACAGCGGGGCGCAGTCGCCGATGAAAATGAGCTTGCCCTGGGCGTCGCACAGGAGACGTGCCTCACGGGGCACCTCAGCCTCCTCATGATCATCAGACGAGGTGACTGGGCGATCACCACCGCTACCGCTCTGTTCATGATGAGGAAGCGGTGTGGCTGGCTTCACTGGGGACGGAATGGGATGGCTGGTGTCGTTATCCTGCGGGCCATGACGTGCTGGAGCGGCAGTGATGCTCTGGTGCTGCTGTTGCTGCTTGAGATGAATCGTACCCTGTTCGCTGCCGCCATGATGAGATGCAGACGGTGAATTTAGGCTTGGTGTTCTCGGCTGCGTCCTCGGTCTGGGATGACGACGCTGCCTTGGGGGCGAGTATTTGCAAGTATGTGGTCGCTGACGGCGAGTACAGTAACTGCATGGTAGCTTGCCATCACACTTGACTGCTGAATTATTAGTATTGTTGGCTCTCCAATCAAAAAGGTAGGGTAGTAAGAGCCCCGAAGAAGAAGAAAGACGATGGTGGGTAAAAAAGAGGAGGAGCAAAAGAAACAATGGGACGGAATGATTGCTCACCTTTTCTAGCCTTGCATCCATCACAGGCATTGGCCACACGGCTGCGGATCAAATGAGTCTCTTCATGGGCATCCTGCTCACTTGAAGGACGGGCAAAGGAATCAGGAGTAGGGGTGGCAGCAGTTGTGGTGGTGGCGGCTGCTGTAGCATCCATCGCAAGTTCAACAGGAAGTGAGACGCTGCTGGTCCTGTTGCAGGGGCGTTGTACGGATGATGATTGAGACGAATCGAAGTCAAGCCTTTGACAAGGGTGGGTAACACCTGCCTACATTTAATGCCTGAATGCCCACAGCATGTCGAGGAAGGATCTAGCGGGTAGATTAGCAATGGACTAAGGCCGGCAGGATCCTATTGGTCCGACCAGCCTGAGGGGACAAGATCATAGGCCCGGCCTATCAGTGTTAACCAACCGCCGACGAAGCCGAAGGTAGTAGGTCGCCCAGAGGAGGTAATGAGGAATAGAACGGATGTTGGGAGTTCTCTCTCGTATTGGAGATAATTATTGAATCGTCTCAGCGTCAGTGGGAGAAAATATGATCATTTTGAGACCCCTTGTTCAGACAGGTTTCAAGAACTCAGGTTTATGGAGTCCGAGTCTGATAAGCGTGACCCAATCTGTAAGTCCGTATATAGTAACTGATCACTATATTAAACTGCCACGCTGCCAAAGCTTCCTAAAGAAACCAAACATTCTCATTCCTTAATCACCTTCTACTGCCAAGTCAACGACTCGGGCGCTTTCCTCCCTCCTACCTCTCTCCCACTTTCAGAAACTCCCCCTTCCGCACTCACGAGTGAGCCCTTGGCCTGCTGAAAGTGACAATCCACCAGGACCAGGACAACAATTATCAGCATGAGCAAGTCCAAATCTCGCCACCAATCAAGAAGAGGTCATTATCAAGATCACCAGCTCTGGGGCAGTTGCCAACAGGCCGACAATTTGTTGATCCAGTACACTCTACGGCTCGTCAATGACCGTTACGGCCTCAGAAGTAGCAGCCTTGCTCGGAGTTGACTGACGGCTCTTACGCAAGTTCATGATACCATCAGAATGAAACCAAAACACACATTATCATAATATTCAGCCCTGCCTAACCTTGGACCAGTATAGATCCGCATCAGCAACAACCTTCTCCTCCCACCCCTCCACCACCAAAGGCCCCACAACCTCAACGTCCTTCTGCCCGCCCCCAACAACCTCAGCACACCCCCACTTCATCGTGAAGTTCTCCCGGTTGCCCGCTCCCGTAAGCTTGAACAGGGTATCATTGCTCGCCCCAAAGACAACCCGCCCGATGTTGGCCCAGTAGATGGTCGCCGCGCACATGGCGCACGGCTCCCAGGTCGAGTACAGCGTGCACTGCCAGAGGTAGGCCTGCGAGTAGTGCAGCGAAGACAACCGCGCCAGGGACGACTCGGCGTGGTCGACGTGGCTGACGGACTGGTGCCGCAGGAGGATCGTCTTGTGGTCTGGGCCTACGAGGATTCCGGCAAAGGGCCGCTTGCCGTGCTCGCTGCGCGCTGTCGCCTGGAGGGCGAGCACCTCGGCCATGTTCTTGTGAAAGGCGTTATTAATAATGAAAGGGCAAAAGAAAAAAAAGAAAGGCAAAAATAGAAAAGAGCCGTGGATGATTTGGACGAGAACGGAGTGGGCTTCATCTTACAGCATCAATTTGTTCTCTGCTGGGCTGCGTCCTTGGCGGGAAGAACTCCTCCGCGACGTCTTTCGACGGCGTAGCCATGTTTTTGTTGGATAATGTTCTTGTCTGGTCCGTTGCAATGCAGAAAGACAAGGGAATAGTCATCAAGAGGCAGAGAGGGGCCTGATGAGACCCAGACGGGAACAGGAAGTCATATAGTGCCCTTCCGTTACTTCTTGTCTTATCAGCGGTCGGTGCCGGCCGGCGCCGGAAATATGGGGCCCGGAAGCTGAACGGACGCCAAGATCCGGAACTGGTCCTTGGGTCGGAACCTTGTCTCTTCATCAGACTATGTATGACTCTTGAGCTGACCGTTGATGCACATAAAAGCTTTTCATTGTCTCACTTTATGAGAACAATGTCTCCTCACTATACTTGTATCCCAGAAATGTTCTCAAGTCCTTGCGATGTGATGACCCACAAACGCCAGTCTCACAGGGCAGCGCGCCCTGCAAATTCAATGTTGATATACTTTTCATGGTAGATGCCTATTGACAGTATTTCAGACCTTGGCTTCTGTACTGATTTGATATGTACCCTGGAGATCTCGGTTCTTCTTCTCTCCTCTCTCCATTCCTCAGTGGGCATTCATTATGTAACCCACTACAGCATGCCAGACGCGAATACGCGGTATGAGGTAGAGACGCCAGACGCCACGACCGAGCAACAGCCAAAGAAAATAGCAAAGCCAAAAGGCTAGGAAAAGACAAAAATGCAAGACGGAAACCCACTAGGTGCCCAGAGCTGTCCACCTGCACCTAACACACAGCATCTGCAGTCACAACGCCCTGCCGTAGGTACTTTGAGGTGTGGAAGAGACAAACAGCGTGCTTCAATGAGAGCCCTTGCCGCTCGGATCCCACAGTAGCTCTATCACCTCGTCCATCTCCTCGCCGCTCTGCCAGTCTCGCTTGTACACGTAGATCTGCCGGAGGCGCCCGTCCGCAAGCCACTCGGCGTCCTTGAGTCGATAGCTCCTTTTCTCATGCTTCTTGAGGGCCGGGCGCAGCGGCCCGATGCTAAAGTCAAACTCGGGCCCGTGCTGGTTCCACGTCGCCTCCATCCAGTCCAGGTTCAGGTCCTGCAGGCCCTTGCGGTACAGCGCGATGGAGTACCCGTTGGAGAAGAGGGTGTCCTCGCCAAACTGGAACCGCTGCAGGAAGCAGTCGCCGCACAGCTTGGCCACCTCGGCGATCCGGAACACGGGCTCCTCGTACCAGCTCTTCCAGTGGTGCAGTGAAAGGGGCTTCAGGCCTGCCTCGAAAAAGCCAGACAGGTCGCCCCTCATGTCCTGCTGGTGCAGGCCCGGCACCAGTGTCAGCTTCGTCTTGGAGTGATAGTACACGCAGTCGCGCAGCATGCCGTCGCCCGACGGGAGGGCGGCCTCCTCGAGGCACTGCTCCTGGAAGGGTTCCAGTTTCTTGGCTAGCGGCACCGACAGGAAAACCCCGGCACCCCCGTAAGCGAAGAAACCCCACGACCGGACCGAGTAGAAGTCTTCCGACAGCTGGCCCAGCCATACCTCCTTGGTGTGGTCGTGGACACTAAACGCATCGCTTAGGGCATAGAGCGATGGGAAGAACGTGTCATCGTCCAAGATGCCCACCCATTTTGTCTGCGGGCCGATGTTCTGCACGGTGGGTCGCAGGGTGATGAAGTGGTTTTGGTCGATGGTGAGCTGTGGCTCGCCGTGGACGGTGATGAGCTTGATGTTGTGTTGTTCAAACAGGCTCTCGAGGGCGGAGAGGTCGTGGAGGGCGTGGTCGACAATGACAGCCACGAGGGGAGCTCCACTCCCAGCCAGCCAGTGGTCGAAGGCGGGTAGGGCCTCGATCATGCGGTCGTGGTATGTGGCGACACCAAAGATGAAGTGCTCAAAGGTCTGCTTCGGGTAGGCAGGAGGGACGGGGATGGTAAGTGGCTCGCAGGGGAGGGATTCGACATGGGAGCACGAAGTCAGGTTGATGGTAGTCCTGTCGGTCATCAGGGGCGTATCGAGCCTGGTGATGGCCTCGCGGTCGATATTGCTGGAGAACTTGGGCGTGACGCAGCGCCTGGAGTAGAGGATGTTGTCCGTCAGGCCCAGTTCCTGCCGCCTCAGGAACTCGATGTCTGGACTGCACTGGCCCGGCGCGAGGGGCGGGCGCAGCGTGCTGCCCCCAGGCGGGGTGCCGAACTTTGCCTCCTCTTCCAGGGCAGCCTGCGATTTCTCGGCGCCGTTGCCACCACCATTGTCTGTGCCCGTAAGCTTGGTCGTTATGGAGCTGTTGAGGGCGGCGTCTCGGAAGCGGGTGGATGAAAGAAGGAAGAGGCAGAGGAAGAGGACGACAACGGCGGGAACAATGCGGTGAAAGCGCTGTGGTATGAGCATGGCGCTACCTTGTCATGTCGCACGGTAAGCTCGGCACTCGAGACGGCACAGCAAGGCTGGTCGAGCGCTGGTCGAGGGAGGGGAGGAAGAGAAAGTGGTCAGTTGGTTGCGTGGTGGGGGTGCAGCCCTTCGATGGTGCTGGCAGGACTGGACGACGTCGTCGCCAGCGATTTCTGGCCAAAAAAAACCCAATGTCTGAGGTCAGTGCCAGTTCTGTGTGTATCGTCGATTGAGTTGGAAAATCCTGCTCTTGGCTGTAGTCGACAACAGAGCAATGGAAAGCTATAAGCGCAGTGCGACGAGAGGCGGCAAGTGGGGGGAGTGAAGGATGATGAAATGGAGAAGGTGAGACGAAAACAAGGCCTCAACAACTGCAGCGGGCAAAGAGTGACAAGTGATTGGCAGTGGATCGTAGGTGCCAGGGGAGAAAGAGGGGAAGTTATTTCAAAAGTGATGATGTGTTGAAGGCCAAATTGATGGCGTTCGCGACGAGTGGGGACTATAAGTGGCAGTCGACCTCTTGTAATCAGAGTTTTGGAATTTGTTGCGGATACAATTACGCATCATGTTGTTGATCGCCAAAGTACTGTGGTACGCACTGCTGAATGTACTATGTAGACTTCATCATACTATGTAGTTTCTCCCTTGAATTTCGGTGTCTGGGTACCCCTTGCCAGGGGGGGGGCGATGGGGACTGGGAAGACAGGTCCTCTCGCACCGTCGGACTGACCGCAGGCCGACCACACCCCACCCATCAACTGCGGCAATCCGGCTGAATTCCAGTCTGCTCTCCTCGTTCGAGATAAGCTGCGAACGTCTCAGCCATAGTGGTGCGGGGTGGCGTTGAACTCGGAATAGATCAGGCCCTGCATGCGTGGGCCGCCTTGGTCTCATTCCAGTCAATCCTAAGAACACTTTTCCGTGATGCATTTCAGGCCTAGTCTGGGTCTGAGGAGGGTACGTCAGGACTCTGACAGGCCGCGAGGTGTCAGAGTTTGCTGGGACTGTAGAGTGTCTAGATGGCCCCTGTCCAGCCTGTACATAGTATAATGCGGTCCAGAGGCCAGTACAGAAAGCCCCATCTGCCACCCACCCCTCCCGGCCCCGCTGACGACTCAGCAGACAGTACAGTGTTTTAGTGTACTATGGTACATATAATTGCAGCCGGTACTAACGGTACAACGCAGTACCCTTACCCGGTCCTTAGAATCTCTGCTGACCACCGCGTATCGATTGAGGACGAACTCAAGTGCTAAGTAATTCTCAAAATACTACGTGCTGCTCGCATGAGTGAGACCATGCTTATCCGTGTACACTTTTCGTGACCCACACCATATGATCCTAGATATAAAAAAAAAACCGCTCAAAATGATCTTCAATGATCTCCATCACTGAATGCATATCTCCTTGGTTTGATGTTCCGTCTCGCGGTCTTCAGGTCTGATGTTACACATACCTGCTATATGCTCTGATTCTGCACACTGACGTGTGCATAAAGCAGTTTTATCTACTATTCATATTGCGTTGAGATAGGGATGAGCGATACTGGAACGTAACATGCAAACACGTCTTTCAGCTAAAGTCGGTATCGCCGTCGTAATGGAGAATGTGTATCCTCAGGCATTGGGTAGTCAGTCGGTCGCGTGAGATGCTATCCATGACATTGATGGTAAGTATATACCTCTGAAGCACGAAGCCACCGCTGAAGTCCTGCCGAGGACGCCTTCGAGCCTTGTGATTTGGACCACAAAAACATGCCGTGACCTCGACTGTTTGAGGCTCAATCTTGGGTCCTTGTCTATCACATGTGACGGGGCGGAAATTATTGAAAATACAATTGAGGCGTGAGATCAAATATTATATGGGGACTTTCACATGCTTTCTTTACTGCACGTCACAACAAGGGAAAGACACGGCCATTCCCGCAATGTAAGGTCGCACGCAAACCTCGAACCTCGCCATGTGCCTACGTGACACCTCGCATGTAAAGATATGGACCATTGCAGGCCCCAGACATAGTCCACTGGCCTCGGCTCAATGTCAGTTGGTCACCTTGTTGTTGCGATGTGAGCCAGGAACGACGAGCAGCCTGCAGGTTCAGCGGCAGGGTCCGCAGAGGAGTTAAGACTAGACTTTATTTTTGTATGTAGATAGTCTAGCATCAGAGGGTTCCTGCCTATCGCTGACCCCCTGATCGACCTCGGCGGTAGCGGTAGGCGGTAATGATTCTGCCACCTCTTGCGTCACTTTTTTTTTGCTAGGGAAAGCTCTCAAGACCCCTCGCTCCTTCATTCAGCACACACAGCTCGGTCGGGTGAGACTGCAAGGCACGAGACCAGAAATTGACCTGCACCTCCCCTGACTGAGGCGACACCAAGACGGAGTGATCGTCCTCCTCGTCCTCCTCCTTACATATATAATCATCATCTTGTCTACTCGTTATATTCACCTACTGCTTCTTCCTGACTGTTTTGATGCATGTCTTGCGCATGACAGCTCGGATCAACTTCACTTCTCTCGCTTCATCAGGTTCCTCTGTCTCGTTCATCAATAAGTCTGAACTTCATCGTAAATTGCTATATCGACAATCAAGTCCAATACGTCTCCCTAGGCACATTGCGCCGTTGTGTACCGCCGCCCTGAAGGAGAAGAAGAAAAAGCGAAGCTCCCCAGGCTTAAGGACTGTCACCCACCCAACAGCCCTCGCCCCTCTCGCTCCCGGTCTCGGGACCACATTTGGACCGTCAAGACGCACGATGGCTTCGCTGGGCGCCCCTTATGAGAAACGGCACAAGGTGACCGTCGTCGGCTCTGGCAACTGGGGCTCCACCATCTCCAAGATTGTCGCCGAGAACACAAAGGCGCACCCCGATATCTTCGAGACCGAAGTGCAGATGTGGGTGTACGAGGAGGAAGTTACCATCCCATCCGACTCGCCACACTATGACCCCTCGGTGGGCGATGCGAAGCAGAAGCTTACGGGCATCATCAACAAGTACCACGAGAATGTCAAGTACCTGCCCGGTATCCGACTCCCGGACAACGTTGTTGCCAACCCCGACCTCATCGATGCCGCTAGGGACTCGACGATCCTCGTCTTTAACCTGCCGCACCAGTTCATCGACAACATCTGCAAGCAGCTGCGTGGCCACATTGTCCCCTATGCGCGCGCCATCAGCTGCATCAAGGGCGTGCACGTGTCCGACGACGGCGTGTCGCTCTTTAGCGAGTGGATCGGCGAAGGGCTGGGTATCTACTGCGGTGCGCTGTCCGGGGCCAATATCGCCAACGAGATCGCTGCCGAGAAGTGGTGTGCCACTACCATCGCCTACGATCCTCCTCCTGTCGATGCCAGCCGTAACCCCACGCCTAGGACGCAGAGCCCCGCCGCTAACCAGGCCAAGTTTGACCTTAACATCACGCCCATCAACGTCGACAGCGCCTTGGCGCACAAGGACGCGAGGGGAAGGACAAGCAAGGTGAAGCTCACGCCGGTCCCGACCGAATTCCCGCCGCTGGACCACAAGACCTTCAAGGCGCTCTTCAGGCGGCCCTACTTCCACGTGCGCATGGTGTCGGATGTGGCGGGCACGTCGCTGGGCGGCGCGCTCAAGAACGTGGTCGCGCTCGCCGCTGGCTTTGTGGTGGGCAAGGGCTGGGGCGACAACGCCAAGTCGGAGATCTGCCGGCTGGGCATCGTCGAAATGATCAAGTTCGGCAAGGAGTTCTTCGGGCAGACGGTCAACACGGCCACATTCACTGTCGAGTCGGCTGGCATGGCCGACTTGGTGACGTCGTGCTCGAGCGGACGCAACTTCCGCTGCGCCAAGATGGCCGTCGAGCGCGGTGTCAGCGTCGAGGAGATCGAGCGCACCGAGCTCAACGGCCAAATGCTCCAGGGCACCTCCACCGCCAAGGAGGTGAACAGCTTCCTCAAGACGAGGGGCCTGGAGCACGAGTATCCGCTCTTCACCGCGGTTATTGGTATCCTGGAGGGCAAGTACAGTGTTGACGATATCCCGGAGCTGGTGTCGGAGTCGGAGGACTGGTACCTTGATGGAGACCTGGTCCGGAACTAACGAAGACGTGTGAATGACTGAATACACAACGATGGAATATAGGATAGAGGGGGATTTCTAGTCAGCAGCAGAAATCCTATATACCACCAAAGTAGCCGGCGTGAGTAGCAGCAGCACGCATCACATAAAATATTCAACAGCGGGACAAGCAATAATAAAGTCACCTGGCCACCACCGCCACGTTTCCACGGCTACCTACTACCAGCTTGCAGGCTGTAGTGGGCCTGTAATTACTACATAAAGTACCCATGCAGTAGCAGGGACAGCTGCCATGTTAGACTCGGGATGGACAAACGTGTTCCCGTCAATCATCATTCGACGAAACTCGTATAGGGGGATAGTCCGATACGAAAAGAAGGTTAGAAAAAGAAATCCTACAACAACAAGGAAGAAGAAAAAGTAACTTGGTGATGGGCGATGTGACATGGGCATGGGTTTGGGTTTGAGTTTGGGATTCGCGTTGGCGCGCGTTGCTTTTCCCCTCGATTGATTATGGACCGCGTGAAGCTCTCTATTCAACGCGAAACGGTCATGAGGGGTCTAATGTCTCCTCCTCCTTTCATGGTTCTATAGATTCCCTATTTGCTTAACCTGTTCCCTTCAAGTTTCTACTCTTCTTTACATTCAACAAAATCACAATTGTTACTCGGCGTAGAATCCCCTGGTACTTGGCAGTACATACATAGCCATTTTCCACATCGACCATGGAAACTCATGCCCCCTCTTCCCCTCGACGCCCCAAGCACTGTGCCATGGCAGGCTCCAAAACTCATCGCCATGATGGTCTCCTTTCTCCTGGCACATCTGCCAGAAGCTCAGAGGCTGGCGACATCATAGCCCCACGGCCCCCCAAAGCCCGCAGCTCCCACCACCTTGGCCCGTCTTCTCCAGCAGCTGCACACTCGGGTTCCAACCATCATCACCACTGTGAACCACCATCAGGAGAATACCACCCGCCACCTTCTGAACCAGCTTCAGCCTGCAGGGAAGCTGCTCCTGTTCTAACTGCTCCTCCTCCTCCTCCTCCTGTTCCTCTTTCTCCCAGAACATCAAAGGGCTGCCCCAATTTGGGCGCCTCAATTGAAACAAGCACTCTGAAAGAAACAATGCCTCCTCCCAAAACTCCCCTTCGCCTTCCAAAGGGCTTTATCCCCCTCCCGATCCAGATCATTTCCCCGTCAGAGCGCAATAACGACCACGAAGCCCCCTACACGACCCCGAGAGCCCAGCCCAGATTCGCCTTCACATTGAACCTCCTGCCCCAGACGCGCATCAAGGAGATCGCCTACCACGCGGCTGAGTACGTCAAGAGAAAACTGAACGCGTTTGTCGACGAGACTCGGCTCGAGGCGAGAGATAGGGATGGGCATGTCTTCACAGGGCAGGAGACCTTAGCAGATGAGCTAATGAAAGGCGAGACGGTATATCTGCTGGAGAATGGGCGTGATGGAGAGGCTAAGAGGGAGAAGTCCCGTGGTGAGAAACAGGGCTCAAAGCCCATGAGTAGGGGCCGTGCTGCCTCGCGGACACCATCGACAACCTCGAGACCATCGTCTGTGAGAAAGAGCAGGGCCAAGTCAGAACCGAGGAAGACGCCTTCCGAGAGAGCGCTAGAAATCGCACAGGGTCGCGTCGTGCCAAAGACGGAGCCGAAAGGGAGCCTTCTGTCGAGTAGCACTCCCAGGAGAAGAACGCCACTGCCGCTCGATATCTTTGCAGCGCAAACCGAGAATCAGCATTTACCCTCGACCGAGCACTCGCAACAGCCAGCTACCTCTACTCGCGCGCATCAGCACGCACGGTCGTCTTCAGAGCATGTGGCGCGACAACCTGGTCCCATAGTCGACCTAACAGATGGGAAGGCCGTTGCGACGACCGCCAATGCGTCGCAGCGAAACCTACGCCCACCATCTTCTTCACCCACACTTCCGGTGCAAGATGTGGAGCAAAACACCTCGAATTCGCAGGTCGCACCACGACGACCACAGCCATCGAAACAAGTTCAGCCTGGACCAGTCAAGACTTCGTTTGGATCGAACCGCAGCAAGGCATCACCGCAGCCCAAAGCCCAGCAGATAGCACGTTCCCCTCCACCCTTGAAGTCGCTCAAGTCAAACTTGAACCGGAAATTTCTCGACGGATCTCAGCAACCCCCCAAAAAACTGCAATCCAAACCAGATCCCTACGATCTCAATGCCGCCTTGGCAGATGAGGCCAAGCCCACTCCTAGATCAAGAGACATCATGTCTGCTTCCGTTCGCAAGCTAGGCGGTCCAAGGAACCGACCCGCAATAGGTGAGCTGTCTAAGATAGGGCGATCACAGCCAGGCGTCGACCACACATCTTTGCCGACCCGGAAATGCATCGCACCAGTTGATCAGAAGGTCATTGCGTCCACGCCGAAAGGACAAGCGCAGTTACCGAAGCATGCATGCGCAGCCCCTTCATCCGCAAGCAACCAACTCCCTTCCTCACCGACCGATCATATTGCAGCCGCACTTGCAAAGGGTTATGCGAAGGCTCATCGTCAGCCACATCCAGAGTATATCGTGATCCCAGAGACAGACGATGAGACGGACGAGCGTGTGTTGCGAGGCGCGTGTGATCGATTTTCTTCTCCACCAGCCGGTCAGACGTCCTCCGATGGATCGCTGCCTTGGGCTAGGCCCCCGTTGCGTGTTTCGAAGGAGGAGGACCCATTCTGGTCTCTGAGGACCGTGGGACGCCAGCGTGGAACGCTTGACGATGATAAAGCTTCCCGACGACAGACCGAGCTCATCAAGAAGGATACAGAAGCTGGTACTCAACAACTGCTGGCTCTGGGTAATGGAAAGGTCTCAAGGAGGGCCAAGGGCGACGCAACTGAGGTTCAGGTGCTATCCGACGAGGACGAGCAGCCTGTTGCTCTGAGCTTGCAGCCCAGGCCCCCGTCCAAAGCCACGCCGTCCAAAGCCACGCCGACAGCGAGGGTGGCCAAGTCGCCAGTGGTGGTGATTCATGACAGCTCGAGTGAGGAGCCAGTCGATGATGAGGTTGACCACAATATTGAGGTCATTCATGACAGTTCGAGCGAGGAGTTGACAAATGAGATTGCTCCAAGCGATTGGGGCTTTTTATTCTCAAAGAGGGATCAAGCCCCCGTTAGTGATCAGTTGTCCTCACGTACGAAGCGCGCCGAGGTGGCCACTGTTGATGGGCCGAAAAGTCATGATAAGAATGGTGATGTGTCAGGAAGAACCGACAGCACCGCAGAGCTACTTCTCGATGACGAGCTGCCTATGGATCCCCTTCATGCGACATCTGGTGATGACGGGTGCGAGCTGGCTGCCGGTGATGAGCTACAGAATGACGATTTAGGCGCACACGCGGGCAGTGCAAAGCTTCCGATCGAACCTCCATTCCCAGTGGACGACCTTCTCAGGACAGATCCACTGATGGAAACGGACGACTTCGACACTCCACCATCTGCCCAGGTTTCCAAGCGGAAACGCGAACCACCCAGCGACGATGAGAAATCGGGGAACGAAACAGCCAGAAAGAGGGCCAGAAAGGAAGAGAAGGCCGAGCGGATTAGAGAAGAACAACAGCTTGAAATGAGAAGGGCTAAAAAGGCACAAAAGAGGGCTAAAAAGGCGGAAGACAAGGCGGAAAGAAAGGCAAGGCTGTACGAAGAGCACAAGCGACTGGCACTGGAGCAGGCGCACCGTCGTGCCAAGGCACTGGAGATTATTGTCTCGTCGCCGCTGCGAGCAGCTGAGATGGGGTTGGAGCTCTCGGATGGAGATGAAAGTGGCCAAGAAAGCGGGCTGGACCAGAACACCTCATCTCTCGAGGCTGTTGGTGTGCCCTCATCGTTCGAAGGCAGCGATAACACCGACTCCCTCTCGAGTAAGGAGTCGGAGGGGAGGCCCTCGTGGCGGAAGCTGAGCAGGCGGCAATTCTCAGCCTCGGAACAAGGAGAAAGCGACACGAGTCCTGGTAGCGGTGAACGCAGAACTACCGCCACTGTGACACCTGCCCTGCCTTCGGCTGGCCCTGCGCAGCAGGATAGGCCCGTGGGACAAACTGGGGCACCATTGTCTCAACGGCGACATTTCGACGACTGGGCCTTTTTGCATGAGAGGCTTGGCCAGGGAACATATTCGTCATGGCAGGTGCACAACTCTATCCACTTGAAAATGGTGCATGCTGGTCTGCAGAACCTGGCTGCACTGGCCCCAAATGCTATCCGCGACAATGCATCCATGGTAGCCTCAAAAGAAAGCCCGACCGTGAAGGGCAGTATACAAACAACCCTCCCCAAGAATGGCGTCAAACGAGATCCTACATCGCCTACCAGCTCACTCGTTTCACCTCCACACCGGGCATCTGGTGGAAATGAAGATGGAGACCATGGCCTGAAACCAATGCGATCAATCGAATCCTCGGCACAATCAGGTAAGGGGTTGACGGCGCAACTCCCAACAACAAAGAAGCCGAGGAATAGCGGGCGTAAATCAAGGGCCAGGAAGCGGAGCTGGCGTAAGAAACATAACCCAAAAGCTCACAAGAAACTTCGAGAGGTTTTTGAGAAGAAGGGCGGGAAGCAAAAAGACTGAATGGAGGAAGGCGAAAGTATGTCACGAACCGGAGATGGAATGAACATGAAGGCATGGGGAGTGCAGAAGAGGGAAACAGTGGCTTTTAAGAGAACATGTATTAGTACTTGCAATTGAACAAAATCATTTAAAATACACCAGTCGGTCATGCAGAGTAGGAATTGAGATTGGGTGAGGATCAGGTTGGGCAATGTTGGCGTGTGGTTGTGTTCTGGAGCCGGCGCTTATATAATCCTCTTCATCATCCCTGGCTCCTTGTGCCCCCCCAAAACGTCATGCGCTTCCTCTCTAGCAGCAAATTGCCATCAACCCTTCCTTTTCCCTCAATACCTCACACAACCCAAATGCACGGCAATAACCAACAAGATGGCCGCCCCAGCTGATAAATCCGAAGATCCTTGGAACGAAAAGACCAAGGAAAAGTTCAACAGGCAAGGCCGGCTCGCCCTCCACATCTTCATCCAACCTCGCACACACGGCAAGAACTGACTGAACTGACCATGTGCCTCTCGACGAACAGCAAAAGCCGGAGCGAGTGGCTTGACCCTTGCCAGGAGGCTGCATCCAGGAGCATCCGCTGCCTTAACAGAAACGGGGGAGACAAGGCTATGTGTCAGGAGTACTTTCAGTATGTCGCATCAAAAAGCTGAGATGTTGAGAGGCCATGTTTGATATGGTGCTAATTGCATTGGGCAGGGCGTACAGGGATTGCAAGAAGGAATGGGTGAGTGAGATCTGCACGCAACTAGAAGAGGGCATGCAACTGACAACAACTCAAGATAAATAAGCGCAAACTGGAGGGGCGTGGTGGCCTCTTTGGTTGAGGTGCTGAGTATCTCCTATCCTGCAGACCAACTCCTAGCCACATCATCAGAGTTCAAAGCGTCGAGGCCTGCGCCTCCAATTCAGAGCCACTGAGTGCTGTGGGGCAGACCGTGTAACTGTGAAGTAGGGACCGCCACCTATTGGACGTGGTCTTCCCTCAAATCATTGTACTCATACTCAATATACCACCCCATCTCTAGTGATTACTTGTAAGGGCCGACAAAAAGACCATGGTTCCAGTGAGAATGACACCAGCATGGGAGGAGCTGTAGAGGATAGGTCGGTTCAATGGTGTGATCAATGGGACGGTATGGTATAGTAAGATCTTGAGCGCTATCGTCTCATCACTTGGAACCTCGCGCAGAGGTTGGAAGCTTCTCAGTTGTGAAAATCAGGCTGTAGCTGTTCAGGTGGGTCGGAATGCACCATTCGACGGGTGATAGCAAATCAGGCATTACTGCTGAGATTTGCATGTGAATGTACATGCAAATTGTTCCTCTGCCGTAAATTTGTTTTGAAACTGTTGTTTTGTTACCATTTCAATTTTTCTCCAAATAGAGAATACAATTAGAGATGCAGTTGGTGGTTATGAAAATGGAGTTCAGAAGTAGGAGGCAGTTGCATTTAGCGTGTCTGCATGGTCTGCACGCACGGGCCACTGGTGATCCTGGCCGACCGTACAGTGAAGCAGCGACTAAAATCTTCCAACTGATGTCAAAAAGGCTGGTACACATTTGCAAAAACGGCAAGAGGTCTGGCAAATGATCCTAGAAGCCTTTGATTTTGATTGTTTCTTATTCCTGCCCTGTTTGACCCGCTCGCACGACCTACATACAGGCCGGGCTTTGGTGCATCCGTTAATTTTTCTCTTTTCTTTTTTTTTCTCTCTCTTGCCTTGGGTCTAACTGCAGGCGCCACTAAGCAGTTGCTTGTACCACCAGCCAGCTTCACCACTAGCCAACAGCGAACTCCGGTGTCGGTTGCTCCTGTCTGCGACGACACAGCATGTCCGCCTATAGCAGGCACTACAGGCCTGCCCTCAAGGACAGCGTCGATGTTCAGCTCCAGGCGGCCTTTAACGAGGGGCAGTGGTCGTCAGTCATCAGGCTCGCTGCTCAGCGCTTTAAAAACTTGAAGGATTCTTACTATGAGGTGTGTGCGCGTGTGTGCACTTGTGTCGAGCAATGCACTTACATATTCAAATGCCCCATGGTCTAATCTCCATCATATGTAGGCAGTCAGGATCTGTGCAGAGTCCCAGACGGACGCAGTGACGGAGAAGTCTGGCGTCGTGACAGCCGTCAATGCTTTGGTCAGGGACAAGACAGCCGCGCTGGACATCGACATCATCGAATTATACGAATGGGCTCTGCAGGACTCTGGCTTCCCCTTCGACTACTCTAAGACCATCGGAACACTTCGTGCAAGGGTGGCCAAGGCCAATCCCTCCAGCCCTGTTGTTCTCGAATGTCTCGAGGCGTGTGTCTTGGCGTGGGACCTCGTTAATGCTCAACAGGTATGACTGCGTTTCGAATACCAAGGTCTGTGACTACCTCTAAACTGACGGGTTCAGATTGCTGCAACACTGGACAGAGTACAGACGGGAAAGAATGACGGCAAGAGCCTGTACTGGAGCATCACGCTCACACATCTGCTTGCTGCAAGTCGCTGCCCCTTCCCACGGCCAAGTACTCGCCGCGCTTCTGCTGACAACACCAGACAAGCCCACAATGCCCTGAGAATATGTCAGCAGTATTTACCAGACTGGCTCGCATGCAACTGGAGAAGGCTGCCAATGCCACCACAGCGGTACGGCATATGGTTTCTTGTGCGTCTGACTCGGCCCTCGCTGATTCTCTGAACAGGCTGCCACCGGCAAGGTACCCACCCGCGGCTTGAGGGAGGAGGAAGAAATCAACCTCTATTATCGGATCATCGGCAAAGATGCTTATCTGAAGTCGGTGGCCGACAGAGACAGTGCTATCAGTGTTTTCAAGCAGTTCGACCAGGGTCGCAAGCACCTTCTCATCGAGACCCTGAACTCCTTTGAGGAGGCTGAGGACTGGGACAATGTCTACGACCTCTGCAGATACGCTTTGAGCAGGCAGAATGAAGACGGGAACCCTTCTTTCCTCGCATTCGACATGCGCATATGGAAGCTATTTGTCAAGGCAGCATCCATGAAATCTGACGTGGAAAGGTGAGTGGTACACTACCATCGTGAACTCACCAAAACAGCCTTGCTAGGATACTGACAGCTGGCTCAGTGCTTTTGATGAGGCTGCGACGACCCTGGACAAGTTTGTCTCGACAAAAGGCACCGTGGCGCCCATGTACAAGAAGAACATTGGTCTTGTAACTCTCGAGCTTGCCTTTCAAGACCCCTCCTGCTCAGTCCTCGGCACTACCGGCCCTGAGAGACCTTCGCCTCGTGTCATCACACTCTACTTGATCCTAGAACAGTCTCTCTCTCAGCGGGCCGCCTTCGATGATGTCAAGGAGTACGTCAGCCAGCTCTCAGGCGACGAAGCCAGGTACTTTATCGACAACTTTTCAAGAACGCTGCTGGCGAAGGTGAGAAACTGCGATTTGCCCTACCTGTTTGCCACTGATATCTGACAATCGCCCAGACCTCCGATGATCAGAGGAAAATATTGGTTCGCGTACTGGAAGTTAAGTTCCGGTACCTCCTCACTACGTGCCCTTCGATATTGGAGCATGTCGTTGTGGTGGGCGACGCTGAAGAGCCACAACTCAAATGCAAGCTCTGCTCCGCCCTGACAGATAGGGCCTGTAGAGCATGTCTCGAGGCTGTAGCGTCTACAGCTCTGTCAGCATACAAGGTCGTCGAGAAGAACCCGGAACATGCCAAGGGACTCGACAAGGACCCTCAAATCGATCTCGCTTTGGTTGCTGCATCAGCGCTGCTCAAACTGAGTGGCCTCTCGCCCCGGCCCGTTCAAACAGTCTCGGCCAGACTGCCACGCTTGAGCAACACCAACGTGTCCAGATTGCTACAGGCCGTCGTGATACTTGCCGCACAACTCACAAGAACAACCGACGAAGTCCCTCTACGCCTCGTACTCATCCAAATCTACCTCCTCCTCGGCTGCGGGTCTCTCGCATATCAGACTTGGCTGCCCATGGACATCAAGAGGACTATTCAAGACGCTCTTAGTCCGCTCTTCTTTGATCGGATCTCGAGCATTTTCCCTGGCCTATTCCAACAGAGCCGCACCCCACCAACAGAGCCTTTGACCTCGTACTACACCGCATGCCTACGCGAAGACTCCCCGGTTAGGATCTGGGATGCCTTCAAGGCAGGCAGCTATACGTCCATCCTAGGCATGGCGGAGTTCTCAGACAGGCTTCGAAGGAGTTGTACCTTGGCAATGACGGTCATTGAGGAGAGGAGGGCAACTCGGGCCTTAGGCGGACGGCTTGAAGGGGGTATCCAGCAGGCACATCTGCTGCGTAAGTCTAAATTCACCTTCTTGACACACACACACACGACAGCTGCTTACTGACCTGCAACAGATCATGTCACCGATGACACAAGATTCGTCAACGCCATCGACCACGGCTCATTTCCTAACCTCGAGAGCCCACAAAGCGCCCCGCTCTACAAAATCGTAGAGTTCGGACCAGACCTCTCGTCTGAGCGCTGCCGCCTCGCTCTCTTGGCCGAGCAATTCCTTGACACCGTCACGTATAAACCACCGAAAGATTACAAACCTAGTAAAGTTAACGAGGTGGCGCTTAGAGACCGCGCGTATCTCATCGAGACATCTGCTCGCCTGCACGAATCTATCTCCTCCATCCTGCTCAACATCTCTTCTAGTATCGCAGGGAAGCTCACTGGCGCCGAACACCACTTCTATTCTACCGTTAGCTTCCTCTCCCTACTGCTACGCACGGCACTCGAGACGCCGAAATCCGTTCCTCAACCAAGGAGCCTATCCACCATCACCACTGGGATCAAGTCCGTCCTCGCATCGCTCTGGACAGACTTTGCCTCTGTACCACCGCAGCTGGCTAGCTTGGACGCGGGCGATGTGCTTGCGTCTCTGACAGACCCGCACACCTTGTCCATCGTGCGCGAGACCGCGCTCGTTATCAAACAGACAGCTACCCTCATCCTGACATTCCATGCAGCCGAGCAGACTCGCGACCGCACTGGTTCATCTCATCTCCACAAGGATATTGTGGCGGAGGCGAAGGGTCTGGATGAGCTTGCGACAAAGACGCTCTCGGCGGCGAAGGAGAGGGTGAAGGAACTGAAGAATATGCTAGGGCAGGGAGGCTGGCTGGCTCGCATCGAAGGGTGGACGTTCCCTGAGGGCGAGGACGCGTTAGGCGAGATGATTAGGGACGTCGTGGGCGTCGGGGATGTGGAGGATTGGGCTGGAAAAGTGGTGGAGAGCTGGAGGGACGGAGTAAAGGGGTTTGAGGTGGTGAAATGGGAATAGATATGCTCCTCCTTCTCTAGAGCTAAGGAGGAGTGTTTGATGTGTCTCAAAGGGAATGATCCGAGTTACCTCGTTTATCAGATGACTAAGAGATGTAATCATATTGGCGCCGTGAATTGGGTATATCCTTAGGTAAGAGAGCGGTCCTTGCCGTGTGATACTCGTCCATCCTGACCGCCGAGCCGACGTAGTCCCATTTTCGTGCAGATGGAAAGAATCAATAAACTTCTTGTGATGCAAACCCATCCAGCCCTAGTAAACCCTGATCCAGTAATGCCTTTACCGTCCCTTTACAATTCTATGCGCACGTCCCTATACCCATCCTGTTCCAAGCGGCCGACCGAAGCTCGGTACCAATCAAACTTCGCAGTATCCCATGATATAGATCAGCATGCGCTGAAAAGCTCGGCGTCTGCCAACGAACGAGTGTTTTTGGTTCTCGGCCCCACCTGAACAAAACTCGGGAAAACGCCCTCATCTCCAGCTCTGGCTCCCCCTCCTCTTCGCCGCCCTGATCATCAGCTCCCTGGTGTCCTCCCTTAGCGTGACCCAGGCCCATAGCCAGCTCATGGTCTCGACAAAGATGAAGACGAAAAAGACGCGGTTCTTGAGCTCCTCGCCGCCCCAGCCCGAGGGCTGGTAGTTGGGATTGTAGGCGTGGGCGATTGGGTGGGACATCCAGCCGCGGGAAGTGTCGGCGCGGTAGAAAGGGCTGGAGGAGCTGGAAAAGAAGGTATATAGGAGGAGGAGGAAGCTGACGAGGAAGCGGAGGGGTGCTGGGAGGAGAAGAAAAAAAGATTATTAGTATCTCTTTTAAGGAGCGTAGGAAAAAGGATGGGTGGATGACGTACCTTGAACTCCCCAGTGGTGAATCAGAGAAATCTCTTCTGGCATGCTGAGGGTGACGAGATCCGTGAAGCCCCAGATGCCCAGGACGATGCCCAGGAAGGCAAGGCTGGCGGATCGTGCCTCGAAGCTGCGCTCATACGACTACAGGAGTTGTTCACCATTAGCTCAAGACCTCTCTCTCTCTCTTTCTACCCTTCCCAGTGCGGAGGAGGGCGTAGCATACCATGCCAGTGGCTTCGCCGAGCATGAGGACCAAGGCCTGGTCGGCTATTGTGCCAGGGTTGGTCAAGAGAAAGAAACCCAGGGTGATATGGAAAAGCGACAAAGAGGTCAAGATCGTCTTGGCGGATATGAGCGCCATGATCGTGGAGTGGGTGGAACGGAGGGGACGGCGTAGGAGCAAGGTGACACAGTGGGAGGGTGGAGGAGGGGAATCGTCGCCTTTATACGCAGAGCTCGGAAGAGGACACAGCAAATTTCGTTGCTGTCTCCGGGAGCGAGACGAACGGAAAGGAAGGGCTGTGCCGCGCCGGGTGCAAGCTTGAAGGATTGATGGTCTTGAGGGGCAGGGAGAATAGCGGTAAAGTTGTGCAGGTGATGCCCCGAGAGCTGCGCCTGTCTTCCTTGTCAGGTCTGCAGTTAAGTTGTGGCAGCTTTGAGTTGGAAGGAGTTGAGGCGACAAGCTGAAGATGTCGCAAAACCTGAGGCTTGATGTTCTCCAACACAAACTTCTTTGGGTAGGTCTTCAACTGCCTTGAGTGTTCACATGCCTCGAGGTGTCCTCATGCTGGACTAGGTAGGACAGGGGTCCTAGCTCGATGCTACTAGCTGTTTGGAGGCTCTTCAGTGAGACAAGGGGCTGTTGTGGGGTTACAGTTATAGGGAGCTATTAGTGCTTTGGGAAGGCTTGGACAGGGCAGTCGTCCTCCACTTACAGTACTGATAAGCTTCGACAGCTATCTTCTCATAAATCTATAAGTCTTCGAGAGTTGAATGTCATGTCCTGCAGCCCTAGATTCATCAGTGCTGGTAGCAATTCTCTGCAAGGTCACCGATCAATTCTGAAGTGTTCTAATAAGCAATGAGTTCTGACTCTTGTGAGGTGCATTTTCACACAGTAACACTGTAGAAGGATCGAGTGGAAGTACTGTATGTAATCATTGGTGTATAGTCTTGTCAATTTAAATACCAGACCTCGTAGTTGATACAACACGTACAGTACAGTAGCATACAAGGGACCCCCGGGGGGGGCAGTGTGAGGGTTCACGCACAGGGTGGGCCGTCAGACAGGGCCCTACGGCAGATTACAGCGGTTTGTTGACCCCTGACCAACGTCACTTCGTCCGCTGTCCATCGCTCACTGCTAGTACGTATAACCACAGAGTTGCGACCACGGCACCACCACATTGTCCATACGTACAATACAGACAAAACTCCCACATCACGTTTCGGCGCAACAACAGGAGCCAGGCTGGGGATGCTGAGCTGGCCTTGCATCTGCAGCTGCACTACATACAGGCTGACCCTCTTGACAATGGGACTTGGTCGATCATAGCTGTTCACCATGGAACAGCCCTTCTCGACGTCCAAAGTGACGGGTAAGCAGATGGAAATACTCCCAGAACCCTCTCGGCGCCGCCCCAGTCATATGCTGACCATGTATGGCTTGCCCCTGTTGCAGTCGAGTACTTCGACCCTCACGACGTCTACAAGCTCGTTGCCCCCGGTCTGATCCCCCGCCTGCCCCTGCGCAACCTCCACTGGCAGTCGCACGCCGGTCCTCTCCGCTCCATCGAGACCCTCCACGTCGAGCTCCTCGACGCCCTCGCGCCCGCCCCGACCCCTAAGAACCGACAGCTTTCCGTGTCGCCGCTTCCGAGCGCAGGTGTCGACGATGGCTTTACGACGCAGTCCCTTGGCAGCGGAAACCGGCTTGGGGCCGAAGCCGACGAGGCTTTCCCCTCGAAACCATTCTCCCCTGGCTATGGCCCCTCCGCCGCCGCGGCGCGACGCCATCAGATCCCTGGTCTGCGTCGCACGCCCTACCTCAAGGTCCTTTTTGTGCGGTGCGATGACAACGACGCCTACAAGTCCAGCGTGCGGGCCGAGATTCGCGAATGGGTCAAGGAGCACACGACACCCACCGCATCAGGCAGCAGCAGCAAGAAGGAGGCGCGCAAGGGGGCTGAGAATCACGATGCCTTCGAGTGGCTGATCGTGCACGTTGTGGTGCCCAACACCGTGGCTGCGACACAGCCGAGGTCCTCGGGGAGTGGCGGCGGCAAAGGTGTCGATGGTAGCTCTGACTCGCTGCCTACCAAGAGCACGACGTCCAGATGGGGCAAGGGCTCCAGTACGATACTCGAGAAGCTGAGGGCCGACTTCAACCCTTCTTCAAAGTCAGGGGTAGATCGGGTTGCGCAGATCCGGATTGGTGTCAATGATGTTCCATATGATCTGTTGCCGCGCGTCGTTCCTGCTGTGCCCACCGGATACAAGGAGACAGATGAGGATGCCAAAGCAGCCTGGGCTGACCTGATCGATGAGGTCAAGCGCTTGATCTTGACAAGCTTTGACCTGCGGGTCACCCAGTACGAAGAGGATATCAAAGAAAAGGACGCCCAGAGGAGCCTGCCTGGTTGGAACTTTTGCACGTTTTTCATTCTCAAAGAGGGACTTGCTCGAGGCTTCGAGAGTGTCGGTCTCGTTGAGGACTCTTTGGTCGGCTACGATGAGTTGAGTGTTGGCCTCGACGCCATCATCAAAGAGCAAGCGGTTGCAGACGACTCCGAGGTGCCAGGTGGTTCACTCCTCGCTTATACCGAGGACCTCAAGCATATTGCGCAGAAGGCTATGGCCGTTGCGAGCAGCGGCACGATCGAATTCGAGGATGAGGAGCAGGTCAACCTTCAATCAACGGACCAAGCAGCGGCCGACAAATTCGACGAAATACCCATCTCGTTCTTGAAGAAGCCTTACCGGGAATTGATCCTGGCCAATAATGTGTCATTGTTCGATTTCAGGTGCTACATATTTGCCAGGCAGATTGCACTCTTGCTGCGGCTGGGCAATGCCTGGTCCACACGCGAAGAGCTTGTCGCAAAGCTGAAAGAGCAGCAAGAGGCGGTGCTCCATGGCGTGGCCCCCAGCGCACCACCTCCCACACAGGCGGATGAATCCGAGAAGCTTTCCATGCTGGCCGAGATCTGCAAGAGGACACTCGAGTTCATCCCAGCCGTGTCCCATGTCATGCGGCGAGATGTGATTTCGGCACTCACAGAGCAGAAGAAACAGCCAGCAGACGGCGAAACAACGAAGTCGACATCGTCACATGACAATCTTGTCGCTGAGGTCGCCGAGAATATCGTCACATCCTTTGCATTCTCGGTCGCACAGCAGATCTTAGCCCAGACCTCCACAAAGGCCTTGCCCATCCCATCTGGAGCCACGTCTTCAGAAAATGAAGAAGGTTCCGAGCCGAAAGTTTTATCGATGCCAGAGGCCAAGACAGTAATGCATCCTGCTAGGACCTCTTCTCTCCGTGTTAGCACCGCCGGTAGTCGACTTGCCTCTATGCCAAGCCCGAACTTCTTTCCCGGCCCAGGGACCTCCCGCAGCGCCAGTGTTCCTGATGTTCAGGAAGTGGTAGACCAGCATCAGAGGAAGGCAGGCATGGAGGATCTGGCTGCTAGGAGAGCCGAGCTTTATACCTTGTCGCGAAACATCCTTGAAGAGGCTGGCAAAAAGCGCGGCTGGAGTGACGGGTGGTCATCTGCGCCGGTGATAGGAGAGACCGGCGTGCTTGAGATGGAGGAGGTGAGCCTCGATGACGACAACCACAAACCAGCTACTGCCTCGGCCGCTGCCGAGACCACCGGAGGATCGCAATCTCTGTACACCTTAGCAGGCCTGGACAGCAAGCTGCTTCGAACGGCTCTCGATAATAGGGACGATTTTTATAGGCTATATGAGATGCTGACAGACAAAGCCTTGCGGCATTATACGGTCGCCAATCATACACACTCTGTCCTAGCCAACATGTCGGATCTTGCTGTCGTCAAATACTACTTGGAGGACTACGCGGCCGCCGCCTCGTATTTTCTGCGAACGACCCCGTTCTATGGCGAGAGCGGCTGGAGCTTGCTGGAGCTGTCCATGCTCGTCATGTACTCCAAGTGCCTGCGTGAGCTGAAGCGGAACGAGGACTACGTGCGCGTGGTGCTCAAGCTCCTGTCCAAGGCGGCCAGCTCAGAGAAGGATCGGATACAGGCGAAAGGCTCGTTCAGAATAGGGGACACGGACGCTGCAACAAAGTATGCAGAGAGTGACGCATTCAAAGGGTTTCTTCCGGACTTCCTGGCAGCTGCCAATTCTTTCAACAAGGAGGTGAAACATTCTCTGCAGAATTTCTTCACGAACATCGAGCTCGAGGGCACACCGACATATGACGATGATCAAGATAGCTTTAGCCTCGTCGTGAAGCTGCACAGCGTGCTAGTTGATCCTATGCCTGTGGAAAAGGCTATGCTGCGCCTGGTTACGGCCGGTGGTGCCCGGGAGCTGTGGCTGGAAACCAAGCAAGCTCTGGAGCTCAAACCGGGGCGGAACAAGATCCAGCTGCACGGCACATCGATGAGTCCGGGCACGTACGAAGTGGATCGCGTTCAACTGTCGAGTGGTTCGTTGCGGCTTAACTTTGAGCGACAAGCGTTTCAGCCCATCGACCGCAATGCTGTGAACTTGAGGAACCCATATGTGGTGCTGTTCCAGCGTGCAGACACCTTGGACGTAGAGGTTAGGCCCTCGTCAATTGTGCAGCTCGACCAGAACACTGCAATGGATCTTGACCTGCAAACAGGGTGGAATGAAGTCCAGACGTGCAGCATTCGCATCCGTGCCGCAACAGGCGGGTTACGGCTTCTTACCAGTGAGGCTCAGATCACCGGTGATGGGGACCAGCCCCAGCCGAAGACGCCAGAAGCCGGTCTATTTTCGTTCGACAGCCTGGCACCCAGGTCCTCCATCAGCTTACGAATCCCGTTTACCACGGAGCAGGAGATCACCAACGTTTCGGTCAAGGTTGAGGTAAAGTACATGACAGACAAGGGCGATTTCACGCTTCTGAAAACACCAACGATCTCCCTGGCGTTGAAGCTGGGGGTGAACGTACAGGATGTCTTCAAACATTCCGCCCTGTATTCACGCTTCACCATCTCAACCTCGACGAACAGCCCTCTCCGCCTCTTCAGATCCCAGCTCGACGAGTCCGATATCTTCGAGTCAAGGCATGGCGTGGCGCCAGCGAATCCGGTCATCATCTTCCCCAAGCAACCCGCCAGTCTCCTGTACCAGATCAAGCGCAAGGCTGGATCCAAAACGGGCCCCAAGGCCAACAAGACCATGCACCTCCGACTTTTCTATAGTGTTCTGCAGGACGAGATTGCAGATAACATCCGCGACTCGCTCGTGGCTTCACTCAAGGATACGCCTCTCTGGCGGTACAGCCGGCTCCTGGTAGCCACGGTGCTGGAACGAGTGCGGCACGATCTTACAAATTATGACCTTGAACGTGCAGCAGTGTTGGGCGAGCTGCCCACCGGCTTTCTTGCAGAGACGAAATGGCAGAAGCACTTTTATGGTCTGGGCGCAGCACTCAACGGGCAAGATGTGGCCTCACTCCTCTCCGAATTCATTGTCACTTGGGCGAAAGAACGCCGGAAGGTGTCCGCCATGCGGCCAGTTGTTGACCACGCGCAGCAGCAGATTGTCATCCCCGTCGACATACCTTCCATTGCGGTGGTGCACACAGCCGACATCAGGCTCCAGCGACCTATCCCCTCCCTGCTGCAGCCTCTTGACGACAGCGAGACACCAGCCGCGTGCGTCAACCAGCTGCTCCCTGCGACGTTGCACCTCAAGTGGACAAGGATATGGGACACGGAACGCAACAGTGGCGCTCAGGACGAGCCGGACGCGGGCGATGAGTTCAGCTACGAGGTCAGCGCCCCCAGTGACACGTGGCTCGTGGGCGGGCGCAAAAAGGGGCACTTTGTGATCCCGTCTCCCTCCTCCGCCTCTGGGGCGGAAGATGAGCTCAGCTCATCGCCCATTAACGAGGCGGACATCCCTCTCGTGATGATCCCTCTACGTGAGGGACGTCTGCCGTACCCGTCTGTCGAGGTGAGGGAAGTCACTCGCGGCAGTGGCGAGGCTACGGGTGACGATGGCAGTGGTGGGAAGGATCACCCGCTTGCTGGGCACTGCGAGACGGACTACTGTAACCTGGGAGAGACGGTGCGGGTTGTCGCCGATCGGGGGCGTGTTACGGTCAGCCTTGATGCCAGTGGACCAGGCGGTGGGCCGCTGGTGCTGGAGACGGAGAGAATTTTGAGATTGGAGGATAGCTTGCAAGGGAGGATTGTGGCATAGAGACTCTGCGCTGTGTCCCTCTGTGCAGCTTGCCTCTATGTGTGCTACCTTGTCAGCTTTCAGGTCCTGTTTGAGCCAGTCTCTCTTCCATAGAAACAAACTCCTACTAGATAGATTTACGAAGCTATTGTAGGCTCCAAATCTACCTGTCTATTTATTCTCTGTTTCTTCTTCTTCTCCTCCCTTTGCACTTTTGTTTTTTACTTGCTTGTTATTCTGTGCTTCCACAACCTTTTTTGGGATGTAATACTGAGTAATAATGACGATGGCAATGCAAGCCACAGCTAGTTGATATGGTGAGATCAAGCTGCAGGTGTATTATGCTCCTGCAGAGAGAACGGGAAAAGATGACGAGCAGGAAAGAGGACCCACTAGAGGGTCCGAGCCGCCTCTAAATAAAGGGCGGTACAGGGGCACAGGGGTGGGCATTTTGGGGGATTGGCAGTTGGTTTTGGGGGCTTGGGATGGTGATGGGGGCCTTAAGTATAAAGTAGGCAGCGTAGTAGGTTGTAGCAGGTACAGAAGAGGTAGAACAAAAACAGATGATATTTGACTGAGAATGATGATCTTGCCTACCATCTCGTGGTTACTACTTTTGTCTGACTCTTGCGTCTGTTTACAGTCATTTCTATCATTGAACATATCTGAAAATTTGCTGTAGTATTAACAATGGTAGTTGTTGTTGTTTCGTACATATTACAGTAGTCGTAATAGTAATAGTACTTCCTACCAAGTATTACCACAGTATGGCGTTGTTTTGTTTGGTTACATAGCGCAGGTGGTGGACCACTGTAAGGTGAGTTTCAAGACCCCTGAGGTGGCTGTCTGATGACGAAATGATGAGTGCTAAAGGCTGCAAACCCCGTCAGATTTGGGGTTGGTGTCCGTGATCCTTGCTTTGGCTTGGGCGTAGACTTTGCCTTGCCTTGGCATGGCATGGCCTGGCTGTGCCCTGTAACTTGAATCAACTATCCTCACCCACAGCAGCAGCGCGTTAGGTTCAATGCAGTAATTGCTTCTTGTTTAACCCCCTCCCCCCCTCCACAGACACCACACCACCATATCTTTTTGCGTGCCTGGGTAATCAATGTCCATGTCAACATGATGAGATCCGAGCTTCCTCATCCACACCCCTGAAGACGATTGGACCCTTTCTTTTTTTTGTTTTTTTTTCTATTGTTTTTTAACGTTCGTTCTTTCAAACTCTAGCTAAACAAGGCTGACCTGATCCCTTCCCAAGCATTCTTGTCTCACGCAGCTAAACAGGACGACACAGAGGACCAATCAGGAACCCTCGCCTCCTTCTTGTCGTGCCTCCTCCTTCTCCTCCTCCTTCTTCCATCTTGTAGATTACTCTTGCTTCACCCCTAATCCTTCCCGCGCTCACCACCCCCTGGCTATTACATATTTTGGTCTTTTTTACCCGCCTGGATGCCCCTCGTCTCTGCATTATTCCGACTGCCGACACCAACTCGTTGTCCTCGAAACATCCCATCTCCTAACGCGCCTCGTCTACGTATACCGAATTGTCGAAAACCCAAGCCTAATCTTACCCCCTGAAAACGCCCAGTCCGCAACGTTTGAACCACTCGAATGCGCCTGTCTCTGACCCAGCCCACCACGCCTTGCGCCTCTCGATTGCTACACCTAACACCGGTTGACCTCGCCGCCACCTGACACCAATTGAGCCACAGAAGACATTCCGTCGTCCCCACGTCATCCGTGACGCGACGGCGGGCACCCTGGCGGACAGGCTGACCAACCCGGCGGATCCGCGTCGGGCGGAGGGAGGCAGCAGCAGAAGACGAAGAAGAGGAAGAGGAAGAGATGATGCAGATGCAGCAACAACTGCTGCAGCAGCAGGCGCGCGGGACGACTGAACGCAAGGCCAAGCTTGCCCGGTCCTACCAGGAACTGCTTGACGAGTTTGGAAACAAGGACCTCAAGACCGTTGGCAACTACCACCTGGGTCGGCTCATTGGCAAGGGCTCGTTCGGAAAGGTCTATCTTGCTACCCACAAGCTCACCAACGGGTCAAAGGTGCGTCTTCTGCTCCTTCTCACGACGGAGGACTGTTCGCAGGCGCGCAGGACGAGCAGGATGAGGGAGGGGACAGAGAGAGGAAGGAGAGACAGAGAGAGACGAATTCATGGTGATGATGGCTAATTGTATTTGTGGCATGGCAGGTCGTGCTCAAGTCTGCAAAGAAAGATGACTCTAACCTCGCCCGCGAAATACATCACCACCGGCAGTTTGTGCATCCGCACATCGCCCGGCTGTACGAGGTGGTCGTGACCGAGAATCTCGTCTGGATGGTGATGGAATACTGTTCAGGTAAGGAGAGGAGGAGAGGAGAGCAGCAGAGGAGCGGGATGTCAAGGACTACTGGAGAGAATCACTTTATATGTGCTCGGCGCTGACAGGATGGTAGGCGAGGAACTTTACGACTATCTCCTCAGGCACGGCAAACTTCCCGTCGACAAGGTCCAGAAGACTTTTACCCAGCTCGTCGGGGCTGTCGCATACGTCCACCAGCAGAACTGCGTCCACCGCGACCTCAAGCTCGAGAACATCCTCCTCGACAAGCACGAGAACGTCAAACTGCTAGATTTCGGCTTCGCGCGCGAGTATGAGGGCAGGTCCAATTACCTACAGACCTTCTGCGGCACGATCTGTTACTCGGCACCCGAGATGCTCAAGGGCGAGAAGTATGCTGGGGAAAAGGTGGACGTCTGGAGCTTGGGTATCATATTATATGCGCTGCTGTGTGGGGAGCTCCCCTTCGACGATGACAACGACGACGAGACGAGGCGGAAGATCCTGGGCGACGAGCCGAAATACCCCGATCATCTACCACCCGACGCCCTGTCCTTGCTTAAACAGCTCCTCTCCAAGAGGCCGTTCCCTCGACCGTCCCTGTCTGACATCCTCAACCACCCTTTCCTGGCCGAACATGCACCCGAGCAGCGGGCCGTCCTGGCCAAGCAGCGTGTCGAGCCCTTCTCCACCCCGCTGGAGAAGGACACGCTGCATCGGCTGAAGGCCGCTGGGGTGAACACTGACGACGTCATAGAGTCTGTGCTGGCCCAGAAATGCGACACGCTTGCTGGATGGTGGACGTTACTGCTCGAGAAGGAGGAAAGGAAACACGAGAGGAGGGAGAGGAAGCGGAAGGAGAAGGAAGGGGATCGGAGGAGCTCCCGACGGTGGTCCCAGGCATCAAGTCGCCTTGAGCGTTTGGCCCCGGTCGGCGAAGAAGGCTCGCTCGTCAAGCTGGGTGACCCTCCCATGCTACGGCCGAGGGGCCGTTCGGAGAGGAGGAGCGGATACTATCCCGACTTCCAGATCACGGACTTGCCTGGGTTGCCAGAGGCTGGAAGGTCGAATATCACGCTGAGTCCGGACCAGGAGATGCCACCACCGCCGATCGACAAGGACTCTATCCGATCCGTCAGCAGCTCTCGCCGGAGACCTATCCCGCCACCTAAGGAGGGCGTGCCTGGGGTTCTACGCAGTGCGAGATCTAGAGGCTCCACACTGCATCTCGTCACGACCGGCGATGCACTGGAGGGACGGGGCAGGAGCCAGGGCAACGACACTTCTGGACCACAGAAACTCCGCAAGAAGCCCTCACAAGGGTTCATATCGCACTGGAAGAATCTGACACACTGGCTCTTCGACTCGACGCGGCGGCACAAGGATCCCAACAAGGTGCTGAGCCATTCGACGCCTAACCTGCGTGATAAGACGCGCGGTGGGAAGGACGGCAAGCTTTCCAAGGAGAACAGCCCGAGGCCACACACCGGCAAGACGGTGGCGTCACAGACGCCTCAGGCGACGGCTGTGGCAACGATGCCCACCAACCTGGTTGTGAATGGCATACCAAAGAGGACTGCAACAGGCTCGACCAAGACGCCTGGCAGCGCCGGCAGTCCCACGACTGCAGTTTTCTCGACGCCAGGGGGGGCCTCACATAGCCATCGACGTGCGCCGACAGGGGGCTCATACAAACGCCAGTCTCTGTCACCCTCTCCTATCACGCCTCGATCTACCGTCCGAAGATCATCAGCCGGCCTGCGTGGCCGCAAGTCTACATCATCCTCCGTGTCGTCCATACGATCTATGCATCATACACACCACCATACCCACTCCAAAGCCTCCTCCACATCGTCGACCAATTCGGTCTCCACGAACATGTCCAAGACGCCGATGCAGACAGGCCGCAGCCCACACCACTCGGTCAAGGTCCTGCCGGCCACCCCGACTTCGGTCACGTCTTTTCCCAGCAATATCCGACTGGTTAGGGGGGCGCCGCTACCCCTCTACACCGAGAACGCGTCATCGAGGAGCAGCAGTGGTGGCAGGACAGGCAGTCTCGCCGCCAGCCCAATGATGCCGGCCCCACGATCTCCGAACCCTTTTACTTCCACATTTGGGGAGCGCAGTGGGCCATTCTTTGCTAAACGCAAGCGGAACCTATTCAAAGGGCCGACGTCAGCTGTGGGCGGAAGTAGCGGCCGCAGCGATCGAGGCACCCCGACGCACAGCCGAAGCGCGAGCGGTGACCGCCTGGGCCGGCGCAGTGGGGAGATTGCCGCCGTACAAGAAGAAGACGAGGAAGACTCGCTCGCGATGGGCGACGATGACGATGATGACCGCGACACGGTCAAGTTCATGGGGGTCGAAGAAGAGGACGAAGACATCGAGGAGGTGGAAAACTTCACACCTGTGGTCAAGGGCCCTGGCGAGCAGATCGAGGAGGTGATATTTGAACCAAGCGAGGTTGACACGTTTGCCAATGGGCAGGCTGGCGCGGGATCCATGGCAATGACAGGATCGTCGACTGGTGTTGTCGAGGCGGCTGTCAAATGAGCTGACGTGACCGCAAGTCCTTTTTCCACACACACACACACACACACACACACACACACACATCCTTCATACGCAGATGCTCTAACCTTTGCTTCCTTCTTGAGGGGACCGGTCGAGAGCCTCCCCTTCCTCCTTCATCAAATCACTTTCAACATCATACAACCTACATCATCATCATGCTGCTGTCGGGCTGGTGCCGCACTATGCTCACCACGTTCACCCTGACATCTACGTTCTTGTACGGTGCAAGCGCCAAAGCTTTATTATTCTTTCTATAGAGATGTTTTGTAACCCCTTCCCATACGAGCTCAGCGACCAAGTTCTTCTTCTTGCTTTTTCTTAGTAATATTCTATCTGGCCTGTTTGTATCAAGCATCTATTTCTATTTTCTCTTGTTCGTCTTATTATCTCTTCACCTCCCCTTTGCCATCAATGATACCTCTGACTACTCCATTTCTTCAAAATCTCGCAAGGAGATACTATTCAACCGGAAGTTCTTTTCGTCATAATTCATACTCTTCCTCACATGGTCTCTGGTGCCTATATGTCTTGTGTGATGTGGTGTGATCTGTACTTGGTGTGGTGTCCATTGAAAAGATGGGTGGGTATCTTGAAATCTAGCTAGATGGCCGGCTTCTTTTACTGAGAGCATGCTTCGTTCGCTTCGAGACTGTTTCACACAATTGTCTAGGCCCTTCACGCCATGGCATCCAGCCACTCCGGCCTCTCGCCGCCGCCCATTTGGACAGCAGTCTCTACCAACCTCTGCCTCAACTCAACAACGTTCTTCCTCTCGCCACCCTCCCCATCACCTTCTCCTGCCACAGGCTGTCGCAACAACCCCCTCCTGGCCCTCTCCACCCTCCGCACAGCATCAACACTGATACACAGCGCGGGATCGAACGTCTTGAGGCTTGGGTCCCCCATCGTAGCCAGGGCTGCAAGGCCCAAGCACCCGTGGCCCACGTCCGGCGGCGCGCCAGGGTGCTTGCCAAAGCCCCCTATGGCGTGCTGTGTCTTCTCCAGGAGGAACAGCCGCTGGGCTTTGAGCGTGGCAGGATCTGTGCCGGCGGTGGCGGCGGCAGGACCGGCTCCCAGCACGGCCAGCGAGCCGATGGTCCACCAGGTGTAGCAAGTGTCTGCGATCTTGTTGCAGCGCCCGTTGAAGCCGATGTATTTGGGGTCTGTATTCTCGTCTGCCAGGGAAAGGTCGGCAAGGAGGAAATTGGCCGTCTCGGGATCGTCATCATCATCATTATGATCGTTGTCTTGTTTGCCTGAGTTGGGAAGGTAGACAAAGTGTCTCGAGGTAAGCCAGGAGATGAAGGCGTTCTTGTCTGGTATACCCTGTCGCATGGCCTCGCTCTCGTAGGAGCGAGCTCCTCCTCCTATCGTCGTCATCTCCTCACCTAGGTCCTCAAGCGGCCTGTCCAGCAGTGCCAGGGCCGCAACAGCGCAGTAGCCGTAGCCGCAGTGGCTCTCCTGCCGCCAGCTCTCGGCAAAGCCGCCATCGTATGTCTGGCTGCGGCGGATGTGGGCCAGCAGGGCGGGGATGTCGATGTCCTCCACGTAGGCAGGGTCGTCGGGCTTCAGGTCGCCGCGGAGCATCCACCGCACGGCGGCGGCGAGATAGCAGTAGCGCATGTCCTTCCCGCCGCCGACCATGGGCTGCTGCTGCTTTCTTTCCACATTGTCCTCGGCCTTTTCCTCGTCCACGCTTCCTGGTATTGCAACAGGGTCGTACACCGACTCTCCGAAGCTGCCGTCCTCGGGTCTCTGTAGCCTTCGCAGCCAGCGCAGGGTTCTGACACGGTCGACTCCGGCAAAGGCGCTGTTGCTGTCGTCGTCTGCGAGGAGGGCGAGGAGGAGGAGGGCGAAGTAGGTGCCGCCGAGGTGGGCTTCCTCGACGGCGTCGCCGTGCTGGTGCTCGGGGCGGAAGGCGTGGGTGGGGCTGGCGACGAAGCCGCCGAGGGGATGCTGGCAGGAGAGAACCCAGCGGCGGAGAGAGCGGCGGTCGGCGGGGGTGAGGAGGGGTTTGTTGTTGTTGTTGTCGTTGCTGCTGCTGCTGCTTGTGTCTTGGGAGGAGGAAGAAGAAGAGGGTGTGAGCAGGTCAATGGCGCAGATGATAAAGAAGGCGAGGCTGAGTCGGGTGCTGTCCATTGAGGTGTAGTGGTGTGGCAGGAGGGAGCGCGCGCAACGTTGCCAGTAGCGAAGGTGGCGGGCCGTATCGAGAGGAGGATCGAAAGGGTCCATCCTTTTCGTCGTGAGGACAGAGGAATTGTGGTAGTATGGGGCAGTGTAGTTTATCCTCTCTCCTTCAACGATCTGGAAGGAAGCTGGCGCTGGCAAGGTCTTGCCCAAGCGAAGAGGTCAGGTCATAGTACGAGGAGAAGAAGGGCGAGGGCGAAGGCGAAGGCGGCGACGTGCTTGATGATATTCCCCTAGCTGATGAGCCCCTCCTTCCTCAGCTTAGCAGCTGTACTGGACCAGTCTACCTTGGGGAGGGGCACCCCCTGTAATGTCTTCAAGACAATCCCTGCTAGGCTTGCTGAGCCGTTGCGCCGTAGTACTGTACAGGCCCAATGTACTTTGTACCATAGTATAGCTCATCAAAACCAGGCATTCATATTATTCAACTTTCACCTCGACAAAGAGAATTGCAGATGAGAATCGTAGCATATCTTGGCCTATGCTCTCTCTTTGCGATTTCATTACCTTCAAGACACTTCTCGTTATCACTATTCAATGACAGATTCAGAAAAAGAGAATAAACATGACGAGAGAAAAGCCAGGTCAAGGAGCATCGAGAATCAAACCCAGAACAGCACAGGTCGAGATGTAATATCCGCTACTTATCAAAGCCCGTCTGCCCTCGAACATCCTGTCCACCGCATGACGCACCTTGAACCATTGTATTGCCTTCATGGCTCTGCGGCGTTTGAGGATTGCTTCCACCATGTGGTGTCAGCTGCCCTGCCCGCGTTACGGCCGAGAACTCTTGTGGGTTGGTAGGATATCCTGTCTGTTGACCCTGGGCATAAGCCTCCATATGTGGCTGATGAAAGCCGGCTTGCCGGGTTGGTGGGTATACTCCTTGTTGAGGATGGACATATGATTCCGGCTGGGACGGAGGGTGGATGTTTTGTTGTGCCACAGAATAACCTCCATGCTGAGCTGGAGCAGCCGGAGAGTAGCCACTGGGATGAGGCGTATAGTTACCTCCTGGCAGGCCTGGGATTGTTTGCCTGTACATCGATGAAAAGGGGCTGCCTCGCGTTTGTAACGTGTGCTCATACTGATCCTGTCTTCGAACCGACGTACTGAGCCCTCCCTGTTCCAGGCTGTACGCGGCAGTACTCGGCGCGGCCCTTTGGCTTTGCTGGTGTGATGCTTGGCCGTTGACAATGCGCTCTCTGAAGCCATCGTTCCGCGCCTCCTTTTCTTTGGCGATCTCTCCATCCGTCCCGTTGAGGATCGAAGCCCTGTACTTGTCATACACCAGCGTAGCGGTCTGTACCTGTCGGAAATGTTCGGCGCGCAGCTGCACCGCTCTTCCAGGCTTCTCTCGGGCCTCAAAATGCGCCAGAGACGCCGCGATAGAGAACGCGTTGCGAATCTGACGCCCGTTCCAGCGCCCCACGTCGCTAGTATGAGAGCTCCATTGCTCCTCTACAAAAGACAAAATTTCCTTCTCGAATATATCCATCTCCGCCTCTTTCAGCGCTGCAGCACGTTTCCGCTCGATGGCCTGAAGCTGGGCAATATTCTGCATGAATATGGCTCTCGTCTGGTCGAGGTTAAGCGCGTCGTAAAGTAGGCTGAGGTGGACACGAGACTTGACGGCCTCGTCAATAACTCCAGGGCGGTTGGTCGTCAGGAAGAGGATACCATTGTAGTACTCCAGCATACGGAGGAATACTGAGCTCAATTAGTCAAGTGAAGAGGGAAAGCAGAAGAAGAAGAAAAAGAGGAGCTTGTTAAAGATAGGCCACGTGTTGCTTGACGCACCTGAAACCAGAGCGTTTCTCTGAAGGTCTGACTTTGTACGCTCTGCAATGAACACATCCGCCTCGTCCAAAAGGAGCACGCAATCCCATAGATGGGCCAGACGCAAGATCTCATTCAGAGACTTCTCAACGCTCTCCGCTGTAGAACCAAGATCGCCGCAGGTGATAGGGAAGAGTGGGCGTTTCCATTTCTGGGCGACAGCTTCCGCTGTAGCCGTCTTACCTACGCCTGGCACTCCATGTAGCAGAATCACAACACCCTTGCCTTTGTTTTTGATGATGTCCTGAGTGCCAAGATCGATGCCTTTCTTCTCTAGTTCTTTTCTGACAAAATGTGAGGAAGTTATAGATTGGATCATGGTCTTGTGTATCGCCTCGATCTGTAGTTTGTCAAAAGGATTGTCTTCGTCATTGGCGGGCGCAAGTCGCAGATAGTGCACATCGAGCAGGACAAATTTACGCTTCCAAAGTGCGTATCCAATGATTCGCCTCGGTAGAAGAGCGAGATCGTCTCCTTCCGGCGCTGGTCTTCGGTCGGCCTCGTCGGTTTTCCTACAAAGATACTTGTCGCGCTGGATGTATGCGTTGTAGTCCACGTCTGAAATTCCGTCGGACGAAATCACCTCTTCAAACAATTGCGCAAGCCGTCTCGAGCGTTTCGAATTGTGCCAAGTACTGTAAGACATATCCCCTTTCGAAAGACTGGTGCAGACGGGTGATATTGGGTCAAACCGTTGTATTATTCTCGGCATCCAACGCGGACAGTGATTGAGACCCTCTTCTACTCCATGTTAGGTCTGCCTCTTTGGGCTTGTATTGTAGCAGCAGGCCGAGTGTTCAGGGGCAGGCCAGAGCAGCGTTGTAGACAGAGAGAAGTACTTACGAATGTCGATAACAATTTCGCTGCTCATGTGCTCGGGCGTTCTTATAAGTTCTCCTAGATCATCTAATGCTGGCGTGCCCAAGGGATTGTGTATCACGGTCCAGCCGCTATAAGATGCATAGCGATTCGGATTGTTGATGCTTGTGACGAACCTCTCTCCCGCTGACAGAGCATGCTCCATAAGCTGAGCAGAGTTGGATGCGAAACGCAGGGGGTAGAACGGCAATGAGGACACATGCCGCTCACCATCATATGACTTGAGATCAAACGTCGTCGTGACAGCCCCGAATTCCGTACCGTCGTGGTCGACATAGTAGCATTCGATAGTAAACAGTCCGGCGTTGAGACCTGGACGCTTGTCGCCAGGTATGACCACATCAAAGATCCTCCAAATACTCTGCGCTGTGGCAATGTCGTGGTTTTGCCACTGTGAAACGTTCTTCTTGGGTGTGTAGAGAAGATCCCCTACACGGAAGACATGCCAGAGATCTTCGTAGCGGACTTGAGTTGATGGTGCTACCCGAGCTTGGTCGAAGCCGTTGTGGAATGGGAGGATCCTGCCCTCCACAAATTTGATGTAGCATTCGATTTGATCGACAGCACCGGGGAGTTTAGCGATGTGAGCAATGCTGATACTCTCCGTATCAAGGTCTTTGACGAACTCGGCGCCATCCTGCGGTGAGTCGCTTCCAGTGGCTTGCAATCCTTCTGAGGGGCTGGTCTTGGTCGAAGCGCCGTTTCCCTCATTTTCAATAGCATGACACTTCAAGTATTCCTTCAGCGCTTGGAGGCCCTCTTGCATCCTGGACTGGAAGCGAACGAAACACCGGAATGGTCTCTTGAATGTCTTGACTCTATTATCCCAATCGGAGTAGGTTTTGTCGGCGACCATCCGAAGAAGAAGGTTGATGGCAACGGACCGGATGCGCACACGCTGGATCCAGGGCTCCAAGACCCTAGTTGAAGATTCCTCATGGGAGGACTCCCGCGTTCTCGATCCAGGTATATCCCCATTTCGCCTGTTTTTTTCTTTTTCCATCTCTTCCTTCAGATTTGACCCCGAGATCAAGACCTCGATGGCGTACTTGTTTTCCTCATCTGAGAACTGATTCATGAACTGTTCCCATGTACAGTCCCGCACCTTTGCTTCAACCGCCCAGGACGTACTCATAAATGTTGGCTTTACCATCTCTGCCAAGTGCTCATCTCGTCGACTTCCTTGTCGGTTCCTGGCATCTCAGGCGTGTTGGCGCAGTTTTTAGTCACGCTAAAGGCAATGTTGAGCACGGTGCTGACCTTCAAAAGCGATTTGGAAAGCCGTAAATTTAATGCAACTGGAGAAAATCATAAAGTGGTTTGTATGCGGCTCTGCAGGGGATGCCGATGCTAGGTCGTATTGGATGGTGAGTTGTACGAGCATTGCCAGAGTTGGTTACGGCACATTGACCAGACTATTGATCGATGGAGAAGTTCATTGGGCGACATGCTGCTTACCTGCATAATCATCAGCGCTTATGCAGAGAGGGCAGAGCTGGAAAAAAAAATATGTGGAATTTTCAATTATTGAATGGAGGCTGGGGTTTCGCTCGGGCGATATTTCACATGGATTCTGATATTCCGGGACGAGCCCGCGGGACAATATCGAGTGGCTTAGGCGACATGCGTAATGGCAGACGACATGACCCGTAGGCGCTCTCCAATTCCATCCAGTCTTCAATCCAGGCTGGATGACCACCGGGAGGTCGTCGCATTTAAGAAGTCCCAAACTTCCTTCGCGATCGATCAGGTACTTCCTGGCTGCGGCGTAGTAACGGAATATGACCAGGGAGAGACCACTCGGTCCGTACCTTCAGCCGAGTAAGTTCGAGCTTTTCCAATCGTCGTTATGTCGTCTTGCGGATAGGTCTTTCTAAGTAGCTACATGGTAGATACCTAGATAAGCTCTTCTGTCCGTCACAGGAAGATAGCTCAGGGAAAACACAACCGATCCCGTCGTGGCAGGATGTTCTGGAGCTCATCAGCAATGCTGAGGAGCAGTACAAGGACAAAGGCGAAAAGAATAAGGCCCGCAGGGCTCTGCGGAAAGGACAAGATGTCGCCAATGTCTTGAACGGGCTCGTGGAGCTGATCCCTGACGAACACGGTCTTGGTGTTCTTAGGGTGGCGCTGTCCAAGATTTTCACAGTAGGATGCACCTCGCCGGCCATATTATTACTTCCTCGTCGAGGCAAACCAAGCAGGGCTAAGAGAAACTCTAGGGATGGATCGATAAGATCAAGAACCGCGAGAAAGTCCTGAGTGCTCTGGGTGATATCCCCATAACTCTCAGTGTCGCTCTCGAGCGATGGCACAGCTTCAAAACGGACGAGCAGCTCAAGAAAGCTACCAGGCAGCTTTACGATGACTGTATGAACGCGATTCGCAGGCTCATTGATATTTTGAACCACAAGCAGGGCAGCATATCGAAAACACAACGAGTCTGTTTCGTCCTCAAACAGGCAATACCCAGCCATGATGAAGCTAAGATTGATGAGATCCTTGCGACTGTCACCAACGCCAAGAAGACTGTGGACAACAATGTAGATCGACTCGACCGGATGAGGGCTGCAGACACACACTACAACACAGAGTTCGCTGCGTATCAAGCTATTGCGACGCATCAGGCTATTGGGGACACGAAGGGCCGCATCATGGATGTTGATATGCATATCCAGACGCAGCACCAGGAAACCACGGCGCAACTCGGACAACTGGAGGCTAGGGTGGAAGCGTCAATACAGAAGGCAGGGAGTGATTTCTCGGCCAGGTTCTCGAACATAGAGTCACAGTTGGCGACCATGCAGGCCACCTTTGAGGCAAATTCCATGGGAGGTGTGGGGCAGATTCCATTGGTGTTAATGGAGTTCATGCAGAGGACGGAATTGATGTACACCTCACTTTATTATATCAGTAACGAGCAGGCATGGAAACAAAGTAAGTCAACACGAGCCTTGAGGTTCTTTCCGACTCTTTTCCATTTTGTCTAGGAACTTCATGAACCACCACACTGACCTGATCACCTGGAAGGCCTCCAACCTATCCTGCCTCGAACTGCCAGCCCTAATCCTCGGTCGCCTTTCACGACCGTCACCCTTGAACAGCTCATAGACCTCATAGGGATCCAGCCTCTCTCTATCGTTGAAGATCGCGATACGGTGCTTCGCAAAGGGCAGACTATGCCGCCAAATCTCCTCGGCCGGGGGCGGTACCTCCTTACGAGACCGAGATTTCAAGACTCCTTAGCCAGTCAGGCTTCGGATGTCCTCCTCGTCGATGGCCACTGTAAAGAAGACTGCGAGGGAAAGATTTCTCCGATCTCGGTGTTTTGCGCCTCGCTCGCCGCTATGATGATGCATAATCCTGCGTGCATGGTCTTGCATTTCTTCGCTGGCCAGCACTGCCTCGGCGACGACGACCCGACCAGAGGCCCTCAGGGCCTGATGCGCAGTCTAATCTGTCAAGTGCTGCTGTATCCGAACCAGCCTCAACCATATTTAGACTGGCTGACGGACCAGACCTTTATCAAGGATGTCGCCGACAACAACATCAATGCGCTATGCTATCTCCTCAAGGAGCTCCTGCTGCGGACTGTGGGCGTGTCGAAGATATTGTTTATATTGGACAACATCTCCGAGTTTGAGAGGAGCCATGATGGGTGGTGTGATGAGATTGTTACCATCTTCTCCTTTCTTAACACTCTATGTAGCGGTCCGGTCCTACCTGGGAGCCTTGTTGTCAAGCTTTTGATGACGAGCGCCGGGAAGAGCACGAAGCTTGTGGAGCATACCAACCCATCACAACGCTTGTCATTGCGAGCAGGTAATATAGCTAACGCTGAAAAGTCCGGACGGGCCATGGCTATGGAGATACAGAGATCCGTTTCTCCAGGGTTTGCTTGGAACCCACCTGAAAGGCCTGGCTACGAATAATGTTGTGCCTTTTTTTGACGCAGTCCATAATTTCTCATCACGCGAATCGACTCATATATAGTGCCTAGTACTGAAGAATGCTGAATTTGTATATGGCCGTTGAGTCGATGGGTATGTACTGTCATTTTTGTGTATAATGTGGGACTTTATATGAGACAAATATTTCGCGGCAAGATTATAATGAAAGGAACCTTGATTATCATGTGGTATCCAAGTCTGCATGTGCTTGGCTCTTGTAATCTACTCACCTAGAATGATGACCAAGCACCGGTTTGCAGAAAGGTAGGGCAACAGATCTGTTTTGCATTCTTTCTATATGAATTAGGAGTCACCTTTGCGTGACAAGTCTCTGCTGCAATAGGTATAAATTGGATTGGAGGTCAGTTGCATAATCTGTAGCGATGGTTGTAAAAGTTGTCGAGTCAATGTATGAAATGGTCGGTGCATTGCCAATGCCGACCACTCTCTCCCATCATCTTCTGAAACTCAATTAGTACATAACATAGTGTCATTGACTCCAAGACGTTTCCATTCATCGAATTGTTGAAAGCTGTGGACAATCGACGAGATCCATACTATCTGGGACGTTGACTCGCCTCACTAGCCGTCCCCGATCTCAGCCACAGGCGGTGGGGGCCAAGCTGCTGCAAATCCGGGGATAATAGGCGACATTAAATGTTCTTGTTTGTTCAACACAAGCAGTCAGCTTACTTTACATGCTTGTATCACTCTAATGTGGCCAACATTAGCTTCAACCTCAACCACACCTTGGTCATCTTTCCCCCCCTTACACATTATGAACAGACAATTCCTCAGCACCTTGCAGCAACGACGACGACACCGCCCATTACAACCCTAACCCGAGTCTCGTGCATGCTTGGTTCTGACGCTTCGACCATAGTAATGGATCCAAGAAAAGAGGCGCCCTTGCGTCTTGGCTTTGCTTGGACCAGCCCCGTCCCCGCAATACAGCTGAAGTGGTTTCAATGTTTCTTCATAGTACATACTGTACTATCGATGCCAGCTCACGTAGCCCCTGAATGCTCACTCTAGTGTTCTGGAAAAATAAAACATAAGTAAAGTGTTTTCCCTTCCTTGGTTAACAAGACTCTTGAGACATGTAACTCGTGATCATTAACGAACCATTCAAGTCTGTTTACGAATTGTTAAAGTAGAACGACTCGTCCTGATCATAGTTTAAAAGACGAACCGCCGCCATGCCTAGCAAAGGAGTCCAGGCGTACACATATATCGCCGCCCCAGGCTGCTCGATCGAGCTGTCGGTGCCAGGCCAGACGGTCGTCCGCAACGAGCTCCGCCAGTTCTGGAATGGCGACCTCGAGGTCGAGTCCGGCAAGATCCACGGCCTGTTCAACGAGAAGGGCAAGTTCACCTTCAAGGTCCTCCACAACGGCAAAGTCATCACGGAGCAGTGGATCGAAGTCAATGCCCTCACAGGCAACGCCTCGGGCGGTACCATGGACACCATCGCCAAGACGCAGTCCGTCCTGCACAAGAACCCGGACGTGATCGTCTCTTACGGCTTCTACGAGTCGGGACAGGGCTATGGGCTCCTCCCTGGCCGCCATCAGTGCTACATCACCGTCACGCCCGACTTCTCAGGCTGGATGGGCAGCGCCGCGCCGCCAGGATCGCCACAAAAGGACCAGCCCTTTCGCCGCTTCGTCCTGCCCGCCGCGCACGACGTCGGCATGAACAGCATGCAGAACTGCGACGTCATCATCAAGCACGCTGGCGGCGCTGTGGTGCGCACCCTGCTCGCCAACGACAAGACGTTTGCCCGTGTCTTGTCTGAGGTTACCGATAAGGTCTCAGGCCCTGCCGTCGCCGCATTGGCCCCGGATATCGTGTCCAGCCTTGCCATCACGCAGAAGGACCCGCTACAGTCTATGCTGGCGCTGGGTGCGAGATATTTCGAGTTCAGGCCTGCCTTTACGCACAAGGAGGTCAGGCAGTATCTGCCTGACAAGCTTTACTTTCAGCATAGTGCCATTCCTGGCATGGCGTACGATGACTTCTTGAATGGGGTCGTGCAGTTCCTTATGGACAACCCCACAGAAATTGTTGTGGTTCAGCTGCGTTGGGATGGTATGTGCTCTCTTCAAGAATGTCTCGGGAATAAATGAGAACAAATGAGAGAAAACAAAAGAAGACATCAGAAATAGCTACTGACCATCATAATCAACAGGTGTCCCTGCTGCCTGTGAACACCCCTCAGAGCAGCAGCTCGGGGACTACCTCCAGGCTGCCCTGCGCCGTGGGGATGGCAACCCGCACAAGATCACCACAGGCAACTTGGACGACCTCAGGAACAGGACCATCGGCGATATACGGCACGACGGCAAGCGACTGATCATGCTCAACAGCATCGACTCCATCTCGACTTACACGGATGCCGGCAACGCCACGCTCAACGGCGACAGCATCGTGGCCGGCTTCGGGCAGGTCCTGCACCCAGACTGCTGCGGCGGGCGCGGGTTCATTAACATCCAGTGCCAGGCCACGGCAACGAATATTCCAAAGGCTGTGGCATACAGTGTGCTTGAGGCTGGGTCTACGAGCAGCTGTTTGCTGGCCACGAAGCCTACTTGTGATTCCAAAACGCTGCCGTGGGTGAGGGACAATTTGCTGCGGGCTTGTGGCCGTAATGATCTTGTGGTGGTCATGAATGATTTTATTGATGGGGCTACGGCTGATGTGGCAGTGGAGCTGAGCCGTCAGAGGTTGAATTGATTTACTACCGTCAAGTGTTTTAGCCCAGATGGGAAATGATGTTGCGATTGAGATTGTCTGTTTGCCATAAGTCTAGTCATCTGGTTTTGGAAATGTGCTCTCATAGTTGTCTCTCTAGAAGAACAACTCGACAAACTGCTGCAACAATTAACCACAATCAAAGCAATCCAGGTTGAAGCAATTAATTATGAGTACAAACATGAACCAACCTTTGCATTGACAAAAAGATGACTATATCTTAAGTACTTAAAAGCAAACAAGGATGGCGACCTCAATTCCCTTGTATTGAAATCTCCTTCAGTCCATTAATATTTAATGGCGGTCTCTTCCTCCTGTCTGAAGGGTCTGGTCAGTACTTGGGCATTCTTTCTAGTCACTTCTGAATGATTCAACCAACTTTGACAGAATGTTCGACCGGTATCGAAAACATTCCATCAACTTCATGTACACCTCTACTGTGTTGTGTATTAAGCAATGTCACTAGATATAATTTTCACCTTGACCATTGTATCTGAACCTCATTCTTTCCTGCATTGTTTTCCGACTACAATAACAATAGTAATAATGAACCCAGCCATGCGTCGCCAGTCACAGCCTGAAGTGAGCCACAATCTCAACATTTGTCAAGATGACCACCGCTATCCCCCATTTCTTCACCACCGCCTCCTTCAAGTATATAATACTGCTACCACGGCACTTATCCTGCCAAGAAAGGAAAGAAAAAACAAACCATTAGCACATCATTACCGTGCCCTTCTCAACTCCCTTTCACGTAAACCCCCCTCCCCCCTCTCTCTCCGCCTATTTCTTTATCGTTACTACTCCTTCATCATATCCACTCCATGGCTCCCCAGCCTGTCACCACCCGGTCTGGCCGGGACTACTCCACCTACAACAACGCCCTAGAATACCTCCAGGACGTCAACGAGCTGCCTAGGTTCTACAAGGATGTCCTCCAGAACGACTGGGAGCGCAATGAGCGCGTGGACCGCCGCCTGCAGGAGGCTCGTGTCTGCCGCCCACTGCATTGGGGCACCAAGGTCGACCCTACCGAACCCGCCATCAACCGCGGTTTCACCAGTCTGAAGGTAAGCAACAGTCTTGCCCCAGGGCCGAAACCCAACCCTCGTTTTCCTTTTCCTTTTCCCCTTCTCCTTCTCCTCTTACTAGATGCTGTCGAATATGCTGCTAACTTCCCCCCCCCCACACCGCCAGTTCACAGTCAACCTTCCGGCTCTCTTCGTCTACGTGACGGGCAATGCGCACAATGAGGATCGTGCTTGCAAATCGGCCCGGTGCAGTGGCATCTTTGCCACCTGCGTGACCGCCAAGGTCGCCCACCAGCCCGGCCTTCCAAACACCATGCGTAAGTCTTCCATCCTTTGGCTTTGCACTCCAAACTTACTCCTGCGTATCGTCCCCCCCCAAGTCTTCCTTTCTTCTCTTTTTTTTCTTCTCTTTTTTTTCTTTCTTTCTTCCTTCTTCTTCCTTCCCTTTCTTTTCATTTTTCAATCACATTGGAAGATATGTCTCCTCAAGCAGAGATCTGTCGTGTTCAGCCAGCTAATCATGCACCTTATCTCCTTGAAACAGGCACCTCCTGCGCAGCGTGCATGTATAATGCGAACAACACCCGCTGCGGCTTCAACCAGGGCCATTGACTCCCCAGCCAGCCAACAGCTGGACCTGTTGATAGCCTCAGTTAGCTGCCCTCGCGGCTTTTCTCTTCCTTTCTCTTTCCTCCTCAAGGCATATGCAATACGAGCCCTTTAGCCCTCACATAGGTTATACAGACCTCTTGTCTTCTTTTCGATCGTTCACGGTAGTTGATTTCGTGCCTCGACCCTTGACTATGGCAAAAACCTCGAGTTCAGCCTCGAATCGCGCTCAACGTGGTTCAATTCACCCAAAAGCAACAGAAAGGACCCTAAAGCTGGCCCTTTCAACCCATTCAAGCTCTTTAGGATACACAAGCCATCCTGAACCTAATAACTGATGGACTCTGCTGACCAGGATATCGTAAACTAATCCGTTTACGAGAACATACAAGACATCCCAAGCGTTGAAGAGGCATCCACAGCCACGATGGCATTCAAAATGGACGGCACAAGGGTGATGTCCATTCGACACAGCGTCCCAGCGCTTCTGGGCGAGGAGAATCTCGAGGACTGGAGCATCATGGTCGAATTGATCCTCCTTTCACACGAGTACCTTCATTACATCCTCGAGTCAGTCCCTGAGCCTGACAAAGCAGCTGATCCTGATAGCTTTTCAGCTTGTATGTGGCAGCCAGCGCAGGTTGTCACGATGCTTCAGAGCACACTCCACAAGATACGAAGCACCCTCACCAATGCGGGCCTTAACCCGAGGGAGCGAGACTCGTATACCATCTATCAAGCCGTGATGCGTACCCGGCGAGTCCGACCGTCTACGCAGCTATATAGGCTATAGCCATTTCCATTTCCAGTCAGCTGGGAGTGGTCATTCCTTTTAGCTATCGCGTACTAATTCTACGTTTCCTGGCGTCCCACGCTTAGTTGACTACCTTTTTCTCTCCTCCTCATCTTTCACTCACGATATGCACTCCTAATTGACTGCTGACTCTTCATAAACAACTGTTGTGAGATTCTTCGTCGTGTCACTGCTTGTTTCCCAAGATGGTAGCTGGCCCAGGGGTGTGGAAGACTTCATCAGCTCACAAAGTCATCGCACGTCCGACAGATCCAGGCAATATAACCTAGCAGGTGTAGAACTTCACCTTGATCTTCTGATAGCTCCAAAGCAAATCATCCAAGTAGATAGACATCCTAAACTGAATCACACCAATTCCATCTTCCTCGTGGCAACCTTGATCACATAACATGACCTTGTGACAGAATGCCCAATGCGCTCATATCTTCCCGGGCCAACCTCTTTAAGGACCAGACAAAATAGGCTATCACCAGAACCATGTAGATATCGCCTCGCCAAAGGCAGCAGATACACATTCCTACCCTCAACCTTTTGGTCTGAAGTGTCTGGAGACACCATAGTAATCATCCTCACCACTTCTCCCAGCCGATTCTTTCCAGCAATGTGTAACCACACCAGTTCCCTCGTCCGTCCATCATCCCCACCGCCACTCTGCGCCTTTTCCTCCGGCATCTCCTCCATCTCCTCTTCACCCAGCGTGACCATATCCAGCCCTACATCCGGCACCACTCCCACGTAAGCAAACCCCCTCAGCGGCCGGCCCAAGAGCGTCAACGTCGCCTCAGCCAGGTTGCCGAACCGGTTCGCCCCTGCACACCGCCACTGGACGTCAAGAACCTCCACCACAGCCTCGCTGCCCGCCCCGCTGTCCGCGACAAAGTCGTTGGAGATCTGCAGGGGAAGCACGCGCCTCGCGTCTCGGAAGGTCGACCGCGGCAGCAGCTCGCAGCTGGCCCATGACCATGTCGGCGCACGGTATTTCGTCTGCCGCACCGTCGCCTCGCTGCCGCGGAGAGGGTCGTCGGGCCGCCACTGGAGACACTCGAGGAGGCTGTGTCGCCAGATGCCGCCAATGTAGTCGTCGCCCAGGGTGCGGGCGAGGCGGGCTGCGAGGCCTGAGATGGCGTCGAGGCGGTCGGATTCGAAGGAGAGCTGGCGGAGGGAGTATTCATTTAGGATGCGGTACCAGAGGGTTAGTATCTGGCGCTGATTTCCTATGGTTGTGTTGTGTGTGAGTTGGAAACACTTTGCCTTCTCCAGAGTACTGACTAGAGAAGTACATTGGCTTATCAAAGACAGGAAGACAAACCTTTTTCTATACTTGTGCTTGGGCTCGCAGGGTCCATAGACCTTACAATGCCCCCAATGATACTGAGTGTGCAGTCCCTGTCCAGTTCGGTGCTCAGCCCTCCATCGACGGTGAGCCGGTTCGACGACACATCCAGCCTGACACCCCGAGGACAACTCTCCGACGCACTCATCTCACCACATTCAAAAGACAGCCAGTACGCATCAAAGAACAATGTCCGTCTCGGAAAGATCCTCTCTTGCAGAATCCAGCCGCGGTAGTCCAGGTGCGACTTGTTGGTCCTCAGCACAGGCGCCAGATCGATAACGACCTCCTTGCGCTTTCCAGCTGGGAGACAGAGCGTCGCCTTGATCTTGAAAGGCCGGGTGGATGCGCCGTCTCGGTCGGACCACAGCCCTTCCAGGACTTCTGTCGAGGCGGACAGGTTGAGCTCGGCACTCTGGTAGTAGTCGGCCATCTTGGGAATTTCAGAGGCCTTGTCGGTGTTTGAGTCTTGGATGATGCAGAGGGAGTCGATCCAGATGTAGCGCAGGCCTAGCTTTCGGGCTGTGATGCATGCTTCTGCGAAGATCTTTGGTAGCAGGTTGATCTGTATGCCCTTGGTCAGGTGGTCGTCAATGTTGGATGTCTCTGTGAAACAAGTGTAGCTTGGGTTCCACCGGTGACTGAGTGTGGCATATTCCACTGTCCTAGTGCCGTCAGATAATGCGACGTTGTGATGCTTTGTGGTGTCAACTAGAGTAACGACGCCTTTCGACTTGTCGATGGCCTGAGAGACATCGAGCAGTCTTGTTGGCGTATACCCAGCCTCAGTCGATCTCTTGCCACAGTTCGTATGCTTATTCGTGCAGTTCTCGATCCATTCCCTGGCGACGGCCATCGATTCATCACTTCCTGTCGACAAGTCTAGCAAGTTTGGGCTAAGAGAAACAGCCGGAGATGCTATTGTTTGTGTGTCGGACGCAAAGGGTTCCTCAGTGCAATACCAAGCCGATCTGGAGATCACCTCGGGATTTCGAATGCGAATATCATCTGTACCCAGTGGATGTGCGAAACTGACATCCTTCGGTGCGTCCTCCGTATGAGATTCATCCTCAAGGAACTCCCACTCGTCTGACCTTTCACCATCTCCGTCATTCCTGTAATACAGCCAGAGAGATATGTCAGGGAAATTTCCCACGCGACTGTTGTTGGCCTGACGCTTCACTGGAGCAAATTTCTTTCGGTTCTCCAGCATGCCATGGAGAACGGTACACAGGTGACAGGTGCGCTTGTCGGCGCATTGTTTCAAGGAGGCTTCATCAGGATGGATTTTAGCTTGGAATTCGACTGGACTATCACCGTCCAGGGCCGGTTCAAAGACGACATTTTGACACTGGTGGCAATCAGTAGGAGACATGATTAGTCGAGGACGAACGGGCGGGGTTGTAAGAGCCAGGATATATTGATCAAGATGTCACGTTTCTGCCTCAAAAATACGAAAGAGCTTTCTGCGTGGCTTTCAGCTTTACGCTAGGCACTTGATCAGAAGAAGGCTGCGCCACAGACCCGCAGCCAAAGCTGAGCCACATCTGCAATATATCCCATACGTCCAAACCCTCGCCTTAGATATGTCCTCGACAAGGTACTCTTCGGGCTGATTGATGATCGCATTTCCCATCAACCATTGCATGTAGGTTGGGCCGTAGTAATTAAGCAGCGGGGGTCAGAGAGCACCACTCAAGTCAATCTTCTGCAACGTGACAACGACCACTACTGCTTCCACCGCTTCCTCCAAGAACTAGCTATTACCACACAATGCCAAACACTGTGGCTTATTTCTGCACCGGTCAGCGACAGGGAGACTTTTCTACACTTTGCATATAGCACACATTGCCTGCTTTCTGTCTGGAGCGCACTGCACGTATCTATCAAAGTAGAGATACTATGAAGCAGTGGCAGAAACATGGGTGAGGCCTCAAAATGGAGTGAGGGAGAGTATCCCAAGGAACATTGAATTTGATGGCTAAACGACAAACACCAGAGGCGAGTCATGTGCCATTTTCCTACAGTACAGCATGATATGATGATGGAAGGATAAATTCCGTAACAGTACTTCCAATGCGATCTATTGATTTTGTAACGTGCCCAGACGGGTGTATGATTCTCTTTCGTGACTGAATGATAGTCTTGAACAATGCATTTCGTATGCTGATACTCATCGAAATGCTCTGGTAGGGATTCTTGCACAAGTGTAGTTTCCCCACCCCGTATCCAATTGTTTCTAGAAGCTGGTAAGAGGCATAAACACCAGCAAGCCCCACAAGGCCGCTGCGCGAAAGCCCTTCCTCTTTTGCCTTCTTCATCATCCTCATCCTCATCATCATCATGCAAATCCTACAAGAAGGCAGAAGGGGTATCAAAGAACCGAAGGAAAGAAATGCGAGTCGTATAGAAGAAGGGAGTTTCTTGAGTGCCCTAGGCCTGCATCGAATAGACGGATCCCATCCCTACCGTGCTCAGGCTGTCTAGGGGATTCCACGGGCTGGTCTTCTCTTGGGAGTAAGGATCCTATCCCTCGACCTTTTCAAATTCCCTCTGCACACGAACCTCGCCCCTCCAAATTTCGAGAACCGTCATCAGGGGCAGAGCCAGCATCAATAGGGTGACCGATGTTGAGAAGCTCCAGGCCCTCTCTGCGTTGTCTGCCAGTGGGGTGGATGGGTAGCCAAAAGCCTGTGACGACATGAGGACTCTGACCGTCGCAGCCACGGCAATGGCGGCCATGAGGAGGATACCAGCGAGCTGTATCCACTTGAAGGCGACCTGTCTCCGGGATTGGAGGAACCAGGTTGCAGCGATGAAGACGAGGAAGTTGGCTCCTATGACAACAATGGTGCCGATGAAAGAAAGGGTACGGCTTGATTCCGTCTGAACATCTCCTGGAGCACCGTTCACAAAGGCGCAGGCTGTGGGGTTCGTCGAAGTGGTCATGCCCTTTTGGACGACCTGGAGCATGCAGATCCCAAAGACACAGCCCAGCACGAGGTTAACGAGCATAAGGACCTGTCGCAGCCATCGGAGAACCCTGTCCGAGTGGAAATCGCACAAGAGGACAAGCAGGGTGCTATTATGGACGGCCGTCGAAAGAAGCGAGACCATCCATATGATGAAGAAGTGATAGGGCACAAGTGATGTGATCTGGGCCAGGCCAACCGCTTGAATCCCAATGCCATAGATGATTTGTTGGTCGGACAAGGCGAAGAGGAGTTTGCGGCGAATGAGGCCCAGTGCAGGTCTCTTAGAGTGCATAAAGGACTCTTGTATGATCAGGGAAAAGGCGAGGACAATCGAAAGTGTCGCAGGTACAATGAAACCGAGGATGACCTAAAACAGTATGCAAAAGCCTTTGTGAGTCAAGAAGTCCAACGCCAAATCATCTGCCAAAATGGAGACACTCTTTAGAGGAATTGTATTATGAGAGAAGGTCGAAAAAAAAAGTCAAGAACGTCTCAGTCCGAATCTCAAGTTGTCAACTTACGCCTATACCTGCAACGCCAGCATTTGTAGCAGCTTTTTCTGGGGGAGAAGAACAATTGAGTGATGCCATGGCCACGAGAAATAACGAGTGACGACCGTACGACTATGAGACGACGGGGAATAGCGAGCCGGCCGCATGCAAAAGAAAGAGAGTGAGAGGAGGGGGGGAAGAGGGAGGGGGTTGGTGATACTAGGGAAAATAGGAGAACGATGTTGACAGGAGGTAAAGAAAAAGGGAAAAAGACGTGGTGATGATGTGCTTTAGAAATGATATCGCTGCAGCTTCCTTTTCTTTTCTCCCTTCTCTTTGTTTGGCAGCGACTACACACAAGTCAGTGACCCACGAGCCGTCCTTTCCCAAATGATGCAGGGGACGTACGTACGAAGACGAAACGGGCCCTTGCATGTTTATATGGTTGTTAAAACAGCCATGGTCCAGGGGGGCTGCGGACGGGGGCTGTGTCGCAAGTTGAATATTGTCGCGCTTCGGTCGTCCAATCAAGACCGCCACCTGTAGGTTGCATTCAATGCCCCGCGAATCGCCACTTTATGCTGGAAATAGCCAGCGCTTATTGACCTTCATGCTTGGCCCATTAAGTTATGTTGTATTGAACAAGCTGATGCATGGTAGAAAGCCGATTTATGGAGTCTTGGACAAGGAAATATAACATGATTGAGGGAAGCAGGTCTGCATATTATTGTAATAATTAGCACCAGAGTTATGCCGCCAGCCAGCCTGGGCCTTTACAATTATGCGTATCACTGATAATATAAGCAGAGGCATGGCATTATTCTTTTCTGCTAGGCATAAGGCAAGGCTAGGCGTCGATTTGTGTCAATTATTGGTAACCTATTTAATAAGATACTGGGCATCTCCAGGCTAAGTACACATATCGGTAATGACAGAATTGCTTCCATCACTGACGCTCCATCCAAAAGTCATGGATGGGAAGCAAAGACAGATAACAGCTGAAGAGTATTCGTGACTCGATTAAAAAAGTACCAAAGTCTATCTCGCTATGATTCCCAAATAAATATGCATCTAAGAGACTAATCCTTTACTATCCACAACACACACCGTCATCTCTCCCCTCAAACTCTGCCCAACATCTTCCTGAACTGTCCTCTCTTCGCTGCACCCTGCTGCTGACTGTTCATCGAAGAGTAACTTCCATAGTCCTCAAGCGAGGGCCGTCCATTTGCACCATTATCGTGCGCATAATACCCGCTGTCACCACCTACGCTGACCTTCTCAGGCCTGGGCGGGGGCGGTGGAGCAATCGATGGTGGAGGAGCCGACGACCGGGGCGAGGCGTTGTAGTAGTCCTCCTCGGGCAGGTACGGAGTCGTCTTTGTTCTCGGCGGCGAGGGCAAAGGCGCGGCATCGACTATGCCGTTGGCATAGCCATTCGTCACCTGCGCAGGGGCAGGAGCGGCGGCAGCATGCTTCCTCGGCGGGGGCCTCGACGGGGCCGCAGCAGGGGCCTGCTGCTGTTGTTGCTGCTGGGACCGCGAGCTGAGCGTGCGTCTCGGCGGGCCGTCCTCGTCTTCATCAGAGGTCTCGCCGTCCGTGGCGGCCTCGTCCGCGTACATCCTCAACTCCTTCCTCATCGCCAAGCCGGCGCACACATCCTTGGCCTCCTCGATGGCCCTCTTGCGGCCCTTGAGCATGATGCGGCGCTCCCTTGTCTCCTTGTTCTCGGCGGCGATGGCCTCGATGACCTCGGTGGTCATACTCAGGCACTTGACGCTCTCGAAGACGCTGTACATGCCCTGCAGGAGGTGGCGCTCGACAACCTGCATAATGACGTTGCGGATGAAGCTCTTGGCGGTGAGCTCATAGAAGATGAGCATCTTCTCAAGCACCTCCTGGGCCTCGCTGTAGGTGTTGCCCTCGGTCGTCGCGTCCCGCTGCCAACGCCGCAGCTTCTCCTCGTACTCCGGATCGTAGGGTTGCACCTCGAGGTGCATGTCTTGGGTGAGCAGGTCGAGCTCGCTCTGCGCCTTGTCCATGAGGGCACGCATCTGCGGGTCGAGGAAGTGGCGGCGGAGTGGCTCGCGCATGCGCCGTGGCCAGGCGTAGTCGATGAGCTCCGACAGGAACTCGTTGCACACCACGCCCAGGTTGTCCTTGTGCTCCTGCGCCAGCTTGGGCCAGTACTCGCTGTAGCTCTGGAACAGCATGTACACGGCGCGCGGCTTGGCATCGCCGGGAAACTCGGACCCGCGGATCTGCTTGAGGAGCATCTCCACCTCAGACCGTACGTAGTTTTGTTTCTGCGCCTCGGTGCTGGTCAGCTGCTCGGCAGCGCCACCCGGGCCGGAGCCGCCAGACACAAAGCCGAATTTCCGCCCATGCTGCCTGATGCGCTGAGAAAACATGTCGTTCTCCTCAGCAGCACGCGCGCGCAGGTTCTGGGCGGGGGTGCCCCTCGGGTCGGCCGTCGAACGAAAGAAGGTCTTGCCGGGAGGGTTCTTGTAGAAGCCGTACACGGCGGGGATGACGAGCTCCTTGGACGCGCTGAAGAGCTCAACGAGTTCTATCCGCATCTCCTCGGGCGTGTCACGGCCCTCACCCATGCTCTTGAGCTCGGAATCCGTCTCGTCCAGCGCCGTCTGAATCTGGCGGCGCAGGGTCTTGACGTGCCGGCCAATATGGCGCTGCAGCTGCGCGCTGAGCTTGGCCTTCAAGGCGTCAGCGCCGCACATCTCAGACGGCAGCGACCGCCATTTACCGCGGCCAAAGAATTCTTCCTCGCGCTGCTTGCGCTCACGGGACGTGGGCCAGGGCTGGCCTGGCTCTCGAGGGCCAGGATTCAGCAGGACATACCAGCCCAGCTTGAACACGTTGGCCTTATCCTTGTTGTTGACGAGATCAATAAACTTGTCTTCCAGGCCGATGGACTCGGTCAAATCCGGCTTGGTGAGGACGCCAATGGTGCGAGACCCTGTAGGATCAAAGGTGCGCGCCTTGCTGAGGATGGGCGCTTGCACGTAGTCCGTGTTGCCACCCACAACGGCGAGGACGATGGTACGAGAGCTCTTCATGTAGCGATCGCACAGCGACTCGATCGTCTTGATGTCGTCAAGAGACTGGTCGTTGTTGGCATTCTTGACCAGGCCAGGCAAATCCACCAGAGTGAGCAGGGGCAGGTCGGGCCCTCTCTTCTCGACAACAAGGATGTCTCGGGCGGCAAAGCGGCCGGGTATGTTCTTGGGAGCGATGAGGTCGACAGCATAGCGCATCAGGTGCTCGAAGGACATGTCCTGGGTGACATTGCCGCCAAAACTGCGCAGTGCCTCCTGGGCCTTGAGGTCCCGGTTCTTGTCTGGAATGATAGAAACCTTAAGGCTGGACTCTGGTGCCCGTCGTAACCGGATCTCTGTCGCAAACCTCGTACATGCGCCGGCATCCCGAGGGAAGGGCGTGCCGGTGATTGCCTCGAGGACGGAACTCTTGCCTGCAGACTGGTCGCCCACGACGCAGATCTGTGGTAGTTTGACGTTGTCGAGCTGGGCGAACTGCAGCTTGTCGATGAGCTCAAGGAGGCCACGCTGCTCATCGGCGAGGCCCTGCGTGTCTAACGCAGAGTCTATTGAGTGACTGTGGTCCATGTTGCTCGCCAAGACCATGGTCTTCCCCAAATTCCTTGGGATGGATGAAGGTTTGGTGTTGATAGGTAGAGCAGAGGAGAAGGTGGAAAGAGGAAGAAAAGAAAAGTAGGAGTGGTAGTATGACTTGCACAGAAGTCAGACACGGAAGGAGAGGGGTTTTAATGACGTTCCCCAAAACAAGACTGTGCCACGGTGCCACGTGGTGAGGTGTACAAGAAAAAGATGGATGAAAGTGAAGACGAATCTGTTATGGGGCTTTTAACAGCTGCTGGGGTAGTCAGAGAGGGCGGTGGTGGCACGGTAAATAAAGTAGATATGGAAGGACCCGCTTAAGGACCAATGACGGAGAGGTCGGGATGACGAGGTGAGGTCAACGGCTGTTGCTACTACGCCTTCTTCCTGTGCAAGGAATTGTAGCACAGTTAACATGTGAATGTGACTGTAGAGACAAAGCGCCTAGCGCCCTGCAGAAGAGTTTCTCAAGGTGCTGTAAGACAGTTTGGGCGCGCAAGTTGTCGTAAGCATTCAAGTTCCAAGGTCGCCACCTTTGAGGGCTGTGCCTGGGACTAGTGCCATCTGCACCTGCACCACACAACAGGCTCCCTCACTATTAGAGGAGGCAACATTCAAACGGCACCACTCACTCTATAGAGCCAGCTCGAGAGCCTTGCAGATGAAATTGTAAATTACCACGTGGGGGGGAAGAAGAAGGTAGACCTACAGCAAGCAGAAACATCCCAGGGGCAAATAATAGAGAGAAAAAGACATCCTTACCATGCAAGCCATGTTGATCTGTACTGTAGAATCTGCAAAAGCATCGACACATGGACATAAGAACGCCATACAAAGTGCTGCCTAGAACTCAGATGCCAGTAGATGGGTGGTGACGACGATGGTTTGCTAATTGGATGGATTCAGATGACGAGGCATGTTGCGTTGCACATAAGACACCAGCATCTCTTCAGAGTCCAGCCAAGCTCATCTTGGGGGCGCGTCCTCTTGGCAATCTTCCGTGTAGTCCGCGGTACTCCTGCCGTCGATGGTCAGTTGCGCGAGGCACACAATGAGTCAGATATTTGTCTTTCCATGAAATTCTCTTGGAAATGCGGAGAAATGCCATGTGCTGCTGCTGTAGTGGCCAAAGCAAAGAACAACAAGGATGCTGTGGATGAATAGAGCAGAAGAGCAGGAAAGAACCAAGTCCCACGTTGGGAGAGAGAAACTGACTGCAAGTGGCTGTGCAGTGGCTTGCACACGATGTGGCGGTGAGCATACCTACTAGTACAACAACATAGTACCCGTGAGCAAGGATACCCCACCTGCCCACCTATTGTTTCACTGCAGCATTACCGTCAACCAGTCATGCCAATGCAGCATGCAACAGGGCTATCACTGCAGGGACCAGGATGTCAGCTGCTCTTTGGAACGTCATCACCCAGGACCCGCATCAATGCAGGAAGCAGCAGCCAGCAACAGCTTAGGATTTTGCTGAAGACACCCAACGACTCGGAATTTTTTGGAAGCGAATGTCTGCAACCTTTGGAGGAGCGTGTTGCTGTCAAATAACGATGACAATGTTAATGTCAATATTTCTTTGTTGATGTTTACTTGTTGTCGAGGTGAACATATGTGTCATCTCCTCCACGCTGTCTGATCACCAACATCACCACCACTCAAGGACCCCGCTGGCTGGCTCGAGAGGTGGTCCATTAGTAAGAGACCATGGACATGGACATTTTCGACGGTGGCAAGGGGAAGAAGAACTGCAATAGTGATGGCAGCGAGTTTATCCAGCCAGGAGAGAAGGATACCCAGGTGCAGCTGGTCATTTCGCTGGCACTGGGATTGACTGCCTTTCTGTCCTTCTGTGTAGGTTCACCTCCATGTCCATGTCCTCCTCTCCTCGACAGATGCAAAGGTTCAATGGCTTTGTTTTGGTGCTGATGGTTGGCATGATATGATGCCTTGCACATGTGCAGATTTTACGACCAAGATGGAAGAGCCTCTATGCAGCCAGGAAACGACAGCTCATCCCATCCTCCATACAGCTGCCTCCCCTCCCCGACAGTTTCTTTGGCTGGATGCCTGCGTTGTATAGGATCACTGAAGCGCAGGTGCTGGCATCAGCTGGCCTGGATGCTTTCGTGGTATGTGCTCTCTCTTTCTCTCTTTTCCTAGAACTGGCGAACATCTCGAAAAGGCATTCATAGAAGCTGGACTTGCGCGGTACAGCATTACTAACTGACTGATTAATTGACTCTCATAGTTCCTCGCCTTCTTCAAACTCTCGATCAAGTTGTTTACCGTCCTCTTCTTCTTCGCCGCCGTTGTCCTCGAGCCCATCAATCGAAGGTACATTCCCGACGAGTCCGACCTTCCGGTCCCCGACCCCGACGATCCAGATCGCGACAACACTTGGAACTACGACATGGGCTTTCTGTGGGCCTACCTCGTGTTTACCTACTTTTTCAGCCTCCTAACCATTCATCTTACCGACAAGGAGACCTTCAAGATCATCCGCATCCGCCAGGACTACCTCGGCACCCAGTCCACCATCACCGACAGGACCTTCAGGCTCTCTGGCATGCCCGTTGAGCTGCGCGCCGAGGACAAGATTAAGGAGCTTGTCGAGAGGCTGGAGATTGGGAATGTCGAGAGCGTCACCCTCTGCCGCAATTGGAAGGAGCTGGACGACCTTATCGCCGAGAGGGCTGGTATACTGCGCAAGCTGGAGGAGGCCTGGAGTGTCTACCTAGGCCAGAAGGCTAGGAACGGCCTCGACGAGCGACGTCACCTTGCCAGCGGCACCGCTGCAGCAGCTGCAGCAGAAGGGAACAATGACGACGAGGAGGCCGTAGTGGTGGACGAGGAGGCTGGGACAACCGACCGGCTGCTCGCCTCTGGGGCACACCAATGGGTGGATCGCCCCCGGCCCCAGACCCGCATCTGGTACGGCCTGTTACGCCTGCAATACAAGAAGACCGACGCCATAGACTACTATGAGGAGAAGCTGCGGAGGATCGATGAGAGGATCCGCACTGCAAGGAAGAAGGACTACGAGCCGGTCGACCAGGCATTCGTGACCATGGACTCGATCGCCGCCTGTCAGATGGCCACACAGGCCGTCATCGACCCGCGGCCCGGTCAGCTCCTCACCAAGCAGGCCCCAGCACCTACCGATGTGGTATGGCACAACACCTACGCATCGCGCAACGGCCGCCGTGTTAGGGCATGGACCATCACCATCTTTATCACCATCCTTTCGGTTATCTGGTTGATTCCCGTCGCTACCTTTGCCGGTCTCCTCTCGCTGTGTACCATCGGAAAGGTCTTTCCGGACCTGGCCGACTTCCTCAATGAACACGAGATCATCAAGGCCCTCGTGCAGACTGGCCTGCCCACAGCCGTCGTCTCCCTGCTCAACGTCGCAGTCCCCTTCGCATATGACTATCTCTCCAACCAGCAGGGTATGCTGTCCCAGGGCGAGGTTGAGCTCTCCATCGTGTCCAAGAATTTCTTCTTCACCTTCTTCAACATCTTCCTCGTCTTCACCGTCTTCGGCACCGCCGCCCAGATCTGGACGGTCCTCAAAAACTCCTTCCACGATACCATCTACATCGCTCGCCAGCTCGCCGCCCGCATCCAGAACCTCAACGTCTTCTACCTCAACTTCATCATGCTGCAGGGCTTAGGCCTCTTTCCCTTCCGCCTGCTCGAGTTCGGCGCCGTCAGTCTCTACCCCATCAACCGCCTAGGCGCGAAGACACCCCGCGACTTTGCCACGATTACCGTCCCGCCAACCTTCAGCTACGGCTTTTACCTCCCTACCGCCCTCCTAGTCTTCATCCTCTGCCTTGTTTACTCTGTATTGCCTCGCGGGTACGTCGTCCTCGCCGTCGGCGTGGTGTACTTCGTCCTGGGCTATTTTACCTACAAGTACCAACTCCTCTATGCCATGGAGCAGCCGCAGCATGCTACGGGCGGCGCGTGGCGAATCATCTGCTATCGAATCGTGCTAGGCCTAGTTGTGTTTCAGATCACAATGGCAGGCTATCTCGTCCTGCAGCAGGCCTTCTTCGCCGCCACCATCGTCATCCCCTTACTCATGGGCACTGTTTGGTACAGCTACGCTTGGAAACGCAAGTTTGAGCCTCTCACCAACTATATCGCCCTGCGATCCATCCGCCGCTACCCCAACCGCGATGGCAGCGGGAGCGTGAGCCCCGGCGACGATCCAAACGGCGGCGGCGCTAACATCGTCCACGACGAGATCTTTGGCGGACCTGGCCGCCAACCCATTGAGGCCCTCCGCCGCAGGAGGAGTACAGTCGATGAGGACCGCGAGAAGGGCGCGCGGTTCATCAACCCCAGCTTCACCATGCCGCTCGAGCAGCCTTGGATCTATGCCGACCCGCCACCCCTCTTGACGAGAGATTCACTAGCCGGTGAGGGCGGCGCCGAAGGCTTCTATCAGTATGAGCCCGGGCAAGGGAGCGTCCTCAACGGTGTAGGCGGCAGGGAGGACGCAAACGGGATTGGTAATAGCAGTAGTAACGACGGGCTTCGGGCCTCGGCCCCGGGCGCGAGTAGTAACTCCAGCTCGTTTAGCCTGGGTGATACACACATCTGGCGGCAGAGCGATGATACCACTTGATCCCCCGGCCTGCTCCAGGTGATCTACTCCTTGATACCTGTTACGTTGTAAGCACAAATGAGCATTTTCAGTGATTCTTCTTTCGTCGACGAGAAAGATCAAAAAGAGGGGCAGGGGCGGGTTCGAAGATGGTACGTAGTCATCATCTCAGTTCAAGCTCGGGAGAGACAGATTGGCTCATTGCATTGCGCTTTATTGTTGTTCATCCAGAGCCTTTTTTACTTTTATACCAGGCGGAGGGGACGAGGGCCGGCCGATCCTTACCATAGTATACCCCCAATCCAAGCATAGGCTAGTAATTAGATACGAGAAGACGAAATGGAGAGTCATCACTTGCAGTGGAACTCGAACATCGCCGCTTGCGTTCATCAGAATTTAGTTAGTGGGAGTAAAGTAAAGAGAGCAACGTGACTGGCTAAACAAGGTGTGCATGTTCGCCATGTTGCTAACTCATTATCACGAGGTGATCCCGACAATCAGTCTACCCAGGGCCATCCTATGAGAAGGTTTCAGTACAGTATCAGATCTCATATGGTAATAGCCGTCCAATTTTGATCCTAAACTCAGCGAACATGTGATCTCTAGCCATTTGAATATTCTTGCCTGCCAAAATCATGATAGAAAGAATGCTGGCGATGGCATCAACAGTCCAAGGCGTTATCATCATCCTTCCATACTGTCATCTTCAGATGTCACTATACCATTCTCAGCTGGCGTCCCCTCATCACTCTCCGTCACCGCATACGTTGGATCATCTTCCGGGGCAACTTGCATTCCGTCATTCTCAATCTCCTCCATCCGCGTGATGAACTCAGTCTGAAGTCGGCGCAGGTAACTCCTAAGCGCCCCACCGTCCATCCCGCTGTGATAGGCTTGCTGCAATGTTTCATGGACGTTCAAAACCAACTTCCTACGCCGCACCAGCTTTCGCGACTCAGAACACTGTTTCTTGGCCTCAGCCGTCTCTCTGAGGGAGTTGCTGGTTTTCTCGGCCAAATCGAGGAAAGTTTGAGGAAATCCGATGGCTCTTGCAAGGTTGATACCGTAGTTTTCCTCTTTCACAGGGCCGGCACCTACCTTGTATAGCATCGTCATTTTGGGAATATCATCGTCCGCAATGGTCGTCTCGGTCGCAAGGTGCAAGTTGAGCACGCCAGGTCGATCTCCCAGAAGCTGTGCGAGCTCGGCGAAATGCGTAGCAAAGAAGACCAGCGCATTGCTCTGTATCAAGGCTTCAGCCATTGCGATAGCAATGGCCAGACCGTCTCGGGTGCTGGTCCCGCGCCCGAGTTCGTCAATAATGGCTAGACTCCTGTCATTGATGTTGCGAATAATGAAAGCCATCTCCCGCATCTCGACCGAGAATGTCGACATGTTGGATTCGATGCTGTCATCTGTTGAAGTTCGGGACAACAAACTGTGGATGATGGTGAAACATGCGTACTGAGCTGGCACAAAGCAGCCAATCTGCGCCATGACTTGCAGCAACGCAACGCTTCGAATGTACGTACTCTTGCCGCTCATGTTGCAGCCTGTAACGATAGAAAAAGCATGCTGTCTCGTGGCATAATACTCATTCGGGATAAACTTGTCGAGTGACTAATCGTGGTCGTTCATCAGATACGTCGCCATGCTGTTTGGGGAGGACAATCTTGCACTCACTGAGTCAAGGATGGGATGGCGACCTGCCTTGAGGGCTAGCGCATCCTTCAGCTCGGGCCTGACGTAGTCTCGGGTTGTGACTGTCTGTCCAAAGGAGGATAGCATGTCAAGAAGCGCAACGCTCTCGCAAATGCGGAAGAGAGCAGGAATGTCGGCTCTGATGGAATCCAGCAGCTGCTCAACCACCTTGTCGCTCTGCATTGTGATTTCATTCACAGCATCAGTCATGCGCTGGTTGAGCTGCACCATTCGCAGCGTCTGACATTCAAGGAACTCTTTCTTCGAAATGCAATGAATGAGTTCGCCCGGGATAACGCCGCTCTCAAAATCAGAGAGACGAAAGCGCAGCCAGAAGTTTCGTTTGGCCTCAAATCTAACATCTGCTGCTAGATTCAACTGAGTATTGAGTCTCTCAACGTGCTCGTACAGATCAGCAGTTATCTCCTTGAGGGTGGCCCTGGCCACGTCCAGCATGCCATTTATATCAGCCCTGACAGCGTAGCATCGCTGATTCCGAAGATCGAGAGGTTTCGTGCTGTACGAAACGTCACTATTGATAACCCCCAAGATTCGCTCCAAGATGGGATTGGTTATCTCGGGCCTACAGAGGCCACGAATGTTGACAAGAAGAGCGCAGCGAGCGTCCCTCAACGATTCGACTAGTGGTGGAACAGCCATGACGAAGTTCTTGATCATCAATACATCATTGATGGCTTGCTCGCTTGCTGCCAGAGACGGCTCCGCGGGAAGAACGATGATCTTGGTGAGCATTTTCTCGACGTCGCCGAAGTCTTTGAGCGCACCGCGGACTTGGAAAAACATATCCTCTTTCGTGCAGAGCTCGTCCAAAGCATCAAGCCGAGCGGTCAACACCTGGGCCTGTGTGGACGGTTGAAGGATGTTGCTGCGCAACATTCTTGCTCCCATGGGTGTCAAGGTCTGATTCAGCAGTCCAAAGAGACTGGCTTTTGATGACGGGTTCTGGATATTTTGTATGAGCTCCAAAGCCCGGATCGTCGGGAGACTGATCATCATGGCCTCCTCCGATGGTTGGTATTTGATTCTGAGGGAATTATTTGCAAAGTGGATTGAGAATTCGTTGTCTAGGCATTGTATAGCCTAGTGATGACCATGAAGTCAGCGGCTGTCCAGGCGCAGATCTGCAGAATGCGCAATACATACCGCGGAAAATGAGCAAATGGGATAGAAGTTGCCTTCAATGGCAACCTTGATGGCTTCGACATCATCCTTGAATGCAAGCGTCTGAATAAGATCCATTCCCCTATTCTCTGACCAGTACTTTCTGCGCAGAGGGGAAGTTCGTACTTCCGGTAGCTCTTCTTCAATTAGGGAATAGAGGCTGCTCTTTGGGTTGGGAGGACACGCGGTATCGACGATGAGGATCCGGGTGGGCTCGAAAATGGTCATCTTATGGATGGTCTTGACGTAACACTGATTGTCGCAGATCTGACTGAGCACGGCTTCTCCAGTGGAAGCGTTGACGAAGGCGAGACCGACGGAGGGGGAGACACCTCGCGCCTCGCTGACAGCACATATGATAAGATGACCCTCACTGGCTCCAATGGTGGAGGCTGCTCGTGATCGGCGACCGCTTGCCGTGTTTGTCACAGTGCTGTAGGCTGGAGTCCCGATCCTGCTGGGACCTGGGGTTGCTGGAGGCATAGCGATAGCAGTCGATCTGTGGTGTATACGAAGGCCGGAAGCTTGGAAGTTGACAATGAGGCCAATCACGAGGAGGACGAACGTAGCCTGACACCTTGGACTCGCGAGGGGCCCAGGAGGGACAGTGAAAGACAAAACGTCAACAGGCCAGATACAAAGAATATGTGTGCTTAAGCTTCGCTATGTATAGCTGCAGTTTTTGTCGTTGTTTTCCGCTGTCATTCGTCGTTGGTACCTCTCGAAGGTGGAGTCAGGTCGAAGCTGTGGTGCAAGTGCCAAATATAGACTTGGGGCGAGGCCGGTGGAAAACTTGGAAAATGGAAGGAGCACATCTCACAGAACTAGCCAAACACCCCTTCTATTCAAGTACTAAGCTACCTGCCCTCTCAATTTTTCATGCTTCCTGGCATGGCTCCGCATGCCTCAAGATCCAGGGCATTGTGCCGAAGATGTGACAAGGCCATATCTTTTGGACGGGCATTGATGGGCTGACTGGTTGTTATATTGGACAGATTAGGAGCCCAATCGAGTTCTGGTTGGCTCCTCTTCAGACTTCAATTTTAAAAATGAGCGGTCTCATGGTTGATGCATTGAAAAGCTGGCAAGAATGCGGGCAGTTTATCACGTTTGTTTTCCACGTGCAGTCTGTAAAGCGCGACAAAGGGAGCGAGAAAGATAGAAGAAAGAACGCAAAGAAAAAATTGTTCCCATCAGACATATACAAGCGTTCCGGTAAATACATAGGCTCTCAGACAGCAGCCATACGACAGCACTGGAGACCTCGTTGTGCGTTGTTCAGCGTCACGTACGTAAATATTGATTGCGGAAGAGACGAAGTAGCCGCGGATGTCCTTACTATAAGACAGCCCTCTTGGAATGTAGAGATGCAGAAACTCGCATGCAAATACAGACACGTCTCCTGTGGTAGCTAAGCAAATCAATAAGGTAGCACATGGACGGGTGAACGCAATATCATAATGCTGACTTTCACACTGGCTCGATAGCAGGACGTTACGCCTTCGCGCCCGGGCTGACTCATCACCGGTCCATGCAGGTAGGTGCGAGCTGGGACATGTCAATGGTCCGTGCATCCCCTCCCTTGGGGTATATAACTTCGCCCTGAAACTCTGCAGCTCTGCTGCTTCCTTTCTCCCTCTTCTTTCCTTATCCTGGTGCACGGGCTTTACGCAATTCAGTGAAGGTTCGCCTGAGAATGCGTTTTTGCTAGTTGAAAACTATACTATGACCACTCCTAGCTGGGTACGCCTGGCTAGGGAATCTTTGGAACCCAATCGAGACTCGCCTGCGAGAGCTTTCAGTCGTCTTTCGTTGTCTTGTGGCTTGCTTGCGGGCCCGACGAGGAAGGAAACGACGTGTGTTAGCGAGGGTTGGAGCGTACGAATTGAATTGAGCACTACTACTCTCTTCGAATTTTTATTTTATTGTATTTTCTGGCTCGAGAGTGTACCAATTGGGGCATCAAGAATCGACTACATGTAGCGAAGATCGCGCGCAACACGCCGGCGGGGTGTATTACTACGGCTTCCGACCGACCTCCAATCTCTAGTCCTTACCCCAAAGGCCATACCCAGGTACCACCTTGTTCTTGCGCTACCGAAACAACATCCAGACAGCTAGCTCGTCATGGGATACATGCCCATTTTCTGAGCTTTGGATATGGCTGCAAAAGGTCATCGACCTGGCGCTGATCAGATACGACCACGATTTGTTGGCCTGTCCCCCACACCCATCTCCTGCACCCTCCACGCGGCTGAACGTCAACGAATGGAATCAATTGCCCTTAGAGCTGACGCACGTAGTGCTGGTTTTGCATATGCGCAGCGGCCTCTCTCTTGAGGCCACGTCAACCACTCGATGCGCACTCTCCTCCCGCCGCCGTCGTTCCCGCCCATCGGCCTTTCGTCACCCTGACTATCCAGACTCCCTGCGCAGTATTCAAGACATATGGTGGCGTTCGTGATTGCAATCAACTGGAGATCTCTCTCCCTTTGACCTCGCTGGAGTGCGCATGCTGCGCCATCTGCTGATATTTTCTGTGATGGTCAGGGCGTCTGCCGTCCGCTCGCAGGGAGAATGTTGCAATTCCCAGCCGTGGTCGGCCTGCCCTTTCTGGATACTGGGGGACGAGGGCTCCCGTGAGTAGTTGGTAGCAGAGATGTCGCGTCGTGTACTTGCCCCACTACGCCCACGTGCAGTGATCTGAGACGTGACTCGCCAGGTTCGTTTGTACCCGTCGGAGGAACGTGTTGATCAAACTCCCCCAGTAGTGTGACGGGGCACGGAGTCACTCTGATGAGCGGACTGCGGCGACTGCTTCGTGTGCGAAGGGTGGAGAACAGGGTCGGTGAGTTTGCACAACACTGAGCCGGATGTCTGACCTGTAGTGGAGACACGTAACTCCGTCCATCTTGACCCGCGCCACAATCCTTGCAGTTCTGAATGTCGCCTCAATCACTATCAAAGGATCGTTGATGGGCTGCTAGTAAGTTCTGAAGTCAAGTCATGACACGTCTCCAGTAACAATCATCTACAGTCCAGTACGGCAGGAGATCCTGTATTCTGTTTTTAGAAGCCAATGGCCACCATCCGCCATCTAAGGGGGCGCAGGGTCCTCTACACACTCGGGTGTTCCCGGGGAGTGAGGGCCTCCTTTGTCAGAGGATGACTGTGAATTTTGGGACGATGTTACTATCGTACTCGGTATGCGGAACCTTGTCATGAACCGTGCCCAAGTTGCACTTTTACTATAGTACTAAGTGCATAGGGTAGTATGTGCTATATGTAGTAGCGCGCATGAGAGCAGAATGTGGATGCATGTTCCTTTCTGCCCGTCTGAACTCCCATTGGCAAGTCGTCGCGGGGTAAAGCAGATGTAGTGGGTCAACTCAAGTCGCCCGTCTGCGGCTCGTGGAGTCGTCTCGGTACTATTACGGACCTGTTATACTGTGATACTACCCCAAGGACTCGTCAGCATTGACAAAGATGTTTCGAGTCACACGAGTGCCATGAATGGTTTCGAGGGTTGCCCTCTTACAGCCGGATCTTGTGCCATACGTGACAAAGATCCTGTATAATTCATCGCTCGGATGTGCTGGTTTGGGGAAAGCCAACGACCACCCCCGCTCTCACGAGCTCCAGAGGCCGAGCGGATCCATCATGCGCCCACTCCCGATCAGGGAACAGAGCAGATCTGACGATGGTCTTCGGCAACGGCAGTGGCGCAGACGGCACAATATCTCTCCCGCTTTTCATTCTTGGGCTCCTGTCGTCCGGGCTGCTAGTGGTGAGTTTTCCGAGGTTGTGGCTGCGGATGAGGGTGTCATAGGGAAAAGGGGGGAAAGCCCGGCGCATGTAAGAGGCCGACATGCGGAAATCCCATATTGAGCGACTGGCATTTGCTTGTGCACCTCATGTGCAGTCTCATGCCCTCATAATATATAATTATCAACGCGAATCACGCTTTTCTGAGCAGGGGAGGGGCCAACCAGGTTCCCAGAGAGCCTGCCCGGGCCCTGATGATCTCTGACCTTGGAGGATATCACAGGGGGTCAATGCAATCAGACTAGTCGATCTTGACTTGTGGCATGTCTCCTGTTTTTTTCTTTCTTTTTCTTTCCTCTCTTCCCTTCTTTGTCATACAGCGGCAGCGTGGGCCGAGACCGGGCACGAATGTGTATATTTGGTAATGCTAGTGAGGACCGTAAGCGTCCCATTGGCGTGCTATGCGTGTTCTCCAAGATGGCTCGATGGGGGATCCCGCCGAAAGAGGGTAGGACAGCAGATCCGACAGATTGGATAAGGTGATAAGGTAGAAGGATGGTGTGGTGAGGCACACACCCATCCCACATCACGCATCCTACATACCCCAATATTGTATACCTACAGCGCGTGGGCCTGCCGATCTCTGTTTCGTTCAACGACGATCCCTTTCTGGAATCTTGTTTGAGCATGAACAGGTGCCACGTTGGGCTCAAATTCCTGCAGGGCGCTCACTCCTCTCCCCATTTCTTCCCCCCTTCCAAAGATTGTTCTGACTGACGCGTACCTCTCCAGTCTACGACTCATTCTCTCTTTCTGCAGCCACCTCCATAGGCACGGGTCGAGATGGTTCGTCAGAGGGAGAAAGAGGTGGCACACTTTGACATGATAACCTGCATCCTCAACTCTGGTGACATCATGGTGTTAGCAGGAGAAGTGGCTCCTCCGGATCAAGTTCTCCGTTTCCCTTTACACACTTGTACTCTGTAGGACCTTGTACCTAAAAAATGCAACATGCCATCTAATACCACACACCATCTCCCTAGCTTGTCGATAAGCAGGTTATTCGAAGTATCTCGAGCTCACGGGGGACAGGCAAAAGTTACTGCTCTGATAATGATTGAAGTCAGTCTTGTCTCGGAATCCGTAAGATTCCAGCTCGGCAGGGAGCAACTTTTTTAGTTCCCGCTTATCCCTGCCAGACAACAGGATTGATAGACTGGGATCCCTTGTAGCAGCAGCAGCAGCCGTAGCCTGCCGGGTCCAAGCCTCGCAAAGCTGTTTGCATTCCACAGCCCGAATTCTTCCTTGCGCCCAAACAAGGCCCAGCTCCAGCTCCTGCTCAGCTCCAGCTCCTAACTTTGGGCTCATTCTTGCAACCTCCAACCACCTCAACGATTGTCAATTCACCTCGGTTGTCCACAGGTGGCGCTGGGCTCCCCGTTTTCTCTCCCTTTCAACCTCAAGTCTTCCTACTCTCATCTCTCACCCCCTTGACAACATCAAGAGTTGCATAATTGGCATTTTCCCCTTGCATTTTAGACAAGACGCGCGCCTCTCACCTGTTCATTTCCCTCGGTTTGCTTTCTACAAACTTCGCACGGCCTAGACCGAGCTCACGTCCTCTTCATTCTTTTGTTGTGTCTTTCTCTTATTTTCCTTCACGTTCTTTACCCTTTGCGCTGCATGATCTCGAAAGTTCGGCCGTCCTAGAAAATCTTCCATCGCCTCTCCACAGGGGACCCACTGTCCCATTCAAGAGTGACGAACAACGGCCCTTGGCGAAAATAAACTACCAAGTCAGCCCAACTCAGCCCGACTTATCTTCGATGCTGCACAGCTCTTCAACGCAAACAAGATAGCACCTGACAGCCTCTGGTCAAGATGACTGTCTTCATTGCCTCCTTGTGAGTCGTCCTCCTCTCCTGCAACTGCCTCCCCTCTCCGTGGTGTATGGAACTCCACAAACTTGCCATCGAGGTCCGGCCACGAGGACCCACACTGGCCCCTCTACGTCATTGAAGAACTCGTGATGGTTTGCTGCTCACTGACACTTCCTGGGGCCAACAGGTTTCTACCCAAAACTGTCCACTTTACCCTCCCAGGTACTCCTGTCAGGAACCCGAAACTTCTTCCCGAGGCCCCCAAGGTCAAGAAGTCCCGACCTACCGTTCAGAGAACCCCTACTCTGTTCCCTGGCAACCAGGACGACATCACTCCTCCAGATACCCCCGTCGAAGACAAGCCACCAGGTGACATCTTCACCAACGAGGACGGTTTCCGAATTCACTACCCCCCTAGTACCAAGGAGGATGAGTCTTTTGGTTCTCACAAAGCCACGCCCGGCTACCAGGGCTCCCCAGTGTGGGGCAGGCGAAGCGATCAACCAGCCTCCCGCGCGCACACCCCTCCGCCGTCCTCCGTCCTCGAACACAACAAGGAGCTGAAAGCCAAGGCACAGGAACTCGGACGTCAGGGAATAGTGCAGCCTCGGGCAATCTTCCGCAGCGACAGCCACGACAGGGTTTTTGCCCAAGCCGACTGGAAGATTGTGAATGCCGATCAGGGCAATGGTGGCCTGCGTCATGCTGCAGAGGCTGCCGCTCGGGAAGGCAAGATTGATCAGGTCACCTGGGTCGGCTCGCTGGGCATGCCGACGGACGCCCTCGAGGGAACCTCGCAGAAACAGGACATTGAGAACCGTCTGGCCACTGAGTACGACATGCTTACCGTCTTCTGCAGCGACAAGGATTTCGACGGCCACTATTCACACTTCTGCAAGCAGATTCTCTGGCCTGTTTTCCACTACCAGCTGCCTGACAACCCCAAGAGCAAGGCCTACGAGGACCACTCATATAAGCACTATGTGAATGTGAACCGTGCCTTTGCCGATAAGATTATCAGGAATTGGAAGAAGGGTGATGTCATCTGGATTCATGACTACCACCTGCTTCTGCTCCCTGGCATGATCCGGCAGAAACTACCCGAGGCTGAAATTGGCTTCTTCCTGCACGTTGCTTTCCCGTCGTCCGAGGTCTTCCGGTGCCTGGCCGTCCGCAAGGAGCTTCTGGAAGGCATGCTGGGCGCCAATTTGATCGGTTTCCAGATCCACGAGTATACACGGCACTTCCTGCAGACCTGCAGTCGTATTCTGAACGCCGAGGCGAATCCGGATGGCCTGCAGCTGGACGACCGCTTCGTCGATGTCATCAACCTGCCTATTGGCATTGATCCAGTGCAGCTGAACGAGCACCGGAATGATCCGCAGGTGCGGAAGTGGCTCAACGTGCTGCGGGAGCGCTACGCCGGCAAGAAGCTGATCGTCGCTCGGGACAAGCTGGACCACGTCCGAGGCGTTCGACAGAAGCTCCTGTCGTATGAGCTCTTCCTGAACATGCACCCCGAGTGGCGTGGCAACGTGATTCTCATCCAGGTTGCCCTGTCGTCGAGCGAGAAGTCGGAGCTGGATGCGACAGTGAGTGATATTGTTACTCGCATCAACTCATCTTACGCAAATCTCGCCTACCAGCCGGTCGTCTACCTCAAGCAGGACATCGACTACGCACAGTACCTGGCTCTTTTGACGATCGCCGACGCTCTGATGATAACATCACAACGTGAGGGCATGAACCTGACATCTCACGAGTACCTCTATTGCCAGGATGGAGAGTTCCTGAGCGAAAAGAAACATGGCTCGCTGATTCTGTCCGAGTTCACCGGGACGGCCTCCCTGTTTGGTGGCAACGAGCTTTCTGTGAATCCATGGGACTACAGAGCTTGTGCCAACGCCATCAGCAAAGCCCTGGAGATGGGTAACACCGAGAAGGAAGAGCGGTGGACCAAGCTGCACGAGTGCGTCTTGCAGCACACGGGCTCACACTGGTTTACAGAGCTCATGGTACGTCTGGATCGCGCGCATAACGAGCAGCACCGGCATGACCAGACCTCTGTCCCACGTCTCAACCTAAATACTCTCACTCGGCGGTATAAGGACAGCGACCGACGACTTTTCATCCTGGACTACGAAAACACTCTGGTCAACTGGGGACCGGTCAACCAGATCATCCCGTCCAGCCCTCAGGTGAGTTGATACGTATTCCCTCGTTCGCTAACTTCTCCCCCCCCCCCCTCTCCTCCTTCAATATGTCTCAGTCTAAGACTATCAAGCTCGAGGCATTCCTGGCCGGCGCTGCGCGTCTCAACCCCATGGCTAACGACATAACGACGCAGCGCACTCTGGATGTCCTGAATGAATTGCTCTCGGATGAACGCAACACTGTCTATGTCATGTCTGGACGACGACCTGAGGAGCTGGACCGCCTCTTCCGCCGTGTGCCTAACCTGGGCCTCATTGCCGAGAACGGCTGTTTCCTCAAGGACTGCGGCAGTGATGCCTGGACTGAGATGGCCGACCCGGAGCACATCAGGGCGTGGAAAGAGTCTGTCAAGGGCATACTCAACTACTACCTGGAGCGCACGCCGGGCGCCGAAATCGAGGAGCGCCGCTGCAGCCTCATTTTTCACTATAAGAGCGCCGAGAACTGGGAGCACGCCGTCAGCCAGGCCAGCGACTGTGCTTCGCACATCAACGACGCCTGCGAGAAGCAGCGTGTGCACGCCATTCCAACCGATGGGTCGATAATAGTAGAGCCCGTGGATTGGACCAAGAGCACGGCTGCCGAGAAGATCTTTGAGGACCTGCAGACCCGACTGCCTGCCGACGAGACGCACAACAGCAGTGTGGACTTCCTCATGGTTATCGGCGACGGGAGGGACGACGAGAAGGTGTTCAGGTGGGCGAACACGCTTGGCGAGGAGAAGGTGATCAAGGAGGTTATCACCGTCAGCCTGGGCAACAGGAACACCGAGGCTTCGTCTACTATGACGCAGGGCGTGAGCGGTGTTCTCATGGTCCTGCAGAAGCTGGCCTCGTCCTCGAGCGGGTGAGCGAGCACTGCCGCCCACCTAACAGGTCTCCAGCCTCGAAAGGGAGAGACTGACATGGTTGTCGCCGGGAGCGAGCGATGGCTACCAACCACGAAATGAAAACAAAGGAACGAACGGGAGGACAAGAACACGTTGCATTGAGGGCAAGGGTCCTGGAGGGCCCATCCGTGACGTCTCTGCAGTTTCCATTCCCTTTTGCAAAAGACTCTTTTGGGTCGCGAGACCAATACGTGGCGTTTGTACCCTCTTATTCCCTTGATCGTGGACGGCCTTGCCGCCTTACTGGTATGATCTCGTTTCCTTTGGACTGTGATCATTTTTGCAGTCCTGTCTCGGCATGTCTCGGTGGTGGGCTTGTGTCCGACCTGTTTCCATCCCTCTTTATTACCTACTACTTCGGTCCTTGTTTCTTTCGCACAACTTACTGTATTCTTCTGGCGTTCACGAGCGTGCCGTTCTGCATTGTTGAGTTTCTCTTGTCCCCTCCCCCCTTTCTCTTTTTTTTCTTTCTTTCCTTTTTTCCCTTCCCCTTTGTAAGTGGTTGAATGACACAAGAGAATGTACCAAGGATGGGCTCGGAAAGGGGTGTTATTTGGAATCGGACTGGGTAGGGGGGCAGAGAAAAATAGACAAGATTGGGACCGTCACCACTCCTGCATATGAGCACAAGCATAGACTGTGTACCAACCACCCTTTTATACATGATATCGCAAAACCAAAGTTCCCTGGAATGAACCGTGAGAGACAAGCTGGGAGACACCCTGTTGTGGTCGTTATGTGTGCTGTTATTTTTTCGTGGTTGTTAAACGAGCATAAGCAAGTCAGTGTGCACCTGAGGCCGCCTGCCTGCCTGTTTCCTGGCAACTGGCAGCCTTGTTCCTCCAAAGCCGAAGGGGGCAGAGAGGAAGATGATTGCTTCCTACGTGTAACGTTGCTGTGGCGTTTGATAATGAGGACGGTTGAGCAGGAATGATGTGTGTGGCCTGATCTACTACAGTGCAAATCGTTCCTTCGTTCCAACCGCACGTACTGGAGAGGAGGGTAGATGTGCACGTACAGTCGCCACATCCCCTTTGTAGATGGGGTCACAAACTTGCTGTTCCCCGAGACGAGACAGACGCGGGATTGAGGCAGGGGAGGGGGGAGGGGAGAGAGCGCATCGGGCGGAGGCGTTTTCCACTGATCCTTATGAGCATTATGTTCCCGCACGATGGGAATGTCGAGCCCCCGCCGCCTAGAGACGTGGCATCTTCCGCGACAATCTCGCCGACCCAATCTAGACCAATTGAGACGGCAAGACCACTTGGTAGGGAGGGGACGGAAGAGAGGGAGGCGCTGTGTGCCAATGTCTGATGCCGCACACTAAAAGAAAAGGTGGGGGGGGGGGGTCAATCCAGGTGGCGTCTTTGCTTCTTGTGGGCCATCTATACCTGGGACTCTTCCTCGAAGGAGGGAGGGAGGGAGGGAGGAATGGACAAGAGGCACTTCTTGGGACATGAGCCGTTCGTAGACAGCCATTTGTCAACTGGAAGCCTAGTTCGTGTGTCAGGAGGACCTGAGCGGTTGGAGGGGGCCCGATCATGATCCACCAACTCGGCATGTCTTTGCACATTATGATGATACAATACTGTACCCGTGCCTTACGGCCGTGAAGCCGTGGATCTTCCTCTCCCCCCTCCTCCCCCCACGATGGCATGGCGCCATTGTTGGTGGCTGCGATCAGGCCAGTACAGAAGAGGGAAGATGGACTGGATCTACGCGTGTGGAGCCTCCAGGAAGGCAAGAAAGAGGAGAGGAGGAGGAGAGAAGAGAGGACGAAAGAGGAAAGAATGGAGTATCAAGGTTACATGGCGTTCCTAGCGATCTCAAGGCGTTGGTTTGTTTAGAAATTTCGAAGTATCCTAGGAGCCAGGTGGACTATTGGCCTTGCGTCTCAAGGTAGATGGGTTGGCACACGAGAAGCCAAGTTTCACGAGTAATGAACTTCTGTAATTAGTACGAGAGTCTCAAGCAGCATGACCCGTGAAACTGAGGACTCCCTTCTAGTTCGAAGTCTAGTACTAGATATGGATAATCCAGCAGGGAAAGAACAAAAAGACCACCTCTCTAGTGACGAGGCTGCGCCGGAATTAGTATAGTAGACGGCCACACACATCCCCCTTCTTCCCCCGACCCCAAAGCTCGGGAGCATACCTGGCCGTCTTTAGCACGATGACTTGAGCATAAATCGAGTTCACTAAACAACTGCTGACTGACTTATTGAACAATGTCCCGCACGCAGGACGCCGGCGGCCCCTCTTAGTCCTGTCTTTTTGCTTATGTTCTAGAAGGTTTCTAGCTCGTCATTTGGATGTTGCTGCAGTGGTTTGGACTTGCGAAAGAGCAAACGAGATAGAAGCCAAAGAGAGAGAGAGAGAGAGAGAGAGAGAGAGAGAGAGAGAGAGAGAAAAGAGCAAAAAGATGGAAGATGGAGGAGATACTATTCCTTTCCTTCCTGTCGCGGATGGGCATAGATGGAATGGAATGAAACAGAACGAACGGTACTCTGCCCACGCCGGCACCGTTCTCGCTGAAATCTCGACGGAAAGAATAGAGCCTTTGCGGAATCTTTCGAGATTTTGAACGGCGGGTCTTCCAAAGCAATCATGGAGCAGACACGGGCCGTGGGTTGGGAAACGTCTCTTGCAAAACTATAATCTTTTTTCTTTTTCTTTATTTTCCTCTCAAGTACTAGCCTATCGTTTGTTGTTCTCGAGCCCTCCCCCCCCCCCCCCCCTTCTCTCTCTGTGTGCGTGTGTTTAATTTCAACTTCCCGCACGCGGGCGTTGACCCTTATCCACACATTTCGGCTCGGCTGGGCCTTCGTCTTGACGGCATGCCGATGCAAGGGTCTCGGAGCCTTCCCTCCCGCGTGGCTGTGAGCCTGGCCCTCCCCTTAATAATAGAGAATGTACACACATTTGCCCCAACAACACCACGCATGTAGTTTGGTTGGCGCGGCTGGTCGACCACGCTCCCTAATAATTTAGTTACCTAACTTTGATTTTTGGGTCCAAATCATCTCTTTCGAAATGGTGGCTAGAGGGGGTCTGATGTAAAAGTGTCACTCATGGCAGCACAGCATGAGAGACGTTTGGTCGTATTAGCATCTTGTAAGTAACAAGATGTATTGATTTTGTTGTATTCTAGTGTCGTATTTAATTACATGATAAATTTTGAGGTTCTTGGCAATACTTCTCCTCTCTTGCTCAATTTCAACTATATAATCTGGGGCAAAGTCCTTCTTCAAATGGTCTCTTTGAAGTGGAATCGGCAAACCTGAGAATATACATAGACGTGTGTTTATCAGATGTTATGAATTGTCTCGGTGTATAAGCTGGCGTTCGGCGATCTCTGCTTGCAGGCATGGACGCCTTAGGAAAGATGTAGTAAATTGGGCGCGATGCAGTGCGACGATCATGACATCCAAGTGACGTGACTTTGTGTTCAAAAGGGCCACGTACCGGATCGAGTATGTATCATACATAGCATGCATGGTTGCGCACCTGTGAGCCGCCGCCAACACAACTTTGTCCCATTGTTGGTGGTGATGGCGAGTGAACATGACCTGGAAGGTCAGAAGTTGTGAGAATAGAGAAGCTCGTGGGAACGGATAGAACGAGCTTGCCCCATCTCTAGTAGGCTAAGAGACGATCACATCACATGCTCAGGTCGATGGGATTCTGGCTTGTTTGCTGAACACCGAGAAGATTTTGCCCACTGTATGGAATTGAGTCCTACTCTGCTGCTTCCCCCCTCCCCCCCCCCCTCTCTCTTCCTCTCCCTCTCCCTCTTTATTCTCTCTCTCATACACACACACACACACACACCATCATCATCATCATCATCTCTCTGCCTTGTCATCACCTTTGGTACACTATGATCCAGTGGGAGCTGTTGGATCAGACCAACAACATCCTGTTCCGGCAAGTATTTATTGTAATGACTGACAACCAACCGCATGATATATTTCCCCTGACCATGCGGCTGAGAGGACAGCCAATCTGCGAGGCATAACATGGACTAGGCTTGTAACACAGAAGACTAGACCAGGTCCTGTCTGTATCTGTGTGTTTATCCCATGCTAAGACGAGAAAAGAGGCCGGGACCGGCGGGAACGTTTGAGAGGCCGGGTCCAGCCGAATTGTTACAGGTGTCTCTTGGAGAGTCAAGCATAACAATCTGATGTGAACAGGGCGTCCATTAGCCTGGAAGCAATCAAGCAGTAACTGCGCCATGTTCACCTCTTGATCGTGTGGCCACCTCTGCCGGACCGCTCAATGAAAGCCCTGCCGCCATCACGCTGTGTGGTTTTTCTCGCCGGACAGCGGACCTTGTCTTGGTCACTCTCACCGAGACTGTCCGTTTCTTTGAGAGACGTTATTACCGGCGCTATTTAGAACGGTTGGCTTTCCAGGCAGGGATTTGCCTACTTCTCCCATACGGACGTAAGGCCCTTTGTGAGAAAAGGGCCTTGATTCAAGAGACAAGCATTCGTCTTGTTGGGGCCCTCAAAGTGATGGTGTAATTGACAGGAGCTAAATAAGCGACCTTTTCAGGTCACATCGCAGGCTTGATGCGTATGCGTGATGAAGGAGGCGAGGTGTCATGTCCAATGACAAGACGCAGTGTGTACCGATGGAGAGGAGCCGATGGTGACCAAAATCTTTTTACATTCATATGTTGGCCGTGAACTCGCCAGGGATGGCATGTAAACTATTTCTCCACGGAACAGCGATGGCCCATGCAAGCAAGACCGGTCCTCCTTCATGTTCTATGTCGATCTTAGTTCACCGTCGCCCAGCAGTCAAGCTCTGGAGGAATAGCTGCGTGTCCTCTGACTGGCTGAAATGCGAGAGAGCAGGCAAGGCGATCTGGTTAGGTCTGTTGTCGAGGACATAGTATTGTGTACAAGCGCGCAAAATCTCTCCGGGTATCGCCCAGTCCGGTCCTGTCAAGATCGCGTGGGCCCAGCGGGGCTACCACAACCTGCGCATCATCGCTTTCTGCCAAACGAGGCCAAGCTTCAGCCCTGGGCCGCCATCATACGGACGTACCTAGAACACACATGTCATGTGCTTCTGCATGACCACCTACAAAACCTTTTCACTGTGCCTTCTCGGTTGTTGGGAGGTCACAATCAGGGCGGTGCAGGGAGTAGACCGCAAACGGCAGAGCGAGCTTGTCTTGCGAAGTGGCAAAGACTGGCACTGTAAGGTAATAATATGTCCCTCGAGTGGTGAGTGCCTGCCCCTGGAGCTTCGATTCTGACCAGGGCAGGGCTGGACGACAAAGACACGGGACTTGGGTGACCATCCCGTAAGGAGCCAAGTCCCGATTTCCCGAAACTGCAAAGCTCCTCTGCCCGTGGACGTTGTAGTGAGCTCTGAGAGTAGTAGCGTATCATCAGAGTAAACCTCAAGTCTTTGTTGATTTGCTTCTGATAGTAGGCGCTGTGGGGGAGTGGCTTCCAGCTGGGATAGACGTGGTATTGGGTTCTTACCCACAACCTGCCGTCCATGGACCAGGTCTGGATCAAGACGTGGAGCGTCGTTGGTAGAGGAGGCCGGGATGAAGCAGATGGAGGATACTTCTGCGCAAGACCTCCAGCAAGTGATCTGTGGGACAGCACAGGGCATGGACTGAACACTGGTCCCTTGAGCCCCCTCCCCCCTTCCCCACCCACACTGCTCATCAAGCGCTGCATTGTGGTGAAAGCGATTTATTCACCTGTCAAATCTGTCTGTGTTGGCCTGCATACAAGGCAATCTTGAGGTGCCCTGATTGCGCTAGAGGACGCACAAGCTTGAACTTACTCCCCGTGGATCCTTGAGAGCCGTTGATGGTCTAAACGGCGTCAGCCATGCCGGACTCGCCGGCTTCTGGCATTCTCAAGAAAGCATGGAGTGCCATCCTTTCACAGACAGCAAACCTTGCCCAGTCAGGGAATTAGTCGCGACCCACTGCAATTGTGGTATATGATTCAAGATCGTAGCTCCGTTTGCTGGGCAAAGCTGTAGGTAAGAGCACGGGCACCTGGACTCCTTTCTGGCTAACGTATTGGTGCCAAGATCTGTGATCATCACAAAGCGTCTCTGACCTGAAAGCTAAAGAGCGATCGGTAGATCTCTCCAATATGAGTGCCAGGGAAGAAGGAAAAGGCCACACCGGGGGGGGGGGGGGGGCGGATGGGATAGAGCACGGACTGGTGCCCAGGCTCAACGGTCGTTGTGTTAAACGCTTCCAACTGCATCCCTCCCTCTGGTTGATGGCCCTTGTCACCCTCTCAAAGCAGCATGCTTGCATCCCTGCCCTTTGCCCTGTACCAACCATGTGCCATGGTCTGCTTGAATGCGGAAAACACGTCGTGTAGTCCTACAAATCCTCCATCCTCTTCTTGTCTAAACTTCTTTCGTGCCCATCCCTAAGCTCGACAGGCTCTCACGGCAAGCTTCTCAGCCACCGTATCGGCCTGGATCTCCGGTCTGGTGGATCCCTGCCAGATCTGCGTGCACGCGGGTCGATATAAAGTCGAGGTCATCCTCGCCTGCTTGCCTTGAGACCTCGACAACAGAAAGAACGTTCCATACCTCCACGACTCCATTTAGAGAAGTGTCTCACCACGGCATTCTCCAGCTTTGGTTCCTTGCTCACTTGTTTGCTCTATCTCCTCCCTCGAGCAGCCAGCATACCGTCGTTCCCCTTCCTCTCATAAAGATCCCAAGTGCCGTCGTCGCCCGTATTGGCCCCTTCACGGCTCGTCTTCTCGTTTGCATCTTGGCGTCTTCCAAGCTCACCAATAGACGTCGATCCCGACCAGAGACCACAGTCCAAGATGGCTTACAACACGCCCTCGCCGTCAGAAACCAGCAGCAACTGGAGCGGAAGCTTCAACGACTGTGATATCAGCGGCACAAGTTCCATCAACAACACCACAGGATGGAACGGGCATGACATCGATCTGCCCTTGACACCTCCCGTACCGGCCACAGCTCTTTCTGAAATTCTTTCTGAATATCCAGACCCCACCGTGACTTCGGCTCCCCACGCTGTCACGGCGCCTGACATCGCAAGCCCCACCACTTTATCATCACCAGTCTCTTCGACTAATTCAATAGCTGCGCGTGGGCAGCGATATGCCAAGGATGATGACTGGTTTCGATTCCGTCACCTGATCTCAACACTGTACAAGACCAAGCGTCTCACGGATGTGATGAGCATCATGAAGGCAGAGCACGGCTTTGTGGCCACGAAGAGGATGTACAAGGCACGGTTCAACCAGTGGGGCCTGAAGAAGAACGTGACGGCACCAGAAGTGCACAAACTGTTACAGAAGGTGAAACAGCACCTGAAGTTTCTGCAGCAGCAGGCTCAGCACGGAGGGCTTCCACAAAGTGATTACAGAACGACAGTGATGGACGTTCTCGACTGCGCAGATGTGAAGAGGATCCAGAAGTACATGAAACGCGATCCTATCGGGCTGGACAAGATGAAGAAGGATCCCAGCAACCCGCTCGATCTCATCAGGGCTCTGACTGTCGACACTGGAAGAGGACGTCCCGGGCGGGCAGCAAAGGTGACGATGCCGACAGCCACACCGAAGCAGCAACAGCAGCAGCAGCAGCCGCTGCCACAGTTTCACTTGTTGAATCGGTCTCATCAAGACATGGCCTTTTCCTGGTCACCGGTCTCCAGCGTGGGAGAAGGACAGCCTCAGAGCATGGAGCTGTTCCCACGCGTTGCTGACCATGGGTTCCATTCGCCATACTCGTTCACCGGCTCTCCTCTTGCCCTCTCCCCAGGACCTTCCCCTCAGTGGCAGGATCAGCACCTAAGCCACAGCACGAGCCCGATGCTGGGATCGACGAGCACCTCGCCACTCGATCATGGCCTGGCTCAACACCATCACCACCAGATCATGACACCTCTGGACGATGTTCATGGGCACATGGCCATCTCCGAAATGAGGTCCAACCCGGCCTGGACGCATACGTCAGGACAGGCCCACAACCAGACACTGCCTACTACCGTGTGGCATGTCGCAGGTGGGATGATGGATTCTAGTGATGCGAGTCTGTACAATCCTTCTTCTTCCTTCTGAGCTCTTCGCTTTGTGGTATTTGATGATCATGGCAAGGGGGTAAACTCAAGGGTGAAATGAAATCTATCGTGGGAAGGAAGGCTGGCGTTAAGGCGTCAGTGTGGGTGAAGCCAGAAGCAGAGTAATTAATCTGTGTGAGTGAGTGTTTGTGTATGTACGGATATAGAATATTCGAGTCAAGCATAATGTCTCGTTTACCACTTGAGGTCCATTTAAGGTTTCGATCTGGATTTGTTTCTGTTGTTGTTTTGTCTTTGACAGTTGCCAGAGCTGAGTCATGACGTCGCCTACACCCATGAAGTGAGGACGAACCCTTGAGGCCTTTGACGGCCCTAGGACTGCTAGGGTGAGCCCCCCGGCTCCTGCCTCCATTTGATAACACACCCCCTCGCCTAACCCTTGGGGCCCCACCTTGGGGAAGGAAGCATTCAGGTACTATGGTACCTGCAGCAGGTAGTTCGTTAGCAATCCCCGCAATCGGAGCTCTGACGAGAACAAAATTCCCCAGAGTTGGTGCTCAGTTGCGCTGTGCTCTGACACGCCCACGACCCGCTCTTGTATGTATTACTGATCAGTTCTCAATCTTCCTTTCGATCTGACCTGACGAGAGCATTCTTCTTCGAGCTTGTTGGCTTGTTTTTCTCTGCAACTTTATTCTGGTTCTGCAATCGAGCAGTCAAAGACGGCGACAGGGACGAGACATTAGACAAGACGACACCACTTGACCTAGTCACGATGCCTTCTTTTCCTCCCCCTCCCTCCAACACCCTTGACTGGGCCAACATTGGCTTCAGGATGCGAGAAGGCAAGCAGCTGAACCTTATGAGCACGGATGCCGTCTAGACACTCTGTCGTTCCCCCGCAGCTAACACCTTCATCAACCTATCTCTCGTATAGTCAATGGCCACATCGAGTCCCACTACTCGCACAAGACGGGGCAATGGACGCCTCTCCAATTTGTGACCGATCCCTATATCCGCATGCACGGCATGGCACCTGCGCTCAACTACGGTCAACAGGCCTACGAGGGTCTAAAGGCGTTCCGCACGCCTGGAGACAAGGCTATTCAAATTTTCCGGCCAGACCGCAATGCAGTCCGCATGCAACACAGTGCTGAATTTGTCTCCATGCCTCCCCTCCCTGTGGAGACCTTCATCGATGCCTGCCGCGCCGCTGTCGCCCTCAACGCCGAATGGGTTCCTCCTCATGATACAGGCGCCGCCATGTACGTCCGCCCGCAGATGTACGGGTCGAGCGCACAGCTGGGCCTCACCCCGCCTGAGGAGTACACTTTCTGCGTTTATGTGCTTCCCACGGGTGTGTACCATGGCCTGCACCCTGTGCGGTGCTTGATCCTCGATGACTTCGATCGCGCTGCGCCCAACGGAACAGGAAGTGCCAAGGTTGGTGGGAATTATGCACCCGTGTTGAGGTGGACAGACAAGGCTCGCTCCGAGGGCTATGATATTACCTTGCATCTGGACAGCGCCACGCATACCGAGATAGATGAGTTCAGCACCAGCGGGTTCATCGGTGCTCTGGTTGATGGCGACAGCGTCACCATTGTGGTACCTGACTCAAACAATGTCATCAACAGCGTCACGAGCGAGAGTGTCCAGGGCATTGCAGAAAGCTTTGGGTGGAAGGTTGTGAAGCGTCCGGTACGTTCTGTCCAGCACCAAAATACGTTTGAGAAGAAGGGAAGGAGTAAGTAGTTGCTGACGCGGCGACCACCAGATCAAATACGCAGAGCTTGCCGACTTCGCAGAGGTCATGGCGGCTGGAACGGCCGCGTCTCTGGTCCCTATCCGGTCCATCACACGGCGCATGACCGCGTCAGATCCTAAATCTCTGGCGGCTACCGTGCGTTCTCACCCCCGCCTATCAATTGATACGGCCAAGGGTGAGGAGACCATCACCTATATCCCAGACACGCAGGAGGACGCCGGTGCCCTGTGCGTGAAGCTGCTGTCTCAGCTCAAGGCGATTCAGATGGGCAAGGTTGAAGACAAGCTTGGCTGGTGCGTGACTATCTCCGATGAGGACCGGAGAAAGGCTGCAGGCCACGAAGTCGTCACAAACGGGGAGAATACCGGCGAGGTGAGCATTGGTCAGATGGACTAAGAACGCGGTTCTCGCCATTTGTCTTGACCGCTACCATTCTTGGGTATCAAAGACAGCAAAAGGAAAAAGAGTCACGGCCATCAATGGGGTTCGTAGAGCAGCCTGTCCACGCGGAATTTTTTAAAAAGAAATAGAACTTGACACGGGATGTATTAGCACCATACACCTCCGAGGGGTCTGGCATTTAATCCAGGGACAGAATTCGGAGGACACCAGATAAAAATTGAGGCAACACTGCGCATCTTTGATCGAGACCACAGCGGGTTATCCAGGGGGACCAAGTGCAACTTTATGACAACTATACAATCGACAAGGGCACAGTCGCTGTTCTCCATAACAAGGCACAAATCCGTCTGGCTTGTTCATGTCTGCCCAATACTGGGTGATGATCAGTCAAAGTCTACTTGTACTGCAGTCCCGAGGCTCAGGCCCCGCAGACCCCACCGCGCCTCGGCTCGTCCCTTTTCTGCAATCCGATGGGTCGCATGGTTCTATCGAGACGACGGGCCATAGCAAAGTACCGTACACACACATGCCACTCTACACACGAAAACTTTGTGCACCTCGCATCTCTTTTCCTGCACACCGACACACGCACCCACGCGCGCGCGCACGCACGCACACATACACAGAGTTATACACACGTGCCACGTGCCACGTGCCACAGGCTCCTACCATCGGCCGTCCGTCACACGTCGAAACGACAGATCCGGTCAGCTACAGGGACAAGGGGAAGGATTCAAGCTGACCGTTTCAAGAGGCCATTATCTAGGCAAGGGTCTGGATCTTTTTATGTCCACGGGCTATAATCTCACTGCATCAAAGATTCAAGGCAGGTAAGCAAGCAGATCTGACAAGCACCGATTGCAAGTGGGAAGGACCAGGACCAATCGAGCTCACACGTTCACTTCCGGTCCGCCATCAACAGTGCTGTGAGAAGTCAACCCCCTGCTCTCCTTATCTCGACTCATGCAGAGAGCATGCACAAGACGGCATTGCATTCTACTAATTGTTATTTTCCCCGAGTTTGCGCGCGTTGCGCTCCATACACTCCATATTTTAGAGTTCGAGGTTAGCTTCAGGGTCGCTGTCTCTTTAGGTTTTCGATAGCTGGGTGGGAACTCTTGCGCGGCCTCCAAGAGCAATGAATCGTGAGATTTGCTGCTCGAGCCATCGGTGTTTGAGAAACATGAACCCTCTCATTACTTGGGGCCGGCTCACACAAACCTGCCTCTGCAGGGCAAGTCCTGAAGCCAATGGCAAGGTGGGAAGATCAAGCCTTGTGCCGCCCCGACCAACATCACTTCACTTACTGTGGTGCACTACTACAACTGCGGCTGGTTTCTTCTTTCTTTTCCAGAAGTTGATTTTTTTTTTTTTTTTGATTATTGCTTTGATTCATTTCATCTTTGTTCATCTCATCTCATTCGCTGACTGCTGTTAGCGGCGGCTTTGGGATGAAGGCTCCCTGATTGGCAAGCTGATCTTTGATTTATTCTTGGAGTCAGGATATTCCTTCTGCCAAGCTCATCATGCAGGCTCCCAACTCGACACAACTTGGCGCCTTGTTCGGTTCTTATGTTTGAGTGGTGTCAGGGCAGCAACCTCAGGAACCAACAGGAATCAGGAACATGCCATTGGACCAAAGGACTCACCTCCTCCAGACAGGATCTCATCAGAGGGATCATGCACAGTAAGCTGTGGCAGGGCTATAAAATAGCAGCGGCAGGATGAAGAGAGTTGAGGGGGGCGGGGCGCTTGGGGAGAGGGGGGATCCCACCATGCCCAAATCTAACGCCACCGCCTGCGTGTGTATGTGGTGAATTTTTTGCACCGCCCCAGCTTGCCATTCCTCAAACAGATCAGGACTACGCTGGCTCATCCCACCAATCTGCTAAATCCGGCATTTTTTTTTTTTTTGGGCTGCAGCCTTCACATGCCGCGCCGCCACCTGTATGCGAGTGAGAGCCAGAACATGGGCGCGGCCTAGGTTCAGGGTCCTTGGAACGAGCGGCTCAACCGTGGCATTGCTTATGTCTCTCCTTAGCAAAGATGGTATGGGTTTTACTGTACGGCTGGATACTGGATGACCTTCTCTTCACCACCAATCCACGCTTGCTCTGGGATGAGGAATCCCTCTCAGCCCATGGCCCTAGTGCACCTGTCGTGCCATCGTTCGTTACCCTTTCCGTTATCGATTCTCCCCTGTCGGAAGAAGTAGAGAACCCTCATCCTTCTTGTCCCTTTTTTTTTTTCTTTCTTTTTTTTCTTTCTTTTCCTTCTTCTCCTCTTATCCTATCTAACCTTAGTGCTTCGAATCTGGTACTCAGCCCCGGCTAGAAATTTCCATAAGATCCAGCAAGGACGCCGCCAGATCGACGAGACGAGGTATCGCGTTGCTCCATCATGGTTATTACTATGCTCAAATATCCCTCAAGGTCCCCACAACTTACCCTGAGCGCCTCCTACCACGGCTAAAGTTGTATATACTATAATCCAGAGGGACCAATCGTCTCCGACCGCACATTACTTGTGCAAGCGAGCGAACTGTTTGACGAATTTTGATTCCAACACAGCCCCTGCTCGCATTACGGATAAAATTATCAAAGTTGGTCTATAGCCTCTGGGCTTCGTCCGACCGGCGCATTTGTTGCGTCGAGCGAAACCTCCTCCTCAAGACCCTCTTCTGTCGCTGGTTTGTGGGCTCTGAAGGCATTTTCACCACTACAAGCACAGCCAAACACACACACACACACACACACAAAAGCACCATGGCAGACTCATTATCGCCGCGGCCAGATGGCCAGTCGCCCAATCCAGAGGCCGTCTCATCACCAAATCCCCAAAGCACGTTCTCACCAAATCCAAATGCGCCTACGCCTAATCCCAACCTGCTCTCACCAAACCCAAACGCCTTCTCGCCCCGGCCTGACTCCATGGTACCGCTCTCGCAGCCAGCCACAATCCGTATCGCAGACGACGTGCATCCCAAAGATCTACGGCTCTCCGAGTCCGAGTCGCGATTCCGGCCGCTGACGAGAACCGACACGACGGCGCTTGCGGGCGGTATCTACTCGACGCGCGCTCTCTCGCGGGCGACGACCCAGCGCAGCATCTCGCTCGACAGGCACCGCACCGACGCGTTCGAGGAGGAGGGCGACAACTGGCGGGAGAGCGAGAAGCCCAAGGTCAAGCAGATCTACAAGGGCACCACTCTGCTCTGGCTGGCGTACCAGTCTGTCGGCGCCATCTATGGCGATATCGGCACCAGTCCTCTCTACGTTTTCTCGTCAACCTTCACCAAGGACCCGGACTATGACTCTGTGATCCAGGTGCTGTCGCTGGTTTTGTGGTCCATGTCGATCATGGTTACATTCAAATATGTCTTTATCATTCTTCGCGCGGATAACGAGGGCGAGGGTGGCACGTTCAGCTGCTACTCTCTCCTCACTCGATTTGTAAGCTTTCCTCTTTTATTCTCTGACGGGATTTATTGTTGTTTTTGTTATTATTCTTTCCCTGGACTGACACGACACGCTTCTTCTTCTTCTTAGGCAAACCTTACAGAGCGCGATCCTCGCGAGGCGCCATTGATTCACATGGAACGGCATCTGACAGGCAACTTGAGACCCGCAAATGGAAAGATCCGTTCGGCCATTGAAGAGAGCAGGTTCTTCCGAGGTCTCCTCAAGACAATTGGCGTCCTCGCGGTATCCATGGTCTTGTCCGATGGCGTCCTCACACCAGCGCAGTCGGTCCTCGGCGCCGTTCAGGGTCTCAACGTGGTCAAGCCTGATATCAGCAGCTCCACGGTTGTGGGCACGACCTGCGGCATCATTATCCTGCTCTTTGCGATCCAGCCGCTGGGCCTGTCTCGGCTGGCCAGCATCTTCGCCCCCATCGTCATCCTGTGGCTCGGGTTCAACGGCGGCTTTGGCATCTACAACCTCGTCAAGTACGACTATACCGTTCTCAAGGCCTTCAACCCTTACTACGCCTTCCAGTTCTTCATCGTGAACAAGACCGAGGGCTGGAAGATGCTGGGCGGTGTCCTGCTCTCCTTCACGGGTGTCGAGGCCTTGTTTGCTGACCTGGGTGCCTTCTCGATGAGGGCAATTCAGCTGAGCTGGATGTGCTATACGTACCCGTGCCTGCTGCTGGCGTATACTGGACAGGCTGCGTACATCAGCGCGCACCCTGCGGCATGGTCAAACCCTTTCTACAACTCTGTGCCCCCTGGCATGCTGTACCCGAGTCTGGTTGTTGCGGTGCTGGCTGCGGTTGTTGCCTCGCAGGCCATCATCACAGCCACGTTCCAGGTAAGTTTCTTTGCTCGTAAAAAGAGAACCCGAACCTTCAATACTCAGATCTGAGCCTGTTTGCTAACCAACTGTGTTTCGTTGTCCACAGCTCATCAGCCAGATCATGAAGCTCTCGTACTGCCCGCAGGTCAAGGTTGTGCACACCTCCAAGACGTTCCACGGACAGCTCTACGTGCCCTTTCTGAACTGGCTCCTCATGATCGGCACCATCCTGGTCACGGCCATCTACTCCAACACGACGCGCCTGGGGAACGCATACGGCGTGTGCGTCATGTTTGTCACCTTCTTCGACACGTGCATGGTCACCCTCGTGGCGCTCATCGTGTGGCGCATCTGGCCGTGGCTGGTCATCCTCCCCTGGCTCTTCTTTGTGCTGCACGACGGCCTGTACCTGTCCTCGGCGCTGAACAAAGTCCCCGACGGCGCGTGGTTCACCCTGACGCTGTCCGCCATCCTGGCCTCGCTGTTCTTGCTCTGGCGGTTTGGCAAGGAGAACCAGTGGAAGGCCGAGGCGGAGGACCGGTTCAAGCTCAACAACCTCGTCATGAAGGACGCCGAGGGCAAGCTGCGCCTGACGCCCAAGTGGGGCGGCGACCAGCTGTCGCAGATCCGCGGGCTGGGCATCTTCTTCGACAAGACGGGCGTCATGACGCCCTCCGTGTTTACGCAGTTTGCCTCCAAGCTGGTGGGCGTCATGGACGTGACCGTCTTCTTCCACCTGCACCCTGTCGAGGCGCCCACGGTGCCGGACGACCAGCGCTACTCCGTCTCCAAGTTCACCACCATCCCGGGCTGCTACCGCCTCGTGGTCAAGCACGGCTTCATGGACGAGGTCATCTCGCCCGATCTGGCGGCCCTCATCTACGAAAAAGTCCGCGCCTTCATCATCCGCCAGGCCCGCTCCGGCGAGGCCCTCCCCGACGGCGAGAGCGAAATCGACTCGGCCTCCAGCGCCATCGAGAACGTCGAGAGCCCCACCAACGACAACAGCCCGTCCACCGCCACCACCACCAGCGCCGACGTCGCCGTCCTCAAGAACGGCATGCTCTCGCCAACCCACGTCCCTCTGCCGCAGACCCCCGCCGCCCCTCACACCCCCGCCATCTCCTTCACCCTCGACAACACCACCGCCACCGACGACTCCTCCTCGCCAGGCGAACGACGTGTGCCCGTCTCTCCGCCCTCCCCTGCGCCCCCTGAGAAGCAGCAGCTGCCTGTCGAGCTGCGCGATGAGGTCGTCGCTGCCGAGCTGGCCAGGCTCGACAGGGCGTATGCTGCCAAGATCATGTACGTCGTCGGCAAGGGCCAGATGAAGATCCGTCCCGAGAGCAGGATCCTGAGGCGGGCGGTGCTGTCGCTGTTTCTGTGGATTCGGGAGAACACGCGGGGCAAGATTGCGAACTTGAGGCTGGCCCATGAGCGTGTGATGGAGGTGGGCTTTGTCAAGGATATATGATGAGATGGAAAACATCACAGATCATTTGCTTGGTTGTGCAAGGGGTGGTTGTGTGATGGGCGGTGATGGCGTTTCTGTGCGTATTTGTATATGAAAGTTGAACAACAAAAGAGATAAAGAAGAGGATAAAATGGATTTGGAATGGGGCGCAATAGGGCTGCCAAGATGCATATATTGTATTGTATTGTATTGATACACATACATAACTTTTACGATCTAATGAATGATCCATCACAACAACCATTTTATTTCATCAGTATCGAAATCGAGTGACCCAAATGGGGGGGAGGGGGTATCAAATTTTCAGTATGTTTCTTTTCTTTTCCCATTCCTCTTCTAATCATCCCATTTCTGTCTTTCTCTCTCTCTCCTCTTCTATTTGAAGCCACCCCCACTCATCAGTTCCTCCATAACCTCACCGCCTTGTCCCTCCCACCACTGCCAACCTTTTGTCCATCCGGGCTCCAGTCCACAGCGTACACCTCATCGTCGTGGCCCGGTAAATCCTCGGCGAGCTTGCATGTCCGCACGTTCCAGACCTTGAGGGTGTTGTCCTTGGAACAGGTGACGAGGAGTCTGCTGTCGGCGGAGAAGGCGCACTGGTAGACGTGGGCGACGTGACCGCGGAGGGTATTGACGAATTTGCCGTCACTAATTTTCTCTTAAAGTCAGCTTGTTGTTGTCAAGAGTGTGAAGGGTCGGGCCAAAAGAAAGACAAGAAAAAAAGAAAGGAAGAGAAGAGACGTACCGTCCTGACCACAGCTTTGTATGGTTGTCAAAGCCACAACTCGCAATGGCGCTGCCGTCGGGTGAGAAACACACGTGGTTCACCTGCTTCTGGTGGCCCAACATCCTCGCGACGGGCTTCTTGCCCGCGTTGACCGGATCCCACAGGAACATGGTGAAATCGTCACTGGCACTGACGACTCTCTCGACAATCTTGTCGCCCTGCTGCTGCTGCTGCTGCTGTGCCGCCGCCGCCTTCTCAAGCCTCTCCTTTGCCTTTTGCCTCTTGCCCTCGTCGGTGTCTGGAACATCCCTCGTGTGATCGTAGTAGCCTGTCCGCAGCACAAAGTCGGTCGAGAGGGCGAGGTGGTTGACCCAGTGCGCATGTGCCTTCAGCTCGTGCACCAGCGTTCCCTTGACGGCATCCCACACGCGCACGCTCTTGTCGTGCGAGCCCGTGTAGATGGCGCCGGTCCCCTCACCCCCCACCCCCCACCGCACGCAGGTGACGCTCCCCTTGTGGCCGCTCAGCACATGCTCGGTCCGCCCTGTGTTGACCACCCACACGCGCACCGTGCTGTCCTTGCTCGCGCTTGCCAGCCTCGCGGTGCCGTCCCGCCACAGGTGGAAGGGCTCCCACGCCAGCTGCAGCGTCGGCTTGGTGTGGCCCTTGAACCCGTCCCCGATCTGTCGGCCCGAGAGCGGGTCCCACACGCGCACGGTGCCGTCCATGCTGCAGGTGGCCAGCCGTGACCCGTCGGGCGCCCACGACACACCCAGGACCCAGCCCGTGTGGCCCTTGAGGGTGTGCTTGGGCGTGCCGGTGTTGGTGTCCCATATGCGGGCGGTCTTGTCGCCAGAGCCGGTGGCGAGGAGGGAGGACGAGGCCGGGGAGAACTGGGCGCAGAGGATGGCCTCGCCGTGGCCTGGGATCTTGGCGGCGAGACGCGTGACGCTCTGGACCTTGAAGACGGCCTGGGGCTCGGCAGCGAGGGTGACAGTCGTCTCGAAGGGGTTCGTCACGCCGTGGCTTCGTAGGAGGGCCAGCAAGTCCGTCGGGTACTGGTCCACCACGATTTCGGTGCCGGGGATGTGGATTCTGAACCGGTACGGCAAGAAGTCCTCCCTGTCGCGGCCCAGGAGGGTGTTGAGGAGGAGGGACACATTCTTCTCGGAGGCGTCGGCGAGAGGGATCTCGATGGCGTCGGTCATCTGGGCGCCAGCGCTGTCGATGAAGCGGGCCTTGAAGGAGCCATTGTCCGGCGGTAGAATCGCGCTGATGTCGGCCTGGGTTGTGGTACGGGCGAGGTCTTCACGACGCTGCCGTTTTGAAGGCGGCGGGACCACGGTTGCCATTCTTCTTGTGCTGTGGAAGGGTGAAGAGGAAAAGGAGGAGGAGGAGGAGGAGGGAGGAAAGTGAGAGACGAGGAGAAGGAGAGGGAGAAGGGAAGAACTAGCAAGAATAAAGGGAGGACAATGCAGTAGAAACTTGAAAAGGAACAACAAGTGTTGTGTGAATAAAGTGAGAGCTGGTTCCTTTTCCCTTCGAACTCTTCGAACTTGGGATGATCGAGTGTTTGATGGATGGTCACTTTCTAGGTACCAAATCGCAATCAGAGGAGATTCCAACTTTTTTCTCTTATCCTTATCAATAACCCCTCGGCGTTCTGGAGAATCAGTGCAGGGGGGAACCTCGAGCCCGTCTAGCCCCTCTCCACAGGGGCAAGGTTGTGTCCCGCACCACCTGCAGCTAAGTGCTAGGGCACCTGGATAGGCTCGGCAGGTCACTGAGATTCAGCCCTACAGATCAACTAGGCTGAGTGGCTTCAGGGAACGTTCAACTCCATATATGATGGCCTCACTGTTCGGGATGGCTGAGTAAATGAACAAATACCTTGCAAAGGTGTAGAGTATATAAGTGAGAGAGAAACATCAATAAAGATCAGATCTTTTCCTGTAGTCTCTCATTTCTTCTTGTTTGCCCTAAACGCCACTGCGGTATCCAAATGAAATCCATCAGTCACAAAACTTCAAGCAAACCAAAGAGAGCCCAAGAGAAATCCTCATGCACACAACTAACAACCACTAGATTTCATCCAGCGGCCCAAAGAAATCAAACAGATCGCCCAACGCCCTCAAAATGCATCCCTCATATCTTCCCATGCGCACACCGTGCTCAGGATCTCGTTGACCTCTACCATCATCTCATCGACCCCCTCGTCCGGCCCGCTCATCACGTCCAACCCCATTGTCGCCGTGGGAATAATACGAAGCTCGTCGCCGACCATAATACGTCTCAGCCTCACTGTCTATGTCTGCTAATGAATCCTCATCCTCCTCCTCGAGAACCCGCTGCTCCGTGTGCACGCTGCGGCTCCGCGTGCGGCCTCTCTCGACGGTGCTGGTGCTGCGAGAGCGGAAGGAGTCTGGACGGGAGCCAGTGCCCTCGCGGTGGTGGCTGCTGTGACGCGAGCTGTGACGCGAGCCGTAGCGCCCGCGGTCCTTCTCTGAGCCATCGAACTCGTCACTCTTGGGCGTGTACTCGAGCTCGCCCTTGTACGGAGAAGGGAGGGCGTGCGCATAATAGTAATCCCTCTGGGCTTTGGCCGTGTCTACCTTTTTGGGACGCCGCCTCTCCGCCTCCTGTTTCTCCTCCCATTCCTCCACCGTGTACGCAGGGGGCGGGCCTCTCGACGACTGTCTCCTGTCTGCAGAGTGTGCCCGCCGGTGCGTTGTCCTCTTCTCGTCCGTATAGCTTGAACTCTTGTTGGTATACGTGTTGCGCCTGGTGACGCGCGCCTTGTCACGGTAGACCAGGTTGACATGCTCACGGATCTTGCGGAGCTCCATCACTGGGAAAACACGTCGGGTCAGCAGGTGGAACGATGGCTCGCCCGGGCTCTTTAGATGTCGAGGTACTACTTACTGTCCTTCTCTGCAAGTGCGCCCAGGAACCTGTCGTACCACTGGTCAAAGGTTCGTCGGTTCATGAGACCGTCCAGGTGGACAGATCGGAGGTCCTTGAGCAGTGCCCTGGCATACTGGTCCAGGCGCTTCTCTGCGTCCTTCTTCTTGATCATGCGCGACAGCTCCCATCCCGACTTGACAGCCGTCATGATACTGCCACAGGCAGCTATCGTGGTGATGGGTGGGAGAGGCATCTTGAGATGTCAAATCAAACCCTGGATTCTGGTGTGTTGAAGGAGGGAAACCAAATTGTATTGTGTCCCCAACGCGGAGGACGAGGACGATGAGCCCAGAATTGGCGGGAAAAAGAAAAGAAACCTATGACACACTCTCGACTGCAGACGGTAAAGGCTGGAAGGGGAATTGGGGGGTGAAGCCACACACCATGTATAAGAAGAGAACATGCAGCATCTGGAGCAGAAAGACAGCATCTAAGGTTTGGTTGAGAGTAAGCGGGCCTCGCCTGGAAGATATTCGAGGGCCCCCCGCAACAGCACCTCCGACCAGGAGAAAGGACCATATGCAGGTCTGTAGCACACCTTGACACAGCCAAGCAAGCCTCCTCCCCTGCTTCCTTCCCAGGCCAACTACATGGCGTTCTCTGCCGTTGTGGACAGCAGCTTGGTCGTTTTGTTTCGGTGGCCTGTCCTCGGGCCTGCCACGTCGATTCGACAAAGAAGGATGGCACCAAGTGACAGAATATTTCCCTGGCCAACAAAGTGAGTCCAAAGTCATGCTGTCTCTTGCCGCCTCCGACTGGCCTGGTTGGCCGTCCGCCCGACGTCTCGGATCGGGTCTCCCAGGTCGCGGCCCAGCCCGGATGACACCAAACATTGATGATCATCCTTCCGCAGGGGCTGCTAAAAATAGGATCCACAACTTTTTGGATCGACGACAGCACTTCTTCAACTCTGCCAGTTGTACACAGTACTTTTGCTCTCTCTCTCTCTCTCTCTCTGCCTTTCTGTTTGTTTCGGCTGACGCTTTAGCCATCCAACCGACCGAACATGTTGTTTGGAGTTGTTGACCAGGTTTGCGGAGCGGTGAGACGAGAAGAGGTTCTGGGAATAAATAAGACCCACGTCTATTTGCTAACAGCCATGTGTGGAACACGGTCACACCGCAATCACTGGCAAACCGTAAGGACAGCCAGCCTGATCATTTGCCGGCTTTGGATTTGTTCTGGCTGGGCGACTGAGGTTTGGAGGTTGCAGAGCTGAGTAGACCAGCCTTGGACCGCTCATATCGAAAAGAAAAGGAACAGATTAGTAATGAACATGGCATCAATTGAGCCTATAGCCATATGTATCTTAATAAGTGCTGAATATTGCGAAGGTGCTAGCTGGGTGGAGGGCTGGTTGGGTCCCTTTTGGTGCCATGGCACATAGTACAGTATGTGCTGGAAAGGGGAAGGTCACTGTGGCTTCGGGGCTTTGGGGCCGAGGGGAGGGGGGGCTCGAGGGCAGGAGCAAGCGGTCCGTGGGGAAACGGGACTCCTCGATGCCAGTGCTCAGTGGTCACACATTGGGCGGACAGGGCGAGCTCTAGGCTTCTGCTCAGTGACTGGTGAGTTGACTGTATTGCAGTACGCAGAGGGTACGTATCTGTAGCCGGATTTTCCGTGAGAGTAGCGGTACATTCATCGTGAGCGGTACTTCCACTTTGTCGGCGCAGCAGTCTTGGCGCTGAGGCGTACAAGGATACGTACCCTAGAAATGACGTACCTCAGCGGGTTATGAGAGGTCGCCCGGCCCTGAGCTGGGGACATGTCTAGGCCTCCTAGGCCTCATAGAGTCTTGGCAATGTGGGTTACGCTGACCGTGCGTCTTTCTTTGCTTTTTCTCTCTTGGCACCTCTCTCATTCATTTCCCTTTTCTCTTCTTCTGGATTCTTATCCTCCAGCTGATTATTCGAGGATTTCTCTCGTCAGCTTTTTAGTGGTGATTTGTTTCGAATCCACGCGTGTTCACTTCGTCTCCCCCCCTTGTCCGCGGTCATTTTCAAGGCCCGTTGTTGGAGCCTACATCGCCAGACGCGCGCACACCTTCACGACACCACCGCGAAGTAAAACACAACCCAGTCTCTGCTTACCACAGCGGAAACAGCCTAGTTCTGACCAACAACAACTGCCGAGCGCATCCAGCCCAAAGAAACGTACCATCCAAGACGGTCGTTGGCTGTCAATTCGGTGGCATTCGATCTTGAGAACAGCTGCGGCAATCAGCGACTGCCGGCCAGTATCGCTGTTACTTGTTGATGCGTAAGTCAAGACCAAGACTGCTCAAGCTTTCTTCTACGGAGCTTGTCGATGCTTGGCCAGAGGCGGCACAAGGGAGAGGACCAGTCACAAGGACAAGGATATACGTTCCTCATGGCGTCGTGGTGACCTGTCCATCTGGCCTCTTGTGACCCCGACCAGACACTTTCATGGTTTTCATCCCACATAACAAGGTGCTATTGTTGCTATCGTTGCATATATGCGTGCTAATCCAAGTCCCCCTTCCTTGTACAGACCGAATTCGAGGCTGGGCGAGGGCCAAGGCCCATGGGAAGAACAACCTCATCACTTCCGATCGACGTTCCGCCAATCCAACTGCACGCACCTCGACTGGACTTTCTCAGGCTGGCAGTCCCCGTCCGTTCCAGAAACAGACCGGCAGCAGCAGCCAAAACAATGATGCCTCTGTCGAGGGCACCGGCCATGTCTCGCCCGCCGAGGGCGAGAAGCCTCAGCGCGAGAAGAAGAACGTCATGACCCGCTTCTTTGCCGTCATCTGGAACGTCCTCACTTCCAGCTGGATCAATGTTCTCCTGGTCTTTGTGCCCGTGGGCATTGCCGCCCATTTTGCGAACATGAGTCAGGGCATCATCTTCGCTATGAACGCCATCGCCATTGTTCCCCTGGCTGGTCTGCTCGCGCATGCTACCGAGAGCGTCTCCAAGAAGCTGGGCGATACGATTGGTGCCCTCATGAACGTTACCTTTGGTAATGCTGTGGAGCTGATTATCTTCATCATCGCCCTGGTCAAAAACGAGATCCGCATCGTTCAGGCCTCCCTGCTGGGCTCCATCCTGTCCAACCTCCTCTTGATTCTCGGCATGTGTTTCGTGCTCGGAGGTCTCCGCTTCCGCGAGCAGATCTATAACAGCACCGTCACTCAGATGAGCGCATGCCTCCTCAGTCTCAGCGTCATCAGCCTCCTGCTGCCCACCGCTTTCCACGCCTCCTTCAGCAGCAGCGACGAGGCCGACAGCCAGGTCCTCAAGGTCAGCCGTGGCACCAGCGTCATCCTGCTCATCGTCTACTTCCTGTACCTCATCTTCCAGCTGAACTCGCACGCGTACATGTATGAGTCGACCCCACAGCACGTCATCGACGCTGAGTCTGTCCCTGGCCCCGCTGCACACTACTTTGATTCCTCCTCCAGCTCCGAGTCGGACTCGTCCTCCTCCGACTCCGACTCGTCTGGTCACTCATTCTCTACGGCACGCCGGATCAAGCGGGCCATCAAGAAGGGTAAGAGGAGCCGCAAGCAGAGCGTCGTCTCGGCTGACGCTGAGAAGCCAATCAATCTCTCCAACCCCGCTTCTCCTGCTGCTGCTGAGCCCTCGCTGGACGCGGTGGAGAGGACCACCAGCGAGCCTGCAGCGTCTTCGAGCTCCGACCCTGTCACCTCGCGGCTTACCCAGGAAGCGGTCGAGGCTCTCCCTAAGTCGGGTGAGAAGAAAAAGAAGAAGAGAAAGCACCACGAAAAGCACCATCACGGCGAAGCTCAGCAGGATGAGGAGGGCAGCCCATCTGTGCCAGCTGGCCTTCCTCAGGGGGTGGTGGATGGCGCTGATGACTCCAACACTAAGCGTGTGGACTTTGCTCTGGCCCCAGACCTGGAGGCGCAGCCCACCACTACCAAACCCAAGCCGTTCTCCCTCCGAACTCTGCGCCCTAACCTGCCAAAGAACTTCTCCCAGAACGTCTTCAACCCCGTGCCTGCCCCCCAGCCCCAGCCTGTAAATGGCCAGCAACCCCCTCGCCCCCTCCGCCGAACGCAGTCGCTGCCGTCGCAGCACCATAGTTACCGCGGCAATCCTGGATCTCTGCCGCCAATCGTCCCCATTGTGGTCAACAGCCAGTCGAAGTCGCAGACTGACGAGGACGAAGATGAAGAGCCTGAAATCTCCCGCACATCTGCTATCCTGCTGCTCCTGGGCTCCACCGCTCTGGTTGCCCTCTGCGCCGAGTTCATGGTGGACTCCATTGATGGCATCGTGGGCGGTTCATCAGGTATCTCTGAAACATTTGTTGGTCTGATTCTGCTGCCTATTGTGGGCAACGCTGCAGAGCACGTCACCGCTGTGACTGTCGCGATGAAGAACAAGATGGACCTGGCCATCGGCGTTGCCATCGGCTCGTCTATCCAGATCGCCCTGTTCGTCACGCCTCTTGTCGTGATCTTGGGTTGGATCATGAACAAGGACATGAGTCTGTACTTTACGCTTTTTGAGACCATCAGCATGTTTGTCTCGGCCTTTATTGTCAACTTTCTCGTCCTGGACGGCCGGTCGAACTACCTTGAGGGCAGCTTGCTGTGTGCTAGTTACATCATCATCGCCCTCGCTGCGTTCTTCTATCCGGACAGTGATGAAGCGAGCTCTCTTGGTGGCGGAGATTCGAACGCGACGGAGACTGCACAGGTCGTCACCAACTTGATGACCCGAGGCATGGCCAACTTGATTGGATGGCAATAATAACAACGGCCTCGGTTGTTTTGACCTTGACTGGAGCATGTCTAGAAGGGGCGGAGTTCAGGTGGAAGTAACAGGTCATAACCTACGAACTCGCAAAATCCATCTTGACAAATTTTCAGTCCTCTCCAACTGGCATGTACATATTCAATGAATTAGTCTGGCGGAGCACAAGATATCGCCTCATAAGTGGGCAAGAAAGAGCATACAACGTTTCTAGAACAGAACAGACATGTTAATGTATGAATATGATTTCCAAACCAATTGGTCGACTGAGCCAAACTTGATTCAATAGTGCTGCTGTTACGCCATTATTTCTGACGAATGCATAATCAGGCCAGGTCGTCGTCACTCTTGATCTGCCTTTCATGTGCTCGAGATGCCAAATTCATGTCTACAATCAAGGAGTCCTACTTTTCGCTCTCTCTCTCTCGCTTTCTTTCTTTGTTTCCTGTCCCCGTTTACCCCAGCGCTACTCGAGCCCCCAGGTCAGCCGTCGCCGGAATAGGAACAGCGGATGGCGACCTGCCAGGCCCAAAGAGAGTATCTGTCACCCACTGGCGGTCCGCCGCCTTGACAGGACAACGGGCGACGCCTCGCGCCACCGCCGCCCGCAGGGCCCTGAGGTCGGGCCGGCGACTGGGTTGGTGCGCCAGGCACCGGAGCAGGAGATCGCACATGTCGCTGCCGTAGTCCTTGCGGCGGTCGACGAGGTCGCCGCCGTAGGTCCAGCCGGTCCAGGTGGTCCAGCGGGCGGATCTGGGGATGTGGGTGGGGACTGGGGGACAGTTGGGGGCTAGGAAGGTTATGCAGCAGCGGATCATCTGGAGGAAGGAGGAAGGAGAAGAAGAGAAGAACTTGTTAGTAAGAGAAGCAAAAGAAGAGAAGAGGCGGGTGTGTAGATATGGGAAATGGAAGGCAGGGCAGAGACTGGAACCATAACTCACGAGAGCCACGTTGAATATGTTTGTCTTCTCTGAAAATGCACCGGCAGCGCCGTCGCTTTCGGTGGGAGGTATGGTGGAGAATCCTTCTGAGAAGGGCTCGTAGTTGACATTATCCCATTCTTTGGTGTATTGTTCCTATGGGGACGAGTTTTCAGTTAGGCAATGAAGTATTTTCATGAATTATCCTGACACCACCAGAGAGTTTGAGGGAGAGAGATTATTGCAATATTCACGCTGTTGAGGCGGTAGGATAACGTTCAAACGAAGGCGCATGTTCGTTACTTACCGGCGTGTAAAAAAGGGGTTTGCCGCTGTCTCTGCACTCCCAAAGGACAGTGCTTCAGTGAGCGTTAATACAATGATCAATCATATTTCTAGGATCTTGGCTGGATAGGATGGATGGAGTAATCACTTACTAGTCGTTGTAGACTGGTTCAGCACTCTCTATGTCGAAGTCTGTGGCTGTCGTTGCGAACCCAAAGTCTGCGATCTGGAAGATGGAGTCATAGTTGTAAAGTAGAACATCAGAAACCCACCATTATAATTCAGAACAATGGGCCTGTTTGAGAATGCGCCACCAACTTGTTTTTTATGTACTCACCTGGAGTCTTGGGACATCGGGATGATCTCCGTCTTCTAAGCCAGAGAGAAAGACTTTGCGTTTCAACATTAATTTTGAAGGCCGTTGAGTTCGAGGTTCAATTACTCGAGTCTCGGAAGTTATACCAGGGTAATCAATGAAGGGGAAAGAAATCCTCCCTTGATCAAGTCAAGTACAAGTACCTTGTTGCGCCGATTTACGAGAGAAATGAACAACATACCGTTTTGTAGGTCAAGATCAAAATGAGTGATGTTTATATAGCCATCGGCGAGTGATATCCTCTGTCGTGGCAGAGCCTCGTCAAGGTCAGGGCCATGTAAAGGCAGAGGCAATCCAGCTGCATCTATAGTTTGACATCGCGGTGGCACGGCCATGGCCACGCAGCCATTCACTACTGTAAACGTGAATTATTAGCATTCCTAAACGCAAAAAAAAAAAAAAGAGACTTGACCTGAAAGTCAAGAGACAGAGCATTTTCTGTTTGTGCTAACTGAGCTTACAGCATTCGAATATTTGCCAGAGAACCGCTTTCGGGAAAGACTTGTCTGCGCTTCGCACCTTTCGTATCCACTCGTCAAGCTCTCCGAATCGGGCAAATCTCATCCACAAGAACCTGCTGAACCTGTCCAGTGACCCGGCAGCCGGTATGCGTGGAGCCCGTTCGCCTGCGTCTGAAGGTCGTCGCGCATTGGGCTTGTTGACGATACTCTCGAGGTTGAACCGCTGCATGATGTGTGGGGCGCGACCCAGGATCTAATATGAAGAGAAGAGGTGAGCGTACTTATTTGATATGGAGAAGGATAAGCAGCACGAGGAGGGGAAATTATGAAATGGAAACTCGAGACTCACATCCATAATTCGCCTCTCGTTGTCCATCTGTAGCTGGGATGTCATCCCGCCCTGAATGCTCTTCAGGACTATGTTGTGAATTTGTTCGTCTTCAGTGAGAGTATCTCGGTTCCATGTTGTCTCCCTCAAAGCCCACAGCGTCACTATACCATTTGCACCCTTTGGAAATTGCACATATGAGCCCTGTGTAACCAAAAACATCTCAACGAGACTTGCATGCATCTAAGATGATACTGCTTCTAGAAATTTGACGTGGATGATAAACTCACCCAACCAAGAACCTTGACAAACCGAAGGCCAGATCGTGCCATGAGATCTCGGACAGGGCCTCTGCTCAAGAGAGACTGGCCAACCCGACCATCTGGGAGCTGCACCATCTCCTCAAGAGGAGCTCGTATCGTTGGCAACATCTCCACTTGGTACTCATATGCCCTGTGTCGCACATCTCGAGCGGCCTTGCTGTCGGGGCCGGGAAAGCCAGTATTGACAGGCCCATTGCGGGCGGGCTGTCGCCGTCTGGCTATTGTTTTTGCTCGCCTCTTCGCGCTCCATTCTTGCTTTCCTAGCCCGAGTCTTCTGTAGAAGTCGAATCGGTCTTGTAGCTGGAGTTGACGCTTGTAGAATGCTGCTGATTTTCGTCGGTACTCGTTTGGATTGGGGGTTTTACGGTTGGGCATCCTGCTTGCTTTGTTTTTTATCTTTACTGACTTGGCTCAACGTTTGTTGTCTTGTTAATGTTGGCCACAGGGAAAGTTTTATTAATCAATGGCTCGGACGATTTGTTAGTGCTGAGAAGGTACAGCTGGTTAAAATTCTTTGGTAATGCCTTCGTGCGAGACAAAGAGGAACCAGTGCTACCAATTCCGGCGGCAGCAGCAGAAAGACCAGTATTATGCACTGAGTTATCATTGCCTGTTCTTCTTGCGCCTGATGAGTCGTCGTAAGAAATCAGGAGCTGGTTTGATACAAGTGCATGGTCCAGTCTGGAAGAATCCACCAAGTCTCAAAGTCTGCCCTCCATCCCTCCATTTTCAAATGTCATCAACTCATACCACCAGGCTCTTTCTTACGCTGAGGCAATGTACAAAGGATGAGTGCCGTTCCACATAAGTAGTCATGGCTGCGTTGGGCCGTCCCTTCAAGAGAACGTAGAGAAATAAGGACAAGAAAAGAAATAGAACGATAAAGACGCTTTATCACTGCTGTCACAGGCTTTGCCCATTTCGACCCAATCGAATATGGGGAGAGGTTGAAAGTTCTCTGAACTATAGCCCGTCTTTGAGATGCATATTTGTTTGATGGAAAAAGCGATGAGAGAAGAAGATAAAAGTCATGAAGCTCGAGGGGTATTTATTCATCATTCAGAACGTCGCTAGAGACGTGTTCATTCAATACACGCAAGCTTCACGCCTAAGATAGGAGCTTGACGGGGCTGTTTCGAGAGATACAAGCTTGGTCCAGGCAGGCAGAACTTGTATCTTAAGATTGCTCATTATGAAACCACTGTCGAGGCTGTAAAGTACGTAAATAATGCCACAACTGTTTCGATGTATACCGTCATACTAACTAAAATAATATCCTCGGACGACTGATCGTCTATTTACGTAAGGATGACCTTGCTGCCTCCATTTGGCAGTTTCGCCCGAAATAAAGCATAGGGTTTTGTGCGCCGATCAGTCCCAGGGTATGTGCTTGCTGTCAAGTGTAGCTGGTTGACGGTGAAGTACAAGTAGCCATCAGTCCCCGTCGAAACTGCCAAGGCGTCAGTAATTGCAGGTAAACACAGAACAAGGACAACAATCGACTCACATGTGTCGACCCAGTTGATTCGTGGATCTCTCACAAACGTAGTTACCGTCCCGTTCTCAGGAGTAAACATGATGACCGCATTCTGCTCGAAATTTCCCATGTAGATTATGCCGTTGCTGTCGGTCTCGTACCCGTCGCTGAACCCCTTCTGTCCATGATACAGTGTCCCCTGCTGTGCTCTGAGTTCGCTGTACGAGCTCCTGTCTCTGAGCAGGCTGGTTGGCACGCTGTACAATCTTCTCGCGCTCAGGGGACCAAAGAAGAGACTCTCGCCATCAGCAGAGAGTGCGATTCCATCGGAACCAGTTGGGAAGTAAGTTGCCCCTGAGGAGGTTGCGTCGTAGGCGTAGACAGACTGCCCGCTCACCCATCCTACAAAGCCTGAATCTGGCCGAACCAGCTCTGTGGCGCTGACATGTCGCCAGCTCTCGCCGGTGCCGAGGTCGACAATGATCAGGCCGTTTCGACCTTCATTGCTGCTGTCTGTGATGTACGCCACGCCCTTGCCCGCTTCAGTCACATTCGGACGGAGGTCGAAGCGTACATCGTTCAGGTAGCTGTCGGGGAGTGCCACCGTCTGTGGGAAAAGAATGGTTTGGAACACCTGGTTGGTCGAAAGATCGACTCCGATCAGTTTTGGTCCTCCGTATGAGGAGGAGAGGAGTGTCTTCCCGTCAGGTGTCAAAACACGTTCAGTGTCCAGAATCCAGAGGCGATCCGATGGATCGACCACGACGGACTGCACGCCAATAAGATAGTCAGGGTAGTTCGCCCCAGCTTGATGATGGAGAGATGTCAGTCAGAAACGTGTGGGAGACGCCGGTGGTAGTATTCAAGACGGGCACAGGCTCACTGGGTGGGGTGGTGGTATAATTAATTGCCCCTCCCGGCGGATTGTTCATCTCTTGGCTCGGGTAAGCCACCTCGGTGGTCAGGCCTGTCAGTTCTCCAACGGTGTATATGTTGTTGCTTCCATTGTTCACGTTCGCAGGGTCGAGGCCTAGGCGAAATGAGTATATTTTTCTTGGTAAAGCGACGATGAATGGATTCATGGGAACATACCGCCCGGATAATTGGAAAACATCCGACCGGAACTCGAAACCGCGATCCCTATGCAGCATGTTGTCAATACCTTCGTTTTCCCATGAGGGGTCTGGGGTTCTCACTACCCACCTGTGGGCCATTGGCCTTCATAGGCATGCACAGTCTCAAGCGGTGGTCCAGATTGTTCGCTATCGGTCAGGAACGTGATGTTTTGACCAAAGCCACGCTCTAACAGCGCCAGCATGGCGACGATGACCGCTTGTGCCTTCATTTTCAGATGTCCTTTCGCCTCAAAAATGACCTTCCAGGATTGTGTTTAACATCAGAGAACATTAGGGACATTTTGCGAGGGCTCATTGAGTCAATTATATCATGAGTGCATGGGCGGGCTACGGGCAATTACAAGCGCCGTCGCAGTAGCATTGGCACGGGAGGAATTACTTTTTAAGACATATATGACGTTCACTATGTGATTTAAATTTATGTGGCGTGTTAAATCAGCTGCATATGTCCGAGATGGTACCTGGCAAATCTCCTCAAATACTATCATTCCTACTGGTGCCCGCTCCGCGCAGAGTAGGACTTGGCAGAAGTACACCTGCATAAAGCGCAGAGGCTTTCGGCAATGATGAAATGGTATAAGGTGGCAGGCTCTTGCCTTTCTGCTTGTCAACAGGGGTAATCTGCAACGTCTATAAAGGGGGATGGAGGACAAAATATTATTCATAGCCTTATTCGGCCTGTAATTGATCATTCACACAAAATAAAGTGTGAGAATTCGGACCCAGGTCTTCTTAAGTCGTGGAGATTTGCGAGAGATATTCTGCCAAAATCGGGACAACGAATGCGCGGCCCCCATGAAAGTTCATCGCCATGAGCATTCAGCGTTTATGAAATACAGCAACGTGCAATATGCTATTGTTTGTTGCAAATGTAAGAGGGGGGCGGGGTTGGCATAACTTCCGCCTTAGTTGATTCGCTGCGTTCAATACTCAGCTTATGGCACTATGAGGTGGCACGGGTGGCAATGTGCTGGAATTTCGGTTCGTCTTTACTGATATTAAAAAAGCACGACCGACGACAATGAGGCTCTGCTCGTACTATGTCATTTTTCATCTTCCTGCGTTGTGTGAAGAGACCTTGTGTTGCCTGAGCAGATACTCGCCTCAAGCAAGGTCACACGCATGGCATATATTACCATATCAAACCTTTCCATCACTATCGAAACCTACGTCTTCAGTTCGTAGGCTCAACTTTTGACGGTTGCAAGGCCCGCAGACATGAGGGTCACTGTGCTGTTGCTCCTTACTCTTCTTCTTCTCAGCTCGGGAGTTCTCTCGACACAGAGGCGCAAGTTCCGGCATTGGCTTCCATACTACAAGTATCATTGGGAAGACGTCCTTCCTATGTGCAAAACGCAACTCGAGGATTATTATACCAATAATAGAAGCACGTGTACTACACCGTGTGCATGTGTTGGTACGTAGAATGATGTACACAACCCCACCCCCACCCCCTCCGGCTTCCCCCCAAGCAAAAGGGTCTGACTAATTTGACTGCCAGTCGACTGCTTCTTGAATAACACCACACAGAGCATGCAGAGCAATCTGAACTCAGCCAACATTATACTGGGGCTGGGACCGCCAATTCTGGCATTCGTCGGACCAAGTCGAGGCGAGATGGCTGTCCTGTCTACACATCGACCCTTTTTCACCAGTCTGATTTCATTCGGCTTCCCTTCAATGTCGATAGGCGGTCTCTTCGTGCCCGTGGATGTATCTGACATACTGAAAAGACCCGTTCCGAAACTTGCGCAGGCTTACCACTCCTGGCTGGAGACACAAACCTTAGGCGTTCGGCTGACCATACTCACCATGTTGTGGATTGCAGCTGCGGGCGCCTTAGTCAATAACGTCTACACTTCGATATACTTGGACCTTCGAACAGTTTCTGGATGGCGGTGTGGTGCAGACTATATGCCACTTGGCTGGAGTCTTACCGGTATTGTCATCGCCGCCCCGGAGATGCTGGCTATCCGAACACGGACTCATCCTGTCCCTCAACGCGACGCAGTGAGCCCTAGAACACGCAAGGAGATACTCGATTATCTCGTGGCCAAACCGGACATCTCTCCTTACATCCTACCGGGCTCTGAAGATAGATACATAACAGAGATCTTGTTCTGGGTAGCCTCCCTTTTCAGTATCCTACAAACGGTGCTGGGTACTGTCGTGCTCTCCGCGATTCTTTTTGCATCGTTTCTGGACGCACTGCCTATTCTGGCACGCTATGGTGCTAGTAGCATTGTGGGTAGCTTTTTGTTGCGGTTGGAACTCAGTGGCCTCAAATGCGAACTGAGGAAAAGAGAGCGGGTAGAAGCAGCCGTCTCTCAAACTGCATCGATTTCGTTTCGCAGAACTATATAAGGCTTTACAAACTCATCTGTATAGATGTTCCTCGTTTAGACCTGGGACTCGCAAACTTAAACGCACCACACCGCTTCAATATTGCCTCATCTCTACAGGGGGAGGATCCGAGTTTGTCGGATTGAGCCAATTACAGCATCATGAGGATACAAAGATCAAGACTTTTCCAAAGAGAATTTGTGTACTGGCTGTTTAATTAGACCCTTTCCCGACTAAAGATTTATAAAAGTTCACGTATTTATTCTTAGCCTGCTCCACTTGAATAGCTGGAGGAAACGAGTTCCATTACTGGACAACAATTCATAATGCGGGTGACGTGCGAAGCAGTTCTGTGTATTAGGCACAGACAAAGACAGTGTTTCTCGACTTTCCCGGGGACAATCTAAAATGACACTGAGTTGCTGAGAAAACGATCACTCTCCTGCAGATGGCAACGTGTCCTAACTGTCCTTGTCGTTCGTTACCACAAACGGGGTAACCAAATTCCGCTGAAAGGACTACTGAGACATCCGTAAATGCTCATGACAAGAGCTATAATCTGGAAATCCATTGTTTGAATAAATGAGAAGAAAGAAGCATGAAAGCGTTCCTATTTATCTGTTTGCTTGTGTGGCATGGGGGACAAAGAACCCAAGATGCAAAGGCCTTGAAAGAAGACGGATGTGGATAGTCGTTTCTAATGTTGAAATCGAGTGCCGCGTTGAAGATTGCAAGAAAAGCCATAATTACCATGTCTGAAGGGTCATCCTCTCAAAACATTACTTCAGTTTTGCCATCTACTCTTGGTATCGTTTGACTACTAACATTCTGATATCCTGACGCACCAGCATTTCGAAGAGACCGCGCCAGACTGGGCTTCTTTCGAGTACACCCACCATGGCTGACCATGATAATCTACCGGACATCGAACCATGGAGAGTCATCCTGGAGCAACAGTATCTCCAGGCCAAGTTCTGGCTGTACCGGCGTGGCGAGCCAGCACACATGAACCCCTTTGACTGGTTTGTCCAGGTGGCGGGAGTTCAAGGTAATCCGATCCCAGGGATGGCTCCAGACCCAGCTGGTACCGTGCCACGGATAGGACCCGAAACACCAGCGAATCGACACAACAGATTGCTATGGAGAGACTACCTGGAAGAGGTCAACCACAGAAATAGACGTCTGCTGTTTGACGATGGTCGTGCGCATCTGCCTCGCAGGCCGGGGCCGCAAGGACAAGCGGCGGTCAGGGACTCGGTCAGGCACACTGCGCGTCTGCTGCGCTATCAACGTGGGTTGCCCCTCGGACACCCTGGAATTCTACTACCCGGGTTTGTGAGAGGGGAGAATCGTTTCTGATCATGTGGATTGTACAGGAATCAAATTCTGCAAGACGCTCGGATGGGGTATGTACTGAATTATGCTTGCTCTCAACCTTGATGTCTCATATTAATCAAAAGATCTCGGTTGAAAAAACAGGCGGCCAGGGCGTGGCGACGTTGTGGCAGATGCGCGACAGACGGCGTAGACGAAACGTGGTGGTGAAAATAAATCTTGACCCGCAGATGCAAGGCGCCATCAGCGAAGAGAAGGATATGATGAAGGTACATTCAGCCATCTGAACTATTTTTTGACGCCTGTTAAATAAACATGATCTGCACATGGATGTACCGCACTCACAAGAATTCACTCCCTCTAGGATCTCGCCCGAGCACCGCACATCATCCAACGCTTCTTGCTACAAGACATTTCGGCGACAGAGGCTCGGGTTAACATAGACGACGACCCGAACCTGATCATCATGCCGTACTGTAAATATGGCGACCTTACCAAGTGGCTGTCAAAATCAGGGAACGGAGGGCCTCGAGGATATCCAGCCTGGATCCCTCCATCAGTGCTCTGGAGATACTTTGACTGTTGTAAGTGGCTACCTTCCCACCAGGAATAGCCTCGAGACCTGCTTTCCAGGACATTGATTTAACGAATGATTCTTGTTATGGCAGTGGTGAAAGGGTGCATCGCCATGCAATACCCGCCACGGTATCAAGAGCTGAACCAGGGCCCTGACGATGACTATGTTCCTATACCTCAGCGCCCCAATCAAGACCTGCTCCCAGAAGTAGTACCTCCGCCTGATCTACGTGACGACGACGTGGCTCTCGTCCACCGTGATTTCGATCATGGCAATGGTAAGCAGACCCACACTGTCGGTATCTTGTTGCAAATCATGTGTGTAGGATCTAATTGAGTCGTCTTGGTGTTACAGTCTTCCTTTTCGATTATGACCAGCCAGGAGATGCATTTGATCCGGTACATGACACTGTACCTCGGCTGCAGGTAGCGGATCTTGGCCTGATGAGGCCACAAGAGTACTTTCTGAGAGAACCTCGATATTCTCCACATCCAAACTGGGACCGCGAACTGTTGTGGTCGTCTAGAGCAATGGGAAAGCCGGGCTGGTGGGCTCCGGTAAGTCTCGTCATTTTCTTGTGTTGCTTGTGTGTGTGTGAGAGAGAAAGAGAGTGTGTGTGATGATGAAATCCTGTTAACGATCGAGAAAAGGAGGTATGGACGGCCGAATGGGATGATATCGGCCCCAATTCGGATCCGAACACAGAGCCAAGATTCAGAACAGTTGCAGGAAATTATGGAAGCCACTCGAATGTGTGGCAGATGGGCATGGTGAGTTTTGACATCCCTGGCATTTCTCTGGCCTGTGGCCGAGGAAGCCAGTAGGAAGAATACCAGTCGCTGACACGCATTCCCCTACCAGATAATGAGATGCTGCATGCTGCTAGAGCAGCCACCTGTGGCACCGGTGACCGACCGTGTGCAACGTTTCGAGGAACCTGGGAGCCCCGAGATGCACTTCACCGGCGGATTCGACCTGCTCAATGACCCAGCCTGCGTCAGCTTCTATGGCAGGGAGATGTGCGAGCTTGTGGCGCGGTGTCTTGAGTACGTGCCGCACCACCGCCCAGACCTAGAAACCCTGCAGCGGGCGGTCACGGCTGGCCTGCAGGCAGCGGACCCTGTGGGCCCGTCTTGGAGGACGACGTACTTTGGCAACCCACCGCCGCCACGGGGGCCAGTCGAGGGTGTCAGGCTCGCCGACCTGGACCCATGGGCAGGAATGTGATCAAGGAGAATGTGAGAGACAGGTATCCGCAGCTGATGAGCCTTTGCTCTCCTGCAGGTAACATTATCAGGCCTGGGGACAACAGAAGATAATTTTAGCCATCAAGAGAAACGAGTGCAACAAGTAGTATGTAGAACGAGTCATCAAGTTGTCAGCCCAAGAGCATTGTATTTGAAGCTGAGTCTGCGCTTAGTGATATCAATATTACCTTATGTATACGCCTTGAAATCTTGTTCAGTCCACATCCCCAGCTCTCCCACCGTGACCCTCCTTCAATCTGGCCTCCATCTCCTCGACGTGCGCCCTGATCTTGTCGAACTGCCATGGCCAGTTGACCACATACAGGAAAGGCCGCAGGTCGTGGCGGTTGTCGTCAGGGTTGTACGCCGACATGTGCGGGCTGGGCGTCAGGATCACAGCCTTGTGGCGGTTCAGCGAGTAGAATCTGAAGAAGCGCATGACTTTGTCTGCGATCTTCCTTGGCCCGAAGCCTGGCCTCTCCTTCCAGTCACCCAGTAGGCGTAGGTACGCCGACCACGGTCCTAGTTTGTGGACCTTGCGCAGTATGCCAAACTCGGATAGCTCGCTGTAGGTAAAGCCCATCTCGTCGTCGGCCTCGTCGTTCTGCACGCCGGCGGACAGAGGCAGAAGTTCGGCCGAGGGTGTGGCTTCGATAAACTCTGTCATGATGGGGAGGTCCCAGTTGGATCTTGCCCAGCTCTGGAAGGCCTTGGCATCCGTCTTGGAAATGCTGCCAAGTGGGGCGATGTCGGCTGAGGACGCATCGTACTTGGTGTAGTAGCCCCGCAGATTCTCGTCGACGTTGCCTGAGCCTAGAACAAGCAGCGCTGCACCCTTTCTTGGCGTGTTCCGGGCAGTCGTGGAGAGCTGAGCGAGCTCGTATGCTACCACGAGGCGGTTGCGGGCCTGAATGTTTTGACGAGCGAGATTCTCGGCAGGACTGCCGCCCTCGATGGAGTATTTAGGACGGAAGCCGCCGAGCGTCTGAGCAATGATGTTCTCGTGGGCGATGACGGCCTCGTCAATTTTGATATCCGAGTGATAGCCACCAAGCCGCTCGGAGAGGCGCTTGGCACGGGTTCTGGTCTCGTCCCCCGAGTTGACGGTGCCCATGTAGCAGGTGTGGAATAGACGGCCGACGATATCCTCTGGCTTGGAGGGCATCAAGTCTGGCTCGCCTGTAACCCGGCGCAGATCGTCCAACACAGTCTTCTCGCCATCCTTGATGGCCTGAAGAGCCATACGAGCCATGCTGTAGACGAAGAGGGCGACAGTCGCCGAGTCGAGGCCACCGCTCAAGGCAAGGAAGTAGCCAGGTGAGTTTGTTCGTGTGAGGTACTGCCACAAGAAAACAGCCTGGGCATTTGCTATCTCCTCCATCGGGTCGAGGATATGCAGGTCTATTTCTCTGGAGATATGAAGCGTATCCGAATAGTAGACCTCGTCAGCGGACCGACAGAGACGCAGGTCACACTCCACACGAGGAAAGTCCTCCTGTGCTGCGCCCTGGAGATTGCGAGATATGGATGACCTGTAGCTCCGGACTTCTTCGATGGAGATGGTGGACGTGGTGACCTCGACAGGGCGCAGCGAGAACTGGGAGCCCTGAGCGAGGACCTTGCCGTTGGCGAGAACCATACTTGAGCCGTCAAACATCATGCGAGCCTCGCCATCAACGCCAGTAGCATTCGCGTAGACATAAATACCTCCTAGCCTCCGAGTGGAGTTGGAGATGAGGTCGAGCCGGGCATGCAGCTTGCGCAGCTCGGCATGGCTGGCACTGCTGTTAAGGATGACCTCAGCACCGTTCAGGCCGAGGAAGGACGAGGGGTTCAGGGGCGTGAAGAGCTCCTCACACGTCTCGCACGCAACGGCTGTGTCGACGGTGGAGAGGATGATGTCGCCTATTGGGACCTTCCTCTGGCCTGTAACCTCAGCAGCGACGGCTTCCAGGTAGTACTCCTCGCTCTGTCGACGCTTGACCCAGGGGGTGAAGTGGCGCATCTCCCTGTAGAGGCCATCATTTGCAAGACTCATCTTGGGTCTGATGAGGAAGATGTGCTTGTAGGTGCACAGAATCCTGCAGTTGTAGCGAACATTCCTGTGCCGCACGCCCAGGCCGAGATCAATGAGCATGTCCTTGCAAATAGGGTCCGAGATGATGTCGGCTAGAACCTCCCAAGAATGGAGAAAGGTGTCTCCTTCCAGGTGATGGTCGAGGCAGCCATAACCTGTGGGGAGCAAGAGTCACGGTCATCAGCACCGTTTTGCAACATGATTGACAGAGAGGCAATAATGCACGCAGGGCAAGAGAAAAGAGAGGAGCGACGATCGATGCCAGGAAGGTGGTAAGCCTTACGGTGAGGCAGGCCATCTGACGAATCCACGAGGCCTCATCCCTCATCTCATCAGCACCTACCTGGTATTTCAAGCTCGGGGCCTGTTCGGAGGGTGGCGCCCTCGGCCTTTGCGAGGCGGATGGATTCTAAGATCCTATCTCGATTGCCTCGAAAGTCGAGGGGCACACTAGGAAGTGTCGCCGCAGCGACGGTGATGTAAGACATGGTGGTGAAAAGAGGGAAAAGGTATTCTTGCTTGTGGTAGCGAGGGTAATGAGGGAAGTTACGATTATTAGTCGTTGCCTGTGTGCTTCGAGAGCCAATACACCTCCATATGCTGTGGTCATGCTGCGGCTGCGGCTGCCGTTGCGTCTTGTCCTAGCCGGTAGTGGGGCATGTGGGGTGTGGGTTGCTTATCGAGAAGATTATCGATAAGATATCGATAGGACAACTCTCGGCAAGTTCCCCTCCTATCCCGGGGCTGTCCCTCCTCCCCCACACGGGACGTAGCTGAACAAACCAGCGCCTTGCCAAGCCTGCCTACTAGCTCCCAGTTCGCCCTACCATTACAGCTCTACAATGCCATAATTAACAATTTCCCACGCAGCTGATACATACTGTCCTCAAGTATACTTTATAGTAAGTTATGACCATCGAGAATGAAAACCTGCAAAAATGTTTTCTCCTCGGCCTTCTCCTCGGAGATTCTACAGGAACCAGTCTGTTTGGTCATGTGGGATTCGGAGTAGAGTCGCTTGAACGAACCCTCTTTCCTACCTTTACTACGACCACTCCACGCCTCTCCTCCTCTTTCTTCTTCTTCTTTCTTCCATTCCTTTCATTCCTTATATCAATCCACCTAAAAATACACCAAGTCTTACGTTTACAGTCTCCAGCCAGAAGCTCTCCTACGCGGGTTCGAAGTCCAAACATGGCGTCAGTACCGGGTCTCGCTGCTGGCTCGGAGTAGTAAATCCGGCTGAATGTACTCGCATTGAACAAAGATCTTCGCAATTTATGAGCATCTGAGTACTAAAATCCAAAGCCGCGTGGCCATGCATACCAATGACGAGTAACCCCGAGGGGCCTCACCAGGAGCCTGCCTCTTTGAAGAACTCTTAGTCGTCTGCAGGGCGCTAGATGTGGAAGGTGAGTGATGGGCAGGGGCAGCGGAACCGAGATCCTTTCGGTTTATCGTGCAGGCCAGGTCTCCAATGCCGATGTTTCGCCCCAGACAAGCATGCAGGAACGGAAATCACTCGAACAGGGTCCCCAACACGCAAGCTTGATTTCACAAAACATTTGCATTAAACCGTGGAGGCAGGAACGGGGCAGCCATATTTTCCCCAGGAAATATATACAACTTTACCTAGTAAGTCTACAAAGCACAGATCACACCATATTGGTCTGTTTATTATAATAAGAATGCCTTCGCCTTCTCTCGAGACTTCTCCCCACATGTGCTCCACCGCTTTGATCGTTCCTCATCTCGGTCTGCATCCTCCATAAACCTTCCATATCTCCTCCTTGGTTCTTCACCATGACAGGTTTCTCTTTCCCAGCTCTGGCTGGCATCGTGGGCCTAGCCTCCGCGCAGTACTATACCAACGGCACTTTTGGGATAGAGGGAGACTATAGTGTCCGCTATGACACCGGCACATTTGGCCCAGAGGTAGAGGAGTTCCACTACTTCTTCGACCAATGGCGTGAGTCTACATTGATACAAAGAAACCCGTCTCTTGGCTCCAATATACGATGTGACTCTGACTTGAGCTTGTATGTTAGCCTCTGGAATCGCTCAGTCTATGCATGGGAAGAGTATGGTTTCTTATACTCGAGGCGTAGACTATCCTTATACTGTAGGGCTCATCGAGAACACGACCTATGAAGACGCCTATCCGTCTCTGGATATCAATACACCGTCTGGCGACCTCATCACCTACATTGATGGAGTGCCATATGGTAGCAATGACACTGCCGCGCTGATCAGTGTCTCGTCTCTTTATGCATCAACTGACAGTCAGTAATTTTATTGTTGCCTCCCCCCCCGCCCCTTCTTTGGCCAACTCCTTTCATTAGCTAAGCTAACCAACCATCTTAGATGTGATCTGGGCTCTTGACACTGGCCGTCCTAAGCTCAATGACTCTACTCTGGCTCTCGCGCGCCAAGGTGGTCCCAAGCTCAGTACGTTTGTCTTTTTGCCTCCTATTTTTCATCGTTAGGCATGAAAGACATCGTCTACATGAGCTTCTGGGACAATTCACTGACAGTCAAGCAAAAAAGTGGGCTTTGTTGGACACGACGGTTCAATCTCCTCCAACCTGACGCTGCCCGTATCTGATGACTGCGTTCGGGAAGACTCGTACATCTTCGAGGTGCGCTTCAACCTGCTTGCCAATGTCACTGCTTCGGGAGCTGGCATTGCATATATCGTCGACTCGCCCCCAGACTCCAACAACACCGCCCTCATTATGTTTGATCTGGGAAGTGGAGAGTGCTGGCGCCGGCTGGTGTCACACCCCACCACCCTGGCCGTGCAAGGCGATGTGCCCTCCTACAACGGGGTGCCCTTCTACCCGACCACTGACTACAGAACCAATGGTCTGTACGGCATCGAGTTGAGCTACTACGGCGACACTCTCTACTATCACTCCAAGTCTTCGGATTATCTGTACAGCATCCCTACGTCTTACCTCAACTCGCCCAACGTCACCGACGCCACAGCCACGGCTGCTATCAAGAATCTGGGACAAAAGGGAGGCAAAGCCAACGGGATGGCAAGTGACTCCAACGGAATGTTGTACCTGCTCATGCCGGAGAGCAACGCCATCTACCTGTGGAATACTACCACTGGGGCCGCCGAGCCATATGTGAGGGATCCCCGCTCAGTGTATCCGGAGCGCGCATACGTCAGTTATTGCGACGGATACATCTACTGGATTGCTACGCAGCTGCAGTACCAGCCTTCCTGGAACGGTGGTGTTGGTGCGTATTTCTAGACTTCCTTTCTTCGAATTTCCCTTCCCTATTCTGTTTTCAAATCAAGTGTTCTGTCACTGAATTGTTGTGGTTGACTTTTCTTACTTCCAACGCAGATGGACGCTCGTATCCGGGCTTGATTCTGAGATCACTTCTTCCCAACAACGCGACCAAGGACACCTTCCTGGGACCTGGGGACCCAACCGGCAATGGTTGTATTGTGGGTTGAAGAGAGAGGAAGTGAGACAATTTGCTTCTTGGAAATATGCTTCTGTGTTGTAGTTATTTGAAACTGAGTCTTTGCGGAACACGCTACAAAGTCTTGCAATGGAAAAGAAAAATGCCATGAAAGGAAGCTTGAGCTCAATACTGGGCCCGCTTCACAATAGAGTGATCAAAAAGAATAAAAATTGACACATGGTATACATGTACACCAAGACTGTAACGCGTATGACCTACCTTGAGTGGCGTCCTGCCGATGTCCAGTATTCGAATTGTAATTCAACGGTCTTCCAAGTTGGATTTCGCAAAGATGAGCCCTGGTCTTGCTGCAAGAGTGGGGTCCTCAGCGCTTAATGCATACAGTAGAAGTTTCTTCGGCTAGCCTGCCGTACCTCAAGAGGCCCTAAAGTAGGGGTTTGGTATTGCGATTGTGCCACCTACTAGGCCGTCTTAGCCAGGGGCCCTGCTAAGTGGTGTGGTATAGTATATAGTAGATGGAATGCAGTGATGAATGGGCTGCTAAGGGCGCCAGGGGGCAATAAGCTGTACCTAACCTAACTGGCCGTGCTTGTCGTGTGTGGCGTACCTGGGAGCGCCTAGGCACCGAAACCACACCACCACTAGCCCTACTTTAGCCGCGCCCAACCACCACACCTTATCCTTATCCTTATCCCTTTCCCCATCCCCACCACGGCGTGTATTCGGTACAAGCCATTGCCATACTGGGAACGTCGTGTGAACAAGTCACCCGCCACGACATCCAACCAGACGGAAGCACGGGCGCCGCCGACGGTACGGAAAAGCCACCGCAGACCGCACGTCCTCGACCGACAAAGGACCTGCCAGCTAATGAGCCGTCCCCTGTCCCTCGTTGCTTCAACATTCATTCCCAAACTCGACGCCAACACTCTTGAATCTTTTGCTCCTTTGTTGTATTTCAAAACCCCTCCTCTTGTGCAAGCATCAATTCACCAGGTCTGCCCACCCCCCTTCCTCCTCCCCACCCCCACCAGCAGCAGATATCGCCATCAGACAAGCATCTGTCTCTCTCCCCAAAAGGTTTCTGCCAGATCTTCCCACCCTTTTTCTAGCTTCAAAACCAGCCTATCATCAGCTGCCATACTGTGGAGAGCTGGGGGAAAAAGACAGCCTTGCTTTGTCGGTTGTCGGTTGCGGTCTCGGCTGAACCTCACTGGGTCCCATGTCCACACTTCAACAACATCAACACCACCAACAACATCAACATTGTCCATATCCACATCTTCCAGAAATTGCACCCCCTTCCTTCAACCCCACACGCAGCGGCTCGATAGCCCTAGTTCATCTTGTGTGCCACGGCTCTACCCGCGCATCAGAAGATCCTTGCTGATCTTTGCAGACTTACTCGCACACGTTGACCTACGTACCTGGTGACGATCTAGCCCGGAGACGAGCTGCCACCAACCAATCCACAACTATGCACTGACCACGGCATCCGTCAAGCCCAGCTTTCGTCGTTACACCGCTTGCGCCTCCTCGAACCCCTCTGTCGCGTATCACCGAGAACCCACGAGCGTCGCGAACGTTAACTTCGTCGTCCTCCTTCTCGTCCTCTCGCCGTCTGGTCCATTGACCCGAGAAGCTTTGCTGCTACCTGCCGACTTTTCGCTGCTCCAGTATCTCTCCCCGTCGTTCACCTCGTGGCATCCCCCCTTACACGCATACCCTCTCACGCGAATTAATGGTGGCATCGAGCCCGATTCGATCAAAATGTCGACCGCATGTCTGTGCTCGCCAGATTCCAACCCCTTGCGTTGGTAAACCCTGTTGTTGGCTTCTACGGGGCTGACTTGCATGGATAGTATCCCACGATGAGGTGCTTCAGTACACCAGTATGATCGACCACATCCTCAAAACCTCCGATCTCGACACTGTCTCTAGAAAGAAGGTTCGGAAGGGGCTGGAGCGACAGCTTGGAAGGGACCTCAGCGAGCAGAAGGTACGTTTGTCTTGTGCCTACATCGCCCCCTCGCCCCCTCGCCCCCTCGTCCCCTACCTCATCTCTCTGCAAACGCATTCCCCCCTTACCTCTCCCTTCTTCCCCTTTCTGCAAGGCCTCCCAGACCTGACCAGCCGATTCGCATATTAGGATGCGATCAAGGTCTTGATCGAACAGCGCTTCGACGCCATCGCCGACACCCTACCCACCCCTCCGCCCCACAGCAACGGCGCAGATGCTACAGATGATGGCTTCAACGGTGTTAAGCACGAAGACGACGAGCCTGATGCCTATGGCGACGATGATGTGTCGCAGGAGATCCAGGTCTCCACTTTTCCGAGCAAGAAGCGGAGCTCTTCTATGGTTGAAGATGAGGACGCCCGCCTCGCGCGCGAACTTCAGGCACAAGAGAATCAGCTGGCGCGCGGCCGTCAGACGAGGGGTGGCCACAGCACACCCAAACCCAAGCCCAAGCAGAAGCAGAAGAAGAAGAGTTCCACCAAGGTGAAGGCTGGCGATGATAGCGATGTCGACACCGAGGACTCTGCCACCCCCAAGAAGCGCAAGGCTGGCGGCGGTTTTCAGAAGGAATTCAACCTGAGTTACGCGCTCTCTGAACTCGTGGGCATGGAGCGGGTACGTACTATGTCTGAAATTTTGTCTGCTACGTGGTACAGAAGAGCTAATCTACGTGGGCAGCTATCTCGACCACAGGTCGTCAAGAAGCTGTGGGAGCACATCAAGGCCAACGACCTGCAGGAGCCAACTGACAAGCGCCAGATACGATGTGATGAGCGCATGCAGGCCGTCTTCAAGCAGAGCAGCGTCAACATGTTCCAGATGAACAAGCTCATCGGAAATCACCTCTACCCGATCGAAGAGTAGACTGCATACTGCTTGGGAATGCTTGCTGCATGGCACTAACCCCCTCCCCCGCGGGCCCCTCTCTCGAAAGAGTCTCAAACATATACGACGTAACTTGAGCACAGTCCCGGCTTTATGGATGGGCGTAATAGGAAACAGGACAGCATCCGCTCAGTTTAATTCCCCTTTCACCACAATCACGGCTCGGTTGTACTGCGTTGATTTTTGGCTGGCGTTCTTGAGTTGACGACTTGAACGAATTGCATACAAAGGCCGTGTGGTGAGATACAGTTGGCCTCGAAGATTAAATGAGCTAGCTCCTCCAAGTCTGAGCCAACTTCTCTACTTAGTCACGGTGACGGCTTTGTGGGATTATCAGGCCACACGGCGGCGGGAAAATACATTGGGCGAGATCAAGGGCTTAATATCTTCGCTTTCTTTTTTTGACAGACAGGAGGGCTTGGTGGCCTCCTCACAGCATGACGGATCCGGTGGTTCTGTACTATGCAGGGGATTGATTATTCTGTCCCGAGTTCCTCTGTTTTTTCTTTTTGTTCTTTGGGACGGGCCTCAAGGCCATGGAATGAATGGGGATCGACTCGGCATTGGGTGGATGTACAGTACACTACGTAGCTTCACCAGCTGGGGGACAAAAAACACAAATAACTCGCCAATTTGGAAGGAACCAGATTGGAACGGGTCTATTTACGATCAGTGCCTGTGACAGTACCAGTATTTTGCAAAGTATGGGCATAGCTCAGTCTTGCTTCTTGGGGTCACCAGTGACGTTGGTTAGTCAGACCGGCGAGTGAGTCGTGGTGGGTTACACCCTGGACATTACCTGGCGGGGTCCCCGTGGTGGTGGTGCCGGCATGCAATAGGCTCATGATTGGCTCGTGGGCCCGCCAAGCCTTTATCATCTCACCCCGTCATTATGAGGCAGCGCCCGCCAGCAGAACTTCTTCGACCTGGTGCTCATTCATCAGCCAAAATTCAGGCTAGCCCCTCCAACAACTCAATTGCCACACGCATTGGTAAGCCTACGACCTCGAAGCATCCCAACATCCTTCGCCAGCTATCTATAAGGGCCAGGGCAAATACCATTCACCAGGCAGCTTGACCACGCCGGGCTGTGCATTCTTCAAGAATATCGCATACGGCACATACGTCTTGCGCCTCATTTCGCCCACCAGACACCTGAAGGAAACCACGCAGCAGTCCTCAAAACACACTGCAAAAAGTATCTCAACAGGCATGGCTGACACGGGGACAGCTGTGCCTTCAGGACCACCTGGGGACAGGTCTCATGGCGAAGGACACCGAGGCAGGGGCAGGGCCAGGGGCCAGAGAGGAGGGCGGGGCAGAGGCAGAGGGGACGGAGCTGGCTCACACCGTGGAGGCAACCGTGGTAGAGGACGGGGTGGCCACGGCGACAACTTGTCTGCAACAGAAGAGGGCAGCAGTTCTCAGGCAATACCTGCTCAGAAAGATGCCCTGTTAAGACCAACAGATCCAGAGCCCAAGCCACTAAAGGATGAGGCTGCACAAGAAGACGACGATGCCGACGCCGAGGTCTGCTTCATCTGCGCCAATCCCGTCCAACACCATGCGATCGCACCTTGCAACCACGTCACCTGCCACATCTGTGCCCTACGAATGCGAGCCCTCTACAAGACGAAAGACTGCCCACACTGTCGAACACCTGCCCCCTTTGTCATCTTCACGGACGACCCGTCGAAGCGGTTCGAGGAGTACACAGACACCGATTGCACCAGCGCAGATGAGAACATTGGCATACGCTATACAAATGAGGACATCGTGGGCGATACCGTCCTTCTTCTTCGATACAACTGCCCGGATGCGTCGTGCGACTTCGCTGGGCTCGGCTGGCCAGATCTGCACCGTCACGTTCGACAGACACATCATAAGAAGATGTGCGATCTGTGCACACGGAACAAGAAGGTCTTCACGCACGAGCACGAGCTGTTCACGGACAAGAGCTTGCACAAACACATGGCTCATGGTGACGATAAGCCGGGTGATGTCGCCCAGACAGGCTTCAGAGGCCACCCGCTCTGTGGTTTCTGCGGGGAGAGGTTCTATGACGACGATAAGCTCTACGAACACTGCCGCAACAAACACGAGAGGTGCTTCATCTGCGATAGGAGAGACTCCAGGTCACCTCACTACTACCTGAACTATGACAAGCTGGAGGAGCACTTTAAAAAGGACCATTACCTGTGTCTGGACAGGGAGTGCCTGGAGAAGAAGTTTGTCGTGTTTGATACCGAGATGGACCTCAAGGCTCACCAGCTCAGCGAACATGCCAACTCCTTATCCAAGGATGTTCGCAGAGATGCGCGGATGGTGGATATTTCTGGCTTTGACTTCCGGCAACCCTACCAAGAAGAGAGGAGAGGGGGCAGGTCGGGAGGTGGAAGGGAAGGGCGAGAAGGTCGTGGCAGAGGAAGGGACCCTAACGCCGAGCCACTCCCACGCACCTCAGCGCAGCCGCTCTCCAGGGCCGAGCTCGCGCTGCAGAGGATGACTGCCCAGGAAGGACCCAGGAGCATCCACTCGGCGCAGTCGATATCTAACCGCACCTTTGGCGGACAGCTCACGACTACCTCCAATACATCTGGTCCAACACCTGCAGCCCGTCAGAACGGTGCTGCTGCTTCCACCTCGATCCAATCGCCAGCACCTCTCGCAGACTCGTTTGCCGCTCTGTCCGTTACAGACCAATCCAATCTCTCTCCTCAGGACCGAGCACGCCTGGTCCGTCATGGGGCCGTGGTTGAACGTGCGTCCAATCTCCTCGGCAACGACCAGACCAAGATGAACACCTTCCGGTCTCACATTTCCTCCTACAAGTCTGGCAGCGTGACCGCATCTCAGCTCATCGATGCCTTCTTTGCCCTCTTTACTGACACTTCGTCCACTGCCCTTGGCACGCTTGTACGCGAGGTCGCCGACTTATTTGAGGACAAGACGAAGGCTGATGCACTGCGGAAGGCTTGGCAGGACTGGAGAGCTATCAACGAGGACTACCCTTCGCTCCCTGGCCTGGGCGGCATGCATGGTGCTACAACATCCAGTTCTGGTTGGGCGACTGCGGCGTCGGCCGGCCCTACTCTGCATCCTGGTACGGGCGGCGGCGCAGCTGCAAGGGAGAAGATCAACACGCGTGTTCTCAAGCTGAAGAAGAGCACCCGCAGAGGCGGTAGCGCAAGCGTTCCTGGCTCGGCGCCTGCGGTTGCTGGGCCCAGTAGCATACAATGGGCGGCCAATGCGCCCTCGTCTCGTGGGACTTCAGCGGTGGCCTCGTCGTCTGCGTTTCCCGCCCTGCCAAGCTCGAAGGATACCAACGCTTCCAAGGCCAAGGGGACTCCCTTCTGGATCGGTGGTACCCAGCCAGCATCCGCTTCCTCCGCTTCCGTTACTCCAAAGAGCGTCCCACAATCATCCGGGACCTCAACACCAGTTAGGAAGACAGGTGGGGGACCCGTGCCTGCGAAGAGTCAAGAAGCTTTCCCTTCCCTCCCCGCTGGGCCCAAGGTGCACACGAGCATCTTCACCCCTGGTCTCAGAGGCCGACCAGTGAGGTCTGATTTTGGTGTGAACCATGACACGGGGTTTTCATGGGGCGGAGGTAGTGGCAGCGATGCAGCAGCTGCGGGGGAGAATGCCGAGCCAGGGGCCGAGGCGGATGGCGGCGGCGGTGGTGGTGGTGGCAAGGGAAAAAAGAAAAAGAAGGGCAAGCAGGTCCTGGCTGCTTGGGGATAGGACGCAGCGGAGAGATGACTCCACATGTCGTGAGGCTGACGATGGAGCTGTAACTGTGAGGAGCAACCTCACCAACCTTGATGTCAACAAAAAGCTGGGCGTGCGTTTCGAAGTTGTCAGCAGGAGCCGATGCCAGACAATGGGTCGAGCGGAGGAGTCTTGGGAGTACAAGTCATGTATGTACTAACTGGAGTTATTCTGTCATACTGCAGCACAATACAAGCGACTTTGTGTCCCCTCGGCCCCCCTGCACTGCATTTGGGCTTTCGAAGAATTTGTTCAGGGCTGGGAGGTAGGAAATTTCTCCTCCAGCTGTCTCTCTACTGCGTAGTCTTCTGCCTTGACATTCTACGACTACACCTACCGTCGTCGAGGCAGCGTATGGCGACATTCCATCAGGGCATTGGCACACCGCAGACCACTGCCAAGAACTGCATAACGTACCTCTGTTTCTCCACCATACAATTTATTCATTCTCACCTCAGTCTCTTGGCAGTGAGAGAGGCTGAGGTCTGTGAGACTGTATCGGTTGTCTGACCTGACCGACTATCCAAGTTGTAACCGAAGTGGGTGGATGCGCGCCGTGATTACCTCTGGGCAGAGGCTGCTGATCCACTTTTTCACAACACCCAAAGTCAATGCCTTGGTGGGTGTAACGGTGAGAATGAGATGGGTCTGGTGGAACCGGCAGCTGGGCTATTCATAGTTTTAAGTTTTTCCTTTGTTTTTACTTTTTCGTTTCTCATGGCTCTCAGTCTCAATGCTTCTCACCGTGTCTTTCTTGCATGAGTTTATGGGCGATTCAGTTCTGGTCTCGTCTTCCCGCCTCTTTTTTTGCCTTTTTTTTTTTTTCTTTCTTTCTCTCTTTTTCTTTTCTTGTCACTCTTCCATCTTGTCGATTCGCATCCAGTGATGGTTCTCTTTCTTCAACGGCTGACTCGTAATTCTGACAACAGGGTTTTGGTGTTCGCGGCATCAACAGGCTTGATCTTCTAACAGCTCTCTGCCAGCTCGCAATGATGCCACTGATACATAATCATGACTGCTGATCTCCGTACAATGCTACCAAGGACAAGACTGCCAGGGCCAACGGCACACCCCTCCAGCCTATGTAGAGTATCACACGGGTCATGTGTCAATGAGACCTCCCCACGTGTGAAAGGGCCTCAGTTCATCAGCCGGCGGGCCATCAGACCCACATGCTCGATGTGAGAGCTGGCGATGTCGGGCCTGGTTTCCGGGCCTGATAGGGCGATCGTAGGCCTGAAGGTTTGGCTGAGAATATGTCTTTTAGTGATGCTGTCCAGTGTACAAATTTGGAGATGACGATGGGTCAAACAGGTGTGGAGGTGGTAGAGTGTGTATTAGGGATGGGTCAGGAGGTCGGCGTCTGTTTAGGAGGGCAACTGATTTGGGCCCCTCTGGAAACCAAATCGCGTCGTGATCAGGTAGGATATGGTTTTCTTATAAGAGTGCTCCCTATCTCAAAGACCGATTTGGCATTACAGGTTATTTGCAGACGGTGAAGGCCTGGGGCTTCTTTTTGTGTTTTCCTGCTCTTCGATTTTTAGGCTGGACCATATTTGTTTTTCCTTTTCTTTTGTCTTCTATTGCAGCTGGATTGTCTGCCTTCTGGCCTCCTGTCACACACTCTCTTTCAAATCCTGTCCTCTAGTATCAGGTATACTATGAGGCTTGTATTTCCATCTCTCTTTATCTGAGTTTGTTTTTCCTTTTTGTTTCAAGATGGCCAGACCATCCATTCTGGGCCTGGCTGCCCTTACAACAACTGTCGCTCAGGTGGTGACAGCAGCAACTTCATCTTACACCCTGGAGGACACGTTCGACTCATCTAATTTCTTCGACTCCTTCACATGGTTCACAGACGCCGACCCAACGGCTGGATTCGTGTCGTACCAGGACCAGTCGAGCGCCACGTCGGCCGGGCTGGCGACCATCGCCAACAACCAGGTCCGCCTAGGCGTTGATTCCACGTCAACGGTGGACAGCTCCACGCTCAGTGCATATGTCGGGGGCGACACCTCTGTGGGCGGGCGCAAGTCGGTGCGGCTACAGTCCAAGAAGACATACACCAAGATGCTCATGGTGGCGGATATCGAACACATGCCGGTTGGGTGTGGCACCTGGCCCGCACTGTGGACGTGGGGCACTGGCTCGTGGCCTGCAGACGGCGAGATTGATATTATCGAGGGGGCAAACTCGCAGACCACCAACGCGATGACTCTCCACACCTCGGCAGGCTGCACGCCGTCCAACAGCGGCCAGGATCCCGGGACGAGCTGGTACGACGGCAGCACTGGCGACTGCAGCGCCGACAGCGGCAGCACGGGGTGTCCTCAGCGAGGCACATCGACATCCAACTTCGGCGCTGGCTTCAACAGCGCCCAGGGCGGCGTGTACGCGATGGAGTGGACGGACGCTGCCATCAGCATCTGGTTCTGGCCGCGCAGCTCGATCCCCAGCGGCATCAGCTCCTCTTCGACGGTCGACACGGGCAGCCTGGGCACGCCGCTGGCGCGGTTCGAGGGCGGCAGCGGGTGCGACATCGCGAGTCACTTTCAGGGCCATGTCATTACCATCAACACGGCGCTGTGCGGGCAGTGGGCTGGCAAGGCGTGGGCTGCGGACGGGACGTGTGCGAGCCAGGCGGACTCTTGCGCGGCGTGGGTGGCGAACAACCCGGGTGCTTTTGCGGATGCGTACTGGTTGTTTAACTCGATCAAGGTCTACACTGCCGGGGCGAGCTCGACTAATTCGAGCTCGACGGCTGCCTCGACGAAGCGAGACCCTGTGATGGACTTTAGGATCGGGACGACGGTGGCTGGCAGTGGTGGTGCAGGAGGAGGAGGACGAGGAGGCGAGGAGGCGCCTTGGGAAGCGGGAAGGGGAGGGACACAACAAACTGCAGATTCGACTTTGGTCGCGGACATGGGACAGAAGCGTGGTTTGTCTGAGGTCTTTGACGGCGTGAAAGACGTTTGGGACGATGCCAAGAATGATGGGAAGAATGCTTGGGACACTGCCAAGAACTCTATTGGAGGGTCTTCTACAGATGAAAACGAAGACAGGGATCAGGACGAGATGGCGTCCACGACGTCTGATGCAAGACCTCTGAGGGAATCTGTGAGTACTGGTCAGCCTTCTGCTGCTACTGCGACAGGAGACAACGCCCCTATTGCGTCCGCAACTCGATTGGCTTCGGATGCAAACATGACGGCGTCGTCTGGAGGCATTTATGACTCGCCAACCTCAGGTCGCTCTGGATTCGAGGATCAAGACAGTGCACGTGTGATTCCTAGTGCAAGCACGAGTGTCCCTCTGTCGTCTGCGGTAAGGAAGAGATACAGCTTCCGGCAACTGGCAGCCCGTGCTGCTGCTGCTGCTGCTCCAGAGGGAGGTCGAGGCCTCTGGAAGACAGCTGGGAGTGCGACAGTAGATGGAAGGGGGCAGAAGGCGTATGGTAGAAGCACGGGCTGCTCTAGGAGGACCGAGGACAGGAAGGGTGTGGTCTGTGAGAGAAGATCTGTTTCTGGGAAACTGGCGAGGGTGTTTGTGGGTTGAAATGGTGTTCTAGACGTTTTTCTCATTTTCTGTCTGTCGGTTTTTTGTTTTCTCTCTCTCTCTCTCTCTCTCTCTCTCTTCGGTGGCATTTGTTGGGAGTTTTGAGTTTTTGTTTGATTCAAAATGGATTCGTTACTGAATCGGCTATCGTGGTCCAATACTATAAAGTAAGGAGCAAGTAAAGACTGCTTCTGACAGATTGCCGTATAAGGTGACTATGCTTCTGTTCTGAACTGGACTTTGCAAGTGTATATGAGGATGAACTCTTGCCCTTGGCCCTCACGGCCCTGTATCCGGACTGGTCGTTGTGAGTCGGGGAAATGAACTACGAGGTAGGACCGAAGTGGTGATCACATAACTGAGTAACACAACCGTGAGACTGGCTTTCACTTTAATTATGTTTCTGAAGACAGACGTGACAAGTAGATAATTACTGAGAGAGTTGACGATAACCTCCACTGCTCTCTCACTCTGTCACTGCTGTGAATACTGATTGCCTACACAGCAGATCTGTGGTGAGCTCGCAAAGGCATGATGCACTCCAGGAGAGAGAAAACCCTAACCAAATTAACATTCGGTGCGCGGGGAAAGCTTCCATAGCACGACATCGCCACTGTCGAATTGGCCCCGTCAGGGAGGGCAGTGCTAGTGCAGCGAACCACCCCTCCTTCTCCCCCTTCCTTGCAGAGGGCCGATCCGAGCACGCCAGGCTCTATAGCCTTTATGCACATACTATAGTCCGTATGCAGGTCCCAGGAGTCCCAGGAGTCGCCACACAGGGTTCTGGGCGCTTGGTTGGTGAGTTGGGACTGACGACGACTATGACGGGGTCTCAAGGAGGCTTCAGGGCAAATGTGAAACAAGTACAACGCGGCTGATTGTTGCTGTTGGTGGAAATGAATACCTGACGAATTGTACGTTGTGGATGGATTGTAGTACAGACAGTATGAGAGACGGGCTATCATGGTAATCGCAAGGCATTCCTTCAGGATGCGTGGGAGGATGGATGGAAGTGAGATCTAGTGTACAGTACTTTGTCATACATCCCAAGTACTGACCAACACAGAAGCTGTACTATGGTATGTCAATCGATGATGGTTCGATGCAGCCTGTCAATAGAGACTCGTCCCATACTGTAAAAAGCGTCTCGATGTCGTCAGCTCTACCGCTTCGCCCGCAACCCCCCCCCCCCCTTCTCCTCTCCCACAACGCAGCTCCTGATGCGGGTCGACTGGTTATTTTTCCTTTCTTCGATTTATTGATTCATTTATACATCGATCTATCGATGAGCTGGACTTTTAAGAGGGGAGACACGAGAGAAAGTGGACAGACATGAACGAAGAAAGAACAATTTTTTGACGGATTTGGACGGCTCAGATCAGGAGAAAATTGACTCGCCGCTTGTCATCCCACACCGCAGACAGGATGAGACTAAGTTCACCCCCTGGCGTGCTTCGGAGACGGGGAATAGGGAACGTGCTCAGCCCCGTCTCATCCGAGAACGTTTGTGAATAATGATCAGATTTTCTTTTAGCCTGTACCGGGGCTGAATGGTAGATACGTCGTACAAAGGCAACAAGAGACCATTCGTAATCTCATGGTCATAGAAAACAGCATGGGAATGATTGTTTGCGTGAATGCAGAAGAAGAAAGAGAAATAGACGGAGTGACTTTGCGACGAGAAGAAGAAGGAGGATATGGGATACTTGATGGGCGAGGTTGAGTTGAGCTTGCTTTGGGGGTGTTGTTGAACAAAGACTAAAACATCACTTGCGCAACGCAACACATGGGTGGGTCAGACTTTCAAGTTCACCCCCCTTCCTCTCTTCCTCGTATGCCGCTGATGGCCTATTCATTCCTTTGAGCGACTGCTTGGCTGATTGGCTGGCAGAGGCAGGCTCCCTAAGAGCTAGTGTGGAGTCGATCCGAGTCTGTCGGATTCCACAAGGGACCCCCCCCCCCCCCAAAGAAACCCCACAGTGAGAACAATCAGGGGACCACTAGGGGACCACTGACACTGGAATTGACTGAGAGGCTCGCTGGGGGATCTTCCTGGGGGTGCCACTGACCACCCCTGGACTTCTTCTCAGTGCAGTGCGGGTGGCCCACAATAGGTACCGCGCCCGGCCCAGCCTAGCCCAGCCCCAAACCCAGAGAGAGACGAGAGTGCCAGTGCCCGCTCCGAGTTGCCCAGGTGCCTCAGCAACTGCAACAACCGAAGCCTGTTGTCTCACCCACACCCCCCAACCCACACATTCAATAATACTCGCACACCCACCTCCTCGCTCTCTCACACACACACATTTGGGTGCAGGTGCAGCGCAGCCACACGCCATACCTGCCGTAGTACCTACCTCACATCAGCCAGCCCCCTTCGAAACATCACCCCCTTCTTCCATCTTCCGTTTTCTTTTCTACTCTCTTTCGCTTCTCCTCTTCCCCACTCAGCATCACCACTATCCCCATCATCATCATTTTCTTCTCGACAGTCCTAAACGAACGACTCCATCAGTTAACTGTCGTGACTGCTTCGCTGCATCCACGACGGACGACGCAGGACGGGGCCTAGAGTGCTACAAAAAAGGGAAGGAGAATAAGGAAAAATTAAAGGAAAAAAAAGATCAAGGGTCTCACACGCGAATCGGCCGAGTCTCCCTCCGCCCTGGCCTGATCTGGGCCGACCTCTCAACTTCAACAACTCACATTTCGATCCACTTCTGATCAAGGGACGACGACCAACGAAATACCTTCCATTCCCTTGGTATTGATACTGAAGCTATCGATCAACCCTCGACATCTTTCCTCCACGATACTACAGACACAAAGGAGAACTCGACGGTCGAGTACCTTCCCCTCCAGCGATACCTGGGACATCTTTGTGGGCGGGTCACATGGGCTGAGAGGCAGAAGAAGCTCCCTCTCGTCTAGCTTGCTCTCCCACCGCCTTCTCCTTCGACCCCTCCTCCTCCTCTCCACCTTGGCAACTTGTGCCTGCTTCGGCTCTCGTTGTTTCACCGACTCGACAAAAGATCCCCCTTGTCCCCTGCTCTACCCTGGCCTGGCCACAACCAATAATTATATATATAAAGAAGGACTTATACTACACATAACAAGTGGGCTCTTCCCGCAGTCCCACGGTCAATCCAATGTCGACGGTCCCCTCCTCCGCCTAGACGGTCACATCACAGAATGCTACGACGGCCTCCCACCGGCGAGGGTAGGCCTGTCGTCCAACAGCGCAAGAAGCTATGGGCTCTTGCTGCCCTCCTGCTGCCGTGGGCTCCTGTCGTCGACGCTGCTGACCTCCATCATCACCACCATGAACATCAACAGTCTCTCGACCGGCACCCTCAGGCCGTCATCTCACCCTGGCTGGACGCCGCTGCTGCCGCCGAGCATGGCCTCGACCGCAAGCCTGAGCACGAACGCTCCCCCCTCGAAGCCGACCGCGTCAAGCGCAATCTTGCAGCGACTGCCTTGACACACGACCTTATCCAGACGCCTCACGCCGCCCTGCGGAGGAAGTCCACATACTCCCAACCCATCCAGGCCCAGAAGGAGCCCTCTCGACACGAGGAGACCGACCTGGACCCCTTTCACGACCTTGTCTCTACCGATGCGAGCGCCATCTCTGCTGCAGCTCCGGATCTGTCCGTTGTAGCACCATCTGCCAGGCGACTGGAGGATTGGGAAGTAGAAGATTTCGTTCTCCTGGCGACCATCGACGGAGACCTGTATGCCACCGACCGGAAGTCGGGCCGCGAGCGCTGGCATATCTCCCTCGGCCAGCCCATGGTCGAGACCACACACCATCGCATCAACAGGTCCTCCTCCGCCGCCGGTGCTGATTTCAATGTGCTCGACCAGACCATCTGGGCTGTCGAGCCCACCCGGGACGGTCAGATCTACATGTGGGCCCCCGGCGAGGACCATGGTTTGGTCTACACCGGCCTCACCATGAAGAAGCTGGTCGAGGCCGCCCCCTCCAAGAACGAGGCCCTCTCCCTTGTCTACACCGGAGAGAAGAAGACCGTCCTCCTCACCCTCGACGCCGCCACCGGCCGGGCCATCAAGTGGTTCGGCCCCACTGCCTCCGCCGCCGCCGACGACTCCACCTGTGCCCGTCCCCAGGACACCGTCGCTGGTCTCGACGTCGAGGAGTGCAACACACGCACCATCACGCTGGGCCGCACCGAATACACTGTGGGCATCTCGGACGCACGTGGCTACGACATTGCCACCCTCAAGTATTCCGAGTGGACCCCAAATCTCTTCGACCAGGACCTGCTGGGCCAGTACTCGTCGACCCTGGACAAGCTCTACATCACCAGCCGGCCCGACGGCCGCGCCTATGCCTTTGAGTATGGCCGTGATACGGGTCGTTCGCAGTCCTTTGTCCAGTATTTTCCCTCGCCGATCGCCAAGGCTTTCGACATTGTCAGACCCATCCGCTCTTTCATGGATGATGCCCAGGACAACCCCCAGCTGGTGGCCCTGCCACAGCCTCCACCGCCACCCGCGTTCGAGCACCAGGAGCCCGGTCGAGAGAGCAAGATCTTCCTCAACAACACCGCCGGGAACTGGTTCGCCATGTCTGGCCTGTCCTACCCGCTCATCACGCAGGCACCCTCAGCCCTGATCAACCAAGTCCAGTGGTGGGAGGTGCACGATGACTTCAGCACGGCGCAGCTCACCAAAGCACTGGTGGGCCAGCACACTCTCGACAGTGCCTGGTCGAAGCCCGGCCAGCACAGACTGCCAACTCTCCCTGGGTCTCAGAACCTGTCGCCCAAGCTGGACAACCCCAGCGACCCAGACAATCCTACGCTAGCCATCGACGCGCCTGATCCAAGCAGCACAGTAATTGACATTGTCAAGAAGCTACCGCAGGATGCCCTTCAGCACACCACAGACCTCTTCACAAACCCGGCCATCTGGCTCATTCTTGCCATTGCGCTCGTCGTCTACCGCAAGGAATTCATCCGCTTTGTCCGAAACGGCTGGCATGAGATTGTGAGCGATGCGAAAAACTATCTGAAACGCAAGGGGTTCGAAGTGGACGTCGATGATGATTTAGCAGAAGACACACCAGAGACAGAGCGTGTTGAGGCCCGGGCTGCAGAGAAGGACCGCCCCTCCGCAGCGGATACCGCCCTGGAGGCCCCTGTCGAGCGCTCTGTTCCCCCGCTGCCGCCATTGGTCTCGCAGGAGGATGCAGTACCATTACCGGAAGAGGGCAAGGCTGGATCCACTGAAGAAAACGAACAGGGCCAGCCGGAAACGAAGAAGAAGAAGGCTCACCGCGGCCGCCGGGGCGGCAAAAATCACAAGAAGAAAAAGACGAGCCCTGATGCCTCTGTCGGTGATGTGCCTGACAATAGCGTGGACGAGGCGGTCGACATTGCCAAGAACATTGGCGAGCGCAGCCGGGGCCCTGAGCCGAATATTCAGACCTTGCCGTATGAGGTAGAAGATGTGTCCAACCCCATCCTGCGCATCGACGAGAGCCTCGAGGTGAACGAAGACCAGCAGCTCGGAACAGGGAGCAACGGTACGGTCGTGTACGCGGGCAAGTGGCAGGATAGACCCGTTGCCGTCAAGCGGATGCTGCGCGACTTTTATGACATCGCCTCACAGGAGACCAGGCTGCTCAGAGAAGTGGACCGACATCAAAATGTCATCCAGTACTTTGCGCAGCTGGAGCGTGGCCAGTTCATCTACATCGCCTTGGAGCTCTGCGAGGCGTCTCTGGCCGATGTCATGGAGAAGCCTCAACAGTTTAGACAGCTGGCGAGTGCAGGTGCCAAGGATACACTGGCTGTCCTGAAGCAGATCACTAAGGGCCTGGATCACCTGCACTCTCTACAAATTGGTGAGAAGTTTCCCCCTCCAAACCCCGCAAAACTTGACGCCCGTCTCCTCCAGTTGTATTGGCGTCGACTCGGCCCTTGGCAAAAGAAGCCATAAATGTAGCAAACAAACCTTACTAACTGCCTGCTTCTCCCGCAAATTAGTGCATCGCGACTTGAAGCCTCAGAATATTCTGATTACTAGAGACCGCAAGTCGGGCCGACCGCGCATCCTAGTGTCGGATTTTGGCCTGTGCAAGAAGCTCGAGGGCGGCCAGTCGTCATTTGGTGCTACCACCGCCCACGCGGCTGGCACGTCAGGCTGGCGGGCGCCCGAGCTGTTGCTGGACGACGAGACGCCGGCCTCCAGTGGCCCGATGCTGGCAGAGAGCTCCACGCACAGTGGTAACCACGGCAGCCAGGGGGCTGAGGTCACTCACAGACGCGTGACCCGATCAATCGATATCTTCTCGCTCGGTATCGTCTTCTTTTACGTCCTCACACAGGGCTCACACCCTTTTGACTGTGGCGACAAATACATGAGGGAATACAACATCAGGAAGGGCACTTATAGCCTCGCAAGGCTTGATGTGCTGGGCGACTACAGGTGCGAGGCGAAACATCTTGTCGGGACAATGATCAGCGCCAACCCCAAGGAGCGACCCAAGACAAAGGAGATCCTGGCACACCCTTTCTTCTGGGACGCACGCACCAGACTCCTCTTCCTCTGTGATGTATCTGACGCGTTCGAGAGGGAGCCGCGTGACCCGCCCAGCTGGGAACTAGAACAACTAGAACAGGGCGCACTCAAGGTCACCAAGGGCGACTTCCTGAGCAAACTTCACAAGGAATTTGTTGACTCCCTGGGCAAGCAGAGGAAATACACCGGCTCGAGGCTGCTTGATCTCCTGCGCGCTCTGCGCAACAAGAGGAACCATTACCTGGACATGTCGGAACCCCTGCAGAAGAAAGTAGGGTCTCTTCCGGAAGGATATTTGCTTTATTGGACGACACGGTTTCCGGATCTTTTGCTATACTGCTGGGGGCTTGTTCGGGATCTGGGCTGGCATGAGCTGGAACAATTCAAGGGGTATTATCAGCCTCCGGAGTCTGGGTGAATAGCGGTTCAGGTGGTCATCATATCAAAGCGTGTATGTGTGTGTGTTTTTGGAAAGCGACTACTTGGACTTAGGGCCGGATTTCTCAGCAGTTGGTGGATCTGCTCGGTTGATAGGTTCTTTGGAAATGATCAAAAGCTATGATTTCTTCTTCATCCTCAAGCCACATGATACTCTTCTCTCACTCTCGTGCCACTAAGTGTTCACGACTCAAAAATCCATTTGAGGTAATCCAAAATACTAGGAGGCTCTCACTGGGATCCAGCCCAAGGCATTGATTGCCATGATCATATAATCATCCTTACACAAATAGACCTGGCCCATTCATTGGACAGTGTTCCAAGTCTAGGGACAGTACCCAACAAAGGATTGACGCGCTCTCATCCTCTAACGCTTACTTACCAAATACCATGTTAATGTTAGAATGTTGCATGATGTTGTAAAACCGGTATCACTGAGAGACAGTTGATCATCCAATCGGAGATTTATGTACGCTCCCTACATGCCTGAGTAAGTAGACAAGGAAAAATCCCTAGGCTTTCATTATCGACAGGATCTCCCCAAATCATACACCAGCTGAGATTCAATATCTAACCAGAAACAAATCTACAAAAATTCTAAATAATCTAGAAGATGACTTGATGTACTGACCCAGCCAGTTCAAAGTCCGTTCAGCACTATGCCCTAATAAATCATCTGATCCATAATGCATGATCTAGTAACACTCTCCACCACATGCTCCTGGCTCCGTACATGTGCCCTTCCATGTTCAATAATTAATTCCTGATGCCTTGTGGTTGATAAGTGCCCGGATGAACCAACACAAGAAAATTAACAAATCGACAACATCCATCTCATAAAACCTTCTTGCTCATTGATCTGGAACCAGATCAGTCTCAACCCCGCCTCTTGCCCGATCCCCTGCTGCTGCTGCTGCTGCTGCTGCTCGACCCACCAGCTTGGGCCAGCTCCTGCTTGAACCATTGTATGAGCTGCGAGAGGAAGCCCTCCAGACCCAAGGTGTGGTATCCTCCTTTCATGTCAACCATGTATTCACATGCCGACATGTGCTTTCGGGCCTCGTTGTAGTCTCCTGCCATGTACTGTAGGAGACAGCGAAAAAAAAAGTCATCAGAGATGAAATCGCCGGGAAAAGGAAAAAGAGAAAAGGAAAAGAGAAGAAATAAAAATAAGAAAGAAGAAGAACAAGCATGCACACCAGTCTTTCTGACAACTCACCTCATTGAATGCGAAAAACAAAGTCATTCCGATCACGTTATCCGTGACGGGCTGGCCAGCTTCAGGCATGGCCTCACGCATGGAGCGCAGACACTCTCCTTTATACTGCAGGGCCCGCTGCTCGTACATGTCGGCCTCCTGGTGGTTGCCGGACCTGCGCTGTGACTTCACAAGGTTTCGACACGACGCAAGAAAGATGCCCTGGAGGAGGCCCAGGTCCGTCAGGCAGAAGTTGACCCAGTGGGTTGTCATGCTGCGTCGGTACAAGGCGACGTCGATGGAATGCCGTGGGTGGTCGCAGGGGTTGTGGCGGCTGGGTATTAAAATTGTTATATCTGGGGCATCTCAGGGTTAGCAAGAGAATGTCATCATATTGTTGTACAGCATTCTCTCGAGAAGGTGGAAGAAGCATACAGTGGTCGAGAAGGTACTGTTCCCATGACGAGAGCTGGCCAGTAAAGGCGGAGCTCTGAGGGACCTGGGCAGAGTAGGAGAAGGAGGAGGAATAGGAGGAGTAGCCCTGCGTTGCGCTTCCCGTGGGCCTCTGGTATGTCACGGATGATGACGATGCTGAGTACAGGGACGATTCGATCTGCCCATCACCGCCCACGTCGTCGTAATAAGCCAGGTGCTCCGGCTGGAAATACCCAGAAGACTGTGGGTCCTTGCTGGAGCCCTCGCCAGCCTCCCTCGACCGCCTGCTCTTGGCGTGCGATGTGCGGGCCACGTGTGACCGGACGAGCTTCTTGTTGTCGGCCGTCTTGGCCTCGGCCGGGTCCGAGTACATGAAGAATTTGAGCTCTGGCCCCGGCTCTGGCGTGTCATGCCTAGCGCCCGTCTGGTCTCGCTTCTTGCCCTTGGAGGAAGACGAGCCGCTGCCGGAACTTCGGCCTGATCGCTTGCTGCTGGAGGACATGTCGGCCGTCTCCTTGGTGGTCTTGTGTTCGAGGCAGCCGTGCGCTGCTGGTGTCGACAGCGTGCTTGTCCATCGTGACCAACAGACCAAGACATGACGAGGCCTTGGTAATATACTAATAATATCACCAAGGCTTCCCAGTCCAGGCAGATGTCAAAAGTTTGCACAGGACTTTCCAACAGTGAAGGAAGAGCTGATTATGGAGGCAAGCAGGATAGGATGCGTGGCTGTGGGAGGAGGAGGGGAAGGGAAGCATCAATTACAAAACAGGACATAATCAGGAACGGTAAGTATTGAGGAGGAAGGGGGAAAACTGAGGAAAAGAAGGACTCGGGACACCACGTGGTATTAGGGGACAAGGAGACCAGAAGAACCATCTGACACTGACTCTGACAATGCTATTAAAGTCTGACCTTTGCACTGCCGCCGAAAAAAAAAAAAAGGCAGGTCTCGTATCGCCAGTTAGGCTGTTGTGTGTGTGTGAGAGAGAAAGGCTGCCGCCTGGCGCCGCATTAGACAACCGTCACCACATAGATGTAGATGCTGAGACAATGTATACATCTGCACTTCTAGATGCTCAATGTGGTAAGATTTCACAGTCCTTAACGTTTTGAGTCCCGCCCGGCAAAGGAAGGAGAGCCTGTTTGTAAGTGAAGAGATAAAATACAAACATCTCTACAGCTTGGGTCACGGATCTATACCATGCAAGGGGGATCTGGAAGCTACCGTCAGCTGTCGGCCCGTCGTCGTGTATCGCTCCATCAAGATTGGGCGATGATCATGTAATGATGGTTCGGCCTGGACGAGAGATTAGCGAGGTTCCTGAAGCCCTGATAGGTCAGTTTCCGTGCAGAGGAAGTACTTATGTGACAGCCGGCCAAGACTGAAAAGAGAAAGGAAGAGAGAGAGAGAGAATAGTATGACTGTAGATGTGGTAATACTCACTTAGCACACCATCAATTCAGCTGCTACGGAGAACCTTTTTTTTCCTTGTTTCGGTTTGCGTGTGGCAAGGAGGTGGAAGATCGAACCGAGACGCCGCACCCAGTTTCTTGGTGAGATTCTTACTGTACTGGGCGCGGCACAGCAAACAAAGAAAAGGCTCTGTATGGAGTCTCACCGGCAGAGGGATGGTTTTGCAAATCCATATACGGACAGAAAGGAGGAAGAAGGTTGGTGGTTCGGATAAAGACTGTCATTGTTTACCTTGTAAAATTTGTTAATGGCGTCTGGTGCCAATTTGATGGATGGTAAAGAGGACAGGGTGGAAGGGTGAAGGGGCAAAGGATTTCGCTGCCTCGAGACGCAAGTCTTACCAGAACAAAATTGCTCTTCGACAAAACAAAGAGCTATGTCCTGGGTATCAGACGAAAAGGGTTAGTCCAATTTTAGACTAAAAATGTAGACAAGAAGAAAGAGAACCAAAGACAGGAAACGGGGGAGAAGAAAGCGAAAAAGGAAAAAAAAAAAGGAAAAAGGAAAAAGGAAAAAGGAAAAAAGACCAGGGTTCTATTGGGTAGCCTGATGGATTTGTTGGTTTTCGAGTTCCCAGGACTTAGATCCGTAAGGCTGAGCCCAAGAAGGAGCCAGGCAACTCTTAAAATTACAATACGGACCAACGTGTTTTGTTTTAGTCTTTTTAACCCACTCCACCCGCCCCTTGTGTGTGGCCACATTGGGTTTCTTGATGTCTCTGCCAATGGAACGAGGTCTTCCAGTTGAACCATCCAATCATGATTGTCGATTTGTAGATGACGCCTCGGCCGATACAGCCGAGCTGATCCTCCATAGGATTAGGGACCAACATGCAGAATCCCGATAGGCCCATCGTTGATGCCATGCAGGATGATGGCATAAGGACTGAACTGACAAAAGTTACACAAGGGACAAGGGGGGTGGGGGGAGTGAAGTGGGAAAGGTGGGAAAAAGAACGAAGGCCCTCTCTCTACCACGGAGGGAACACGGTTCGAGGTGAGCAGTCCTACTTAATCAAGGAAACGCAGGTCTTCCCGCTCGATGCCGTCAGCATTTAGTCCCCGAAGAAGAGCGCTCCCATGTGGCGATCAACTCAATTGCAGGAGAATTCGCGTGCCTAGATCCTTCCTTATGGACCACAACGTCCCAAATCATCCATTTCATGTTCTCGTTCTGCATGTTTCAAGTGGGACTAGGACCTTTAGGACTGGTCTTCAGTCCCAGTCAGAGGAAAGGAAACAGCTGATATCGAACAAGATGATGAATTGTCAATGAGCACGTGGGTCAAATGGCGGCCTGGTTTAGGCTTTCAAGAACAAGAATACAATGAAGTCGACTGGATAATCTAGGACTCGCGTACATATTAGGATGAAGGAGTATGTGGCCTTGAGACTGACATGGAGTTTGAGGAAAAGGCAGCAGAATTAAGTGTAATGTTATCCTGTTGTTGCACTCAATTCATGTAGACATCACACATCTCGCAATTCTCAAGAGAAGACTTGTCAAGATTCCTTTCCTTTCTTTTCCTTTCACTTCCCCTTTAAGCAAGGCTTGTAGGTTACACACGGTCAGTGGTGCGTCTGTTCATGATCTTGTGCCTCTGAGACGGTTCATTTTCGTTGCGATTTGATACAATTAGAGAGGAATCCAGGTGTGCGGATGGGTGCTCCAATGCAGTCTGCTCCTAATTTATCGTACTCATTTCCGATATAGTCTCAGAAGTCTCGAACTCAATAGTCTTTTTTTTCTTGTAGTATTGCTTATTTGGATGCTCGAACGTACATTTCATCTGTGAGTCGTAAGGGGTAACTGCGTGAATATCCTGTTGGGCTTGCAAGTGCATATATACATTCTTGATAGATAAATAGCCGCCTTTTGACAAGTTCAAGGTAATATGGAACACACCATGACAAAATCTACATCCTTTTTCATCGGTCCGTTTCGTGAGAGGTCACCCTTGCCAACTGATCTTCTTGATCACGACTGTCCTCATCCTCATCCTCCTCATCCACATCCACTTCCCCCACCATGGTTGAGTCGAGCGGAGGGAAGTGTGACAGATACAAAACAGCCATGCCCACTATAGCAACGGCGGCATTCACGTAAAATGTCAGATAGGCCTGCCCTGTCTCGGCGAGCGCAGAGAAAAGGAACCCGAAGAATCCCTGCGTTGCTAATCTGGCAATGTTTTCGACCAGAGTGACGGCGTTCAGGGCATCGGTTCGTTGGGAATGGGAACACATCTCGGTAATAACACCCTTGCCTGCTGGTGCAGAACCCGAGCCGAATGGTAGAAGGAAGGCAGCTTCACCACCCCATAGAGTTAGCAAAGAAAAAGAATTCAAGAGGAAGAGAGGAAGCCTGGAGGTGGCGTCGGTTTGGAGGCAAAGGAGAAGAAGGGGGAAAAAAAGGATGATCTTACCAAGGTATATATGCCAATTCCGTGTGCACAATGCAGCACCGGCAGTCAAGAGGCCATCGACCAACAGACTCCACCTCAGAAAGAACAGGTCGAAGTGACAGGCTGTCCGCTCCTCCTCATCCGTGAGCTCCGACTGCTCGAGCGCCAGCGGATCTTGGTCTGCCTGGTTGCCAGCCACGGGTACCTCCAGCTCCTCGGGGCGTGATGGGATCCTCGCCAGGGCATCTTGGTCCTCATCGCTGCCAGGGGCACCATTTTGATTATTATGATGACGATGATGTCGTGAATTGTCAGTACCGTGGTGGAAATCGTAGTTTTCACCCTTCTTCTTCTTCTTCAATCCAGAAATCCACCAGCTTCTACCCGCAGAGATGATACGAGGGAAGATGAAAAACAGGAAAAAACTTCTCATGAGCGCGTTACCACTCATGAGCCAGCCGTTGTCTGCCTGGCTAAAGTCAAAGTATGCTGTGGCGTACATCTGAATCAGGAGGGGCGCGTAGCCGGTCGCCAGGACGCCCAAGAAGATACCACAGCAGAGAAAGAGGACGCCATAGTGTTTGGTGACGCGTCCACTGAAGAGACGAACGTGCTGGGGCGCCATAATCTTGAGAGGAGCGAGGAACCCGCTGACGCCGCCTCCTCGTCCTGTATCCTTCTTCCCATCCGACAGCGACTCGGGCGAGATGAACGGCAGGACGAATCTGGCGTAGGCAGATGAGATTAAGAAGAGGAAGAAGGCAACTTGGAAGGGCATCCGAATCCCAAAGGCATCGCCCGTCATGCCGCCCAGAAGGTACCCAATAGCCTGGCCCAGCATGATGCAGCCTTGCAGCTGCCCAAAGACGGCCGTCCTCTGCATGGGTTCGACCAGCTCGCCAGCGATAGTGTTCACGACGAGGATGTACCCAGCAGGCCCGCCCAGGATGGTGATGAGCTGGGTGCTCTGGATGATAGTCTCGCCGGCCGCGCCGCCAGCCAGGACGCCGAGAACCTGGGTGGCGACGCGGATGGCCGGTATAAAAGTCTGCAGGACGAGGGCGAAGCGCGGGCCCCATTTTTTCACCGTCCAGCCCGTCAGAAACAGGTTCAGCGTGCCGCAGAAGGTGGTGCTCATGCCCAGCAGCGAGAACTGCGTCGCCGTGCCCGCGGCGATCTCGTTCAGCGAGCAGCGGTCGCCCGGGCCGGTGTAGGGCGGGTGGGTCTCGTAGTAGACGTCGCACTCCATCAGATGGAAGACGTAGAAGATGGGCACCTGGGTAAAAGAAAAACTGAACGAGATGATAAACCCGGCCAGGAGGACTTTGATCGTGTTGGGAGGACCAAACAGGCGGGTCAGCCACGAGGAGGAAGACGACGACTTTGGCTGAGTTTTTGCGATATGGCTATTGCTGCTACTCGCGCTGCTGTTGCTGCTGTTGCTGCTGTTGCTGCTGTTGCTGCTGCTGCTGCTGCTTCTTCTTCTGCTTCTGGTGGTGGTGGTGGCATCAATGCCATTGGTGATGGTGCCATTCTGGTGTTGGCTGCCATCTCCGTTGGAGAGGAGCGGTGTTCGCTCATCTCTTTCATTTATCGGCATGATGATGGGTTTTGTGGCATGGCTAGTGAGAAGAGATAGAGACACAATGAGTTGGGAAAGTGTGTGGACACGATGAAGAAGGGGGGCGAAGGGAATACCAACAGAAAATTTCGAAAATTAAAAAAGGAGTCAAGAGATAGAGAATCGCCGGTGAAGACGGTAAACCGAGATGGTGGGTCCCCCGCCCGACCGTTCTGCCGGGTGTGACCCGATCACCGGAATCGGAATCAAAGGAAGAAATAAGGCAGTAGTTGCTTTCTCTCTACACTATAGCGCCCGTTTTGGCGGCATAGACTCCTCAATACATACAGATTGCATGTATGCCATTTATTACTTGGAGAGAGGCATTGAAGTGTAAGCAATTTGAGTGAGTTTTCGACAAGCATTGCAGGATCATCGTTTAGCCAGAGCATGCAGAATTTATAATCAACTTCACATGAGAGAGGCTGCTGTCTTTTGCCCGAAGCGATGACGATGTGGCTTCACTCGCAGGACACTCAGCCTGTGTTGTTCTCTACACCGGTATTACGAACTCATAAACTTCATTTACTTATGTCGTCAGCATCAGGTGGCATTTTTGGGAGTGACGGAGGTTCAATGCAGATAGATGTCAACGTTGTAACTGAGGGATTTTTTTGGGGATCCCGGTGATCAGTATTTTATGACATAACCTGTAATGAAGGCGAGATCCTCACGACACAATAAATCATAACTTACAAGTACCGACAAGATGATTTTTAATATGTAATCCGCTAAGAGACTGAGAGGCGGGAAGAAGAAAGAAAAAAAAAACAAGTGATCGTAGCATTGAGTTAAAGTTTGGAGCTATCGTTAAGCTATCACCAAATTCTCACCGCTCCTTCAGCCCCATCTGCAATCATGTAAAATGGTTTGCCGCCTTCTTCACGTCTTGATGTTTCAATAGACTTGGTTGGCTACTTTGTCACTGCTTTATGCTCTTATAAAAAGCTCGCATAGTGGTTGGAAGGTCGTCGGCCTCGAGAAGCAATTCAACACACTATAAACCACGGCGTTATACAAGTCAGAAGACGGTTTTGCATAGGAGAACGTAATCATTACACCATCATTATCCCAAGAACAGACGTACCTGAGCATAACCTGCTTTCTGAAATGCCTCGTCTGACAATAACGAGTCAAGGTCCTTCGTCTTTCCCACACAGAATGTCTTCACATCTACTTCGGTCGCCAGAGCTCGAAAGATGGCGGTGTAGTCCCACATGGGAACGTCGTTGTATGCAGCCTTCATGCCATTGAAATACCTCTCCACCGTGTATCCCTTGTTATTGAGAATAAAACTGTAAGAATATGCCAAATTAGCACAAACATATCTGATCGATATCATTGACGGTCTTTGACAATAGCTCATGGATACTTGATGAACCCTGTGGAATACTCACACGACAGGTGTAATACCATGTCGGCTCAAGATGGACAGAGCCTGTACTGTCATTTGAAGGCTCCCCTCGCCCGTGAACAGCACAATTCGCTTGTAATGACCCATCTCTTTGGCTGCGATGGAAAGTCCTACAGCCGCACCGGCAGCATACCCGATACTTCCCCAAACAGCCTGCGTCCACACCTTTACATCAGGAGGAATAAGAACGGAGTTGAAGCCGAATTGTGATGTACCAGTCTCTGTAATGACGAGATCGCCAGGGCTGTTGAAGGAGGAGATCCGCTTGTTGGATTCTTTGTGTCAGTCGTTGACAGCACCAGAGGAAACGCATGGATTACTAAAGTACTCACAGCCCATAGGTAATCTTGAGTGATGCTCGTGGGTGTGGGAATCTCTTGGGCCTGCTGTTGCTTGATGCGGCGTGTACGTCCAGCCAGCCCATCATCTGCTCTGATTGCCGCCGTCAACTTAGGCAGTATTTGCGTGATCTTCGACTCAAAGCTTTCCTCGTTGAACTGGAATAAAGAATCAGTTATTTAGGACTCTCCAAACACCTCCTATTATGTAGATTGTCAAACCTTGGTACAAAATCTCTGGAAATCCACAACAGTGGCGCCGTGCCCCAAGTGGACAGAAAACCCAGCTCTTCGATGCAGTTACTGGTAAGCATTATCTCCTTTTCGCGACGAATTATAGGGCTCAGAAACTTAATCACTTACGTATTGCAGTCGGAGGGCAAACTCCCGAGCCAGAGCACAAGGTCTGCAGTCTCTACGATCTCCTTGGCCTCTGGCAGAGAAGTGCCGCCGACGTACCCACCGACGTAGTATGGGCTCGATTCATCGACAGCTCCCTTGCCTAGGAGCGTCGTAAGGACAGGAACCTTGAGAGCATCCATGAGACTGGGAACAAACTTGGCCCAGCTTGAGCGGGCAGCACCTCCGTCAACCAGGAGAACTGGCTGCTTGGCTGCGGACAGCTGAGTGAGGATTTTCTCAATGAGCAAGTTTTCGACGTTGACATTCCCTGGCGGGAGGGTTGTTACGAGCTTGGTGTCAAGAGATGAAAGGGGAATTTTGGAATAAGCAATGTCCTCGGAGATTCCAATGCTATTTTGATTGATTCCGTCCTCGTCAGCCTTTCATCTCTAGACATTTTGATGACTTCAGCGCGAGTGGAACCTACTAGCCAGGTCGTGAATAGTAGAGCATTGCTATTTGCCGTCGCGACAAATTAGTCAGACGACCAAAGGAAGGGACATATGATCATGACTTTGACACACCGTTGATCACCCTGTCAATCTCGCTGGCTGCAGTTTGTGCATCCTCAAGTACAGCCGTCGCGCAGCTCAACTCCCCCGACATTGTGACGAAGTGGCTAATTACTGTATGTCAATGCGGAGCAGGTATTTAAATTCCTAAAAAAAGGCATGTTGTACTTACTCATAACGCAGGTCACCCAATGTGTGATGGTAGATCCGTCCATTACCCTGTGCCTGTCTGGTCGGGTACCCTACGATGTGCAGGATGGGAACGTGCTCACAGAAAGCACCTCCGATGCCACATAATGCACTCAGCTCGCCGGGACCGAATGTAGTCACCAGAGCACCGAAGCCCTTCTCGCGAGCATATCCGTCGGCCGCATAGGCTCCGACCAGCTCGTTGGGTGTGCCGACCCAGGAGAGACCTTCTGGCTCAAGTAGATCGAGCAGCGCAAGTTCGTAGTCTATACGTGTAATCATCAGTATTTTGGTGCTCTCATGAAGGGTAATCTTACGCAAAGACAACGAGTTGAGAAGGTGACTTACCCCCAGGAACTCCAAAGAGTGTTCCTACGTCAAGCTCACGAAGACGGCGGAACAGGTACTCCCCGACGAGAATTTCTGACATTTTCGTAGATGATTGATATGATTTTATGCAAAATGTATCGTGGTTGGTGAAAAGATGATGCCAGCGTTAGTTGGGCAAGAGAGAGTTCTTGAGAAGCACCACGGAAGATAGGGAGGCTTCTTATATCATTCGGCGAACACATAGACTAAGATGAAAGTAGCTAATAAACTATTTTGCATGAACTGTTTCCCTTTCAGATAGTTTGAAGATTGCCACCATGACCTGAGCACATGTTGTTTGAATATCCGCTATTGCTATCTCCTCTTGGCTCTCGAAGCATAATTCCACCGAGGCTTGTAAGTTGACTATCGCGTACCTTGGTCAGCACATTGCATTCAAGCGAGGACTCCCAGCTAGCTAGGGCATGGTCGTGAAAGACGATTGGCAGATGCGGAACATCCGCGGAACCACGATGAGACGTTACACAAAGCCGGTTCGGTGCATTTATTGTTGAACGAATCACTTGCGTGGTTTGAAAACCTCAAGCAGCCACAATGCCCCCTTCATATAATCGCGTCTTCATTATACGGTTGCTCACTGGCTCTGGCGGACCCATGGTATAGATAGCCCCCAAATGACGCATATAGTGGATGAAGAAGGAAGTTCCGAGGTATCAATTTACTGCCGGAGAGGAAAACCAAACTTACTAGCTGGTAATTCTTGCAGCTGCAGCCCCTTAGCAGATTGTAAACGGCTACAAATACTTCGTCGAGATTGCTTGCGTGCAGCAAAAGTCTGGTGGGGAAATCGGACACCAACGTATACATCTCAAGGTAATTCTTCATTGAAAGTTTCAGGAGTAACGAGGATAGGGCATGAACCCTGGGAATCTTGTCTAAAAGGAGATCGATATGGAGGAGCCAACACTTCCCCATAAAGCTTGAGCGCTCATCATACACCTGCAGATGGCACTATGTACTTGCTTGCACAGAGAGGCCTGAGCACGTTGGACTTCCGCGACTCCTTTGAGTCTGTCTTCATCTTCCTTTTGTGACTCGACTGTGTCCCTTGTCACTATTATCCCGAAAGTTTAGGGCGTGGTGTCCTCCTAATACTCATATGCAGCCACGTATCGTGTTTCTAGAGTTCCAAGATGGCTGACTGCATGGGTTCTTATTCATGAGCCAGCAGACATCTTGCGGAGGAAGTACCTCGGAGGATCTTGTGCACGTGCATATCCTATCGTGCACTCCCTGTCTCTGAACGGGCCTTGATCTCACCTATTGTGATTTTCGCGCGCATCTTGGAATGCAAGTGCGCCTGAGTAAATTAAAAGAGCTTGTGTGATTTTGATAGATGTCAAACTGCATAAGGGTGCAGGCTAAGCACTTACTATGTGCCATGACCACATTATGTTACCAAATCGAGCATCGATATGCGAGAAGTCCTGGTGTGATGACTTGCTATTTGCCCATTTATCTGATTGCCTGTCTTGCACATTGGAGGCCGTGCTGACTTTTTCAAAAAAAAAAAAAAAAAACCCCCCAAGAAAAGAAGGAATGAAAATTGCATGTAACATTAGAGCGCAGACCATCCGAGTGGTAAAGATGTGAGTAGCGAAGCTTTCTAACATGACACAACCTCCTGTAATCCTCCTGTAATCACAACACGCACCAGGGAGGCCTTGAGAGATCACATGCAGTGGTTTTGTTTTGAACAGAGTGGATTGCCTGGGTTATCAAAGAGTGACCATTTTGTAAGATCTCATAACTTACTTTTGGCATTTGCGAGCCTGAACCAGTGGGGTTGATCTATTACCTACTTTTTCTGGCGAGTACCCAAGTATCTTCAGTACTATGGTACATAGTAAAGCCTGGTGGGCAGATGCTATGACGTCAGGGGGCGCTGCTGCTGCGCCGACAGGAAGTAGCAGGCCTGTCCAAGATTCCTTCCCATCCCTTATACTATGAAATCAATCGCAAGTACCAGCACACAACCTTGCTTTCTTCACCTAGGAACTGTATCTAGTCAATGAATTCTTTGTCTCTCAGAGAATTTGTTACATCACCCTGTCGTCCTTATAAATTGTGCCTCGAATCGTTCAATGATCGGTCGAGTAAAGTCTGTCAGTCAACGGAACACGAAACAGAAGACGGCGGGCGCTACCATAAGACATACCCCGCTTGCTTGTCAAGAAGGAGAAAGGAACGAGTGGGTCATCATCGTTATCGTGTAAGAAATATAACGCTGACTTGACCGCCAAAAGGTCCAAGCCTCGGTGGCCCCACGTCTGGAAAAACACCAAGAGAAAAAGCGCCAACCCCTCGTTCGCCCAGAGAGGGAGAGTCTTGAGGTCCACGAGCCAAGTCGTCGATCAGTGTGTTCCCGCGTAAGAGACCCCTAAAGCCCTACCGCAAAGCCAAGTCGCATTTAAGGAAGACAGACAGGTCTTGGCCTACGCGTCCAACTGTCTGTTTGGAGCCCGCCAAGCTTCTTGGTCCCCACCCGCCTAAACCCTACCAAGGGCCTTGTCGGGGCTTCAGACTGTCGTCATAGTGACTGACCCAAGCCAGCTGTCAGGTCACGGTTCACAGCTTGCCCAAGGCACGCAGAGCGAGCGAGCGAGCGAGAGAGATATAGATACAGCAGAGGGACGCGGGGAACCATGTCTGAACCTGCTCCCGCAGCAGGCACACAGCCAGACCACCAGCAGCGTTCTTCTGCGGCTTTACGAGAGAAGCTGGATGAACAGATCAACAAGGACGCAGACGATGCCCCTGAGGGAGCCATAGACGATAAGAATGACGAGCAGGAGCAACAGAACGAACATGCCTCCGGCGTCAAGGGCCTCAAGCACAAGCTTACCGATAAGAAGGACGAGTTGAAGGAAAAGGCCAAACCTCCTGGCGGCTACGATCCGACGCCTTTCCCTGACGTGCCCCCAGGCTGGACCGTCCGTTTCGTCTTCCACCGCGCAGAGAACCTCCCCGCTGCGGACCTCACCACCCGCGCTGCCGACCCCTTCCTCACTGCCACCCTGTCCGCTCCACTCCCCAAGAGGCACAAGGAGGATGCGCCCCTGGTCAAGAGGACACACGCCGTTCGAAACACTACATCGCCCGTCTGGGACGAGGAGTGGATTGTCGCCAACATCCCCTCCGCTGGCTTTAGGCTCAAGTGTCGCCTCTACGACGAGGACTACCCTGATCACGATGACCGCCTGGGCAACGTCACCCTCGAGTGCGCCCAGATCGGCGAGGGCTGGACCCTGGGTCCCGACGGCCAGTGGCTCGACGTCAAGAAGCGCATGGGCAGCAAGCGCGCCTACTTCTTCAAGGCCATCACGAGCACCCTCGAGAAGGGTGTCTCCATGACGGGCCGCCTCCATCTTAGCGCAGAGGTTATCGGCCGCTCCGAGGGCTTTGGTGCCCAGATGTACACTGTCGGACCAGGTTTCTACTTCAAACACTTTAGTCCCATGCTCGGGAGGTTGACCGGCATCAAGGTGAACGAGGAAGCCTCAGAGGATGAAAAGGATGAAGATGACAAGAAACTTCAGAAATACGAGTGAGTAGCTCACTCTATGCGTCTTTGCTTTTCTTTCCCCGAGACCCAAACAAACGAGTCGAGCTGACGCAAATCTGTTTTCCCACTCCTTTCAGCTTCCAGTCCAACGAGATTCAATTGCGGGGACCCGTCCCCGAACACCTGTACCATCGCTTCGTTGAGTTTAAAGGTTGGGTCGGGCCCATGTTCACGGGGAAGGGCATCCGCGGCAAGATCTTGCACAAGGTGCTGCACAAACAACACAACCGCATCTATGCCTTCAACTCGTCGACGCAGTGGGGTCAGTTCAAGAGCGGGTCCGAGGAAGCAGCCCTCCACTTCCTGCGCATGGCTCACTTTGACGAAGGCGGGCGCATCTTCACGTACGTCATCACTCTCGATGGCCTGATGCGGTTTACCGAGACCGGCAAGGAGTTTGGCATCGACTTCCTCTCCAAGCATACCATGCACTCGGACGTGGCCACCTACATCGCCTGCTCGGGCGAGTTCTTCATACGGCGTCTCGCCAAGCCTGATGCCCCGGAGCACCAGGGCGACCCGTACGTCAACGAGCCGACGCACCCTGCCGACGACCTCTCTAACGGTCCGCCGGGAACGCCGCCGCCTGCGGACCCGAGGCACTACCAGCTCATCATCGACAACGACAGCGGCACGTATCGACCGGACAAGCACCAGCTGCCCCACCTCCGCGAGTTCCTGGAGCAGAATTTCCCGGGACTCGGCATCGTCGCCATGCACTGGGAGGACGAGGAGCTCCAGAAGCTCAAGGACAACCAGCGGAAGATCAAGAAGAAGGAGGGTCAGATGATCAAGATGGTGCAGAACCGCAGTCCTGACTCGAGTGACGTGAGCAGTGACGACGAGAGCAGGCTGAGCGACATGTACTCGAGCGAGGGGGCGGGGGGTAATGATATCGGCGAGGATGGCCACTACAAGAGCAAAAAGGGCATGGCGGTGGACCTGCTGGAGGACCCGCACCGGCTGAAAGACCTGTCACTCGGGAGCAAGAAAGGCACTGGCTCGACGCATTGAGAGGTGGAAAGAGGACCTTGATCAATTGACGATCGATACTGGTCGGCTTTGACTGGACTGGACTGGACCTTTCTGGCGTTCACCCCTACCCCCCCCCCCCCCTCTTTCTCCCCAACCCCCTTTTGGTTATACCCGACTTAATGTTTGACTTCGTAATCGCAAGTGCCTTGGTTTAGATGGGTGGTTTTGTGCTTGATTATAAGGAATATTATATATTACTTGCAATTTAACTCTTTGCATCCTTTTGATCCATCTATCGAGGTCAGAGCATGCATTACGTATTACCGCCTACGCAGGATTATTTGTTCTCCTTATACATTGTACTCCGTAGCAGGTGGCATCAGGTCTGTGGCTTTCCGAAATATGGTTGTACAGTAGCAAGCACTTGACTGTATTGCTTTGTCTCATGAGGCGAGAGATCAGTCGTGCAGGTCTGCCGTGGTCTACCTTTAGGCTTTTCGCATCCGTCCTTCGCTCTGGTATCCCGTCTCGGCAAGTACTCGACCCACCTCCACCTCACCCTACACGTGTCGACTGCCGCATTGGGTCTCGAACATGAGCTGCATCTAGGGGTAGGACGAATCTCAACGGCGGGGCTACAAGGTACTTTTCCCAAGAACACAGTTGGGGGGAGGGGACGGGCTTTGAATGGCTGGGTCGCGTATGTGGCCGATGCAGATCGGATCAGGCAGCCACTTGTACAAAGATGGATGCAGTAGTTATGGACAGAAGACTATGAATTCAACATGGAAGTCATCTCAAGATTTATTTTGGTTTTGATGTAGAGGGGGGAAAATAGGAAAATTACTCTTTAGTTGCTTGGGACACATCAGCATATGCACAGGCCCCTTGTGGTCATTGGGAACGGATATCCTAATCAAAATTTGACCACTTGTGCCACTGTATCGCCTGCTGCAAGGATGCCTGGCTTCATTTCTCCATCACTTGCTCTCGTGGATCCTTTTTGAAGTACACTAATGTACAGCTTGCATGCCACAGGTGGCGACTTGTCGAGTAGGGCCAGGGCGGGCAGCACGGCGTCTGGGTGATCCGAGCAAGGGGGGCCCGTTGGTCCCCGGATAGTAATGACCATAATTGATTGCGTTTGGAAATGCGAAACATAAGTATGTTCAATGGTCAAGCTTTGGCTTTTCTTCTTCTTCTTTTTTCTCCTTTCTTTTGGGTTTCTCTCCATTCTCAAGATCCTTTTCTCCTTATTCTTGTTTGACCTTGCTGGGAGCATTCATTGAATGCATACCACATCGAAGGCGTCTCTTGATTATAGTGACGAGTAAGTAGCTCAAGAGTTCAGCAAGACTCTCTCGAGTAACACTGTCTGTACTTGACTTGGTTACTCCTTACTGTACAGTCTTCCATCATGGCGACAAGCCGACTGGAGACCATGTTGGAAACTCTACAGAATCGACCTGCTCTCCTGGCCCTCGTCCTGCTCCTTGCGGTGTATGCACTGTACTCAGTATACTCAACCCTGTTCCGCACCTCGGTGAAACTGCCCAATGTTCCCATCATCGGCGCAAAGGAGGGGGAGTTTTTCCCTCTCCTCAGGGCACGATGGCGCAACCTGTTCGACATGGAGCCGGCGCTGCGGGAAGCATATCGGTACAAAGACGAGACGTGCATCCTGGCGGTCGCGGGGTCCAGAGACCATGTCGTGCTGCCCGTCAAGGAGTACCAGTGGTTCCTCGACAACCCCGACAGCGCCGTCAGCATCGACGCCTCGGTGGCCGAGTCGCTGCAGGTGAAATACACCATCATCGACAATGATCTGTACCACAAACCCGCCCACCACTATCTGATCCCCAGGCGGCTGACCAGAGAGGTGGGCAACCTGGTGCCGGACCTGGTCGACGAGATCCGCGCCAGCATCGACGACCTCTGGGGGTGGCAGCCCGGCGAGACGCGCGAGGTGTGCATCTACACGACCATGCAGCGCGCCATCGGACGGGTGACCAACAGGATCTTTGTCGGCCTGCCGCTGTGCCGCGACGAGAGGCTGCTCAAGAACGGCATCGCCTATGCCCAGGACGTGCCCCTCAGCTCCATGCTGCTGCGGCTCCCCTGGGGTCCGCTGCGGCCTCTGCTGGCCCTGGCCTTCACCCTGCCCAACCGCATCCACACCAACAGGTTCTACGCCCTGCTGCGCGACGAGATCAGGCGCCGCCTGCGCGAGTACGACGCCCAGCAGAGCAACCCCGACACCGAGAAGAAGGCGGCCGGCTCCGTGCCCAACGACTTCCTGCAGTGGTCCATCCAGCAGGCCCGAGAGTCGAGCGATCCCTACCTGGCGCGCGTCGACACCCTGGCCGGGCGCATCCTCCTCCTCAACTTCGCCGCCATCCACACCTCGTCCTTCTCCATCACGGGCGTGCTGCTCGACCTGGCCTGTGCAGGCGCCGCCGACGGACGGCGCTACATCGACGAGCTCCGCGCCGAGATCGACGAGGCTCTCGCCGCGCACGACGGCGTCTGGACCAAGCGCAGCCTGGCCGACATGCCCAAGCTCGACAGCGTCATGCGCGAGTCGGCCCGCCTCAACTCGTTTGTGCCCCTGGCCTCGCTGCGCGTCGTCGTCGCCCCGGACGGCGTCACCACCCCGTCAGGCGTCCACCTCAGCCCAGGCACCAGCATCGGCACCCATGCCTACCCTGTCCTGCACGACGGGTCCATCTACCCTGACCCGGAGTCCTTTCAGCCCTTCCGCTTCTCCGAGAGGAGGCGTGTCGAGACCGAGGGCGGCTATGTCGAGAAGGCCAAGCAGGCGTTTGCCACGACGAGCACTGAGTATGCTGCGTTTGGCCACGGCCGCCATGCCTGTCCCGGTCGCTTCTTTGCCTCAAGCGAGCTGAAGTTGATGCTGGCGTATGTGGTGATGAATTATGATTTTGAGTTTCAGGAGACGAGGCCTGCTAATGCCTGGGTTGGCGTGAATCGGATTCCTCCTATGAAGGCCACCGTCCGTGTCAAGAGGAGGACCCAAAAAGTGTCATGATTGGATCACACATTAGTTTATAGCACATGTGTAACTTGAACAAGAGCAAAAGTATTCATGTATACATTTGGTATGAATTTTTATCTTTTCCTTTTTCTCTCTTTCTCTTTCTCTCTCTGTGCGTGTATGTGGTTCCATTCAACATAACAAAGCAAGACTCGTGACAGACGGATGGGAATTCTCACCCCTGAAGAAACAAATAAAGAGACCAATTGTCTTGTCAATGGACTGCAACATGAGTACCCCCACTTCATGTTCACTCACTGAATAACTGACCTATGACCTGAGAGACTTGCACCAGCAAAAGCACGTGCACTATTCATTCCGAACAGTGCCCACTCCCACTCCTTGGCCTTCCGAGGTTTCATCATTCTGTCCCATCATCTCCCATCCTCTGCCACGGTACCGCGCCGGCCAGATACCAGACCGTCCAGGGGCCAGAATCCCGTTGGGATCCAGAGTATCCTTCAACTTCTCGTTGAACTTCATCAGCGCCCCGTCCCCCCAGCTATATGTAGCTGCGACCTGGTCCATGAGCGCCAGGTGCGTCCGATACTCGCCGTACCCCAGCGCCGCAGCGTCTTGCACCATCGCGCGCAGACACTTGAGCGCGGCACGGCGACGCTCAGCATTGCCACTGTCGTACACGATCTCCACAATCAGATGCATCTCCCGCAGGCCGACGATAAATGCAGGGAAGAGGTCGATACCGAACTCCACGTGCCGCTTTTTGGCCAGGTCGTACAGCGCCAAGGCGTCCCGGCCGCGGATCGGGCTGACGGGCGAGAATGCAATGTGCGACCCGTTGGGCACCCAATTTACCCAGCCCAGCTCCTGGACGTCCGGCACGCCGACGGCCACGCGGTCCCGCACCCAAAAATACTCGTCTGGTGGCAGCGTCGAGGGGTCGATGCGCTTACAGCCGGGCACTTTGTGGAACTCGGCGTCAATCATGTCCAACTTGTATTTTCGGATTTGCGGTGGACCGTAAGACATGCCATAGTAGAGCCAGGTACAGTCGCCGACTGGCGTCTCTGCAGCAGCTTTGTGCACAACCTCGGGCGGAATGGGCGTGCTCTTTTGCTCGTCATCGCGGTAATAGTTTGTTCGAGGCTTGCCTCTTGATGCGATGGTCAGCGTGATATGTCTGAGCTGGGCCACGTTCTCAAGGATCATGGAGATGCGGAGGGGCCGGATAATCTCGACCTGTGTGTCTATGTGTGAGCTGGCCAGTTCCCTTGTCTTATCAGTCAGAGGATGCAAGCCTACGAGTTGTGCTAGATCTTCTTCCTTTTGGAATGTATACATCTGGCAATCAAAGTCAGCTGGGTACGTCACGATACTTTAATCCACAAGATTGCCGAGACTTTTGTTACTCACGAAGCTCTCGTGTCCACCAGGGTTCGGCACCAGAGTCATGCCCATCTTGGTGACGATTCCAAAATTGGACTGCGAGAAGATGCCACTTATTCATTTGCACGCAGATAATATGAATCAGCAGCTACCCAGCACGGACGTTGTGAGTAAATACTAACTCAGAAAACGGTCCGAACCCGTAAGGGAAAGCCTGCCAGGTGTTGCTCCCAGGCAGTGCGCCCATGCCGGTCCTGATAACCTCGCCCGTTGGCAGCACAACCTCCATGCCCGAGTGACAGGCCCAGTGATCACCATATGGCGTGTAGCCGACGCCACGATCAATCGTGTTTCCGATGATAGACCCTCCGCCCAGGTCGGGTGTGTCGATCCACATGTGGTCATATCCTCTGCTCTGCAGGGCCTCCCACATGGCGTAGAAGGACACACCCGGCTCGACAAGGCATGTGTAGTCGTCCGGATTGATGTCTAGGATGCGGCTCATGCGGCGTCCGAGATCCACGGTCACGGAGCCACGCACACGAGGGGCGGCACCGCCATAGCCCACTACAAGTACATATAAAGAATGTCAGTCAGTCAGTCAGTCAGTCAGCCAATCAGTCAGTCACTCTCTCCCGCCTCCTCCACGTTCTCTTTCAGTACATGGCGAGGGCTTCTCAGATGCTGGGTGCACTGACGGTTTCTCCCCATCGAGATTGGGAAAAGAGGGACCAAGTACTTGTTGGCCCAGAGGACGATCTTCTGCACTTCCTCGGTGCTGCCTGGATACACGATAGCCGAAGCGATGAACTCTTCTTCATCGAGAACTGTCATCATGTCGTGGGTGTTTGGATCTAGCCAAGGCGTGTCAATGATGGGATTTGTGGGTTTTGTGTCGCTTATAGGCTGATCACTCACGTTCCATATACCTTGATAGGAATTAATTTTCCCTTCTTACAGAAAGCTTCAATGTCGGGTAATTTTGATAGAGGAGAGAAAACAGCCCAAGCAGGAAGAACCTCACCATCCGTCTTTCAGTGGCTTGTCGTTCAGCTCGACATGTTCAGCACCGAGCTGTCCACGAAGATCTTCTAGAGCCTCGAAGAACTTGTTCTCCTCGATGCCCTGGGGAATGACAGGGAGCCTCCGCCTTTCGTTCAGCTGTTTAGTGCGGACTTCGAACGTCTCCTTCTTGACGATCCTCGCCTTGTCGAGCAGGATTGCTGGGATGCCAGAGTGTTTCTGTGAGAGCAAGGGCACATCCGAAGATGCTTCATCGCGGATAAGTGGTGCTGCCATGGTTATCTTTTGAACGCGTCTGCCATGTATCTGATTTTTTGACAGTCCAAAGCTGCTCTGCCCAGCAGGACAACGAGAGATTTTGAGCCATCTTTATAAGTAACAAAACCTCTCTCTTGGCATTTACCTCCTCCGGAATGGAGTGTTGCAACATTTGGAATCCCCCCCCCCCCCCAGGAGCGCCCACATCAGCCGCTGGCTAGCCAGTCGGCAGATGTGTATTCCCGCGCAGATCATCAGATGCAGGCCTTCGGAAAAGGAAGAATCGGAGGGGAACAAAGTTTCGCCCTCACATGCGGGGAACCAAGACACATCGCTCTCGCGCAAGTACGTTCGTGCAGATGCATGCGTGGTGCAGGTTCACAGAGAAGACCAAAAAAGATTGTGCGTACGTCTACACTATCTTTAGGGGAAAACCCTCGAGCAAAAATGGCAGTCATTATGGACAGTGGTCCGTACGGCTTCTCGGTGATATGGAAGGAGCCACCACAAGAGGCACTTGGGAATGTTCGCTAAACCTTTATGCATGTAGTCCCGTAGCACCACAGTACAGCGGTGCCTTGTGTTCCCTCAGCCCACATGTCAGTCCAAAGCTGGGCCCCTTTTCCAGGGGTCAAGCCCCTGTATTTCCCATGGTTAACCATAACCCGGCACTGTAATACACAGCAGGTCCATGATCAGACCAGTGACATGCTATGAATAACATGTAGTCCCTCCCATTTCTAGGCGGGACCTGACTGAACAATGTTGGTTCTCTGCTTTCGGAATGCATACATGTACTCTCAGAGATACATACATACATAAATCATATTGCATCTAAACATGTGTCTCCTTTCGTTTATGTACGTGAAGTCTACCCATGGTTTTCTGGTTTCTTCGAACAATCGGTGCTTCTGTACATCCATGATCAAGCACTATGTGGTGTTATCGCTATCACGGGGTCCCTAGATTTAATTCGGCCCCTGCCGAGCACCAGTAATCCATACAGGGTAGCGCGCCGTTTCAGCGAACCATTCGCGAACAAGCAGACCATTTATTCAGTCATCCTCCACCTCGCCCACGGCTCCCCCCTAATATGATGATTATGTTCTTCTAACCTTCTATTTCTCTTCTCTTACAACATCACGCCGCTGGTGGATGTTCCTCCCCTCCTTCTGTTGTCTCTCATTGTTGTGTCTCGAGTCGTCCACGAAGCCAGGCGCGACGTTAACTCCAAACACTCATTTGCCACTATAATCCTCTAGATCAGACCACAAATCGGAACGACAGTCTAAATCGCAGACCTCCCACAAGACCGATATGGCTCGACGACAACATCTATCCTTAATACTTATCCTAGGCCTGGCGGCCTTCTTCAGCCTGACATGGTTCATGTCCTCGGGAAGATCACGCGGCGCCGAGTCGGTCTCGCCAAGCGCATACCAATATGAAGCAGCAGGAAGCGTGAAGCAGCAGCAGCAGGACTCAACACCCATGGGCGCCGTGGATTTTGGAGGGCTAGAGGGCATCCTGTCGGGAGGCTCCATCGCGCCCAAGCTGGGCAACGAGACCGCAAAGTATGTCCTGGTCCTCCCCTCCTCCCATTCCTTTCTACCCACCTACTACATCACGGAGCAGACGGGTTTCTAACAGATGGCCTCTTCTTTTCTCCCTTTCTCTTAGGCGCGAGCTTGGCCGAGCGACATGGAAGTTCCTCCACACCATGATGGCCCGCTATCCCGAACAACCCACCGAAGACGACCAGCTCGCTCTCAAAACCTTCATGACCCTCTTCTCCCGGCTATACCCCTGTGGCGAGTGCGCAGAACACTTCCGCCAGCTGCTGGCCAAGTACCCACCACAGGTGTCGAGCAGAAACGCTGCGGCAGGGTGGCTCTGCTTTGCGCATAACATTGTGAACGAGAGGCTCAAGAAGCCGACCTTCGACTGTACCAAGATTGGCGACTTTTACGACTGTGGCTGTGCAGATGATCCAGGCAAGGCGAAGACGGACGAGAGCGAGCTGAAAGAGTAAAGAGAGAGCCATGGGCCCTGACATGCTAAAAAGGATGCGAAAGCAAAGAGAGCATAGAAAGAGATAGGATATCAGATTCCCTGTATGTATATGTGCGTGCGTGTGCGTGTGCAGGTATGGATTGGTAGAGGTGTGTTCTGTCTGCCTTATTCGTTGGCGAGGCGGTTGAGGTCATTTTCTAAGCAGCTGGCGTTGGTGTTGTGGTTTGCATACATTGCATATGTGGTAGACTTTGGATCATTAAAAACAACTTTATTTGTTCCCATCACTCGTTTGCGAGGAGTACATTTGTTACAGTATCGAATTGGTCTGCTCCTGGCCACAAGTCTGCCCTTTTCAGTCGTAGGTGGCCATTCGATGGCCTCATCCAGACAATGGAAAGCGGCAGCGCCAACGATGTAAACCTCGGAGTCTTTGTAGCATAATCATATGCCCTTGGTGCATTTGTTATCAGGTTTGATTTCGCATTCTCTTTCTTGCCTTTTCTGATCGTTTGGATTTGCCTTGTAAGTAATCCCTTTCCTCTTCTGATTCAGAAGAGACCGCTTCCTGGATCTAGCATGACGACAGGCTTGACTTGCCTGCCGGGAAGCAGGGGCCCCTATGCAATCGCAGCGGCAGGCCACTGCTTGAGTGCAACGCGTCGGAGCTGCCTTGAGCTCAGTAACACTACAGCAGCTCCAACCAGCCCCTCTGACCATCCATCACCTTCGACCTCAACACCCACCCTTGATCTCCCTTCTCAACGCCTCCGACTTTAGAATCGACCTTACCAACAGCAGAGGTTCCGAACAGCAGATCAACATCTCCCTTGTGCTGCCAACCACACCAGCAATTCTGCGAACCTCCCTCGACCACAACGATCATGGAGTTTGGCAACTCTGGAAACCTGAGCGAAGGTGACGACGCTCTCTCCCTGTTGCTCTCTCTTTTTGTCGTCGATCATTGTCTGACGTGTGACAACTGACATTCCCTCACTGTAGATGGCATTCATGTCGATATGGAGAGGCTGAAGAAGGGCGAGGTCAAGTAAGTCATCATAGTTGTCGGTCTGTGCATGTTGCATGTTCCCTTCCCAATGCTAATAAATCATTTTGCAGTCTGGGCACCTCGATGTAAGCATCCTCGACTCCCGCGGACACACGAACGTCACTCTAACATCCACGATAGCATGGCAGTCACCTTCAAGGATGGTGTCATACTAGGTACGACAGTGCCCATCATCTCCGCCGGACTGGTAGACTCCAGCCCCTCTCTGCGCGCAAACAGAAGCATGCTGACAGCCCTCCCTCTCCGTCCCAGGCGCCGACTCCAGAACAACCACCGGCGCATACATCGCTAATCGAGTGACCGACAAGCTCACCCGTGTCCACGATACCATCTGGTGCTGCCGGTCCGGCTCCGCCGCTGACACGCAAGCCGTTGCCGATATCGTTCAGTACCAGCTAGGCATGTTTCACATGATGAATGGAAAGCCCCCTACCACACAGACCGCTGCCTCCATCTTTCAGGAGTTGTGTTACGCAAACAAGGACATGTTGACGTAAGTAATCAAACCACCGTCTTTGCTGTTGATTGTGTCGCGAAATACAAGACAAGCTTCAAGCACTGACATCGTGTCTCCCATTGCAGCGCTGGCCTCATCATCGCAGGCTGGGACGAGCGTCATGGTGGCCAGGTCTACAGCATTCCCCTCGGTGGCTCACTGCACAAGGGGTCTTACGCTATCGGTGGATCGGGTTCGACATATATCTACGGTTACTGCGACGCACACTGGAAGGAGGGCATGGAGGAGGCGGAAGCTGTTGACTTCGTCAAAGGTGCCTTGAAGGAGGCCATCCGGTGGGACGGCTCGTCGGGCGGTGTCATTCGCATGGTCGTGTTGACGGGCAAAGGTGCGGATCGGCATCTGTACCTGCCAGACTCGGAGTATAAGGTGCGGCACCAGTAGACGTTCTTTGGTCAATCATCGTGGTCCGGGGCGAGGGTGATAGAGGGACATTATGGGCCAACAGACGAGGGTGGCGCTTCGCTACCAATAGACATAGCAAAAGACGGCCCCCTGCTTGCTGGGTTTGATGATATGAGCAGCAGCAGGCATGTACAACAAATAATGACATGAGAGCATTTCACGATGACAAGATGCATCTCCGATGGACCACCTTACTTCATCTTATACAGCGCTCCCAGGCCGACCTACCTGAAACTCGTAGCCAAACCTTTCAGCGAAGACAAATAGTAGGAAGAAAGATCGGGACACAGCATGCTTCTTCCCCTTGGACGATGGATGGATGAACGGACCGCCGACTTGTAGGCAGCCAGCGCAGAGCTTCGCTAGGTGCTTACACGAAAAGAATGAAACCCCTCGTTTTTTGATGATATATACATACCTATCTGCAGATCCACTGTATAGGATCTCGGGGGTATGGGTATAGAGAGTTGAGACCTGAGGACGCAAGAATGATGTGCTTCCAAAGTCACCTACAGCTATTGAGGCTTTTTATCATGGTCTTTATAATACGTCACGTTAGCACTGCTGTGGTCACACACACACGCGCGCGCGCGAGGTGATCAAGAGGTTTAGCAGACTGATATATATATATATATATATATATATATATATAAAAGAGTCATCACCCATCAACTGAAGAGAAGGAGAAGCCTGTGAAGGAGATCCCATCCCTCAATAACAGAACCACCTTCAACGCCAGACTAGTATGGTGTAGCTCAGACCATAAAAGAGACGGGAAGAAAATCATCAGAACACCCCGAGTCTTTCTCTAAAGTCTTGTTCATGACTCCCAGCCCATAGGCACCGCCCTTGTCGGCCCGTGACCCCAATTCCAGTCCCATTCTCATCATCCATGCACGTAACATGCCCGCGAAAAATAATCTTACAAGAAAAAACACCAGGCACCCAACCCAAGGTGTGTGTCTCTGCTCTCGGCGGCCCCATCCCCCCCATCCCGTCTTTTATTTGCTACTCCCCGTCCGTGATTCCAGATGCGGAATATCATTCCGTTTGTCTTCGTCTAGTGCGGGTACGAAAAGACCGCTGCCTTTTAAGTAGCATCTGCGTCAAATACGTATCTGGCAGAACGTGTGCGCTCGGGTTGAATCCCGAAATGAAGGTTGCCGCAACATCGCCTGTCGTAGATTTCTCGCAAACAATTGCAGTAGTTGTCCCAGCAAACGAGTTGCACGACACAGCCATAGAACCTCTCCCAACCGCCTCCGGAGCTAGGAAAGGGGGATCAAGGTATAGCCAAAAGACTACATGAAACGGGAAGAATCAATGCCCCAGGCAGCAGCAGCCTAAGCAGCTCCTGTAGCCGCGGCGGGGGCAGCCGTTGTGTCAGGGGCTGTAGCCATAGCTTGACTGGAAGTGGTGTTGGTCGTGCGTGGTCGGTGACCGACAACATCACGGGCATAGAACTCCACCAACATGGTTGCATATGCCTCCAGATCCTCGACCGGAACGGCCAGGCGGAAATCATTCAGGACAAGGAACTGGATCTCGAGGTGGTTGAGCTCTGCGAGAGGAAGACCACCGACCTGTATCACACTCCACGTTAGCGGCGAATATACAACAAGAACGACACCACCGGGGGAAAGGAAACATACCTTAGCGTATCTTGAGTTGGTGTAAAACACATCGGAAAAGAATTTGCTTGAGCACGTAACCCCAGCAATAATCAACCTATGGATATTGAAACTGTCCACCACGAAAAAGGTTGGCTGGCTCACTGCCGAGACAGACTCGGCGGCAGGCTCACTCATACTTGCGTTGTGCTTACCGTCTGCAGACGATTTCTCAGAGGTCGGGGCCCGCTCATTTTCGGAATCTGAGTCGTCGACTATGTCTTCGTCCGCTTCGCTATCGCTGCTGTCGTCGTTGTCGTCCCTCTCTTCCTCGTCGCCGTCCTTCATGACTACATCTCTCTGGACTGGTTCCGAAGGCTGGCCCTGCTTCTTGGCCTCTTCGGACTTCATGACCAGATCATTGACCCGTTCGGTCATTCGATCAAAGTAGACCAGCAGGCTCAAGAATACCTCATACGTGGTCGGGCAGTACTTGTGTATCCGGCTCAGATAGCTCAGGATGGTGATAGCCGGAACATTCTTGCCATGGAAAGCCAGAACACTGCTGCTGAGCGGGCTCATGCTATGCTCGCTAGCCGAACCGTCGTTCTGTGCTTGTGCCTGCTTGACGTGGCTGGCGTTCCGCTCGATAGCGTTACGGCTCAGCGCATCGTGCTGGAGGTCATTTGTGGTGGTTATTTTTGTCAGGAGTGCCGCGACCATCTCGATGATATCGCCGATAGGCATGGCGCTGATCTCGTATTTCTTGGCCTGCAGCGGAGGGTCGTTGGCACCGGTCCTATTCATCTCGGTTCTTGCGAGAGCCTCGATGTGAGCCAGGTCGCGCACGTGGATCGTCGTCTGCTGGGTCGCTGCATCATCATCCGCAAGGGTTGTGTTCGATTCGACCTGAGTAGAACCGTCCCATTGATCGCCCGAGTCAGAGGCGGGCGAAGGCATGGTCTGATTCACATGAGCTGTTTGTAGGTGGCCCTGGGTATGCGCTGTCGCCGGTCCATGACCGTCAGATCGTACGTCTGCGGGTCTCTGCGCCGGGGAGTGCGCTGAGGGGTCCATGTAAGCCTGTTTGTGCTCATACTGGGATGGTGCAACCAGGTTATCGTCGGATCTTGATGCGCCTCCTGCGCTCCCCGAGGGCGAGGAGGAATCAGGTGGCGAGGGCAGCCGCGAGGCTCCAGTCCGTTGGCCAGTTGCGGCAGGGTTTTCCCACTCGTCCTGCGCCTGTGTGGGGTATCTCGCTGGGGATCGTTGTCGGCTTGAGGATGAACGGCGGGGGGTGGAGTCTCGCGAGTGGCTGCTGGAGCGGTAATGGGAGGAGTCTTGGTGTTGTTGCGTGTATGGCAGGCCTTGGGTGGCAATCATCGTGTGGAAACCTGCCGAGTGGGATGCGCCGTAGTCTCCAATTAGCGTGGCCATGTCCGTCACAGAATAGTCCCGTTTTGACTGCTTCTTTCCGTTGAAGCCCAAAAGTTGAACGAAGTCGAGGGCAGGAGGGGTTCGGTGTTGTTCGAACGACGAGAGTGGCTTGAGGGGGTAAATTGGAAGGGAAGGAGTCGTGGTCTTCGGTTATTAGATTGCAAAAATAATAATGCTTTATACCTGCTGTTGGTACGGTCAGCTCATTCGAAAGCCTTTATGTGCATAGTTTTGTAGCGATGATAGCAGAATAGCAGCGCGTGCCAGTTGGCGATGGCTCTGATGTGATGAACCCAGAAAAAAGAAACAAGGAAAAAGAAAAAGAAAATCGAAGTCAATATTCGAGAGTCTAGCCGTGCCGGAAGCAGCTATAAAACCACAACACTTGTTGTCCTCGATCGACAGCAAAACAAGGAGCCTCAAGATGATCTATGCAGACAATGAATGGCGCAAGGTCGTCTGATCGCGATGGTATTGATGTGGTGTGCAAGCCGTTGACTATAGTGAACGAGGTAGGGCAGCCTTTTCCTCCTCTTTCAAACATGCTTCAGCGTTCGTGAGGGGCGAGGCCGCCATTGGACTTGGCGTGAGGCTGTTCTTTCTATTCAGCTCTTCGTGCGATGACCTGGCGGAGAGTCGACGAGACCAGAACGAGCTGCCACGTTGGCGACAACGTGGCACCGATGAGTGTCGCAATGATCTTTGCCCAAGCATATTATATGAGCATGGCCAGGAGTCGTCAAATAAAAGGAGCCCTAGCTTGTCTATCGGCAGTTGAAGAGTCGTTGATTAAGGTGTTGGTATTGGCGAGGGCTTGGTGATCTCAACACAAACGGTCGACGTCACATTGGTGATGATAATGATAAGGACAAGGCGAGCTGCGAGGGATATAGCTGCGATAAGACGTTGTCGTGGAGACCAAATTGGGAATGGCGACGGCTTGGGTGACAGGCGCTTGGACAGTGGGACGATGATGTCGTGGTCTGCGCGAAACCATCTCTCTTCTCTGGTCTCGCCCTCCACCTCTCCTTCCTCTCCCATCTCCTTGCTCCCCCGCTGCAGTGAGGGTATGGCGCCTAACCAGGAAGGAAGGCCGGCCGGGAGATAAAACACACGAGAAGGACAAAAAAAGAAGGAAAAGAATAGGAGAGACGAGGCGAGCACAGGCCAGATCTGATCCAACCAGAACCAGCCGTCATCACCATCATGACACCAACTGAGCAGCGAAGATAAGGAAAGATACAGTCGACATACCAGAATGATATCGTAACAAGGACTCGCTGAGACCACGCAAAAGAAAACTCAAGTCTACAAGTTGAGGACGGACGAAGAGGGGATGGTCGATGTCTGCCCTCTTACCGCAAAGGAATAGTAGGAATTGCGGTGGTGGTTTTGGGGGGAGTGGTTGGCGGTAGTGTGTGTATGTGTTTGGGAAGGAGGAGGACGACGAGAAGGATGAGGAGAGAATCAAGAATTCAATCTAGGGTGCCAGGACGGGACAAGCACAACCTTAGCACGAGGGGGCATGGGCAAGAGCAAGGGCATGGTTGGGGGGGAGGGGGAAGCAGGATGACACAAACAAGGTGCCAAGCGGCAAGCACGAGAATGTTGCGGTTGGGGCCAATCTTGGTGGGTGGATGGCGGGTGGAGAAGGTCGGGTAGGTACGTTTGCATTGTACTGTACTTTGTGGTGCCTGCGAACGGGGACTCTTGCGGCACTGCGATAGGGTTCTGCGGTAGCACTGTCAGCACAGCCTGACAGGCCCTTTCCCCCTCCTTTCCCCCGCTGCACACTGCACACTTGCCCACTATAGGCCCTGTAGCTTGCTTGGCCGTGCCCCTCCTCACTGGAGCCACAGCAGGTCCAGCGTCACCCTCGCCTTCACCCATCCGTGCCACCCTCTCCCTCTGGTTATCGTGTGAAGGACGTTTCAGGGGGCCCACCATTACCTTAGGTTATGCATTATCCACATCTGTTGGAGTCTAGACTTCTGGTTTCTCTCACGAGGAACCAGACCAGAAAAGAAAGGGCTCTCCCAATTCATCCATCTCAACCCCTCGTCAACCCTTCTTGCAGAGAGCCATGACTCTTGACTCTCGACTTCTCACTGCATTGATGACATGGCATATGGGCTGATCCACCAAGTCAATTCAACTTGGAGGAGCAGCTTGTAGGAACTACCTTTTTCGTTTTGCTGCCCTCTACTCTCTTCTCAGTGGGTCCTGATCTGATCTGGGCATCGACGGTGCAGGGGGTAAGACCGGGGGGACGGCCGATCAATGGTAACAAAGCAGCCTGACGCAACGCGCAGCCCACCCACGAGTTGTGGCGACGAATCTCAACTGGCGAGACTTGCGACGAGGATATCTCAGCTATGACATAGCCCCTCGCACCGAAAACGACCAGAATTCTTGCTCGTGCTTCACCGTCTATCTGACATCCTCCCCGTCTTGTCCATCGCGCGGTTTGGGGGTTTTTTCTTTGGCTGCGGGCCATTGCAAGTTTATGCTTAACTTCTGTGTATCCTTTAGTGTAACATTCGATACATACAGGGTAAAAGGATCCATTCAGGTTGGCCCCATTTGGGAAGGAGAAGGAAGAGAAGAAATCGGTGTCATCGTTGTCCAAAAAGTTATGGGACCACATACCTCTGTCTCGCCACCGCCGCCTTTTCTTTTTTTTTTTTTTTTCCGGAGCTTCTTGCCGCGTCCTCACTGTAAGGCGGCACAGCGGGAACTGCGGCACTTGTCAACCTCGGCCATTTCATTCGCCTGGAATCTATTACATGTTAAATACTATAGTAGTATTACTACCACCTTTGCACCACACCTTGACGCTCCGACTATTTGGTTGCAGCCAATGCAGCTCCGCGTCGGCCCTATCCGTGCAGAGTATCAATCTGACCTCATCATCGTAGGCCTCCTCCTCCTCCTCCCTCTCTCCTTCTTTCTCATTGAAAACTCATTCCTTGCCTATTCTTTCAGTAAGAATGCAAGAGGGGAGCAGTGGCATTTTCGCGTACTCTCGTTGGTTGGCTTAGGTCGCCTCATAGATTGAGGAATCCAGTACCATGTTGCGGAGAACTTGTTGATCTGAACAGCCCGCCTTGTCCCTTCTGCTAAGATCTCCCCCGGCCCCTTGGTATCCTCTTCCTTTCCTTTCCAATTCTTGCTTTTTCTTTCTTTTCTGTTCCTTTCCTTTCTAGTTAATTCTTCTCTCCCTTATTCCCTCGCTTGACAACTCTCTTTCATCTTCTCCCTACCTTTTCATCTTCTACCTTCTTCCTTTCCTTTTTTACAACCCTTTCTTTTCCGGAACAGTCTACTGTACAGGCTAGTCTGTCAAATGCCGCGCCAGGCTAGACCCCTATCGCATGCGCTGTAGGGGATACCCTAGCACCCCTAGACAATTAGGTAATAGCCATGTCCCAGCCGCGTCTTCGCTACTATATTTATAAATCTTGTTTTTAACTCAAATAATGCACCCTCTGATTCGGGCCGTCGATATTACAGGGTCTACTTACATTGCCCCAATACCATAATATCAACTGCATACAATTCTACCCAAGTTTAGCAGCCGCGTTGACACTGTTTATACCTGGGCCGAATCATTCAGTCCACTTCATTCAATGAAATGACGAAAAGACAAATCGTCCGAGATGAACGCTTGTACCTTTTACGTCAGAACGCTATCCTCCTCCAAGAATTCAGCAGCAGTTCGGGTTGAGTGGGCCGCGACGGGCATAAGCTCATTAGTTTACGGCACGTTCAGTGTGATACGCGTCACAAAAGTGATAGCCTTTGAAGATCTACAGGGGCGCACGCCTCTGAACGGTAAGAAATGAGACAGGACCCCGACGGGATCCTGCGGCACGGCAGAACTCAATAAACTTCATTAACGACTGATTAAATCCACCACTCCCATGCTGCATCCTGTACCACACAGGTCTGGCATTGATCTATTCAGTGATGGATGGATGAGCTTCAAATACACAAGCAAGCAGTAGTGAACAGGATGATCAGTTTTCAGCTACAGTAATAAAAGAAAAGCGTTGGGCCTGGTCCCAGTCCTCATGCTGTCTTTGGTATTCGTCCAGTCTCAGCACACCGATCACGGTGTTGTTCCAGGCCGCAGTCGTGGACAGTTTCATTCCCAGCCACCCTCCAGCCAAAGTATTCCTTTCACCCTATTCTCTTCGTTGCCGCAGGGCTTCGTGCAGCCGTTGAAGTTCCCGACGTAGAAAGGTGCACGAGCCTTTTCCTAGTTGAAGGCAATGCACATGTAATGAGCTAATTACAAATCTACTTAAATCTTCAATATATTTGAATTTTTGACAATGCGCGTACAGCGGCTAGTTTGTTCGGCCTAGAAAGAAAACAATAAGTACGAGCATCTATACACATGTGGCCAGGACATATGGACCGCATCCATTTCGCTGCGGAACCTTTCTTCGATTTCCATACTCCTACTGTACTCACAGGGGCCGAGGAATACGACCTGAAGGTCTGAGCATGTGCTGGCGAGAGAGGAACATGGACCGGCAAGAGAAGTCAGATGATTTGAGCAATGTGGCAAGTTTGCTCCCATTTCTGAATGTTAGCCTCAACGAAGTCAAAGGCAATGGACCTCGTGTGAGCCGGGGCTACGTGAGTGTCTGCTAGCATTACGTCCTATGGGAAAGCTCTTGCAATCACAACCAAGTCCTGCGTTGAAGCCACACAAGTCTTCTCATAGTCTTTAAATCTTAGACGAGATATGATTACTCGAGCGTAATGTTAGACTGTTAAAGCATATACACGTGCCTTTTCCTCACAACAATTTCTGCTTCGTCTATAATACCGAGCAATCAACGGATTTGAGAATATGGAAATACGTTGATCTAATGTCCGTTGATCTAATATCCGCAATCAACACTGGCAGTGTGTGTGTGTGCCTAACGTGGGAGTGTTCGGACTTAGCTATGGAGATGTAAGCCAGCATCTCAAGGACTTAAGGAAACATCTCCGGCCTGCATTAAGAAGTCTTGCTGTGCATTAAGCCAAATGCAGATGAAGGGGATTCAGTATAGAGCTGATGGACATTGTCTAAACATATATATATGACGAAGTCCTCTGCCTAAGATGGTGAGGGATAGCTTCACAATGTCTCCTTATCTCACAATTTCCAAGTGCACCCTGTTTACATAACCCTTACCAAAATCCCAGGAACAAGAACCATTGGCCCGATGACTCAAAAACGCATCTTCATGACTGGTGCCTCCGGGTACATTGGCTCCGTGATCACAGAATTCGCCATCGCCAAAGGCTACACGGTCCGTGGGCTGTCCCGCAGCGAGACAAGCGATGCTAAACTTGCCGCACTCGGCGCAACTGCCGTTCGCGGGAGCCTCGAGACCTTGGACGTGCTCCAGGCAGAGGCAGCCCAGGCCGACTTTGTCCTGCACCTTGCGCACACACTTTCCCGCATGGGCTTCAACACCCCCTATGACAAGGTCTTGGCCATCGACCGGCCAGCCGTGACCGCCATGGTTATGGGTCTCAAGGCGTCTGACAGCACAGACAAGTCCCTCATCATCACCTCTGGGACTCTTACCGTCCTCCCAGATCCTGATGGCAAAGAGACAGACGAGACGGCACCAATCAAGACGGACACTCCGCTGCCACGCCACAAGTGCTTTGAGCATGCCCAGGCCGTCACCGCCGGGACGGACGTCAAGGCCATGTGCATTCGCCTTGCTCCTTTTGTCTACGGACGCGGGGGCTCTGGTGTCAAGATGTTCCTCGAGGGCGCTGCCGCCGCAGGAAATGCTTTCTATATTGACGATGGTGCCACACGCACAACGACAGTGCATGTCGATGACGCGGCTAGGCTGTACCTGCTCGTGGCGGAGAAGGGAAGGGCTGGCGAGGAGTACAATGGGAGCGCCGAGACAAATGTCACTATGAAAGAACTGCGAGAGGCTATGGGCAATGTGCTAGGCATTCCCGTAGTGTCTCTGAAGAAGGAGGAGGCGCTCAAGAAGAACCTGCCCGCTTTCCTTGTCATGTTCTTGACGAATGAGAACAGGGCGAGTGGTGAGAAGGCAAAGAGAGAATTGGGCTGGAAGGTCGAGATGCCAGGGATCTTGGAGGACGTGAGGAATGGCTCGTATGTTGCCGTTGCGGAGGAATTGACAAAGAAGTGAAGGTCGGTAATATTTGCTCCTCAACTGCCTTAATGAGATGAGATACACAATATTATGAGAGGGTCTTGGCCTATCACATGATCGCTTTGGACCAGCTTAGGGATTACAGGTAGAGTGCATATATAAGACAAATACATGAACGAAGTTGCCCACATCAATGCCTGTGCAAACACAAAAAGATATGTTAAAGTCTCACGCATGGTTAAGGTTGTTATTGCGCTAGAATTACTGAGTATCACTTACCACTTTTAATGATGTTTCAAGAATGGTTTGTATCCTATATGGATATTTTATTCGGCCGAATTTACATCGAACAGATTTGCCCAGGTCTGACAGTTCAACACTATCTCAAACAGCTGGATTCTCCCAAGGGCATGCTCTTGTAATCATCTGAATGTCAGCGCGGTGATCACTGATGACTGCGAGAAGACCAGAGCTGCTAAAACGTCGTCCCCATTTCATCAAATAACAAGCTAAAACTGATTTCTGAAGGGCAAAATACTCGTTGGACAATCTTTGCTTACATGAGCTGATTTTTGCCTTCTCTCTTTACCTTTTTGCAGTGGCGACACGCCTAAAACAATTTTCAAAGCACTATAACAGCCCTGATCAGCATCCCATCAGTAGTACAAAGCCATTTGAAAACGACTAGAAACTTCATAATTGTTCGGCGAAGATTCTGAGTAATCGATAAGACTTGATTCTGCGGTTGTACGGCTGGGCATCAGGTTATGTACCGCGGCTTTGCACATGCACGGATAGCAGCTTCACTCGGGCATCATCATTCGGCATCACGCAATAATAAACCCCATCATAGGGGTTTTACTGTTCTATGCAACCTCACTCAAAACTAAAGTAGTGTCCAACAAGATGAGTTCTGGACTCTCAGATATCCTGATTCCTTCTTTATTATGTCATTATGCTTGTCGTCTGCCTGTCCACAGACTGAGAGAGAGGTTGGTCTCCTTCCTAAACAGACCTAGACTCGGGGTTCGAAAAATTGACTGATATCATGTCTTGTCTCCATTTGCAGCCAGTCTCGAGAACGATTTCCTGGACCTCAATAGAGCACATATTCTAGGTAGATCACGTATGGGATGGATTTTCCTACTTCTATGCCTTATCTTCCCTAACCAGGAACCATTTATTGATTCATGTCCAGTTGCACTGCATTTCTTTTAGTAGCTAGCCACGCGCAACAATGCCAGGCGTGTATTTGCCAGCTGACAATTAATTCAAGCTACTCTCGTCACACACTCGTGTCCACAAAATGTGCAAGAAAAACTCTGGGAAACTATCCGTACCGGCCGACCAAATTGCTGGATTTTGACGTGCCGCATTCATGCAGGCCCGGAGAGATGTTCAGCCTCAAAGAGGCAAGTGACATTTCATGAATGGATGCTTATGGCCTCGAAGGGGCAGCCCACACAGACATCGTTGAGCATCAACCCACTCTTCCGCTTTCCACACCTGGCAACATTCATTGTTGGCTAAGTACAAGCTCTTTTGACTCCCGGACATGCCGTACATTTTCTCCTCAGCTGCTTCTCTATGCGTTTTCGCCCTGCATCTCTCTCGTTGACCAGCATTCATTTTCGGTGTTCAGGTCATGCTGCATGGACCTGCCTTTGCAGATATGCATGGTACCATACTTTCTTGCGCATGAGACATTCGGTCGAGTCGCTCAGCTTCACTACTACAGGGGGCCCATCAGAAAACAACCACCCCGCCCAAAGACCTCGGTGTTTTCCCATTGTCTTTTTTCGGCCGTTTCCCACACGGCCAGAGCATCAAATCCTTCCAGACGATGACCGGCGTTCACTACCGTGGCTCCGACAGTGCTACGCGTACGCAGCCCACAGCTGATCAGCTGAGCCCTCTCTTTGTCGCCGTCACTCTCAGCCTAAACCCAGGCCAGTCCAGCTGCCTTGCCGCCTCGCCCTGGCCTGCCACCTAGCAGGCGAGGCAGATGGTCGTGCATTGAAGAAGACAAAAAATATGACGACGCCCTTCAGGGCCGTCTCGAGCTCCAGCGCCGTCAGCAGCGCCGGGACTCCGCCGGCATCCCCTCGCCTGCCAGCACAACCAGATACCCTCCTCTCGAGTCCAGCGCTGCCTCGTCGAGCCCCATCTGAGGCTGCTACTACGTCGAGCACCACCGCGCGGACTCCGTCCCGTACCCTGTCTCCTCACTCTCCTTCATATGGCCGACAAGCTTCGTCACGAAGCTTGCGTACACAAACCCTCACGAGGATCGCAGGCATCTCGTCGACATCAACACCACGGACCCGACTTGCCAGGGGTGGACCACCCAGAGTCTCGGTCCGAGAAAGAACACGTCCTCGCCGGCCACCTGTGGATCCTCCCAACCTCGTTCGATATCACTGGTCCACGGCTGTCCTCCTTGTTCTCTATCTCCCACTGTTCATCATCCCCTGGGTCATCATCTGCGTCCTGGACGTCAAACCTCTGACATGGTACGGGTCCTCTTACCAGGACTCTGGGCAGTACACGGCCAACGACATCGCATGGGTGCCAAGATGGGTGCGGGCCTCCAACATCCTGGCGTGCTTCTCGTCTGCACTGGCATTCCCTGTGGTCACTGCTGTTCTTGCTCATGCCTCTGTTGCCTTTGTGCAGAATGTCCGTCCTGGACAGAAGATCAGCGCACGAGAACTGCTCTCCCTGGCAGACCAATGCTGGATCAGGATCAACGGTGATCGAAATACGTGGTGGGCAAGTGCTGGTGCTACGCTGGTTGTCTTGAGTGAGTTGTGACCTTTTTTTACCTCTTCTTCTATTTGGTGTCTTTTTTTAAAGATGTAAAAAGAACAGTTCAAGGGGGCCTGCTGACCTGAGAGAACCAAATATTGCAGGTATGATCATACCTATGTTGCAGATCTCAGCTGTTCGCGTGGAGCAGATTCAGATCGCCACATGTAACGATGTTCCACGCTCAAAGAATGATAATCCCGCCTGCCACAAGCCCAGAGACATTGGTTATGTGGTTGGCGGCTATGACCCTGAACCAGCAGACATGGCCGTGACGCCTGGCAACCTGGTCGCCCGCAAAGTTCGCGAGCAGCTACCAACGTTTACAGACCTGGACACCCTGAATCACATCTGGCCCGAGATCGCTGGCCAGGGTGATAACTGGGCTGTAGATCTAGGCAATACCCTTTTCTACTATCAGAAGACGAGCATCGAATCGATCCCGTTCTTCGTCAGCGCGTTTCCTCAGACTTTCAACACGGGGATGCTCCGAGAACACGCCATCAGATTCAACTCGACAGCATCCTGCGAAATCGTGCCTCGATCCTCCTTCCCTGACATATGTCCCGGAACCAACCCACTCGCTGGCGAGTTCAGCAGCGAAGAGACAACAAACCGTTTCTGCGTTCCGGGAAATTACATCCAAACACCCTGGACGATAGACAGAAATCGACAGGATATTGTGGAGGATTTGTGGGTGGATAATTACATTCCTTATGGAAGCCCCATCACGAACATATCCATGTTTGAGATGACGGCATTGACCAATCTCACTGTTCACTGCGTGGCGACGACGACCCGAGGCTACTTTGAGCTTCCAGATGTCCACAATGGAGGGAATGCCGGAGATTTGCTGGAATATTGGCCAAGCCAGGCTGTGCTTGAGGCTGACTTTAACGATGTTGAGGTTTTGTCGACCAAGCCTCCTGCTGAGTCGTAAGTTTTGATCCCCAAGACAAGAAGAACACATCAAACTACCTTGTTTATTGGAACGCCAGAAATCTCACAAAACTATAAATTGTGTAGTAATCCTCGCAACGCGACAGACATACTTGTTTTCCACTACGGGGCCGACCCTTTCAACAGCTGGAACGAGACCACGCCGGGGCCCTTGACCGTTCTCATTAACGCCATGCTGGGAAATGAATCTTGGTTCTACCAGGTCCAAAATGCCAGCACTGTCCAGGAGCAGCGCGATGGTTTCGTTGCTGCTTGCTTGCGGGGACTTCCCTTCTCGGCATACACTGGCTATTTTCGAAACGGTTTCTCCATGGCCAACCTCGACTGTAGCTTTTTGAACTATCCAGGCAAGGTCCCCAGCGTGACCTCGGAGAGCTACAACTTTGGAACCTACAACCAGACAGATGCCCGAATCGTTGGCGACGTCAGTCAGCTGGTGGCAGAGTGGTTCTCTGGCTTTGGATACAACACAAGCACCGAAGATGCGCTGGAGGCGGGCATGTACCTCGCCAACGAGGCATTGCTGGTACTGACTACAGACTCATCCAAGATTGACAGCGCTCGGCCCATCTACGTCAGTAATGGGACGTCGGTCATCCGGCCAAACATGCGAAATCCGTCCAAGGCTGTCGTGTCGTTTCTGATGCTGGCCGAAATGCTGGCCCTGATTATGCTGGCCGTCTTCATCTATCGTATGCCCACGTTTGGGTCAAGGCTGGATGCAGTCCACATAGCGACCATTGGATCACAGCTGTCCAGGCAGACCGGCACAGAATTACCGCCGTTAGGTCTGCGCCCTCGGGGGTTGGCGCGACAGAAATACCTGAAGAATCTGGAAGAAACCGACGGTCTCATTGGTGTCCAGGAAGAGGTGGAGCTGACTCCCCTGACGAGGAGCTCAGTGGTCAGCCCTAGGACGTCTGCCACATTGACGCCAGGGTCAGGCCTAAGCTACCCTTCACCGCAGCCGCAGGGGCCGTCGCCGTCCTCACCAGCTCCTTCGATCCATGGAGCCCAGCCCAGGCCGCCTGGTGGCGTTCTCACAAGACCAGGACCCAGAGTGCACTCCTTTGCAAGCACAGCCCACACAGACGATGAGATCACATCGGCACTTGACGCTGTGTCTGAGGTCAACGACCCAGATGCACCACCCAAATATGGAGACGTGGTCCAGGCAGATGCACAGAGGGCAGCGGCGACGGCGCAGCACAAGAAACTGGTTGTGGGCGGATCAGGAAGGATCACGCGAGAAATGGCGATGCGGCCGAGACAGCCTCGCGTGCCCAGAATGGCGTATAACACGAGGCCAAGGCCACTATCTCGAGCCGGAGGGGTGGCTAGCCCTATAGAATCTCGGATAAGGAGTAACAGGAGCTCCGTGATTGGCAGTCAAAATAGGGTATTAGCATAGGGAAGGACTCACAAAATTCTGGGGGTTGGTATCATAGCGATGTAACGACTATTTGGGTTTCATCTTGTCTCTCTCCGTCTTGTTTCTCTCTTTTCTTTTTGAACTTGGATTTTCATATGTATTATCATAGATACCCTTCATTTGGAACCTGATACTAATAGAACTATTCTTTCACACTTCTTTCCCCCAATGTCGTTGCCATTCTAAGAATTTTTAGCGGCCTCCCATGTGTCGTGACATTTGTTTATACATATTAATTGCAAAGTTGCTCGACCAAAAACAGAAAATGAAACTCGGTCATGGAATAGTTTTAACCAAAAATTGTGCTGGTACAATCCACGAGTCCCGTATCGTCCACACCGAGAAGTGCCATCTTCTCAAAGGCACTTGCAAAGTCCGTGTTCCATGTGCTCTGGCTGTCTCTGTACTCAATCCACGCAGCATTGGTCGCGTTGTTCTCTGCAAGATCCTGGTCGGAGGCAATGCTGGCGGGCTGCGTGCCGTTCAGCACCTCGCCGTAGTAGGTTGGGCTGTCCAGCTTGTCCACCGTGGTATCGAATGGAACACCAGCGAGGCTCCTGGCGGCAGAGTGAGACCCGACGAGGGCTACGAGCTCCTTGGCCGTGAAGCCCTTGGCCTCGAAGCCGGCGATGAGGGTCGTGGCGTTCGTGTTGGGACCGGGAATTGCGGTTGGGTTGGCAGTCGAGGTGTCCGTTCGGCCGACTTGCACCGTCACCGTTGGCCCTGGAGGGCATTGTGCCACGGCAATAGCTGGAATAGGATGTCAGTTGAATTTTGTCCATAATTACCATGATTGAGACATGTTTTAAGGATTGTATAAGAACCAGGAGAGGAGGAGGACATCAGCTTACCACCCGCGACTTGGATTAGATCCGCCACGCTGACATTGTACTCGGTGGCCTTGTCACCCAGAGTGGTGCAAATATCCACGAGTTGTACATTCTCAGCGCGTGTTGCACATTCATCGCTGAGAATGATGGACCCATCACAGGCTCCGGCATAGCAGTCGTGGAATGGCAGGCGAATTGCGGCCCGGGTGTCATTGTTGCAAGTCGAGAAGAGATTGGACTTGAGGTCTGAAGCCACAGTGCCCCAGATAGCAGGACATTGGGCCTGGGTAGTGGCAACCAAAGCCATAGTGGCAAGGAGGAGGAAGATGTTGGAGTGCATTTTCTTCTTGTTTTCTTTCCCGCGCTATTGAAGCAAATGAGGTTCAATGTAGGTGGAAGGTGATAGTGAGGAACAATACACAGTTTAATCGAGTACAACAAATGACAATTATGACTAGGGATAATTACAGTAGTAGAGTTGAGTTCATACCTCATAGTCACTGCTCACGAGGAGGGAGGAACTATTGCCCTTTATACAGATGATCCTTGATATGATATTTCACTCAATAGCGGTATTTTGAGTACTTTCTCGTCAGCGTCGTCGACCACGACTGACTTGCGAAGCCCCGCAACCATTGCCAAACATCAACCCTTCGGGGTGATCTAGAATTAGGACATAAAACGGCATCAATTCGTACAAGTGGTTCTCTAGCTCGGATGTTAGCGATATTAAGGTCACATTGCTTGCGCAAGCCTGAGGCCTTTGCGAATCCGCAAGAAACATCAAATAGTCTCAACGAGTCTGGGCATCCGATCATGATAGTGATGAGCCCAGGCCGCTACCGTGTTTTGCAGTTATCGTCTAAATCTCGGCCTCATAATCTTCAGCTCTATTGGGAATTTGAGGCAGGGAATGCTGGTCAGACATCTGTGCTTGTCGATCAAAGTTTCGAGACCCCTTAGTCGCGACCAAAGTGTGGCAGACCTAATCATGGGGTTGGCAAAGACTCGAGGCACATTTGACTGGCGAGGAGAGGGGCAGAATGTGCTCAGATATCCCCACCACGAACGTTGCGTATACTATGTACTCGTCCGATATTTAGTCCACGGTACAGAGACGTGGGTCAGAAAAGCGACCAAAGCTTTGACGCGTCTGCAAGAAACGCAAGACACGTCAAGTTGGCGGACCCGACCCTCCTGAAATTGGGCGTTTCCGAGTCGTTGTAGTCTGACCGTCGGAAGGCGGGGAAGAGAAGGGAGAAAAGTAAAGTGCAGCCGAGTAATAAGCTTACGATGATAGGCAGAAATAACTGCCAAAAACTTTTTGGAAATTGCCCCAAGTGATCGACGCTGCAGTGCTGCTCGGCCCATTCCACTGGCCGTGCTCTTGAAACGAGACACGGCCGTGGGGCGTGTGTTGGATGTGAACATCGATGTCGCCGGATTGTATGACTTTGCAAGGACTTGGGCCGGCGGCCTATGGCAGTCAAAATAGTATCTGTCTCTGGCTGGTTGTGTCTACTATGAGATCGTTCTCACCAGCTACTTGAACACACTTTGCGATAGACGGATTGACGGGGGTACATGAAATGGGTCCTCAAATCTCGTGCCCTTGTACTCACCCAAGTGATCAATGCGTAGGATGTATGTCCGGTCGTGTCTCTCTCCTTCTTCTTCTCCATTTCCCTTCTAATTTGACTCTAAGGCATCTGGTCATCTCCATGCATAACTTATACATAACTACGACCTTACTTAAGGTGGAGATATTGAGTGATATTATCGCAGCTATTACCAGTATTAGGGTTGATTATACTATAGACCTTGCACTCCAGGCGGGGCTGCTCAACAGAGTTTCGATGGTACATCTGAATCTTCCTCCCCCATGCAAACCTAGGTATAAGAGGAGAGATACTACGACGGCCTTGAAAACGACTATCTATGCTATACTCATTATTGATGAACTCTCTTCCAGGTGTCACGGTCCGTATAGGAAGCAGTCAACCTTCGTTCTACCGTCGTCACTCTTTCATAGCCACAGCTGCTTCGACCAGGACACACCGAATGTATTTTACTCATCTGCCAATCGCCCTAGGATTGGCAATTGCTCAAGATACACATTCATTGATGTGGCCTATACTATAAAATCCGTAGCTGTCCAAGGCGTACTTAAATGTCACAGATATGAATAGAATGCAGAAATGCTTCCTTCCTTTTCTTCGCTCATCAGTGAGGCCTCTGCACTCTTAACACCAAGTGTTGCTCGTAGTAGCATGACCATCCAGTGTGGCGACAGAGACATGCATTCGTGCCTAGCAACTTACAAAGCTTCATGAATGATGTAGAGGCTCCAATTTCTCCTCATCACCAGCCGGATCTCGCTTCCACAACAGCAGCGGCCTCTTTTTCACATTTTCATCCTGCTCAACTGTCCTCTCACCGTCGCCAAACAAGGGCTTGAACCACCGGTCGTAAAGACCCCACGTGAGGTGAAAGAAAGTGTCCATGACCAGGCCAAGCCAGACTGGCACCCTGCCATTATCATCCGCCAGCACCCTCGACAGGCCCAGGTACAATGCCAACCAAGGCCCGACCAGTGCCAGGAACAAGAACTGCCCCAGAGCCTGGAGACGTGTGGTGATGGTATACGGCTGCAGACTCGCCAGGTATCGCTGATACTCCACGGGCAGGTCATGCTCGGCCGCGCCGTCGACGATGAGCTTGAGGTACCGAGCCGAGGGCTGAGCGTACTCTGGATCAGGGCGGACAGGCTGAAGCAGCAGCTTCTTCCACCAGTCTTTCAGTCTGTCCAGTGGGCCATCGTCGTCATCGTCGCCATCGCTGTCGTCGCCGTCATCATTGTTTCCATCGTCTCCGTCCTCAGGCTTTTTGGGAAGTCGAGGCGCATAGAGAGTGTGCGCAAGGAAGGGCTTGGGTAGACCTGGATAAGGCGGATCTTCCGGGATTCCAGGGGGTCGGGTCGGGATCGGAATACACGGCACGAGTATGTCTTGATACGAGGAGCCACCACCCTCCGTCTTCACAATCTTTGCATAGTCTTCTGGTGTAACCTCGTAAACAACGCCGATCAGGCCTCCATCCCACTGCGGATCGCCAGGAACCCTCTCGTGGTGGGCAATGTCCCCCCTTCTCGGGTGCACAGAGCCAACTTTGTCTTGCGCGGGAGGGGGCAACGAAACCCCCGGCGGCGGGTGTGGGATGACGACGGCGGGCGGGTCTGGCAGCCCTGGAGGGATCTTGGGCGGCTTGGGGATCTTGCGAGGGGCGGTATTGGCGAAGCAGGGCTCCTTGTAGGCGATGCCTGGCAGATCGAACGTCAGGCGCAACGAGGGGGCCGAGACGTTGACGGCCGAGAGGGGACGGATGCCGCGCTGGCCGAGGAAGGTCTGGGCACAGAGGTTGGAGCCGTAGGCGAGATAGAGAACGGTCGAGGAGGTGGCGTCGGCGAGGTAGGGGGCAGCGAGGGGCGACGAGGAAGGGAGAGGCTCTTCTGGGCACGGCTTGGGGCTTGCGCGGGCAAGACGATCGTAGGATGTGCGGCCGAGGGAGGAGACTGGTGGATAGTCTAAGGGTTCGGGTGTGGGCGTGAAGTCGACGGTCTGGATGCGCCGAAGGGCTGCGCAGGCATAGCTGCTCTTTGGCGGTGGTGGCGTGGATGCCATTGTCTTTTTCTTGTTCTTCTTGCTTTCCTTCGCGTTCGTCTTGTCTCCTTCGAAATCCAATGAATATTCACATCAGTCAGAAGGGAGTCGATGACGGGAGTGAGAATTAGGATATGGAAGAGGGGAAGGTGGAGGATGAGCATATACTGATTGAGGGTATGATGCTTTATCAGCAACCCTGCAAGGTCACGCAGTGTGCATGCGTGGCCCAAGGAAACGTCAAGTTTACGGGCGGCTTCCGGGCTGTACAGTGTACCGAAGTACCCCCTTGCCGTCCGCCACAGGCGCAGTGTCTCAGCCTAGAGACGAACCTGCAGATGGTCCGTAGGGGCAACTCTAGGTCCGAACACTATCATTAATACCGCAGGGTGCTTACTTATCTCTCCGGCGTTATACCCAGCCCTTGAGCTATACACAAGCACGGGAGGATCATATATTGTAAACTAGATCTGAACCTGAAGATTTGGACAAGGTATGATTAAATTTGCCAGTAAAACTGCAATAGATGATGCTACAAGAAGAGAAAATAGAAGCACTCGGCGCATGGGTTTAGGACCAGCTTCCAACACACCAAGGGCCTAGGGAACCGGGCTACGTTCTAGGGGTCGATCCTTGATACCTTTGCTGCAAGTTATTTGGCTTGAGGAACTGGTCAGGAAGCGGTGCTGTACATGCTGCGTCTGGAAAGAACAACGTTTGACAGCCAGTGAATCTATAGAAACAGGTACTTACTCTAAACCTTTCAGCCATGTCTACGTACCACCGCCGTAACCGTAGCACCACGTCATATGCTAGCTAATCAATTGGATCCCTGCAGCACGTGGGGTTTTATCGACAAACGCCTTTGGAGGGGCAGAACTTTTTGCGGGACAACGTGAAGAAGAGAAACCGTGCGCAAGAAACAAAAACCATAAGATCACTCACAGCCTTGTCACTCGCATACTATAGCTTGCACCCTGTTTTTTCTTCCCAGACTTTTTCATATTTTTCACAACATACATACATTCACTTCTTCTTCCAAGTCATGGCCAGCCTGCAAGCCATCAAATACACTCGAGGGAGTCTGGAGGTGTTGGACCAGCTCAAACTCCCCCACGAGCATCACTACGACGAGGTGTCGACATGTGAGGAGGCCTTTGACTGCATCAGGTCCATGAGGGTCCGTGGAGCTCCGGCCATCGCCATTGTCGCTGCTCTTGCGCTGGCTGTCGAGCTGAATCGCGGAGCTTGCAGTACGTTTAATCGATGAATTTGCAAACCCCTTGTTTCTTGAAAGGAATTATTATTTGTTTGCACGCTCATGCCCCCAGAATGCACTCATCTTGTTCGTTTATTTTCAAGTGGAAGGCCATACAGGGCACTTGGCACATAAACCAGCCAGCAGTAGACACAGTGATTAACCATTCTACAGAAGCTGAATCCGTTGACGATACAATTTCCTACATCGACAGTCGGCTAGACTACTTAAAGGGATCTCGCCCTACCGCCGTGGACCTGACTAACGCCATCAATCACCTCAAAACCGCCATCCGCTCGCCTTCGCAGGAGACCACCAGTGCCGTCCCCACGCCCACGCCAAAGGATGCGGTGCTGGACACCTTCATCGCCACTGCAGAGGCCATCCTCGCCAAGGACCTGCAGACCAACCTCTCCATAGGCGAGCACGGGGCGGGGTGGCTGGCAGAGCAACACAGGATCTCATCCTCCTCTCCCGCTAGCCGGATCTCTGTGCTCACACACTGCAACACCGGCTCGCTCGCCACCTCGGGCCACGGCACTGCCCTGGGCATCATCCGGACCCTGCAGGCTAAGGGTCTGCTGAAGCATGCGTTTTGCACAGAGACCCGCCCCTACAACCAGGGTAGCCGTCTGACCTCCTTCGAGCTCGTGTTCGAGGGAATCCCATCCACTTTGATCACGGACTCGATGGCTGCCGCGCTGTTCCGCTTGAAGAAGGCCGACATGAACATCGGCGCAGTCATTGTGGGCGCAGACCGCGTGGTCCGCAACGGCGACACGGCCAACAAGATCGGCACTTACCAGCTCGCCGTGTTGGCGTGGCATCACGGGGTAAAGTTCGTGGTGGCCGCGCCGACCACCTCGGTAGACCTAGAGACGGAGACGGGCGACGGCATCAAGATCGAGGAGAGGAAGGCGGAGGAGCTGACACAGATCAGTGGGGCGGTCGTGGGCGCCGATGGGAAGGTGGATGTCAGCAGCACGGCGAGGGTGGCCATTGCCGACCAGAGAATCAACGTGTGGAACCCGGCCTTTGATGTCACGCCTGCAGAGCTCATTGACGCCATCGTGACGGAGAAGGGCGCCGTGGTCAAGAACACCGACGGCAAATTCGATTTCAGCGAGGTCATGCCTGAGCGGTGGGCAAAGATTGTGGGCGGCCAGTGATCACATGCACCTCCTCCTCTTCAGGACTTCAGTAATTGACAGGTCTCTTTCTCACTCTCCTCCTCTCTCTATCCAATTACTGTGCGCCCTTTTCAAATCTCCAGACTGTGTAGAATGAGCTTCTTGTATCCTTCGACGGCCGTCTCCAGGTCGCCAACCGTCAGCGCTTCGTCGTCACCATGAGCCACAAGGATGGTTCCAGGCCCGTAAAGATATCGGGTATGGTCGCCCTCAAGGTATGGGATATCTGTCCCGTAATTGGCGACCAAGGTGTCGAACCCTATAAAATGGATAAATCGAGTTAGAAGCAGGCAGACTGATATAAGGGTCGTCGGCCCAAAGCTCCCTCCCTCTCTCTCTCTCTCTCTCTCTCTCTCTCTCTCTCTCTCTCTCTCAGGGATCAGACTTACCTTCAACGTCACAGTCGCAGGGCGTAACTCCCTGGCCCACGGGACAGTCGAGACTCAACGCCTCGTCATCCACATCCTTCAATATCTCGCTGATCCTCTGCACCACAATCTCGTGTCCAGTCTGCTGTGGCTCGACCGCAATGCGGCACATCAAATTGGCCTGCGCATGCGCCGGGATCACATTCAGCGCAACCCCGCCCTCCATCATGCCGACATTGACAGTGGTATTGCCATACCGCTCACTGCTCCCCAGGTCGGCGTCGAGAACTTTGACCATAGCCCTCATCAACACCTCGTTGGCGCTCTTGCCCTGCCACGGGTATCCACTGTGCGCCGCCTTGCCCCGCGCCGTCACATCACAGCGCAACGCGCCCTTGTGCCCGCATGCAAGCTTGTTCTCGGTCGGCTCACCGAACACGGCGGCCCGGATGTTCAGCGACGACGAGTTCAACGCAGAAAACGCCTTCATCCCATCGCCATTGATCTCCTCGCCGACCACGTAGAGCACCATGATGTCCTCGGGTGCCAGGGACCCTGAGGAGAGGAGCTCATGGACAGCAGTGAGCTGGGCTGCAACACTGCCCTTGGCGTCCACGGAGCAACGGCCCGAGATGGTGGTGGACCTTGTCACATCGCCCTCTTCAATGGAGTACGGTATGTGAGGCGGCACGCAGTCGATGTGGCTCGTGACGAGGACCTTGGGTTTCGGCCCCGTGCTCGAGCGCTCCGAGGGGGGCCATGCAATGATGTTGAAGCGCTCCTCGTCTGAAGGCGTGTTGGGCCTCGGCGGCACAGGCTGCACCTCATAGCTCCATGACTTGGAGGTAAAATAGTCGACCAGGAATGCTCCAGCGTTGTGCTCGAGACCAGAGGTGGAGGGGATCTCAACGAGGTGCTTGTGCAGGATCAGCAGGTCAGCCCGGTACGATGGCACCGTCAGGACGTCATGGTGTGGCTCGAGAGAAGTCGGAGGACGTTCGACAACGGCGAGAGGTTGTTGGAGGTCTAAGCTGGCGGCGGCTGAGCCAGCTGTCAGTGTAGAGCTCAGTAGGAGCTGTACCAGGTGTTTAAACACCATCTTGGGCTTCCAGTGGGAGACCTCGTTGACGTGGAAGCTTGCCACCACCTCGAACAGTGGGTGGATTTGTTGATGTTGGTGAGGAGGATTGCCTTTGGAAAATTGCAGGCCCAAACCGAGAGCAGAGGCTTACATGACGTTTATTTACTGCTGAGAGAGGGACTAGCTCTAGCGACTGGCTGCCTGATACCAGGGCCGAGGTCGGGCGCTGTGGGTACTGATAGGCACTGATAACGAGCTCCCACCCCCTGGAGTGGGGCCCTACCCTGTCATGATACCCTAACAGCGCAGTGGTACGCTAAGTACTGTGCTATACTGAAGCACTCGTATATAAAGTATGAAATCCGCCTGGTCGCTACGAGAATTATCTTCGTCAAAATTGTATAACGCTCCCATTAAATGAACACTGATGAACATTGTATTTGATCAATTCACTTGGAAAACTTTCTCGACTGGGCTCTGAGGAACGGGCAAGCAGACAGTGTATATATGGGATGTATACAATTTCGTGATTGAATAGGGATTGCCCAACCACGTGCATTCATACAGGTGACTGTGGTGCTCAAGTTCACATTATCACGCACAATGTGATCGGATGAAGTTTTCGATGGTTCATCATGTTGCGTGCCTCAACAATCCTTCCTATATTTAAAGGGTATCATAATATGGTCTTAGACACTCAAATCAGAGAGTAGCCCAGAGGCGGTGCCAGCCAACCTTAGGAGGTTATGTAGCAGACGAGTCATCTCTGATGGAGCGGACAACTCGGAAGAAGATGAGTTACGGTACTGGTAGCGAGGTTGACAAAAGAAGGCTTGCAAACTTAGTGCAGATGCTTCTCGTGGTTTGATTCAGCGCCAGGCCGTCAGCAGTATGAGTAAGTAACACAGCGTTGCATGGTCAGGATGGAGCGACATCTGGCCGACTCCGTAGTACTTCGGCGCTTATACAATGTTTGTTGGGATCTACATAACAACAGGTTCTAGACGGCACGCCCCCGTGTATCATTACCTTCAAAATTGGGAGCCCAATTCATTAATTATTCATTCTTGAAAGTGCAGGTCCGTAATGTTTCGGAGGGGAGCCACTGCGCCTAATATTCGAAATATAAGAACATCAATAGGCCTCGCTGCTTAGAACCGTTAGCATACACATCCTTTACAACAAACGCATCACTTATCTGCTTTTGCCTCAGTTAATCCAAGTATCCTCCTACAGCAATGGCAAACACTCGTACCAATGGCGCGGTGCCTTTGTCCTACGGGCTCCTCATATTTCCTGGGTTCGAAGTACTCGATGCGGCCGGCCCCATAGAGCTGCTTAATGTTCTCTCCGTTTACATGGGCCACAATGAAATTCAGCTAAGCGTGATTGCCGCCACCCTGGACGTTGTAACGCCTGCGCTTCGTGGTCCAGATGTGCCAGGCCACCGCTTTGCTGGCAAACAGCATTATCTCCCGACACACACCTTCGACACGGCGCCGGCCCTCGATGTTCTCATCGTGCCTGGCGGTGTCGGCACTTTCAAGCCGGCTGAGAAGATCGGGCCCATGGTCGAATTCATTCGCAATGTCTACAACGGCTCCCTCGGCAACCCGCCGCTGCAGTACGTGTTCAGCATCTGCACCGGTTCTCGGCTCTTTGCAGAAGCTGGTATCCTACGGGGCCACAAGGCCACGACGAACAAGCAAGGCTGGAAGAGTGTCACCAAGTTGACAGACAAGACGCACTGGGTAGCCAAGGCTCGATGGGTTGCAAGTGGAAACATATGGACAACCTCTGGGGTTACTGCGGGCATGGATGGCATGGTGGCGTTGATTGCACAGATCTATGGGGACGAGAAGGCCGAGGCTCTATGCGACATGGTTGAACACTCTCGTCAGAAGGACCCGGAGAATGATCCTTTTGCTATCAAGAACGGGTGTCAAGATGTCTTGCCGCTGGAATGAAGACTTATGAGAGGGACGAGTTTGGCTCACACCCAAACGTCATTTTGGAATTAGTCGAATGCCAAACCTTGGAGCTTTCGCCTTCATAGTCTCCATGGCCCTGTAACTGCAAAACTTATACCTTCTACTATATCCTATAACATATTTGCTATCAATACGTATGCTGACATGATCTTCTGACCGGGTTTAGTGGCTTTTGGCATGTTGCACGTGCATTCATGGAAACTTTGCGAGTGGCATCTCGGCGTAGCATTCGCAAGTGGAGCATATGTCATCTTGCATGCCTGATGCTGCCCGGGGTGCCAAGGTCCGGGAAGCAATTCAAGGTTCAGGGCGACGATCACTGCCAAACCTACAAGGACCCTGGATTTTTCAGCATGGCCAGTAACGTCTTGGCCCCACGAGCCGCCCAGGATCCGGAATGGCGGCGATGAATTGTCAAAGAAATCTTGGGCATATGATGTCAAGCCTATTGTTGTCCAAGGGAGGAACCCAAATGTCTAAACAATGACTGCACACAATGGCTCTTTCAGCACACCCCCCTGGAGAGCCAAAACATTCCCTTTGTCTTATCTTTCAACTCTTCTTACGCCTGGAGAAAGTGTTATATACACCCTCGTTCGCTCCCTGATGCCTCGCCACCAGCAGGTCCGTCCCTCACTTTCCCAAGGCACATGACTTTGCGATCATCATGTCTGAACCACACGCACCGCTACCAACTCATTCACGTTCGGCGCGGCAGGCCTCTACCCGCACCACGAGGCGTGAGCAATACCCACCTTCAACTCATTCCAACAGGCACTATCCGCAGCGCAATGCTTCGAGTCGCACCAACACGAGCGCCAGGACCCTGTCAAGGGACCCTAGCTTCGACGCGGTTCCTCGACGGCCGACCAATGGCCTGCAAAGGGTCGAGACGGTGCAGACACAATACATGGAGATGCTCCTCAGCCTAGACAAGATCCCCAGGTTCCACAATATTCTGGCTTCTTTCTTCGGGTGGCTGCTCCTCGCAGGCTTTGTTGTCTTCCCAGGCACATTCACAAACATCCAGGAACTCTCGGCAGACCCGACTCTGGCTGGACACCCAGACGCCGCTGCGATATTGAACGATGTCCAGAACCTCCCGCTGGTGATTGTTGCCGCCATCGTCTGCGGCATAGGAACCTTCGGTCTTATCTGGCTTGCTGTGTGCTGGCGTACGAATTACGTCTGGTTGCTGAACAAGATCTTTCTTCCTGGTGCGACCAATGCGGTAGCTGGTCTGATCTCCACGCTCATCGCCGTGTATACGCAAAAGGACGGAGAATGGAGTGTGATGGCGAAGGCAACAGGTGCTGTCGAGGCTGGAGCCTTGATAGTTTGTGGCTCGCTCTTCATCCTTTGCACCTTGATGCTGCAGTGGGTCAAAAGAAAGCACGCCAAAGAGACGAGGATGTTCGAGAAGAGCTATGGAGACGCAGGTATCCTGGAGAAGACGGGCAAGAAGCTCATGGCACCCGCCGTGGAGCCGCAGAGTGTGATCTGAAAACAGAAGAAATGAAGGAAGCCTGCTGGTCAGGCTTTGGGATCTATTTTTGTTTCCTTTGTAGTTTGATACCCGGAGCGCCGATACTTGTGAGAAAGCGTACAAGTTAATGATATGATGTTGTTCAAAATTCTAATTTTCAATTTTCATGCATGACAACCATCTCAGGCATGTCGTCGCCAGGAGGCCACGCAGAGGAGGAGTGAGTTAAATGAGAGCGCGCAGTGAACTATCTAAGGCAAAGTATAAGCGGCCCTGAAAGCTGCTTTTTCGCAGAGATCCTGGTTTGTAACACAACACAGAGGGAGTCAATCATTATTACATAGAAAAATGCTGATTCCGCCGCTCATTATTGTCAGTGAGTGAGGTCATTGATTTCTTCACCTCCTCGTCTGTTTAATCATATATGCCCGATTTGTCCCAGCGACGGGACTGGAGATCTCAGGAAAGAATCAGCTATGTAAGGTCTCAACTGTTGTTAGTCAACTTTTGTTGCAACAGTGGTCACCAGTGCTCGGCACTGGCTATAATTACCCTATATCTCCCCAACTTTCATCTTGTGGTGTCGTGCTGCTTCACCGTGTCTGCACGCGGGGTAGCAGATAAGTATTACTAAATTCCTAGTTTCTGATCATGCCTGGTTAGTTAGGTGTTAAGAACATCATGGCTGGGTTTCATGCTTTGGATCAAATACGTTGGAGGTCAGCAATCTCGTAGGCTTTCTGAGAACTCTCCGAAGCCAATTTCCGCAAGTGCTGTTAGAAACCCTCCTGCTGTATCGAGACATAACCTATAAAAGGGACTCAATTGAGAACATAAGCTCAGAAATTACAAATGAGACACAATAACATGAAAAGGGAAAGGATCTCAGTCGTATTTCGCAATCGCGCTCAGAAGGACGGCCATATTTATTTGATTACTTTTTCATATTCGCTCCCTTCGAACGTTTTAGTACACCATCCTTAGCATGCCATCGAATGAGGTAAATGCCGTTACGGCAATGAAACCAGGGTTGAAATTGTCGAATGAAAATGGTGGTCAAAGTCGAAAAGGCCCAAGGTTTTGGCTTATCTTGATTGCAGCCGCCTTGGCCGCCCTCTTGACGACGTTGGAGGCCACCATAACATCTACGGTCCTCCCGACAATAGTAGCCGATCTTGGAGGAGGAGATGGCTACATCTGGGCCGTTGATGGATACTTCTTGACCATGTAAGGAACCACGTTTGTTCCTTGATGCCACGCTCTCGACGTTGAGACTAAACACTGATACATGATACAGGGCCTCCCTCCAGCCTATGTTTGGGCAGCTCGCCAACGTCTTTGGGCGCCGATGGCCCTTGATCACCTCCACAGCGATATTTGTGCTAGGGAGCGGCATAGCTGGCGGGTCAGTACCAGCAAGATTTCTCATCTTCAACTCTCTTGGGGTTGTAAGAATGTTTTCAGTATATCGATGGCTGACAAGTAGAAAGGGTATAGATCTGTCAACATGGCTATGCTGATTGCCAGCCGAGTGATTCAAGGTATCGGAGGATCTGGTATCAATGTACTGGTTGAGACGGTTGTCTGCGACCTGGTTCCTCTGCGGGAGCGAGGCAAATATATGTCTGCATTGTTCGGCATGATTGCTCTTGGAACCGCACTGGGCCCTCTTTTCGGGGGGCTTATTGTGACCTATTCCTCCTGGCGCTGGGTGTTCTACATGGCTCTACCCGTGGGAGGTCCGGCTCTGGTGTTGCTGTTTGTTTTTCTTCACGTCAATTACGACAAGTCGAACAGTTTGGCAACCAAGGTGCAGAAGCTGGACTGGCTGGGCAACATGATTTTTGTGGGAGCCAGCTGCTCCGTCCTGCTCGCTCTGAGCTGGGCAGGCTCTGTGTACCCCTGGTCCTCGTACCAGATCATTGTGCCTCTTGTCATTGGCATCGTCGCTCTTGGGGGATTTGGGATACTGGAGGGCTCTCGGCTCGTGATGAACCCAATGATGCCTCTCCATCTCTTTTCTAACCGAACCTCAACCACCACCTTCATGTTGACTTTCCTCCACGGTTTTGTCAGCATGTGGGCGCTATATTTTCTTCCTGTCTATTTTCAAGGCGTTCTCGGCGCAACGCCCAATCGCTCTGGAATCATGTTCCTGCCGACCATCCTTACCGTGGTACCTTCTGCAATTATAGGAGGGCTGCTCGTCTCTAAATTCGGCCGATACAAGCCAATATTTTTTGTTGGGTTCGCCATCATACTGGTCGGTTTTGGTCTTTTCACCCTTCTAACTCCAAGTTCCAGCACGGGTGTCTGGGTAGGTTTCCAGGTCATCGAGTCTGCCGGCGTCGGTATCACTATACCAAGCCTCCTCCCTGCCGTGTTGGCGCCCTTATCAGACAAGGACACAGCGCTGGCCACAGGTACCTGGGCGTTCATGCGCAGTTTTGGCCTGACTTGGGGTACCGCCGTTGCGGCTGCTGTCTTTGACAATCGCGCCGCCCAGTTGGCGGCCTCGGGTGCCATTACAGACAAAAGGGTGGCGGCGCAATTGATGGCCGGTGGTGCGTACTCGGCCGCTACAGCCGAGTTCCTGGACTCATTGTCGGCCGAGACACGCACGCAGGTTTCTAACGTTCTGAACACCAGTCTGAAGCGGTCGTGGCAGGTTGCCATCGCATTCGCCGCTGTTGGGCTCTTGCTTGTCATGTTGCTAAAAGAAATTCCTCTTCGAAAAGAGCTGTTGGACAACGAGTTTGGTATGATCGAGACAAGAAAAGACGCCTCCTCCAACCCCAGCGCACATGAAGCAGGAAACCTTGTCGTTGGATCGGATGCATAGAAGATGAGCGCACATAAGACATTACAGGCACTCAGCGATGGCTTGCCAGCATGACAGTTTCGGGTTCTCAGAATGTCGTGGCGGATTCGGTGGAGTTTTCTTTGTTGGATTTTCAATTTCCCAGGAGCTCTATAACTGCATTAATGTTTCCTCTGATTGAGTCTACATGACTTTGGCCTCCACCCGGCGACCTGATATCTTCTTGTGTCATGACAACCTGAAGCAGTGGTGCTATATCGATGTTGCTGAAGATTCCATTGGAAGCGAAGCTTGTCTTGTCTGAGAGACAATATCTGGCCGGGAGCCCTAGACAACGCTGCAGATCCTGAATATGGTTCTGGATGACATCGGCAACGCCCTTAGCATATGTCTTGACTGATATATCCTCCATCGTTGGAAAGTCACCGATGCGGAAGACCGCTTTGACCCGTGCCGACTCCATCATCTCTATTGGAATCTTACGCGAAGCTTGTGAGATATTACAGAATAGAGAGTCATATATCCGCATGAGCCGAAGGTAGTTCGAAAGTATCAAGAGGAGTGTTGGCGTGCTGAGCGAGTTTTGTGTAGTGCGACGGAAGGCAGCAGCAGATGTGATGGTGATGGCATTGCTCGACGAGGGCGCAGGCTGCTGAGAGGGGTGCAGCTTCCGGACAATTTCTGTCAACTCCTTTGTACAAGAAATCACCGGAGCTACAGGATTTTCCATCGACTTCTCCATCAAGTCCAAACAGCCCTGTGCCAACTGCTCTGGCTTGCCGATCGAGTCCATGGCGAGGGAGCACTCAGTCAACTTTTCACCGAGTCGTGACAACAGAATCGTGGGATTCAAGCTCTGAGCGATATTATCACATGATACGTGGATAGATGGATTGCGCGTATCATTCCCGAAGATGTCGCTGCGGCCATGACCCGGGTCTGTCATATCAAAATTATCGCCACCGAACAGGGCCTCTTCACGGAGGATGAAATTTGCATGCCGTCCCAAAGAAAGAGGCCCTAGGAGGCAGTTTTCCTCCGCGGAAGCAGACCCAAGAGGCCCCTCCAAGGTCTGATGTGATGACCACGTGTCCGAAAGGTGTTGTAACGCAAATTCCGAATGAAGCGCAGGTTGAGCAGGCCTGGCAGGCTCAAGATCGCCCAGAAGGTTCGACGGTGTGTTGACCACGGACCACGCCGCGGACCCTTCTGCCAGCGTCTGGTCACCGACCCAAGACATATGTAAGCCAAGGTCAGCGGCTAATCGCGGGCTTGCAACACCTCTGTGCGAGGGAGAGCAGGCAACCGCACGGGGTGGGTTCTGTGGGCCATCGACAGGCGTCTTTCGTGGTCGCCCGAGGAGACCTGGAGTGCCAGTAGTGCATGTGGCGCCAACGCGAAGGCAGCGTGCGCAAGGCTCAATGCTGTCATGAGTCCGAGGACATCGCAGTCGCTTTTGTCTGCACCGATCGCAAGCGGAGCGCTTGGCAAATCTAGGTGTCTCCATGGCCGGAAATGTTGGGTGAGGAGTTCCGAGAGCATGTTTGATTGAGTATGGGAACTCTGCTCTGCATTTGGTCTGTCCTAAAAAAGCCTGAGAGAGGGTCAGTAGCATTGGAAAGTCTCCGAGTGATAGAATCAAGGTTCGGAGGGTTCTCACCTCATTAGTAATGAAAGTATCCGCGACCAACTTGCAAACGAACTAATTAGCACTTATATGGGTTTATATACATCGTTTAGCATGCATTATCAGAATAATATATCCTTGTACTTATTAGAATCTCAAAATTACTTTCTTCTGTCGAGGGGCTATTCCTGGTTCAGTTTGACGCTCGAGTGCTTGCGCCTGCGTTAGAGATCATCCTTGGCATGTGCCCAATTATATGCTTCAGTGTATCCTTGAAACAAGACGAGTAGACAGGATAATTACAGCTCAATGATTTGGTGTCGATTCACAAGTCGACTCTGTATGCTGCCGGGAATACGTTAAATCCAACCACATGCAGACGCTCTGGTCTTGTACATGTATTTATATGCTTCTCCGAATTTGATACTTAGTAAGCTGTCTTATCGAATGTCTATTCAGGCGCAGTATACTGGGTTCTACTATATATATATGTATATCAAAAAGAAAAACAACCAAAAAACCCAACGATGGAGATTGTAATATGCGGAGACATTCGAGCACATAGAGCGAAGTGTGGCCAATGTGCACACCGTCTCAAGCCTTCGAAATAGGCTGCACAAGACCCTCGCGCTCCAGACCAGGTTTCTCGTTTCCACAAGTTACGTCCTTAGAGCTCGAGTGCTTTCGGAATATATCGTCAAAGACATCTTCCGCATGAGCTTCGGCATCGTGGAAATGAATCCAGTCCTCTCGAGGAAGGGCGATGCTGGATGGATCCTGTTTGACCTTTTCCCAATCCGTCTTATGCCACATGTCTCTGGTCGTCTCACCTGTTTTTTGGACGGCCTTTACACGCTCATACCTACGGAAGAACAAGAGTCAGAAATATGCATCTACAGCCAGCATAGAGGGAACAAATTACCTGATTTCCTCGTGTGTTTTTAGAGCGGCCTGTACGTGGTCTCTTCCAGCCCGACGTAAGCACACTCCAAGCGTGACTCCGTCTTCCATCGCTTGAGTTGCTCCTTGGGTCGAGGTTGGCAAGAAAGGATGTGCAGAGTCTCCCAGCAGCAGGAGTCTCTGTTTCTGGCTGACCCAAGTTGGCAATGGCTCGCGATAGACAAGTTTCCAGTCGACCAAGGACGGGGTTTTCTCTACGATGGCCTTGCATGTCGGATCCCACCCTTCCAGAACCTTGAAGACATCCTCAAGTTTGCCTGGAAATGACCATGATTCGTCAATGTCGTACTCATCCTTGTGGGTAAGCACCCAGGAGCAGTCTGAGCCGTTTTTGATGGTTGAGAAGAGGAAGTGAACATCCGGGCCTATCCATCCATTGAAGGTGTCGCCATTCTCACAGAATTCCTTGGTCCGAGGGTCTTTGATCATGTCCGTATTTGGGAACCTTTACAAAATGTTAGAATACCACTTAGATAAACTTCTAAATGTAGAAGCCGCCAACTTGGAGCTCGTGTGAAACGTACCAGGCCCTCCAGATAGCGTAGCCCGACGGTCGAGGCCTATCCTCATACCCAAGAACGAGCTCTCTAGCCTTGGATCGAACTCCATCTGCACCAACAACCACATCGGCGATGACCTTTTCTCCACTGTTGAGAATGATACCAGCATGATTATCGTCCTCGAAGTATTCCGAGACATTCTGTCCCAAATGAATCGGGATATCGAGTTCGTCCTTGGCATAGTCAAAAACGACTCTATGCAGCTCGCCTCTGTGCCCGTTGAGAACTGGCGTCTCTGGATTCATCTCAGGCGTCTTTTGATGCAACATGACCTCGCCAGTGTCCCATTTATGAATGCGGAATCCGTACTCCCTCAGGTCGATGCTCAGCTTTCGCATTCGGTCCGTAATCTCACCTGGCGAGTTGCCCCAGCGATAGAGAATTCGGCCGGCATTGGCACCGAACGAGATGATGTCGCCGAGGGTCTTTAGTTCGGGAAAAGACTCGTAGATGGCAACATCATGACCTTGACGGCGGCATTCTATGGCCGCTGTCAGGCCACCAAATCCAGCCCCGACTATCACGACCTTGATCCCAGTGCTCGGCTTAGACTTCGCCATATTGATGAAGATATTCTTGTGTCAATAAGAGTAGGAATGTGAGATTCAGTCCTTGTCCTGAAGTGAAGTAGTAGGTAATGAGGATAGAATTATGTGCTCGAGGCTGAGTATCTCACCACTTTAGTTCAATCATTGTCAATAATTAACGCCAGAACCAGTGAGGAAGCAGAGCAGAACAATTACTGGGCCCGAGGTTACGCCTAAAGTCTCGGCAAGCTATTGCAGTCCGAACGGTAAATCTGCTTCTGCGCTGTCCGTCGTAATACCTTGGGCCGTTACAGCATACCACGTTGTTCTGCAGATCAGGATGCGTCATTGGTTGGATTTTATTTCTACCGGCCCCACTGTGACAGCTCATCAAGTTGCTTGAAATTGAGCTGTTGATGCAGTCTCATTCCCCCGAAAGGCTACACTTCATCTTTCCTTGTGTACAAGAGCCTTGGAGTACGCACAGCCGTAGCGTTGAGACGGCTGGCGAGGGAAAAACATCATGCCCTGTCGGCCACCAAAATTATAGGGCGCGATGTCGTCGGTTCTCTTTCTAACGGGTCTGAGAAGTTCCGCTAGAATTAGCCAAGGCCGCTATGTAAAAGGTGGAGCAGCACGAGATCAAGCTGGCGGGGGGCCGGATGACAGCCACTGAAGCCCCCGGTTGAGGGGAAAGATCGCCATGTAAGGTTGAGCCCTTGTCTTCCCCAGATTTTGCAAACGGCACTATACGCCATGTGGGAAAGATTGGAAAAGTGACGGATGGCAATTGTGGATTCCTCTGGTTCTTATGCAAGTCTCAACATCGGCACTTCTCCTATTTGGCAAGGCGAGCCGTTCGCCCTTTGTTCAGACAGGCATGCAATCTGTGCCAGCTGCAATGCAACACGCGCGGCCCTTGGTCAGATGGAGTACCATGTCTGCACATCCCGAGCGGTTCGCCCGCGGTGACATGGTGCATGCGCATAGACTACAAGCGGCCGTGTGGAAAACCTGCTCTGTTGGCTGCTTTGATTTGGCTTGATGGTGTGTGGATGGTGGTTGGGAGAGCCCAATCGACGTGCTGGTGGCAGTCTGAAGTTTGGTTGTTGGCACCCCTGACATGGATGGGCGCTCGCGCGGCACGACCTGGTGTTTGCTCTGACCAAAGCAAGACGACCAACTCATCCATTTAACATTCGAAGGTGCCCAAGGCTATGTTGCTGCCCCACCAGTTCCAGAACCGTACCCAATATTCCGAGAGTTGAAAGGCTCGAGATATCAGACTACTTTCTTCTTTCTCATCATCATTGACTATGGCATCCATGAAGACAGCCGAAGTGACCGAGAAGGGCCCATCACGGAGCTCTTCTGATGATGTATCCACCAGGAAGATATACACTATGAGGGACCACTGGAAATGCCTGTGTGCGTGCACACTGGTATCCATGTGTCCGTTTCAGTATGGTGCGTGCTCGACTACTGGTTGTCATTGATTGAAGACGTCAAACAAATGACAAGCTGATAATGGCCTCCGACAGGGCTGGACTTTGGTCTCATTGCTGGTCTTCAAGCTATGGTCGGCTTCCTCAAGGCAAGACCTCACCGTTAACACTCGATCACTTAGGAGTCTAATAAAAAAACAAGATATTCGGGTACTCGGACCCAGCAGTCGCTACTGGCTGGAACATATCTACCGAGAGACAGCAACTCATTTCCTCACTCATGACGCTGGGAGCATTCCTCAGCTCTTCTTTAGCAGGCCCCATTGCCACGGTCATGGGTCGAAAGGGAAGCATCTGGAGTGCTGTTGTTCTTTGTGTTATTGCAAATGTCATCATGATGACGACTACCAACATCGGTGCCATTTACGTCGGCCGTCTTGTCATTGGCTTGGCGAACGGGCTGTTCATGACCTTCTCCCAGCTTTACATCCAGGTATGCTCATCCACGCATGAATGAAGCCATTCTAATGTTTGCCAATGGACACTGACCAGTGTTGGATCTTTGTATTTTATTTTTAGGAGTCTGTGCCAGCCCGTTACAGAGGTTTAATGATTTCTTCCTTCCAAGTCTGGACATCTGTGGGAACACTGGTCGGTACGATTGTCGACAACTTCACCTCGAAAATCACGACCCGCGAGTCCTACCTCATCCCTCTAGGCCTGGTTTTTATCGTCCCAACCATCATGTCGATCGGTCTGTTCTTCATACCAGAGTCGCCAAGGTGGCTATTAGAGCATGGCAATAAGGAGAAGGCCCTGAAGTCACTCCTCTGGCACCGGCCTTACGGCCAGATAGGGGCTGAAGAGGAGCTCAAGGATATCCAGGAAGCACTCGATAACGACCTAAAGACGAAGGAGAATGTCAGTGTCAAAAACATGTTCAACAACCCTGTCGATCGAAGACGGACTGTCCTGTCTGTTCTGGCGATTACCCTGCAAGGCGCTTCCGGCGCCATGTACATGATTGGTAGGTCCCTCTGGGCCGTTCCGCTGACCCGCAACTTTGTCTTCCCAAAGTGTTATCGTCACTGACGTAACCCAGCGTATGGTACATACTTCTTCGAGATGGCGGATATTGGCAATAGCTTCGAAAACTCGTGTATCCTCACTGCGGTGGGCGTCATCGCCATTTTGATCAACAGCGCAGTCATTACGCACATCGGCCGCCGTCGCATTTTCCTCATTATAGGAATGTTCATCTGCGGACTTACACAGCTCCTGTCCGCTGTGGTGTACACTGTTCAGCCTGGTACAGTGTCAACAGGGAGAGCAATAGTCGGTCTTTCAGTCGTGTATATCATCGGTTATAATGTAGGTCTCACTTGAGGGCTCAGGAGCTCCGCGGTAGGCCGCAGGTGTGGATTTTGCTAAAATTCGATGCACATAGGGAATGGTGGCTACATATGCCTGGATTTCAGGTGGTGAATTACCGTCGCAACGACTTCGATCGTACACTTTCGGCCTCGCTACATCGATTGCCTTCTTTGCAGCATGGCTGGCAACATTCACGGCACCGTACTTCATCAATCCCCAGTCGCTCAACTGGGGCCCAAAGTATGGATACATCTGGGTTGGACCGTGTTGGATTGGCGCGTAAGTTCTCTCAAGAAGACGATACGTGTAATATAATGAAGAGGTCTCTTGGCTGACAAGACGCAGAGTTTGGGTGTACTTTTTCCTGCCTGAGGTCAAGGACCGTACCCTTGAAGAGGTCGATGAGATGGTAAGATCTTTCCTCCCACCCACCGCGCCTTCTACACCGCCCCAACTCCAGACACTCGTTCCCATCCCCAGCCAAGATAATGTCGTCTTTTTCCCGCACGAGATACTGACTACTTTCATAAAGTTTGAGGCTCGCGTACCAGCTAGGAAGTTCCGCAAGTATGTTTGTGCTGGCCGACCCAGCCGAGCTCTCGACAAGAAGGAAGAGGATCCCCATGTGGTACATGCTGAGGAAGTGGTCTGGGCGAATGGCAGAGTTGTGACCGAGGCCGCTACAACCGTTGCTTAAAGGCGAGAGGTTCTTGGCATGTTCACCAGTGGAGTACTTCTCCAGATATAGCAACTTAGTTGGGTATCTCGATCAATAACGTCGTGGAGACTGAGACAGCAACAATCTGTCTACTGTAGTAAAGAAGGTACGACAGTACCGAGCTATTATGCTAGGTTTACAAGGTTTTAGATCGGGAACGATGCAGAAGAGCTTACGAGTCGTTCGATCTTAGTTTGACCGTACCAATCCAAGTCATGATTGCTTTCACGTCCTTTCTCAAACCTTCTCATCAACCCTAAGCATCCAGCGAACTCTTGCATCGTTTCTACGACCACAGTGTGCTTCACCAATCACTGGACGTAGGTAGAAACCAAAACACCTACATGCCGTTATGTTTAGGCTTTCCTTCAGTCTCCAACATCCTGTTGCCGAAAGACTATCCGGGAGAAGTGGGTCTTCCGGCCGACGTCCACGGAATGTCGGTGCGCCTCCGTGGAGCGTCCCCGTCGTCTGTTTCGGAGCGGTCCATGAAACACCTTGGCTCCTTGGCAAAACCAGCCAAGAAGAGATCAACAATAATGTCGGACCTCTGAGACATCTCAAATGTGTCCAACAACATACCAATAGTACACAGAAACTGGCTTCAAGCAATCTTCTCGTTTCTCTAGATTACCGCCATCATCGCAACAGTATGGAATCAGCAAGATACCATCGTCTCGAAGAACTGCCAGAGCCAGATTATTTCGATATTCAATTAGAAAAGGATTACCTACCTCCAGCTTCCAGACTGATTCGCACAAAGAGATGGATACATCGCAATGTTGTCCTGGTGATACTTCTCACGGCCTTCATCATCGCTGCCATTCTGTACACTGCAACCTGGCTGGCGGCACGACCCATACTTGCAGGGCTCGGGAGACCGGAGAACGCGTCTTTAAAATTGGCAGAGATCTCTGCTGGAAGTCAGCATGCAGTGCAGGCGGGACAAGCTGGGCTTGGGGACCCTGGTATCGACCATGATGATACTGTGGTGAATACAAATCATGGCGGCGAGGGCGCGGAAGTCTCAGGTGCGAATATGACCGCAACAGCCAATGATGAGTCGAAGAGTCCTGGAGCCGGAGCAGGAAATAGCGGCACCAACTCAGATAACAGACCAACGACGGCGCAAGATGGGCAGGCTGGCGATTCAGTGTTTGACGAAGCCACGAGTTCCGAAAAGCAGCCCGACAAGGGATCCAACGCGGCTGCAGAGGTCGAGCAAGACGACGGGCAGGTGTCGATCCAGGACGCGAATCCCGCCCAGCAGGAACCCTTCATTCCGATCAAAGCTACCTTTTATAGTGGCTCAGAGGGGCCAAAAGCATGCCGCGGTGGTGTCATCGCCGTTATAAACATGCAAAAACCATCACTTCCAGGAGCACCAACCACCCCCCAATGCTACAACTTCCCGAGTCTTCAATCGTCAGGTTGTGCAACATTCCTGGCCAACAAGGCTGACGGCTGTGAGGCGAGCGTCTATGCAGAGACAAACTGCCGGTCATACATGAACACAATGGCATTCATGCCTGAGAATCGGCCGGTCGGTGGAAACTGGCGCAGCGTCAAGGTGCAGTGCGGGCTACCTGAGCCAGATATGTCGACATTGGGAAAGCCGCCGATGATGGATTCGATAACGTCTGTGGTGGAGAATAATTGATTCGATGGGGCGCAACCAAGGAGGATTGCGAGAACCGGTCGAACCACGGCAGACGAGCTTGTGACGAGGTTAATAATATGCTGACATCCTCGAACGAAATCTATTATTGAAATGTAGGGCCAAAACAGCTCTACAATACCGTGAAGAACGAAGAAAGTACGCGTAATTGCGCTCCTATAGGCCCTGATACACTGTCATTTGCTCGAGCGAATCCGCCATAATATTGCCCAGCTTGTACTTCCAGAAAAGTTAATGCCACACGAAAGAATGAGAACGGTACCTTAACTGACTCTTGCTGCCAAGCCTACTCCGGATCGATGTGTACTAGATAAAAGCACTGATGAAGCCCTGAAGCTGGCAGTGCGATTTATCTCTCTTATCTCTGCTTTTTTCTCTGCATCTCTTTTTGTTGTCTCAAGTCCCATGCAATTAAAGCTGGCATCTCTCACCTTTCTGATGCTTCGGTCACGATAAAGGTTGCCTGTGCATGAGTATTCATCTCAGTGTTAAATAGTAGTACTTAATGAGTACTTGTAATATGTGGAGACCGGTCTCGGACGCGAATCTCCTTCCGCTCTGTGATATGCCGGTCCGGACCGCGAGCGGAGATACTACTGCGCCCTGTCGACCTAAAGGGCTTGATACTTGTGAGCCTTCTCATACACATCGGATACAAGGAATTGCATCATTCCAATGTGAACATTTTCAGTCCTATGATATTGTAACCGATTACCTCCTCTTTTTGTCTCTCCATCTCACAGTTTACCACGCTGGTTCGACAATGTCGTGGACGATCACTTTCTGTTTGCTTATCGCTGCCATACTATTTACGGCCTCAAGATGGTTTCGTGGCACACGAGATGTCCATGTTAGTATTGTCGATATCTGTTGCCGTCATGGCGTTCTGCTGAACACTATAGGACAACGACGGGACGAGGATCAACGAAAAAGCCAGCGACCCCCTGGCGTGCCCCATGAGTTCCATAGAGTCCATGAGGTCATTCAACTGGGCTGGAAAGGCGCCCTTGACTCTGAGACCGTTCAAGCCTAAATATCACATCACCATGGGTAAGACATACTGAGTCCCCTTCGAGAATGCTAGAACAGAACAATGAAGAGGCCTGATCAATACCTCACAGCTACACAAAGCTCTACGCCCTCAGATCTGATCATCATGGATCGCAATTACAAGGACCGAGTAGCAGAAAGAAGACAGCTGATAGCCTTGCACCCTTCCGTTGTCGTGGGAGCTGTCCCCCAGGGAAAGGATGCTGTGCAGGAGCTATATTCCTACCTCATGTCCGACTATCTTCCACACAAGTATCCGACCATGTTTACCGTTGACAAAACCCGCGGCGTGTTCCACAACCAAATTACTACCGCTTCCTACCAGTTATCGCCACCGGACAATCCAGTTGAGGCCCTGAAGATTCTAGGTGAGACTGTCGAGGATGACATGTTTCTCCTTCATGAGACAGAACAAGGTCATCGCAGCGTGGCGTATGTGTGTTGCTACTGTTCTGGCTTTGACCCGTCCCAGAAGTTGGACAAGCTGCTTGTCGAGATTCACGAGCCGGTGCCAAGCTATCACCGGATCGGTCCAAGCATGGAAAGGTATTTCAGCCGACTCGAGGTTGGTAAGAACGTAAAGCGGATCAACGTAAGTGTAACAGAAGACCATGATGGTTTGTTTTTGACAATCACGCTGAGAGGCAAGAATGCTGCTGATCTTATCAACATAACAGTGGTCAGTTGTTGATACGCCGATCTTATTCAACTGTTCAACCAACCACGTCCACGAAAGTGATATTGAATCCGTCATTCATGATGAGGATATTGATATCGAGAAGGTCAGTTCCCGGTCATCAGTTATTATGGCGAACTGAGATTGAGAGTTCAGAAAGCTGACAGTCATAGGCTCGCTTGAGAGTTGAATTGCAGACTCTGAGTCGGCTCCCAAAGACAAGAGCGGTTCTCTTCTCCTTCAAGACGCATTTGTACACGCTGAAGGAGATCAAGGCCGAAGGGCTCGGTCCTGAGCTGGCTGATGCCATTGATGGGCTCAAGGAGGGGAACGCCCCTGGGATGTGGACCTACAAAGGAGCTGTCAGATGGGGCAAGAAAGTCAAAGAATATCTAAGGTCTTAGCTTAGTTGGTTTTTTTGAGAGTCTTGTTTGGTTTCTTTTGCCTGTTTCTTATTCTTAGATTTTCTTTACTTGCTTAATATAATTAAATACATATCAAAGAACGAAGACTCGCTGAAATGGTATCAATTAGTACCGTACTATTTGAGGAATGTCATTTGCAAGCAATTGAGGCGTGGAGGGCCTTTACTCTAGGCAGTAAGATGAAGTGAACGAGCAGAGTTGCTTATCGGAAGATTAATCCAAAATCTGAATCAAGACTCTTTGTGAACTAATAACAGATTTGTACCTCGGCAGTCTTCAAGGTCGATCCTTAGTCCCTTACTTACCATGAGTCTCCGGAATTCATTCGGAGACCTCGGCTTCGGTCCCGGAACATGGACCAGGGTGTGTGGCCTGCGCCTTCCCGGGGGCTCCACCTCCGTGGCCGCCAAAATACAGAAAATTGTTTTCGTCATTATGAGACTGATCCATTGACGACCACTGCGTAACCTTGGTAAACTGTGGCGCCTGTCCTCAGCAATGGCAAAAGACACACCAATCATCTTTATGGACGGAGGGCTCGGCACCTCTCTCGAAGATAAATATGGTCTCAAATTCTCTCACTCGACGACGCCGCTGTGGTCCTCTCACCCTCTCGTCAGCGACTCCCGCACGCTGCTCGCCTGCCAGCGAGACTTTGGTCAGGTCCCAGTCGACGTGATCGAGACGGCAACTTACCAGGTCTCTGTACCTGGATTTGCAGCCACAAGGACCGAGCAATGGCCAGACGGCGTTGACCTCGCAAGCATTCCAAAGTTTTTGAAGGAAGCAGTCGACATTGCGGAGCAGGCCAGAGGAAAGCCGGATGCAACGGTGGCATTGAGTCTCGGCCCGTATGGCTCGACCATGATTCCAGGACAGGAGTACAGCGGGTCTTACGACGATGCGCACAATGACGAGAAAAAGCTCTGCAGCTGGTGGGCCGATCGACTATCCCTCTTCTCAGGCGACGAGATTGTAGGAAGAGTCTCGTATGTCGCGTGCGAGACGCTGCCCAGGCTGGACGAGATCAGTGCGGTCCGGAGAGCAATAAGCAACTTCACATCGAAACCTTGCTGGATTGCCTGCGTGTTCCCGGGCGAAGGCGACCGGTTGCCTGATGGAAGTAGCATTGATCAGATGGTTGAGGCGATGCTTGCCCCTGCCGAGTCCAAGGCCCAGCCATGGGGCATCGGCATCAATTGCACCAAGATGCATAAGCTCGAGGACCTGGTCGCCAAATTCGAGGATGCTGTCTCGAAGCTTATCGAGACTGGTCGGGTTGCGGCGTGGCCAGCCCTTGTCCTCTATCCAGATGGCACCAATGGCGAGGTTTATAACACGACCACGCAGGAGTGGGAGGTTCCTGTTGGCCAAGAGCAAAAGCGGGTATGTTGACGCCTCCCCCTTACTACCCTATCTCTCCCATGCACGCACTACTCCCGGTAATTATGGCCTGTCCAGCACTGACTCTGTGTGCTCTAGATCCCATGGGAGCAGCAACTTGGGCAGATTGTGCTCGACACGGCTAAAAGGCAGAGATGGAGCACTATCCTTGTAGGTGGCTGCTGTAAGGCAAGTCATAGTGACATCAGGAGGCTTGTCGATTATATTCGCAGCGCTTGATAATCGAATTCATACATATTCGCATACATGGTATGAGCTACTCTCTGTGTCAAGTAACCATCCATCCACCTGTTTTGAATTTTGACAAGGTGGCAGCTTTGGTTCATTCTTATGCATGCTCCGTGTCCCCTTGCCAGCTTCCAATTTGCCGGTACCAATATTCATACCTGGTCTAGAGCTGAGGGCGAGTCACGGAATTCGACCGCCAGTAAGCTCGGCAGGTCGCTCCGGGACGGCCAGTGGGTCCAGCTGCGAGCAAGCTGCAGGGAAATCTCGTCAAGGGTAGGAGGATCACGAGAACCGCTGGTAGGGCGATTAATCATCCCGAACAAGCTGTTCTCAGTAGGCCTCGCCATGTGAAGTGAGCTTTGACGTCTGTTTGAACATCAAAGAGACAGCTACCAGCACCTAAATTGTGACTGATCGATCGGAGGGACTACAAGATGCTATGTAGTAATTATTGATTCCGGCTGACTTCCACACGCAGGACTGGCGAGACACCTCAACACCCGCTGTCCGACCCCTCCCCTGCTACTTCGTATTTCCCCCACAACCAACGCGCTGTAATCCTGGAAGAAAGTTTGAGCGCCGCAAACTGCACAATGTTAGGGATCTGGGGGGTGACTGTGGGGGAATGGGATGATCTGGGTCCTGAACCGGCCTAGTTCTTCAGCACTTCCATGCATCTCCCCTCGCTCTCGTCGGGGCACTTCGATGCAATATGTGGTCGGATGACGACGCTTCTTGAGAGCCCTCTTTTTCTTTGCACCTCCTCATTATTAATTCGTCCTCAAATGAAGAAGGGCATTGAAAACCAGCGGTCCTGGTTCTCTTGTCTTCCTTGAACGAGTGCTGCGAACCCCCAGGTCCGACCCGTTGCTGCCTTAAACCCGAGTCCAGAGGCTACTACTCCGAGTTTGGACGAACCTCCTGTTGTTGGTTTGCCCTCGTGATTTCTCAGCTTGACTGCAGCAAAAATGGGAACGCTCTACACATTCTGCATCGCGCTGTTTGCGGCGATCGGGACTTTTCTATTTGTGAGAAACTGCTCGATCTAGTAACTGAAAGAAAATCACTGGACATGCGCTGACACAGACAGGGTTTTGATACCGGCATAGCAACAACCAGTTAGGCCCAGCATCATCCCTCTTTTGAGTAGACTCGGTAGAATTGACTTGTCCGATAGCGATCGCCCATGAAAGCTGGATAGAATACATGAACAAGCCTTCAGAGGCGTTGACAGGCGCTGTGCGTAAAGGAAAACACAACAACGCTCACCAGAGGACCGGCGTCACCGTGGCTAATTCGAGAGAACTGCAGGTAGTTTCCGTTTATATCGCTGGCGAGACGATTGGTGCCCTGGCCCAGATAGCTGTTGCCGACAAGCTAGGACGCCTGCGATTCATGCAAGTCATGTGCGTCGTGGTCACAATAGGCACAGTCATCCAGACTGCCTCTGTTAATATCGGCATGTTCCTGGCAGGGCGAGCTCTCGCTGGTACAGCCGTGGGGTAAGTCTGTCGTCTTTGTCATTGTTACAATATGCTCGTGTACCGGCTGACGATTAGCCCAGAGGACTTGTCGCTACCGTTCCTATTTACCTCAGCGAGATCTCTCCTCCCTCCCATCGGGGTCTCATCGGAGGAGTTTCAGGATGTGGCATATCCTTCGGAACCATGGCTTCCAACTGGGTTGGAATGGCTTGCGGTTATGCGCCCTATGGGGCGACACAGTGGCGTCTCCCTCTCGGAATCCAGATCCCGTGGGGTGTTGTTTTACTAATCGGGCTGGCCACCTTCATGCCCAATTCGCCTCGCCAGCTTATCCGCAGTGGAAAGGTGGATGAGGCCCGCAAGGAGTTCATCAAAATTCGTCGGGACTTGCAGTCCCACGAGGTACAGGATGAGTTCCTGCTCATGAAGACACAGATCGAGTTTGAGATGGAGCGTGAGATCAAATCGTACCGAGAGATCTGGTTGCTGTTTAGACGACGTGCGCTTGTGTCAGTAGGACATCATGTCCCATGGGGGTTGTCTTAGATGTACTAACTGTGGTTCAGATCCATCGCAGTCCAGACTATGACCGCTTTGACAGGTGTCAACGTCATCCAGGTACGTGTTACACAAACGTGATGGAGTACCGCTGCTCTTTAAGACTCATTGCTCACAACAAGAACTTGCAGTATTACCAAAGTACGAAACGCCAGAGGCAAATATGAGAACTTGACTCATGCTAACCAAATTGCAGCTATATTGTACAAGGCGCTCGGCATAGGCTCCACTATGATTCTCGCCCTGTCTGGTGTATATGGCACTATTGCGTTCGGTTCCAACGTACTCACAACTCTATTTCTGACGGATCAATGGGGTCGCCGGAAGTGAGTAATTATTTGAATTCAATTTATGCACGTTGAGCTTTTATTAATACGTATTAGGATGCTTCTAACAGGGCTGAGTTGCATAATCGTCATCGAGATCTATGCCGCCATTATGCAACGTGAATTCCAGTACACCAATAACACGGTAGGCAAAGCTTTCGCGGTTCTGGGAATTTATCTGTTTGTCATTGCATACTGTAAGTATGACAGTCAAGTCCTCAGCGATCATCCACGGGCACAAGCAAGAATTTTGTTGACGATGAATATGACAGACGGGATGCTCAACAGCACAACCTGGCTATACGGCGCAGAGGTCTTACCTATTGCTATTCGAAGCAAAGTCATGGGCCTGGCCGCAGCGTCTCACTTCATTGTCAACGTTGGAAGTAAGCTCATGCCTCGATGAGAATGAATATGTAGACATCGCAAGAGAAATGCTAACTGAATTCACAGTTACGGAGGCAGGACCGAAAGCGTTCGCCACCATCCACGAAAATTACTACTACGTTTTCGTGGGCTGTACTCTCTTCTTTCTTTGCATTGCCTACTTCTTCTTTCCGTGAGTGTCTCATTCTTCTTTGCTTTGAGCCGCACCGGGTGCCTAACAACCAGTAGTGAGACCAAATTGAAGACCCTTGAAGAAGTCGCAGCGGCCTTCGGTGATAAGGTTATTATGCTGGACGAACCGGACCGCGCTCCTGCAAGTCCAACGCCGGACAATGTCTCCAAATTGAACTCAGGAGACATTGAGCGCAAGGAATCGCATTGAAACTGAAATGCTATGTCATGCCACAACGGCTTTGTCATCTTACTCAAGATGACCTCGAGGGCCTGCCTTCTTATGGCGTACGGGTCTTGTTTAGTTGCCAGAGATTACATATCTGCGCCTCCATGCTGTTAGACTTTGGGGACCTTTGATACCCAACGCAGTCCATTTCTCTTTCCTTTCTTACTTCAACTTGAAGATGTGGTGACTACAAGATCGCACGACGGCGGGCAGTCAACTACAATACCACGGGATCGCGTGTTGATGCATCTGAAATTCTGATACCAGTGGGCATTTTTGGACAAGGTAACTGTGTGATCAGACATCTTTGGGCCTGTCGAGCTTGTCGGTATTGAAGAAATAGAGAACATACGTCTATGTATTTCTTATTTCACGGCTGTTCACGTGAGTATTCCATCAACATCACGTGCGGTGCTCATTTCCTGTTCAATCATCATCTGCCGTTTCGTGGGAATATCCTCCTTCATTGGTACCCCCGAAGCTCTTTCCACTCCTCCTCCAAGATGTCATAAAATAACAAGTCCCAATATTTCCGATCGTGCCAGAAACACTGTCTTCTCCGCCCTCCAAGTTTGAACCCACACTTCTCGTAACACCTATGGGCGCGTTTGTTATAGTCAATTGTGCCTAGGTTGACGCTGTGCATGTTTCCATGCCGGAATGCCCAGTCCAAAATCCAATTTGTAGCTTCAGTTCCGTATCCCTTGTTTTGGTAGGGCGCCGCGAGAACGATCCCAAAGTTGCCTGCACGACTGTGGGGTGAAGTCCCATATCCGCCGTGGGCGAGCCGGACAAAGCCAATTCGGGTTTCTGGCGCCTCAGTATCGTCGCCCTTGCCAGTGTTCTTAGGCTGACGTAAGCAGACAATGCAATCCAGCAAGCTATCAGGTGTTGTCCAGAGCTTCATGAAATCCTCCGTCTTGGCCTTTCTTGGGGGAGCGAGGATGAGGGGGGTACTGAGACATATGTTGTTGGGATCACCGTCGATGTTCTTGAACCACCACTCTTGGTCATCTTCGCGTATGGAGCGATAAATGAGGCGATCAGATCGCCAGATATCTTCAACAGTGGGCGGCATCTTCAAGTGACTAGAAGGAATGAAATATAGGCTTGCGGAAGATGAAGAAACGATGGTTCACAAGGTGCGGCTTGGAGTATCGGAGGAGCAAACCAGCCCTCAGTCGTCTTAATAAAGACTCCGGGGCACTTCAAGTATTATGACTCTTGAAATGAAAGCTGCTGACAATGATCAATCGATACGGGCACGCTAAACCTGTTATGGATCCTGACGCAAGGTTGCGGAGAGCATCGCGAAGTGAGTCACACCGAGGACAGTAGGCCATGCTGACGTGCATAAGGATCACTATGGAAAAACACTTCTGCAGATTCCAGACCAACCGACTCCCAGAATCGTCATAATGCCTCCACGGGCTAGTCTGAAAACACAAGGTTACCAGTCCTGCAACTCCAGGAACGACATGCTAATATACAAGCAGACAGTGAACTTTTGTTCTTGCCGATCAACTAATGACCATGCAGTGTTACTAAATTTCCTGTCCTACGGTGATTATTGTGATGATTGCCGGTGCCCGGCAAGTCGACCTCTGTAAGACTGCATTACGAAAATCATAGAAATATTTGTAAATTATACATTTGAATGATCATCGTCACCTGCCCATCTCCCTAAAGCCATCAACTCCAGGCATGATATTCAGTGATACTGCCAGATGAGTTACAGCCTATTCTTAAGTCAATGCTTCATGCCAAACGCTTCCACCCACACTATTTGAACTAATCTAATATGATGACTGGGCCGGGACTCAGGGAATGCAGACACCATGTGCACTCAGAACTTACATAATGAGGTTTAGGTTTGATAAATTTCGATGCACCTATAATCGGGTGGCTCTGCGTATAGCTAGTACGAGAAACTGAAGCCAAAGCTACCGTATTGAACAAACCTCTATCAATAATGGTATTCATACATATGGTATTGACGACTATTCATGTGAGCAAGGTCATAAAATGATCGTAGAAGCGAGCTCGTCAACACCCTTGGACTGGTAGCAACAAAGCGCCGGTTTTGTGTTGTTATTGTCTTTCCGAAGGAAGCGCAAAGCAGCCCATTATGCAGGCAGGCATTCTTTAAATTCTGGGTCACCAACATGGCACCATTTTCTTCTTTGCAGAGATAATGATATGCGGTAGGTTAGACACTAAAAACATCGGCGTGGAACATGGCAAGGTTTACATAGTCGTAGGCGGATCCGTTCTCCCATTTATATCTAAAGCTTGCGATTCGTTCCATTAGCCGTTGGAGTGTCTTCCGCAGAACATTACCTGAGCGAAACCGCCTCCCCCCCCCCCCCCTCCCTCCAAAAAAAGAATAAGTGGAAGAAAAAAGAAAAAGAACCTAATATTACTCAATTTGGTACATCAGAAGGGAGACTTGTTCTTAGAGGACTCGGGCCAGGTCAATAGCAATATATAAAACTATTGCCTATAACTCGGATGTTGATTATATCGCAACATAATCAATATCATCTGGTTATAACATCTTGTGGCTCGCACGCGTCCTAAGTCTGGCATAATCAGATGATACGATTAACACCCGAATTCAAATCAAAGCAGCCCCCAGATCGCACGGGCTCAGACGTTCACTCTTACATTCTCTCTTGCGTTCAATCCTTGTCATATGTATATTGATTGCTCCTTGTTCCTAGGCTGCTTTTCGGTTGTGGCCAGGGACTATATGGTCACAGTAAAGTCTTGGATGATAGAAATTGAATGCTTGCGAATCAATATCCAGGCCGTTATAGACTTGCAGTAGTGATACTATAGTATTGGTCGTGGTGGCCCATGTGCGGAGTTAAACATGAGAGCTCGGATTTCCGAGAACTGGTGATCCGCGAGAGAAAGTTTGGGTGCGCAGTGGATTTGGGCCGCCAACAAAATAGACTGTTCCATTGTCCACGTCTCCATTTTTATCGATTGAGTCGTGACAAGCCAGGAGAAATGGTCTCATGATTGCAGCCTTCAGCCCCATCGCTGAGGTCCGAATCACGATCACCCCGGGTCTGGTGCTTTGAACTCCTGTTGTCCTGCGGACTCAGCCACATCTTCAGCGCGACATGGTGTCGGTCTGAGCCCGCTGGCTGCATGCTATGGTCCTCCAGCGCATCTGCTCTCGGCTTCGGCAACCTCTGGACGCAAGCCTTTTGGCTTTTCACATATAATATAACGTCACAGTTCCACTTCGGACACCCCCGTAGTATGCATAACGCTTGACGGCTGTCCATGTAAAAGTGAAGATGTGGATATAGTGTTCGAAAGGTGGATAGTCTTCGGCCGAGAGCCGCTCAGCCCGTCGTGAAGTCCAAGAAAATCACGGCACATTTCGGCCGTTCTCAGCTTGCTCGATGAGGCAGTGTTGCCTCTGGTCTGTCCATATGGGATGCTACATGTTGTAAATGTGAATATAAAGATCCGTGAAATCGTCTTGGACACAGGACATATAGGATCATCAAGAGAAGACAATCCACTCTTCAATCACACTTACAAGCCTGCAATTCATACGACTTCATATCCACATTCAGAGTCTGGAACCGACGTTCATCATGTATGCCAGTACCGTTGCGATCATCTCAGTCTTCCTTGCTCCAGGAGCCCTCGCTATGGCCATTGCCGGTGATTTCTCTCCAAATCATGGGGCCCACTTCAAGCGCCTGACATGCTCATCCGACGAGCAGTACTGTGGAGATATCTGCATCTCGAGCTCGGACGAGTGCTGTGATCACTACTACTATTGTAGCAGCGGCTACACTTGTGGTCATGGTGGCAACTGTTGCGAGGACAATTCTTGCAGCGTAACGGGGACTTATGTATACTGTGAGTGAGCCAGTAGGGACATAGTCAGAATGGACTTCGAGCCTCAAGAGATCTCGTGAAACTCACTGACATCACATCACCAAAGCTGACCACTCGAACCCGGCCACTACTACGACAACTTCAACAACCAGTTCTGCCTCCACGGCTACGACTAGCACAAGCTCGTCGACCGAGTCCACCACCACTGTGCAATCCACCTCGACAACCTCGACTAGCAACACAGCATCTAGCACTACAAAAACCAGTACCGCCGGGACAACAGCAACTACAACCACAGCGAACCCCAGCTCCAGCACGGCTACTTCGTCATCTACAGCCTCTACTACCATCGCAACTGGTGCTGCTTCGCATGTTGGGTACTCGGCGCAAGGAATCGTCCTTGCTATGCTCGCTGTGGCTGCCATGTGAATCACTTCAGAGACATACGTATCTTGCACCACACATGAAACGAGGTCACAGCGCAGACTTGGCATGAGGGCTTTTGGGGGCAGCTAGCGCATGGAGGGACGGGAGATTGGATGGTTGGTGGTGCGAGAGATTGGCAGTTTACATGAAGCACGAAGAGTGTTTGAAGGTTATGAATGACGAACGTATCATTAGTATATGAAAATTTATTGCGAAACGATTCCGGTGTATATATGCTTGATTCTCATCAACGACCTTTGTGAAGAGTGATGGAATCTCTGTTTCTGGCTTGATGTAGTATTAAGGACCCTGGCAAAGTGCTATGCCAGACTTCAGAATTATTGATGGATCACCTCAAGGGTAAAGCTTTCGTTACAAGTGAGCTTTTAGTGAACTTGCCGAGATTAGTCCGAAATACGATCATCATAGCCGTCGTACATTGAACCAACCCAGGGTCTACTTTGCAAGAACCGCCAGCTCTGGCTAATGAAGACCGCCTGCTACCGCTCAAAGCGATAGGGCGAGTATCCCCACGCGTCCGGCCCCGAACCCAGCCCTTCAGCATATCGACTTGGGGCGTTCATGACTGGCAGGTCAGATGGTCGACTCCGATAGACGTTAAGACGCCAACTACCCCTACGGGCCGATTAACGTGCATTCACGTTTCAGCTAACTGTATCTCTGCTCCAGACCTTCATTATTATGGGAAGGAACGACTGCTCGGATAGCAGCTACCCTAACAGCTACCCGTATTTACTACATAAATTGAGCTAGACAGGAGTTCTTCTCTTCTCCTCTTCAATCAACAATAACAACAACAATCAATACTCATTACAGCGAACATCGTACATATATACTTGCTAACTAATACTGATTAGTAATTGCTTAGCAATTACAGATCTGCAAGATTAAGAAGATATAGGCTCTCAGGAACTCCCTGCATATCGCATATTCACCTGGCTGCTTATATGCTATATATCAAGCCTCATCCAGGGAGTCTGATAACAGGGAGACCTGGAGTGATGATGCTTGATATATAACACACAGGCAGCCAGGTGAGTATATGATATGCAGGGAGTTCCTGAGAGCCTGTATCTCCTTAATCTTGCAGATCTGTGATTGCTAAGCAATTACTGATCAGTATTAGTTAGCAAGTACATATGTACGATGTTCGCTGTGATGAGTGTTGATTGTTATTGTTATTGTTGATTGAAGAGGAGAAGAGAAGAACTCCTGTCTAGCTCAATTTATGTAGTAAATACGGGTAGCTGTTAGGGTAGCTGCTATCCGAGCAGTCGTTCCTTCCCACAATTATTCACATTCTTCAAATTCGTTGCCTCTTTCACCAGTTGTCATTGTTGCAAAAGCGATCGCCAGTGCGTTGCACTGGCTCTACTCCTTATATATATAATTTTCTACAGTAATGGACTCAGTCTCGCATGGGAATACCATGATAACTATATGTTGTATGTCATTCAGGTGGCCAGAGCTGGGTATAGGCAGCATGCTCAAACCTCTTACGGTGCTGATCAGGCATTCAGGGTATTTGGGTAGATAGATATACAATAGGTAGGCACTAAGGTTACTAATACAGCTTATTTATTGTGCCCAAGGTTATCACTCAGCTTGGTACTGATGTCATTGCACAGCTGCCAATAATAAGGTTGCATTTTAACTTCCAGTCAAGGCGTGAGTTGGAAAGAGAATCACCATGAGCTAAAACCTCACTAGATCTCGTGACCTACAACTAATCAAGACATGCCGCACTGATTGCTCTGTAATTCTTCAAAGCACCAAGATGATCACACATGCATGCCTGCAATCTCAATTGGAATCTTACTGCATGTGGCCTACAAAAGAGGTGCACGCATTATTGTAGCAATCCTTCAGATTCCAGAATTCTCAAATTGTTGCGCTCTCTTGACATCCGAAAGCCAGCTCACCCTCGACTTGACGAATTGCTCAATTGTCGGTGCCAGCTTGTTCTCAATCAGGTGGAAGTCATCAATTGTCCCAATGCGTGTAATGCTCTTTCCGGGAAAGCCGGACGACACGCGGTACATAAGCGTGCCGCATGTTGAACAGAAGTAATTAGTCATCGTGTTGCCCGACGCGATAGTCTTGCTTTGACTCCAGGTTTTGAGCTTGTCCTTGCCACGGACGTGCTTCAGGTATGCGTCGTCGACGACAAAGTTGGAGGCAAACATGGAGGCTGTAATCTTGTGGCAATCGGTGCAGTGGCAGACGAAGGTCTTGACCAGTCCGGGCCCTTGGGTTGGCTGACGAAGACGAAGTTAGCCTGCTGGTGCCACCGAGCCCTTGGACAACATTTGTGTGTTGAGGCAGCGGTCGTGGACTTACAAATACAAGCTGTACGGCGCCGCAAAAACAAGTGGCCGTTGCTTCGGTTTCTGTCGACCAGCCGTCTTGGGTCTGGTTGGCGAGTGGGAATTGGGGCTTGGACTCGGACGCCATGACGATGTTGATTGTGTGTAATGATAATAACTAGTGGAAGGGGGTTATCTATTTGGGTATGGACACGGAAAATCTTGGGAACAGTCCGTGGCGATTGCTCCCTTAAATATCTCACACACAAAAACCAAATATTCCGGTTCTGCAACTCGTTATCTTGATGTAGGGCAGTTCCAAACCAATAAGCATTTCTTTAAACTTGAGAAAATAACTCAATATGTGCATTGTTACCACCTTATCAGCAGCCTATCTACCTTCTGGTAGAACTACTGTATAATGTCGTCATTGTCGTCATTTTGACTTTGGGTTTGGAATCTTTATGTACAAGAAGGAACTGATTGGCAGGTTCTCGTGCTGCACTCAAACAAGACTGGTAACACAGTTGCATGAGAAGCAACGCTAGAGCTTTTTTTATTTTTTGTTATCGGGAAAGGCCAACCCCATATTCGGTTTTAGTACGCATCATGCGGCCTTTTCACACTCAATATCTTATCTAGTTCTAGAAAACCTCATGAGCTTTCACTGCAGGTTTCCAAGTATACATGAGCTGCAAGTTTAGAAAATCAATCGGGTCTAAAGCAGACAAGAAGGGAAATGCTAGGGTGAGAGGTTGTGAGCTGCTCCCGAGCTGAGTGTGGTAGTGTTGAATTGCACAAAAAAAACTGCCGAACCTAGCTCTTTCCTTCTCTTTCCATCCTGTGCCAATTACTTTGCTAATCCTATATGGACTTCTGGGCCTGGTCTATTCTGCTGGCGGTGGTTCGTTTCCCATGCTGGCATCACATGACTGCTCTGCTCCGGAGCGGAGTCTTCGTGGGGCCCTGGCCACCACCAGGCCAGAGTGTGCGCATATGGACGAGCTCTCATAAAGCGAGGCACATAATAACTAGCGATTTACATGTTGACCGTGTTACAATAATGAAGTAGGGTTTGGGGACTCACAAGTGTCAAATCCCAGGAAAACACTATTAAGGAGCTAATATTCAAATAATAAAGTTATTAAGATATACAGATAGGACGCGGCGCACGGGCTGCCATCTTAGCCTGTGTAATGAGACGGCGTATGTCGGGAGCACGGTGACTGATACTAGTTCAGCTGAGAGGGAGAAAATAACTGGTTCATGCAAGCTGTGAGGAATCATCATGACGAAAATGAATTCTATAACCTAGAGCACACGCTAGAAAGTACTAGGACCCTTGAGAGCTCTTTATTTTGCACGGCATATGCAAACAAAGGCAGCTTCCCTTATGAGTCAATGTTGACATCTTTACTCGTGTCCACCAAGGTGTCTGCCTCCAGCGTTGCCTGAATTCTCTGGCTCGGAAGCCACTTGTCCATGGGTATAAACCACCACGAGATCAGAGCAAATATCGTTATGATTACCATCATGACAGGCGCATAATTCAGAGTGTCAGCAGCTACAGGGAATTCGTATGGCGAAACCAAGACTGCCACAACCCACCCGTTCCACAGGACAGTGATGACCTGGAATGGCTTGCTCCACCGACCAAGGCTCCATGCAGGCTTGGGAAAAGTCTTTGGGGTCAAGAAGAGCCGTCCTAGGGCTATAATGCCGTAGGCTGCGGCGGAAGGGACACCGGCCATGGAGACCAGTGATGTGAATGCGACCGCAGAGGGCAGAATGGTGCAAGTGATGATAGATGAGACCACCCATACGACAATGATAGCATTGCGAGGTTGACCATCGACAACTTGCGCGACCCAGCCCGAGTATGGGAGAACTCCATCTCGGGCTACAGCAAAGATTAAACGGGATGCGGCCAGGATAGCGATGGCAGTATTCTTTTGTGTTTGTCAGAAAATGATGAGAGGGAAAGATGAGGATAGCAAGACTTACAAACCACAGAGCAACCACGCAGACAATGTTCATAATGATATGACCTCTTTCACCGAGAATTACAGCGTAGAGTGGTACGAACGGTTGTGCACCACCGAACGAAAAGAATGTGTCGGCATTTGGCTATAATGGGTTAGTAATGGTCAATCAAATAAACAAGGACAATGGAAATTTGGTTTCCATACCACACAGAAGAGGAAGAGGACCACAACAACAAATCCTCCAAGTCCACTAACGACTGTACTCCAAAAGATGCCTCTTGCCGCAGTGACTGAAGCATTCTTCGTTTCCTCTGCAACATGGCCTGAAGCATCAAACCCAATCAAAATGCCTGCAGTCGCAAGGTATGATAGGCACCAGTTCCACCCGGCTGGTGCACCAGTACCATTGTATGTGGTCATGAAAGCATCGTGAGTTGACTGGAAGCCGATTGTCTTGCTGGTAGCAACTGGCAACCAAATCAAGTTGAGGGCAAAATCCAATAAGACGAACCCGGCAGACAGATGGAACATCCACTTGAAGTAGCGAGCTGTAGCAGTCATCATAACTTAGTATATATCTGCATATCACAACAGATGACGCCTGGATAGGTACTCACGCGGGAGTAAATTCCAAAGTGCAGCAGCAGCTAGCATGACCTCGGTACAAATCCACTGAACAGCACGAAATTTGACATCGCTGCTATCCGAGGGGAAATCGAGATTGAACACGACGGTTTCCTGTGTTCGAGTGAGAAAGGATAATCGCTTTTGATCTCGGGAGTACGTACCGAAAGCATGTAGTTGACCGCGCCTTGTGTATTGCCTAAGTAATTGATTCTCATTAGTACAATTCAAAAGACCTCAACGGCAGATACTTTGCTTACTGGCACAGAAAGTCGTCCAAGCTGTGGTACTCCACCAAGCAACAACAAAGCCAAACAAACGGCCATATCTAGGACCTCCAGCCTCTGCGGCCCATAAGTAGATGCTGCCCGCAAGTGGCAACGAGGAGCATATCTCTGCTATTACAGCAGCAGTGATAAATGTGAAGACACAAGTGACGACAAAGCTTGTCCTGCTATGGGGTTAATAACGAGAACGAGGTCTAGTGAAGTCAAGCTGACCCACCAATAAGCCAAATTACCACCCGCTGCGATGCCTGTAGAGAAGGTCACGCGGACGCCTCCGACAAAGTACAGAGCAGCTAATAGTTATCAGCGAGTAAGAACTGCATAATCATTACAAGTCACACACTCACAGAAAGTGGTAGCAAAACTATGGAACAGATTGAATGTTCGATGTAGGACCTGCATGCCATTCGTCAGTGCCCATGATCACTGAAAGAGAGAGATCAACCCTCTTTCAAGAACATACTGGTTTATATCCAAGATTCTCCTTTTATGTGTGCATTAGCGTGATTCATTCTGGTCTCGAGATTTCAAAACTGTTGTCTCACAAGAACTTGAGCGTCAGCAGTATTTGTGTCAGGCTCGCCATGTATTTCGCCCCCGGCGATATAGTCCGACTCTGCTCGTGCCTCAGCCATATTCGTCAAGGCAGGTAATATCGTCGAAAAACGATCTGGTCTGAAGAATGAAGTCTCTCCTGATATCGGGACTGGGTGCATTTTATTCTAGGATAAGACGTTTTCTGATTTTATCTCTTATCCGTTGCTACGCTGGACCTAGATGCCCGCAATTCAAGCCTCAATGATCACGCAATCGCAGCGCCATTGGTGTGTCACCGGAAAGGCACTAATTTCAACCATAAAGGCCCACAAAGGCCCACAAAGGCCAGCCAGTTATTGTACTTATAAGCGGCGCCTTCTCCTTTTCAAGACGTGTTCCGATGAGTAAATCAGCCATACATTGTGCGTGACCGGAAGATATGTCGAAAGGCGTGTCGAGCGCGTTTCGGTAGAGGAAAAGAATAATTAGCCGAGGTCATCCAGACTGCATTCGCGTGACCAAGATCAGATATAGGACTTTTGCGGCGAGTGTTTGTCAGAAGCAAAGCATTGAAGCGCAGTTATCAATGCCGATTGCGCAACTGCTTTGTAAAGCATTCGCCATCCGGAATTTCTGCGCCATTAGAACTTCCTTGATGATTTCCGAGCATGGTCTCTAATAATATCAGTGTAGAAAATCTTCACTCGGCAGTGTCGTCCCCTACGATTGTTTACAACTCAAAGAGCTGGCTAAAATGGGTGTCACAAATATCGCCATGAAAGCCTGCGTTGCAGTGATTATCCTGCTGATCGTTAAAGTCCTGAAGGTAGACTAAAGCTTCCGTTTTAAACGTACACTTTGATCTTTATTGACACTTTCAGGGAATTTGTCGAGCTCATTTCTCTGTTCTGAGCAAGATACCAAGTGCCGGAACATATGCACCCTACTCCAGGTTGGGATGGCTATTTCCAGTAGAATTCCGTGGATCGGTCACCATCGTTCTTCCGAAGTTGCATGAGCAGCTAGGTCAATATATCGAAACTATGGGTGTATACCACGTTTTTAACTGACGCCCCTACAGGCCCTCTGATTCGTATCAGTCCTCGCGAGGTCTCGTTCTATTCGATCGAAGTGTACGACCTGGTTCACAAAGTTGGTAGTAAATTCCAGAAAGATCCTCGAGTTTATGGGGAGTTTGTGCAAGGCGAAAATCCTGCTTTATTCTCCATCACGTACGATATGACACTGCAAGGAAATGTTTGTGTAAGCGCGATATGCTGAGAGTTTTGTTGTTACACAGGGACCCGGGAGAGCATTCAAAGCGCCGCCGTATGATGGGTCAGCTTTACAACAAGAGCAAGATTGATAAGCTCCAAGAGCTCATGCAACTTCACATCGCTCGATGGTTAGAGGCTGCTAGAAGAAGACCATCTGGGTTTGACGTCGTACCTGCTTGCAGGGCACTGGAAGCCGACATCATCTGTGAGTTGGAAGATGACGTTGGGAATCGTTGCGGGAAATAATGATCAACTGATTGCTCGTAGCTGACTTCTCGCTTGGGACTCCCATCGGCGCCCTCGACGCATGGATGGAGGGGAAAGAGCTCGGCATGGTATCAAAAAATGATGAAAAGGCGACCTGGATGCCTGTGGTAGGCGATGTGAATACCAAATTATCTGGCGATACTTATCTTCTGACTGGTGTAATAGTTGACCACGTTTCCAGCGGCAGTTGAGGCATGGGAGATTATCGAGGCAGCAATCACTAAGTTAACCGGCTGGTCAACACTGTACACAGCAGAGCTGCGGAAGTTCAGTGAGGTGACTATGTCTGCCAGCATAGCCTTTGTTAAGTCGGATGCTAATGAAGCTCCAGTGGGCTATAAATAGCCGGGAGGTGGCTCTAGCATCTATCGGCACGAAGTCGTCAACTCCTAATTTGATGAAGACGCTTGTTGAGTCCGGACTTCCTGTTGCAACAGCATTATCAGAAGCCAAGGAGAATCTGGGTCCCGGGACTGATACAACATCTGCATCTTTAGCCCATATCCTTTGGGCCCTTGCACACAACCCAAAATACCAAGAGGAGCTATACCACAATCTTTCGAAAGCAGGCTACCCCTCTGATATCGCCAGCCTTGAAACAGTGCCCAAGTTGGTAGCTTGTGTGAAAGAGGGTATACGCTGGGCAGGAGCAGCAGCAGCGATGTTACCTCGCGTCGTTCCCCCAGGTGGCATTGATTTGCATGGTAGTTTCATTCCAGAAGGGGTGAGTGCAAGGCCCGAACAGACCGTTACATCGCTTAAGTTAATCCCTTTCTTTAGACTGTCCTCGTTTCGTCTCCCATTTGGTATCTGCGTGATCCGGGTGCATTTCCGATGCCAGAATACTACGATCCATATCGATGGCTAACACCAGATGGATCTGCTCTGAGTGAAGACCAAGAACGGGATCGGTTCTTTATACCATTCTCCAAGGGTCCAAATGTTTGCATAGGCCGTCAGTAAGTCTGAATATTCACGTCTTGTTTTTATTGTACATGTGTGCTTCAATCACTAATCGACGTGCCTACGTGCCTAGTTTCTCATTCTATGAATTGTATCTCTCAGTCTCACAAACAGTTCAATTCTGTCGGATCCAACGGCCTGAAAATGGTACTTTTTCTCCAAATCTCAAGACAACGAATTCTATGGAGCGGAATTGGAACGTCGTGGAACTACCTGCCAGGAAGGAATGGGTGGCCGCTTGTGTGACTGAAGATCTAAATGTTGTTTTAAAGGATCGAAAAGATTAGATTTTCGGACCTGAAAGCAAATCTTGTATGTAAATGACTAAATAGATACGCTGTCAAAGGAAGGAAGAGAAAAGAGAAACGGAGGGGAAGGACAGCTGGCTAGGTGAGGCTATCTAGGCAGAGGGTGCCTGGCGATCGCGGGGCCAATGACTCACCGGCTCTCGCATATCTTCACTTCATCAAACTTAAAGCGAAGCAAAATGACGGACTACCTAATGGAATAAAAACAAATGTGTTTCTATTTCATAGTGCTTAAAAACTTCTCAAATTTAATATTGCTGCTTATAGTGTGTTTGTATGCACAGGAAGTTCTTAGTAGAGCAGTAGGTAAGCCAGTATAGCTGCTCAGATCGCCATGATCAAGAGCAATGCGCTTCTACCTCTAGCAACTGACAACTCACTTGCTCGACTCATAAGCACTTGATGTCAATATTCACACACCACTTACCGTGGGGAGCCGTGAATTTAGGGGCATTAACACTGTAGCAGAAATCTTCAGGGGCTACCAATATCGTGATTTCAATCATCAGGAGAAATGTAGACGAGACTTATGCTCGCAAATGTAATGACGTGTATACGGTCATTTTATTAATGTGCACTTTTTTTCGGTACCGAAAGCCACAACATTTCTGAGCATGGAGGTCAAAATTTGAATGTAAGATGGCAATGAATATCTGATCCTAGGCTAAGAAGCTATCTTCCACATGAAAACCCATTCTTCAAAACCAAACGTTCAAGTCATGGAGATTCCTTTTTTCCCTCATTGATAAGACAAAGCATCATACGTACACATAACAAGAAATCCTAGAGTGCTTTCATGAAGCTTTGGCTTCTACTTTATCTAACATCTTCTTCGCCACCGTCTCGGCTAGACTCCTGAAACTCGACGATTTCAAAATCTCCATTGTGCTTACAGTAATTCCGAACCCGTCTCTGAACCAAGTCCGCAGCTCAACGGCAACAAGAGAATCAACACCGAAGCTCTCTGGGCTTCTCTCCCCGTCAATGTCCTCGACCGAGACAAGCAAGAACTCGGACATCTTCAGCACCACTGCTTCCAAGGCCAGAGGGCTGATAGCTTCCAGAACCGGTCGCGGGTTTGTCGATTTCAGAACCTGAATGAGTGCCGCACTAGGTCCTGATTGTCCGCTGGGAGGGCTTGAGCCGTCAGAGGTGCTACCAGTGTTGAGCAAAGCCCTCAAACGGGGTGCCGAGTACGTCTTGGGCGGCTTCGAAGTGGTGGAAGAGAGACCGAACACAGTCTGTGCTTGACATTCGAAGGTCATCAACGAGTCCGCCGATAATTGGTCGCCCTTCCAGGTTCTCTCGTTAGTTGACCTAAAGATCTCAAGCTCAAGTAGCCTAAGCAGTTCAGCCTCCTGCACCCTGACGGTCAAGATACCCATGGCGGCCATCTTGGCGTCAAGGTCCTCATTCTCGGTGGTCCATCCCACATCCTCGACGAAACCGAGGTCGATGCTCGTAGCAGCAAGGCCCATGCCCCTCCTGTGCATAGCCAGAGCGTCAAGGTAGGTGTTGGCAGCAGCATAGCTGGACTGGCCATACTGCCCAAAGATTCCCGAAACCGAAGACAGCATGATGAAAAAGTCGAGCGGCGTAGGGAGGTCAAGCGAAGCCATGTGCATATTGAAGGCGCCGCGAACCTTTGGATCAGAGACCTTGGTAAACTCAGCGGGACTCTGAAGCGTCATAAACGGTGTGTCATTCAAGACCATTGCCGAGTGTATCATTCCCTTGACCGGCCTGTCAGCCGGCGCCATGCCCATAGCTCTCTGGACATCTTCCATGTTGGAGGCGCTGCCCTTCACCACCTTGACAGACGCGCCGGAGCACCGGAGCCAGCCGACCAGAGCGTGTGCCTCAGGCTTGTCGTCGCCGCTGGGCGACAGCATGATGAAACTCCTGGCGCCTTTGTCGAATAAGCGACGAGTGATACTGCGTCCGATACCACCCAGGCATCCGATGAGGAGATATGAGGCGTCTGGCGAAAAGGTGACGCGGTCAAACACTGGACAACGGCGGATCTTGACTTGCTTGTCAGGCGCTACTGCATTTCGGATGACCAGTTTACCGAGCGACTTGCCGCTCTGCATTAGCCGGAAAGCACTCTCGAGTTCATCCAAGGTAAAGGTATGCATAGGCTGGATGGGCGTGATGACTCTCTGGTGAATGAGGTCATGCATGATCTTGGTCGCCCTGTAGACGTTAGCAACTACGTGCATTCAATTCTGAGGGGAGGGAATGTGCTTACTCGCTTCCAAGGTCATGACGCATCATGACTTGACTGGCATCAATGGCATGAATGCTGGTCGATTGGCAGAACTTCCTCATCTGCAACTTGTTTCTCTTGAGGAAGTCAACCCGGCTGACCTCGAGCAGGCAACCAGTCTCAGCCACGCAAGCCCATGAAGCATCCAGCAAGTCGCCAGAGAGACTGTTCAGGACGATATCGACGCCCTTACCTCTTGTGGCGCGCATGATGTCCCGCTGGAACTGCGTCGTGCGCGAGTTGAAGATGTTGGCCGGGTTTAGGCCCATATTATTGACCAGAAACTTACGCTTCTCCTCACTGCCACATGTGGCATAGATGGCACCAGCTCCGAGGTAACGGGCCAGCTGAATGGCCGAGAGACCGACGCCTCCAGCTGCCGAGTGAATGAGGATGGTTTGACCGGGTCGCATGTGGGCCTGTTGAATAAGGGCGTGGATATTGGTGAAAAAGATGCATGGCATCGTCGCTGCTTCTTCAAACGTCATCCCATCGGGGATCTTGAAGCAGAGGTAATCTGGCGCCCGGATGTGGCTCCTGTACGCGCCATGCGTGGTGGCCGGCAGCCCAGCAACGCGGTCACCAGCCTTGACATTGGTGACGGCGGATCCGACCTTACTTATGACACCGGAAAACTCGAGACCGAAGTTTTTATGTGGGAGAATGCCCATACAGATGGCGACGTCCTTAAAGTTGATACCGACAGCCTTCATCTCCACCTCGACGTCATGATCTCCCAGTGGCATGTCGCCCTCCAGCCTTGGGACTTCGGAGAATGTGAGCGTCTGTAACAAGCCTGTCTGCAGGATGTCAAGTTTCCAAGATGGATGCACGTCGCAGGTTGACGATCCTGTCGTCATAGCAACTGTGTTCTCATCGCTGTCTGGCTCCAGTGCAGGATGCAGGACTTGGAATGTTTGGCTATCTGGGACGATGCGCTGGATATAAGCGACACCGCCTCGAATCGCGAACTCACGCTCTGCAGAGCCCTGCTTGGAGACCTTTTCGAGAATTCGGAAAACGAGACGGGTGAGCACGTCTGCAGGTGTGGACGAGTCAATGTCTATCGTGATGAAGCACACCTCTGGTTCTTCCCTATAAATAACTCTTGCCAATCCAGCAATCATGGCTCCAGCAGGATTGAATTTTCTGCAATTCATTGACTCAGCAGCAGAATTCATCTGGCAAGAAGCAGATAGCCAGATGAGGGCTGGATTCGGCTTGCTGGAAGTGTCAGAGGAGCTGGAGGTTTTCCTGATGAGCGACTTGATGAGACGGAGCGTCTCTTCTGACATTTCAGCCAATATGCCTGGGTTGAGGACGCCAGCAGAGACTAGCACAGCATCCTCTGTCTCCAGAAACATGTCATGCCCCTCAGTCCTGCCTGAAAGAATCGAAGACATGATCCTGGATACCTTTGTCTCCTCGTGAAGGATACTGTGAACAGGCTGGTAACAGTTGACGCCATCCGTTGTGGATGCGACTAGAATCAGCGACCAGTCATCCGTATTTTCACTGAAGTCTGCGTCAACAAGACCAAACCCAGAACTGGACAGAGCCTTTTTCCACTCTAGACAGCTCGACACAAGGGCTGACTTGTCCACAAGGAGGATGAGTTTGCCGTTGGACTTCATCAGTCTTCGGACGGCTCTCAAGGAGTCATCAGGCGTGGACACCTATATTCGAAACCAATTTCTCATTAGTATCTTGAACTTCTTCCACCTCTGTGATAGCAAGAGATAACTATTCGCGTACTCACTTTGTGAACGACGACATCATGAGTATTTTCCTCTGATGGACCGTCCCCGATGCTCTCGATAGCAAGCGTCTTGTACGAGATATTATGAGCTCTGGGAAAATGAGACCCAAGCTTATCTTCAGCCATCGACAAGATCTCGTCGTTATTTTCTGTGATTGTATAGGATGCGAACATTGGGGATACGGTTGCCGCTCCCAATGCACTCAGAATCTCGACCGACACGTTCCCTCTGCCGCCATTGATCTCCAAGTACGAAGCAGCCGGGTCTTGGTGCGCCAAAAGATCAAATAAAATAGACAGTGTTCCAGTCTTTGACTCACGTAACTTCTCTCGGAACGATGGATCAAAGGATGATAGAAGCGAGACATCGGGCTTCCAGATGACCTTGTGGACTTGCGTCAGTTCGCCACCACCGACCACATCAGCACCATCACCGTCGACCGCCGCCGCCGGAGCACCCTCAATTTTGGTGCAAGCGAGCCGATGAATATGCACCACGACATTTCCGTCCTCGTCGACAGCCTCAGCCGAGCCCAGGATGCCGCTCTTGCTAGCTTCACTGTCTGTGACCTCAGGAACAATATTCGCAATGCAATTCAACGCCGTTGTCGACAGAGATGGCGGTGCAACGTAAATCTCATCAAACTTGGTCGGCACACACAAGTCACGTAGCGCACCAGGCTTGCCATTGGCAGCGGCTGCAAGCATGCATTGCATTAGGCCGTCGATGATAGCTGGCGCCACCAGATAGCGAGATTTGAGCGCAGAAAGGGTAGGAAGCTGCAGAACAGCATGTATAGCTGAACCTGCGGTATTTTCAGCCGTCACCGCCTGGGTTCTGACGGTCTGGATGACCTGAAAACTCTCAGTGTAGTTGAACCCGATACGTGAGAAGTGCTTGTACCATTGTCGTCCTGAGGCACCGCTGGTAGCCCACTGTGCATCTTGGTACAAATCGTGAAGGACCCTGTCGGATACAGGACGCTTGTCCACAGCAGAGATCTGCCCGTAACAGTGAACGTCAGTGTGCTGGTCTGGGTCCTGCTGGCTCTGGTGGATGGCTTCAGTGCCTTGGGCTGGTAGTTGCTGACTGCAGATGGTGAAGTCGAACCATTTGGAGTCAGCATGGTCACGCGTCAGTGTTAGAAAGGTGTAGATGCCCTCAGAGTTGTTGCCGACGTTCATGACTAGGGCGCTCCGGACTTGAACATTGCGGAGCTGGACAGCTTGCGAGGCGTCATGTGTGTACTGCCTCACCGCTTCGATTGCCATGGAGATATATCCTGCGGCCGGAAAGACAATGTCATCATGCAGCTTGTGATGTGGCAGCCATTTGGTGTTGGCCAGTGAGAGTAGGTTGCGCCAGGTGGGCACCATGGGGTTTCCATCCGGGACACGTGAGCCGAGAATCTCATGCCTCCTGAACTGCTTGAATCGGTGGTTTCTTGAGGCTCGAGGTTCGTACCACATGGATTTGGTCTTGTTCCAGGCGTAGTTAGGCAGGTCGACGATTTGTTTGCCCGTGATGTACGAAATCACCGTCGTTGTTCCACTTCTGCCTTTGGTGGCGGACTCCACCTTCACTTCCATGCTGTTCACCTTCTCTGTGTCCACAGGGCAGCCCATCATAACCAACGTACCGGCTGTCTTAAGCATGTCCTCTGCCGAATTTGAACCTCCAATCAGTGTCGGCATGTATCTCGGGACCTCTTCTGGCGCAAGGCTCTTGGTAGCAGACACGGTAGCCAGTATCTGTCTCACCGGCCCCTTGAGCGTCGATGACGGCCCGATCTCGATGAAAACCTGCGCTCGCGTCTCATTCGGCTCATCTAACATGGCATTTACTGCCTCGTTAAAGAGAACGGGACATTCCATGTTGCGCCGCCAGTACTCTCCGGTCTGCACATCGGCTGGCTGAAGTTTCAGGTCCTTGATAGCTGTTGAGAACATGGGACACACATTTCGTACGGGAACCGCCTCATCGTCAACGAAGGTGGCGGCCTGCTCGAGCGCCTTCTTGAAAATGATACTATACCCAGACATGTAATTGGGGTTGTGGTAGGCCTTTGTAACCTTGAGCCGTCTTGCGAAGATCCTTTTGGCCTCCAGTCTCTTCTGCAGTTTGTTCAGCGCCTCAACACCACCAGAAATTGTGGTACTTTCTGGGCTGTTGTCACAGGCCACAACAAGGTCTGTATCCGCGAGGTCGTCTAAGTACTTTTGCGCGGCCTCCTTGCCCAGACCGGTGGCAAGCATGCTCGCGTCTGCCCACAATTTGTCCTCGCTGCTAAGCTCAGTGGTGATGGAGAATCCACGGAAATAGCCTATCATAATGGCCATGCGTTCAGTGATAAGGCCGGCGGCGTATGCAGCAGGTATTTCTCCCGAGCTGTGGCCCACGACACCAGCTGTAGGGGTAATTCCCCACTGTCTAAGAAGATTGATGATGGCGATCTGTAAAGCACAGGTGAGGGGCTGGGAGAATCGCGGGTCGTTCACCCGTGTCATCTCTTCTGGCTTGAGGAGCTCTTCTCGTATGGACCAGTCTGGACGGTTGCATTCTGGTAGTTGTTCGAGGCACTTATCGAGCCTCAGCATCGTTGCGCCGACTGAGGGAAATTGCTCGATCAGGTGTTTGCCCATCTGCCCCCGTTGGGCACCCTGGCCGGTCAAGATGAAGCCGATCCTGGGCGGTGCTGGATATTCCTTCTTGCCAGTTGTCCAGGCCTCCAGCTTCAAAGCTTCAGTAATGGGCTTGTCTGCGCCAAGAACAGAGAAGCCACGGTAGAAGAGCTTCGAGCGCCTCATACCCAAAGTATAGGCTAGGTCAAGCCTATCAACTGTCGTATTTGGATCCATGACATGATCATGGATAACTTGGATATTTTGGTGCAAGGAGTGTATATCATTGGCTGATGAGATCATAAGATATGGACGACAAGCATGCTCTTGATCATCGTTGACTTGGCCGGCGTTCATGTCTGGGACTTGCTGGGACAGATACTTCCTGGAGTACCGGTATGTGCAGCGGTCTGCTTCCCATGTATTTTTTAGATGGTCCTTGGCAGACTCAAGGATCGTGTGTGCATTTGCTCCGCCATATCCGAATGCCTGTATACTGACTCTTCTGATTTCCTTCTTGGGGAGAGGTGTGAGTTCTTGAACCACCTTGATCCTGTTTTGGTAGAAGTCGATAGCGGGATTCAAATTCGTGATGCCGACTGTTGATGGGATCAGGCCCAGGTCTAGAATGAAGGACGCCTTGATGATATGGGTCAAGGCGCTCGCTGCCTCGGAATGGCCCAAGTTCGTCTTGGCGGAGCCGATCAAGAGAGGATCATCGGCTGACTTGGACGATGCGAAAATGCGTCCGATGGCATCGACCTCAATGGGATCCCCAGTGGGCGTCCCCGTCCCGTGGCATTCAAAATATGCAGTGTCGCCTAAGTTGTGAATCCCAGCTTTCGTGTAGGCCTGGCGAATATTGGCCATCTGCGCCTCCTTGCTCGGCATCAAGATGCCCGGTGTCCTGCCGTCAAAGTTGGTGGAGACAGCTTTGATGACAGCACGGATGGGGTCACGGTCTCGGATTGCATCATCCAGACGCTTAAGAAAGACAACGCTGGTGCCGTCAGCGCGCGAAAAGCCATCGGCAGCGCTATCAAAGGTGTGGCACTTCCCGCTCCGTGAGAGCAGCCGTGGTTTTCTGCCCAGGACCTCCGGGAGCAGCGTCAGATTGCTCGCTCCAACGAAGCAACCATCTATGGCCCCTCTGGACAGGTAATTGCAGGCCATGTCAAGGCCAACCATGCCTCCGGAGCAACCCGTGTCGAACGACACACTGGGTCCCGCGAGGTCATAGACATGGGAAATGCGGTTGGCATATATGGCCTCGCCTGTCCCGACAGCGTGGTAGTTTTGCTGCACCTCAAGATCTTTGTCCCATAGCCTGCCGTATTCTGATGTGATGGATGTCAAAGAATTTGTTAGCTTTAGCTGGGGCATTGAAAAGAAAAACGAATGGTCTTGAAGGAGCTCTCACCTCCCATAGAGAATGCAACAAAGCATCCCACCTTCCTGCCAGCTACATTCTCCATCGGAATCCCTGCATTTTCCAGGCACTCATCTGCAAGCTCTCGCATTAGTTACTTCCTATTCTCCGTGGATATCATAACCAGATCCTTCTGTAACCCTCACCTGCCTTGAAGGCGGAATAAATACCAAGGGTTTTTAAAACAACCTAAGTCATTTCTTCGAGAGGCACGTACAAGATACTTCCAGCAGAAGCCTCTGCTGTGGATCGAGGATCCTTGCTTCAGATGGCGGTAATCCAAAAAAGGCCGAATCGAACCGTGTCAGATCGATGTAGTCGTTGAAATGACCACCGGCTACAGAGAATGTGCCTTCAAAATCTGGATCTTCATGGGAGAAAGCGTCCCAGTTGAACCGGTCTTTGGGTGCTTTAGGCTTCCAAGAGCTCTTTCCCTCACAAAGGAAATCCCACAACTTAGAGGGCGATGAGCATTCACCAGGCAACCTGCATGCCATACCCACAATCGCAATAGGTATATCTTGGACTTTCTGATCCACCAGACGTGGGCATTCTGAAGAGCCTCCATTAGACGAACCCGGACTGTATCCAAAGAAGCTGTTTGGATCCAAGTTGGCGCCATCAGCATCACTAGAGTTCTGGCTCGTGAGAAGCTGTGGTACTGTTTCTGCTGGCCCCATTTTGAGTGAAAGGGTTGAGGCGAAAAGGAGAAGAAGAAAAGGCGCCGTGGAATTGAGGTCAGAGTGTGATATGATGAGAACTGTACGACAATGGATGTGTTCAAAGGATAGAGAACATAAGAAAGTTTCCGTTGACTAGTCAATATAAGTAGTTTTATCTAAGTGTCTCGATCCTAGGCGGCAAAGGACATCCCGCTTGATGAGAGTAAGAGGGACAGGAAATGAACTTCAGGAGAGGAGCCAAGGAGGATCGTCCACGGCCGCACTTCATGCTCCTCAGTTAATGAGTTGAATGTGACAATCCCATCTACCTTCAGCAGGAGCCATCAATACTTTCAGCTTACAAATTCACCGTCTGCATTTTCATGGCGTGATATTGGTAGTGTAATCTGCATTGAGTATTGTGCATCCTCTGGAGAAAAAATGAAACGTTCCATGCTCGGCGCCCAGGGTTACAGTGAACCTACTGAACGGATAAAGGCTATTAGATTCTTTGTACGCATACATCTGATGATGTTCTATTTCCAAAATCAAGCACTGTGTGGGACACTCCTTTTCTTGATAAGTAATGTGCCTTCTAACGTCGGTTGAGAGATTTCGCAAGATGTGCTCGGACGTGTGCCTAGGCGGGGGCTGTCCATCCATATTCAAGAACCTGATGTCATGGAGATAGCAACAATCAAGGGTCTCTGGAACCTGAGCGGTACATTCAAGTACCACGACCTTTTGGAGAGTGAAGATCGTATTACTTAGACTTGCCGATAACGCCGGTGCAGTGGCCAGCCCCATTTTGAGCAACTCGCTTCTCATTTAGGTGTAACTATCAATCCTTGGTATTTTACGAGATGTCATAAGATATCTCGGTGCGAGCTCATTTTCCTTCTTTTAGTAAGTCTTCTGTGCGGGCTCTTCTACCCCCACTCACCCCATGTTCGCGGAAGGAATTACCTATCTTAAGTATTCATCCTCGACAATCAGGAACAAGTCATTTTCCTTTGGGCGAACTAATTTAGATCATGAATTCCTCAGTTCTCGCATATTCATTCAGCGATGCGCTCGGCGTCCACACCATGGATGGACTGCAGGCCATTTTCGGTAGATACAGCCCAGAGCTGGAGCTGCTTTTTCGCATCGCCATCTTCACACCTTTCATACCCAAGTCGATGAAGCACCTCAAGCCCAAGACGAACAAAGCGAAGAATTTCCCATACATTCCCATGCTTGTCCACCTGGTCACAGGCCCTCTTCAGTTCATCCGTTACTACGCCAAGTACGTGACAACTCGCACATATCCGTTGCCAGACGAAGTAGATTTCGTTCTGATGTCGCTTTTTCTCCTCTCATCCGCGCTGCTGCAAATCTCACGGTCCAAGGCAAACTCTACCATTATCAAGACAACATTTCAGACAACAGTCATCCAACAAGGAGTGCCATTCTTTCTGGGCTATCACTGGAACGATGCCAATCTCTTCCGGCTCAGCGTGCAACTTCTGAACTGGTTCTCGTGGTTCCGCATCACACACCGTGTCCTCCCACGCGTCGTCCCACATCGATTCAAAGGACTGGGGAAATATGTGGTTTGTTACGAAGCAACCCTCGTCTTGTCTAGTTGTGTTGCTATGTGGGAAGTGGGTTATCCTGGCGGCGTTGGGGCGTTCCTGGGGATATTGACCGTACTCTTGTCCCTTGAGCGGACACTTACTAGAAATATTGCTAGGTGAGTGTATCAGGTCAAGTCCAGATTGTCTTTTATGTACTAACACCATGAAGCATGCAGGAGAGGCATATGTTGCGGCGGCTACTCGTTAACTTGGGCTTGGTTGATTTCGAAATCCTGCGCCCTCACAAGTCGGAGTAGTTTTTGCATCTGAAATTTTCTCCGAGAATGTGCACGGCAGAGATGGATGTCTTACAGTTGGCTGTAGATGGGGCCTGTTCTCTCATTTCTTGCCGAATCGTTATAGTTTGAAATTCCGATATTCAGAGAAATTTGTCTATCTGTGTTACTAAAGGATCATCGAATCAAACTCCTTTTTTCCGTTAGTCTCTCCAACACATGATGTGGCGTCTCAATGAGCTGATTCTTCTACGTATCCATGTGTACAATGATTTAGATGGTATTCTTGAGGTTACATGGCTGCAACATAAATATACGAAGAGTAATTAAGATTCAGACGCAATCGGTTGCTGCTCCCAAATCGGATATCTGGGCTTATCTGTGAATAAGGAATTTTGTTTTTCCCACTACCGTTTCAATTTGACACAGTACTTAATTTGGCATAAAGTTTATGAATCCTGATTTCAACTAGCAAGTTATTCATTCATCGCTAGCTATATGGATCCTCACAAACTTGCTAGTTACGGGCACGACAGGATCCCTGTTTTGGAGGTCAAATAAAGTTCGTAGATCTATCCACACGTTGTAAAGTTTATAGATCCTTCTTTCAGGTGACATATCATTCTTCACTATTGGCCGACCGATACAATGAGAAATCCACACATCAGCGAATGGACCGTGAATAGGGTTTCGGATATAATACTTGTCCCGTGATCACATGTACGGTAAAACTTACAGGGCCTTGATTCAAGACACGGTTCGTTCTTAGCCACCTGTACTGTATCCCACCGAATTCAGTAACCTCAGGTGTCGATGGCAGACCGCTTTCATATGCAATTGGTTAACCGAGTTATCTTAAAGTTTGGCTGCAATTTATTCTCATACAACACCGAATCATTGCCATTGACGTGCTTCCTGTTTTGGAAGTCAAGTGTCTCGTGGAACGGGATTCCTAATTGAGTGGACCTCGGCAGTGAAAGCAATTCCTTGATGCGAAATATACATGGCAGAAGATGCATTCTGCGTGATGAGAGGCCGTTAGGCACACACAATAGTGCCTTCACATCGATTCCAGACCTTTGATCCTCTGTTTCCTTGCTACTCATGCTCGCGCAACACCTCATCGTCAGTTCATCTTGTGAATTCTGCGCTCTCATCATACAAACAGGTACCCTATACGACTATTGAGTTGTCAATATGGGTTCATCAGGTGGTTCTGTTCAACAGGAAGCACATTTCGAAGTGGCCTCAGGGCCTAGCGATACGCTCACAATAACTGACAACCGAACTGGTCAAACTTATTGTCTTCCCATCGAACATAATGCAATACGTGCCACAGATTTCAAGGCCATCAAATGTCCGGTTAAGGACAGAAACCCGGCCAACCAATATGAGAATGGAATTCGTCTCTTTGATCCGGGATTTCAGAACACGGCCTGTAGTGAGTGTTTCTCTTATTGATCCAAGGCTTGAGAACTTTTCTCCGGCCCAGATAATTGACCCAGGACATTGCAGTGCAATCTCAGATTACCTATGTCGACGGCGAGGCTGGAGAGATTTACTACCGCGGCATTCCTGTTCCAGAATTATATCGCTCTGGACGACCTTTCGAACACGTTGCTTTCCTTCTTATCTTTGGTCATCTACCAACGAATGAAGAAGCTGCTGCGCTCAACACGTCCATCGCCGGAACGCCACCCCTACCGCAGAACATCTTATCCATGATCAAGCAGCTGCCGTGAGTGACAAAAAAGAAAAGATCGTTCTTTGAAATCTTGCAGAAATTTCAGTGTTTCAATACTAATTACTTGTATTCATCATGCAGACTCGATGCCCACCCCGCCACATGTATAGCTTCTATCGTCGCCGCCTATGCAGCATCTCGACCAGAGAAAATCCCTGCCCATTGTGGCAAGAACATTTACAAAGGGAATTTGGCAGTGTGTGATGCTGAGATCCCCCAATTCCTGGGGACATACGCCATGATTGCAACAGCAATATTCTGCCATCTCAGACAAGAAGAGTGGCAACCTCCCAAGCTGGAATACTCATACACCGAGAACGTGCTTCATATGCTCCGGTTTATTGACACGGAGACTGGTCGGCCCAATCCAAGAGTGGTCAGCATTCTCAGCAGACAATGGATTCTATGTGCAAACCTGGAGCTTACTAACTCGACGGCCGCATTCCTACATGCTGCGTCGACGTTGTGCGATCCATGGTCCTGTTCCGCTTCCTCGAACTTGTCAGGTACAGGAATTCTACACGGTGGCGCCATGGAGGTGGCGTACAAGCAGCTGGAAACTATTGGGGATGTTTCTGGCGTTCCCAGGCTCATTGAGCAGGTAAAGCAGGGCAAGCAACGGCTTTTTGGTTATGGCCACAGGATGTACAAGGTTTGTGTTGCCACGCAACTCCAACTTAACTCAAGATTAGGCCATCGGCGATGCCGAAAAAAAATGCTGAAAAACCGACAGGTCACCGATCCAAGAGCCGCCTTCGTCCGCGAGCTCATTGCAGAGGCGACGAGTGATCCCGAGAAGTTGAAAGCGGACAAAATTCTCCAGGTCGCCCTAGAGATCGAGAAAATCGCCGCAGAAGATGAATACTTCATCTCTCGCAACCTCTGTGCCAATGTTGATCTGTTCCTAACATTCGTCTATAAAGCAATGTAAGTGAAGATCTTCCTTTCAGTTCAAGTCCTCTTCCAATCCCGGAAACATCATTGTTCCTATGCTGAAACTTATGGGAATAGTGGCATCCCAGCCAACTATGTCCTTCCCATGTGCCTCCTCGGTCGCACTCCAGGGATGGTTGCGCACTGGCGCGAGTCTATGAGTGAGTCTTCCCCACCGTGATCTTTTCCAATAACAAAAAGATCACTGTGCAATTACGAAAACGCTAATAGTGTAATTATTCAGGTGATCCGAAGCCGCGCATGTGGCGTCCACTTCAGCTATATGTTGGTAAACTGCCGAACCGAACTGAGGAAAATAGTCAGGGCCCGAAGGACGTGCTTGATGACAAGTCCTAGATGCGTACTACAATGAGGACACAACTCAGGTACAGCGTTTGTGCTTGGATCTTCAATATTCTGGTTTTCGTCTCATCAAATCAACCATCTCTTTCTCGTAGTGTAGTTAAACATTCACACCTTTTCTGAACCTCTGTTTAGCAACTCAACTTGTTTCGTAGTATCTGACCATCTGATACACATTTCTGTTACATGATTTTAATATTGGTTGGATTCTGGAAGTCGCAATCGCGAACCGATTTGGAGGGTATTCAGAAATCAATTTCACTGGGTATAGAGACCCTCCTCTTCCTGGAGTCCTTTGGATTAAACAGACCCTTTCCCAAGTGACTACTTCATTATCTTCCTGGTCCACTTCTAGTCCCCTGCATAAGGCGTGGAAGCGCTGAGGATGAGGTCAATTCACTTGATAACAAAGATCCTTGGCAATAGAAATTGCTGATTGTCTAACTTAGACGAGAAGGAGCGATTTAGCTTTGAGACCACAAATTCGGAACCAGCTTATGCATATGACAAGACGTTGTCCACAGGGAGAGCTAGTCAGTTTAAGCCGCAAGCCCCCACACGGCAAATTCCGTTCCCCGGATTGCTCCGGGATTGCTTGGTTGACTGTGGAGCTTCGGGGGAACTGCGGATGTTGGAGAGTAGGTATGAGCAGGGATTGCAGTACTACGGTACGCAAAAGTCTTTTTGATGTCAATGTGGGGGGTTGGAGACAATAAGCACTGGTGGGTCGCGCAGATATCTAGCAAATGCTCAACCTCTGTCGATGTAAATATATGGATCTTTTGGATCTACTCCGTACTTTTCTTCTTAGAACCCCTGTTTCAGCCCGGGTTTCCTGTGTCATGATACTGTAAAAGGCTTGGTAAGATGCCTTTATAAGGAAGGTGACAATGCACACCAAACGATAATACGGAATACTGTAAAAAGCAAAGTGCATATACACATTATTGTGTGATGAACTCTGATAGTGCATGGAATCAAGAAAATAGACAAAACTCTCAAGAATTTACATTATTCAGGCTTAGGTAATAATATTGTCAGAGCCAAGTACAGGTGGTTGCCACTATCTTGGCCTGTATTTCCTACATGTAAATACTCCGACCATACGTGGTACTGTGACTTCGTGTCGTTTTCTGCACTGTGGTTTTTACAAGTCATTGATAGTCCGATATATGGCCGTTGAATTTCATTCTGGAATGGTCCTGCCAGTGGGTCTACTTCCCAACCTTGTGTCATTCGACATGAAAGTCTAAAAGCCCCTGAAAACGTGTCAAGTGGTCAGATTCTATAGCGAAGGCCTGGCTTATACAGAACACGGTTGATACGTATGAATTTAGTGTGACATCACGCCGAGCTCGGACATCTTAGGGACACAGCAACTTTTGCTTGAGAGTTCCTTCAAGTTGAGAGGTGTTCATGACTGCAGGCTGCCTATAAAATGTTTGAGCCAGAAATCAGCCTGTGAGAGATGATGACACGGCAACTATACGAAGTGTAGATCACCTCTTCGAATTACTAGTCCTAAACTGCTTTGAACACCTTTGTGCCTCAAAAGCTCCTCAATTGATCCCAATCAATATGGCTCCTTCAGCTCTGACAACCATTGACACGTCTCCCGAAGAAGTCTTGCCCGCTCTCACACCGTCTGTGGTGGGCAAACCTGTCAAAGGCCTACCCCAGGCTAAAGCGTATGTTGATCCAGAGCTACTTTCAGGGCATATTGAGCCTCTCAAATACAGCGGCTCTCTGGACCAGTTCAAGAGCTTTGAAGTCACTCCCAACATTGGCCGGGAGTATGAAGACGTCAATCTTGCTGAGTGGCTCCGAGCCCCCAACTCTGACCAATTGATCCGAGACCTGGCTATTACTGGTAAGCAGTGCCATCCTTCTCCACTACTTCTTCCTTCGTTCAATGTTACTATTGTACGTAATACCTAACATAGTTACTAGTCTCTCAACGTGGAGTGGTTTTCTTCCGCGCTCAGAATGAAATGACCGTCGAGCTGCAGAAGGACCTCGCTCAGAAGCTCGGCGTCGCATCTGGAAAACCACCAACCTCAAAACTCCACATCTTCCCCTTCGTGCACAAGGAGAAGCAATTGGACGATAAGGAGATTACAGTCATTACGCACGAAGACAAGCCTGTTGACAAGGACAAAGCGCGAGCACGGCTGCAGGACCCTAACGTTACGCCAATCTACCATATGTGGCACTCAGACACGACCTTTGAGCACGTCCCAGCGGATTATGCGGTGCTGCGCATGGTTGAGATTCCATCTACAGGCGGTGATACTGTCTGGGCGTCTGGTTATGAAGTCTTCGACAGGCTTTCGAAGCCGATGCAGTCGTTTCTGTCGTCGCTCACATTTACCGGTGGACAGCCCAAGTACCACGAAAACGCCGCCAAGAATGGCATTCCGTATTATACAGATCCCCGTGGCGCCCCTGAGAATGTAGGAAAGCATATACGCGCTATCCATCCAGTGTAAGTTGATATATAATCCAACCTGGAGAATACTAGCTCACTGTTATGGGTCTCATGAAGGGTCCGGACGAATCCTGTTACCGGATGGAACAGTGTGTACTGTCTGGGTCACCACGTTGAGAAGATTAATGGTGTGACTCCGGTAGAGTCTCGCAAGCTGCTCGAATGGATTCATGAGATGGTTGTGCTTAACCACGACATTCACGTTCGCCATCGCTGGACTCATCCCAACGACATGGCCATCTGGGATAACAGGTCGATGGTTCACACAGCTACGCCGGACTATCTTGGCAAGGGACTGGGCGATAGGCGTGGGTTTAGAGCCATGAGTATTGGTGAGCGTCCATACTTTGACCCTGAGGCTTCTGGACGCGCCGAAGCACTGGAGAGAGACTAGTTCAGATATGGGAAAGAACAAGTCCAATGTGTATGCGATAGACTTCTCAGATTCAATTGTCAAATGGTCAGAAACGTGCTTTCCCACGTCTATCCTAACTTGAGTCTTGAGTCCCAATGTCATATGCCGTTCTTCCCCAACTTCCACACAGCACAATGTCACAGTATTGTAGTTGGCAAGGCCTTAATGTTCCAGTGGATGTACATTCTCAGTTTCTCAAGGCCGTAGTGCAGAACTACGCTCACTTAGATATGTAAGAGAATGCGATTTTCTGGAGGTGTCCTTATAGTATAGAGCGGATTCTTGCGTATTGTAGTTTGATCAAAGCTCCATTGCTATATAGCGTTGTTAACTGGACGTACCAAGATAACTTAGTGGCTAGATACAACCTTCAACATCTTTCAGCCCTCCAAACTCTAGTCAAACATTGTCCTTGCTTTCCTAGCTTACTGTGTTAGTCTAATACCGGGTCCATTAGCATTTGAAAGGCATCTTTGCTGCTGATCCGGACACAGCGAGGAGCAGAGGTGTAACCATCATCTCGAGGCCCCTCCCTCCTGAGTCCTGTCCACCACCATCTCCTCCTGGCGCCACTTTGGTCCATATCGAATAGGGATGAGTAACAACACACTTGCGGAGCTCCAAATTACCGCCACAACAGTATAAGCCCAACCATAACCCAGAGCTGAAATCAGAGGTTGCACTACTGCCGCGGCGGCAGCACCCAAGAGACATTTGGCCAGATTTATCGCTGCCGCGGCGGTTGCCGCACTTTTAGGATACACATCCATGGCCAATGTGCTCATGACGTTGATTGTCCCAGTATTGCAGAATCCAATAACAACCAAGACGACACAGGGACCTGCAATATGGAGCCTTGCCTGCACCATCCAGCCGTAAGCTAGAATAGCGGCACTCGCAGCGTAAGCCATAGGCAGGGCAATTTCCAGGCGTGCCCTCTCAATGGGAAATGACCCCAGTTTGTCTTGGCGATTTCGTATGATGGGGTATGACAAGCCCATGGCGAGACGGCGGTAGTTCCTGTCGACAGCGCGGCCGACCATTTGCGTTGACAGAAAGGACCCAGCTCCCAAGGGAATGTAGCAGAGGCCAATTTGTAGGTCATTTAAACCATATACCCGAGCAAGAGTCCCTGGTATAGCTGCTGTGACGAAGTAAAATGCTGCGTAACCTAGAGCGGTATAGGCAAGAATGACGCCCGTCTGTTTCTCAAAAATGAGTCGAACAGTCCTTAAAGGATTCATCGAGCGCCAGTCAAACCTCTTGGCTGGCGAGGCCTGACTAGGAGACGACAGGTCTGTCGTATCTGTATAGCCTTTAACTTGCGATGACTTCTGTTGTCTTGCTGCACCCGTGAGGAATGTGAACAAAGGAACATTCCACTTTTGTGGCGGCAAGCTACCATTACCCACGACTTTTCGGGACGTTTCCGGGTAAAAGAGGATCATGCAAATGAGGATGATACCAGCGACAATGGTTAAAAACCAGAAAACCGCCCGCCAACCGAGATACTGCGTAATGACTCCACCAAGAACGGGTGCTATGGATGGAGCGAGAGCCACTGTCGTCAACCCATACCCGTAGTATGTACCCCTTTCAGCAGTGGCAGCAATATCTGCTATGACAGCGGAGCCGAGTAGAACTGTCGCGCTACTTCCTGTGCTCTGCAAGCACCTCAAGACCAGTAATGCAAAGTAGTTGTTTTGCAGGGCCAGCGCTACATTGGCGGATATGTATAGTCCAAGGCAAAGGAAGTAACATGGTCGTCGACCAACCATATCCGTCAAACTGCTGAAGAAAGATGGAGCTATTCCTTGCAAGATCTATATATGGAACCCTACGAATCAGCAATTCAGCGTTCTTGACCATTTGGAAATGCACATACCATGTAAGATGTTATTGTCCAATTCATAGCCTGGAGAGAGACTCCAAGGTCTGACCCTATCGCATTGAGTGCGGGGAAATAAGCAGAAGTAGACGCTGGCGATAGAAAGGACGCCATGCTAGCCACCAGAACGATTGCAAGCTTCTGCTTTGGAGTATAAACAGAATAAGGAATGCCATCGCCAGCATTGGCGGCATTCACATTAGCCGTGTCTATATAATTTGCCTTATTAATGCTGTCATAAGAATTTTGGACTTCTAGAATCGTCACACATACTTGTGCTTGCAGCTGTACCATGAGCTTGATTAACCTCTTCTTCACTCGCCAGATGATGCTCTTCTACCTTAGAAGCCGCTGTAGTCTCGACTTTCTCTTTCATGGCGGTAGACTCCTCAGATGACATGGCGTATGAACCAGAGGCGGTGACTTTGCGTAATATCTTTAAGGATACTGTGGTGAAAGGGTTTTGGCGTTCTGTTCTCTCTCATCAGTAAGAGAAAGTCAACCCAATATGCGTTGCTGACCGGAGTACCTGTGCCCTCCTCTTCTTCCATGAGCCAGTCTGCAGTTATCCTCCAGGAACCTGATCAACTACTCACCACCGTTGTCGGAGCGCCCAAAGTCAGCCATAAGAAGTCATGTCTTGATGGGCTGATAGTTTATCCTCTTTGCCGGCAAGCTCCCCCGAGTCGGACAAGATAGTTGCATCCCTGGGAGTAGTACATACGTTTGCAAATTAACAAAGTTAAAATCATCCGACGTTTGAGACCCCAGGAAATAGATATGCGCCCCACATATCCACAGTCAGTGAGCACTTGGGCAAACCCCTGTTTTTAAAGTTTCCTGGAGTGATTAAGCTTCCTACTTTCAAGGTTCTGCTGTAGACTTGGCGGGCATTGTATAATACTCGAGGGATCGAAGACATGTACCACCAAAGTACTACAAATGTACCATGATGTCGCGATATTGACGCAGGCCGCCAAACCCATGCTTGATGGGGCGGTGATGAACCTAATTGTTTCATTGAAGTTCTGAGTAAATAACGTAAGGTTACATCGATAGTCGATCGTTACATCAAGGAGTCTATTCTCGGTAGATGGCGATGGAGGAAGTTGGTTGATATCAGTATTTACGTGGTTACTTAGTTAGATTTTCAAGGCACACCCCGATCACCACCACGGGCATGGAACCTGCGTACTTGAACAAATCTAAGCAAGTCATCTATTCGGGATCAAAACCAGCTCATCAGACTTAGACACTCCATCAACATGATCTTTTCCAGTAAACACGACACCCCTTCGTGGGACCAGGTCATTGTCGATGTCAAGGACTACGTTTTCAATTATCAGGTCACGAGGCCTGAGATTCTGGAGAAGGCTCGCGAAGTCATCTTAGATTCCATCGGTTGTGCCATCCTAGCAGTCAACACAAGTGAAGAGTGTCGGTCACTTCTGGGGCCGTACGTCCCGGGCACTTCCGTTGCGAATGGATGCAGGCTCCCGGGCACATCGATTGTTCAGGACCCTGTCAAAGGTGCCTGGGACCTGGCAAGCTTGATTCGCTGGCTGGACTACAATGATTGCATAGGCGGCGTGGACTGGGGTCATATTTCTGGTACGTCCAAGAATCCTCGGCCATTCAATCCGAGGCCGAGCTGGCGGCTGGATTTCAGCTGAGAAATTGAATGGAGAAGCAAAGATTGACAAGTAGCACTCAGACAACTTGGGCTCTATCATCACGGTCTGTGATTGGCTGGCTCGCTCTAAGCAGCCAAGGTCAGCAGGAGCACCACCTCTCACGATGCGGACTCTGCTCGAGGCCATTGTCAAGGCAGCCGAGATCCAGGGAACCTTCAACGTCCTGAATTCATTCAACAAACTGGGCCTTGACCACACAGTCCTTGTGAAGCTGGCGTCCACTGCGGTTGTATCCTGGCTCATGGGCTCCAACGAGGAGCAGACAATGGCAGCCATTTCGCACGTATTCATGGACAGCTGCCCTCTACGTGTCTTCAGAGCCGGCTCCAATACGATCCCGCGGAAAGCCTGGGCAGCTGGCGACGCATGCAGCCGCGCCGTCCAGCTGGCCCTGATCGTCCGAGCAGGCCAGCCTGGCGCCCCAACGGTTCTGACCATGCGAAAGTGGGGTTTCTACGAAAATATTTGGCGTGGACAGCAGTTTGCTTTCCCACTCGTTTCTAAGGAGAGGGATGCGAGCTCGGAATCGAAGCTGGCGTCGCCTTTCCAAACGTACATAATGGAGCGCGTTGCGTTCAAGCTGAACCCTTGTGAGGGCCATGCCCTGTACGCAATCGAAGCCATGCTCGATGCCGGGCGACAGCTGCGCGGTCGAGGGCTTGACCCTTTCCGGGACATCAAATCTATCAAGCTTCGGGCGTGCAGGCCTATTGTGCTGATCCTCGACAAGCCGGGTGAGCTATACAACTACGCAGATCGGGATCATTCGATCCAGTATGTCCTTGGTGTAACGCTGCTCAAGGGCTCGCCACCAGAGACACATGACTACAGCGATGACAGCCTCTGGGCTTCTAGCCCGGAGTTGCGGGAGACCAGGGCCAAGTTCCAGGTGATTGAGGACCCCGGTTTCACGGCCGAGTACTACGCCAATAGTAGGGGTGAGCCTTCGCCTCCGGTAGCAGGTGTGACGCTGGTGTTGAGTAGCGGCGAAGTTATGGAGGAAGCCGTCGCGAGAACATGCCCAGGTGTTCCAGCCAATCCCAAGACGGCGGATGGGGTGAGGACCAAGTTTCTTAAGAACATGAAGAGCGGGAATTTCTCCGACCAGGCCATTAGAAATATTGTCGACTTGGTCTACCAGGATGACGCGTCTGTTTCACACCTGGTAGATTTGCTTGTCAAGTAAGCTGAAGAAGTTAGAGAGACGAGGTCGCTTCACTCTGCTTAGAACAGGACGTGGCCGCCACTTGGTACATGCTTCACAGCCTTCCCAAGATATGTGGGCTGTATTATGGACTTTCATAGTGTGACTATGAATGTATATTTAGACAATTGATTTGTAAGGCCGAGCCATTCTTTGCGCGTCACGTCACAGGGCATGCTTGAGTAGTCGGGTCAATCCGGATCGTGCATTGACTCCAATCAAAAGCGGCCACCGCCGCGATACAGGCCACTCGAGCACTAACTCTCCAGATTTCAGCATTGCATGCCTCTCTTACTCAGGACACAGAAAGAAATGTAAGCCCTCAAACTTCGAAAAGCTTCTCCCGTTCCTCCTCTTTTCAAATATTCTTTCAAAAGTCGTCCTTGTTTGTTCGTAACTGAATTTCGAACCGCCCTTCTTGGACCAACTTCGACAAGCCCCTGGGCTCATCTGTTCCAATCTCGGAGTCCTGGTCTGGAGTCCTTCCACCTCCTAAGCCAAAACCAGACTTCGACCGAATTTTGGAGCAGAACCCTGATGCAAATTGGGTGCCAGCTCGCTTTACAGGCGAGATTATTCCCATGGCAAGGCGCATACTGGACTTGTACCCCCGTGGAGGCTTCGTCGCTGCTGGCATCTGCGATTCGTGGCACAGATTCTTGGGTGATGAGTGGATCATTGACACTTGCGTGGCCTTCCTGACCGGTCGTTTACCTTCAATGTCCGACACACTATTGAAAAACCAGTGGATCATACAAATGCAATGCGCATGTTTTCCAGCAAGAGGCTGAGCAGTGAGCTAACGAGCACCCCGGTGCTACCCGTTAGTCAGAGAATACACTTGCTGTCGTGAGGTTTGATATGGAATCCTGGCAAACAATACCGTGTCAAGTGCCAAGTGCGTGTTTGATCACTGGATTTACTAATGGAACTAACATCCAACAGGCATATCCAACAACACCCTCACGCTGGACATCGAGTTCAAGAGAAGTCTTCCCAAGGAAGGACAGCGCTTTGTCTTCATCCGCACCACTGCAAGAATACTTTCTAGTGGAAAGATGGACAGAGAGGTCACAATCTGCAACGAAGACAAGGAATTGGTTTGCACGGCGCGGCAAGTCATTCTAGTTTGGAGGCTGAACGAAAGTTCCGCGGTGGACAGAAGAAACCAGGTTCACGTATGTAGATAAGTAAACTGGGAGATTGGAATATAATTCCACGTAGCAGAGGCGAGACAATGAAAATCATAAAAATCTTGAAAGCGATCAATTCGAACTCGGTCATGACTGGGACAGATGTAGAGGAGGAATGCTTAGAAGAATCAAGCTTGCTCTGAGTGCTTTGCCTGCATCAGGCCAAGCATCTCGGTCAATTATTATATACACTCAAAGACGCATAGGAGAAGTTGTATAGATGCAACAGAAAAAGTACAGAGCATGACAACTATATTGGAACAAGCGGAGTACCGCAATTGCGGAAGTGCTGAAACTTAAGCTGTGAGACCTGAGTCTCGAAGCCACACCCGAAAAAATAAACCACCCGATGGACTCCTTCTGGATTCACTCTCTTATTGCTTCGAAGATACGGTATTAGCTGTGGAAGGAGATGCGTGCTGACTTCGCCTTATATCCAACATGCACGTCACAGAACGGACCACGCAGAGCAGTGGACCCAGGACGCCATGTGTCAAGATCCAACATCTGACAACACAGCGTGTACATTCCTGGGATGAGAGTATGATTGATGAGATCGATTATCGATTTAGTCGAGGTAGATGAATGGACCTGCATGACAAGTACGAGCGATCTGGTTTGCAAATGAAACTGACACAAGGAATTCAGGCATAATATACGAATATGTAATATTATTAAAGCAATGAGCAAAAGCTTACAATGATTGATATTATGATAAATAACTCATGTATCTTTATCCCTATGCTGTCCCAAGATGATTGATGTGTTTCCTTGACGTCATTTGCATTAATTCCCGTACCTCGACTGCGCATATCTTGGAGAGATACGCGCCTGTCCACTCCTCACATAAGCGAACTCTAACGAGCAATCTGAGGCATGACTGAAATGCGCAGCACCAAAATGATCCGCTTAAGCTCGTCATTAGCACCACTTCACAACATCGGTTAGGAAAGAAATGACTGGAAGTCTTAAATGAACCCACCTTTGTTCCGTGTCCGGTGTCCAACTAATCTTTGTCTCAACCGGCTTTTGGCACCTTGGGCAGTCGACGCAGTCCTTCTCGAAGACTAGGGTTTCTGGGTCACGGACCACACGTGCGTTCTCATGTGTAACCATTTCTCCATTCGGCTGGTAAGGAGCATTGTGAGTTTCTAGTTCCATGGCTGGCTGGCTGACTGTCTGGATGGCTGAAGTGATGTCATACGGATTGAATTGTTGAGAATTCTTCTGCTGATGGAGAATGAGTCTGATGGTACAGGCTGGGTTAAGAATCTGGTATTATAAGCCACAGACAACATGCGTATTCTGAAAGGCCTCGCAAAACGCGTGTTAGCTATATTCAGCTCTCCTTCATCTTAATCTATTCATTGGTTGGCTCGATCTTCCGCAACCTAATGGAAATCACGAGGTCCAACTGGTTCGAAGGGGCGAACATTACTGCCTGATTTGCAAATATCGAGGCGCCCTTCAGCTTGGTTTCAACTCGTTCGTTCAATGGTCGGCTCGGTTCTCCACCAATGGAAGTTGCGAGACTATTCTTAGACAAGTAGGCGAAGACAAGGGGAGAAGGTAGCCATTGCGCGAAAATGCTTGTTATCCTGGCTCCAGCTCGGTTCCAACTTGTTCGCGCAATGGTCGGCTAGGTTTTCCACAGATGGAATATATGAGACAGCATTACTCATGCGCAGCAATCGAAGGAGAAAAGCTTGTGCAAAGGATTCTCCACCTAAATGCCTTATCAAAACAATTATTGAGATGCTCTAGACCGATATTTCCCGGGTAGGGATCTGGAGCACATTCTAAAGCATGTGCATTTACCATATGCTGCTTCTGAGGTGCTAAGAGCAAAATACACTGGACTTTCTGCATCGTTGCAAGAAGAACATTCGAGATAATATTTCTATTAACTATATTACGAAATACTGCAGGTGTTGTCGCCTACCACGAGCAAGTAAGCAAACATGCGGCTCCTCGATGTGCGCCCCTACCGCGTTCTCGAGACCGGCACCGGATCGTTACGCATTGACGAGCCGTATGTGATCATCTCACACCGCTGGCTCCCAGGCGGGTCAGAAATCGTCTTTTCGGACATGCCCCAACTCGCGGAGTCATATTGTCTCTCTGGCTCCCTACAAGCACCGCCAGGGAAAGAGGAGAGCCTCCGAAAACTGCACGGGGCGTGCGAGACGGTCAAGGGCCTTGCAGGCCAGAATGTTAATTACGTTTGGCTCGACACAATTTGCATTGACAAGTCCAGCTCATCTGAGGTCTCTGAGAGCCTCAATTCTATGTACATGTGGTACACAAAAGCAGAACGGTGCCTCGCCTACATGTCCGACTACCAAGTGGGCTCACCCACTTCGTTCATCAACAGCGAATGGTTCGACCGAGGCTGGACGATGCAGGAGCTAGTAGCGCCGAGCAAGCTCGAGTTTTATGACGCGAATTGGAGACGATTCGGTGACCGATCCCTATTCACTAGGGAGCTTGCGCAGAAAACTGGAATGAGAAGCGGTATTCTTTCGGGCCAAATCACGGCAACGCACATCTACCACGCTAGTATATCCCACCGTATGTCGTGGGCCGCCCGACGGACCATGACGAGGAAGGAAGACATTGCATACTGCTCGATGGGCGTTTTTGATGTAAACATGCCGGTTCTTTACGGCGAGGGCATGGATAGCGCTTTTCGGAGGCTTCAAGAGGAGATCATAAAATACTCTATCGACCACTCGATCTTTGCATGGACGATCAAAGAAGACACATGTGATGACAGTGCCAGTCTACATTCTCGAGACTACGGGCTGCTAGCACCGTCTCCTCAATGCTTCGCAGAGACCGGGCACTTTGCGCGTGGGCATGGAAGCGAGCCTTACGTTTTGACGAACAAAGGCTTGGAAATAAGCCTAAGAATGTTCGAGATCGAGGGAAAGAATGGGAAGCCGGTATCAATTGCTTCACTGAACTGTCCTGTCGATAGAGATCACGTTGTGGGCATTTATTTGCAACGCGATCATTGGCACAGTGGAAGTAGTAACCAGTATCGAAGGGTTTTTGCGGATACTATGCAAGGAAAAAAGCTCGTATTGCAGTGCGCTCAAGAGAAGAGAAAAGAAGAGAAAAGCCACGAGGGCAACTAACTGAGGCTATCAACAGGTCTGGCTGTTGGCTGGCTGGCTGGGCCGTGCACAGATACACTGTGCAAAGTGAAGACAGATAGTAGGGAAGAGCTGAGAAAGATATATATACGGCAGAAATAAGGCTGGCTTCTAACGGAAGCGCGCCATAGAACAGGCTACACAGAATAGTTGAACTCGATACCCCGCATGTCAATATCCAACATCAAACAGAACAGTGCTTATATGACTCAGGTAGATTTGTAGCACCCAGCTGCAGCATAGCATCGGTAACAGCGACGCGTATTTGTGTGGCAGTGGCCATAGGGGCCTTAGGTGAATGAGGCCTGGGTGGCCACCCTGACTCACTGGCCTGAGCCATTCAATGGAAAGGCAGTGAGTCGCCAGGTACGCTAGCTCAGTTGGGACTAGTGCTAATTGCCTTCTATATAGAAGGCAATTGGCAAGCATGCCTTGAGATAGATTAATTGAAGAATCATCTTCCCTTCTACCATTTGTATAGCTCCTAGAGTGCCTTCTACAAGTAGTAGCTACGATCATATACTGCATTGAGGAATTCTGTTATGACCCATCCAACATGCAGGTCACAGAACAGGTCACGAGTAACAGGGACCAGGTGTCAAGGATTCAACGTCCTGACAAAGCATCGATTACATAACCCAGGGTTAGGGTTATTAGCGGATAGATACAGTCGACGTCTATCCCGTTGATGAAGGAATCGATGGAGTCGATATCGATCCTATCTATCCGGACTGAAGAACCAAGTATATGAAGGTTTATATTTCCTACTGTTAGATAAACTTCCTTCAGAAAGTTCTTTAGTTGTTAATCTAAGTATTCAGTTTCATATACTGAGTAGCTCCAAAAGCAGTGAATACTTGCATTGCTTATTAAGAACTTGTATGATTCCGTATTCAAGAACTTGACACTTGATACCGCTCTTGTTAGCATAAACTCCCTTTGTATACTTTGGAATCTTCAGATTGCTGCAGTGCTTATTACATTTTGATAACTCTTATTCAAGAACGGTTCAGTATTACTCCTTGAGCAATACGGAATACGATAGCTCCTCCAGGAATCCCTTCGTTCTCGCACGCCCCTACTCAGAAAGAACTAGTTAATCAGATATACTAGCTTATCCAGCATATTCAGAATCTATGCGAACAACAGCAGGCTCAGAGCGCTACTATTGCTAACTAACAGGCTTAGCTAGCTTAACAGGCTTAGCAGATGCAGTCTATCTCTGCAACTACTAGTAATGCTGAAAAAATATATAAGATAAATAAGCTTGCTATATATAATAGCAATCAAAAAACGCTATATAGATTCCTTACTCACTGCAGAGCATATTTCCTGCATTATAAGACTCAGTTTACTAAGAAATTTGAGAAAGTTATCTTTGCAGGAACTCATCTCGAAAAGAATACTCTTATCTAGTATAAGCCTTCTCTATACAACTACTTGAAGTATCAGAATAATCCCAATGCGTATATTCAGAATACTAAGAATATATTTGATTCTTTTGAAAGCTTCAAGAAAGCTCTTAAGGAAATCTTTAATAATCCTAATAAAGAACATATTACAGCTCAGCAGCTTATAAATCTTAAGCAAACTAAATTAGCTTCTGCTTATATAATTAGATTTAAGCAATTCTCAGCATAACTTCTATAGAAAGATAAGAATCTCATGGAATATTATTACAAGAAACTCAAGAATAATATTAAAGATGAAATCTCCAAGCAGAATTAGCTGAAGAACTTCGCAATATTCTCCAATTAAGCTATCTGCATTAATAATTATCTGTATAAACAATAGATAGAGAAATCCAAGAAGAAAGAAGATTAGATTTGGAGATTTCCAGCTAATACAAGCAAGAAATTCCAGAATAAGAATAGCAAATAACAGAGCAGCATAGCTCAGAGCAGCATTATGCATGCTAGTTCTATAGAATTCAATGCTGCTAATAAACAGTATAACAAAAGAAATAGCATTACTTATTATAATTATAACAAATAAGAATATATTATATATAACTGCTATTAATTCCAAAAGAATAAATAGCAATCAATTCAGAAAGAATACTAGATAAATATTGCTTAATAATAGAAATCTAATTAACTAAGCAAAAATATCTTCTTAGAGCAAGTATTGGATTCTATTGATCACGAAAGTCTTAGCTAAACATTCTGCTATAATAATAACTGCTTAATATACTTCTCGAGTAAGAAAGATTCAGAATAGTTTCCTTAGAAACCTAAGCGCTACAGGCAGATAGCGATAGCAGAGCAAGAGTATACGCTTAATATAATTATAAGCAGCAACAACTCAGACTGCTTCAATATTATTGAATAAAGCATTCAGGCACTGGAGGAAGAGCTTAATAACAATACTCTTCGCTATTTCTCATTATCTGTATCAAATACTATAATTAGAGAAATGAACAAGGAATAATATTCTCTTAGTTATTGGTATAAATACTTAAACAATACTGAAAATGCTTCTCAAGCAACAGAAAAATCAAGCTAGAACGAATGATCTAACGATTTATCGGAGTCTCTTATGAATAATAAACTCAAGAAACTTACAGAAAGGTTCTCCTTTGGTATTGGATGGAATAAGGAAACAATATAGATTAAATATTTCGTTTATAGGATAAGATTAGAAGAGCTCTTCATCTGCATCTCCTTGCAGAATATTAAGATATAAGAAGATAAGAACTTTCGAATCAGCTCACTTCACAACCTATACTACAAACTAGCATAGATCTTCTACGCTTATTACAGCTGCTAAGCACATTTCTCGGAGAAGGTGCAATACGAATAGTTTTCTGTTAGAGAATCAGAACAAATCCTTCAGGCTATTGAAGAACAGAAACTTCGCTTCAGAGAAGTTCTTAACAAGTAATACTACAATGCATATATTGAGCTATCGAATAATTACTTTATATAATATATAGATAAAAAGATAAAGTAATAGCAATATAAGATAGCATTCTGTATAATTTACAGCAATAATAAGATTTGCAACTAGTATTAACAGAAGAAAGATTAGAAATAATGATAATATAAGCAAAAGCAAGCTAAGAAGCTTGCTTAAGAAGCAGCGAAGCAAGCTTAGAAGAATAAGCAGTTCTTAATAAATCCAAAAGGATAGGATTGCTTGTAAAGAGATTGCAGATGATTAGACTGAAATAGTTCTTATATGAAGCTTCTAAAACAGATTACGCTTATATTAAGTTTAACATATATATTCAAGAATACAAATACAGCATACTATTAAACAGTAGCGCTCAAGGAAACTTTATATCCTTATATATCATCAATTAAGCACAACTATAATGAAGATGAAAGAGATGCTTATATACTCTTAATACTATAAAAGAATAATCTGTTGCATACAACCAAGAAATAATCAATAAGAAGACTAATTATCTATCTATTTTAATCCAAGAATATATAATCAGAGCTTCCTTTGATATTACGGATATAGCATAGCATAAGCTGATTATAAAGCTTCTATAGCTTAAGAAGTATAATTCTTAAATCAATTGAATTACTAGCTAGATCTTATGAGAATAAGCTATATTCAGAGAAATAGTTGCAATTAATAATGCAGAATCAAAGCTAGTGATTGAAGAATACTCAGAAAAAGAAGCTTTACATAACTTTATACATATTTTCAAATCAGCAGAGCTAGCAGTTCAAGAAGAAGAACTTAGTAATAAGCAAATTCAAATAGTACTAGAATGCTAATAGATTAGCAAAACAATAGAAGCAAGACTCTTAGCAAGTTAATCCGCCCCGGAGCAACAAGAAAAAGCTTCAGAATGTGGATTGTAAAACTATACAAGAAAAATCTCGAAACCAAGCTCTCAAGCGCTTGGTTCAGCTCGGAGCGAATGCTCAAGGCCCTCAGAAACGCCATTAGAAAAGAAGCATGCTTAATAGTATCTACTGTTTCTCCAGATAGCAGAAATAGTATAGGAATCAGAATTAATACTTGCGAACATATTATAAGAATATTATAAGTTTAAGAAACTATTTCAGAAAAAATTGAATACAGGATTACTAGAATACAGCTTATACAATCACAAGATTCTGCTATAAGAAGGAAAATAGCTTAAATTCTTTCCTATTTATAAACTAAATAAAGTATAACTAGAAACACTTAAGAAGTATCTTGATAAGAATCTTAAGAAGAAATATATATAATCATTGCAATTACTAGCAGAATACTCTATCTTGTTTATATCTAAGAAAAATAGCAAGCTTAAGCTATATATTAATTATAAGCAATTCAACGATATTACAATTAAGAACTAATATTTATTATTACTTATTAAGGAACTATAAGATAGATTGCAAGAAGCATAGTAGTTCATAGTTCTGAATCTGAAAGAAGCTTATAATCTAATCAGAGTAAAGGAAGGAGAAGAATGGAAAACTGCTTTCAGAATACGCTATGAATACTACGAATATTTAATTATGCTCTTTGGTTTAATAAATACTTCAGCTTCGTTTCAGAAAATGATCAATTATATTCTATGCAAGCATCTGAATCAGTTCATCATTGCTTATCTCAACAACATTCTTATTTACTTTCGAATATTGGAAGAATATAAGAAACATATGAAAATAGTGTTGCAAATGCTTCAAGATGCAAAACTCCTTGTAGAATCCGCAAAGAGCTACTTTCATATATAAAAGATCAACTATTGAATCAGAACTAGGGCGCTGTCGCCCTCGAAAGAAAAAGAGATAAACAGCTGCTGA